CCAATCACAGAGCTACTTCAGGCAGTATAGTCAGAACCATGACGGGTCCCGACCAGCTAAACTCTGTTTGTTTGGGTTCCTGTTTACACTCGTCTGCACATGCTCAGTGTGGGTGCATGGTCATGTGACACCTGTCAGTCCTGAATAGATGCTGGTAACATGAAAGTTTGGGTTTTAAAAACAGACTCAGAATTAACAGAATTAACCCCCGACAGACCGGACCAAAAATCACTTACTGGAGCTTTAAATTCACTGATCCTCAAATCACTGAAACAACAAGAAGAAGAAGAGGAGAGGACGTCTGTGTACGAATGTCTGCTAAGACTTCAGCGAGCAGAGACGACATGTTACTAACTTACTAAAAAGAGCTGAACTAGAACCAGTGAAACCAGTGAAACCAGTGAAACCAGTAACAAACCAGTGAGAGAGAGAGCAGAGAGAGGAGAGCAGCAGACTGGGAGCAGGGAGGTGTTGGCCTCTTTCTGTATGCAGCAGGCAGAGCGAGCTCTTCTGCAGAGCAGGCCTCCACAACAACAAAAGCTCGGAGAGAGAGAGAGAGGGAGAGAGAGAGAGGGAGAGAGAGGGAGAGAGAGAGAGGGAGGAAGAGAGGGAGAGAGGGAGGAAGAGGGGGAGACTCTCTCTCTCTCTGGGTCTGTGGGTCTCCTCTCTCTCTCTCCTCTCTCTCTCTCCTCTTCCTCTTTGCATCATTTTGGCGTCGTTAGCATCAGACAGCTCATTAAAACAGCATACCATGAAGGATTAACACACACACACACACACACACACACACACACACACACACACACACACACACACACTCACACACCCCTTCGTCACAAACAGCTCCAGCTTCAGTACGTACCTCATCTCTTCTTCCTCTCCTCCTTCAGTCCATGTCCTCCTTCTCCTCAGGAGTGTCGGATGGTGAGAGAGGGAGAGAGAGGGAGAGAGGGAGAGAGAGAGAGGGAGGTGCCTTTGGTGTTGTGGTGATCCCACTGCAGAGAGAGAGAGAGGGGGAGAGAGAGAGAGGAGGTGCGAGCAGACAGGAGGCTAACGCTAAACTAGCCACCAGCTCGGATGGTGGGACGGACGGATGGGAGGGATGATGGTGATGATGCGGCACCTTTCAGAGAGGAAACAGAGGGAGAGAGAGAGGCAGAGAGGGGCGCCCTGTTGCCCTGGAAACTGAGATGATGTGATGGAGAAGGTGGAGCCGGGCTCTGATTGGCTGACAGGGTGTGGTGCTTCCCTTCCTGAGGGAGAGGAGGAGGAGGAGGAGGAGGAGGAGGAGGGGGATGACAGAGCAAAGCAGGGAGGATGTGAGAAGCAGCTGCTCGCTCTTTTTCTGCAGGAGGAGAACGGGCTGCACGGGGGAGGAGAGGACGCGATCGCCGCCCCCTGCTGGACACTCCTGGAAGAGAAGAAGAGAAGAGAAGAGGAAGAGGATGGATTTGAAGATTGTAATGGTGATGTCCTGGATGAGAAGAGCGCTCGGCTCAAAGGAGAACAGATAAAAACAGACAATAAGTACTGAGGGGGATACAACAAAATAAGGATACACAAAATATTAAAGACGAATCAAAGTGTAAGAGAAATATTTACAAAGGTGCTGAGTGTGAGAGTATGAAATGGAGGATAAGTCGGTGGGATAAATGAGGTTTGAAAATTGTTATATTGCACATGATAAATAAGGGTGTATGAATGCTGTATTGCACATCCCAGATAATATCCCAGATAAAGGTGTTTTTATTGAGCCGAATTATCAATAAAATCATGATTTTGTTAACAGGTATGGATTTATGTGCTGTCGAGTTAGTATATGTGAACAAGAGCACAGTAAAGTTAAATCAGCTAATTTTCCAATGAGGTTCTGTTACTGAACGGAACTACACCATGTTCTACTGAGGTTAGTACATATAGGGTCACAGACATAGTACTAGACACCAAACATCTTTTTAACTTTGACTCATTTCTTTAACAAAGAGACTAAACACAACTCACCTACTCTCTTCCAGCAGACGCTTGTTTGTAGAGAGACCTCAGGCCAGTCCATTACGGACTACAGCGGGGTGCCGCAGCTCAAGGAAGAACATTTATGATCATTTCTTCATGGAAATACAATCAGACCGAGATGCTAAGACAGAAGAACTACAGCGTCTGTAAAATGATTAATATGATGATTGTAACTTCAAGAAAATGATAAAGAAATGATCATAAATGTTCTTCCTTGAGCTGCGTCACCCCGCTGTAGTCTGTAATGGACTGGCCTGAGGTCTCGCTACAAACAAGCGGCTGCTGGAAGAGAAAATCAACTCGTGATTTTTCCTCATCAGCAGCTCGGAGCTCTTCAAACGTCTTTTTTTCAGCTTCATCTCTAACTCTTCTCTGTCTTGTGTTTATGTTGTGTTATTTCCTTAATGATTAAAGCTTTTATTTTGAAGGATGAGATCATATGTTGCAGATCTGAATTTAAACCAAAAGAGTGTTAAGAAAGGATAAATATTTACTCGATTATTAATCTGAAGAGCTTCTCAGTTTATTGTGAAAGCTCTGGTTTGAATGTTGACGTATCTTTAAATCAAGTTATTGAACAATTTAACTGTAAAGATTAAAACTTCTTTAACGTTGTGGACAAAAAAAGTTAATTCTGTCATTTAATAAACAAAGTCTAGTTTAACTTTGAGCAGAATTAAGAGATTCCTGTCACAAACTTTGGATTAAATTATGTTCATAATTCTGTCTGTGTGTTCAGGAGCTATAAAATTAAACGTATATTAATGTTTAAATGATGAAACTTCTTTACAAAGTCAAACAGCTTCTTCATCTGAAGTCCTTTTTAACTGGTGTTGAATATCAATGAAGAACAGCACCATCTAGTGGACACATGAAGCATCTGTTTTAATATTTCAACAGCAAATAAAGTTTTAAACTTTTAAAATATGAAGGATTATTTTCAGTTCTAAATTATCTCCACAGAACTGCCTGAAAATGTCCAGATATTTTGACAAGCTGGTTAAAGATTCGTTTGTAGAGAGTCAGAAATTAAAGTTTGGAGATTTTTTAAGGTGATTTTCTTTCTTCTTTCTTTCCTGCAGCTTCAAAACAAAAATCATCTTTCTGAACCTTCAGATTACTCTGAGCTGAAAATACAGAAAACATCTGAGACAAACAAACAAACAACAATGGAATTGAAGAAACTTTACGATGTTTTCATACCTGACTGAGGAGACTTCTTCAGGTTACTGTTCTCAGGTGTTCAGAGGGTCTCCTGACTTCCTGGTTGGTGGGGGGAGAGTCCAACTGAGCATGTGCAGAATGAGGGTCATGACCTCAGCATGAGTCTGATTTGGAGTTAAAATTCGTTTTAAGAAATTTAATGTTGAAGGTTGAAGTGTATTTATGTAAATATTTAAAAGTAAGATTTAGAGATACTTTTACTTTATCGGGTATTTCTCTGTTTGAAACTTCAGTTTTTTAAAAGTTTTTGTTTAATTAAAAAATCATTTTTGTTTCTGCAGATTTTTCGTCTCTGGTGCAGTTCATACTCTGACCACCAGGGTGTGCTCTTTACCTTCTTTACAGCTCAGACTGCAGGTATCTTCACCTCAATGATGGAAGTGTTCACATGTTTTCCTTCAGGTTCATCAGAGTTTATCAGATTTATTAAAACATCACAGAGTTCATCTTTAAATCTGAAATCAAACTGACTTTTTTCATTTTAGCTGCTCATTAAATTCACAGAAAGATATTTTTCACATTATTTGTATTTATTTTGTAGATCATCCTCATGTGTGCAGTTTCTTTATCTTGTGCAAAAACACAATAATCTTGTTGAGATTAGATAAATTCATTTCCTCATGTGTACAATTTAATGCAATCATGTTATTTCGTTCACAGGTTTCTGCTCATTATCTTGTCTGAACAGGAGTCTTATCTTGTGCAGTTTTATTTTTATCTTGCAGGAATTCAGACTTCTTTTGTTTGGGGAAAAGTTATTTGTGCGTACTATTAAATTCCAAACAAGATGTTATCTTGTTTGCACAAAGAAATTAACTTGTGGTGTTTGCTGAGTTGATGGAAGAAGATCATTAATTATCTTGTGCAAAAAAAACATCATTATCTTGACTGAATAGGTTGAAATAAAAAAGTTGTGGTGTGCATAAATAAATGATCTGTTATCCCTCCTCCTGTATTTGTCTTCACCGACCTCTTTTTCACTTAACATACTTTAAAAAACACAAATTAGCTTTTTAACATCAAGACTTTTTGACTTTGTCAGAAACCTCGACTTCAACAAAATAAAAATAAAAAATTAGATTGACTAAATTATAAAATGCTCGTATTGTAAGGGTTAAACTGCCCCTCCAAACAAAACTGTGTATATTAGGTATTTATCCAAATTTATTGTGAACTCAAAGCAGAGGACTTTAATCGACCCGGGACTCCTGCAGGTCAGGAGAATAATCACTTTATCTTGGAAGAAAATGGATGATCCTTCGATAAATGTTTGGGTGGAAGAGATGACTTCATGTGTCGTACGAGAGAGACAAACCGATCATCAGAGGAAAATGAATCTTTTTTATGTCCCCCTGTCCTGTTTTATCTTTTACTTTCTATTTACTTATGTTGTTATCGATCATTGTCTGGACAACTCCAAGTTTGGTCCGTTTATAGATGGAGACGACTACCAGTTCACTCTCCAACTGTTCATGTTTTTGTGTGTATACTTGTTTATGTAAAAGTTCAATAAATATATTGTTTAAAAAAATAAAATGTTCTTTTTAAAATTATGGCTCTTGTCGTGTTAGAGTCGCTGTTGACCCGGTTAAATTAATATCTAATAATTAGAGCAAAAACTGAAATCATAAGTTCACTGACAGTCAGATCCTCTTCAATCATGTGAGATTTCTCTGATGGTGCTCATGGGAAATGTAGTCTTCCACAGTTGAATCAACATTTCTTAGTGCGACTTTAAAGAAGAGGAAATGATGACGGAGGCGTTTTTGGAAAAAAGAAACTTTATTCGGAAACATGATGGAGAGGAAACAGAGAAGCGAGTTTTGTAGAGGTTCATTTCTGAAAATCGTTTTTATTTACTATAATACAGAGCGGATGACGTTAGGAGTCAGATGGTTTGTACACCGGAGTGACGCCATGAGAGAGAAATCTTATCGACAGGATGAGAAACAGAGAAAGAAAACTTGATTGATCGATTGATTGATGAGGAAACTACAGACGGACAGCTTCATCTTTATCATCTAGCAGCTGCTGGACCCCCCCACCCTCACCCCACCCTCACCCCCACCCCCTAAAAAAAAGAAACTCGAGCTCGGAGACCAGGATGCTGTTGGCTCTGTTCCACTCCCTTCTATGTGCCCTTCACCGTCCCCTTCAGTCCAACATCACCAAACCTTCAAATGGACTTTTGGCTGAATTCCATTCCGGATATTTATCCCCCTTGACTCGACCCGTACCCACTTTTTCACGTCCTGGAAGAAAACAGATTTCTCCTTCGTCAGCAGAGAGTCCCCTTCCAGACACGTGTCTCCTTTGGAGGACACTAAACCTGGTCCTTGTCCAGGTTTTAGTCTCCTTCAGAGCGACCTTTTCATGTTTCCTACAAACTCTTCAAAGAACTCCAACAAAGATGGTCCTCTTTGACCCTGATCTGGACACAAATTTAGAAAGTAAGGACACAGGAGACACTCCTCTGGAATGGGACACACCCCCTGTTTGACATTTGTCTGTTTTGTTTCGTCTCTCATCGCTGACTTTCATCGAACCTCACCTCGGACAGAAACGCTCTCACAGATTTGATCCTTGACTCCTCCCTCGTCTACTTTCCTTGTGCTTTAGTCCCTCCCTCCTAAAAACGACGACGTCTTCTTCTTCTTCTTCAAACTGAAACCTCTTTTACTCACACGTGCACCTCTTTTATTTTCAGACTCGCTCAAAGAAACCAGATTTCCTTCTTCGAAACTGCAGGACTGTTTTCCAGGTCAAAAGCAGGAGGAGGAATGAGGAGATAGGAGGGGAGGAGAGAGGAGAAGTGCCCGAGGTCACATCACCGGGGACGTTCGTGAAAGCGTGTCAATTATAAATGAAAACGGCTTTTTAGAGACGAGCTGTGAATCTGGACGCTAACGTCTCCGACAGGGCGAGGAGGAAGAAGAGCAGAGAGGAGGAGGAGGAGAGGAAACAAGAGGAGCAGAGAGGAGGAGGAGGAGGAATCTACCGTCGTCGTTTTCAGACCCACAAACACACTAAGTCCTGATATGTGAGCCGGACTCATGGGACCAGGATAGAGTCCAAACTGAGGGAGTCAGATCTGCAGAAACCTGGACGAGTCTGTGGGGTTTCATCTTCGTCGTCTAAGAGTGCCGATTACTTCAGAGATTTTCACAATAAAAGCATCAAAATCAGACTTAAACTGCTGAATTTAAAATCATGATTTCACAGTTTCTTTCTGCTTCTTCTGTGCAGAGTTAAAAATATTTATATTCATCCTCTCAGTGAAGTTTAAACCTGTTTGTCTGGAGTTTAAGGGGTTTTAATAACTCGATTAATCGATCGATCGTTTGTGAATCAGTGACTCGATTTAAATACTGAAAGGATCTTTAGTTGATTTCCAGGTTTTAGAGACGAGTTAAATCCTCGTAAATTAGAGTCAAACGGTAAAAACTCTTAGTAGAAGAGCGTCCAGACTGTAGTGAACTTTAAAAATCACAAATAAAGTTAGTGTTAAAACTTTTCGACTGTTTCTAACCTTGAATTTCCATCACATCCGGAACGGCGATTTTCGCCATACGCCAATTCCTGCTGAATCTGTTGGTGAGGCGAATTTCGTGGTGGTTTACGGACAGAGCGAGAACTCACAAGCACCCGCAGATTCACGTTCAATCGTGTGGTAACGAGTTGTCTCTCTAAAGACAGACACATAGACATATAAGCAGTAGATTGTGTCCTTCCAGAGGAGGAAATCTACTTCTAGACTTCTAGAATCAGCATCTGCTCATCCATGGGGTCATCTATGGGGTGAAATGACGTCTAAAAACCTTTCACTGCGGAGTCCGGCGGAAAATCGGTGTAAATTGACACGTTAACTTGAATGTTTACGATCAGCTACGATCGGAGGATACGGCCTTTTAGGAGACGATCAGGATGAAGGTGGAGATCGGGGGTTAGTCTTTATCCTGCAGCTGAAGGTTTTAGTTTTAGAGAAAAATCGGAAAAACTCAAAAAAACTCCTCGATGATTCGTCCTCTTAGTCTGTGTTCACCCTGCAGGTCAGTTCAGATTTTTTAACCATCTGTGACTCATATCTGATGTTTTCATCGAAGTGTGAACAGGTCAGTTCTGATTGGTTCTGATCCTCCCAGGCCTCTTCTGTATGTGGATATAAATCAGATATGTATCCGATGTGACTGCAGTGTGGACGCTCAGGTCGCGTTCATCCGACCTTTACGTCATCAATATGCGACAAACGTCACCATTGTTCGACAACACAAACATGCGTGGAAAGACATTAGATGCCGCATTCGTTGTTGTAATGTGAACGACCGCACAAAAAGATCGGATTTAACAAAAAATCCGATCTTTTTTAGCGTCATAACCCGCAGTGTGAACGTCGCCTTAGAGAAACAAAAACGTCTGTCTGACTTTCTGACGCTCTCGTTCGACCTCGAAGTGTCGCCGATGGAGACAGCGATGAGGAGTTCGTGATCTGGTCTTCCTGGTGGACTGAAGGGGATTAGAAACAACCTGTCTCTGTCAAACACACACACACACACACACACACACACACACACACACACACACACACACACACACACACACACTCTCTCTCTGGTTCTCAGAGTCACACAGAAATATGATTATAGATTCTGACGGTTATACAGTCCAGTACCCCGTGGTATTTCACTAAATCAGCAAACTCTGCGGCTGCTGCTGCTGATACATTTTTATATATTTATAATATTTATACTTTTATAAACTTCTTTCCTCTATTTAGGGAAAAATCTATTTGACATTTAACCAAAAATATGATATTAAGAGTCGATTTTCTTCCATGAAAAGAAAAAAAAAAAACAGGATGCAGGTGTGAACAGGAGCTCCTTTACAGTTTCTACGTTTTCGTTTCTTCTTCTTCGTTGTTTTTTTGTTTTTTAACGTTAAAAGTTCGTGTTTTTTTTCCGTTTTTTTCAGAGACATGCAAGTTTAGTTCCCGACAAACCGAAACAGAGATGAGACGAACCGAGGACAGGAAGTTAGGTCGACACGGAAGACGCGCGTCCTCCACGGGAACAGACGGAGTGGTTTTCCTCACTCATGTGCCGTCACGGAGGGGGTCGGAGGTCGTCCCTGCGGCGAGGCGAGGCGAGGGGGGCGGGGCCGACCTCCGGAGTGGTTTGCATTTAGAGTCTGTAAAAGTCCGATTCTCTCGTTAAAGAGTTCGCTATTCCCTCGTGGATCCATCGCTCCCTCTGCGGAGAAGGTTCAGGCCGACTGTCAGGTCAGCTCGCACACATCATCATCATCATCATCATCAACGCCATCATCATCATCATCATCGTCACGCACACAGACACACAGTCAGGGTAGAAATGAGACGTTACAAAAAGAACTTAAAAAATGATAAAAACTGAAACGACAAAAACAAAAAAGACGTGAAATTGGCGAGACAAAAATCGTGCATGTGCTGTCCGTAAGGAGGGGTCAAAGGTCACGGGTTAGTCACAGTTCAGTTAAGAGGAAACCCCGCCGCCGCCGCCCCGCTGCCAAAAATAGTAATCCAGGTTTGTGTCTCAGCGAGGTCCTGAACGCAGCGTCAGGGAGAGCGAGCGAGTCGTTCCGATTCAGGGCGAAAGGTCGAGGAAAAGAGAAGAAGAAGAAGAAGAAGAAGAAGAAGAAGAAGAAGAAGAAGAAGAAGAAGAAGAGAAGAAGGCGAGGAGGAGGAAGAGGAAATGTTTCACGTGCTGAGATGTGGGTCTGTCAGTAAACGGTCCGTCAGTCTCAGGCGTCCGTCAGTCCGTCACAGTCCGGGGTTTCCGTTCTGAGCTGCAGTCACGGCGGCGAACTTCCCTTTTATGGTGTGTGGGCGGGGCTTCAGGGAGGCGTGTGTGCTCTTCCATCAGGTTAAAGCGAGAGGAAGGTGATTGGACTCCCTCTCCAGATTAGTCTCGTCGCTATGTGCCAAATCGAATCGGTTCGCCTCCGTCGTGTCGTCAAAAGGGCGAGAAATTAGTTCCAAAGGTGGCGTCCGATTGTTGGTTCTCTAATCCGGGATTTTCCCCGATCTCACAGATTCGCTGTAATCCGACAAACGCTCGTCGTGTCTCTGAGCTCGTCCCTAAATTCTCCGTCCGTCCGGGTTTGTTTGATTTTGATTCTCAGCGTTCAGAGACGGCGCTCCAGCGGCGGCCGCAAACAACCCAGACGTCTCTTTTTTTTTCCCAGCATGCTCCTCGGCCTCTCCTCAGATGAGCGGGTCGGGGTGGAGGGTGTGCTGGATCTGCTGCGGCTGCAGAGGCGGGGGCAGCTGCAGCGGCAGGAGAGCCTCCACCATGTTGTGGCAGTGCGGCGGCGGCGTGCCCTCGCTGCTGGAGCTCTCGGCCACCTCGCCGCCGTGGAAGAAGTAGTCGCTCTGCACGATGAAGGACTCGATGACGGCCTGGTTCAGCTTGGTGGTGGACAGCGTGTCTTTGTTCTCGAAGTCGGGGCGCATCAGCGTGGGCCAGAAGCAGATGGAGAGGTTATCGGCCGTCATCAGGGTGGTCTTGTTGTGCTGGCTGACCCTGGAGACAGGAAACAGGAAACAGGAAATGGTCATGACATCAGACACTAAAGGTTCGAGAGGTTTTTATGTCAAAATGAAGGAAAACTAAAGATTTAAACATCAGTTTCTGTCTCAGACCTGAACCGGACCGCTCTGCTCGAGTGTAGTTCATGAACGATTCGTTCAAAAGAAACGAGCTGCTGAGTGATTCGTTCATTTCTCAGTCGCAAGCCTGGCGTGTCGGTCGGGAGTGGAACTGCTGCCTTTGACTCTGGTGAACGACACACAGCTAGCTAGTGAGTGAGCGAGCGGAGTGGGCGGAGTCTCATGATTTGCTCACAGTGAATGAACGACATGTTTCAGTCTGTGAAGGAAACGAACGATTTCCGAACGACTTGAGTCAGGCAGAGGAGGGAGGGGTTTAGCGTCGTTCATGAACGATTTGTTCAAAAGAATCGAACTGCTGAGTGAACGAATCACTTTGAGACCTGATTCGTTCATTTCTCAGCCGCAAGCCTCGCATGTCGGTCGGGAGTGGAACTGCCGCCTTTGACTCTTTGGCGAACGACACACAGCCAGCTAAGTGAGTGAGCGAGCAGGTGGGCGGAGTCTCATGATTTGCTCACAGCGAATGAACGACACGCATCAGTCAGTGAACGAAACGAACGACTTCCGAACGACTTGAGTCAGGCAGAGGAGGGAGGGCTTTAGCGTCGTTCATGAACGATTCGTTCAAAAGAACTGAACTGCTGAATGAACGAATCACTTCGAGACCTGATTCGTTCATTTCCCAGTTCAGTTGAGCTCAGGAACTGGGAGTGGAACTGACGCCTTTGACTCTTCGATCAGAGTCATGAGACGAGAAATCTGAGGCCCAGTCAGCAGCTCAGCTCACAGCCCTTCTGAACCTGGACTAACCTGAATCTTCATGAATCCAGGTCCAAACCTGAACCAGAACCTGAACCCTGTGAGTGTTTGAGTTGATGTCATCTGTCAGCTGTGATGAAAACGGCGCCGGAGCATCAGTCAGTGTTTACAGAACGACAGCTGATCGATGTTTTCATCAATAACTGATGAGGAGTGACGCTTCGATTGGACTGATGATGTTTCCTGTCGCTATCACGCCATCACTAACACACCATCCAGCTAAACTGAGGACAGGGGGTTTCTACTGGACCACCAAGAGTCTAAGATTACAGACCCTGTGTAATCCTGGACTCAGATCAAACGTCCACATCCAGACTGAGTTTAGAACTTCTCCTGCTTCAGCTAAACCTGGACCAGTGAAATAAAAACAGCGGACTGACCCTTTAAAATCTGAGTCTGACTCTAACAGAGACCTGAAGGATCTGGTCTAGCTGCTGTGACTCTCTGATGTGGATCAGGTCTCTGGTTCAGACCGGATCGTTGGCGTCCTGCGGAGGATCAGATGTCGCTCTTTAAGCTGAAGTGAAGTTTCCTGCTGTGGTGCGTTCACTGACATCAGGGAGATCTGAACATCAGGACTCTGTGTGTGTGTGTGTGTGTGTGTGTGTGTGTGTGTGTGTGTGTGTGTGTCCTCTCACCTGTTGAGGTGTGTGATGATGTACTTGAAGACCTGGTAGTTCACAGGAGGAAACTTCTTCACGATCTCCCGCAGAACCAGCAGACGCTCGATGTAGTCCACGATTTCTGACACACACACACACACACACACACACACACACACACACACACACACACACACACACACACACACACACACAGGGGAGAGAGAAGACAGAAGGCGTTTTAGATTTTACACTCTCTCTCTCCTGGGAACGGAAATTATCCTCTCAGGAAAAACAAAAGGAAGAGACGCTGCCAAGAGAAACTCCCACGCTGTGCACACGCACGCACGCATAAACACACACACACACGCACACACACACACACACATATACACACACACACTCGCAGTGACCCGGCAGCTCTGTGGGCAGAGGGGATCGGAGGCAGCATCACGTCTTATTTATCAGACTGAGAGAATAAACCGAGTATCTGAGTGTGACAGCAGCAGCTCCAACAGACAGGGGGCGCTCTAACAGCTGAATCTAAACACTGAGAACTTCCTCTAAGAGCAGGAAGTCCTCCTCTGTCTGAGGATCTTTAGAGTCCCTGATGAGGATCAATCTTCATCACTGAAGACCAACAGATTTTTATTCACCTGACTTTAAAGCTCCTCTTATTAACTTTTGGCGCCCCCTCGTGGTCAAAACAGTCTTTACTTAGTAATTTCACCAAATGCTTAAATTGAGAATCTCCTCCTGCTGACTGTCTTCTACTTTTGTAAGTAAAAAAAAAAAAAACTGTCCAAAAACTCCTCACTGGAGCTTTAATCATTTTTTTTTTATCCAGTCCTTAAAGACGTGGAAAAAAATCAGAGAATCTGTGCAAACAAACAAAAGTCAGATATGTGTCACATATGGTTAAAAAATTGGAATTGACCTGCAGTCTGAACATAGCCTAAGAAACCTTTGGCGCCCCCTGTGGACAAAAACAGTCTTTACTAAGTAATTTCACCAAATGCTCAAAAAGAGAATCTCCTTCTGCTGACTTTAAAGGATCTCATGAATCTGTTTTTGGAATATCTATTGTTTTCATAAATCGAGTCTTCTGTTTTTGTTATTAAAATATATATATATCATGAAGTCATAACTGTCTGAAAACTCCTCACAGGAGCTTTAATCTTTTTTTTAATCCAGTCCTTGAAAAATGAGATACGAGACTTTGAGATTAAAGTCATTTACTGAGTCGTCGTAATGACTTTATTTTGACTTTTTTTCTTGTAAGTCATGATTTTATTATGACTTCATGTTTTTTTCTTATCACTCTGTCGTATGAAGCTTCTTTATTTTGAGTTTTTATTAATATTTTATTAGGTGACTCAGCTGTGAGACACAAAAACCAGCAGAAAACTTTATTTTTGTCTTAAATGAAAGTAAAAAAATCTAATCCTGGTGTTTTATGTTGTCTAGAGATAAAACTATTTCAGTGGAATCATCAGAGTTCAATCGTGTTTTTAAATCTGTAAAAACGTTAAAAACTAAAAACCGACGAGGACTGACGGAGCGTAAAAACCGCCGACTCAAACTGACGAAACACAAACAGACGTGGATCAGACTGTTTTCCTGAAAAGCCTCCTGTCAGTGCTCCTCCTCCTCCTCCTCCTCCTCCTCTTCCTCTCCTGAGATTCCGTCACGTTCCCGCCGGCGAGAGCCCGTTGGAGCTGAAACGCCGCGCTCGTTTATTCTGTCATTAAATATTTACAGAGCAGATATGAAACGCCGACTTCTTCCTCTGGATTGTCAAAACAAAGACGCTTCAACACGAACCCTGACCCACCAGCCTGGAAGATTCTCCAGGACATCCTGCCGCGGTTTCTCCAGGACTTTCCAGGACCTGGTTTAAAGCCCTTGAATGTTCCCAGATCTGTTCCTCCTCTGATCATCAATCATCTTAACGAGGAGCCGACAGGAACCTTCAGACCTCTAACGGCTGCGTGAGGTCGAAGGTCAGGAGTGCTCGCTGCTCTAGAACGTTGATCATGTAGAAAAAAAACAAGGACTGGATCCATTTTAATAAACCGGATCAGACTCTGATAAGATACTAAAGCGAAGAGCAGAGAGTCCTGGACCCTGAAGACCCTGAAGACCCTCGGGTCTCTCTGGTCTGAAGTTTTTCTCTGCAGTGATTTTTGATTCTGTTTCATCTGTTTGTTTCTCAGCAGCTCCAGCTTCAGTCTCTGCGTCACAAACAGGAACAGCTTCTGGATCAGAACTCGACCAGAACCTCATCAAATTCTTCCCCGCTCTGCACAAACACACTGACGACTTCAGCGCTCGACTGACTCTCCAGAAACCACAGACAGATCTGACGACGAGGAGATCTTAGAGAAATACTCTCAGATTTAAAGTCTGATGTCAGTCCTCCAGTTTTTCTCCATTACATAACTCTGAACGTCAAACCTTCAAAAAAACACCAGGATGGTTCTGATGCAGAACTCTGTCAGAGCTCCGTTTGTCCAGAAAACCTCAGATAACGAAGATCAACCTGATGAATAATTAACTAAAGACTCAGTTTGTTTGTCTGTTTGTGTGAAAAGGCCGAACACGAGGACTCGACGTCAGGAAAGTCAAAGTCGACAAATCAGAACAGTTTGTGTTTTTATGTGTAAATAAACTTTGCTTGTTTTTTTTAATCCTGCTGCATCAGGAAAAGTTCATTACTGATAATTAATGAACTCTGAGAAGTCAACGAAACACAGAAACCTTCATTTATTGATTGAGGATAATTATCACCAAAATGAAGTGAATCTGATTCTGAATCAAAGCTCCTAAAGTGAAGAATTGATGTTTGAATTTAGATGTCAGATCCTGACTAATCATGTTTGATAGTTGTGATAATAATCACACTTTAAACAGCTGATAATAACCAGCCGAACGCTGAATATCAGCCGCGATCATCATCATCATCAGTCTGTCCTAATCTACAGCAGCTCCATGACCTCCTCCTCACACAGGAGCTGTTTTCACTCTCAGGTTAAATTAAACTCAGATTACAACAGCTGACATCAAACTGTTAATCCACAATCTGATGAGAAACGCTGACTCTGGGACTGGGACTGATCTGAACCAGAATCCTGGGTCCAAACTCGTCCCTGTGAGGTTGGAAGAAGAAGAAGAAGAAGAAGAGTCTGCTGTTTGTTTTCCACTCGGAGAAGAAGAACAAGAACTTTCCGCTTCCTCCTCGAATTTTGAAGACGCTCGTTATAATGTGTGTGTGTGTGTGTGTGTGTGTTTGTGTGTATTTGTGTGTCTCATTCTCAGTTTTTCCTCTTTTTTTAACGATATTTTCTTTTAAACCTTTTTCTTCAGTTTGAATCTCAGCGTTTATTCGTCGTTTTCATCCTTCAGACTCATTAACCTCCTCGAACCCTCTGAGCTCTAACATCCTCCCTCTCTCTCTCTCTCTCTCCCTCTCTCTCTCTCTCTCTCTCTCTCTCTCTCTCTCTCTCTCTCTCTCTCTCTCTCTCTCTCTAATTACCCGACCGTCTAAGTGGATTTCTCTGTTTTTAATCAGACCCAGCACGTCTCAAAGCCGGGACGCTTTACTCCAAAAACAGGCAGAGGAAGACTCGCTGTCTGGGACGACAGATCCTCATCAGAGTCTAAATTTAGAGACGGTTAAACCTGCGCTCTATTTTCACTCCAGTCTCTGTTCTGCTGAAAACAGAACTGGTCCTAAAATCTCTGATCAGAGACTCTCAGTAGAAGAGAGTTTTGAGGACGGGAGTCGAACCAACGACCTCTACGGTCAGGTGATCAGACAGATTCATGTTTACAAATCTGGGACAGGGACGAGTTTTTGTGTGTTTTTGACACTAAAAGAGGGTTCAAGAGAAGGTTTACGTCAGGAGGACTGAGGAGGGGGTCTCGGACCTCTTAAAGGTTCATGTAAGACCTCCCCCTCTGGATTAAGACGACCTCCAAACAGAAACTCCAGTTTCTCAGCGGTTTGTGTGTCAGTGTGTTAATCCTTACTTGCGGCCTCCACCAGCTCCGGGTGCAGACTGTAGGGGATCAGCGGGTCGGGCAGGTCGGCGAAGAAAGCCTTCAGAGCTCCGGCGGCGGCGTTCACCGCCACGTCCATGGCGATGAAGTCGATACTGTGATCTACAGAGAGAGACAGAGAAGAAGATCGAAGTTCATTTTCAGATTCAGGCAGAAATCATTTGCCTGTGAAGACTCCTCGACTTTAGCAGCCTGCCTCCACTGGACACTTGAGGAACTGCAGTTTTTTACTTTTGAACTCCACAGAGAGACTCAAACCTGAGCTCTGACTAAATCCCGTTTACAGTCATGTTACAGTAGAACCAGCTGAGTTTCAGACCTCGGAGCTAAAAGCCGATCGGGGTTTCCCTGAGTTTGCGAGGAAATCAAAGAGGTTGTGAGGAGCGGCGGCGGCGGCAGAGCTCACAGCGGCGCTTTGTGTCTGATGAGGAGAACAGAGCGTCTCTCTGATCAGAGCTAACAGAGGTTATCATCAGTCTGTCTGCAGACACAGAGGCCTGAGTGTGTCTCTGATGGAGCAGCAGGGAAGGAGAGAAGACACTTCCAGTTCAAACAACCATTTTTCTTCTCTGTCAGGAGGCGAGGGGAGGTCCAGGAGACCGAGAGTGATCGAGGAGAGGGGAAACAAAGGGGCGGAGATCTTTATCCACGCCGTACCGAGGTCAGGGTCGTGTTTATTAAACCTGAAACTCAAACTAAACCAAAGATAACCTCCAGTCTTAAAGGGATATATTTACATGTTAGTCTGATAGTTTATTTTGGACGGTTAATTTGGCGAGTGGATTCACAATCATCTGTCTGCTGCAGATACTACGACCCTGAAACTCCCTCGAACACAGAGAAAAGGTTTTATTATTAAAGATTGAAGAAAAAAATCAAACGACAAATACAGATCAGCTGATCGGCCGAACGATGACGACAGGAAGGAGAGAAAGAGAGAGGGAGGGAGAGGAGAAGGAGGACAGAGCCCTGAGGAAACACGACAGCTGTCACCCTGAATCTGAGCGACTGCCAACAACACACACACACACACACACACACACACACACACACACACACACACACACACACAGTTCACCAGAAATACTCTCAAGGAAATAAGGAGATAGAAGGAGGGCAATAAGCAGAGAGACACAAACAACAGGAAACGAACGTGTGAGAAAAAGTAGGACGGAGAGAGAGAGAGAGAGAGAGAGGGAGGAGAGAGAGAGAGAGAGAGAGAGAGAGAGAGAGAGAGAGAGAGAGAGAGAGAGAGAGAGAGAGAGAGAGAGAGAGAGAGAGGAGAGGAAACCTGTGACTTAATGAAGTTTATTAATAAACTAAAACCTGTTAATGAAGCAGAACCAGGACTGACCCTGAATCATTACCCAGTTAATCCCTTTAACGTTTTAACCACCGCCGTTTAAAGGAACATGGCGGCTAATTAACCGGGATGATCGTCTTTCAATTAGAGATACAGACGAAGAGGAGGAGGAGGAGGAGGAGGAGTGAACATGGACGACGCAGAGGAAGAGCAAGTTCACAGGAGAGTCCAGTCCAACCTCAGACCTTCAGCTGTGTTTGACTTTAACCTCTGATATCATCCAGAGATTCAGATTTTAAAACTGAACTTTTTTTAAATCCATAAATGATTGTTTTTAGAGTCGAGAGACGTCACCTCCAGGTGGTTATTCCTCAAGATTTTCAGCTCCACGGCGTCCGGCGCAGTTTTCTCTACTTTTTCATGAGTCACAGCAGCTCAGATTCATTTACAGAGTTAGCAGGTAAAAAGGTCGTCTGAGTTTTTAGGACCAAACATGATAAAATGAGGATATAATTTACAGAGGAAAGAGTCAGTGTTCTGAATGAAAGGACTCTGATTGAGGATTATTACACAGCGCTCTCAGCCTGTTTTCAAACTGCAGTCTGGAGTAATAGAAGGTCACTAACCTGAATCTTTCTCAGGTTAAAACACAGAAATACAAAAAAACTACAAACATGGAGGTTTGAACAAGTACAGAATAACCCTTTAAACAGATTTATGCTGCGTTCGAGTTTCCTCAGAAGTCAGAAGTCCGAGCTGTGAATGACGTGTGTTTTTGTAGTAACATCATTTCACAGACATTCAGCTCAGACTCTCCAAACTTCGCACGCGCTCAGTGAGGCTGTTAATCTGACCTCTGACCTCAAAGATTGATCACATTTAAAGACGGAGAGGCCTGAAGAAACAGACCCGCTCCAGCCTCCATGACTGACCCGGCTGAGTGTGTGTCTGTGTGTGTGTGTGTCTGTGTGTGTAAGTGTGTCTGTGGTGACTGCGTTTACTCTAACGGCCCGTTTGGCAGCTCAGCGGCTCTGGTGCCGGTTTCTCGGAGCTCCACGGGGGCATGTGTTTCTCTTTAAGCTGGTCGCTCGGCTGTGGACTTTCTCTGCAGGTCAAATTTATTCCACAAAAGCTGCTCGATTAGAAACACACCGAGCCGAGATCTTAAACGGCACAATTTGGAGTCTGTGGGAGAATAATTTAGAGTCATGATGTGTGAAAATAACGAGAACCAGCGACCTCGGGGCTTTGAAACCCGAGTCCTCGTGTGTCCCCCTCCTGAGTGTGTCTTTATGAGGCTCTGTGCAGGTGTGTGTGTGTGTGTGTGTGTGTGTGTGTGTGTGTGAGGGCTTCACCTTGATCAAACTGTTTCTGGATGTTGTCCTGGTCCGTCTTGTTCCCACTGACACGGTACAGTCCTTCTGTCGTCAGACCTGCGAACACAGACGGTTAAAACAGAGAGTGTTAAAGTCCGATTGGAAACAGACGCTCAACAGAAACAGAACCAGAAACAGAGACAATAGATTTGAGTTTGTGTGGTTTTCGGTTCCCACACGCTGACATTTCTCCGGAATTAAATTTTCGTTCCTGAAATTCAGAGAAAAACTAAAAGTTTCCCCAAATTTTCTCAAAGTCTCTGAAATGGTCCCACGGTTCTAAACCCGACTCCTTCAGGTCCATGTTTGAGTTCTTCTGTGTTTACCAAACAGAGAAATCAAAGTTTAGATTTGACACGTTCATAAACTGAAGAAACTAACTTTAAGATCCAGATTAAAGTCCATCCGGTCATCTGAAGCAGCACAGTCCTCTCTGCGTAACCTGACCATCACATCACACTCTCGACCTCATTAATTCACACAGGGATGTTTTCCTTCAAAGATGGACGACATGCTGCGTTCAAAAGCCACTCTGAACAGACAGTGTTCTTAGATTGACATATTTTGAATAAAACTGACATATAAAGGGTTAAATTATGAAAATGAAATCACATTTTCATAATATTAAGAGGACAGGAGTTCAGGACAAAAAAATTAAAAATTAATATATATATATTTTACATACATTTTTAACATGTCAACATTTACAGATACAAAAAAAAATGTATTTTTGTGCACTTATGTGGTTTTTAATTATTTTTTTATACAATTACAAAAAAATAAAGATATTAACCATCAAAATGATAATTGTTGCTAATCGTTGAGACTGATCATCCCTCAGCTAAAAAAATAAAATAATTATTGGCATTATTCAAATTGAAAAAATTTAATATTTTGTTTTTTTTAAATTGTCATATTTTAAATAAACTTGCATTTTTCCAATTTTTTTAAATGTGTATCTATATGTCGATATTTTAATGGACTTAAGTGTTTGTTAAACCACTAATGTGATTTTTTTAAAGACGACTCATATTTTGGGTTCTATTAACAAAGACAGGTCCGGGTGTCGACTTTAAGAGTTTTATGATTTATTTTAATGAGCGACTCTGAAGACACGTTTCTCTCTCTCTGCTGTAAAAATGTTCATCTCAACATGAACCCTAAGATGTTTTCTCTGACTGCGCTCCTGCTCAGGTGTCTCCTGGGTCGGCGTTGACCTCTGACCTCCCTCTACTGTTATATAAACGTGTGAATCTGGCCGACAGCCTCCTGGAGCGACAGTGACATAAAAAGAGAAAACAAAGACTTTGGTTGGTTTGTGTCAGAGGAGCCGTCTGTTGATCTCCTGAAAGCAGCATTTGTTAGTGTCTCTAACCATAAATATCCTCGCCAGCTGGCGCCTGACAGCTGATCTCAGACCAGCGCATATGGAGACGAAGGGTCTTAATTAGAGCTCTAATGTGTGTTCTGGCTGCGCTCGCACTAAATCCATACAGGTTGTTCTGCTCTGACGCTGCTGCTGCTGCTGCTGCAAGGTCACCCACACTGCAGTATACATGCCTGTGAGTCTGTGTGTGTGTGTATGTGTGCGTTTGCATGTGTGTAAGTCTGTTTGTGTGTGTGTGCGATGAGTCCCCGCAGAGGCGGTTAAGCAGAGACAGTATTATGTAAATTCACTTTTAATGGATTCCAGTAAATCGTGTCAAGTGTGAGCAGGAGTGCAACTCTGTGTGCGTTCGGCGGTATCAGGGCGTCGATCTGAGCCCGCTCGTGTCTCGTGTGTGTGTGTGTGTGTGTGTGTGTATGTGTGTGTTTGTGTGTTTATAAAAATGAGTGTGTGTGTGTGTGTGTGTGTGTGTGTGTGTGTGTTTTTATAAAAATGGGTGTGTTGACTCAGGTGTTTGTCTTTAAGAGAAACCTGAGGAAAGCAGAACGTCCTCGGTCTGATCAGCTTTTGGCTTCTGCAGAGTTTGAAACAACCAAAGACATGACGTCAAAAACGGTGAAACTTCATTATACACTAGTGACTCCCACACACACACATTCACACCCACACACACACACACACACACACACACACACAGTATGTTTACATCCACCAATCAGAGACCTGCTTTAAGAACAGCTTCTGCCCTTCAGATTCTTGATTTAATGTTTAGTGCACTGACTAAAGTTCTTCTGGTGCGCTCGCCGTACTCGTTTTGGTGTGTGTGTGTGTGTGTGTGTGTGTGTGTGTGTGTGTAAAGAGAGGAAGGATGATGGTACAGTGTGTGTGTGTGTGTGTGTGTGTGTGTGTGTGTGTGTGTGTGGAGAGTGAGAACTGATTTGAGACAGAAGTTGAGTTCAAACTGATCTGAATTTTTCTCTTAAAGCTTCACTGAGGAGTTTCTTCATCTTTATGAAATAAACTGAAATTAATTTTGACGTCTTTTCATGATATCTAAAGACCGTTAGTGACAAAACTGACAATATTTGTATCTGTAGACGTCAAAATTCAACTTATGAACTCTTCAGAAACTTTTTAATTTAGTTTTTATCTTCAGATTTTTGTTCAGTTGCTTTAATTTGCATCAGATCTGAAAAATACTTTTGACTTCCTCTGACATACCATGGTTTATTTTTACCCTCAGAAAATTTGACTTTAGATTTTGTAGATTTTTGGGAACTTGAGGATTAGTAAGAACTGTGATACTAAAACAAGTAAAAACACTGAACTGTGACACACCTGCAGTACATTTCTAACACTGAGGAAAAACGCAGTGTGCTTCTTTAAAGGAAATCTACTTCACGTCAATTTATCTGCAAAGTTCAGCTGATTAATGTCAGAAAAAACAGTCTGTATTCCTCCTGATAAAATCCCTTTTCATTCGGTGTGAATGTCTAATTTCCGATTATTCCTCGTCCCCTGAATGCAGCTCCACTTCTTCATGCCGTGACCTAAAACTGACCCCCTGATAAAATGTCACCACCCTGAACATCTCTCTGTCCTTGTGGGGACATCTGAATCCCGACAGGATGTTACGCAAACTACACACACCCCCCGCACACACACACACACACAGACACACTAATACACACCCCCCACACACACACACACTCAGGGCCGACCTGAAGGGAAGGAAGTGAACAGTGGAGCTCGTGTTTGCATGGAGGGATCTGATAAGACTGGACCTGCTGAGATATGATCTAATATCCTCATGCACACTCACACTCACACACTCTCTCTCTCTCTCTCTCTCTCTCTCTCCACCTGTCCTGCTGCACTTCGGTCGGTCGGTTGCAGCAGTTATTTTATTGTCGTGACAACCATCTGCTGTGGGAGTGGACAGGGAGTCAGTTCAATCACCGAAAGTCAATCATCGGCTATTTTTAACTCTTATTCTACTGGGCAGGGACACACACACACATGTACACACATGTACTCAGTGTGAGAGTGTGTGTTTTCTCTCCTCCCCTATAGAGTCGACTCTGACGTTGATGAATGCTTCGCCGCCTCACCTGAGGACCGTTATCAAACTGCACCTGCAGGTAGACTCAGTGTTATCGTTATCTTTACAGTGAGGATGATCACTACAGTGGACCGAGTCTGAATCTATTTCACTGGATTTAATTTAAGTCACAGATCTTCAGCTGGTCCTCGCTCTGTCTGGTAAATTTTTTGCATTTTTTGTTTTTTTTAAAGTTTGTTCTGGAAGTGTTTCTCACTATTGTTTCACTTCTTCTGCGTGGGAATAATGAAAGTAGAGAAATATGCAGAATAAAGATGTTTCTCATTAAAAACAGACATGTGATGGTGGTGGTGGGGGGCTGCGGGCGAACAGACACTGACATTTTTGGAAGTTTTCACTAAAAGTTTGATTTCCCAACAATGTCTCCTCTGCTCCAGTGAATGAAAAAGTAAATATTCACACAGTTAAAGAAACAGAATCCGGTTAAAAATCAGAGTTTTGCTTTTGTTGTTTAATGGCAGACACAGACTGTGTAAAGGGTCTGAGAGCTGAGCAGCAGTGAGTCTGATTCTTTGTGTTTAAAGTTATTAATGCGCTAAAATACAGGTAAAGAGATCATTTTTCCAACAATAATCAAGAATAAGGAAGTTTTGAGTTAAAAAAAAGCAGAAGGGGCTGAGAGCTGAGCTGCAGTGAGTCTGATTCTGTGGGTTAAAAGTTATTAACAACACAGAAATACAGATTAACAGATAAGTTAACCAAAATTATAAAGAAAAAATAAGCTTTAAGTAAAAAAAAAGCAGGAGGGGCTGAGAGCTGAGCTGCAGTGAGTCTGATTCTGTGTGTTTAAAGTTAATAATGATGTAGAAATACAAGTGTAAAGATAATTTTACCAAAAAAAAAGAAAGGATATAGAAGTTTTGAGTTAGAAAAAGTAGGAGGGGCTGAGAGCTGAGCTGCAGTGAGTCTGATTCTGTGTGTTAAAAGTTATTAATATCACAGAAACACATATTGAGAGATAACGCAACCAAAAAAATAAAGAATATAGACGTTTTGAGTTACAAAAAAGCAGAAGGGGCTGAGAGCTGAGCTGCAGTGAGTCTGATTCTGTGTGTTTAAAGTTAATAATGATGTAGAAATACAAGTGTAGAGATAATTTTACCAAAAAAAATAAAGGATATAGAAGTTTTGAGTCAAAAAAAAAAGTAGGAGGGGCTGAGAGCTGAGCTGCAGTGTGTCTGATTCTGTGTGTTTAAAGTTAATACTGATGTAGAAATACAAGTGTAGAGATAATTTTACCAAAAAAAATAAAGGATATAGAAGTTTTGAGTTAAAAAAAAAAGTAGGAGGGGCTGATAGCCGAGCTGTTATTGGCTCAGAGGTCAAAAAATTTAAGACAGTTATTACGTCTTCGGGAGCTGTGCCTTATTTCAGCTGAGAACCGTTGACTCAGATTTGGAGTTGCTGACGATGATTCAATTACAGGCTAATGCTCAGTTTGTTTCAAGGTTAGCATTTCTTCACTTTCAGCAGCAAAAACAGACTAAAAAAAGTTTCCTTTTTTCCAAAACAGAAGACTTCAGCTGCTAAAAACACAGTAACACAGTATTTGTCACTGACTTGTCCTTTTAAATTCTAAATTAATTACCTTCACTCATAATAAGTCTCTTTCTCTCGCTGTTTTTTAGAGCCGGGGTTGAGAGCAGCTCGCTCAGATGAAAAGTAAAAAGTCATGATGAAAGGATCCGTCTGTAAACGTGTGGAGGTGAAATCTGATTTGGAGTCAGTGGGTGCAGCTCGCTCTGAAGTGAAAACAGAAAGCAGCACAAACTCCTCCACGCAGACTGATGTGATGACTGCTAACAGTGTTCTCGCCCCGAGGACACAGATCCAAACTCTCTCTAAAAAAAAGTCCCCGCTGTTGTTCAGGGATTCATTCAGAGCGCCGAGCCGAGATCTCAGACAATGACTCTTCACACCGAGAGAGAAAGAGAGAGAGAGAGAGAGTTTTATTTTTGTCCTCATAGAGAGACAAAGTGGACACAAACGTCCAACTGTTAGACATGCTATTCTCATTAAGATAACGACATTAAGGCACTGACATGTCTCAGGGAATCTGATTAAAGACGAACACGGTGGTATCTGAACTCAGCTCTGTGTTTACACGCCACCGTTGTGGACTGAGGATTTATTTTCAGAGCGTGTTCCTCCGAACAGGAACAGGAAACCATTTACAACAGATCTGAGAGCCGTAAAGTCAACAGAGTTTAATTCACCGCCTCACCTTCACCTGCTATTGTTCCTTCACACTGTGTGGAGGATCTGGTGTCCCGTTTAGACGTTTAATCCTTTAAGTAAAAACCAGAACCAAAGTTTTAGAGAACATGTATCAATAATTTTAAGATCCCTGAAAATAAACGAAAAAGATAAGAGATAAAAAAAGACTAAAAAAGATAGAAAGACTTCAAATATAAAGCCTTCGTCTCCGATCCAATGAAGTCACCACAAAAATCACAATCATGTCAGGCACAGATTTATGGTTTTAGGTCAGTGGCGGCCCCTAGTGGCTGTCGTAATTATAACAGAAGACGGCAGGAGTCAGGTGATGGAGCAAAGTTTAGAGTTTCTGCAGCTTTTAGAAAGTTCACTTAAAAACCGATCCAGATCCCTAAAAGACATCAAAGCTCAGAGTGGCCGATTAGCGAAAATTAGCGTAGGGCTGGGCGATAAACTGAAAATTTACATATTCCGAAATTTATGATATTAACCATCATTTTTCCATATCGATATATTTGATGCCAAAAAATAAATAAATAAAGTTGGTTTTGGTTCTGAAGTTAATGTGGGAGGGGGTGAGCAGCTTGTGGAGTAGTTATCGTCCATTTATCGTCATTGAGGGGAAGATATCGGGATATTGATTTGAGGACATATCGCCCAGCCCTAATTCACCGTATCTCCAATAATCTGTTCAGCAACTGATTTATCGAGTGTCAGTAACACATGAACCCGTCTTCTTCTTCTTCTTCTTCTTCTTCTTCTTCTTCGGCTCTCAGGATCTTCTGCTCCCAGTCTGCATGCTCCACTTTCTCCTCTCAAGGACTCCGAGGGTTTCATCCTCCTCCTCCTCCTCCTCCTCCTCATAAATGATGTGACATGCCAACATGTTCTGACTTTCATATGGAAGATGAATGTGGAGGTGAAAGTGCTGCAGTCTCCCATCGGGGACCAATCGCAGGTTTTTCCCACAATCCTCAGGGCTGAGGAGCGAGCGAGCGAGCTGAGCTTTCAGGTCTGGAAGTCATTCTGGTGCCGACACCCTCCTCCAGAGAGAGAGAGAGAGAGAGAGAGAGAGAGAGAGAGAGAGAGAGAGAGAGAGCGGGGAGTGTTCTGTGTGCACTTTCTTTGTCTTTAACACACACACACACACACACACACACACACACACACACACACACACACACACACACAGCTGCGGTCTGGTGGAGTCATCACTTTCTCTGCTGGTGTGTTAATTTAATGACCGACCCTCAACACAACCATAGGTCAATATAAATCAATACAAAGGCCGCGAGGAGTGAGTCTGAGTGTGTGTGTGTGTGATTTAATATCTGGGCACCTTTAGTAACCAGATCCATACTTACACATTACACACACATGAACACACGTGCACACACATGTATACATGCACACAGTCTCAGCTGCACTGCTGCAGTCTGCCTTCAGTCTGTTGCAGAGGAGAGTTCAGGAATCTAGAACAGTTTCATCAGATCCACTCGGTTTGTCTCTCTCTCTCTCTCTCTCTCTCTCTCTCTCTCTGTCTCTCTCTCTCTCTCTCTGAATGTTCACATCACGATCAGATCTCTAGTCAGAAAACAGGTGATCTACGTCTCTGAGTCTCTGTCAGGTCCGAGTCCAGTCACAGACTCAGAGATGAAAAAACAGAATCGGACAACCCGGGTTCAGATCACGGAGGTTAAAAGACTCAGGGGGACAAAAAAGGGATGCGGTCGAGTTGCATCATGGGAACTTAAACAGCATTTCTGAACATGTACAAGGACTAAAATCTAGAGCCAACCAATCGAACCAACCGAAGTAATAAAATGAAAATACACATCTTAACCACAGAGGAGGTTTTTGTCAGTAAACTTGAGCTCCACATGGAGCAGCAGCTCAGCCTGCAGCCCCCTCAGTCCCCCTGTAGACCCTCAAACTGACCCTCCTCTCTTTAAAGTCAGAAACTCCATAAATTAGAATCACGGTTCGCTCCCTGACTCGCTGCTGCTTCAGCGAAGACTTTAAAGACTCCGGCGCAGAGACCCGCCCTCGTACCGTCTGATGTTTTCAGGGTTTTTCTTAACGAATGCAAATCTTCCGCCGCTGAAATTTCAAAAACACATTCACTTCATCAAACCGACACAAAGCCGGGATCCTCACTGAGCCGCTAAACCTCCTCCTCCTCCTCCCCCGTAAGAACAGCTTCAGCTCAGAGGGACATGAAGAAGAAACAACACCACCAACACCACCAACACCACCCTACAGAGACTCCGATCATCTGACCTGATTCAGGATTATTCAGACGCAGCAGCAGAAGAGAGGACGACGTTCATCAAAGTTATTAATCCAGGCACTGACCAGTGTGTGTGTGTGTGTGTGTGTGTGTGTGTGTGTGTGCTGACAGTAGGACAGATGTCCAGCTCCCAGGAAGCGACAGGAGCAGCAGTCAACACACCCACACAGTAACACACACTAATTCTAATGTAAGAGAGACAGATGGGTCGGTTTTATAAATAGAGGAGCTGCTGCTGTTTACACACAAACACTCTCCTCTCTGTTTAACGTCTAACGGTGGAGGTAAAACAGCTGGAAGACTCAAACACACACATCTGTGGAGGAAGGAGGGAAACTGTCTGTCATGACGACTGAACCACCTGATCTGTCCTCGTCACTCTCAGTTTGTAAAAGTCTGATTTTTTATGATGTTGTGACGCCATTTTTGTTCTCCACTCATCTTTCTGCAGCAGTGACTGAGTTTGGATGTTCAGGTTGAGGTTTAGTGAAGAATAACAGCTCAGGCTGTCCTGATACGATATTGATATCAGATATCGGTCTGATATCAGACAAAAAAAATCACAAATCGGATTTTAACGGCCTGAATCTTAAATCTCCGGTATCAGCACTCCGCTACAAGCAGTCCATTCCAGACTCCACTCTGGCACCTCGAGCTAACAGCGCCCTGATCCACCATGCAGAGCCCATGTGATCACAACATCAGTGTGTACGAAGGTACGAACAAAGTAGAGAGGAGTAGGAGTGATGTCGGCCATGTGGCAGTATTCAGAAAAAGACGCTGCAGATGAGTGAAAAAACTGATCATGTACAAGTTTGTGCCAATATTGGATCAATATCAGTATCAGCCGATACTGAAAGCTATGATATCAGTATCCGATCAGAGGTAAAAAAGTTGTATCAGGACGCCCCTACTAACAGATTAAAGTCATGTACACATCTTTAATCTTATTTCTTAACTCTAAGTTGTTTTATACTTTAATTTCTGACTGTAGGCTGCTGTAAATTTGGAATTAAAGGAACATCTTATCTTAACAAATAACATTAAAATATTCCCGTTAAGGATTGATAGATTTTAAAGTGACGACAGGAAAGAGGAGGATAGAGAGGGGAGAGAACGCTGAGACTGAAAGATGAAAAAAGAGGAAGGAGGAAGAGGAGGATGTGAGGATGAAGGGGAGAGTGTTGAAAAAGAGAAAAGATAAAAGGAAGGATTAGAGAGGAGGAGGAGGAGGAGGAGGAGGAGTCAGCACCTTGAGTTGTACAACATGGCGCTTAAAACGCCCTCCAGAGACCTTCATCAAAGCCACTGCATCATCAGAAACACACACACAAGAACTGCTGCTGAGAGTGTGTGTGTGTGTGTGTGTGTGTGTGTGTGTGTGTTAAGCCTGCAGCAAGGTGCTCAGTGAGATCAGTGAAGCTCAGGAGGACGACAGGCCGGCTTGTCTGTAACAGCAGGATTTCACAATCCTCCATTTACAGCCGCCGCTGTCCAGCTGTTAACCCTCGCCGCTCCGCAGCCGCCGCCGCCACCACACTGACTCTGACTCTGCTGGTTACTGTCAGGTCATTTCAGGTTTTTAGTAAATGTTTGTTCAGGAGGTTTTACGTGTGAGCTGAAGATCAAGATACGACTCTTCAAAGATGCTGCAGAAGTTTTAGCGAGGATGGAGGAAGAAGTGAGAAGGTTTGAGTCGTCGATGAAACTTTCTCGTCTTTTTACCGTGGCAACATGACTGATCATTTACAAATCTGACAACAAATCAGAAAGGAAGAGTTATGCTGCGTTCGAGTTACTTCAGAAGTCAGAAGTCTGAGCCGAAAATGGCGTCACACCTGAGTGCCCAGCGTTTCAGTTACCGAGTCGGAAAAAAGCAAAATTTCCTAAAAGACTGGTGTAAAAAAAGTCTGAATAAAGTCGGGATGATTTCAATAAGCAGCTTCGGGACTTTAGTGCATATGTAAAAAAGGTGATAAGAGACTGAGCATTAAAAAAGGACCATTCTGTTTTACTTCAGCCCCTTTACTTCTCTCTCTCTCTCTCTCTTTCTTTCTCTCTCAATAAACCGTCGTCGCTCTCGCTCAGACAGTAAACAGTCCATCGCTGTGATTGTCATTTTTGGAGCGTTCGTCAGAATCTGGATGGTTTTTTCGTGGTTACGTAAGGCCATTATCACAGCCCCACTGGAAACAGTGCCAGCTGCAGTCATAATCTACGTACATCCCTCGGTCTCCAACCATCTCCAAACACATCCACACACAGACGCCACACACATCCAACACGACAAAAGCTCCAAAACAGCGAGGGGAAAATCAGGAAATGAGCAGCAGCAGCAGCAGCAGCTCGAGTCACACTGAGGCGGCTAAAAATAAAGACAGTCTGACTCCTGCTGATCCTGTTTGGACCAGACTTTGGGAAACGGTCCTCCAGAGAGTTCAGGACGACACTGATCAGTGAGAGAAACCAAAGTGACACTAAAGCTGGAGGTGTGGAGCTTTAAGAGTTTATTCTGATATTTGGATTTCAGCCGAAGTCGACCTGTCAGGAGAGGAAACTTCATGACGGTAGAAGTGAACACGTCAAAGATGACCTCATGTCTCAATTTAATAGAGGTGGGAGAAAAAAGTCGATACAGCACAGTATCGTGATATTTTGTCAGGTGATATATCGTATTGAACTGCTAATATAAAGTCAAATCTACGATAATGGAAAAATAAAATCAGCTGTTTGTCCACTGAGGTTTGCAAGATGTGCTATGTGGTGCAAAAGTATTATAATAATATTGTTTCTTGGCCCAAGTATCGTGATATTATCGTATTTGTGGCCCAGGTATTGTGATAATATTGTATCGTGATAATATTGTACCGTGGCCCAAGTATCGTGATAATATCGTATTGTGATAATATCGTAACCTGGCTCAAGTATCGTGATAATATCGTATTGTGATAATATCGTAACCTGGCTCAAGTATCGTGATATTATCGTATTTGTGGCCCAAGTATCATGATATTATCATATTGTGGCCAAAGTATCATATCATAACCTGGCCCAAGTATCAAGATAATATTGTATCGTGGCCTAACTATCGTGATATTATCCTATTGTGGCCCAGGTATCATGATAATATCATATCGGGGCCTAAGTATCGTGATAATATCATATTGTGGCCCAAGTAACTTGATATCATCGTGTCATGGCCCAAGTAATCTACCTTAATATCATATCATGATATTATCGTGACGTGACGGACTCTGATTATTTATATTGACTTTTAAAAACTCTTTTCTGATGATTAGGACTACATGTGATTCACAAGGATAAACTAAATAACTCTATATGTTTAACATTTCTCTGTCTCTCACTCTAAAGTCCAAACTCCTCCAAAGATTAAATCATGATCAGAGACTTTAGGACTCAGACTAGAATCAGAAAACACAGATTCAGTCGTCTCCGTCTCTAACTCTCTCACTCAGACTGGAGCGCTCTTTAAAAGTGAAGATGAAGCTGAATCTCAGATCAGAACTTTCTCCTTTGGTGTTTGAGATCTTGTTTCTCTGGTTTCTCTCTCTGTATCTTGTTATCTTTATCTGCTGTGATGCCTGACAAATGTCGGACTTTGTTTTGAAGACTTTCATCGATTATCGTCAAAGACTTCTCAAATACCACAAACTCATCTGCCAGGTCAGGAGATGAAGATCTAAAGTAAACTGAAACTCTTCTTCACAAAAGCAGAGTGAGGAAAAACTGGTCTGGTGACATAATCAGCTCTCTGGACCCGAGCCAAAGTCCTAAACCAAGGTGACCCACTTCCACAGGAGACCTGAATGAGCTCGATCTGATCCACGATCTTCTTCTCACATTGGAGTCTGCGAAAACATGGCCGCCAGCTCAGCATCCACTCTGCCCACCGGTTTGTTTTGAGCGCGCTCACATGTTCGCTGGCGGCGATGTGGCACAAATCATGAGAGAGAGAGAGAGAGAGAGAGAGAGAGAGAGAAGGGCGACAGAAGACAAACTAATGGAAGAGTGGACTGCTCAGAAACAGCTATAGGACACACACACACACACACACACACACACTGAGACACACACACATTTACACACAAACCCCGTTAAGACCAGATGACTGCCTCGGAGCGAGGTAGCACAGCACTAGCCTCTCTCTCGCCCTTTTTCCCTGCACAACCTGCCCCACAAAACACACACACACACACACATCTCCACACACACACACACACATCTACACACACACACACGGAGCATGCCCCACAATCCCGCTGTAGCCCCCAGCCCGGCTCAAAGTGGCCTTGTCTGTCCCCCCTTAATACTCTGCTGCACACACACGCTACAGGCCAGAACCAATTGCCTTAATCTAATCCTTGCATTGGCCCGTCACTTTAAGAGAGAGAGAGAGAGAGAGAGAGAGAGAGAGGGAGAGAGAGAGAGAGAGAGAGAGAGAGAGAGAGAGAGAGAGAGAGAGAGGGGCGTAATGTAAGACCACATTATACCCTCTAAACCTGAAAACACCACGTCTCTGTCTTTAAGCGGTTTTTCTTTAGAGGATCTTCAATCCCGTCGAATCTGCATCAACAACATCGAGGAACACGTCTCTGTCTTAAAGGCACGGTACGTCTCAGTCCGGTCTGCCCACAGAAATACAAAAAAAATACACTCCCCTTTAACTGATCTGTTAAAGTTCAGACTTTACAAACATTTGAAGAAAGATCGTGTGCAAAAGTAAAAAATGAGTCTTTAGAAGTGATGATGCAGACGTGACCACATCCTCTCATGGTCGGGTCGTGTCAGTCACGATATGTCTAATCACTAATTAACCCCTCCCCCCAATGTGACCCTTAAATCTGGACGATTAAACAGTATCAGCCGTGAAGACTCTTTCAAATACTCTCACTCCTGTCTGTCAGAGTTTTTATTACTTATTAGATTTCACCTTTAAGAACCTGCTGAGACTGACCCCCAGTTTTTTAACCGCATCCGGAACAGCGGCGATTGTCACTTTCACTTGTTCGTCTCCGCCCGTTTGCATGGTGTGAAATATGATCCTCCTGAAACACGGAGTGTTTTATTTTGAAAAGAAGCCGGATGTTTTATTTTGTGTCTGTGCCCGACTTCCTTTCCAGCACGGGTTAATCTGTGCTGAATTTATCCGCCATGCTCCGGCGTCCAGAAAAAATAGAACTCTTGTGATCAGCTGAGGAGTCCGGCGATCCGCAGAGGAACGGAAAGAAGTCGGTGTAAATTTTAACTTGAATGGTTACGATCAGCTACGATCGGAGGATACGACCTTTTAGTAGACATTTAGGATGTGGTGGAAATTGGGGTTGAGACTTCTTTTCAAAGGTTTTCGTCTCTTGAAGAAGAGGACAACATCTTCATGCACCTGCAGAAACACTCAAGTATCAAGGTGAGAAACCAGGGAACCACTTTTAGATGGATTCATGTGGATTTGGTCACAGAAGAGGACACAGACCAGAACGCTCTATCTAGTCCACGACAAAGGCCTCTTTACTCTCTCTCTATCTCTCCCTCTCTCTCTCTTTCTCTCTCTCTCTCCCCCTCTCTCTCTCTCGGGACGATCGGCACAAAGACGGAGCAAACAAAGCGAAAGAAACGCAGAGGGCGAGTGAGGGAGTTTGCCCAGGAGGGCGGAGAGTGAACGAGGTTAGAGCCCCCGCTTCACCTATTCACCAGTGTGTGTGTTTCAGTGTGTGTGTGTGTGTGTGTGCGTGTAGTAGGGGGTGTGTTCAAACATTCAGCCACAGGCAGCACACACTCACACACTCATTTTCCTATCTCTTGGTGTCCCTGAGTCGGTGACCAGGAAATCCACAGGGAAGAGATTAAGACTACGGGCTACAGAGCAGGATGGACTCAGGAATGTGTGTGTTTGTGTGTGTACGTGTGCGTGCGCATGTGTGAGGGTGTGTTAAGGTAGCCGGCTTCTTTATGAGTACTAGTGCGACTTTTATCAAGGACGTTATGACGCAGCAGCGACGCCGACCTTCGACTGTTTCGGATAAGAAACGTCGTAAATTAATCAGAAAACTGAAATCATCTCTGCTGAGTCACTTCCTCTGAACGCTGACAAGACGCTGGAATGACCCTGAAACACCTCGCGGCGATGATCCGACAGCGAGCGCCGACCATCTTCCTCACGGCTCAGACAGTCAAACCAGTCCCATCAGGCTGCTGGGAGCACTGGGCCACACACTGACCATCAAACAGGAAGTACAGTCAGACTGTTTCCATTGGACATTACATCAGCCCCAGCTGCAGGCAGGAAAACACACACACACACACACACACGTGACCTCCTCACACACACACACACACACATTCACAGTGTAGAGAAAAGGACACACACAGCACCTGTCAATCACGTCTTTAACGTTCACTCTGACGTCTGTGTTCGCGGTGACAGCAGACGTGTTTCTAACCTCCTCCGTCTCTCTCTCTGAATGAGTCCGACCGTTTAACAAACACTTGAACATGTCGCCGCAGAAATCACCCCGAGGAGAAGCACGAGTCTCTCTGTTTCACTCCAGCAGCAGACTGCCACTTCAAAGCGGTCTGAAAATAGCCAATAAGCAGCTTTAGATGACGCCCGGTTGACACGCCGCTGAATTATTCTCCATCAGAGTGAAAGTTATAAAAGATAAATAAGTCACAGTCCTCTGGGGTTTCCCTGACGCTCTCGCAGCGAAACCAGCTGGACAACATCGAAACCTGGCAGCACGTCAACACGCTGAGGGAATCTAAACGATCACAGAGCCGAGAGGAAACACGCCGTCTCTGCTTTTAGGACCTTTTTAGCTCCAATATGAGACAAATATGAACATTTTTAAACGCCTCAGCGAGCGTTTTTAGTAAAACTGAAACTCCTAACATCATTTACAGGAGCAGGGATTATATCAGACAGTATTTAGAGGCTTTAGTCTGGATTAACACGCAGAAAAAATCAGGAAATAAAAAGATTCACAAAGAAAAACAGTCGGGCGTGTGTGTTTTTTTCACCGTTGAGGAAAGACTGTAAAAAGGTGACTCCAGCAGTGGCGACAGGAGGATTATTGATCATCAGGGATATGATAGGTGTGAGTTAATCCACAGAACTGATCAGGTAAATTTAGTCCACTCTGAAGGGACTGTGGTGAGTGTAGGGCGGGGCGATAAAACCAAAATTTACCGATACAGAAATTTACGACAATAACCAACGTCATTTTGCCCATATCGGTATATTCGGTGTCATAAAAATCAATAAATCAAAGTTGTTTTTGGATGTGTGTAGGTAGGCTATGGTCTCATGTCCCTTTAAGACGCTGTCCTACATCAGAGACGTGACTCCACCCCATCCAGTCCGTAACAAAGAGGGAAAGACAGGTGAGGAGATGCAGGACGGAGAGAAAGTTGGAGCAGCTGGTGGAGTAGTTATCGTCCATTTATGGTTATCGAGGTGAACTTATCAATATATTGTGATATTGATTTGAGGACATATCGCCCAGCCTTAGATGAGTGTGCTGCTCGATGGGAATAAACATGAAGATTTCATCTCCTTTACTCACAGAAAACTGAGCGACACAGTGAAGAATGAAACAGACAGAACTTAAACAGCTGAAGACAAATCAGCATCTTTTTTAGTCTGTAAATTTGGTCGGCCATCTTTAAATACAGATAATCAGTCCATCCCCATCTTTACACGTACAGAGCTCAGAATAAATGAGTGTACCTCTTCAGAGTTCTACATCAGACCCTAGAACAAAATACTTCCCCAAATGTCGGCCATTGATTGTAAACAAGATTTCTTTTAAGTTGCGTACAAAAAAAGTATTTTTTTTCAATTTAAAATCAGGATGTAAAAATAAGTACACCCAAATCAAAGTTCTGGGAGGAAAGCAAAATTTTAGTTACCATATCACCCTTTAATTTTATCTTATGGTAAATAAAAATTTTTTGTTAAACTTAAAACTTTGGAAATTGTACTTTTGCTCATCTAGATATTGAGTAATAGATTACTTGACTCAAACTTGTTCATTAAATAGGAGCAGCTTTACGAGCTTCAACACCGACAAAGTGACGTGAAATTAAATCTCCTGTTTCCAAACTTCTTCCTGCAGACGACAGAGAAATAGAAATTAAACTTGTTCTGTTTCCAAATGTTTGATTCCGTCTCCCTGTTGTTGTGATTATAAATCCGGAGGAGCGGTGGGATTCAGAACTGAACTGATTGGATTCATAAACGTTCGTTAAACTGCGTCTCAAGCGTTTATCTTTTTTTCTTTCCCTGTAAAAACTTTAGAGTCGTTTCTTTCAGTCGGTGGAAGTTCTGGTGAAAAGCAGAACAGAGCTCCTCTCCTCCCTCCTCACATTATACTAAGTGCTGGGAAGATAACAACCAATGGGACTTCCAAATGCATCAACATCAAAAAGCCATTTAATCATCGCTCTGCCTCTCTCTCTCTCTCTCTCTCTCCCCGGCCTTCCTACCAAATACCATTTGAAGTCTCGGGGGAGCAGGAAACATTTAATAAAACTTCTCTAATCGAGTTCGGCGGCTGCAGAGAGCTGTGTGGCCTCGCTCACGCGGCTGCAGCTGTCTGCTCGTCGTCTCAAAGACTCGCTTCGTCAAAAGGGTTTTATTCTCTGAAGCCAAACTGCTGTTCTGAGAGCAGACCTGACAAAAATCGACCCGATTGTGCCGTTCGCTCTCTGGCTCTGAGCCCAGAAGTTCCAAAAAATGAAGTTTCAGAGACTGTAGAGAGGGATGAAGCAGCAGCAGCAGCAGAAGAGGGGTGGATGGTTAAATTGGATATTGCATTCAGGGGTAACAAAGGTGCGGTTTAAGCGAGGAGATGAAAATATATGCAGCCTGAACTGGTGCAGACTGCAGCCTGGGGCGTGTCTGCTTTAGCCATCTTAAAAAAAAAAACTAAATGTCAGCGTTTTTCTGCTGAACAAAGAGCGTTTTGGAAGAATAATCAGTGAGCCGGCGCCTCTCTTACAGCGCTCTGCAGACCCTTTAGCCTACTTTCTGAGGGTTTGTACCAACACGGGACAAAAGAGACGAGAGAGGAGAGAGTTACAATCTAACACAGGGGGGAAATTTACGAAGGGGATCAGGATCAGTTTGTTACTTTAGGGCAAAAAAGATCATCAGACGTTTCTGCAAAATGTTCTCCTCAATCCAACCTTCAGTGTTTCTCAGATGGTGGACTCGTTCTGGATGGTCTCGAACTGCTGGTCAAAAAAGTAAATATTTAATATGCATCTAAAGTTTGACATGTCTTTTATTTTGAAAAATAACTTATTTTGAAAGGCACTTGTTGTCGTGGTCCTCCTCAGTTTTTTATTAATGTGAAAATGTGATTCATAAAAATACATGTTTTTTTTTGGTCTTTATTTTGTGCGATTTGATGTTTGATATTTTTTTGATATTTTCTAAAGATTTGAGTCTTTAAAAGTTTTTTTTAATAATAATTTTATAATAATTTAAAAATATAATTATTTTCTTGGTTTGAATTTTATAAAAGTGGGTCTCGACTTAAGGACCATGGGAAAATGTGGGTTCCAGAGTGAGACCAGTTGAGAAGCACTGATTTAGGTGACTGAAGTTGATGAAGAAACACAAAAGAAAAAAGGACAGATGAGGAAAAGGATGAGAAAATTTTCTTATTTTGAGTGAGAAACAGGATTGAAGTTGTGACTCTTAACTTCACATCAGAACAAGATCAATCTGACCGTTTTAATTGAGCTGGACGTCCAAATAACGAATGAAGGAATAAAGTCTGCAGACACTCAGTGACTCTGAGATGTTCCTCAAACTCTCATGTCTGATTTAAACGTCAAAAATTCTCCATCACCATCATCTTCTCCGTCTAAATTCACCCTGACAGCTTTTCTTCAACAGGATCTACACTTGTTACAAAAATGAATCGAAGTTGTTTAAGATCAGCTCCTCCGATTAAATCTGTTTATTTTGGTTCTATGAGAGTCATCCTGGTCCTGATCCGAGTTAACAGGTCAACAGAAAAACTCATCTAGACTAAATTCATGGAGAGAGGCCTGATGAGCAGTTTGTGGTTTGATGAACTCAGATGTGATGACAGGAGGCTAGACAGGGATTATTTTTCTCAGAGTTAAAGAGAAGAACGTCTGAGGTTCTGAGAGTCCAAACCCATCAGGTCTGAATGAGTGTCTCTGCTCTTAAATCCTGAACGAGCCGCTCGTCTCTGCGTCCTCCTCAAGGACGGATGAATGGAGGGACTTTTTGTTCGCAGGGACGTCTGCGAGCGCCGTTCCCTCTCTAAAGAAGTCGTTTTTCAAAAGCTAACGCTGCGGGCTGAATGTCTGTGGGAGTTCACTCCTCATCTATAGAAAGGTTTCAGAGAGCGTGGGCAGAAAACTCCTGAGAAGAGCCGCCGATTCCTTACTTACTGTTCGTCTTTATCTCCATCTTTTACAGAAGCGATCCTTTCAGCGTCTTCAGCTCTCTCTCTCTCTCCCTCTCTCTCTCTCTCTCTCTCAGGAGTATTATCGGGTCTATGTGGCTCTGACCCTTCGCCTCCTTAATATCGGATTCCTGTAGAAATTGAAGTTGTTCCTGCGGTCGACCTCTCTGAGTGCCGTTCCGGATAACGGCGAGCTTAATGCAGAAAATACAGAGTTGAGATTCGCGCTCGACCCGGTGAAGCGGTGGAGTAATACCGTGGCGCTCTGAAAGCGTGATCCCCTGACTGCTGCGTTTGGGAGAAATGTCAGTTCAGGACCTAAGACTGCGCTGTAAAGGCCACACACACACACACACACACACACACACACACACACACACACACACACACACACAGGAACACACTTTGTCCTTTAGGGACCAACAAACACACTCAGACATCTGTTTCTTCACCGTTTTTATGTTTCTATGCTAAAAAACGTCCATATATATCTTCTCCACAGAGATTCATCCTGAGAATTAAAGGGATATTCTGGCGTAAAATTAATTTAGGGTCAAACCCGCCGTAACACCGAGTTAGACTCCCCCTCCAGAGATGAATGTTGCCGACCGCTTACTTCTCTAGTTATACCAACTTTAGTAACGACCGCAGGATAGAAATACAGAGAGACACACACTCAACCAAAATCCATTACGGACTACAGCGGGGTGCCGCAGCTCAAGGAAGAACATTTATGATCATTTCTTTATCATTTCCTTGAAGTAATAATCACCATATTAATCATTTTGCTCTGCAGACGCTGTAGTTCTTCTGCCTTAGCGTCTCAATTGGAGTGTTGACATCTGTATGTTCATAACAACAAGTCACCGATTCACTGTGAAAATGAGTCCGAATTCTTTTGCTTCGTTCCCTTTGTCCTTTGCCTCAGGTATTCAGTTATGACTAATTTCTCTTCACGTTCCGGTTGTCTCCTCACTCGTCCTGAGATAAAAAATGGCGTTTGACTTTACATAAAATCTCACGTTTGTTTACGCGAGTTTCCCCTGTAAGTTAAAGATGCTTATCTGGGCTCATTTCCCGACCAGCACGCGATAATAATAGTTACAAACTGACATACAGGATACACAACAACTCTGATTGAATTTCCATGAAGTAATAATAATAAATGTTCTTCCTTGAGCTGCGAAACTCCGCTGTAGTCTGTAATGGACTGGCCTGAGGTCTCGCTACAAACAAGCGGCTGCTGGAAGAGAGTAGGTCGGCAACATTCATCTCTGTGTTACAGTGTGTTTGACCTAGGGCTGGGTGATATGTCCTCAAATCAATATCACGATATATTGATCAGTTCACCTTGATAACGATAAATGGACGATAACTACTCCACAAGCTGCTCACCCCCTCCCACATTAACTTCGTCTACTTCAGCCGCTCCAACTTTCTCTCCGTCCTCCATCTCCTCACCTGTCTTTCCCTCTTTGTTACAGACTGGATGGGGTGGAGTCACGTCTCTGATGTAGGACAGCGTCCTAAAGGGACATGAGACCATAGTCTACCTACACACATCCAAAAACTGACTTTGATTTATTTTTTAACACCAAACTGTTGTAAATTTCGGTATCTGCAAATTTTGGTTTATCACTCAGCCCTACCTCTACCTCCCAACTTTGATTTATTTACTTTTTTGAACACCAAATATACCGATATGGGCAAAATGACGTCTGTTATTGTCGTTAATTTAGGTATCGGTAAATTTTCGGTTTATCGCCCAGCCCTACTTTGACCATAACTTAATTTTATGCTGGAATATCCCTTTAAACCTCATTTAGACTGAATGTACAGATGAGGGTTTAACCACTGACCTGTGTGATATGGATATGAATGTTTAAATTTTGTTCTAAATGACTTCGTGTTCGAGGAGAGAGTCGAACCTTCTCAGCAGATAAATGATGCAGCAGCAGCAGCAGAGTCAGACTCAGCGCCTCAGCTGAGGTTAATTTTAGAGCAGACGTCTTCATGCAGGAAACAGCCAGCTGATTTTATTTTGCAGTGTTCGGATGACGCCGATGTTACAAAATGTCAAAGTGAGTCTTCACCATCAAACCTCAGGAGAGTGTGAGACGTGCGTTCACTCTCTCCGTCAGGAAGGAGCTGGAGAACAAACCTCACGACACGGTCTTATCACTTACACAAATAAAGGTCACACTCTCCGTCGCACGTCTTCACTTCTTCACACGTTCGCTCACATTTGCAGTCACACACTCCGTCTCTCTCACACACACACACGCAGGAAATCACAGTTTTTCTTCTCACACACTCTGGTGGGAAACCAGAGGCACCACAAACAGCCATCATCGCCTCTCTGCCTCTCTGCCTGATTATTACATGTGGTTAAAGCAGCAGCCCGGCCTCCACGCTGCAACCGCAGATAGAAAAAACGGCGCCCATGCCATGAGGAACGCTTTCCTGTGGGTTGGAGGTTCAGCAGAAGGAAAACAATGAGGTGATTAATACAAAAACGGTGGATTTTATTTGTTATTGTCGGAGGAAAGCTGCCAAATAATCCTGCTCCTCATGAGACGCTGGGATGTGAACGTTTGTTTGGTCTGATGGGAATCAGGTGATTAAATATAGAAGATTCGTCATTGTTTACCACGATCGCTGAATAATTGAGCATCCAGATCGGCTCAAAACAATCCCAGATCCTCTGACAGCGCTGCAGTAAACACTCCTGAAGAAGACGACCTTCGAAATGTTCAGGTACAACAACAACAACAACAACAACAACAACAACAACACTCGCACAGATCTGTCTGATATCACTGCAGCGCTCAGGAACCGCTCCAACAATAGCTGGCTTCCTTCTGCTGTGGGCTGTAGTAACACCAACAAACGTGTGATTTAACGGCTGAGCAGCAGGTACCGACGACAACACGGTCAGCCGAGCCATGAGACACTTTCACAGAGACGCTGAGAATCAACGATGAGGAATACAGGAGGTTTATTCTCAGACTCAGAACTAGAGCTGCAGCTATCGAGTATTTTATTTCTACCGAATATTCTACCGATTACTCGAGTATTTGGACCCAAACGTCAGACTCACATTAAGTTAGATTTCCTACAGCCCCCCAATGAAGGCCAGACTCGGAGAAATAGAGAACAATCTCCAAGAACAAGTGTGTGCATTAGTGGATTGAAATGCTCGTAAGAAAGCCAATTATGATATGAACTTTCATCATGTCCTCAAAGACATTAGTGTCCAAGAGCTGAATAGCTCCGATGTGACCTCCCACTGAGGGTCTAATAGATGTCTAAATGTGGTCTAGATGACTGGTCTAGAATCAGGCTACCACAGGTCTAAAAGTGAAAGTTTTCAGACGTCTAAATTTAGACCGAGTTTAGACCAGCCAGCTCACAGAGGTCTACCAGTTTTTTGCTCAATGACTATCACAATTATTTCAGTTTAGTACTTGGAGATCAGTTATGTAACTCACAGCTGCTTTTTGGATTAAACACTTATCGAATAATGGGTTAAAGTGCAACGTCTACATTTCGTCTACAGATGTACAGAATCTAGACGGTTGAAATTAGGTCTAAAAAGTAACTAGACGTCTCAGTGACCTGCTTCTGCTACGACAGCAGCAATGTTAGGCTACAAGCTGGCGTGAAGAGAAGCGTAAAGAGAAGCGCTGTCTCCGCCCACGACTCAGAGGCTAATGAGCTACTGTAGCTCTGCAGAAGAAAACAATGTCGCCAACTCCTCAGTAAGAAAAGTCGCTAAAGTTGCTCGATTGGCAACACTGCGAGAAAAGCCCGTCTCATCATTTATTTTTTTTAAATTCCTTGATCATTATTTATAATCGAGGTATTCAAGGAATCGTTTCAGGTAGGTTTTAACTGCCAGTTTTAAAGCATCTGTACAAAAAACTAAAGAAACTAGTCGAACTGAAATTTATCACGATCATATAATCACCCAGTCCGACTCAGAACCGTGATCCGGTGTCAGCACACGATTAATCGACGCTTCAACACTCTCTCCTGTATTTAATGTGAAGGTCTGGAGAACGATGAGAGCACAGCATGATCAAGATGTTTTAATGATTCCCACTGGGGCTGCCTTAGGTCAGAGGTCAGAGGTCAGACGGAGCGGTAGGTTATTTTAGGTGACATGAGCAGGGCGGATCTCTGCAGACTCACGGAGTCTCTCTAACCGCAGAGATATTACACTCACTAGTCTCTACACTCTCTCAGGGCGACCCCACCCATTAAGCTCCCGACTATTAAATGTTATACAGGCGGATTACCACGGCAACCAGGCGGCGTGTGAAGACAATCTCAACCTCTTTCTTACACAGAGACGACCTCGCCGACCTCATCGCCGAGTAAAAGCTCTTAAACAGTCGTGAACGGCGAGGAGCGGTACTCCAGGAGAGACAGAGACGTTAAATCCACAAAAACAGAGTTTCTCAGCGCTCGCCGTGAAATCTCCGATACAGAGCTGTCAGCTGACACACACACTAACACACACAGAGCGCTCGGATTAATATGAAATTTGGTTGGCAGCCACGAGCGAGCTCATGGAGATCCAGCTGAACATCAAAATATATTCAGAGGATTTTCAGGACAGGAATGAGGAGAGCGAAAAAGAACCGGAAAACAGAGCTGATCATGAAGCACCAGCGAGGAGGAGGAGGAGGAGGAAGGAGGAAGGAGAGAGCTCTGATCGATTGACTAAACATCTGTCCTGAAAGAAGAACCTGAACACAAACAAACAAATCAGAAAAACGCCGCAGAGTTAATGAGCCGCCGTCAGCCCTGATGAGAAACACTCCGGCGTCACGTCAGCAGATATTTTCAGCATCTCACCGGGGAGGAGGAGTTAGTTTGAGCTCCCACCAAGAGACACTTCATCTGAAGAACTAAACGTGGCGAGGAGCGGCGGTCCGTGAGCGAAGACGTTACACAACAAGCTCATTCAACTTTAAGGCGAAGGTTTGAAATATTCATGTCAGGAGGTAGAGAGCGGACGTTCAGGTTCAGGTCCAAACGAGAGAAAACAGAGACAACAGAGGAGAAGAAACATCTAACAGACTTCACAGAGGGGGGGGGGGTCTGTACGACAGCTGAGCGGGGGAGCCAGACAAATACCCAGCATGCACCGGGCTTCATCTCCCCGGTATGGTTTACAGAGTCCAAACTCGCTCCTCGTCTCGTTTTAAATCCAGAGTAAGTCCTTCTAATCTCCTGATGAAACCGCCAACTTTAGAGGCGGCGGGGTCGTTTACCGCCCGCCGAGGTCGTCCTAACGAGGACGGGACCGTTAGTTTGATTGACAGGGATCCTGTTAGAGACCCCCCACTGATCAGAGTCCTTACTGAGACCACTATCAGGTCTTTTCAGTTAGTATTTTACTCTTGTTGTTTTCGCTCTAAACTCGTCTGTTTGGATGAAGAGGAGGAAGACCAGGTTTTTCACAGAGCTGGATCCTGAGCGGGTCTCGTTGTTCTGATAGTTTATAGAGTTTTTCTAAACCAGCGTTTTGTCCCGGTTGGTTCAGACGCCCCGGGGCTGTCACAGCTGATCCGAACAGTCAGAGTCATTATTTCTAAAGCTGCTGAAAAGAATCACAGTTTCCTAAAAGCCCTGGAGGAAAGTTTTCCACTAACCCGGTTTAATCCTGTTGACACACCTTTGAAAATCTGGAGTGAGCTCCGATTTGTCCGTCTGATCTTCTCATGATCGTTTTGGCCCAAAAGTTTCTAAGACGGACTAAAGACCTTAAAATATTCCAGCATGAAGTTAATCCCTGGAAAGAAATGTTTGCAAACAAATGACTGATCTGAAGGAGGGGGAGTTTGGTGATCGCTGCGCCGGCAGATATTTCCGATTTGGAGCGAAAGGTTTTATCAGGAGCTGTCTGATCAATACGGCTCATTAGAGTTGGGCGCTATGACGGTATAAAAGTAGAAATTTTGCTCTTCCGTTTAAAGATGTCTGCTGCATCGGAGCGCATATATTTGTGTGCGTTTCTGTATATTCATCAGCCTCTCGTTCGCTGCGTTTGATTGGTCAGGTTTGAGTGCGCTCCCTGTGATCACCAGTGTTTCCAGCAGACTGAAGAAACAGCTTCACTATTGGTGGTCATGGCGGACGCTGAGATTAGTGGCAGTACCGGGCAAACGGAGACAGCCTGAACCACCCAACATGAGGAAGAGGAGGAGGAACTTGTTTTGAAAAAGGGCGTGAGTTGCGACATCGATTGTCTGAAGAATCTTCGGATTTAGAAAATCCGACAGAACAAAACTACGCAGCGTGTCGTGTGGCTTTTCAAACTTTGGGGGAAGGAAGTAGGGATAGTTTTTGAAGAAAACGCTTCGTTAAATACACGTGAAAAAACACACTTTCCATTTACTAGTAATAAAATTAAAGAGGCTAATTTCAAATTTATTCACAAACTGTATTTAACACCAATGAAAACGCATAAAATCTCAAAGCATATTTCCTCAAAATGCCCTCGATGTAAGAGGGCCGATGGTTTATTTTTGCATATGTTTTGGTAATGTGATCTTCTAATAGGATTCTGGAAATCAGTTCATTCCTTCACACAATCAGTTTTGAAAATTGTAATCGATCCGATACCTAACTTGTTTAAATGACACATTGGAACTTGCAGGATACTGATTACGATCACATATTTCGCGAAGAAATGTATATTTCTACACTGGAAAGATGATTTCCCCCCAACTTTCAAGCTCTTTATGGTTCAGATATCAGCGTTTTTACACAATAGGGCTCATATCTTTCAAGATTTTTGGACTCCATTATTTAGTGATGGGGAGGGGGGGGGAACTATGTGCTTCAAAGAAAAAAAAACAGATAATTTTCATTTTTGGTTGTTAATATGAAATAAAAAAGAGTGTGGTGTGGCTGTCATTGTTGGAGGAGGAAACACCAGAAACCTCTTCCACCCCCTAAAGATGAAACACGCCGAGCTCTACTATGAGAACCAAAAGAAGCGTGACGCACCTGCTGCACCAAAAACTAAAACTGCAGCAGCTCCTCTCAGACTAAAGAGCTCGGCAGAGTCTTTCACCAAAGGTACGACATAAAAACTCATGATATAAAATTTTGTTCATACTGCCCGACACTCCTGCTCATAACACTTCAGCTGGAAACACACTTTCGTTCAGGACTCCTCATCTTGAAGACATCTGCAGTATCTCCTACAGGTGTCGTCTCGCGGCCTCTCAGCTGACCTGTGTTAATCTCCCTCTTGTTGTTGTGTGATCTCGGTAATCTCCGACAATCTTAGTCTGTAATCTTTCCAGCAGCACTTTGGCGTCACATCAAAAACAGTCCTAATGCAGCTCATTGAATACAGATCGACTTTATTGAGTCCTGGCTGGCGGACAAAACCTGTCTGCTGGGTGACATCAGAGGCGAGCGGCGAAGGTTTGCAGCATTTAAATTCATGTGCCTCCTCCTCCTCCTCTCGCAGTAATCACCTCCTCCTCCTCTCTGAATCCTCACTTCCTCCTCTCTCGCACATCCAATTACTTCTTTGGAACGACACGAGAGGCATTTTCACACCAGATAACCACAGAGCTTACGGACGTAAAAACAAACCAGCCGGAGTCGAGAAATACCAGAGAGGCCGGCTGCACCTGAACGCACCGTCAGAGTCAAACAAAACGAAGAGAAAGAAAGAAAGAGCGATGGAAACGTCTGACTCACCTGTGCGCTCGATGTAGTCCACGCACTTCTCGATGAAGAGTGGGATGGGTCGGTCCGGGGTCACCAAGTTCTGCAGGGGAACGCCAAAGTAGTTGCTCTCCCAGGTTCTCCGGGTGGGGGGGTAGAGAGGCTTGAGGGGTTTGGAGGGTTTCTGCTGTAAGAGGAGGGCGAGAGAGAGAGACGAGAACGTCAGGACCGAGACGGACGGAGCAGAAAAAAGAGAGAAAAGGCGTGATGGAGGGAGAGATTGGTCAGGAAACCGAAAATGAGAAACAGTGGGAGGGAATGAGAACGTGGAGAGAGAGGAGGGAAATAAGAAAAGGAGAGAGTGATGGAGGGGAGGTGAGAGGAGACAGCCGGAGAAATGAAGAAAAGAAAGAGAGGGAGGAGGCATATCAGAGACGAAGAAGAGGAAGAAGAGGAGGAGGAAGAGGAGGAGGAGGAGGTCAATCGGGAAATAGATCAGAAGGAATGTTAGTGGGATGAAGAGAAAGAAAGAAAGAGAGAGAGAGAGAGAGAGAGAGAGAGAGAGACGTCCATGTGGAGGAAGAGGAGAAGAAGAAGTAAGACAACAGACTCAACTGTTACACGAGACAGAGGTGGCTGTGATTTCCCACAGTCCTCTGCTCTTCAAAGGGTTGTCATGCCTACAGCGGTTGGCGCTGCTCTCTAATTGGCCGGGACACCGACTGAACACCTTCCGTTTTGTACCTGGTGGTTCACCTTAAGCTCCCCGCTCTGATTATCAAAGACGAACCCGCGGCGGCTGCCTGCAGTCGTGGCGGAGCAGCTGTTTCTACACGGATAAGACGGCGCCGCTGTCTGACAGAGAGTCGTCCTGGAAGGGCGTGTTTTACTCTCACATTATTCAGACGTTTAACTTTTTCACCTGTTCATGTTCAGATCGACCTTCACTGTCAGACTTTAAAACTGATGTGAAAAACTAAGAAAAACAAAGCGCAATTGAACCGTACATTCAATTGTTTCTTTTACTCAACCATTTAAAAATGATCAAACTTTATATTTACACAGTTATCGGAACATTTTTATGTTACATTATGTTTTGACTTGAATACGAGGCAATGATGTACTACTAGGGCTGGGCAATATGTCCTCAAATCAATATCACGATATATTGATCAGTTCACCTTGATAATGATAAATGAACGATAACTACTCCACAAGCTGTCTCTGACGTAAAAACAACTTTGATTTATTTATTTTTTTGACACTGAATATACCGAAGATAATAACATTGGTTATTGTCATAAATTTCATTATCGGTAAATTTTCGGTTTATCGCCCAGCTCTAGGATCTGATATTAAAACATCTGGTTTGGTGTGCCGATGGAAACTTACCCCTTTGCCTCTGTCGTCAACGTGAATGTGACAGAACTTCACGTCAAGGGGTCGTCAGAGTTCAGACCAATCAGAATCAAGTATCGAACATCGGCTTGTGATTCGCTGTAAGGCTGGGTGATGACATCATGACACACAGGACACTTTTCTGCGCATTTTTCGAGGATAGTACTAGTGATGCTCCGATCAGATATTTGGATCCAATATCAGCTCCGATATTGACAAATTAACTCGATCAGATATCTGATGAATGACGCCGATCCAGTCTCTTTATACCGATATGAGCAAAATGACGTTGGTTATTGTCGTTAATTTTGGTATTGGTAAATTTGGGGTTTATCACCCACCCCTATGATTACAGCTTTAAATTTAGAAATATTTGCATTTTAATTGACATTTTATTTACTACACACCCTATGGTATTAGTAAGTGTAAAAGGTAAAATACGGAATTCTCAAAAATTATAACGGAATTTGGAGAAAAATAAAACAGATATCATACGGCCCTACATGTTAAAATCTTATTCTGAATGTACCTCTAAGTGTGTTTCTGTGTGTCATGATTCCTAATCTGTAACCTTCAGCTGCAGAGCCTCTGATTTATACCCCCCCCCACTCTGCATTTATACTTTGTCTCCAGGAAAGTGCGAGCTTGATTTCCCAGCGCTCACGCTCTCTGTATTTGTCTTCGCGTTTCTCTGAGAGCTGCTGAATCGTGTGAAGAGCTCCTCTGTATATTCATGATGTTTGAGACCAGCCTTGAAGGAGCTGTTATCAAAGACGAGCGGGGACGTTCGCTCTTCATGAAGACAGAGCCTCAGTGTCTCTAACAGAGCATCTTATTGATCGTTTTCAGCCCCAAAGGTGGGAAAAGCTCATGAACTATTGGAACGATCGATCAGGGATGAGATTTCTGAGTCCCAAACTATCAAAGAAGAAATCATATCAAACTCTTCTCATCTGTTTTCATACTCTGGTGTTCTCTCACTGCTCACACTTCATCCACCTCACCTGCTCATAAAAGTGCTCTCGACTCACCTTCTTGGGTTCCTTTGGCGTCTTGGGCGTCTTCTTCTTCTTCATCTTCTTGTCCTCCTGCTCCGGGTCGGATGTGATGGCGGGGTTATCTATCCCGCCCTTCCAGGGGTCAGCAGGAGACAGCAGTGGGTCCTCCTCGCTGCCCCGGTGGGCTCTTCCCTTTTTCTTCTTCTGCGTGGCGGGGCCGGACTCCTCCCCGTCGCTGTCCGAGTGGAACCGTCTTTGGTAAGCCTTGGTCTTGCTGAACAGGATCTTAGAGCGATGTTTGTACTTGGATGGCCGCCGTCCCATCTGAGACTTCCTGTCGTAGCCGTTCTCTTCCTCTCCGCCGCCGTGGAGGCTGTGTAACCCTCCGAAGGAGTTTCTGATCTTGACCAGGCGGCTGTGCGCGTCGTCGGGCACGGCGTAGATGTCGTCGTTGTGAAAGCCCCTGGACCTCAGCAGGGTGTCCACCGGGTCTGCATAGTTATCCGAAGCCTCCACGTCCTCAGAGTGCGTCATCGGGCCTCTGGGCATCCTGCGGTTGCTCCGCATGCCGGCCTCGATGGTTTTGAGCAGGTTGGGGTCCAGCTTCTTGACGTTGGGTTTGGGTAGCGCTGGTTTGGGACGAACGGGTGGAGGCACTTTGTGGTTTCTCTCGTGGTCTCCGACAGGTGTGCTGTGAACCGGGTATTCGTTGCCCTCTAGGTCGATTCGGTACTTGGCGCGCTCGCTGGGCGTGGGGAGGAGCTGAACGTCATCTCCTATTGGACTGTAGGGCGGGGGGGCCTCGTTGTCGTCGTCAGATTCGGGGTAGTAGGTGTTGTAGGCCGGGGAGTGGCTGTGCGGCGACGTGGGGAAGACGTCTTCGCTGGCGCCGGTGGTGCACTCCCGTGACGAGCTGTCGAACAGGAAGGAACTCTCGATGCTCGGCTTCTTCTCCAGGACCTCGTTGAAGAAAGGCGTGAAAACCTCCGTCTGTCGATGATACTGCGACAGCGAGTAGAGCGCCGTAAACTTCGCGGCGATCTCTGTGGCGATGTGCTCCCCCTCCGTCATTAACTCCTTGATGGCGTCGTTCTCAAAAAAGTCCGCCTGGCTGTCCGTGATCGCGACCATCTGCACTGGGATCACGTCCTGGACTTCAGCCAGGAACGCCCGCAGGGTCGCCATCGAGGCCTTGCGTTTGGCGGAGTACACCAAGATGTAGCCGTGCACCAGCTCGTCTTTTCGAACCCCGATGGCGGAGTGGTAGGAGAGGACGGTGACCTGGATCCTCCTCCTGCTGTCCCCGATGATCTTATCCAGTATCAGGGTGTTGCTCTGACCCGGCTGCCCCGCGCTACAGCAGTGCGAGTCGAGGAACGGCGAGAGGATGAGGTCCACGCTGAACGGATCCCAGCACATGGCGCACATGACTATCCTCAGGTCGGTCTCTGACATGTCTTTGATACAGGGCAGCGGCGCCAGAACGTCAAAGTTATGCTTCAGCCCCTCCAGCACCGCTCGGAGACCCTGCTTGATCTGAAACTCGGTGAATTTACGCGGAAAAGCTCCAGACGGGATGTCGACGAAGGTGCACTGCAGCTTGTTTGCCAGCTGTTGGCCCTGGTGCCTCAGTATGGGAATGTTTTTGCAAACGCTGTCCCTCTGATTGGCCAGGATGAGAATGAACGGTAGCGGTTGAGCGAATCTATCTCTCCTGCTCTGCGCTATCTCCGCTCTGATCCTGCCTATGCAGTCCCCGATGCAGTTGAGGGACTCGATGGAGTTGAAGACGCAGAAGCAGCCGTGCGGCTTGAAGGTGTTGACCCACGTGTGGCTGAAGAGGAGCGTGGAGTTGACGTCCACGGGGAGAAGCTCTAATTCGTAGATTTTACCGTCGAGGGTGTACTCGTCGTCTGTGGACTGTGCTCGGATCTCGTTGGCGAGTTCCTGTGAGAGACCCTCCCTTCCTAAGAGACAGAGGTTGATCTTATCGATGTTGGCACTGTTATAATAGAGATTAGAGCGTCCGTGGTCCAGCTGCACCAGCCTGTTGGCTAAAACCTGCTCCACTTTCAGATCCACACAGTTCTGCCCGCTCAGGCATGTCTCTTTTGTGGGGTGGTAAACAAACCCGATGTGTTTGAGGAGGAGCGACTCTCTATCTGGGGCGAGTTTCTGCAGCGCTCTGTATCTGGGCTCCTCGTTCAGCACGCTGTGAATCTCGCTCATCTTGTCGCAGCTGGGGGTGGCGTTCAGGTCCAAGTCATAGAAAAGCTCGGCGTGCTCAAAAAGCATTTCCTGAAAATCCTCTTTGGCCCTTTCAACTATTTCCTGCTGGTGTCTACAGTAAACATCCCTCCTATCTGATTCTGTGATGTACTTGTACGCCTCGTCCTCCATGACGAAGCACATGACCTCCTCCCACGGCTGCCCCGGACTGATGAAATGAACCCTCTCCAGCGTCTTCTTGAACCTCTCTTTCATCTCCACCCGTCTTTTCTCGGACAGCAGGTGCTGGACGTGGTTGTGGTAGATTCTCTCGCCCTCAGGCGTATCCAGGAGGTCGAAGGGTATCCTGCGGTCGCTGTTGTCGATGTGGTCGGTCTCATCCCAGGGCGTTTGCTCCAGGATGACAAACCAGTACTGGAAATCAGGCCGGTTGCGTATGACGCTCTGCGCCTCGGGCCATGTGAGGGACTCGACCTCCTCCAGGTTGTTGAGGAGGTTGTTGAGGGTTTTGGGGAGCGTGGTCAGGTACTCCTCCCGTCTCCTCTTGATGTGCTCCTGCTTCAGCTGACTGATGTGCTTCGTGAACATGTTGCGTGCTTTCCTGGAGCCCTCCAAGGTGATGAACTCGTCGTACTCCGGTTGGCCTCTCATGTTGTTGGTCACAGTTTTCCACGTGGTGTGGTAATCTCTCACCGAGTGGACCATGAGTTTTTCAAACCTGTCCGACACCGAGGCCACCAGCTGCCGTTGGACCTTGTAGGCCTCCAGGTACGGCACAGTTTTGGGTTTGCCCCGGGTCTTGTCCAGCTGCTGGATGAGGGCGTTGAAGCAGAGCTCCGTGTTGACGTTGGAGCGCGACGACGTCTCGATTAGCATCAGGTTTTTCTTGCTGGCGACAAAAGCCTGCAGGTCCCTCAGGTGCTGCTCCACGCACTCGTCACATTTAGTGGCGGCGACGACGATCGGCTTCTTCGTCTTGACGATTTGGGAGTAGAGGCTGTTGATGAACTTCATCTGGTCGTCGAACTTCCTGTTGCAACCTTTGCTGACGTCTATGCAGAGCACGAAGCCGTCGATGTTCAGCTTCCCATCGGGCATCTGTTTCTGGTCAAAGTCCTGCTCCAGTCCCAGCTGATCCGTGCAGATGTACATCAGCTTCTCTGCGGACTGGAGCTTCGTCGCCGCCGCCCTTTTAGTGTACGGCTGCAAGTTCGTACTCCGATGCGGAAGAAACGTCTGATCGTCGATGAACTCCGTCTGTTCGATAACTTGGATTTTATACTCCAACCCCTCGTCTCCTCGGTGGGACACTTCCCCCCAGTACAGGAAGTGGTCATTGTTAACCACGCGGCCCCCAAAGTCTATTGTGCTCAGCACTGAGGTGTGCTCTGAGTAGTAGCTGTCCGCATCAGGACGCACGTATCTGTTGCAGAGGCAGGACTTGCCCACGCCGCAGTTTCCCTTCTCTTTCTCCGTCCCCGAGAGGCCGACCACACTGACAGCGAATGTCGGGGGGCGTGCATCCTTGTTTTTGGCCATTATATCCCCCCTCTCATCGCTAACTCGGTCACTTCCAGGAAAAAAGGTCAGGAGATCATTCCAGTTCTGCGTGCCAGTGGGACAGAGGCACTTTCATTCTGGTTTCCTCTCGGTAGCGACGCGTCTCCTTCACTTCCTATCCTCCTCTTCTTCGTCGAGCTGGGATAGAACAGCCGGCTCCTCCTTTTATCACCTACCTGCAAGACACAGAGTTCACAGTTAGGAGCGACAGATACAGAAACACATGAGCATCGACGTGTCCTCTGATCACAAGTGACACGATTGTTGTTTAGTTCCTGCGGGGCACGAGTGTTTGTGAGGAACAGCGAGGGGTTTCTCAACAACAAATCAAACGCTGACTTTTCAGGGACGCATTATCACAGCTGCGCAGGATGAAACCATCAAACACTGACGGCATTTTAATCTGACTTTCATTAATTAGGAATAAAACCTGCTGCTTTTAAAATGTCCTCAAAATGTGATCCGTTTTGTTTGTTTCTTTAAAGTCTGAAAGTCCGACATTATATCAGAGAAAGGCAGAGTCGTTCAGTCGCGGCGCTCGCTCGGCAATGTCACTTTTCCCCTCGCAGAGAAAAAGAAGAAGAGCTTTCAACCAATTTGTGCCGAGGCAGGATAAAAATGGCATGCAACTCCAGCCCTTTGACAGCCACTGACCTAGAAATGATTTGCTTCGCTGTGAGAATAAAACAGAGAAAATAAATCAGTTCACAGATTTGTTATCCTCGTTGGCACATCCTAGAGCGACATGATTAGGTTCTCGACGTGTAATCCTGATTATTTTGCCTTTCTGGTCGTATATTTGCCTGGTTTTCTGCTCACGATGTCGTCCGCTTTAAACCGTTCGGGGCTGAGAGTAAAATGTGTGAAAATAAATGAAGCAAATGCGTGTTATTGACTCTGCCGCTCTGTATCATCTGGTAACACTACAGTCAAATCAGCATGAACCCTTTCATGACTTAACTCCGGGCTGATGGCCGCCCAGAGAATTGCGGTCATTGTTGTGTTTTACAGAGCGATGGCAATCAGCCAGTGAATTTGCCTGCGTGAGCTGGAACGGCGAGCTGCAGCACGGAGGCACGCTGAGCCTGAGAAACTGCACCAGAGGAGGAATTCGGTCCGCCGAGACAGATCCGTGAGGTTCCCCCCCTTCACTGTTTATAGAGGCCAAGGTGGTGATGTCACCTGAGGGGCGGGATTTAGCCGAGAAAGAAATGTCTGTGAGTGCAGCGAGTTTAAGGAGCAGACAGAGAGCGTGGTCGTTATCCCGCCGTAAAGACAAAACACAGACGGTTCTCCTTAAGTCCAATCATAATAAAAGTCTACGTCGAGGTGTTTTCACTCACAGGCCTCACAGGTTTGGAGCAGGAACATGTTTCACAAAACTTCCGAAAGCTCAAACATACGGACGACAAGTTCTGTTGAAGTGCGATCATTTCTACATCCAGCCTCCATCTGCTCGCTAAACGCCAGGAAAGAGTCGATTTCACAAAACTAGCTGGACTTCAGCCACAGAGCACAAGAAACTCATTATGAGCGGGATTGTGAAGAGCTCTCCCGAGAACATTCCAGCTATAAAAACTTTATTTTTACATTCTGGAGAATTCTCTTTCTCTCTTTTTTTAATTTGATCTTTTGTCCTCTTGGTGTTTTTTCTTTTAACCTCTTTATTCATCTAAATTCTTCCACAAACCACCGGAGATTTTTCAAAGTAGCTTTTAACAATAGAGTTTATTCCTAGATTTATATGAAGCTGCAGGAATCGATCTATTCTGTGCAAAAGAGAAAAATCCAACAGGAAGAATTACTGCTGAGAGAGAAACCTGGATATTAACTCAGCGGATCCTGATCACTGAACTCTGAAACAATAAAGTAATATCCATATTAAACAGACACGTATACATCTGTAATCAGACAGTGATAACCCTGTTTCTGGCAGCTGTCTCCGCAGCTCAGCGCCCATCGATAAATGCCAGTCTGAACAACAACAACAACAGCCTCCAGGTCTCTCAGGTACGTCAGCCTTTATCAGAACAAAGTGACAGCAGAGGGAAGTGTTTGGAAAAGCTGTGACATTTAACACTGTTGTTATAAACACAAACACCCGGGTCTTAAAGATGAACCAACAGCTCTGGATGGAAGACTAGAATCTGATAAGGCTGGGCGATATGTCCTCAAATCAATATCACGATATACATTAACTTCGTCTACTTCAGCCGCTCCAACTTTCTCTCCGTTCTCCATCTCCTCACCCGTCTTTCCCTCCTTGTTACAGACTGGATGGGGTGGAGTCACATCTCTGACGTAGGACAGCGTCTTAAAGGGACATGAGACCATAGCCTACCTACACACATCCAAAACCAACTCTGGAATATACCGATATGGGCAAAATGGCGTCAGCTATTGTTGTAAATTTTCGGTTTATCGCCCAGCCCTAAAATCTAAAAGTCAGACATCCGGTCTGGTGTGCTGACAGAAACTAGCGCCTTTGCTTCTGACGTCAAGATAAAAATGTAAAATGTGATGGAACTACACGTCAAGGGGTCGTCAAAGGGTTCAGACCAATCAGAATCAGGTATTTAACACAGGCGTGCGATTCTCTGGAAAGCTGGATGATGAAATTATGACACACGGGCCACTTCTTCAGGATAGTACACCTTTGGAAATAGGGATGGGAATCGAGAACCAGCTCCAAATGGTTCAATCAATCATTTACATTTTATCTTATCAATCCCCTAAACGATTCCTTTCTTCCAGGTGACTTGAAAAGTGGTTTCGCAAGTGCCAGTCTACGCAAACGAGAACAGAGACAGAGGAAAAAAACATGGCGGACGGTATGAAAGCAGGCAGGAACGATCTACAGTGTGGCTTCATTTTACTAAGAGAGACGACAACAACGCAACGTTTGTTGAGCAGTGATAACATGCAAAGGTGGAAACACCAGCAACATGCTTTAACAATTGTCAACAGGGACACAGCATCAAATACTTTATTTTTCTGTTATCAGAGACTCAATAAAATTTTGAGTTAATGATGAAAACCTATCGTCTACCTTTGTTTTGTAAATCAAAGAAAGGCATTGATAAGGGAATTGTTAAATAACTGAATCGATAAGCAGAGTCAATAATGGCATCAATATCGGTAAAATCTTATCAATCCCATCCCTATTTCAGAAACAGGGTAAATACAGCTACTTCAAAAAGTCACTAAAACATGTGATAATAACTGTGATGTAAACAAACATTATTAAAGGTGAATAAATCCTCCTGTCGATGTTCATAGTCAGTCCATTTCCTCTGTTTTTCGGAGCGTTCCTGGGACCACATAAACCCGACATTATTCAGAGTCTAAACTCTCCGTCAGCTCCCTCTCTGCATTTTAAAGAAACCCATTAGCAAACAGTAAGCAGGGTCCGGGTTAATTGCAGAGCTGCTGCTAGCTATAAACCAAATAATTAGCATGATAATGAATTTCTTTTGCCAAATAAAGAGCTTAGTCGGGATAAGAGTAAAAATGTGGAATATGTCGAGCATGTAAACAATAAACTTCAGTTCGACTTCTCAGGATCGACTTTCCTCTGCAGTGACTCGGGGACAGCAGCCAGATTTTCGAGTTCTGCTGGTCTGGATTTCTGCTGACTCAAACAGGGACCGGGGTGTCTCCTGAAGTTCACTCACAGACTCAAAGGAAGATCTGCGGTGTGTGTTTGAACCGTTATGTCCTGAAGACACGCTGAAATATTCAGAGAAACACAGATGTAGATCAGATCTTGATGGAGTTAAAGATCCGACGTTTCCGCTCTTGTTTACAAACACGGAGGAGCAGAAATCACCGGGACAGACCAGGATAAACCTGTCGTCTGATGTGGAGCGCCGACTCGGAGCTCCTCGTCCCTCAAACACGCCCAGGACCATTAAAGATGACGTCAGAGAGCAAACGCACCAGCAGGTCTGTCAGGTTTACAACCCTAACCCCTCACAATGGCCTGAGCGCCGCGTACCTGTGCCACACCTGAGCGCAGAGAGCGGTTTCATTTCATCCATGTGCAGACTGTGTACACTCAGAGGAGGTACCAGAGCAAACAGGGCGTTCATGCCTCAATGACAAAACAAACAACTCTGTCAGCCGCTGACCTGTGACACACCCACTCAGAGCTCAGGAGAGGCGTTGGCGAGGAGGAGGAGGACCTCCAGATCTGTCCTCAGAGAGACATCACTCACTGTTATTAACCGCCATACTCCGCATAGTTTCAAGTTACGAGGGGAAAAACACTCATTCCCACGGTGAGCTGAGGCAAAACCGAAATTCAAAAGTCTTGAATGAAACTAATCCAACAAAACCAGTAAAAAAGTCGAAGTCCTGAGTGACGAGAACTGGGAAAAACCTGAACACAGCGCTGGAGAAGAGAGTCACGAACACAAACCAGCTTATCTGAATGACTTTGAGTACTACAAATAAAGATACGATGACCTCCGATTTCCACAGCATCCTGATCGTCTCCTAAAAGGTCGTATCCTCCGATTGTAGCTGATCGTAACCATTCAAGTTAACGCCTCAGTTTCCACCGACTTCTTTCCGTTCCTCTGCGGATCGCCGGACTCCTCAGCTGATCACAAGAGTTCGATTTTTTCCGGACGTCGGGCACAGACACAAAATAATGTGGTGGATGTGGTGAAAATTGAGGGTTAGGAGGTTTTTCCTAATATAAAGGTGCAGTTCAAACTTCTATTTATAAATAATTAGTCAACTAAGTCTCGATGATTGCAGCTCACAGCTCTCAAAAATCCCAAATCCACAATTTGACGGTCTCTGATGGTTTGGGGGTCCCATGTCAACTGCTGCTCCTGGTCTACTGTGTTTTATCAAGTCCAGAATCAGCAGAGCCTCAAGTCTACCAGGAGGTTTTTGAGACCTTCCTGCTTCATCTGCTGAGGAATCGATGGAGATGCAGATTTACTTCTCTGCCCACGGCGCCAAAACTACCACAAACTGGTTTGCTGAGCGTGATGTTACTGTACTTCATTGGTCTGATTAAAATAGAAATAGAAACACTAAAGCAACAATACAGACGAGCTGCAGGAGCTACAAGAGAGATCTGAACTCCTCTGCAGGTCAGGACTAAAAGTTCAGAGTGTTCGCCGGGTCCGAAGTTAACTTTATGACTCATCCGCCAAGATGGAGGACGATCGGTTCAGCAGCCAATCAAATCCTCCCTCAGCCAAAAACACGGATGAGTTTTTGTGCTGCAGAGACGTTTTTTAAGTTCCTTTATTTTAGATAATGACACGTTATAAACAAACCGAACGAGAAAAAAACTCAAATTACTGTTTTCACCGAACACAAACAAACACAGTCTGAGAGGAGTCACGGCGAGGGGGGCGGCGGTGCATTTGTTTCTGTCAGCCCACAGCTGCAAAGGTGTCGGGGTCAAATGTGGTCAAACTCCAAACTTCTCTGAGAGCAAACATTCAGAACAGAGCCTCAGAGATTTACCAACAGAACTAAAATATACTCCTACACTTCACATTTGACAGACATGACAGTCCCTCTGCTCCTCTGCGACAAACCCAAGTTTAGAGACACTTCTGTATCTTCATGAGGACAAATATGAGACTTAAACCAAGATGTTATCTGACCCGTGGATCTGAATCCACCAGAAAACATGCAGAGTAAGGCCGCAGACAGAGAGGAAGCACTGATAACACATCAACAACAACAACCAGAGCACTGTTAGAGACTGATGTTTATCTGACTGACCTATCTTTATCTTCATCACAGAGAAGTTTCTAACCAGACAGAACCAGAATCAAACGGACTGATTTTAACGGGATCTAACAGGACAGAGAGTGAAGTGAGGGAGGATTTTAAGATACATTTTTAAAAGGACGTTAAAGGGATATTCCGGCGTAAATTTAATTTAGGGTCAAACACACCGTAACACCGAGTTAGACCCCCCCCCTCCAGAGATGAATGTTGCCGACCGCTTGTTTCTCTAGTTATACCAACTTTAGTAACGACCATAGGATAGAAATACAGAGAGACACGCCCTCAACCAAAGCGCCACTCTATAGCCACAAATAATGCTCAGAACAGCACCTAACTTCATCAACAGGACATATAGGGTCACAGACATAGTACTATATTCAGAGTTGTTCTAACTCCTAAGAAAACAAACTCAAGCGGGGGCGTTTCTCCACTTCTGTAGTCTATAAGCTGGGCCAATTAACTTCTACTGTAGTTAAAATGAAAAGGTAAAGGTGTTTTTATTGAGCCGAATTATCAATAAAATCATGATTTTGTTAACAGGTATGGATTTATGTGCTGTAGAGTTAATATATTTGAACAAGAGCACAGTAAAGTTTAATCAGCTAATTTTCCAATGAGGTTCTGTTACTGAACAGAACTACACTATTTCAACTCAGGTTAGTACATATAGGGTCACAGACATAGTACTAGACACCAAGAACTTTTTAACTTTGACTCATTTCTTTAGCAAAGAGACTAAACACAACTCACCTACTCTCTTCCAGCAGCCGCTTGTTTGTAGAGAGACCTCAGGCCAGTCCATTACAGACTACAACGGGGTGCCGCAGCTCAAGGAAGAACATTTATGATCATTTCTTTATCATTTCCTTTAAGTAATAATCACCATATTAATCATTTTGCTCTGCAGACGCTGTAGTTCTTCTGCCTTAGTGTCTCGGTCTGATTGTATTTCCATGAAGAAATGATCATAAATGTTCTTCCTTGAGCTGCGGAACTCCCCTGTAGTCGATGGACAAACAAGCGTCTGCGTGGCTCTCTGTATTGCTATCCTGCGGTCGTTACTAAAGTTGGTATAACTAGAGAAGCAAGCGGTCGACAACATTCATCTCTCGACGGGGATGTCTAACTTAAATATCCCTTTAAAGCAAAAAAAACATGATTATTACACCTTCAAAAATTTAGCTGTTCTTCAGAGTTCTACCACCTTTAACTTAAACATCATTACTCTTCTCTTCCCCATCTCTCCCCACTCCCTCCCTCTTGGCTGAAAGAGCTCGATGACCCGACAGAAACTTCTTTGGAAGCAGAGTTGAGACGGAGATAGGAAAATCGATAAACAAATACTCTGACAGCTGGCTGTATCAACATTTCTACCGTCATCTATCCACTTCATGTGAGCCAACATGAGGTTTTCAATCTCTACCTTTAAATATTTTATTAAAACTGTAGAAAAAAAAGACTAAAAACAGTGAGTGTAATCTCTTAATTCTGTTTCATGACTTCCTGATAAACAGCCGCAGCTCCACGTCTCTCCTCTGATCGTCATCCATCCTCAGCGTCTAAGAAGATCACTCCCTAAATCCTGAACATCTGTCTCATGTTCCTCTGAGTTCACATCAACGTCTACATTCCTGTCATCACATGGACTCCACAGAAGACTCATTACTCATGTGAACATACAGAGACTTGTATCTTCAGCTCGCCGTTCACACCTGTGAGGGTCCCGTCGCTGCAGACGGCTAACACTGCAGCCTAAGCTCCATTTGTGCTGCACTAATAGCTAAAAGTAGCCTTGTGCATCATGATAAGTCTATTCAGCGAGAGGCTGCAGGGGGGATTAAGGTATCACTTGGCAAGCTGGTTTTAGAGATGACTAAATGCTGTTAAGCCCTGAAACACAGCAGAACACGCCGCCAAGGATGGAAGACCTTTTCAGGCTGTACATCACTGAGTTTGGAGGTAAAAATAAACTTCTTTTCTTCTCCACAAATCACAAAGCAGAGGAGAACGGCCCATCGAGTGTAAATGAGGCGCCACAGGCTCATTATTTTCCCCCCCGAATGAAAAATCTGATCTGGAGAACAGACGGCTCTCCTCCCACAGGAAGAGATGAATCAAAACCTGTGAGCCAAATCCAAACGGTCTTCTGTTCAGCCTTCGGCCGCCGAGAAATGGACTCTCCAAACATATCACATCTTCTTTTCATCTCTCCTCTCAGTGTTAATGAAGGAGGAGCGGCCCGGTCTGTGGAAGTTCACTTCACAGGAAGTCACTTTTAAACACGACCTGTAGCTGCTCAGGTACAGAACGGAGAGTGTGAGCGACAGAGAGAGAGAGAAAGAGAGAGAGAGAGCTTCATAACTGAGAAGTGATTAAAAAACATCCTCTAAAAGGTGAACGACAAAGCGAACAACGACGACAACACGAGTTCATGAACTCGGTCTGGACTGTGTGACAGTGTGGGAACCAAGAGACACCAGTCCTCCTCATCACCCCGTCTGGATCATGTGACCTCTCTGTGACTCTGATTGGGTGAAGAGTGACAAGAAGGAGGCGGGGCTTGAGGATGAATATCTTTTAACTCTCTGCAACCAAAAATGAGAAACACTCTAGAGGAGAGCAGGGAGAGAGAACGAGGACCTGTGTGTTCATGTGTGTCTGAAAAGTCAAGGGACAGGATAGGGCTGGATGATATGGCCTCAAATCAATATCACGATACATTGATCAGTTCACCTCGATAACGATAAATGAACGATAACTACTCCACAAGCTGCTCACCCCCTCCAACATTAACTTCGTCTACTTCAGCCGCTCCAACTTTCTCTCCGTCCTCCATCTCCTCACCTGTCTTTCCCTCTTTGTTACAGACTGGATGGGGTGGAGTCACGTCTCTGATGTAGGACAGCGTCTTAAAGGGACATGAGACCATAGCCTACCTACACACATCAAAAACAACTTTGATTTAGTTATTTTTTTGACAATGAATTGGGCAAAATGTTGTAAATTTCCGTATCAGTAAATTTTTGGTTTATCGCCCAGCCCTAGGACAGAATGAGCCCAATGACTTCTGGGCTGAAAAGGGAGAGATCATAATAATCCTAGTAGATTCTTGAGGTTATAGAGGAGGTTATATTAAGGTTATATTAAACAGGTGGTCTGGCAGCATAAAGAGTAAAGTCTTCTAATAAAAACAAGAAGATGAAACAAAAATAAGACATGTCAACTCTTTAAGATCATGTCAACAGCCACACCTCTGCACAAATGTTCACTCTGTTTGCTGGATTAAGTTTGTTTGCTGCTCGAGTCACATTTCTGATGTGAGTCTGAATCAAACAGCTGACTGCTCTAATTCACAGGTCTGAGATTACTAACGTTTCATTGTGAGACCTTTATTATCCATATTGTTTTTGTTTTCCATCTCAACCTCAGACTACAGAGCTCCACAGTATCAAACTGAGGTGTACCAGTCTGTTAAAACTCCTGCTTTACAGTTTATTCTGCTCGTAAACTCGTCAGGACTTTGCAGATGTTATGATTTGCATAGTCAGGTTATTTCATCATCGTCGTCGTCGTCCTCAGACATGTATGTAACTGTCAGTTCTGTGTTATTCCTCTGTTTTATTTTGGTGCATTTACAGCCTTATGTAACCTCAGGTGGTTTCAGCAGTAAAAACAAACTCTGACACTCTTCTCTACGTTCAAGTCCAGACCTGAAGATGAGAGTCTGTCTTCTCACTCTCACCCCCCACCCCTCCAGAGGTGTTGATGATGGAAGAACTTCAGTTCATCAGCCGACTCTCACAATAAACCAGACCATCACTCAGAACAGAGCCGGTCGCACCGATGACCTGTAGGTGGCTGTTTTAGCGAACGCTGATATTGGATGTTTCCCACCTGATTTACATCTGTCAATACTCATATACATCTCTGAGGTCGTCTTAGAGGAGATGCAGCAGGAGATCACCTCACCTTTTCTGATAACATACAAACAACACATGACAGATCTCAATCAGTCCGTTTACATGACACTCGAGGAAACCGAATTATCGCCTTATTCCGATTAAGACCGGACAACTGAAGTTCATGTAAACACCTTAATCCGACTATAATCAGAGTTTGAGAACTCCGATTAAGACACCCAGATGATGTGATTGGAATTCGATTTTCTTTACCATGTAACCAGCGTAGTCGGAGTATGATCGGACAATGCATGAACTCTTGTGATCAGCTGTGGAACTGAAAGAAGTCGGTGGAAATTGACACGTTAACTAGAATGGTTACGATCAGCTACGATCGGAGGATAGGACCTTTTCGTAGACGTTCCAGATGCGGTGGGAATTGGGGGTCAGTCTGACTACAATACAACTACAATAACAAAACACGATAACATGTTAATCTGACTGAAACCACACATCGTCCGATTCTAAGAGTCAGACTAACATGCCTACACAACACAGCAGAAACCTGATCTTCCTTCACAGCATCCTCAGTTTGTACACCGGGCTCTGACCCGGACCACAAGTCTGAGAGGTACCAGTCACCTCACAAGGACCACAATAAAACCATCCATACTGACACTAGACCAGTCTGCCTTTCCCTCATTTGTTTGCTGCTTGTTCTGGTTTGTGACTCAATAAGTCCACAGAGAGATGGTCCAATAGTTACAAACTGAAACTGAGAGGTCATCTCTCCGCCTACTGAAGCAGAGGCTGACATACTTTCATCAAGTAATGATTCACGCCCAGTTTGGTATACTGGGACAGGAGCAGAGTTCCAGTTAAACTGTGTAGCTCTGCTGTAACAGTGGCTTCATTAAATGATTATTATGATTATTTCAAAGAGTCTAAAGTAGTACGACGCCCATTTAAAGCCTCCATGAGGACATTTGACGTCAATAAACTAGACTCAGACTCATATAGATGCCTTTACATGGCGTCTTAAAGCAAACAAGACCATCTGCACCTGGAGTCCAGTCGGTGATGTTAATGCATCAAGGGATTAAGGGCGAACCATGAGGGTGTCTGTGGAGTTAAAAGCCGGACTGTCCCTTTAACACAGTTTAGATAAAGGGCAAAGGGAGCAGCAGCAGTCTGAGTCCATGTAAACGGCACACAGAGCTGCAGCAGGACAAACCCACAGCCTGATAGAAACACAATTAAAAAGTTAATTTGCTGTTAATGAGAAGTGTGGACGAAACTTTTAATTACAGCTTTGATGTTTGAGGGAGAGAGAGCTGAAAATATGGAAAACTGCTCAGAGATCTGACCCTGCATCCATCCTCAATGTTACTGTGAGAGATTAGCAGGACATCCGTGTCTCTAACAGACCACACAGAGGGGAGAGCGGGGTAAGTTGACCATAGGAGACCACTTTTTTTAAACATGCTATATTATCAAGATGACAGTTCTGTTTACACTCGTTCTGTTGGTTTGCAGGGATGAACAACATCCTGAAATATCTGCAGATACACGAGTTAGAGATTAAACTAGGATTGAGTTGGAGCACAGAGTTCGAACCCGACATGGTGGAGCAGCATTTAGCTGTTATTCTATTTCAAAACTGGAACAAACAACTGAAATCAGCCCCAACTGTGAGTGCTTTTAAATCAAGGTTAAAACATTTTTCTTTTCATGTGGCTGAGCTCTTTTTAATAATCTTAAACTTTATCTATCGCTCCTTCTTTTAACTGTGTTTCTGTTTGTTTTTATGCTGCTCTTTAAAATAAATCTTTTGCTGCCTTGGCATAAAATGCGCTATATAAATAAAGATGCCTTGCCTTGATGAAGTGATCCGAAATATAAAAAATGGATCATCTTATTCCGCTCTCCCCTTACTTTTACAGGGTCTGAGAGAATATAATCAAACCCAGAGGATGGTGTTAGTACAGGCTGAACCCTCTGAACTCGTTCATAAAGGTGTGAGATTTAGTTTTCTATTCAAAGTATCTAAAGATTATCAATCAATCAGTCTTTATGTATAATTAAAAGTGCTTTACACAGAAAACGGAATAAAAGAAACAAAAAATACCCAAATCTTCCCCAGTCCAACCCCTCATTCCCACCCCACGATCTAAACACAACAGAAACAGGATTAAAACAGGAGTGTGCACACTGAGAAAATATCATATTAAAACTCAAGATGAGGAAACACTGGAGGTTTAAAATCTAAAAACAAAGAAACATAGAATGAAATTCAAGAAATAATAGATAAAATGAAATATAAACAACAATTTAATTGTCATATTGTTACATCCCTAGACGGGGATCGTAGTGATAAAAAAAATCTCTTGCTTTTAACTCTAAAGTAATAATGTTTACAGAGAACTACAGAGAACTCAGAAGACCTGAGGACTCTATCTGACTCATAAGGTAAAAACAGATCAGATAAATAAGATTAAGAGCTTTCAAAACAATAAAACAACCTTAAAATCTATTCTAAAAGAGGCAGTCTGTTTGGTCATAGTAGGAAAAAGATGTCTCACCGTTAGTCTTGGTTTTAATTTTAAGTAAAAATATTAACAGAGAACTTCTTGAAGACTCTACCTGACTCATGAGGTAAAAACAAATCAGATAAATAAGATAACGAGCTTTAAAAACCGATAAAACAACCTTAAAATCGATTTTAAATTAGATTCTCAAAGAGAAGATCTGATTTGTTGTAGTAAAATCTATTTAAAAGGAAGGATGTCAAGTTAAGTATGCAACTCTAGGGAGAAAAATGGGCGAAACCGGGTGAAGAGAGTGAGTTCTGGGAGTGGACGGTACCGAGTTGTTAAAGGTTCGGATTAAACCGACAGACGTTCACGTTAATGCGTCAACGCTCCGAGGCTAACAGCCGCGACCACACGATCCGATCCGGCGGTTTGATCATCCCTCCGGGGAGGAGGAGGAGGAGACGAACCCCGGCTCGGCCTGGTTCGGCCCTCATACTAACAGGCGGAAAAAGATCCACCTTTAAAAATCCCGTTTAGCTAACATTAGCCGAGCTCTGTTAGCATCGCATGCCAAGAGGGTGAGGAGAGTTAGCCAGCTAGCGTTAGCAGCAGCGAACCCCGGGCTAACGTTTAAAACCTCATTATTAGCTCCGTTTAGAGATTAAACTCTCACTGTCCGGACAGTTTTCATTAATCTAAGATAGAGCTCTCATGAGGTTAGGTTTCAGCAGTACAAAAAGAGTCCTATCTACAGCTAATGAAGTCCCAATCCCAGTCCGAATACATTCCCCTACCCACCTATTAACATGGTCGCTCCCAGATCCACATACCACGGAAAAGAGGAGAAAGCATTCCCACATTACGAGGAAAAAACTCCCTGTACAATCCACAATCTGAGCTCAGAGCAGTCCTCCGACTAAATCCAGACTTGGTTCGGGCTGAAGGTGAACTCCCCCGGGGTTCCAGTCGGCCGGTTCGTCCGTATTTTACCGTCTTTTGCTCTCGGTAGTGTGGTATGTGCTGTAAGCCGAAACCTGCGTCTCTCTCTCGGCTCCCTCCTCCTCCTCCTCCTCCCCTCAGCAGCAGCAGCAGGAACAACTCCACAGAAACAGGCAGTAATGGCGACAAGCTAGCTCTCTCTCTCTCTCTCTCTCTCCGCACACTGAGTCAATGTCGCTCTACCCTTCCATTCACTCCCTCTCTCTTTCTCTCTCTCTCTCTCTCCCACCCGATGCTAAACTCTAAAATCTTTGGAGTAAATAACAATAAAATAATAATAATAATAATAATTTTATTATTATTATTATTATTATTATTATCATTATTACGACAGATATTAGGGCCACATTAAGAAAAAAATTAAATTAAATTAAGACTTCGTAATTTCTTACGAGAATAAAGTTGTAATAAAATAATTAATTACAAGAAAAAAGTCGGAATAAAACCATTACTGACGAGAATAAAATCGTAATAAAATAATTACAATATAAAGTCGTAATAAAATAATTACTAACGAGAATACAATAGTTATTTACTAGAATGGAGTGGTAATAAAATCATTACTTACAAAATTAATTTGTAATAAAAATCATAACTAATGAGAATAAAATTGTAATAAAACAAATTCTTACGAGAATAATAATAAGAACTTTATTGATCCCTGAGGGGAAATTCAATTAAGTTCAATGAAGTTGAAATGAAATTTTTACTTACGAGAATAAACAACTAATAACAGGTTCGAATAGTTAGTAGCTATGACCTGACTTTTGTAAGTAATGATTCCATTACGACTTTATACTCATAAGAAATTATTTCATTATGACTTAATTCACGTAAGAAATGATTTTATGACTTTATTCTCAGAAGTACTTATTTTATTACAACTTGATCTCGTAAGTTATTACTTTATAAAGTTTATTCTCGTAAGTAATTATTTTATTACGACTTTATTCTTGTTAGTAATTATGAAGTCTTAATTTTTTTCTTAATGTGGCCTTAATACTCTGTCTTAAATAATAATAATCATAATAATTTTTTAAAAAACTATCTTTGAAGGCGTACTTCCATTCAGCTTGTCTGACTTTTGATTGAAATTGAAGAAAGTCAGAACAGTAACTCAGTAGCCATGATTACATGTGTAATATTTCTTGATCTGATTAAAAATTTCAGGGATCCTATAATCTGAATCCACTGTTTATGGGTGCAAAATCAAATAATCCGATCATGACGTGCGAATACATGCACCAAACTTTATTCAGATTAGAAACTTTTGGAGACGCACAAACTTGTCTGATTTCACTAAAACAACCGCAGAAGAAGAGTTGTACTTACGCCTGTGCTGTCAACAAACCAACAAACGCTCACTCCATCCAATTCGTAGTTTTCCCTGTCAAATGTTGTCACTAGACGGCGCCCTTGCTTACTTATTTTACTGTTCCGTCAAAGGTTTCACTGTGCGTGTAAATGTGACATCATTTCGCTGTATGTACGCCTTGTTATGTTATCGGAGGAGCAGACACGACACCTGCTTTTGTGTTCAGAGAGTCACGATTGGAATAAGTGTTTACATGGACGCGTTTCGGAATTCTGGGTTCAGTTTCTTCATATAAAGGAAGTTAATTAGTAACTTTGACCTGTTTTAAGTTTTTCAAGAACCTGCTACCTTCTGGTTATCTGGCTGGTTTCTTAACAAAGAGGCCAAGCTAACCAGGAGCTCCTTTTGCGCCTCATACAACAACACCAAACCTTTACTTCTTAGAAATTCTGTTTTCAAAGCCGACTATATTTTAGTCTAAACTGCTAGGTCATATGTACATAATATGAGCCGCATTCAGAGATTGAAATGCAGCTTTATAAGGGCTGAAATGCACATCTCTCCCTCCTCACTCATCGCCTCATCCTGTTAAAAAATATACCAAACACATATCTCTTCACTTTTTTTGCTTAAACCACTTTTTTATTGACGTGAACATTTGATGAACCGTGTTGCATAAGCATCTAAATACAGATTAAAATCTCTCTGCCGCTCTGTCACTCTCTGTGACGTAATAATTTTGGGTTTTTCTCTTTGTAAACATTGTTTTAATTATATATAATGTTCCTGGGTTGGCAGAAATAGGCCGCAGGATTAAACTGAAAGAGTCTGAGCTGCTCGGTTGTTTCTGCTGTAGAAATATAAAGATTTTAGATTTCCTTCTCAGGTTTCCAAGATTTCCCTCTCGGTGCACTTTGAAAACTCGTTTCGGTTTTTCTTAATCAGTCAGTTAAAGCCGTGTTTCTGCGCCGACGCCGTCTCAGTGTTGTTGACAGTAATGAAAAGAAAGGCTGCAGCCCCTCTTAGATAATGGTGGGCCGTGGGTGCACAAAGGAGCCCTCAGTGAAAGCTCTCATTTATATTTCAGTTGTTCTGGGCTGGGATCAATATGGGCTGCTGGTTCTGGAGGATTCCCTCGAGTGCGATGCTGTGTTAATGAGCCTCACAGCTCAGAGAGGATACACTCACCCAGATGAGAGAGAAGCGGCTCGGTGGAGGTGGGACAGAAAATCTAAAATTAGCCCACCACAAACCGAAATCAAGAGACACGTTTAATCATTTAACACTCGCTGAATTTTAAATGTTGGTATTTAACGTCCCTCTAAAGCCGCCCTCCGTCCTGAGACCAACATCTGTTAAAAAAAGAGACGGTCAATAATCATGTTTGTGTTTGTTTCTCTGGATGTAACTTTAAACAAACCCCCCGCTGCAGCGCTGAACTTAATCTGCTACCAAAAAGCATCTCTGTAATCTAACACGGATGATGGATTGTCCAGGTCAGAGTTAAAGAGGGAGGAAGCTCTTTTTAGGGCGGCCATCTTGCACCAATGATGTAACAATCCCACAGAGACAAATCCATCGGAGAGGAGGAAACGGAGAAATTTATGTGGGACAGAGACCTGCGTGAAAGCAGGCTTAGTGAGGAGCTTTCCTAAAATATGAATACGCAGATACAGACCCGCTTTCTGCAACGTGTCCTGATGTGGAAACGTATGAATAAGTGGTCGGTTTAATGTATCCTCATTCTTTTAAAGTTATACTGGAAAAATCAACCTTAGCAAGTGGACTAATTTGTGTGGCAGATTCAGAACATCTTATTTCAAGATATTTCAGCAGCTCAGAGTGATAGATCCATTTCACTGATTATTCTGTATTTGTGGTTAGGACGGTTTCTAAAATCGTCCCTGGTCACTCGTGGTTGACACCTTCTTCCTTTGTGTATTTTCAACAGAAACACACACTCCAACATCACGTCTGCCTCCTTTAATAAAGAGTTTGTCTCCGGAAAATATGGTTAGGTTTTCAGCTTTGACGAACCACTGCCAAATTTGTGAGGAAGTATGTCTCACTATGAGATGCACAAGACCGCTACAGTCCGCAAAAATTCCCACTACATCATACATGATAAGAAAGCTCGTACTGATGCATGTCACTAATGATACAAGGACAATGGACAAGCTGGGGTTTGTCTAGAGCAGCAATGTTTAGTTTTGAGAAATTAATGCAGAAGTGCTAAAAACTGCAGTTCCATGAGTGTCCACTAAAAGCTGGCTGAAGAAGGACCAGAAACCATGAGCCAAAAAAGTTTCTCTAACGAGCTCATTTCGAAGGTTTTTGGCGAATTAGAAACGTGGTTGACAAATGTACAACTGAGAAGATTACTGAAGAGTGGAAGAGACGTGGTTTTATTCCACTAAAACTTACACTAAGCAGTCAAATCACATCTTAACAACTCTGCCTCCAAACAGCTGACTTTACTCAGTACGTTTCCATGACACTTGGGAAAACCGAATTCTTGCCTTACTCTGATTACGACCAGATAACTGAAGTGCAATTGAACACCTTCGGAGTCGGAGAACTCCGATTAAGACACCCAGATAATGCGATTGGAATTCGATTTTCTCCACCGTGTAACCAGCGTAGTCGGATTATGATTGGACAATGCATGCGCAGGTGCGCCACGCCCCCGTAACCCCGGAACAAAAACACCAGAGAAGAATTGGCGCTATCATTCAAAGAACTTTAGACTCAGAAGCAACTGCGACATGGCTGAAACACGAAAGAACGTCCACTTTTGGAACAACGAGGAGAGCGCCGTCACGCTTTCTGTTCTGACAGAAACTGACATTTTAAAGTTTATGGACAATCACAAAACGAGGAACGGAGACAAAAAGGTTTGGAAACAGCGCTGCTGAAAAGACCCATATCGCCCCCTAGTTTTGGGGAAGAGGACACATTCACATCATTAATTTTTTTCTCAGCTGTATGATTACGCGGACAAGGAGAGAAGTCCGATTTGGCGAGAAAAAAAAAATTATGAGCTTAGTCCTATTGAGCTGTGCATGTAAACGCACTGAGTGATGTTCATAAAGGTGACCCGCTGACCCAGGAGCTCATATCAAATGTAGTATAACTTAATTAACTCAGTAGTTCACACCACATGTTGAAACACTCATATTGGCTCCTCTTTAGCTTTTGTAGGTCATCCCTGTGAGTTTCAGTCTGTTTCATTTCCACCTTAAAATTCCTCATTGGAGCTTTAAAGCAACTCGTGGCGTCTTAGACTTTTGTTTGGGGGCGTTTTAGAAGTATAACCATCACATAGAGGGTGTTTTTGGCGGTGTGTGTATATGTGCATATGTGTGTGTTATTTGAGTGTGTGCAGAGGCTGCCTGACCCCTGCTGCAGGCGCTGCACCATCAGCACCTCCACATGGAAACTGCCGGTTTTTCACTTTCTGTCAGCCTTTCATGTTTCACACCCTCCTGCTTTTTATAATCCTGACAGGACTGTTCTCTCTCTCACTCTCTCTCTCTCTCTCTCTCTCTCTTCAGCTCCTCCAGATTTCCCTGAGTTGCTAAGTTTGTGGAGCTGTGACATCACAGTCAAATGCAGGCCTGTGATTGGCTCGGGGACAAAAGAGAAGAAGCTGACCTTATCTGTCTTCGCTGATAAGGTTCAGATGTAGCGTCTGAATCTGCCACAGAGAGAAGGAGTTCATCTGCAGGTCAAAACTCCTGAGAGGAACTTTGATTGGTGTCAGTCTCCCCCCGTGGACAGAGCGGTGTCAGGTACAGGTGTGAGAAATACTTCCTGTTGTCTTTTAACTGTCAGGTAAATCCCGACTCTCTGTGAATACACACGTCTAGACTTGGACCCAGTTTTACAGGCGGGTCCAAAGGGGTTTTTTATAAATATAAGCAGTAAATTTAAACCTAAATTATGTCTCTGGTGCTCTAAGCAAACACTCGCTCCTGTTTTTCCCTCATCGCCCTGCTCAGGTGTTCAGAAGATAAGCTCCGGCGTCATTTATTGCACCTGTCAGAGTCATTATGAGTCTCCCTGCTCCTCACCTCTGCAGAGAGCGCTCCATTTGCAATGCTAATGACTGTTAATGTGTTCGACGGCAGCCATCCTGTATGTCGGCGAGCGTAAACGCTTTACATTTTTCTCACCGGGGGGACAGGAAGTATCTCTGCACGAGCTCGATGTCGCTGAAAATACGCCGCTGTTTCCAGGCAAAGTTATTCTCAGATCAGACTCCTGTGTTCAGATGAGGATTTCAGCAGCTCAACAGTTCAGGGTCTCCAAATGGTTCCAATGGGGGACAGGTTAGGACAACGGGTGGCACAGTGGTGTAGTGGTTAGCACTGTCGCCTCACAGCAAGAAGGTCTTTGGTTCGAATCCGGATCAGGGCGTTTCTGTGTGTCTGCGTGGGTTTACTCCGGGTTCTCTGGTTTCCTCCAACATCCCAAAAACATGCAGAAGTAGGGTTAGGTTAACTGGCCACTTTCAAATTGCCCGGATGGTTGTTCATCTCTATATGTCAACACTGCGATGAACTGGCGACTTGTCCGGGGTGTCCTCTGCCTTCGCCTAAAGATGCTGGGATAGGCTCCAGGCCCCTCGCGACCCCAGGAACGGGAATAAGTGGTAGAAAATGGATAGATGGACAAGTTAGGACCACATCAGTCCAGGACTCTTCTCCTACAGAGCCGCACTGTTGTCAGAATCTGGTTCAGGATCATACGAAAGTCTGTCAGAGTTTTGTCGTCCTTGTACAAACTTTTTTTGTCAAATCAAACATAAAGTTTTCATAAATTAATCATATATTTCCGTTTTAGCGTCCTACATGTCGTCTAAAGGCTTTAAGTGATTCTCAAACCATAAACATTCGTGATGAAAACATGTTTCTGAGGTGAACGCTGATTCCTGGATAAAGACGACTGTTCACCGCGCTGTTAAAAATAAAACTGCAGGTTATTAAAACAGGAAAAGTTAAATTTAAGGATATGATTACCTGCTTTTCTCCTCAGCTTGAATTCTGCAGCCGTGTAAAAATAATCTAATTGTTTATTATATTTCCATAAATAAAAGCCTCCTCTTCCCGATGTTGTGGGAGTAGCAGACAGCAGCAGCGCTTCCTCTCCTCGTCCTCGTTATCGTCTTTATTTGAGTTTGTGTTCTTGTTTATATTCGCTGTCTTTCTGCACAGAAACCCCCTCGGGGTAAATGAAGTTTTATCTCATTTTAAAGCTTTAAAAAAACATCCATGACGACATCGACCAGAGGGCTCACAGACCTGCTTTTACTGGGAAACACGTGAAACCCTGAGGCCTGATGGACTGAGCGGACCGTCCTGTCCCTGCAGCTCAGAGCAGCTAACAGGGTCAGGATGAGGAGGTCTGAAAGTGAACCTCACCAGGTGTCTCCATTTTCAGATTTACAGAGACGAGTTTAACTTTTACAAACGATAATCTTTAAGACGTTTAAACATGACTTCATGAACTCGTGTCGTTTTCAAACACAGCAGACCAAATCATCCTCCGCCTCACTCTGAAAAACACCCGTGGTGTAGACCTGTGTGGGATAATCCTCTGTGCGGGCCTCCTTCAGTCCTCTAGGCCCCATGAAGCGGTCCGAGCCGGTCTTTTGTCTCAGGGTGTGTGCTCAGCTGGGACGGCTGCGACTCTGAACTCCAGCAGGGAGAAGCAGGAAGTCGTCTGAGTATTTTTATCGGCCTCAGCTCCAACAATACGGAGCCGTGACTCACTGAAAACCATTATCACCTCTTTGTTTCTGACCCAGCAACAGAACTGGACCACTTTTATTACCGTCCAGAACCGAGACTGCATTTCCAGCTAAGATACGATCGTTTCCCTGGAAACATGCGGTTCACTCAGGAGAGGTTAGTTCAAGAAGAAAATCTGATTCATTACAAACAATGTTGAAGAAATGAGGCCAAAACATAACCCGTGACGGTCTCTACAGTACTGCTGCTGGTGCGTGGATTGCAGGACAAAAAGTTGCACTGCTTGGAAGAGGTGGTTAGTCCAAGATCCAGGATCTAACAGACCCAAGAGGCGCCAAAGAAACCCCGTAGAGTGGCCCAACTCATCTTTAGGATACGTCTAAACAGAGACTCTAGAGATTTGGATCTAAACCTGCATGAAAGTCGAGGCTTCGTTCACTCAAAGACACTTTCTAACACGTCAAAAATTCATCAAATGATATTGGATGGATTTTAATTTTTTTATGCATGATTTAGATATTTCAACTCTCTCACTATTTTAGTCTTATTCTTCGCTTAACTCAAGATTAGAAGCTGCAACATCTCAAACTTTTGGTCCAGCTGGTCCAAAAACTCCTGATTATTCCTGATTTTCACTCATGCATGTTCGACCACAGTCTGCTGCTCACACAGGTATCGTATCCCCTCGTGAAACGCAGGATTAGACGTCGGCGTGCAGAAATATCTCTGCGTTCTCTCTCTCTCTCGTTCACAGCCTCCTCAGATTTCACTTTGTCACTTTCTCTTTGGAGCTGCAGAGTCGGCTGATAATCACGTTAACTCGGAGAGGAAACAGCAGCTCCGGCTCGGCTCGGCGGATTCCTGCTTCAGACTTCAAAGTTCACTCTGATGGATCCTCCGTCTCTGTCTGCCTCACACTCCTGAGCCTCTTCTTTTCTGCGGTGTGCTACAGCTGACTTTAATTTGTGTTTTTATTTACCGCACAATCAGCAGGGACACATTTACAGCTGTCTCTTTGATCATCTTCATCAGGATTTGATATTTGTACCTGGAGGTGGAGAAAACGCACACTTTTACCCTCGCTGACTCTACAGGAGGTCCTCCCTGCAGCTCACAGGGCGTTGTCGTACTATTTACAGCAGTGTGTGTGTGTGTGTTTGTGTGAGTGTGTATGAACATTACTAGATTTATTCTGTGTGCAGGTTTATAAACTAAAGCTTTACTTGAATGATGTGACATCTGAGAGAAAACCAGCAGAGAAGAAACGACATGAGCAGAGTTTCTTCCTGAAAGTCATTTTCACTTCCTGTTTCACTGGAACGGAATATTTTGAGTTTTTTGTTTTCTAGTTATTTATAAAAACCATTATATGGAGAAGGAATCAGCAGGAACACAGAGGTAGAGAAAACTATATATGGAGTTTAACTATAAAAGGTTTAACTCCTCTCTGCACCACTGAAGGGAAACAAGAGATGTTTAAGAAAATTTAAAGGAACCAGTTTTAGTTAATTTATCAAATAAAATCTCAGAGGGTGGATCAACTTTGAGTGAAAATACCATCACATAAAAATCATACTAAACAGACTATTTCTTCAAGTGAGTCCATGCGGTGACTGCCACTACAGAGTCCATTCCGTTTTTAATGCAGTGTTGCCTGAGGGCCTGAAGATCAGAACCATCCAGTGGACTTTTCATGATGGTGACATGGAGTTTAACAACACAGAGAAATGAAGTGCTAAAAAAAAACTGCAGTTCCCTCAGTGTCCACTAGAGGCTGACTGCAGAAGCACCACAAACCACATACACACCAATTTAAAAAAGCTCATCTTTAGAGCAAAAATGAACCCATGAAACTCGAGACCGGCCAATCAGAGGAACGGCTGACTTGACTGACGGGTCGGCAGGCTGCGGCTATCTGCAAGGAAGCTGAAGGCCCGCCTCTGGTAGACCGACTGACAGTCCATTACAGACTACAGCGGGGTGACACAGCTCAAGGAAGAACATTTATGATCATTTCTTTATGGAAATACAATCAGGAATACTTTAAGGAAATGATAAAGAAATGATCATAAATGTTCTTCCTTGAGCTGCGTCACCCCGCTGTAGTCTGTAATGGACTGGCCTGAGGTCTCGCTACAAACAAGCAGCTGCTGGAAGAGAGTAGGTGAGTTGTGTTTAGTCTCTTTGCTAAAGAAATGAGTCAAAGTTAAAAAGATGTTTGGTGTCTAGTACTATGTCTGTGACCCTATATGTCCTGTTGATGAAGTTAGGTGCTGTTCTGAGCATTATTTGTGGCTATAGAGTGGCGTTTTGGTTGGGGGCGTGGCTCTCTGTATTTCTATCCTGCGGTCGTTACTAAAGTTGGTATAACTAGAGAAGCAAGAGGTCGGCAACATTCATCTCTGGAGGGGGGGGTCTAACTCGGTGTTACGGTGTGTTTGACCCTAAATTGATTTTACCCCGGAATATCCCTTTAATTACTCAACTATGGATATCGGGGTCATGTTTACCCCAGGTCAGACATGATGTACATGCAAAGATGTGATTAGATGCAGATCTTGCACAGACTGAGTGAGGGTCTGGCCGGTTTTTTAAGTCCACAGGGATCCTCTGTACCTCATACAGCCACACTTACAACAAACACACAACTATCCGTTTAAAGTGAAGACTCATCGTCATGTGAACGAGGCGTTCAGTCGATTCGAAGGTTAAGAGTCACTCAGCAGGAGGTTTAATGAAGCTGCAGAGGAACAACACGATTACAGGAACCTCCAGTTCAGCCAACACGGGCGGGAAGACTCTGAAAGAGTGAGTGTGTGTTCAGAGAAGGAAGCAGTCTTACAATCGAAACAAAAGCCTGTAATGAATCACTGCTCGCTCGCTCGCTCACTCTCTCGCTCACTCTCTCTCTCGCTGTGAGCTCTTATTTTTCCTGTAACTTGTGACCAGCAGATCCTTCGCTCGGAGCTGCAGCAGTCTTCAACAAAAACCAGTTCAGTGACCCCTCAGTGATTTACAATAACCCTGAGTGTCCTGGTATCCGCTCTGCCTCCAAAGTCAAGCTTTTCGGGGGACTGACGGGTCCTTTATTCTGCTCTGAGGAGAAAACACTCAGAGGATAGTCATCTTTATTTCCTGTTACAAACAAACATGCAGCTGATAAAACATTAAAACATAAGTATGATGACAAAGTGCCTCTACATCTCTGCAGCTCCATGAACCATAAACAGCTGATTCTGGAGAGAAAACAGAACGTCAAAATCACATAACACTCACAAAAGGACAAAGTGCACCATGGGTAATGTATTTAAGGTGCCGCTAAAAATCGCCAGAAGACAATGCGGCATGAAGAGGACGCTTAAAAAGACTCGGTACGGTGAGGGGTCTGATCTAGAAGTGGTCCCACCTCTTCTGCTGTTACCAAACACACTTTGAAAGTCATGGTTGACGATTGGAGAGATCGGTAATTATTATGAACCTCGTTTCTATGGCGATCATGGTCCTTTAGTGCGATCTCCACAAAGTGAAGAGAAAAAAGATCGGAAAAAATCTGTTCACCCTATCAGGTGCAGGGCTGCAAAAACATTGACCAATGGGAGCCATCCGTCCCGGACAGCTCCGAAAATAATCACATTAACACAGAGTTTCCTTAAATATTGGTCTAGAGGTAAAAAGAGTCTGGACCAGATTTCTGTTGAGTTCTGCTTCTGAAAATCCAGGGCGCTATAAAAAAGAGTCGAGTGAGTTTCCCATCAGGAGGAAGTGTTTATGTGAGCAAGAGAAAATAGAAAGAGAGGAAGAGAAAGGAGAAGTAATAAAGACAAAAAAAGGAAGAATAAAAATCTGTCTTTTCTCACTAACAGAGGAACCGGAGAGACGGAAAATAAACACAAAAGAAACAAAATACCAACATGAAACTTCCCTGCAGTCAAACCGCTGCTGCCTGCAAGAAGAAAATATGACTGTAGAGCGAAATCATCCAATATTTACTCACGCTTTAAAGCAAAAATGATGAAACCTTTTACATCGGAGATTTAATCCGGTGTCAAGCTGATGTAAACAAACGCCATCACATGCAACTTTGAGGCACGAACAATTCACACAAAAACAGCAACTACCAAACCAAGACTCTTGTGAGTCCACAAAGTGAACAGAAAAAAAACGCTGTTGAGTGTCTGTTAGGGCTGGGCGATATGGGAAAAAGTTTATCACAATATAAACCGACGTTTTCCTAACGCCAGTGTTGTGGTTGACATTGATGTGGTCATCTGTTGAGCCTTCATGGTCATTTCTGTCGGGGGTAGCACTCATTTTCTTTGTTTCTCACCAACAGTGCTGTCGGCTTCACCTGTTAAAGTGCTATGGTTGGGTGGAGCTGCTGTCTGCTACGACGCAGCAGTTGGTTGATACTTGGTTCTAATTCAGAACATGATTGGTTCAGACCCGGAGAAACTCCCCTTTTCATTGGCGAATGGTATAATTGACAAAAACATGGCAGAATGCTGACTATTGAAAAGCATATTGACCATGTTTTATATTCATATTGAAGGAAATTAATTTAATATATATCGTTATCGTTTCTCGCCCAGCCCTAGTGTCTGTAGATACTCAGGTGTTTGGGGCGTTTTCACTGATCCGTCTCCAAGTATAGAAAAAAACATCTAGAAGCTGAACAAACCAATCACTGACCGGCACACAGAACAATCTGTTCTCTGCTGGAGGTGTAAACTGTCCGTCACACACCAATATTTCATAAAGTGCTGCAGTTCACCTATATCACCATGGCAACCTCAGCCTGTTTTTAATTGGAGCCTGAGGCCAGTCTGCATCCCTTTCATCTCCTTCACATACACACATGCTGGAGACACACTGTGTGTATATACGCTCACTTACACACACACACACACACACACACACACACTCTCTCTCTCTGCTCTGAGGCGTCGTCTCCCGTTGGGACGGAGGGATGTGCGATCAGTCGTCACTCTTGATGTTCGAGGTTCAAATCTGGTTCATGGGTGTCAGTCAGCTCGTCTCCGTGTGTTCGCTCCGTCACACCTGAACTGACGTTTTTTCTACGCTCTGATTTCTTTCCTCCGTACGACCTTGGAGGACAGCCGTGTGTTTATAGGAACGGCAACACTTTTACTATCAGAGATTTTTCACAGCTGAAGTTTTCCTGTGTGAAATTTCAATTTCAGTTTAAGACAAAACCTGAAACATAAGTAGAGTCAGCGCAACACCCTCATCACAATTATTACTCTGACGATGAAGAAGGTTTGGAGTCGACTGGAAATCCAAAAACCTGTAAACGTACGATTTAGACCTGATGAGAGGGGGCAGATGTTAAAGATGCCAGTCTGGTCTGGAATCTGAATTTTCAATCAGCATCTGTGACAAAACTCAGAAACCAAGTTTCACCTCATCCGGAACCGCTCCAATCTGGAACGGCGGCTATTTTTCGCTGTCTAGAATCAATTTCTGTGCATCGTTTTACTGAGTTTATGTTTGATTTTCTACAACATAAATTTCTTGGCAGATTACGGACAGAGGTAATCACGAGAACTCACAAGAACCTGCAGATTCACGTTCAATTGCACAATAACGAGTTGTCTCTTGGCCACAGAGGCTAACCATCTAAGCAGTAGATTGTGTCCTTCCAGAGGAGAAAATCTACTTCTAGACTTCTAGAATCAGCATCTCCTCATCCATGGTGTCATCGGGGTGAAATGACGTCTAAAAACCTTTCACTTGTTCGTCTCCTCCTGAAACACGGAGTGTTTTATTTTGAAAAGAATCCGGATGTTTTATTTTGTGTCTGTGTCCGATTTCCTTTCCAGCACGGGTTAATCTGTGCTGAATTTATCCGCCATGCTCCGGCGTCTGACGGAAAGAAGTCGGTGTAAATTGACACGTTAACTTAAATGGTTACGATCAGCTACGATCGAAGGATACGACCTTTTAGGAGACGATCAGGATGAAGGTGGAAACTGGGGGTTAGTCCTTGTAGAGTTTGCTGGTGTTTCTAGATGGTGGACCAGTTCTCGGCCTTGGATGATTTCTCCAGATCCTCTGAATCTTTGAATGATATTATGTACTGTAGATGATGGAATCCATTCATTCCTGTAGAAATTGTTTAAAACTGGAGATGCAGTATGGATGATTTCCAGTTCTTTTAATTTTATGCCGGAATATCCCTTTAAACCCTGAAGTTCAGGACCATCCAGTCCTGGTTTTGGTCTTTGTCCCTTTAGTACAGATATTTCTCCAGATCTTCTAAACTCTCACAGAGTCCTGACCCTCTTCCATCTTTCCTTCTCAGAGACTCAGCCTCTCTAAACGTCCGTCTTAGACCCGGTCATGTGACTAAAACCTGCTCCTCTGGATGTTTTTTGGCTTTACAACTTTTTCAGTGCTTCACAGTTCCTGTCCAAAAATACGTTACTCTCCCTCCTGTATATTCATGTTTTTTTGTCTCTACTCTTTGAAAATTATCATCACATTATCATTTCTAACCAACTAAATCAAGTTTTGGTGAAAGAAAATCTGAAAATCGGAGATACTCGGCTGATAAAACTGAGCTGTGATTCTCTTTTAGAGCCATAAATTATTCAGACACACACGTCTGGACGTCTGTCCTGAGGCTTGGGGGACTCAGGTGAACCACACAGCTTATTAACCCGACATCACACACACACACACACACACACGCACGTGAACAAGAACACACACACACACACACACACACACGCACGTGGACAAGAACACACACACACACACACGGGCACGAACACAGACCTTTAACAAGACAAAGGAGGCTCCATTTTTGACAGGCAAACTGAGGCGAGCGCAACACTCCATCTCTGCTCTGTTTCAAACCAGTGGAGCACAGAGCATCATGGGAAATAAGAGGGGGAAGGGCTTTCATGTCCCATTTCCTCCCTTAATTGTGCAAATTAATTGTCAAGTTAAGGAATATGGAGAAGCAGTTCATGTTGTTTAGTATTGGGAAGGAAAGGATGTTTGGATTTTTTCAGTCCTCCTCTGCTAAAGTTATCCTCAGACTACAACGTGTTGGAACGACTCCTGGGTCGAGGGTCAACGATTAAGATATTTTACCACAAGTATACGACAAACAACTTCCTGACGATACTTTCATTCTTTGTTTTAAGTCCAATCGGCAATTTAAGAAGCAGCCGAGTCGTTTTTTGGCTTTTTACAGCTCCGTCCATCAGATGGTGGTGGGTCTCAGTTTCACAGTAAAGAGTCTTCGGGCCGGCTTCCTTCAGCAGTAGGAACCTCCTTATTTATGTTTTTAGAGCGTGTCTACTGCACAATAGTTAAGTCAAATAAATGTTGTTTCTCCTGGAGTCTGTTGCTGTGCTAACTTCAATTTTGGGTCCAAGAAAAACTCGACCAAGGAGACAATCAAATATATCATATCGTATCCTAACATGTTGTATATCAGATTGTAAGCTATAGTATCATATTGTATCGTATGTTATTGTGTCCTATAGTTTTTTATGGTATTGTATGTATCCTGTCATAAATGAAAAATTTTCCTTCCTGTGACAGAGGAGTAATGAATGAGTCAAAAAACTTACATATGAACTTTGAAAGATGTGGAGAAGAGTCTCTTTTACAGCAAGTCGATCTTTTACTTTCATTTATTTATTGTATTTTAATTTTGGAGACATTCTGTTTGAGCTCCTGATGAATCTGTTCATTTTTGGGCCAATAAGTTTATGAATTTTTCTCAACATGTTCCTGAATCAATAATTGATTTAATCTGGTTTATTATTCATGTCTGTACGCTCAGCATTGATGACTCACACTCAACAGAGAGAAAATAATCATTTTTTAAAAAGTATATCTGCCTACAGCATCTATCTTTCTATCTATCCATCCATCCATCCATCCATCCATCCATCTATCTATCTATCTATCTTGTATCTATCTATCTATCCATCCATCTATCTGTCAGAACAGAATATCATTCAAAGATTCAGAGGATCTACATTTAAAATAGGACTTTGTTTGTTTGTTTGTTTGTTTTTTAACTCAAAGCTAAAGGGAAATAAAAACGCAACATTTAGAGTTTCTCGATTTCTCACCAGTGCAGATCAGAAATTGTAAATCAGATGAATGACTCTTCTCTAATTCAGTATGTAAGCGGCGCCCTCTGCTGTTTATCTTTGGAGGTGCAACTCACTGTACAACACTGCTGCATTAATCAGAATCAGAGTCAGAATGCCCGTTATTGTCATTATAATAATAAAATAGGTACATAAATAGGTACAAAATAAATAAAAATAGGTACAAATATATACAAGTTAAAGTTCTTCAGTGCAATAGTAAGATAAATAGTTTTTAAGAATTATATAAAGTCAAGATTTTGTAACCAGCCAAATTCAGCCAAGTTAGAGTAGTTTTGTGGAGATGAGAATGTCTGTGGATGTACTGAGGTGGAGGTTGTTTTGGTGTCACTGTTATCTCCTCCGACAGACTGTTTATATCAGGGCTACTCCTCCTATTTCCGGTGAGCCTCAGAGAAGAATTGAAACTGAAAGTATTAACTTTTTCAGACTCCATTTTGTTTCTACGCAGTAAATGTTGCTCCGCTGAAGACTGACGCGGGGTGAGTATTTACTTTTCATTTTTATCCTCTAACTGTATATTTTATGTGTTTAAAGTTTTCCTGTGAGCAGCAGATGAAGTAAATGTTCGTAAAAACTCAGTCTGTTTTCTCATTTTTCTGTTTTTAATCAGACTTTTGTTTCCTGTCAGGACGATGAGTGCTCATGTGGGGAAAGGAGTGGTAGAGGCCGTGGAATCCACAGTATTCGACTGTAATTCTATGAAGAGTAATAACTCCCGAGTTCAACCTCTACAGTTCAGGGACATAATTTTGCCTTTGGACACAAAGTAAGAGAAATGATTAATTTCAGTTTCAAAGATGTCTTATAATTTTCATATGTTTAGACTATGCCTCCTCTGTATTGAAAGTAAATAGTTACTTCACAAATTCAGATTCAGGTTTCTCAGAGGTCACTCAACATGTTTTATTGTGACAAGTTTTAAAAATAATGAGAGATAAATAATAAATTTTTTGTATTAGAAAAAAACAAATAACTAAAACTAACTTCTACCTGATAGGATTAGCTTTAACAAGATTAGCTTTTATTCTGACAATTCTGACAATAATCCATTCAGTTACATTTCATTGACACCATCTTTCTTTTTCTTTTTTAAACTCGGATTCTTAAGAATGGACCAAAAACAGCTTAATCTGGTCTATTTAAACTGTGTGATTGTGTCTAAAGATGTTTGTGAGTGTCTGTTTCTCGGTGTTAACTCCTATTTTCTAATTTTTATGTTTTTAATCAGACTTTGCTTTCTTTTAAGGACCATGAGTGCTCATGTGGGGAAAGGAGTGGTGGAGGACGTGGAGTCCACAGTATCCGACTGCCTGTCTATGAAGAGTAATAACTCCCAAGTTCAACCTCTTCAATTCAGGTAAATCATTTTGCCTTATATAAAATATCTAAAAATATCTATAATATCACCCTCGCGGCCCACTGAACAACAATGAAAGCCAGGACATTTTCATCACCTTATAAAAAAAACTACCAGGACGTCCTGGGAAAACAGGACATGAAAACAGGACATGCCCTGGGAAAACAGGACGTTTGTTCAGCCCACTTTAAAGGCATTAATTTGTGCCTTAGACAAATGAATTCAATTCAACTTTATTTATATGGCACTTTTCATACAAATGCACTAAAAACATCTGCAGTGCAGTGTGAGATTCGGCTGTAAATTAGTAATTTCAATGATTGATCTTTGGAAACATTTATGATATCAGTTACCTGTTTAAAAAAATAGAACTACCCCATGAATAAACAATCTCAAATGTGTTTTTTCTAAAATCATGCATATAATTTACAGTTCTGCATCACCACAGAACATACAGAGGCACAAAGGTAGTTAAACACGCTGAATATCAACGTGCAGAGCAGACTCTGCAGATGCAAAGTTTAAGGTAAACAAGAGAACTTGATGTGCAAAACTTTGTCAAACACATGAGTTTTTTGCCTTTTGGTTCTAACTGATATGATAAGCAGAATCCCATGGTACGTAAAAATATCTATAGATAAGCATACCCCCATGGTGGGTAAGCTTATCTGGTGTAGCATGTTGACATGTTGATGCACGCCAGCGTTGTGAGTCAGCAGATTCTCTCTGCATTAATATGTCTGTAGTTGTACCTGCTGTGTGCTGCTCTTCAAAACAAGCAAGCAGAAATTCATGTGCATGCTCCTGCAGTCCCAGCTGAGTGTATCAGCTGTGCACAACTCCTTCAGCCAAGATTACACACTTCTATCCTTACCTGTTGTATTACACAAAAAAATGTATTTAAGCATGCTTTTAATTAGCATCAGTTTATGTTACATATCTAATATGGGAGTATTAAACTTGACTAGCACCAGCAGTACATGCCTAGAAACAGCACTATGGGAGGAACTGTATCAAGAACTGCAACAAGTTCAGACCTGTGGTTCTGTATTCTCTAGTTTCATTTTTATCCTCTAACTTTTCAACTTTATGTGTTCAAAGTCCTCCTGTGGACAGCAGATGAAGGAACTGATAGTAAAAACTCAACAGTTTAATTATCTGTTAATGGACACATCGTCGCCGCCATCATTTTTTTTTTAACTAAAAATCTTAAGAATGGACCCAAAAAAAGCTTCATCTGGTCTATTAAAACTGTGTGATTGTGTCTGAAGATGTTTGTGAGTGTCTGTTTCTGGGTGTTAACTCCTGTTTTCTCATTTTTATGTTTTTAATCAGACTTTTATTTCTTTTAAGGACCATGAGTGCTCATGTGAAGGACGTGGAGTCCACAGTATCCGACTGCCTGTCTATGAAAAGTAATAACTCCCGAGTTCAACCTCTTCAATTCAGGTAAATAATTTTGCCTTTGGACACAAAGTAAGAGAAATGATTGATTTCAGTATCAAAGATGTCTTTTTGATATGTTTAAACTATGCCTCCTTCAGATTCAGGTTTCTCAGAGGTTACTCAACATGTTATATTCTGACAATTCTGAAAACTATCCATTCTGTTACATATTGTTGACACCGTCTTTCTTTTTCTTTTTTAATCTGGGATTCCTAAGAGTTGAAATAAAGCTTCATCTTCTCTATTTAAACTGTGTGATTGTGTCTAAAGATGTTTGTGAGTGTCTGTATCTGGGTGTTATCTCTTGTTTTCTCATTTTTACATTTTTAATCAGACTTTTGTTTCTTGTCAGGACGATGAGTGCTCATGTGGGGAAAGAAGCGGGGGAGGCCGTGGAGTCCAAAGTATTCGACTGCCTGTCTATGAAGAGTAATAACTCCCGAGTTCAACCTCTTCAATTCAGGTAAATAATTTTGCCTTTGGACACAAAGTAAGAGAAATTTTTCATATGTTTTAACTATGTCTCCTCTGTATAGAAAGAAATGCTTATTTCACAAATTCAGATTTAGGTTTCTCAGAGTTTACTCAACATGTTTTATTCTGACAAGTTTTAAAAATAATGAGAGATAAATAATATCTCTTTTGTATTAGAAAAAACAACTAAAAATAACTTCTACCTGATAGGATTAGCTTTAACAAGATAAGCTTTCACAAACTTACAAAAAAAGCAACAAAAAATCTAGCTTTATTCTCTAACTTTTCAACTTTATGTGTTCAAAGTTTTCCTGTGGAGAGCAAATAAAGGAAATGTTCATAAAAACTCAACAGTTTGATTATCTGTACGGGTACATATAATCAACATCATCTTAAGTGTTAATTCCTATTTTCTCATTTTTACATTTTTAATCAGACTTTTGTTTCCTGTCAGGACGATGAGTGTTCAGGTGGGGAAAGAAGCGGTGGAGGACGTGGAGTCCAAAGTATCCAACCTCCTGTCTATGAAGAGTAATAACTCCCGAGTTCAACCTCTTCAATTCAGGGACATAATTTTGCCTTTGGACACAAAGTAAGAGAACCGACTGATTTCAGTATCAAAACTGCCTTATAATTTCCATATATTTAAACTATGCCTCCTCTGTATGGAAAGGAAATGTGAGTGCCTGTTTCTCAGTGTTAACCCCTATTCTCTCATTTTCTGTGACACACTGAGATCTCAGACGGTGTCGCTCTTGTTATTATTTTATACAAAAATTTAAGAAATCATTGTAGTTATTAAGAATCCTCTTCACAGGGAGGCAGAGATGAGTCCAGTTTCTGGGGACAGAGAGACCAGAATCTTCCAAAGTAAGTAAAAGTCTGATAATCTGACTTAATCCAAAAACTGTGTCTATAAAGAGACAGTATCATTAAAGTTGGACTGATTCTTTGTTACAGCTGCAGAGAGCTGTTATCATGAAGGTTCGCTTTCTTCTTGCAACTAAACTATTTAACAAATCTGTCTCTTCTTTTATTTAATTGAAGGTGGTCTACAGGAGGTGTCAGATCAACATAAGATCAGTCTGAAGAGGAGATGTGAACGTGTGACCGAAGGAGCTGATAAAGTTGGAGGTGAGACCCTCCTCAACAGGATCTTCACTGAGCTCTACATCACAGAGGGACTGAGTGAAGAGGTGAACACCCAACATGAAGTGAGACAGCTGGAGACAGCTCCAAAGATGGAGACCCTCCATGACACGCCCATCAGGTGTCATGAGATCTTTCAAACCTTACCTGACCAACAGGAGAAGGTCATCAGAGTGGTTCTGACCAACGGCGTGGCTGGTGTTGGAAAAACCTTCTCAGTGCAGAAGTTCACTCTGGACTGGGCAGAGGGTTTGGAGAACCAAGACCTGGATCAGGTGGTCCTGCTTTCATTCAGGGAGCTGAACCTGATCAGAGATGAGCGCTTCAGTCTTCTGAGTCTGCTCCATGTATTCCATCCAACAGTAGAGAAGGTCACAGCAGAGAGGCTGGCTGTCTGTAAACTTCTGTTCATCTTTGACGGTCTGGATGAAAGCAGACTGTCTCTGGATTTCACAGACTCTGAGGTCCTGTCTGACGTCACACAGAAGTCTTCACTCAACGTTCTGTTAACAAACCTCATCAAGGGGAACCTGCTCCCCTCAGCTCTCATCTGGATAACTTCTCGACCTGCAGCAGCCAATCAGATCCCTCCTTCTCGTGTGGACAGGGTAACAGAAGTACGAGGCTTCACTGACGCCCAGAAGGACGAGTACTTCAGGAAGAGGTTCAGAGATGAAGATCTGTCCAGAAGAATCATCTCACACATTAAGTCCTCCAGGAGCCTCCACATCATGTGTCAGATCCCGGTCTTCTGCTGGATCACTGCTACAGTTCTGGGGGACATGATGAGCAGAGAGCAGAGAGGAGAGCTGCCCAAGACCCTGACTGACATGTACTCACACTTCCTGCTGGTCCAGACTAAGAGGAAGAAGCAGAAGTATGAAAGAGGACATGAGACAAGTCCTCAGGAGCTGACGGAGGCTGACAGTGACGTCCTCCTGAAGCTGGGGAGGCTGGCCTTTGAACATCTGGAGAAAGGAAACGTTATGTTCTACCAAGAAGACCTGGAGCAGTGTGGTCTGAGTGTCACTGAGGCCTCCTGGTTCTCAGGAGTTTGTACAGTGGTCCACAAGACAGAAAGTGTGATCTTCCAGAAAACCGTCTACTGCTTCGTCCATCTGAGCGTTCAGGAGTTCCTGGCTGCAGTCTACAGTTTCCACTGTTACACCAAGAACAAGACTGAAGTACTGAGGGCCTTCTTGAAGGAGACTGGGAACATCGATGACAAGCTGAACCAACCACTCGATGAGTTCTTGAAGAAAGTGATGGAGGAGTCTCTCCAAAGTAAGAACGGTCACATGGATCTGTCTCGGCGTTCTTCACGGACTCTCTTTGAAGTCCAACCAGATACTTTTGGGACGCTTGCTTGGCCGAACAGACGACAGTCCAGAAACCATCAGGAGAATCATCTACAACCTGAAGAAGATGAGGAGTGAAGATATCTCTCCTGACAGAAGCATCAACATCTTCCACTGTCTGACAGAGATGAACGACCTCTCTGTTCATCAGGAGATCCAAGAGTTCCTGAAGTCAGAGAACAGATCAGAGAAGAACCTCTCAGAGATCCACTGCTCTGCTCTGGCCCACATGCTGCAGATGTCAGAGGAGGTTCTGGAGGACTTGGACCTTCAAACGTACACTACATCCCCGCAGGGACGCCTGAGACTGATTCCAGCTGTGAGGAACTGCAGAGCTGCTCGGTAAGTCTACAGAGACACTCGTTCGTATTTTTTCTGTCGTCCATGTGATGGAGAAGAGAAGCAGAGGTTTGAGACGACATAAAAGAAAACCTTCTCTGAAGATCTCAGATGTTGCTGCAGAGCTCTGACTCAGAGTTCCTGTAAACTAGTCAGTGATGTGTCATAGCCAGGAATGAGTGGATTTCTGTCTAGATACTGAAACTGAACAGTGTAGATAGTTGCAGTAAGATACACAGTTATTGGTTGATTGATTGATTGATCGATCTGTTATCGTCCTGGTTGGATTAGTTTAGACAGTGTCTCATTTAGGGGTGTCTCGATATGATATTGATATCCAATATTGGTCCAATATCAGCAAAAAACAAATATTGGATTATATCGGCCTGCATCTTAAATCTCTGATATCAGCTCTCCGATACAAGCAGTCCATTCCAGACTCCACTCCGGCACCTGAGTCTAGCAGCACCCAGATCCAGCACATAGAGCCCATGTGATCAAAACAACATTCAGAGTGTTTCCATGACACTTGAGAAAACCGAATTATCGGCTTACTCTGATTAAGACCGGACAACTGACACCCAGATAATGTGATTGGAATTCAGTTTTCTCTACCATATAACCAGCGTAGTCAGAGTATGAACCGACAATGCACGTGGGCTTGCGCCACGCCCCCGTAACCCCAGAACAAAAACACCAGAGTAGAGGAGTAGCGTTCGTCTCTTCTTTAGGTTGTAATGGGACACCCCTAATTTTATTTAAACTTCATCACATTTACAGGTCTTTACACTTTTACTTTATTCTTGATGTTTCAGCTTCTTTCTCAAAATGTGTGATGAACAAAACTCGTTATTCAGCCGATAAAAGGGTCGTTGTTGCACTGACATTTACTGATGATCAAACTCATGGCGGATTTGTCTGCAGGCTCCTTAACTGCGGACTGTCAGAGACTCACTGTGAAGTTGTGGCCTCTGCTCTGAAGTCCAACCCCTCCCATCTGAGAGAGCTGGACCTGAGTGAAAACTATCTACAGGATTCAGGAGTGAAGCAGCTTTCTGCTGGACTGGAGAGTCCGAACTGCAGACTGGAGACTCTGAGGTCAGTTCTGTGGTTTAGTATCACTTCAGTTTTTCATGTTATATTATGGGCTCTGTTATTCTGTCCTGTAAGTCAGGCAGATAAAATGTCCCTCACGTCCACACTTCCTCATTGTGGTGTTAAACTAACCTCGCCTTCTCTCTTTGGCGCTGATCTCTCACAAACGCTGACACCCATTTCCTCAGGAAGTGACCTATTTCTGCACCCGGCTATTCAACAAGTTCTCCATGTTAGAGCACTTCTCTCTGGATCTAAACTGCAACAGGCTCAGCTTTGCAAACATGATTATATCTGCAGACATGGAAAGACGAAACGCTGCTCTCCCAGTCTGCAGCAGTGTCACATTGAAATCCAAGAACACATGAGATCTGGTTTATCTGGATTTACTCCTAACTGTGTTTTCTTTGTTCAGGTTGTTTGACTGCAGTGTGTCTGAGATCAGCTGTGTCACTCTGGGTTCAGCTCTGAAGTCCAACCCCTCCCACCTGAGAGAGCTGGACCTGAGCTTCAACCTGCTGAAGGACTCAGGAGTGGAGCAGCTGTGTGGGTTTCTGCAGAGTCCAGACTGCAGACTGGAGACCCTGAGGTCAGAATGCTGCACCTAGATAAATATGACTTGTTATGATGTGTTTGGCGTTTACCATGTTGCCTGTATTTGCTCAGACATGAATCATGCATACAGACATTATGATTTTATCCCTAAAAATAAACAACTATAATAACCAATGAGACGGGAGCAGCAGCAGCAGCAGTAGGTGTGGATGTTCCTCACTGTCTGAGAGGAGGATCACATGATGGCAGATCAGATCTTTTTAGCCACCTGAGGAGTCATCATCACAACCAAAATGTGACTCATCGACCTGATCAGCTGATCATAGGGCTGCAGGAGGAGGTCCATGCTTGTGCTGCAGTCTAACAGAGAAGTCAAACTCTTAAGCTGAGTATAGTTCTCAGACTGGAGTCTGTCAGAGTGGCTTTCTTTTTGGTCCTCCAGCTGTTTAAGACTGACCCGGACCCTCTGTAGGTCATTGAAGTGCAGTTTATCCCATACAACTCCACGTAAAATAGACATAAACCATCCCGTTTGACCTAACTCAGCTCTGGAGATCGAGCGTCATCCACCCTCTCATGTTACAACTTTTACTCTCTGTTCAGGTTGGATGTCTGCAACTTGTCAGAGATCGGCTATGCCTCCCTGGTCTCGGCTCTTAAGTCCAACTCCCCCCACCTGAGGGAGCTGAAGTTGACTTTCAGTGAGCTGCAGGACTCTGGAGCGGAGCAGCTGTGTGGGTTTCTGCAGAGTCCAGACTGCAGACTGGAGACTCTGAGGTCAGAAACCATCCCTGTTTTTGGCTAACAGTAATATGACGTGCAATCAGCTGACTCAGTTGATTTTATTTATAACTCATACTAATATCCTGTTTATCCTTTAAAGTAACCTTATACTAATTTGTGACCTGATGTGAAAAAAGGGACTAATCTTGGTCAATCATCAGTTAGCAGGTAAAAGTAAAACTGCAGAGAGTGAAGAGGTTATTTCTTGATTTTTAAATTTTTAACTCTTTGAGGTGTTTAAGTTCCTGTTCTTCAGAAAATTAAACTTCTTCTTCTTCTCTTCTTCGTTCAGATTGATGGCCTGCAGTTTGTCCGAGATCAGCTGTTCTTCTCTGGCCTCAGCTCTGAAGTCCAACCCCTCACACCTGAGAGAGCTGGACCTGAGTAAGAACTACCTGCAGGACTCAGGAGTGGAGCAGCTGTGTGGTTTTCTGGAGAGTCCAGACTGCAGACTGGAGACTCTGAGGTCAGAAAGAGTTCTTAGTCTGGTTGTGATGTTAGAGTTAGACCCACCTCGTTCCTCGGGGAGTATATTTTGGTTAAGTGTGTTGATAGCAGCTCTGAGATAATCTCTGACCTCGATTCTACTGTCTGGGTTTGGACTGATGTCATCTTGACCGGAGTATTGTCAGTGCTGTGAAGAGGTTAAAACCAGACTGGAAGACCATCACCGTTTCTGACGGGGCTGACAGTTTTCTGAAGTAACCTCCTTCATCTCTTTATTCAGATTAAATCTCTGCCGTCTGTCTGAGATCAGCTGTTCCTCTCTGTCCTCGGCCCTGAAGTCCAACCCCTCCCACCTGAGAACGCTGGAGCTGGGAAAAAACCAGCTGGAGGACTCAGGAGTTCAGCTGTTGTGTGGTTTTCTGGAGAGTCCAGACTGCAGACTGGAGACTCTGAGGTCAGAAACCTTTTCCACGTCTGTGTTCATATCTCTGGAGTTAAACTTTAACTTGTACCAACTCAGTATTGAGTCTTTTAACCCTTTACATCTTTAAAAGTAGAAATCATCCATCCTCTTGACGTTGAGCTCTTAGAAGAATTTAACTTTTAAACAGAGACTTTGTCGTTTTAATAAACTTCATCCACTCTTTATTCAGGTTGTCCGACTGCAGTTTGTCCGAGACGAGCTGTTCGTCTCTGGTCTCTGCTCTGGAGTCCAACCCCTCCCACCTGAGGGAGCTGGACCTGAGTGAAAACTGTCTGCAGGGTCCAGGAGTGATGTCTGATCTTGTGAAACGTCCAGACTACAGACTGGAGACTCTGAGGTCAGTGCGGTGTTGGAGGCGGTTCATGTTGTCATATTAACTCTCAGTGTAGTCATCATAGAGAGGACCTGTTTGTTTACATCTTCATATTATTAGATTGTGAAGGTCTCCTCTGCTCGTAGCTGCTGTTACTCAAACTTCTGCTGTTACAGGTTCTGCTTTTGGTAAATTCATGATAAGGCCCGCCTCCTCAGGTGTTTCTCCTCATGTAATACTTTTTAACAGGAAAGACTCCATCTGTACAGTGAGCAGTAAACTTCTCCATCTCTTCACTAACGATGCGTCTCAGCACTGATTCCTGACTTCTGTGTTTTGTTGTTTTCTCCTCAGGTGGATGTGATCATATCTGTCAAGAGACAGTTAAGTGTGTTGGTGGTGGGTCAGCTGGTGTGTGAAGGTGGTGGAGGGAGATTGGAGCAGAGAGCCTGATGCTATAGTGACCGACGGAGGAATTACAGGAAGTGGAGTCGACGGCCTGAACTGATTGTACATAATAAAGCTTTTCATGAATTCACAAAGTTTATAATACACACTCAATAATACATACTCAGCCATCAAAGTGTCTCAAGACATTTTTATAGATCAAGGGTCGGCAACCCGCGGCTCTTTCTTCCCTAAGCTGCGGCTCCCAATGGATTTGGAAAATAAATAATAAATACTTAATTGCATTTTATTTTATTTTATTATTATTATTATTTTGTAATTCTAAATTCAAAGATTATAATGCTCTTGTAACATTAAATAAACTATTAAGGCTGCAACAACGAATCGATTAAGTAGATTCGTAGTGACGAAAAAATCTGTTGCCAACAAATTCTGTAATCGATTCGTCGGGTCTTTATATATGTCCATGGACACCGGCGTGTAAACATCAGCAGGACGCACAGAAAAGAAACAGCCATGGCCGAGGCAGCGGCTGAGAAAAACATGGACACAACCCAACCCAAATCCCGACCTAAAACATCAGTGGTGTGGGAAAACTTCACCAAGACTGAAAAGGAAGGCGTTCAGTGCAACATTTGCAAAGACCGTTTTGCATGGCTCGGGAGTACATCGATGATGCGTGAGCACAGGGCTCTCAAGTCTCACGCATTCAGCGTATGACACACGCATTCCCACTCGTTCACACGCTCACACACCACACATTGTATTTCTCACGCATTTAAATGAACATGGTGATGTCCACCAAGTTGCACTTCAACTATTGAACTGGGGGAAATCAACTGAGTTCCTCCGAGAGTTCAGAAGCTGCGTGCCACGCACAAGCCAATCAAATAAAGTATATCTACTGAACAGCCAATCAAAAAGCAGCATTGCTGTATCCGGGTAGATTTTGATATCTTGCGGTTTAACTACAGAAGAAGACAGACACTCGCCGAAATAGTTCATTTATTTCATAAATGCAACTCGCTACAGTTTTTTATATACTTTGTATAAAGGTAAAAAAAAAAAAAGATATATGCAATGTTATCTTCATTTTAGATGTCAAAGAGGTTTTGCGGCTCCCTGTGTTTTCTTTTCTGTGGGAAACTGGTCCAAGTGGCTCTTTGAGTGTTTAATTTTGCCGACCCCTGATATAGATCAAGACATCTAAAGACATTTATCAAGACGTCTCAAGACATTTTTATATCAAGACATCTGAAGACATCTTCAGACAAAAGTTAAAGATCAGCATCATAGTCCAAATATGTATGCAGGTTCTGTTCTGTTTTTATTAAACTCTGCACTTTAAGTACAAACATTTCAGATCACATGTTACACAGATACATTTATGATTAAAGATATGGAGAATTTAATCTGTTACTCTCATTTGGGTCTGTACCCTTAGAGTTTTGTATCTCTGAGTTGTTTTCTGTCGTATTTCAGAAATTTAACCTCATGTTGCATGCTTAGAAACAAGGAAATTATTTTTTCCTCATTAGTTCATCTAAACCATCTCTCTACTGTCTAATCGAAAAGCATAAACCGCATTAAACTGTCTCTCACCTTCTGTGCACTGCGATCACCTTCTGAGAAATCTTTGTAGATTTCCTGTGTAATGGATTTTATATCACACTGTTTGTTTGTTTTTTTGGAGATTTCTCAATATTGTTTTCTTCATCAAATAAATCTGATATACGTCTGAAACTGGGTCCTGAGCTTTGTCAGTAGTGTAAACTAGTTTGTGGACTGTCTGGAAATGTGACGTTTGATCCTGTTAGTTTTGTAAAAGTTAAAGCATTGTTTGTGCTTGGTTGTGAAACATAAACCTAGACATGATTTAAAGTCACTGTAGTGGCACCCACTCCCTTTTGCTGTACTTACTCTGTTTTGATACTCACTGTTTACTTCCTGAAGATGGAAAGAGGAGGAGCAACCCGACCATGTGATCCAGGCTCAAGAGAAGAAGAAGGAGGAAACACTGAAGGGGAAGTATGAGTCCACCGCTCCAGACTTCATTTTCAGAGAGGAGCGGAAGAGGGGGAGTTGAAGTCCAACACTCTGAGTATCTTCTAACCCTTTGACCTGTGGAGAGAGAAATGACAGAATGAAGTCAAAATTCAAACACAGTCATGATTTACAGAGTAAGAACATTAAACCTGAACCTGGTAAAACATGTAGGTGTTTACATAAGAGAGAGGAAATGGAGTTGCAGCTCTTTTTATTAAAGTCTGTGTTTATGGATGTGAGCTTCTGTTTAAATGTTTATGTTCAGACATTAGAGCCGATGGCAGACCAGTTATTTCAGTGTTATCCAGCTGTTCTGTGCTGGTTCACTGTAAAGTGGGGCAGTCAGGATCTGAGGAAGTTCCAGTTTTTGGGAGAAATCTTGAATGTAAACCTCTGTTACAGACACTTTGCTGATCTTGTTAAAGTGGTTTACCTTCTAGAAGCGTTCACTGATGTTGACCCGGCTTTTTAGCTCTTGTCCGACTGACCTACTTTTTAAGCGCCCGTTATTCCTCCAGAGTCTGCGGTATTTACTTCGTTTTCTTGCTTGTGTCGGCAGTCGTGGCCAAAGGAGGATTCAGACAATTTTCCGAATTTTCTGGTTGGTTTCTACTGTCCGATATTGTAGCACGCTAACTTTGTTTGGGCCATAGACTGTATTTACTATTCTGCCTACTGTTCTGCCAGTATACGGATTTGAAGCCGAAAAGCTCTCGGTAATTCCGCGCCTTTTTCTCCACTTCCTGAAACTAACATTCCGCATTAGCGATGTACGCGTTCGGCGGGACAGTCGCTGTGATGACGCTCGAGGCGGAGTCAGCGTCGTCTACACGGCGGCCATTTTATTTTAGTATTCCATTCTGGTTCGCTTTACGGTAGCTGAGGGGAAGTGAGTAATCTGCATGATCAAAAATACTCTGAACTCGCTGAAATGACAGATTTACAAATGGTTTAGTTTATTACAGACCTTAATAACGTGGCTATGAGTCGGGATGCTTGGACATATTAACATGGCAGATTCACTTTGAGAAAAAACTTACTTTGAGAACTAGATAGCTCAGTTCTATCAGTTCTAGGATATTGTTTTTCACTATTTTGGTACCACAAGCTGAAATTAATAAAGTGATGCTGTTCAAAGCTAACCTATCTTTTGTACCACAGTGTAGAAGGAGAGGCCACACATATCCTGCCAGATACATCATCCTGCTGTCTTCTCTGTCTTAAAGAAACACCAATGCTAGCGTCCATGTCTGATTTATTTATTGATGTCAAGGCAAAAGGGGAGGAATCACCCGGTGCTGCCCCGAGTCTCTTAATGCTAGACAGAGAGCAAAAAACAACCTGCAGCAAATGAAGCAGTACTCAACTAAGATGCTCACTGACACCCTCGTGTGGCTGTAAACAGGTTTGGAATTTCAGTATCATTCATATTAATTTTTATTCCTACAGTGCCAAGTAAAGTTACTTTTACTGAAGAGCAGGTTAGCAGAAGAGTATTTATTTATTTATTTTGTTTACAGAAACCCACTGTACAAGATTCGGTGACAGGGGCAAGAAAATGTAGAAACACCTAACCTACCCAGACTTATTGTGGTGATCAGCAGCCAGGAAACAAAGAAGTCAATAAGAGACGGACAGACTTACAGAGGTAAAGGTAATATAACAGACATAACAGTGACTGCCATGCGGTGTATTTGTGTATAGAGGTACACTGTGTAGACATTTGAGTATGTAGAAATATCTACTGAACCAAGTCCTTGTTCACCTCTTTAATTGGATCACAGTCCCAAAGGTGGCATTTCAAGACAAGAAGAGTAACCGGTATGTTTGTATCTGGTTATTCAGAGTTACGCCACTGTGCGTGTCCACATCACTGCCAAACATGCAACCGTTAACTGTTTGAATGTCAAATCAAAATGAGAAGGGAGGAGCAGCTTGACCAGGTAATCCAAGCTCATGGGAACAGGAAAGAGATACTATCCAGTCTAACAGTCCAGACTTCATTCTGGAGCAGTGCAGGAGGGAAACTGGAGATCGAGGCAAAGTGAGTGTTAACCCGACATTAGGATTTCTCTTTTTCTTTGTAGACTGTGAAAAAAAAGAAATGTTTGATCCATATGAGTGCACAGAGTCATGATATGGAGAATAGATCGACATAAATCCAAGATTTAACAGAAAAAAACATGTATACTGTGTGTGTGTCTGTGTGTGTGTGGATGTGGATGTCTTCTTGCACTTATACATGTATCAAAATATTGAACAGATGAGCGCTTGTCCTGGGGAAGAGGATGACCGAGCAGAGTCTGCAGTATCTAGCCGTGATCAGTGTAAACGGTCCAAAGGTCAACCTGAAGATTTCCGTGATGAGCCTGAACCCTCAGACACACTGTAAGAAAACTTGATGATACCAACACAAAAATACAATTCATTTTAGTTTGTTAGATGTTCTATAGTGACCATATTTACAGGTAGATTGTGAGGCACAGTCAGGCGGTTCTAGCTATCACATTTTCATCAGTAGAAGCAGTTTGATTATTTAGACAAGATATTTTATCAAGATTTTATGACACTGGTTACAAACATCCTGTGTTTGGAGTCTGCGGTATCCAGCTGTCTGTCGCTGAACCTAAAGGTTTCAGCAATGAGCCTGAATCCTGAGACACCAGGACACTTAATCTGGACCTGACAGATCAGGATGGGTTAAAAATGACTAAACACTTTCCACGGATTCATCTCTGTGATAAAAAAAACATGTGATGGATGTAGTCTGGGTTTCAAATAGAAAGAACTGTGCCGGGGTTTTGTCCTGCAGAAAAGACACTCAAAGTTTCCTGTTTCAGAATTTACTTCAGGACGTCTCATGGTTTTAACCGTCAGTTTGGATTTAATGTTGGACTTTGATCATGGCAGTTGGTTTATTTACCACCTTTTTATGGCTTCTTGATTTAATCTTTTACTTTTGTGATGCACTAGATGAGCTGTTTGAATGTCTGTGCAGCACTGTCCCCTTGGTAAATTTATCTTTAGACACAAAGTGTTTGTCTTATTTCCCTCCAGGACAATAAAGTTCTTACCTTTGGATACTGATATAAAACTGAAGAAGACTTCAGCACAAAGTTCCTCTTATTTCTTAGCTCCTTTCATCAACATCAAATGCAAAGATATTAAAAGGATGCAAAAGGACAAAATAAAGACAGGGGATGTGTCACATTGGCTAAATTGAAAAACAGAAAAAGGACCCAATTGCAGAACAAAAAGTGATTTCATGAAAAAATAACTAAAACAACAAAAACTTTCTTCCTAAAATGTCTAACAAAATATCTAAAATCCAACAAAGACATGGGGGGAAAAAAACACATAAAAACACTGGCGATACCGGCATACACACACAGACATTCACATACAACACATTCACAATGAACCAACAAAGAAACAGAGGAAGAAAAGGACTGTATGTACACACAGGGAAATAAGCAATGAGAGGCAGGTGAGACACTGAGACACAGGTGCAGACAGTTACAGACGAGGGAAAACTGAGGAAGTAAAACGGGACTAGAAACACAGGAAATAAACAATTTCAAAATAAAACAGAAAACACTGATATGAGGAATAAAACACTGAGAACATGAGGGAACCGGAGTTGGACACAAACTGAAAACTCATAAGTAGGGTTGGGTATCGTTTGATTTTGAACGATTCCGATTCCAATTTCGATTCCTCATTTCGATTCCGATTCCTATCGATTCTCTAATTCGATTCTTTTAGGCAGGATATCAAAAAGAAAAAAAAAGCATGGTTTGAATGAGGGTGCTAACCGGGGCTCTTCTTTTTGGATGAAATTTCTGAACTTCTCCATGAATTTTTAAATCCTATTAACTTTTTAAGAACTTTACTATGAATTTCTCACAGAGCTATTTTCAACCAGTATATAAATATCAATTTTTGTTTTCAGGTCGTTTGTCTATGAAAAAGTACAAGGGCTAACGTTAGGTGGATATTTAAGTTTACTCACCGTACACAGTTCAATTTCTTTACCGTTTCAAAGTTAGCAGAGGACAGAAGTAATTTATTGTTTCACTTATCTGATCCTGACTGGTTAGCGGAAGACAGGTGTTGTGCTGTAGAATGCACCCCTGCCGTAGAATGCCTCCCCTCCACTGATTAGCTTCTTAGTGGAAGAAATATGATCTCATATTTAATAAAACACGGGTATTAGATCATGTAAACGTGTCAAATGGAGCAGTAAACTTTCGTTTTGTTTGTATGTGTCTCAAAAATGCACATATAAAAGTGTACTTGGGTATATAAACTGTAGAGTAAGCTGTTACTGTAGAGAACATAATATTTTCAGGACAGTAAATATTCCGAATCAGAGGGCTATTGTTTTCGGCATATCTGAATAGCCTGAATGAAATCATTAAAGGCACACGCTTTAGATTCCGTCCAACGGTAAGAAAAACTTGGATTGTTTCGCCTTGTTGTGTACTTTCAACCGCGCTCCCGTCAGGGGTGCATTCTACGACACAACACCGGCGAAGCTCGTCAAAGACGAGCACTCGGGTATTTCTCCTCCATGAATCCTGAGGTGTTTAATCATGTTGGTCGTTTACCCTCCTTTGCATGATATAACTGTATTGCTAATGTTGCATTGAGATAAGAGTTCATTCTTCCTGCTAAAGTTAGCCAAACTTTTGACCAACGAAGAAGAAGCTGCCGAACACCAACGAGGACGGAGCGTACGAGACGAAGCCACACAGAGAGAGGAGAGAGACAGAGAGAGATTGTAACCCACAGCGGCTGCATTGCTGTGGGTTGCAATGTACTTTCTGTCTCTCTCCTCTCTCTGTGTGGCTTCGTCTCATACGCTCCGTCCTCATTGGTGTTAAGAGGCTTCTTCTTCGTTGATTTTCAGCGGCTATTTCTTCCGGTCGGCGGACTCTGGCATCGAAACTTGGAATCGAAATTTTAATATTTGAACGATACCGGAAGAATCGAAGTTTTTGTCCCGATTCCCATCGATTCTCGATTCTCGATTCCCAACCCTACTCATAAGACAGGACTACAGGGTGACAGGAACAATAGGGATAATCACAAAGAAAATACACTACAGGGAAACACAAACCAGAACATATCATGTCAGTATGGTGTAAATATATATAAAAAAAAGCTGTCCCTCATCCACACTTGGTAGTATTGTGTCTCCTTCGAGCCTGGGTCTTCTACCAGAGGTCTGGGAGCCCAAGGGTTCTGCGCAGGATCTTAGCTATCCCTAGGAGTGTGCCTATCAGGATAGACAACTCAGATGTTATTCCCGGTATCTGCCGGAAATGTCTCATCTATTGTCTCTGAGGTTGTGGTAGCCACCGGTGCAACAATATAAAAAAACAACCAAAACAAGAGAAAGGTGTGTGAACTGCATTCAAGAAACAAAGCTAAAAACTGCAGTTCCTCAAGTGCCCACCAGAGGCCGGCTACAAGCTCATACACTGTTTATACTATAGACAATTCGGTTCCGCCTTCCGTCAGTACACGGATTTGAAGCCAAAAAGCTCTCAGTGATTCTGCGTTTTTCTCCACTTCCTGAAACCAACATTGCGCATTAGCATTGTACGCATTTTGCGGGAGAGTCACCGAGAGTTGCTCTGATGACGCTCAGCTCAAACAGCGTTTCCCCCGGCTGCAATTTTTTTTTTCCTTGTGGGATGGTAGGGGAATGTCCCACCCTCCTTCGCCTCTGATTGGCTACAAGTGCTGGGCTCCGATTGGTTATTCCTTATGGCTGTGAAACGTCATCGTCTGTAGGGTTAGGGTAAGGAGATTCGGAAGTGCGATAATGTTCTGTAATGTTCTTAGGTTGAGTGCTAGATGACCTTTCCAGCTTTTCTAGCCAATCAGAGGCGAAGGAGGCGGGCCTTTCCCCTACTGTTCTACAAAAAAAAAAAAATGCCCCGTGATGAGCTATGCAATCTTCGTACGCCCATAGGCTGCATCAAGTGTCAATCATAGACAACATGAACCCCCTAATAATTTTTAAAAATGGAGCTGTACAGAAAAAAGAGGACTTGAACACAAACCAGTCTGACAGTAACTACATGTCATGACCAGGGGGAAGAAAATTGTATGTTCTGTGTAATAATAATCCACCCTGTTTTCTCAGGCGTATCACGACAGCAATGGTCACATTCATGATAATCAATAATCAAATATTGAGTTGATAACAACCGTAATAACTTTATTTTGATGTCTGCCCTGCAGTCCATTTGTAGTTCTCTGTGACCACCTTAGCTTCCAGACTGTTCTTACAAGTCTCTATTTGTACAATGAAACAGAAAATCAGAAGTCCTGAAGAATCTGGTCTGCGCCAGCTGTGGTGGTCTAAAGGGGGTTTCAGATCAACATAAGGTCAGTCTGAGGAGATTTGAACGTGTTACTGAAGGAGCTGATGAAAGAAGAAGTGAGACCCTCCTCAACAGGATCTTCACTGAGCTTTACATCACAGAGGGACTGAGTGAAGAGGTGAACACACAACATGAAGTGAGACAGCTGGAGACCTCCTCAAAGACAGAGATCATCCATGAGACTTCAATCAAGTGCCATGAGATCTTTAGAGTCTTACCAGGTCAACACAAAGTCATCAGAGTGGTTCTGACCAACGGCGTGGCTGGTGTTGGAAAAACCTTCTCAGTGCAGAAGTTCACTCTGGACTGGGCAGAGGGTTTGGAGAACCAAGACCTCCATCTGGTGGTCCTGCTTTCATTCAGGGAGCTGAACCTGATCAGAGGTGAGCGCTTCAGTCTTCTGAGTCTGCTCCATGTTTTCCATCCAACACTAGAGAAGGTCACAGCAGAGACGCTGGCTGTCTGTAAACTTCTGTTCATCTTTGACGGTCTGGATGAAAGCAGACTGTCTCTGGATTTCACAGACTCTGAGGTGGTGTCTGACGTCACACAGAAGTCTTCACTCAACGTTCTGTTAACAAACCTCATCAAGGGGAACCTGCTCCCCTCAGCTCTCATCTGGATAACTTCTCGACCTGCAGCAGCCAATCAGATCCCTCCTTCACGTGTGGACAGGGTAACAGAAGTACGAGGCTTCACTGACGCCCAGAAGGACGAGTACTTCAGGAAGAGGTTCACAGATGAAGATCTGTCCAGAAGAATCATCTCACACATCAAGTCCTCCAGGAGCCTCCACATCATGTGTCAGATCCCGGTCTTCTGCTGGATCACTGCGACAGTTCTGGAGAACATGATGATCAGGGAGCAGAGAGGAGAGCTGCCCAAGACCCTGACTGACATGTACTCACACTTCCTGCTGGTCCAGACTCAGAGGAAGAAGCAGAAGTATGAAAGAGGACATGAGACAAGTCCTCAGGAGCTGACTGAGGCTGACAGTGACGTCCTCCTGAAGCTGGGGAGGCTGGCCTTTGAACATCTGCAGAAAGGAGACATCATGTTCTACCAAGAAGACCTGGAGCGGTATGGTCTGGATGTCTCAGAGGCCTCGGTGTACTCAGGAGTTTGTACAGAGATCTTCAGAAGAGAGAGTGTGATCTTCCAGAAAACCGTCTACTGCTTTGTTCATCTGAGCGTTCAGGAGTTCCTGGCAGCAGTCTCCATGTTCCACTTTTACACCAGCAACAACACAGAAGTATTGGAGGCTTTCCTAAAAGACTACGCAGACGGGTCCTCAGACCGAACCTCTTTTGTTGAGAACAGTTCTGTTTTTCCTGCAGAGGACGATAGTGGAGGTCCACCCCTGGATGCCTTCCTGCGCAAAGCCATGGGGCTATCTCTCCAAAGTAAGAACGGTCACATGGATCTGGTAGTGCGCTTTCTTCACGGCCTCTCTCTGAAGTCCAACCAGATACTTTTGGGAAGACTGCTGGGCCCAACAGACAACAGTCCAGAAATGATCCAGAGGGTCATCTACAGCCTGAAAAGTATGAACAGCAATGAGATCTCCCCTGACAGAAGCATCAACATCTTCCACTGTCTGACGGAGATAAATGACAACACAGTAGGTCAAGAGATTCAGCAGTTCCTGAAATCAGAGAACAGATCGATAGAGAGACTCTCTGAGATCCACTGCTCCGCTCTGGCCTACATGCTGCAGATGTCGGAGGAGGTTCATGATGAGCTTGATCTCAAGAAGTTCAACACAACACTGCAGGGACGGCTGAGACTTGTTTTAGCAGTGAGGAACTGCAGAGCTGCTCGGTGAGTCCCGATGTTTATCTTGATCTTGTTGCATCTTATCTTGGTCCCATTTATAGACTAGATTCCCGAGTCTGTCTGTTGATGTTAATAATAATAATGCATCAGATTCATATAGCGCTTTATCAGAGACCCTCAAAGCGCTTTACATTAGATACATCATTCATTCGCTCACACAGTCACACTTTGGTGGTGGTGGAAACGTGGCTGCCATTCTGCGCCTACGGCCTCTCCGACCACCACCACACAACACTCACAATCATACACCAGTGGAGGACACACACTGGGAGCAAGGTGGGTTAAGTGTCTTGCCCAAGGACACAACGGACAGACTTGGATTAGGGGGGAATCGAACCACCAACCTTCCGGTCATTGGACGACCGCTCTACCTCCTGAGCTACTGCCTGTTGTTGGGCAAGACACTTTACCCACCTTGCTGCCAGTGTGTGTCCTCCACTGGTGTATGATTGTGAGTGTTGTTAGGTCGGAGAGACCGTAGGCTCAAACTGGCAGACACGTTTCTGTCAGTCTGCTCCAGGTCAGCTGTAACCACTAAGGTAGTTTACCGCAACCAAGGTGTAACTGTGTGAGCAAATGAATGATGTATCCAATATAAAGCACTTTGAGGGTCTCTGATAAAGTCCTATATGAAATCTGAAGCATTATTATCATTATTATTATTATTATTATTATTATCATTATGACAGACTATCTGCCTGCGGACTCTCAGAAACTCACTACACAGTTGTGGCCTCAGCTCTGAAATCTAAACCCTCCCATTTGAGGGAGCTGGACCTAAGCCACAACCTGCTGCAGGGTTCTGGAGTGAAGGTGTTACTGGCTGGTCTGGAGAGTCCAAACTGTAGACTGGAGACTCTGAGGTAAGTTTCCTGATCCAGGGTTCAAAGTTTTGGTTTATAATTTTCAGATTTTCCTGATCACGTATCCAAAGTCATTTCAACTAATTTAGAAAATATCAGAAAATATTCCACAACAGGCCAAGTTTGAACTTTGAACTGCAGGATTAATTTTATTCCAGATTGAAGGGCTGCCGCCTGTCAGAGATGAGTGTTGCCTCCCTGATCTCTGCTCTAAAGTCCAACCCCTCATATCTGAGAGCGCTGAAGCTGAGTTTGAACAAAGTGCTGGATTCAGGAGTGAAGCACATATGTGGATTTCTGGAGAGTCCCCTTAGTAGGCTGAAGACGTTAAGGTTGGCTGGCTATTTTGACTTCTTGCTGAAACTGCATTTATTTGGTGCTATTTGTTTCTGTGCCGGTATTCATGGTAACAGATAGCAGATATCGCTGCAACAAAGGAAACCCACACATCAGCTGTATTGTGTGCATCACACCAGGACAACTGGCCTTCAGCAGCTTTTCAAAGTCTGTTTCCCAGTTTCTAGAACCGATGAAATATTTTGTTGTCCTAAAAAGACACATGGAGTTGGTGCTGATTGTTTGTGACAGATTTCACAGCATACATTTTTAAACAGGTTAGAGGGCTGCGGTTTGTCCGAGATCAGCTGTTCTTCTCTGACCTCTGCTCTGAAGTCCAACCCCTCACACCTGAGAGAGCTGGACCTGAGTTTTAACGATCTGCAGGACTCAGGAGTGGAGCAGCTGTGTGGATTTCTGGAGAGTCCAGACTGCAGACTGGAGACTCTGAGGTCAGAAACCACTTAAATTTCATGTCCTTGAAGCGTCATCACACACTCAAGCTGTCGGCTCAATACATCGAACAGAACATTATCACACTTCTGAATCGCCTAACCCTAACCTGAGAGACGATGACGTTTCACAGCCGTTAGGAATAACCAATCGGAGCCCAGCACTTCTAGCCAACCAGAGGCAAAGGAGGGCAGGACCTTCCCCTAAGAACCTACAAAAAAAAAAATTCGCATCCTGGAAATACCGAGAGCAATTTGGCTTCAAATTTGTATAATGATGGGAGATGGAGCCAAGTTGTCCATAGTATCTACAGTCTGGTCCCAAACAACATACACAAACATGATTCATACCCTCAGGCATGTTTCCTCCTCGCCCCCAGATTCGTGTCTGTCTAATGTTGTAGCAGTAGGAGTTTTAGTAGTATTGCACCCTTGTCTGTTTTCTCCATTTCCTCCATCTCTGTAAGTTTCTCCCACCTCTCCTCTCAGTCCCTTAATCCATTCATGATCAGTCGTTTCGAACCATGATCCTACATTATGTAATGCACTATCAAACATTATCCTGTCATATTCAGGTGGTCAGAGTTTACTAAGAAAATGATCATTTCTGTGTGTAGACTGAAGAACTGCAGTTTGTCTGAGATCAGCTGTGTCACTCTGGGCTCAGCTCTGAAGTCCAACCCCTCATATCTGAGAGAGCTGGACCTGAGCTTCAACCTGCTGAAGGACTCAGGAGTGGAGCAGCTGTGTGGGTTCCTGGAGAGTCCAGACTGCAGACTGGAGACTCTGAGGTCAGAAACCTTATTTTTACTTGAATATCTTCTGTTAAAGACTTCTGCTAAAGTTGATTTAGTTCTTCACTGGTGTAGCCCATTGACTGTGTTTGAGTAATTTTAGGTTTAAAACTTTACAAAAGACACATTTTTACTGTTTACATCCACCTGAACTCCGAGTACCTCATTAAGATGAAGTAAATAAGGCAGTTTGTATCGTCAGCTGGTTTCACATTTATTCATAATTTTTGTTCTTTGACATTTCTCTTTAAGTTAATTGTGTCACTGTGATCAAACCATCCTTTTCTCTGTATTTCGCTATGTTATGACTTTAAATCAAGTATTCTTTGAACAGGTTTAGGGCCTGCGGTTTGTCCGAGATCAGCTGTTCTTCTCTGACCTCTGCTCTGAAGTCCAACCCCTCGCACCTGAGAGAGCTGAACCTGAGTTTTAACAATCTGCAGGACTCAGGAGTGGAGCAGCTGTGTGAGTTTCTGGAGAGTCCAGACTGCAGACTGGAGACCCTGAGGTCAGAGTTTTTATCCTCCGCACTATTATCACTAAAACAACTGTGTCGACACCCATCTGACACTGGTTTACATCAAACATCCTGATGCTAACACAGAGTTTTCCGCACACAAACAACACCTGGACAGACCCCCGAAGCGTATTTGCAGCCCCCTTGTTCAGTTCCTTGACTTTTGCAGATCTGTTTCTGTTTTTTTGTGCTTTCATGCAACATTCGATAATTGACAACTTTGCACGTGGAAAGACAAAAACATCAGGACATTAAAAAACATATATATACCTATTGCATTTCTGCATGAATTTCAACTTTTTAAAATGCTATTTATAACACCATCTTTATTCTGTAGTTTCATGTGGATGGTTAATAAATCAGAAATAGAGGAGTTCACTGCCTGACTCTCTTTGTGTATGCAGACTTCTGAAAGATTAACCCAGCAACTAACCTCCATCGTTTTGATGATTCATTTTCCTTTATTTGTGGCTTTATTTTGTAATGTTAAGATCAGTATTAAAGAGTTTTATTAAAAATCGTAAATAACCTTATATCCTGAAGTTGAATATCTTTTTTAGATTGTTAGGCCGCAGTTTGACAGAGATCAGCTGTACCTCTCTGGCCTCAGCTCTGAAGTTGAACCCCCCATATCTGAGAGAGCTGGACCTGAGTAACAACAGGCTGGAGGACTCAGGAGTGGAGCAGCTGTGTGGGTTTCTGGAGAGTCCAGACTGCAGACTGGAGACTCTGAGGTCAGGGACTAACTTAAACTATAGTGCTCAGATAAGAAAGACACAAAACAAAGTTACACAGATACACAGCTAGTGGATATATGACCCTATATTTAATGTTTTACTCTGAGTCTTTGAACCGCCTGGGTTTATCTTTGATTTTTGGATTTGAAATTGATTAAGTCTAATACACATAGATGAATGAAATCCAAGTTCATACGCATCTATCAAAAGTATTTAGTATTTTCCCCTCATTTACACAGAGTTCACCTTTTAAACAGCATCAGTATTGTCATGTATTATTAAGTTAAATCATTTGTTCCTTTCTCAGGTTGACACTCTGCAGTTTGTCCGAGATCAGCTGTTCTTCTCTGGTCTCTGCTCTGAAGTCCAACCCCTCACACCTGAGAGAGCTGGACCTGAGTAACAACAAGCTGGAGGACTCTGGAGTGGAGCAGCTGTGTGACCTTGTGAAGAGTCCAGACTGCAGACTGGAGACCCTGAGGTCAGAAACCTTATAATAACCTGATGAACATGATGAGAGAGACACCAAACTGCTGATGTTTTATTCATCCACGGAGTATCTAAGAGCGGTCATTTCTGTCTTTTGCTCATTGAAAAACAACTCAGTCTAAAAGTTTGACATGGTGTGTTTAGTTTTTTTTGTTGTTGTTGTTTTCCATAAGTTTTGTTGTCAGCTTGGAAATCTTAAAAAAGGAACTTTGTTGTTTTTTAATTTCGGCCCTGTTTGACTGATGGGGAGGGAACAGCTTCTGAAACTGGTCCAGCAGAGCCAACAGCTGAAGTTTGACCAGGTGAATGTCCATCATCAAACTGTATCCACTCCAAGTGCTTTATTTTACTTGAGAAAATTTGGCCTGAGGTGAAAAACACCTTTAAGTTCCCCTTTAAGTACTTTGGTTTCTGTTAGCAGGTAGTTTCAGTAGAACTGACAAATCACAGGTTTTTGTGTGTGTAGAGATTCTTGATCGTTTTGATTCATATAAAGATGACAATTGTTAAAAATGATCACATAATAAATTTTTTACATTTTTGGTTCACAAAAAAAAAAAACTCTGTCTGTCACCTGATTCATTACAGCAGGCTTTCCTTCAAAAAGTTATATCTGATTATTTACAGCATCAATGCTTCACCTTAAATGGTAATTCACCCATCATTATAATAATAATAATTATTATTATTATTATTATTAAAATAATAATAATAAACATGATTAAAATAACAAGAAAACAATTATTATAATTATAATATAGATCATATAATAATGATTATTATTAAAACAATAATAAAAACAATTATTATTAATAATTATTATTTTTTTATTTATTAAAATGATTATGATAATAATAATAATAATGTCAATTATAATATAGATAATATAATAATGATTATTGTTAAAATAATAATAAAAACAATTATTAGTAATAATAAGTATTATTTTTATTTATTAAAATGATGATAATAATAATAACAATAATAATAATAATAATAACAACTTTATTTTACTTTATTATTTACTTGTTCTCGCTCTCTTGAGTTTGAGAGTTCACAGATCTGCAGATGCAGGTTCACTGGACTTCATGTTGTGGATTCACTCAGGAACAAACATGTTGGACTGTGGCTCTGCTGTAAATGTGTCAGGCATCAGCAGGGGGGGAAAGCTCTGCTCCTGATAATTGGATTAACACGTGTGTGTGTGGAAGAAGGCCTGGTTTCATTTGTACAACATACCTGAATCCTCTCGGTCTGCACAGTCCTCCTTTTCCTTCAGCTCGTTTTCATTTCCAGTGAAGACTGCAGATGTCATTTCAGACAGATCCAGCAGAGGGCAGTGTGGACTCGGCGGCAGCAAGAAGAAAGCTTCACTGTTTTTTTCCCTCTGCTGTTCCAAACATGCAGGATCCACATTTACAAGACTACACTCATGACTGTGTCCACCAGGAGTTAGAACTTCTTTGGATCCACACCTAGTCGAGTTAAAGAAACAAGAAAAACATAAAAGGACTGCAGCAGCAGAGCCTAGTTTACAGGATTATTCATGAAAGAGTCAGCTGTGATCAGGCCGACCTGCTGCAGCCTGGATTCAGCCTGTAAGCTGATTTAAAGGCTTTGTTTTGACAGTCTATCCCTGTTTGAATTAACCGGAGAGCTCGCTCCTCTCCTTTGTCACGTGATAACAAAATAAAATGAGATATGAGGTAAATGAGAAACTTAATCATGTCACGCCTGAGCTCTCGATTCCTGTCCTGATTCTGTGAGCAGACCGGGAACACACAAACCATCCAAAGTCTCAGTCACCTGAATTTAAAGGGATATTCCAGCCTAAAATTAATTTAGGGTCAAACACGCTGTAACACAGAGTCAGACCCCCCCTCCAGAGATGAATGTTGCCGACTGCTTGCTTCTCTAGTTATACCAACTTTAGTAACGGCCGCAGGATAGCAATACACAGAGCCACGCCCTCAACCAAAACGCCACTCTATAGCCACAAATAATGCTCAGAACAGCACCTAACTTCATCAACAGGACATATAGGGTCACAGCCATAGTACTAAACACCAAACATCTTTTTCACTTTGACTCATTTCTTTAGCAAAGAGACTAAACACAACTCACCTACTCTCTTCCAGCAGACGCTTGTTTGTAGTGAGACCTCAGGCCAGTCCATTACAGACTACAGCGGGGTGCCGCAGCTCAAGGAAGAACATTTATGATCATTTCTTCATGGAAATACAATCAGACTGAGACGCTAAGGCAGAGGAACTACCGCGTCTGTAAAATGATTAATATGGTGATTATTACTTCAAGGAAATGATAAAGAAATGGGGGTCACAGGGGCACTGGAGCTTATCCCAGTATCTTCAGGCGAAGGCAGGGGACACTCTGGACAAGTCACCAGTTCATCACAGGGCTGACATACAGAGACGAACAACCATCCACGCTCACATTCACACCTACAGGCAATTTGAAGGTGACCTTTTAACCACACCCTACTTCTGCATGTTTTTGGGATGGAAATCGGAGTTCCTGTAGTAAACCCACGCAGACACAGGGAGAACATGCAAACTCCACACAGAAACGCCCTGACCCTGATTCCAACCAAAGACCTTCTTGTTGTGAGACGACAGTGCTAACCACTTCACCACTGTGCCGCCTTCAAGGAAGAACATTTATGATCATTTCTTTATCATTTCCTTGAAGTAATAATCACCATATTGATCATTTTACAGACGCGGTAGTTCTTCTGTCTTAGCGTCTCGGTCTGATTGTATTTCCATGAAGAAATGATCATAAATGTTCTTCCTTGAGCTGCGGCACCCCGCTGTAGTCTGTAATGGACTGGCCTGAGGTCTCGCTACAAACAAGCGTCTGCTGGAAGAGAGTAGGTGAGTTGTGTTTAGTCTCTTTGCTAAAGAAATGAGTCAAAGTTAAAAAGATGTTTGGTGTCTAGTACTATGTCTGTGACCCTATATGTCCTGTTGATGAAGTTAGGTGCTGTTCTGAGCATTATTTGTGGCTATAGAGTGGCGTTTTGGTTGAGGGCGTGGCTCTCTGTATTTCTATCCTGCAGTCGTTACTAAAGTTGGTATAACTAGAGAAGCAAGCGGTCGACAACATTCATCTCTGGAGGGGGGGTCTAACTCGGTGTTACGGCGTGTTTGACCCTAACATAATTTTACGCCGGAATATCCCTTTAAGGGCGTCTCATATTTCTCAAGAAGAAGCTGGAAAACACCTGTGAGATCGTCGCTTCGAACAGACCCAAACACCTGGACTGATTCAACACCATCAGTCCTGCCTCGTGTCAGGCGGATATCCTTGTTTTTCGCAGAGTGCTGGATGCCCATATAAGCGTCTATAGTGACTCAGAGAACGCTCACTCAGGCCTCGACTGAAGTCTGAACAGGAGGACGGGTTGATGGAGGCTGTAGGAGGAAACAGCCTGAATAGCATAAAACCAGGAATCATTCACGGACAGACGCCCACACAGACGCACACTCATCCAAACCTCTAAATATCTATAATTATATAAGGAGCTTCCTGCCTCCAGCGAAGAACAGGCGCTCCTTCACCACCAAAATAAACACGGCCTTTCAGCGGAAACCACGTCAAACGTTTGGAGTAAATTTAAGTGTGTGTTTGTATTTTTGCTCGTTGTCATGTTGAGTTAAATTATTCCTGATAAAGTTTGATTATAGATGAAAATAACAAACATCCGTCAAACTGGTCCAATTGAAATGTCCTGGTTTCATAGATGTTTTAACCTCTCTATCTGCTCCTGGATTGTCTCTATTTTATCCTCTTAATGCGTTTCTGATGTCCACTGTCGGGTCTCACCATCAAACTTTCATCAGACTCGGACTTATTTTCAGATTTTCTACATCTACACCCCTCCTGTATCGGCTGTATCGTCCTTCACTCTCTGTGTTTGTGCTCCATTTTCCTGCACCTGCTCTGTTTTCTCTAAACGAGGGCTAAACAAAGGAGTCCTGAGGCCGGCGGTAAGAGGAGCTCGCTCTATTATGGTGGAGTCCCTGATGGAGTCCAGGGTGGGGGCTGGGTGGAGGATGCAGATTTGCTGTAGTGTCAAAAAAAAAGATTGCAGGTTAAAATTACATTAAGAGGAGGAAACTAATCCTCTCTTCACCTGGGGACCGTCCCTCACTCACCCCGAACCATAACTCTTAGTTTTCCTGACACTTCTGGGTCACTGAGAGTCTCTCAATCCTTTAATTATTTACAGAAACGATCACTTTATATCCTCCGAATCTTGGAGTCAAACGACGACCTCACTAAAGCCTGCGTCTGAGCGATCGCCTGTTCAAACCATCTAAAGGAAATCAATATCCCACGTTCACCGCCTCCTCGTCTTTTGGTTTCTTTGGGTTAGTAGAACGTCGTGTGAGTCCCCGTGCAGCAGTGGAGCCCGGTTCGGTTGCAAATCCCAATCGGACGTTAGAATAAAAAATCATTAAGCTATTAATTGCAGCACAGTTTCCCTGCAGAGTTTGCAGAGGAGAGGTGGGAAGCTCTGCGGCACGTGGAGGCCTCTCCACGCTCACATGTCTCTTTCTGCTGCCCACACAGACAGGAAAACAGCCATCATCGCACGTGTTGCTCTTCCATCAGACATGCAGCGGTACGCCGTCCTCGATGTAGTCAGTGGTTTGTTTCACAATAACTCTGACCCTGGCGGCTCTTATAGAGAGAAAAAAACACCACCCAGCGCACACAATGGAGCACTTACATGTATTTCAGTCGCTGCTCCTGCTTTTGTGTTTTCACTCTGAAAGGACAAGTACCAGTCCAAACCAGCGGCTCAGAAACACATCATTATGGTGTTCCTGCTCTGCTGGTCCTCAGCCTGGAGCTCCACAGTCTCAGTCCAGGTCATAAAATGAAGAACAAACAGGAAAAATAACTCGGTGACCTTCTCGGGGGTTTCATCAGGTCTGGGTTCAGGAGTTTCCACGGTCTGTGAAGGTTTGGGGTCTCACGTTAGCCTGAAGTCTACCAGGAGAAGCTTCATGGCGATCCAGATGTCCTTCTCCAGCAGGACCTGGACCCTGCCCACAGCGCCAGAACTACCAGAAACTTGATTGTCCAGCTGAACCTGCAAGAGGATCTCTGGAGTACTTGTCAAGAGAAAGACGCGGGTTACAGAACCCACAAATCCAGACCAGCTGAATCAAAGCGACCTGGGTTTTAGTAGCACCCCCGCAGATCTTCAGGCCGCCATGCCTCGCCACAATGATGCGGTTTTAGTCCCGGTAGACGATCTCCAAAGAGAACGTAAATAAACCGAATTATAAGAGGTTTTTGTTTCTAAATCCTGGATCTCTGAGGACCCTGTTAGTAAAGAGTCTGAAGGTCTCCTGACCTCCAAGAACTTCATCGTTAACTCTGACACCAGATCACTCTTTAATAACCACAAAAAAAACCCCAGTGTTGTTTTTTAGTTGAGAAATAATGACTCTGTTTATGAGGCGTCTTTCCCCCTGAAGGTTTAATTTACAAACTGCATCAGAGAAATGGAGTTTGGGGGTCACAGCGAAGGGCGCAGATGGTCCTGAATCATTAAGAGGAGAAGTTTCTAGATGACTCTGAAACGTCATGAAGTGTCAGAGTAACTTTGGGCTTTTGTCCGTTCTGCTGCAGAGATCAGCAGATGGTGATGAAGGTGGAGGGAGGAGGTGAGAGGAGGTGTAGATCCTTTCAGGGCAGATGTCAAAGTTAGTTGGTGATTTAACTAGACTGCTGTCCCGGTCTACGGACTCTGGGTGACAGGGTATCCCGGGTACTGGAGAGTCCTGAGACCAGATTGAAGTAAAGGAGCTTTACTCCGAGCCTCCTACTGTGTACGTATATATATCTGTCTGTGTGTGCGTGTGTGTGTCTCCTAACAGCTGGAGACCGCTGACACAAAAACCAAACAGCTGAAATAGATTGAAAAGCTCGGAGGCGGCGAGCAGGAGGAAGCAGCAGCGAAGGAGATTACACCGAGAACAATGTCATCGTGCTGGAGGCGTCAGCGAGCGCGGGTCCAAAAATAGCTGATGGTCTCCTCCTGAACATTTGGTTTGAGTCAACAGTGTGTTCAGATGATATTTGCTCAGATAAACTCCACATTTGTTGTTTGTTTTTGCAAGATCTTCAAAAGTTCGGAGCAGAAATATCAGCACAGAAGACTCTGATATAAGAAGAGTGTCGTATACAGCCTTTATATATATATATATATATGTATATATGCTGCAGTATGATCACAAGTCTAATAAGTGTTAATGAATCTATTTAAACGTGTTGCATAGAAAAAAACAAACAAACACGTCCACGTTAACGTTTCTTTCTCACGCTGCTTCAGTAAAAAAATGCAAATGTAATCAGAGCGTGCGGCCTCCCGTCTCCTCCTGTGAGCCTGAGAAACACGGAGGGTGTGAAATGGGATTTCTGCTCCTAATGTCCCCGTCATCGGCCTCGCTGAAGACTAAGAGCGGGAGTTCACGTTGCCATGGATATCTCTGAGATGACTGAGGTATTTGGCCGTAGAAGTGGCGAGGAGAGAGTGCGGTGGAGAGCTGCCGCTTTATCTTATCTCTCAAGGTTTCAGTTTCAGATCCTCTTCAGGACTGATCCTCGCCGTGCAAAACTGCAGAAGCTTTTTAATTCTGCAGAAAATCTTCACCATCCTCTGCTGCTCTCAGAGAAATAAAGATTTAATCATAAAGGAGTTTGGAAGGAATTCACTTTCCCACCAGGAAACCTGCAACATGGACGCCCTCAGTCAGTGAACCACAAAACAACCAGGTTTATTCCTCTTAAATACGCTCAAATAAAACGACTGTGTAATTTACTTTTTACTGTGAAACTGAGACTATCATGAAACAGGAGAATAACAGCAAAGTCCTGCAGAGCTGAGAGCAAAACCAGAGGGTTTAATGGACCAGAAATGAAGCTCCTGGTTATCTTCTAATTATCTTCTGGTTATCTCCTTGTTAGCTCCTGGTTATGTTCTTGTTACCTCCTAGTTATCTTCTAGTTATTTTCTGGTTATCTTCTAATTATCTTCTGGTTATCTCCTTGCTAGCTCCTGGTTATGTTTTTGTTAGCTCCTGGTCCTGGTTCTCTGCCGGTTATGTCCTGGTTTACTTCTGCTTATGTTCTGGTTATCTTCTGGTTATCTGCTGGTTATCTCCGTGTTAGCTCCTGGTTATGTTCTTGTTACCTCCTAGTTATCTTCTAGTTATTTTCTGGTTATCTCCTAAATATTTTCTGGTTATCTGCTGGCTATCTCCTTGTTATCTCCTGGTTATCTTTGAGTTATCTCGGCTCAGAGTGTCCACATAAATCTAAACATCTTGGGCTGAGGAAGGTAACACCCGGTTCAGGAAAACTTTCCCAAATAATCCAGGAATGAAAACACCCCAAAATTTACAGACAGCTGCACGATAATCTCATGGTAACACGAGACAAAGAGAGTCACAGAATGATCTTCTAATTTTTTAACAATTATGGTTTGAAATCTAAAATCAGGCCTCATAAAATCCACTCACTACGTGAGTCCGGGTGATTCAGTCTGTTTCTGCGACATTTCCTTAAAAACTCAGAGTATTTTCAGAGACTGTTGGAGGTCATCTGTGGAGATTTATGGATTTATTCTTGTGGAAAAGTCTCATTTGACTTCATGAGACAGAGACCGCCATCTTTGTTGTGGTCTGGCAGCCAATCAGAGGCTGTATCCATGATCAGCTGATAAGAAAACCGATTAAATCTCTTGTTTTTGGTGCAGGGGCCAAAGAAAGCAGAATAGATGATTGCATCAGGATCAATAAACTTTATCAATCCCCAACCCTGGACAGAATAATCAATATTTGATTTGATACATTAGTTCTCTCAGATATTTGACTCAAACTGAGACCCACAGGTGAGTTTAGTTTCCTGGATTAAATTATCTGTTTGTTGTCGGATCTGTTTACATTGTGCCGCTCTGACTAATCCGATTAATGGAGTTAATCTCTGCTCCTCTTTGGTTTGGAGGAAAACTCTGCAGTTAGTCTGAAATTAAGAAGTCTGTTTAATCTGTAATTAATGAATCAAGTCTTTAATGATCTCCTCACATTGTTTCCATGGTAATCCTCCTCACAATCAGCTGTCTGTCTGTCCGTTTGTGAAGCTCGTTAACTGACCTCTCCTGACTGACAGCTCAGTCATCCAATAGCTGCAAGGAATCCACCGATCATCCAATAGGAGCTCAGAGTGATCTGCAGCTCTCTTCCTATTGGTGCAGCGTGTTTCTGCTCGGTTGCTGAAGCTTCTCTGCTCTTCAAGGTTGGATTCAGTCTTCGCACCAGGACGCGGCAGGACCTCCGTGTGCGCACAGACCGGATCAGCTGAGCCCGAGCTCTGCCCTCCTTCTTCCCCGGGAACCAGTCACCTCCTCCCGCAGCAGCAGCAGCAGAAGTCATCATGGATGAAATGGAGGAAGAGTTAAAATGCCCCGTGTGCGGCACCTTCTACCGGGAGCCCATCATCCTGCCCTGCTCCCACAACATCTGCCTGGCTTGTGCCCGGAATATCCTCGTCCAGACCCCCGACGCCGAGTCCCCACAGAGCAGCCGAGCCTCCGGATCCGGCGTCTCCGACTATGACTACCTGGATTTGGATAAAATGAGTTTGTACAGTGAGGCGGACAGTGGCTACGGCTCCTACGGGGGGTTCGTCAGCACTCCAACCACCCCTTGCCAAAAATCACCAAACGGGGTTCGGGTTTTCCCTCCCGCCGTCCCCCAGCCGCCCCCTCCGCAGCACCTCCTAGCACAGCCCGGCTCTTTACCGCCGATCCCCCGGAACTCCTGCATCACCTGCCCGCAGTGTCACCGCAGCCTCATCTTGGACGACCGGGGGCTCCGCGGATTCCCCAAGAACCGGGTCCTGGAGGGGGTAGTGGACCGGTACCAGCAGAGCAAAGCGGCCGCCCTCAAGTGTCAGCTGTGTGAGAAGAGTCCCAAAGAGGCCACGGTGATGTGCGAGCAGTGCGACGTCTTCTACTGCGACCCCTGCCGCCTGCGGTGCCATCCACCCCGCGGCCCCCTCGCCAAACACCGCCTGGTGCCGCCTGCGCAGGGGCGGATAAGCCGCCGCGCCAGTCCCCGCAAAATCTCCACCTGCACGGAGCACGAGCTGGAGAACCTGAGCATGTACTGTGTGCAGTGTAAGACCCCCGTGTGTTATCAGTGTTTGGAGGAGGGGAAGCACGGCACGCACGAGGTCAAAGCTCTGGGCGCAATGTGGAAACTGCACAAGGTGAGTGCGTGAAACCGACAAAACCGCAAAATCTGTGATTCCTCTCTCGTGGAGGGTGTTTTTCTCCGTGTTTGTGTGTCCGTGGGTGTGTTTGCAGTCCTCACTCTGAATGATTCACCATCTTTAGTCTGAGCGGAGCAACAAGTCTGCCTCCGGAATAATCTGCGCAAATCTTGACAGGGTCGTTGAGCGTCCAGATCCAGAGCAGTGAGGGTGTAGATTCACGCTTTAAAACACAGCCAGTGATCGATTTCACCCTCCGGATCATGTTTCAGTCAGTGTTGTGAGGCAGAGAGGGGGTGGGGGGTGGAGGGGTGGGGAGTGCGCACCTCTCCAGACTGGGGACTCCGCTGTTTCTGTGCGCAAAGCTGTCAGGAGGAAGAAGAAGAAGAAGCTCTGTTTGAAATTCTGTTCACGGCTGGAAACAACAAGGAGGAGGATTCCTGTCAGTATGTTCCCATCATCGCAGCAGCGTCTTCTTTATGAAATGGTGAATGTTCACTGCTTCACTGAGGATTCACGTCCTCATGCTTTCACTCATCAGGGCAGGAGCAACAAAACCAAAAACAGGATCTAGATCAGAGGATGATTAGACAGATCTGAATGTTTGTTATTTCTGCAGCCTCTCTCTCTCTTTGGGCTCTCGTTGGTCCTCTGCTTTACTAACACACACTCACTCCTCTGACTCCGTATTCTTGCCTGTATCTTTGTTGTGTTTGATCCTGTTGAACCGTAGAACGATTATGTGACGCAGTGTTTCCCACACAGAGAATAACTGGATGAGCCGCCCAGGTACAGGTACACCCAGGTTTGTCTGTCCAGGTATCATCACAGATCACTTCAGCACTTCCTCCTTCCTCCTTCCTCGCTCTCTGCTCTTCTATCTGTGAATCTGTGTTTAATTCGGACCTTCCTACGCTGCTGTTGTTAAAGTCATTTCTGCTGATGTCATTCTGCAGTATCTGAGTCATGGTTCGCCGTGAAACTCTACGCTGTTGTTGGCGAGTTTTGTTTACATGCAGATCACGTGTTTGTGAGAACAGAAAACCGGTGAGGGATCAGAGAGGTCAAGATTTGGTGATTTTATGCTGATTAAAGATGGAGGAAGAGTTACTGGTGTTGAAGTTCTGGTTGATGATCTGAGAAGCAGTTGAAAAAACTTGAGCCGTTGAGGCAGATAACCCCCCCCCCCCCCCGAACCTGTCTCCCCCTCCCCACGACACACCCCCTCTGACAGAGCAAGAAGCTGTCCGGCAGAAGATCCTACGCTAGCTTCAAACAGGATTCACCATGTCGGATTGTTAGTGACTAGACTAGAGTGGGAGGGGATGAGTCGGAACTACGGGAGAGGGGTGTGTCGAATACAGCGAGGTGATTGGATGGAGAGGTGGAGCAGGAGATTGACCAATAGGAGCTGTCCGGGATGGATTTTTTCCAATCTTTTTTCTCTTCACTTTGTGGAGATCGCACTAAAGGACCATGATCGCCATAGAAACAAGGTTCATAATAATTACCAATCTTTAGGATCATCGACCATATCTTTAACTGGTGTTAACTCACACTTCCCTTTCATGTTTATTAGTAAACAAGATCACGAGAGTCAAGATTGACGATTTCTATATCCTGATTTTGATGCCTTGTCTCTGGCGCTCTCATCGTAACCCGACCATTGAATGACGCTCTTGACCTCAGTGAGATAATTCAGAATATGTCAAACAAATTATTCTGGATTATTTTGTTTTCATGATCGTAGAAATCTAAAACCCCTAACTCAGATTTAGCCTTTAGTTCCTGTTTCAGCTCCAGGGACCTTCAGCACGCCTGACACCGGAGCTCAAACCCTCAGATTCTGGTCCTCGCAGTATTGAACCCTCACCTCCACACTCTCAGCTTCCTGCAGCACAAGAGGAACCAGATATAGAGGCTTTTCAAACCTCATCCCACCCACCCACTCCCACTCCCACACTCACAGGGAGAGAAGTGAGCAGCGATGGTGTCTCATTGTTTCCATGGAAAAGAGAGAAAATGTTTCACCGGATTTTCACATGTGATCCGTTTTCATCGTTTCATCTCCGGTCAGATCTGGACCTGAGTGAGGCAGGTGACCAGGTGACCCCCGGCTCGACCTCGTCCCTCCTCCTTTTTCTGCAGCTTACCCCTCCATTTTCAATCTCTGCAGGCTCCAAACAAACAATCACAGGTAAACTGGTCGTCTACGGCTCCAAAAACATCCATTTATCAGAGCTGCAGTCCAATCATCTCCCCTGAATGGTGCTGAGATACTGGGTCACCTCAGGTGTGCGGGGTAAATGGAGGACTGATGGGAAAATCAGAGGGGGTCGATGGTGTCGCTCACATCAAACCGCCATCATTCGAGAAGTTTTCGACCTTTGCTTCTTCATCTTTCTTGGATGTAAAATCGGACGGAGGAGTATTTTTAGAAAAGCCATCAACAGCTCTGCGGATCCTGGAGCCGGTTTTCATCCCCTCACCCTGTTCTCTGGCTGCTCCTGCTCGTTCCTGACCCGTTATCTGAGGCCTGCAGAAACGGAGCAGATGGCTGAGGGCTCGGAGCTGGCAGAACCGGGGGTGGGCATCTTTCAGAGCTTCAGGGTGTTCCTCCGCACAGAATCTATCAGAGAGAAATCTGACTCTGCTCCATAAAAATCTGCACACAGAACCTTTTTCTCTGATTCTTGAGCTTTTGCAGGAAGAATTAAGCCAAGTTTTACAAATGCAGTTATGGCGACTCTGGCTTCCTCTGAACTCCTGGGATTGAACGTAAAATTGGAGCTTAATTTTTCTACATGTTTAGTTTATAAAATATCAGATTATGATAGAAAGGAAAAAACAGTAGTTTAAAAAGATTTTAATTTGTGTTTAGAGGCAGTTTATGATGCAAAAACCTCACATTGGAGGAGCCGGACCCCCAAATCAATCATCTTATTTCTCAGAGTCATGACTTTGGCGAATTTAAAGAGTTCAGACTCTTTCCTTTTGACCTGCTCTGTAAGATTAGTCCTAATAATATTAAATTTAGTTAATTCTATACTCTCACCATTCAGTCAACACCCTGAGTGACGGGAAAATGTTCGAGTCTTTACCAAACCCACAAATTAAGAATAATTTTACAGACTAATCTGAATATTTTTAACCTCAGGAGTTTTTTCCTCAAAGTCAGAACCAAGAATATTGAATTTAAGTGTCCATGCTGTGACATCCTGCAGGTTTCTCTATTCTCCTTTTTGCACACACGGCTGGTAGACGTCGTTTTGAACAGAGGTGGATTTTTATAACAGCCACAGTTGAAGTGTTTGGTAGAAAATACTGAAGTCTTGTTAAACTGTCCGCAAAGACTCAGAAGAGGAGAAGGCGAAGTGCTGGTTTTAGTCAGTATGGAGAGCAAAAGCAGGCGTGATGTAATCCACCGCAATAAACGCCCATATTTGGTCATCTGATGAGTCTTTCTTCCTTTATTTCCTATGTAGAGTCATGCTGCGTTCGAGTTACCTCGGAAGTCAGATGTCGGAGTTGGAAATGACGTCACACTCAAGTTACCGGCGTTTCAGTTACAAAGTCAGAAAAAAGCAAAATCGGAGGCGGAAACAAGATCGATACATCTACGAAAGTTATTTTAGCACTTGTTATTTTATGTCATTTTAGCATCCGCTTTTGTAGATGTAGCCATCTTTTTCCGCTTCCGATTTTGCTCTTTTCCGCTTCGGTAACTGAAACGCTTGTAACTCGGGTATGACGTCATTTCCAACGCCGACATCTGACTTCCGAGGTAACTCAAACGCAGCATGACTTTACATGTTTATAAAGAGGAAGTTAGGCTCATCAGATGACCAAATATGGGCGGCTATTGCGGTGGATTATATCACGCCTGCTTTTGCTCTCCATACTGACTAAAACCAGCTCTTCCACCAGCATAAATTCAACTATCTGATCTGGATTTAACGTTTACACTGAGACACAAATCTGTTCAATTCTGGTTGAACACGCTGACTCACTTTGCTCCTCCCACCTCTCATTTGATTTGACCAGAGACACCCAATTAAAGATTTAATCTGGAGACATTAATCCATGAAGGTCCACAGATAACCTCACGTTTAATCTGCAAAGGCTGGATATGTTCATGCTCAGGTTGTTGTAGGAAGTAAATAACCTCAGTGCAGTTAAAGGTTTTGTGTTTCTGTTGCCATGGTAACAGCCTCTTAAACCTGAGGAGTTTCTTGTCCTCCATTAAAGTGATGAAAAAAGCCGAAGAAGTGATCTGACATCTCCTTGATCCGCTGTTTTTCTAAACTTTTTGAACATTTTTTAGCCTTCACCGAAAACGTCAGAAAACCTTCACCTCAACCGAGAGGCGCTCAGACGTTTACGAACGCGCTCACGTCTTTCTTCTTCTTCTTCTCGTCAAAATGATCAAAGTTGGTTTGATCAGCTGCCTCTCTTCTGACCGGCTCCTCGATCTGCTGCAGTTTTCACCCTCTCATACTGACGCAGAGGAACAACAACACAAAGAAAACTCCGAGCTTGTTTCTTAGCGACAAACCTTAAACCCACACCGGCAGCTTTTACCTCGCTCAGCTGAAAACATGAAGACGCTTTCAGACTTTCAAGGTGAAGGAGTGGGATGAACTCTCTCTCTCTCTCTCTCTCTCTCTCTCTCTCTCTCTCTCTCTCGCTCTGTGAAATATTTCTCTCTCTCTGTGGAGAAGGAGTCCAACCCCCCTGGCGTTATGGAAACCAGCTCCCTGGAGAGGTTGCAGAGAGCAGCAGAGGTCTCTTAGATACTGGACCTCATGAGAACCTCTTCCCAGTCGTTCCTCCTCCTCCTTCTGCTCCGTTCTCTGACATCTCCTCTCCTCCTTGTTAAACTCCCGAGTTAAATCGCCGCCCCGCCCCCCTTTGAGACTGCGTGACTGTGTCCAAACATGATGGGAATCAATGTCACGTCTGTAAAGTCGATTTCAGTGACGAAGACGAAGAAGAAGAAGAAGGAGAGGCGACCGGTCCGGCTCTCATCTGCCTCTTCAGATTTGTGTCAGTGGGTGTTATGAGCTGACGGGATGTCGGCGCTAATCTCTGCAAATCACATTAAAAAGAGTAAAAGGGAGTTAAATCCCCACGTAATGATGCTCCTCGTCTCCTCACGGGTGTCAAAGGGGTCGACCAGGACCCTTAATGCGGTCTAGGTCAGAGTCTGTGGACCTGAACACAGAGAGGGTGGGTGGGTGGGTGTGCAGAAAGTGAGGAGAGATTCATCCGATTGTCACCCAGACGACTCTGCACATGTCCCTGAATTCACGTTTTTAGAGAGACCCGGTCCAGGATGGTCTCAGGGTCTCTTGTCAGGATCAGTGTAGATGAGGTCCAGAGGATGACGTTTGTAACTGAAGGTTCTCAGCAAAAGGAGCAACAAAAACCGAGGAACGTCAGACCCGATCAGGAGGAACATTTTCTCATCTCTTTCATATTCTCATTTTCGACGCTAAAGTGCTGAAAACTGCAGTTCCTAAAGTGTCCACTAGAAGCTGACTCTTGGACTCTCCTCAGCGTCCTCATCTGCTCTTTCAGTTCTCATAATGAGTCAAAAGCGTCCCGGCAGCCTACGGCGACACGGCGGTCTAAATCCGTGAGCGCGCCGTCTTTGCAGTGAAGCGATAACCGGATAAATCTGGATCCTTCATGATAAGAGATTCGCTGATATCAGGATGAGACAGAAGACAGAGGCGGGACTCAAGTCCACTGAGAACCACTCTTCACAGCGGGGAGTCTGCTCGGCTTTCTTTAGTTTGACGCCGCTTCATTTACAGACGCAGATATTTACCCTGAAGCTGCAAGAGAAGAGAGATGATCTGGAAATGTTAATGAAGGAAAGAAGAGACAGAATGACTGAAAAAAAAAGGAAGAAAGACTCATCAGCCAGGAAATGAGCCTGAACAAAGTATTTCACGTCTGTTCTGACGGATCTAATGAAGTTTTTATTGAGCCGCTTTAATGAGTCGAAGTTAAAGATCTTAACAATCCTCCTGTTTGTTTTATTTCTCTACCGTCACTCTGCTGTAACTCTAAAATGATCGACTACCTGGATGTAAACGAGCACAGATGATGATCTGATTAAAGTGGTTCATCACCAGCAGAGGAATGTGGACTTTGAACTTTAAGGTAAACTGAAGTCTATCAGACACTCTCTTCAGACCAGTAAAGACTTAAATTAAGAACCTCGACCCTGAGATGAATTATTGTAGAAGTAGAAATGTCTCAGTGCGTCCACATGTGAGTGGAGGTCAGACCTTGATGAGACCTACATAAGCAGCTCTATTAATATCCATATTCCTTTAATCCAAGGCTGACACGGCTCTGATCTGCTGGTATTAAGACCGTCTGAGCCGCAGACCTGCGAAGGTGGTGGAAGGACGAACATCTGAGGACTAAAACCTCTCTGGAGGAGAAATTCAACGTTTGGATTGTTTTTATAGATGTTTTCAGTCAGTGATCTACTGGAAGTACTGTGCGTCATCCTTTCAAAATAAAAGCATCTTTATGACATTTGCAAAACTGTCAAAATACTTAAAATAGGGCGACCATACGTTCTCTTTTACCCGGACATGTCCTCTTTTTTGGGGGCTGTCTGGGTTTGTCCGGGGAAGTTTTTAAAGTCTGTCAAATGTCTGCAGTTTTTGCACGTAATTTTCAAGTTTGTGTCACGCGGACTTACTGAGTGAGAATCGCGAAAAGACAACCTGTAAAAACTCTCAAAATGAACTTTGTGCGACTTCGTGACTCCGCCCCCAGGTAGTCGTGTCCTCTTTTTGTGAAGTCAGGATGTGGTCACCCTCATTAAAAATATCAAAATTCCGGTTAAATCCCAGATACTTGTCCGTAAAAGAGTCAAAGTTTCTTTGCTGCAGTGAAAGTGAAAAAGTGTAGAAGTCTACTCGTTTTTATGTAAAAGGTCATTTTTCTTACTATGTAGTGAAGCTCCCCTCAGACTTGGAGAATATTGACCTGAAATCATCTTCATTTTAAATCCAAAACTAACAGAGTGAAAAAAGCAGGACGGTTCATCTCTAAATCTGCTCCAATGTTGTTGATTCAACGATCCAGACGCTTTCATTTCGCCGTCTCGTCTCCATTTCCACTTGATGCATCTTTTATGTCACGCACACGCCGACGAATGTGTCGAGGATCGGTCGTTTCTTCGCGTTCACGTCACATGATGAAGGTCAGAGTCAGTCCTGGCGTTGAGGAGGTGATCCAAAATCTAAACATGATGAAAACTTTTCAACACAAACTAGATCAGCTGATGAGATCCGATCATGTGCAGAGGAAGTCGGCCTCCACCCAGAATAGAACCAGAATCACTCGTGGCCCAGTTTCTGCGGCGCTGTCCCCAGTGCCCGTCAAATAAGGACTCACGTGAAGAGACTGGGACAACTTTGGAGAGTCCTCATTATTCCTGTTATCAGAGTTTCCGCTCCTCTTCTTCTTCTTCTAGTTTCTGGTGTGTGTGGATAGTTAACTACGTCCTCTGCATTATTGATGGCGGCAGATATAAGCGATGAATAATGCACCAGCCACTTAGCTTCAGCCTGTGGAAGACGGCTTCATGAGGGATCTTGTTAAACACAGAGGAGAATCACAATCTGGACGAGTCGAAACTCCTGGAGCGTGTTGGAGGATGTAACAGCTTAATTTTTCACAGCAGAGACCGAGAGTATCACGGAGTCGTCTGCTCAGGATTTCAGACCGGGTCCTCTGAGGGACGAGGAGAAGCCTGTAAACAACCGCGAGCTGTCATGGTCGAGACTCTGGTTAGTGACGCCGCAGGGGGAAACAAAAATCACAGAAGGGCTGAACGATCTTTTTCTGTTTTTTATTCAGTGACAACTTCACCAAACTTCAAACTCTCAAAACAAAACCACTGAAAACGATGTAGTGCATACTCCAAACCAGGAAGTGGCGCTGTAACGCCGCACAGGAAATGAGCAAAAGACAGAAGAAGAGTACAGAGCATGAGTATCAAGGTTGTTTTGGCGCCTTAAAGGAGTTACGATGTGTGTCACATGATTGCTTCCAGAGATGCAGATAGACATCCACACGGAGATGAAATGGTCGTCGTTTAAGGATTTATTCACTCTCTGACCCGTTTTTAAAAAGTACCGTTTACAGTCACCTGAAACGCCGTTTCCGTGTACGCAAATAACTTGAGCGCCTTCCGTCAGACTTTGCAGCGAGGAGTGATTAAAACAGTGAAGTCGTACCAATTCAACACGACTGACTCACTCTTGTCCTATTTAATCACGAAATTATCGCCTTCTTTAGCAAACGCCATGTTTGTTTACACTGGTGTGTGTGGGAACTGGGGAGGAAGGGGGAGGAGCCTACGGTGGCCTGGAGGTGCAAGACATGATAGAGAGGAAAATCAATTTGAGGATTTTAATTTTTTAACATCGTCATAATCAAATAATCTGATCACAGACGGGTTGTCATGAATAATCTAATTTTTGGATCTTGCCTCTAGTGGCCGCTGGAGGAACTGCAGAGTTTTTACTCCATGTTGCTGGAGATTTTCTGATGCACCCAGGATTAAATCCACAAAATGAGTTCAGCGGCTCAGACCCGCTCCCTGAGAGTTGGCTCCGTTTTTATAAAGTAGGTTACTGGAGCTCAGATTCTCTATTTTGAACGGATGAAACATTTCTTGGATGTATGTTTTTTCATCAGCTGAAGGAGGAGCGCTGTGGTTTGCCGCAGCTTCGGAGGTTTAGCGCCGACATTACACCGGCCTCCTGCGCGGCTCGCACGCCCCTCTTCCTAAAGGGGGCTTAAATCCAAATTGGCTCTGACGCCTCCCTGACACCCTCGCTCTCCTGTGACAGATTGGCTGGTTCACTCGGCCGCTGAGAGAGACGGAAACATGCAGAACGGCCCCGGAGCTGCTGGTGAATTATTCATGCCCCGCACGTGTTCCCACTCGGCTTAATTACTGAGATGATTAGCGCTTCCAAATAGCAGGACATCCTAAACCTCCCACCACCTCCACAAATCCTCTGCAGCTGATTGCAGACGTTCCAGCTCTCTTCCTCTCCTCTGCACTGATGTAGCAGCGGCGTGTTTTTCGGTCTTCGCCGTTTCTGAACAAGCTTTGAGTCATGTTGCATTAATGTAAGTGGAGAATGTGGAGCAAACCCTCCTCAGAAGAGCCTCTGATGGAGCGCAGTGTTCATCAGTCAGGAAACCTCTCAATGTTTCCCACAGTCGATTATTTATGCAGACTCTTTTATGTGCATCTAAAACACATGAAACTGCATTTAATTAAACCACGCATTAATCAACTGACCTTTAATCAACTGACGTTAGCAGAACCGGAGGCATCAGTCGTGCAAAGTCAGATTAAAGTCGTGCAAAAAGAGGCACAATCAGGCAACTTTTCTGCTCAGGAATGAACAAACAAGAAAGTTTGAATTCATTTTAAAATCTTTTAAACCTAAAAGATTTTAAGTCTTAGCAGGAGATTCATCAGAATGAAGTGAAAGCTCTTAGGTCACGTTCACACCAGTCTTGTTTAGTCCAGTTGAACTGAACCCTGGAGCGTTTACCTCCTTGGTGCGGTTTGTTTTGGTTGGTGTGAACGCTGACCTCGAACTCTGATGCGGACCAGTCAACTGCTCTCGGGTCCACCTGGTAGAGGTGGTCTCGGACCACTATAAGGTGAACTCTAGAGCGGTTTACCCCATCTGCACCGATCATCGAGGTAGACTCTCATTATTGCGGGTCGTCTTCTGTGATACGACCGTCCGATTGCAGAGCGTCTCCTACGACGTGCGAGTATAGATACATTATTTTATTGTAGGGATGGAAAAAAGAGGACATTAATACGCGGGGTGGACTTGTGTGGGCAATTTTGAGGGGTTTTTTTTTTAAATTTTTGATTGTGTCGAGTGTTTCTAACAATTTAGTGTAGACTTGCACTCGTGAGACTGTTTTTCAAGGCTCCCGGAAGAAGGGAATTGTTTGGATAAAATGTAAATGATGTTGATGGATTGAACCATTTGGAACCGGTTCTCAACAAGAACTGGTTCTCGATTCCCTTCACTATTTAATTGCCACTGTCTTCCCAGCTGTTCATATTTGCGGCCCGTTAAAGTCTGCTGGTATACAGTCTAGATCAGCACCAACATAAAAACGAGCAGACGACGCTCCACGATGGTCCACGATGTTCAGTAAAAATTGCGAGGGATTTGTCGTCTACTCGCCTAAACTGTAAAAGCATTTACCAAACGGCTTTTGCTGCCATGTGACCATTTTTGGACCGTCTGAGTTTGGTCTTTGTGAACATGAACAGGACCAGTTGAGAAATTGCAACAATGCATCGTCAATATATCGTCAATGCATGATCCTCGTTTTGGTTCGTATCAGAAAACGGACCTTTTGAAGTGATTCAGAAGAATTACGGTCATTTCAATCGTTGGTCTGCAGCGATCATCGCCGTGAAACTTCAGCTTCTTCATTTCCAAATGTTTTGGTACCAAAGTGCTCTCTGACCCACATACCGTCACATATGTGACCCGGCTCTGCAGAGCCGTGAGGAAGCAGCTGTGAGCGGTCCTCAAACAAAAAACAGGCGGAGCGTTCACGGCACGTTTTGACCCGTTTCTAAGGACTGAGCTCTGCAGGCTCTCCAACAGACGCTGCAGAAACAAAAAACGCCTCCGGACATTAAAGAGCTTTTCATTTCAGCGGCGGACACTCTCTGACTGTTAGGCAGGAGCTGCAGAAACCTGTTTGGATGCTGGTTCTGGTTTTTGTTTTACTTTATTTGAATTTAATGAGCTTGTCTTCCTGTTCATGACCTTCGTTGGAGTTTGGACAATCACGTCAGCTGTAAAATGGAAAGTTTTCATCAGGTCCATTTACGCTCTTTCATGCCAAGAAAAATCAGGCATGGTGTTTGTTCAGCCCGGAGAACATCAGCTGACCTCCACCTCCATCAGCCCTCTGATTCATCGGTCTACCTAGATGTGGTTCTTCTCTGCACAGATTTATCCATCTATCACTACAATCAGTGCTTCTGAACTCTCCTGCAGATCTTGACGTCCAGATTTGGAGGATTCTCAGACGTGGTCAGGCTGAAGGTGAACATGTTCTCATCTGCAGCTTCACAGAGCATCTCCACGAAGGTCTCCTGAGGGTCCTGGTATTAGAGTCGACAGATAAACAAACAAACACGTTCATTCCTCCTCACTCTGGAGACGCAGAAATATGAGTCCCGAGTTAACAAAGAGGAAGCTTCTGGAAGTCCTTCACAGCCGGAGAGGGTTTACATTTCAGTCTTTGCTCAGCTGCTGCCGGCTCAGACCGTCACTCACTGCTGCTGCAGACTCATTTTAGCTGCAGCTGTCATGGTTTCCCAAACGCAGGGGTCAGAGGTCAGCTGCTGGCCCCTACAGGCGGATTCCCAGTCGACCGGCGAACGTCAGATAGCGGGCGTTGGGTTGACACAGCGTTGTTTTCACTGCTTTTTCACTGTATCAGCTTATTCCAGCTTTTATCACTCTCTTCCTGAGTTTCAGGGTTTTCTTTTTTTCTTTTTTCCACGCGGCGCCCTCGTCCTTTCTTTTCCTCCCAGAAGACAATACGCTCCCCAAGTTGACGGTTATTCACTCAACCAGAAGGAGGTTCCCACGACGAGTCAGACCACGTCCTCTCGCTCCGTCGCCCCCCTTGTTCACACAGACTCTGCGCACATACATGAACGATCGGCGCGGTTTTCCCTCCGCTGTCCAAACAGGAGCGTTCAAAACAGACACTTCCTGTCGCATGTGCGGGACTTAAACCCCCGAACAGTCGAGTTAGTGAGGATAATTAATCTGATTTGAGTCTGAACGAGTCGGGGTGAAAACTTTGACACCTTAAATATCAGTTTCTCACCGACCAATGAGAAGCAGCTTTGTTCTGAAGTGACCACCGAACAGTTTGGGATCATCCAGAAGTTTCCAGATTTAGAGCGAAGGTCTGTTCACAGCCTGTCAGCTGGAGGGGGGGGTCGGGACTGGGAGGTCAGAGTGGGCAGGAAAAAAAAACCTGGACTGATCTGAATCTCACGCTGGGACGGATTTCACGGTTTTCTTTTCTGTAGATGTTGGTTCACTTTGAAGGGAGGACATCTACACACAAATATCTACATTAAAGAGCGGCTAACAATCAGATTTAGATCAAATATAATCCGTATCATGATACTGTTTTTTTAAAGCAAACTCTTGGCTCATACAGTGAGAGGATCTCAGGAAAAACCTCTGTGTGTGTTTTATTATTTACAGTGAAACTGGGACTCAGATATGAACAGATATAAAACAACGTCAGATGTTCGGATCACTTTAAAGTCAAACTGAGACTTTCCAGAAATAGCTGAACAGATATAGGGAAACTATTTACAGTGAAACTAAGACTGCAAAGAAATAAAATAAGAGTTGTAGAGTTATGATACATGTTTTAAACTGAGACTTACCAGAAACAAACAGATTCAGGATTATGTAAAAGCAGTCTGTGTCTCTCACTACTTACAGTGAAGCTGAGACTCTAACGTAATCCTGACGTTACATACTGAGATAATGTTTGCGTAAGACTCACAGTAAACCGATGAAGAGTTGTTGGATTATGTTAGGCCAGCCTGTTGGTAGATGACTATTTACAGTGAAGCTGGGACTCAAAGGAAACAGATAAAACCATGTGGGATTATAGTAGATGTCTGGATAATGTAAGAGGCAAACAGACTCACCAGAAACAGACAAAAGGATGAATCTTAACATTTACAGTCAAACTGAGACTAAGAAAAAAAGATGAAGATGCTGGGTAGCCTCTGTGTATCGTACTCTTTATAATGAAACTGAGACTTAACAGAAACAGATGGAAACTTGTAGGTTATCCTTCAGGATTTTAACTATTTACAGTAAAACTGAGACTCAGAAAAAGAACAGATGGAGATGTAGGATAACCTCCATGTATTTTACCACTTACAGTAAAACTAAGACTCCCTGGAAACAGGTGAAGATGTGGGATAGCCTCTGTATATCTTACTCTTTACGATGAAACTGAGACTGAGATGGAAACTTGTCTGTTACCCTTTATGTTTTTCACTATTTACTGTAAAACTGAGACTCAGAAAAGAACAGATGAACAGATGTGGGGTTACATGAGATGTCAGGACAAAAACAGATGTTTGTGTGACTTACTGACAGTGAAACTGAGACTCATCAGAAACAGACAGATGTGGGGTTTCACTTCACTCAGAATCCTCTTCAAACTGGTTTATTTCAGAGGTCCTGGTTCCCTGGTTGAGGTGGATCTAAAAGGTTTCACAGGTGCTTTTCTGGAGGTTGTAAAAAACCCTGAACTGTTTTTTTTTTCCTTTTATCGGTTTGGACAAAAGTCTTCAGATCGTTTTGTCCCTCTGCTCAAAAACTGTTTCATCCGTAGAGTTTAGAAACTCGAACCGTCTACATTTTTGAAAAGCTCTTTTTTCCCATCAGAGACCTCTAAACTCGTCATTATTCTGTCCTCTCTCTGCCATCTTGACTCCACGCTTTAATCTCTCTCTCTCTCTCTCTCTCTCTGTCTGCAGGGTCAGCTGTCTCAGGCTCTGAACGGCCTGTCAGACCGGGCCACCGAGGCCAAGGAGTTCCTGGTCCAGCTGAGAAACATGGTCCAGCACATCCAGGTAGAATAAAAACCGCCGCCCACTTCCACTTCACCTCAACGACTCGGGGTTCAACTTTGTTTCTGAAGTTTGTCCTTTTTTCACCCTTCGTCTCGTCTCTCAGGAGAACGGCGTGGAGTTCGAGGCCTGTTTGGTGGCGCAGTGCGACGCCCTCATTGACGCTCTGAACCGACGCAAAGCTCAGCTGTTGGCCCGAGTGAACAAAGAGCACGAACACAAGCTGAAGGTGAGCGAGGAAAAACGGTCTTCTACTGTCTGAGTCCATTTAGAGAGTGAAAGAGACGCACCAGGGAAACGTTAACGACTTATTTCTAACGGACAAACACTGGAAATGAGTCTAAATTTAAAGAGATAAAACGGCACAAAGGAGATCTTAATGTGGAGTGAAGATTAGGCGCATTAATCATAATAATAATAATAATAATAATAATATGAGGAGTGAAACATTCTGTGTCGGAGCTGGCAGGAAGATGCTGAAGGGAGATTTCTTCCCGATCGTTTCCCACGCACACATTTGTCTTAAGACCATCTGCAACATTGAGCAGGAGACATAACAGTGAGGAGGAGGAGGGGGGTGAGATACATTTGTGCCGTACGGCGTCCAATTTCATGCTTGGCCGCGCTGTAGCACGGTGGTTTTCACACACGTCGTCTGTTTGAGAAACAGCCTGTGCGTAGAAACACGGACGCCAACATGCAGCACTTTCAGATTCTCCAGTTTGATCGCTCAGACGTGTCAACAGAGATCGTTTTGATTTATTCACTTGGAAATCACTGAGCTGGTCGCTGTCAGAGTCACACCTGTCGGTCTGTTACTCCATTGTTTGTCTCTGAGATTATCTGGTGTAGATATGAACCTCAGAATCTCCTCAGATTATCCTTCAGAACATGGGATGGTGTTTACATCTCTCCCCACAGCTGGACTGTAAACCTTCAACACTGTAGGTTATAACATTCAGACGGCGTCCTGTTTATGATGGATGGTTGTTAAATTACGATGAGGTGTTCATCATCAGACAAAGGAGCTCTGCGTACGTTCATGCCTCTAAAACTGAGGAATACAAATGTGCAGATCAGATCCTGATCGGTGTCTCCATGATCTGAATCTGAACCCCAGGAGAAGATGGTTTTCCTGTATCAGTGAGACCTGCTCTCAGATTCAGGGACTCTGCTGTGATCTGATCAGTAACCTGCAGGTCTGGGGACAGGAGGGAGAGGCAAGAACTGCAGTTCCTCAAGAGACCACAAGGGGCTGGAACCAAAAACTGAGTCAAATCCTCAGAAACGAAAATGATGTAAGAGTCAGCTGATAGAAGTGATGGATGTTTAGGGGCGTGGATGGATGGATGGATGGTTAGATGAATGGCTGGATGGATGGATGGATGGATGACTGGTTATGTGGATGGATGGATGGATGGATGACTGGTTATGTGGATGGATGGATGGATGGATGACTGGTTATGTGGATGGATGGATGGATTAATGGATGGATGGATGGATGGATGGATGGATGGACATTGGACGGATGGATGAATGGTTAGGTAGATGGTTGGATGTATGGATAGATGGATGAATAGATGAATGGATGGTTCGATGGATGGTTGGATGATAGATGGTTCAATGAATAAATGTATGGATTGTTGGATGGATAAATGGATGGATGAATGGTAAGATAGATGGATGGATGGTTACGTAGATGGATGGATGATGGATAGATGGATGGACGGTAAGATAGATGGTTGGATTAATGGATGGATGTTTGGTTCAATGGCTAAATGAATGGATGGATGGATGGATGGATTGATGGATAAATGGATGGATGGATGGATGATTTGATGGATGGATGGATGTTTGGATAGATAGATGATGGTTCGATGGATAAATTGATGGATGGATGGATCAATGGATGGATGGTTTGATGGATGGATGGATGGCTGGATGCTTAGATGGATGTTTGGATAGATGGAAGGTTAAACAGCTGATTGGTTGGAATTAAAACATCATTTTAATGACCTCGAGTGTTTCTCTCTGAACTCTGAGTTTGTTGATCTCGTTCTCTGAGTTTCAGATCCTTTGGTCCCTTTGGTCTCCAGTCAAACATGAGGTCGTCTTTAGTGCTGAAACAGAGACTTCATAAAGGGGGTCCATAGATCTGGTCTTCACACTCTGAGCTCCAGAAGAACTAAATGTCATCTCTGCGTTTTCATCTCACTAATGAAGCGCTCTGATTACAGATAAATCAACAGGAAGCGCCGAGAACAGAACAGAGCGGCCTTCATATCTCCTGCTGCTCCTGACGCCAGATCCCAGTTGCCACGGTAACCGGCACATGTAGAGGTTGTTGTGCGAAGCTGCGGAGGCGAGAAGTAGTCCTTTAAAAACATGAGTCAGGTCCTCACACATGAGAAGGACTGACCTCTGAGAGTCTGTGGAGGATGTGAGATCGTCCTACATGCTGGTTCAGGATTAGACCGACAGGGGGGGTCAGTCCAGTAGATTAGCTTAGCTCAGCATTTACAGAGGAAATCAGCTGATTCACCTGAAACCGAACAAAGACTGTAGACCCGGTCTTGTTTGTTTGAGACCTCAGAGTCTGGATGTTTCCTCAGATCCAGATCAGTCCTGACGTGGAGCTGTACTGATCAAACAGAGACTCTCTGTCAGTCCCTGTTCTGGTTTTCACGGGGGATCTGAGATCTGATGAGGGTTTCTTCTGAAGGCTGATCAGAGGAACACAAAGTGAATCACAAACGAAGTCGCTCTCAATCTTCTTCCATCTCTCTGCGAAGTTCTTCTCAGCAGATCCTTCGTCCTCCGATCATCAGACCTCGGATGGTGGATGAGCTCAGCTGCAGTGGAGCTGTTTATGTGACCCCCAGAGAGCCTCAACAGGGCCCTAGGCAAAATTAGATGTTGGGGCCCTCTATTTCTGCCAATAATATTGATTATTGATCATTCACACACCTTCACAAATCTTTATGACATGCAAATATACCTTTATCTTGGCGTTTTTCCTCGTCTTCCTCGTTCTTCTCTCGGCTCCTTTTTTGTGACATTGTTTTCCCCACAACTACCTGAGCTCTGGATGCTCAGTGCACAGTACAAGTAGACAGCAGCAGCTTTGATATATCGGCAGTAACTGGTTAAACCCACAGGATCTAAAACAGCTTCGCTCCGCTCTGGACTGGCAGGCGGATCAGATCACCAAGCCTACAGCGCCCACCTGATCCGATCCACTGCCTCAAGAGATTACCGATATTTCTCGTGAGACTCGATGTGATCTCACGAATGAGATCAGCTGATCAGTGTATATAAACGCCCACATCCCACAACCCTGGCCTCTCCTATTATCCAGTTAACAGTTCAACGTTTTGACTTTATTTTATTTTGAAAATTAACAGGATATTTTACTCTGTAACCGCGTACAAGTTCCGCTGCTGCTTGAACTATTATTTTTACAATAATATATATTTGATCATACAAGCATCACTCATACATTGCAAAAAAATAAAAACTGTTTTATTATTTATTTTTTTAATGCTCTTGGGGGCCCCCTACTGGCCGTGGGGCCCTGAGCAGGTGCCTAGTTCCCTTATGCCTCAGGTCGGCTCTGTGAGAGGGGATCCCTGAAACCCTGGACTTCTGAAAAGCCTCTGATCCAGCTCTTCTTCTTCTTCTTCTGTCATTTTAATGATATTTTATCTCCGAGCTTCTTAATTTGACGGCAGAGACGCTCTGAGGAGACAGTAGATCATGAAGACGTCTCTCTGTCCTCTGATGACTGACTGTCGTCCTCAGACTCACTGATGATTTTATCACTGCAGAAATACACTCGTCACTGACACGCCTCAGTCCCCCCCTCTGCAGAGTTTCTTCTTCTCTTGTGTTTTCTCTGATGATGACGATGATGATGAAGAAGTTAAAGTCCTGCAGGTGTTAAACTGATCCTCACTGACAGCTCCAGTGTCTGTGGACATCGTACTTTTCACTTCCACTGACCGTCTGTGCAGCGTGGAGCTGATTGTAATTCTTTTGGTCACAGTGGTTTCATCCTGACATCAGTCTGAGTTTTCCTCCTCCTCCTCCTCCTCTTCCTCCTCTTCTTCCTCCTCCTCCTCCTCTCTGTCCTCACTTACCCCTTTTATTCTGCTCCCCGCTGCGTCTCTATACATCATGTCAGAGTTATTAAATCATCTCTGTGCACAAAGTCAAACTGTTTGTACTGTGTGTGTGTGTGTGTGTGTGTGTGTGTGTGTGTGTGTGTGTGTGTGTGTGTGTGTGTGTGTGTGTGTGTGTGCTGCAGCAGCAGAGGGACAGGTGAGAAGGCTGCAGCTCCAGCGTGTTATGAGGCCAGCAGTGCCGCAGTGGCCTCCTCTTCCTCCTCCTCCTCCTCCTCCTCCTCCTCCTCCTCAGAACTCCGACACAAACACACAGATGATTTATTCCTCTGAGTCGCTGATGAGGAGGAGCAGGAGGAGCAGGAGATGTTTCCATGATGGTGGATCGAACATGTGACAGGAAGTGACAGAGAGTTTGATGAAGTTATGAACTGAACTTTGAGTAATCGTAGTGTCTCTCGGTCATGATTTGTCGCTCTCTCTCTCTCTCTCTCTCTCTCTCTCTCTGTTCGGGGTTGTGTTCCCAGTGTGTTGAGCTGCCGTGACTCAGTGTGACGTTGTGTTAAATCACCATGACAGCCACATATGTCTGAGAGGACGAGGTTACTTCATCCTTCATCTCCACTGCTGCAGAAACTCTGGCCCACTTAGACTCGGCTCTGCCCACTCAGAACGGCCCTGAAACGGGTTTTTGTCCCTGACTCATCTCGCTCTCTCTCTCTCTCTCTCTCTCTCTCTCTCTCTCTCTATCTCTCTCGTTTCTCTCTCCCACTCTTAATCAATTTCTCCCACTTCAGCTCGACCCACACTAAATTTTTTAAATCTTCACGGATGCTGAGATGGAGAGACTGCAGATGAATAAGTGAGACAGTGATGGGGTAAACATTTGATTGCAGGTTTTGATTGGTTAGTTATTATTTAGCTGTTTTAATCCTGTGTGAGTCGCTCATGTTTGATATATGTGAAGTAAAAATTCAGGGTGAATCTCCACCTTATATTTCAGACGTCCTGTAGTCATATAAATCCAGTCCAAGTTGAACATCTCGGTCATTTGCGGTGGAAATTTTGTCGTCTGCGGCTTTTTTTTCTCTGTTTTTAATAATGAAGGTTTTCACAGATGAATCTGAGTCATGTGACTTTACAGAAGTGAAATAATCTCTACATACTGACGCGTCTGTCAAGATTGCCATGAGGTCGCTGCGCCATCTACAGGATAAGTCGGGGAACTTTTCAAACGGCGGAACATTTTCAAAGTGAAACCGAATCTTATTCTCTGCATTTAATTCCAGAAAATATCGTCGAAAATCAGCGAGTTTTGGCCGATTACCGATGAGTCTCAAATGGGCGAAATTGGCCGATTTAATCAATATGCCGATAAATCAGTTGGGCCCTAATTGACACTTGATACAGCCTATGGGCGTACGAAGATTGCGTGGCTCACCCGGGGGATACACTGTCTGAGCCGAGCGTCATCACAGCGACTCTCCCGCCGAATTCGTACAAGTTACTGCGCAATGTTGGTTTAAGGAAATGGAGAAAAATTGCAGGATTACCGAGAGCTTTTCAACTTCAAATCTGTATACTGGAGGAAGGCGGAACCAAGTTGTCCAGAGTATAAACAGTCTATGGTAACTACTGATAATTAAACAACAATAAAAACAAACGTCTTTTTCTACCAATCAAGAGATACTATTATCATTTATAATCACAGATAAATCTCCGCTCTACATGGTCTTATATCGATACTAACAGATCTCTCTTGGTGCAGAATTTAATTTATCATTTGACGTCGCCTCTGCAGACAGAAATCACTAAGACTGTCAAAAATAGACTTTAATCTTTAAAAACATGATATAATTCACTGAAAATGTGTCCTAAAGTTTGAATACTCATGTTTGAAGGAAGTTTATGATCCTCATTTTATGAATTTTCAGCATCTTGGAAATGAAGCTGAGGTGTTTTGGCTCCATTTGAACCTGAAGTCTTATCTTCCACTGATAAGCAGGTAACTGTGTCTCCACTCTCCATCCCGGCCTCGTTATCTCACTCAGTGTTTGTCAGACGGGAGTTTGTTTCCAGGACTGACAGTCTGCTGATCGGCTTGCTGAGCAGATTGTCAGGAAAATACATCTGCAACGCTGCGAGAAAGAGAGAGAGACCCCAGACAGGAGAAAGGACGGGCACAATAGAAGATGTCAGAATATCTGAAATAAATCCCCTCAGCCTGTTTTGTAGCCTGTGAGCGGAGAGATTGTGATTCAGGCGGCGTACAGAGGAGGGACAGCCGGGCTGAGTGTTGAACAGCAGCGAGGAACTCTCCTGGAGCGCCGCCAGGCCACTGCAGTCGATGCTCCCGGCGTGACACAGCAGAGAGAGTCTGGACCCGAGCCAGAGAAATATAGACCCGACCATCGGAGCTGGAGTCAGGAGAGCTTCAGCATCCTCCGACTGAGTAAATACAACATGAAATAAACTCTATTATGTTCGTCTGAAGGTCAGATTTTAGTTTCTAATTCATGCAAACTTCTTCTGTTTGAGTTTTTAAAGCACGAAGATATTTCTGCAGCTGAAGGGTCTGAAACCGAGAGAAGGAGGACGGAGCGAAAACGGTTCCAGACTTGCCCTGAGCTGACCCTCTTTGCTCTCAGGACTGGTTTTAGAGTCTCTGTTGAGGCTGTAATGAGATTCAAACTAAGTCTGACTGAATAAAAACAGTGAGGAAGTCTAAACCCTGTGAGAATAAGTGGATTTTAGCATTTTTTAATGTGTTTTAATGAGGATTGACTCACTGTTGGAGTCAGCCTCCTGTGGCCACATGAGGAACTGCGGTTTACTGCTGAAAATGATCAGACAAACGGTGCATTCACAGCCGTTTTACATACAGTAATGACTCTGCAGCTCGTGTCACTCTGAGCTCTAATATGGCGGCCTGTCCTGTTGGTCATGTGACACACCGTCACATCTCGTCCACACACGCTGACTCTCCGTGTCTGCATCCATCTCTAAACCATCTTCCTGTACATACTGTGGGTCTGCAGAGAGGATTTTCCTCTCTCTCCATTCAGCCTCGCCGCCCCTCAGATCGCAGCAGTGAAGTTTCTGTTACCTAGCAACCGGCGGTCCGGCAGCTTCATTTATTTTACACTGCTACGAGGAGGAGCGGTGGACATCAGCTGAGCGGGGGGGGACTAAAGAGAGGGTCTCCATCGTAACGTGTAAAAATGTTAGGATGAGACCAGGTTTGGAGGATGGACTGAGACCTGTGGTGGACTCCTGGGACAGAAACAGATGTCCCCCCTTGTTTTTGATCCTAGTGTCGGTCTACATCATGTTGTGTTGTCTCTGATGTGACCGGCGCCGCTGACGGCGGTTCACACGACTGTTGTGTGAAGGAAAATGTCACAGAACATCCATGAACGTCAGTAACAGGACCGGTCGTCCCGTCAGACTCTCAGCCTTCGAAAAGACATCATGACACACTCTTGGTATTTGCCTCCTTGTGTCCTTCCTTCCTCGTCTCCTTGTTCACTTCCCCTCTCTCTCTGTTTGCTCTCGTTCTCCAGGTGGTCCGGGATCAGATCTCTCACTGCACGGTGAAGCTGCGTCAGACCACGGGGCTGATGGAGTACTGTATGGAGGTCATCAAGGAGAACGACCCCAGTGGATTCCTGCAGGTACAGGGATCACGGTCTCACCTCCACATCCTCATGAGTCACGACAACTTAAAGGGATATTCCGGCGTAAATTTAAGTAACCTGCTTCTCTAGTTATACCAACTTTAGTAACGACCGCAGGATAGAAATACACAGCGGTCTGAGGAGCCATCAACAAACCTCAACCAAAACACCGCTTGTTTGTAGCGAGACCTCAGGCCAGTCCATTACTGACTACAGCGGGGTGCCACAGCTCAAGGAAGAACATTTATGATCATTTCTTCATCATTTCCTTAAAGTAATAATCATCATATTAATCATTTTGCACTGCAGACTCGGTAGTTTTTCTGTCTTAGCGTCTCGGTCTGATTGTGTTTCCATGAAGAAATGATCATCTATGTTTTTCCTTGAGCTGCGAAACTCCGCTGCACTCAGGGCTCCCCCCACAAACAAGCCGCTGCTGGAGGAGCGACAGATCACGGTATTTTTAACGATTCCTGGTGGTTTCTACTGATGTACATCGAGGGAAATAACGACACCACCTGTGGGGTGTCTTAGCCCCGCCCACCAGAGGTTCATGTAGAGATTCAATAACCTGAAGAGAGGAGAGTGAAGAAGAGTTTCTGTTGTTTCTCCTTTAACGTTAAACTGAAGTCTTTTGTCTTTATGATCAAGTTAAATTTGACTCTTTATCCATAAAAACTAAATCAGTCTTCTTCTCTTTGACTCGGTTTGATCCCTCCATGTTTACTCCTCTCTTTTCCTCCTCCACGTCTCGTCTTAACGCCTTTCCACGTCTTAAACTAAGCTCTTCCTATTGTCTCGTTGTGTGTAAATGTTTGTGTGTCTTTTTCTTCCTTTTTACTCACCGTCTAATCCCTCAGATTAGTTTGGCAGCCTCTGCTGAAGGTGAGGATCCATCCTGCTAAAGAAGAGTCAGAAAACGTTTAAGATCTTTTCAGAGGAAATTTCTGACCTCCTTACACGGCGACTCTTTCAGGTGTTGACGGAGGAAATTCATTGAAAAGAGAGTGAGAGGAATCCCCCGCTCCGAGCTTTAAACTCAGACAAACTGTCGTGAATCGGAGTAAAACAAAAAGGGAAGGGACCAAAATGCAAAATTAAAAAAGGATTCATTAAAAATGAACTAAAGGAAAAGGAACAAAAACTTTCTTTAAATGTCCAACTGAAAAATCCCAAAAGCAGAATACCACGAGAAGCAAAATCCAAAAAGTAGTGATGGGCACGGCAGTTCTTTTAGATGTACTGAATCACTAGAACCAGTTCACTAAAAAGATTTGTTCAAAAGATTCATCCACCAAATTTCTTAGCAGGAAAAATGAACTTGTTTATAAGTCATGATGTTTTAAGTGTCCTATGGTATGTTATTTATCAGGTCTGCTCAACTGAAGTGAGAAACGAACGAATCACTTCAGGAAGTGATTTGGTTCAGTACATTCACTTAAAAGATTCGGTTCTTTTGAACAAATCGTTCGCAAATGACACAACACTACCAGAAAGAAAAACACAAATAACTGGGAACACAAGCATACACGAGTGAAACGAGCAACGAGACACAGGTGCAGACAATTACAGAGGAGGGAAAACAAGACTAGACACACAAGGATGGACTCCTACAAAATAAAACAGGAAACACTGAAAACTGATCTACAGAATAAAACACTGAGAACAGGAGGGAAACATGAGGGGTCAGACACAAACTACAGGGGAACAAGAACACTCAAATAAACAAGAGAAGGAGAAAACTAAAGTAACAAAACATATCATGACACAAACTTAACTTTAGATCGAGTCGTTTTGACTTCAGCGTGAATCCTGAAGCGATGCTGAACACCACCGATTGTTTTTTGTCAGGAGAAGTTTGTCGTTTCCTCTCCTGAGAAATTAGACCTCGTTAAACTCAAACGAGTTTCAGGTGTCTGAATCTGAACAGTTTTTATGATCGTCGCTCTGAGAGGAGGAGGCGGTGAGAAAATAAATGGATGTTTGTTTATGGGCTGAGAAAGGTCAGAGTGTTTGCAAAGGTTTCTGGGTAATTGCAGGGGTTTGATTTAGGTGGTACTTTGAGGTCTAGTGAGATAATACCAGAGTTTTTACGATGTCTGTGTCTGATCTCGTCTTCAGATCTCGGACGCTCTCATCCGGAGGGTCCACATGACAGAGGGCCAATGGGGGAAGGGGACCCTCACCCCAAGGATGACCAGCGACTTTGACCTCACCCTGGACAGTGGACCCCTCCTGCAGACCATCCACCAGCTGGACTTTGTCCAAATGAAAGGTAAAGGGGAGGAGACGGTGGTCAGCTGTCCTCCTTTAAATACACAGACATGAAAACCGAAGACAGACGAGGTATTTTAGATGTACTGAATCACTAGAATCAGTTCACTAAAAAAAGATTCGTTCAAAAGATTCGTTCACCGAATCACTGAATCATGTAGCGCTTGGTGGGAGGAGCCTGTGACTCCGACCTCCTAAATTAATACACAGCTGAGGAAGTCATTCAGTTCAGTACGTTCACTTAAAAGATTCGGTTCGTTTGAACGAATCGTTCGTGAATGACAAAACACTAAGACACCGTTTTTGATTTTGAAGATCATTTTTTCATATTTTTTCTGCTGCGTTTGTTAAACTCGTCTCGATTAATCCAAATGTTCAAACCAGCAAAAATTTGAGAGTCATGATTCATCGACAGAATATTTGTTGTTTTTATTCTCATGATTCATTCAGCTGAAATATTCATGGATTCATCTTTACAAACATGTATGAGTGACAGTTTACACAGTATTGATGTGCTGCAGACGTGTAAAAGTCAGGAAGTGTGTGTGTGTGTGTGAGTGTATATGTGTGTGTGTGTGTGTACATATGTGTGTGTGTGTGTGCACGTGCTGTTACTCTGGTAACCTGGCCTGATTTCTCCTCCTCCTCCCTCTCTCTCTCTCTCTCTCCCTCCCTCTCTCTCTGTCTCTCCCTCTCTCTCTCTCTCTCTCTCTCTCTCTCTCTCTCTCTCTCTCTCTCTCTCTCTCTCTCTCTCTCTCTCTCTCTCTCTCTCTCTCTCTCTCTCTCTCTCTCTCTCTCTCTCTCTCTCTCTCTCTCTCTCTCTCTCTCTCTCAGTCCCGGCTGCTCCCATGCTACAGCTGGAGGAATGCTGCACTCAGAACAACAGCGCCACGTTGTCATGGAAACAGCCGCCACTCTCCACCATCACCGTGGACGGGTACATCCTGGAGCTGGATGATGGGAACGGGGGTCCGTTCAGGGTACGTTCAGATTTATGATTCCGCTGATTAAAGCGTTCATAGTTTCCCATCAGGAGGCTCTTTGTCGGGTTTATCTTTAGGTTACGGGACAAAAAGGAACCAGTTTGAGTAATAAGTCACCTTTACAGAGCGCCACCGCCACCGCCGCCCCCCACCCTCTCTCCACAAAGGCTCCTTCAGACGGTGCCAGAGAGGACACCAGTTCAGCCAGAGGAGTGTGAAAGCAGCACATTGTCGCTGAAATCCCTCCGCTGGGTGTGTGACGGCCGTACCGCACGGCTCAGAGTGACATGAGAGTCATGTGACACACTGTAGAGAGGCGTTGAATGACACGCCGCCGTCAGGAGAAAGGCGCTGTAACGCAGCTGTCAGCTGGGATGATCCTGCAGGCAGCGTGATCCTGCATCAAAGAGGGATTCATGAGCTCTCAGAGGATCACCGTGTAACCCATCCACCTAAACCCCCCCACCGCCGCCGCTCTATAGGCGGAGGCCCCCGCTTTGTTATTGTGGCAACTTAACCCTCCTGAACGATCCTGAACAATAAGAGAGGAAATCTGAGCATGACCTCCGAGCGTTTAAAGGCCCTCCTCCAGTCCAGCTGACCTGCTGACTCTACAAACACTCAGACTTTTCTCCACTTTATTAAAAACTTAAATTATTATATTTTTATACCTGCAGCTTTTTTAAATCAAAATAGGTTTATTCTGTTTCATGTGCAGATTTCAAATCAAAGTTCTGGTGTTTTTCACAGACAGGATCAGACTATGTCAAGAAAAAGAGCCAATGAACTTTACTAAATAACACCGTTAAGACGGTGTCTCATAAAGTGATCATATTTTATACTTTTATTTTGAGAGTTTTTCTGCCTTGCTTTATTTCCTACATAAATCTATGCTTTTATTTTGAAGTAACACCAACTTCTGGTGGATTATAAGTTAGAAAGAAAGGAGACAATACGATAAACAATGATCAAACACATGACAACATTATTGGCCCTTATCTAATCAGATAACATTTAATATGATTAAGGACCAAAACTGATACAGTATGATCAGATCTGATACAATACTATTTGTAATGTTGTGATTCAATGTGATATGATGCAATAAAATAGATGGATACATCTATTATATTGTATTGTATTGTTTCGTAACAATACGATATTATAGATACAAAACAAAACAATACAATACAATCGATAGATACAATAAAATACAATATGATGATACGATCGGATAAATAAATATGATACAATATGATACAAAACTATTTGATACAATACAATACAATATTATAGATACCATATGATACAATACTATATGATATGATACGATACAATATAATAGATAGATAAAATACAATATGATACAATATTATACGATATAATACTATAGAGAGATACGGTAAGATACAATACGATACAATACTATACTATACAATGCAATATTATAGATAGATACGATACAATACAGTATGGTACGATACGATAGATGAATACGATACAATACGATATAATATGATACAATATTAAACGATGCAATATTATAGATTGATACGATACAATATAATGTAATAATAATACACAATACAATAAAATATACAATATTGAGATAGATACGATACAATATAATATAATAGATTCGATACGATACAATACAATAAGATATGATATGATATCATAGATACAATTCCATAATATAGATAGATACTATATGATCCAACGGGATATAAAGCTGTCTGTCATCAGGTTTCTTTATTTCCTACATTGTTGAATAAAAGTTAAATTATACAGTAACCCACAGATTCACGGTTAATTTAGAGTTTTGGTTTTCAACAACTCGTACAGAGCTGCTTTAAGATCTTAATAGGAGTCTGCTTCTTCTGCTTCTTCTTCTTCTGTGGCAAACAGCATGAAGGACTTCCTCTGTGACACGCCCCTGCTGTTTGCTGATTGGTCAAACCTGGTTTTGAAACCCTTTGACTTTGAGCTGCCCCCTCTTTATTTCGTCTAACTCCTCTCCGAGTTTTGATGTTGATTTTCTCTCTCCCTCCTCCCACTGACTCATCGAGCCTCGCCAACTCTGCTTCATGCTGAGCTCGCCGAGTTGTGTCCCTGAGTCTATTTATACAGCGGCGTGGGCTGCCTCGCCCACGCTCAGCCGTACAAACTCTCGCTCTCGCTCACTACTGTACACTCATCGCCGTTTTCTAAAAGACACGCTCCCTAAAGAGAGCAGAGCGGACCGGGTGTCAGAGCGGGGCGTTTGTCTGTTTGTGTGTCATCATAACGGCGCCCTCTGTGTGTCTTCACAGGAAGTCTACGTGGGGAGCGAGACCATCTGCACCGTGGACGGACTTCACTTCAACAGCACGTACAAGTCGAGAGTGAAGGCCTTTAACGCCAGCGGAGTGGGACAGTACAGCAAGACGCTGATCATGCAGACCTCTGAGAGTACGTCCACCTCTTCCTCTTCCTCCTCCTCCTCCTCCTCTTCTTCCTGATAATATAAAATCATTATAAGTTATTATAAGTTATCTTTAAGGAAAAATAAACTCTTCAAACAGAATTCAAACCTCAAACAACCGTCCTCAAAGACCTGTACTGCAGCCAGCCAGCAGGGGGAGCTCTCTTTCACACACTTCAATACACAACAACATCATTTTAGACACTTAAGTCCCTTAAAATTGTTTATATAACGTTAAAAAAGTAAAATAAATGGGGACACAGTGTTATAAATTGTTAATGCGGTCAGGCAAACATCTTTGAAACTTTAATTCTCGGCTCTGATCGCAGATATGAGAGAGTTTCTTCGTCATTCTCACAGCGTGAATCACAGACTCTTTTTGAGTTTTCGGCTCATTAATATGAAAAAACTCAATTTATACCAAAATGATCTAAAGAATAATAAATTGTCGCTGTAAGATCTTCAGAAGGACGTCTTCAGAAGAATTTATTATTCCTCTTTTTCTAATTTTCAGGCTGAAAAACATGAATTTGTAGTTTTTGATTTTGGTCCATCAGTCGTCCTCTTCGTCCTCTCTTATGTCCTGACCCGGTGTGAATTCTGTTTTAAGGGTTTGTTCATCCAGGTGTGGTCGGTGTTTAATCCTCCCACGTGCTCGCTCTCCCGTTAGTTAAATCTGCTCTTGACCACGAAGGCTCAGACCGCCGCTCCACCAGCTGATCTGAGCGTCTGTGATTCGTAAAGATCAGACGCCCTCCTCCCGTTTTTATTCCGTTTTGCCTCGACAGAAAAGTGTGAATCTCTCCGTCTTTCTCTTTGTTTTCACGCCTCTTCTTCTTTTGTCTGTTTTTAGGGATTTGTTTCTTTTGTTTTGGGGATTTTCTCTAACCAGAACCGTCCCTGATCAAACCTGCCTTCTCCCCACTCCTCCTCCTCCTTCGCCCCTCCTTCACTGCTTCACTGCTTCGCTCTCCTCTCCCCTTTTTCTTTCTCCCTCTTTCTTTTCTCCCCCTTCATTTCATATTTCAGCTGGACTCCCTCCATGTGATATTCAGTCTATAGGCACAGGTATGGACCGCTCTCATTGCCGAATCTTCCTTTTCTCCTCCTTTCCTCCCTTCCTCCCTTCCTTCCTCTCTTCATCGGTTCGTTTTCACTCCGTCTCAGCAGGTGGGCAGTTTGCTGCTCTGTGGGCTGCACTTAATAAAAGCTCAGCGCAGGTTTTATTTCCCGTGGGAAATAAAAGTATGATGTGATGAAACTTGACTGCAGATAGTGACACCTGACAGCTGAGCGGAGCCCAGAAAACGTGCAAACGTCCCGTCTGCTGCTCTCCCGCCTTCCTCTGTTCATTTCTAACCCGAGTCAAACAGTTTGTAAAATCATGTCCGTGCAGTTTCAGCCGCTCACTGTGAGTTTACTGTTTACTAAAATAATAAGATGATATCAAGTCTTATAGATATTGATAAATGTGGTTTTTAAGGTTTCAAGTGAATATAATAAAAGATAAGATAAGAATATATGTTTTATCTAGTTTTTGATGTGCTACGTCTTGTTGTACAGAAGAACATTGCATTCACTTACAAAAAAAAGGAAAATGATTTTTTTTTACTATTTTTTTTTCTTCTTTTTGTTTTTTGGACATTTTTTTTGCTAACTAAGTGAGATACTTCAAAATCCTGCGAGAATCTCATACAATCAGATAACGTTAACCACCAAATCAGCAGATCCTCCCGCTCCTAAATAACTTCAACTACAGGGTTAATGAGAGTAAAACATGTTATTAGTTAAACATAGAGTACAGAAATCCTGAGGTGTCTCTGCAAAGTATTCAAACTTATGACGATTCCATCGATCTGACTTAAAGAGGAGGAGTTTCATATTTTTCGCACTATAAGGCGCACTTCAAATCCTTTTGGCTTGTCGGAGCGCTGCAGCTACTGTAGCCTCGCAGAGTTATTGAATGAGTTAAAGTTTGACTTATTTGACTGTTTTATTTGGCTTGATGTGCCTTATAATCCGGTGTGCCTTACAGTGCGAAAAATACGGAAAATATCTCCCAGTGTCTCAAACCCAAAAGAAAGTAAAACCTGATTAAACTAAACAAGAGGGTCATATTTGTTTCCAATAAATCAAACAGAGGGGGATGAAAGTGTCTATTTTTAAATGATCATGACCCCGGAGAAGAGGAAAAACAGTTAGTCTGAAAAACAGAAAAGAAAAATAAATTACTCTGAAAAACAGACCTTTTTTTGGTGAATGCATTATGTTTCCGTACCGCTGAGATGATGGGAGGACGAAGGAAGTGATAATCATGGAGGTCTGAGGTCAAACCTCAGCAGACACAACCGAACCTCTCATGAAACAAACTCCGCCTCTTATTTGCAGCCTGGCTGACGCTGGTTCGATATTATTAGTTAAAATATATTTTAATAACTTCAGTGTTTCTTAGTTGCTTTGGCTCAATTTTCAGACGTTTTAAAGGCTCTCAACACTTCAGAGTAGTTTATACAGACTGGAAATCTTCACCCAGTTTTGCTGATGTGTGCAGTTTGCTCTTGTTTTGTGTCTAATAATGAAGATAAGCTGTCAGCATCTCCCCTCTCTGCTGCACAGAGCTGCAGCTGAGCACTTTAATCCTGATGCCTCTGAGGAGTTGAAAAAAACCTGTAATTCCTAAACAGTCAAGCTCGTAGGTGAGGAGGTTTGAGCCACAGACAGCAACAGACTGATCTGACACTTAATTATGCTGTTTAAAAAAAAAAACCCTAAAGGACTAAAAATGTCTGTTTTTGTTGTTCAGAAGCAACAAGGTGTTGAGAGGATTAAATTCACTGAATCGAGCCAAAGCAACTGAGACGATTCTTAAAGTTATAAAGATGAATTTAGAGTTGTTAAGTCTTTTCTATAGAGTGATAATGTTAATAAATGATCATTAAAGATAATTAAGAGTTTTCTAAAGTGATCGAGGATCATCTCGTCTTTCTCAGGTGGTTGTTTTTCAGTGTTTCTTCACCTCATCTAACCTGCGGCCTCCGCACTCACCTCCCCTTCGTAACGGCATGATCACCCCCCCTCCCCCTCCTCTGACTCTCACTTTGATACTGAACACGTCTACCTGTCATTCCAGTCGCCTGGTTCACCTTTGACCCCGCTTCAGCTCACCCCGACATCATCCTCTCCAACGACAACCTGACGGTGACGTGCAACAGCTACGACGACAGGGTGGTCATGGGTAACTCCGCTTTCTCCCGCGGCGTCCATTACTGGGAGATGACCATCGATCGCTACGACAACCACCCCGACCCGGCCTTCGGGGTCGCTCGGGGCGACGTCCTCAAAGACGTGATGCTGGGGAAGGACGACAAGGCCTGGGCCATGTACGTGGACAACAACCGCTCCTGGTTCATGCACAACAACTCGCACACCAACAGGTGAGAGAGTCCGATACTTCAGAGTCCGATACTTCAGAGTCCGATACTTCAGAGTACGATACTCACGGTTTCCGAAAAGATGATTGAGGACTGTTTGTGGTCAGGATTCCTGGATGACGTTCGTCTGGATCAGATGTTTAGCAGTAGAATATTTTACGTACAGATGACTCATGTTGTCATTCTTGTATGTCTGCGCCGCAGGACGGATGGCGGCATTGCTAAAGGCGCCACGATAGGCGTGCTGCTGGACTTCACCCGCGGGATCCTCATCTTCCTCATCAACGATGAGCAGCAGGGTCCCGTGGCGTTCGAAAGCCTGGAGGGCGCCTATTACCCGGCGATCAGCATCAACCGAAACGTCCAGGTACTCAAAGATTCTACATCTACGTATTTCATCACTCGGTATCAGCCTGTAATATTTGTTGATTTCTGCAAATTTTCAGCATTTTACAGACTTCATTCAGCTGTTTCCAGTCATTCCTGGTATGGCTGCCATCTTGAAAGTAACAGGGGTCATAGGTCACCAATAGTGTGACTACTGTGGTCACCAGTTGTGAGGTAGAAGGAAGCTTCTGGCCAATTGCAAAGTTCCAAATTTGAATTCTGCTCCAAAAGAATAACCGGTTTGACACAGAGACTTGTGATTGGCGGCCATCTTGAAAAATGTCAGCCATCCTGAATATGAAATAGAAATTTTAAATAATTAAATTAATTTTAAAGACATTTACCAAGTACTACGTAAGGTAAATAAGTCTGAAATGCCATATTATTATTTCCATCTTTCATAAGAAAACGGTTGTTGCTGGCGGCTATTTTGAAAAATGGCTGCCATGGCCGCCATGTTGAAAACTCACAATGCCTCCACATCCAAATCTTTTGGGAATGCCTTTGGCTATAAGTGCACCAAATTTCATGCTGTTATCACAAAATGCACGATCGTTCTGACTACCTGCTGCACTGGTGTCCCTCAGGGCTCTGTCCTGGGTCCCCTCTCTTTTAGATGATACTCCTCACTTTCAGAGCAGCCTGTAAAGTCTCTCTTCTCTTTAAATCTGAACTCCTGCACAGAAATAAACACACCTGCACTCTCAATACTTCCTTAATCATGAACCTCACTGCGCCACTGTTACTTTTTATTAGCCCTGTCTCATTAAGAAGCCTCGGTTGTTTTAAAAAATACTTGAAAATTAACTTTATCATGTTTATTTATGAAGATTTACACTCCAGTAATGTACCATTTGATGATTAATGTGAAAAAATTGAGATCCCCTTTTAAAAAGTGTTTTTCTGCTGCATTATTCAGCTGAAGAAGTCGGTGCAGAGACGTTTCTGTTGCTCTCAGCGATCGTTTTTCTTCTTAACAGCATCTAAAAGTCAAATTTAATCACTCGTAACATATTCAGATGTAAGCGTCTCAAACAGCTCCAGGTGGTGCTGTTTTATAAACTAAAACTGGCTCTTTGAACACGAGGTTCCCCCTCCTTCGGCGGCGCTGCCTGCAGCCTCAAACAGGAGGGTTTTACATGTAGGTCAATAAACGATCAGTGGAGTACAGTAATTATTGATTAAACCGACGAACAAATACCGACTCTGAGGATTAAACCTTGAAAGAGGAATCTTCAAAGACACGACAACATTTAGCAGCTCTGAATCTCTCCTCGCTCTCGGCCTCTTTTTCCATTTTTAATACTCAGAGTCTCTCTTCACTCACTGAGGAAACAGCTCAACGGCTCCACCTGCAGGCTGAAACGTCCTCGCACTTATTTATTAACCTATAAACTGGATGTAAATGTGTTTCCCCCTCAGGTGACGCTGCACACCGGACTCCCCATCCCGGATTTTTACACCCCCGGGGAGGCAGATCCCACCGGCTCTGTCTGCTAAAGACTCTCCAGGAAAACCTCTCCAGGATTTTCCAGGATTCATCCAGCCAGCCAATGACTCAAAGATCCCACTCTCACCCTCACTCTCTCACTCCTCCTCCCTGCCCTCCCTGACCGACTGACCCCATGAATCTCTACAAGAGGCCCCCTCCAGCGCTGAGCCATGCCTTTATCATGCCTAAACCTTGAACACGTGGACCGACTGCAGGACGAGGAAAAAACACGCCGCGCTGCGCAATCTGTTCCCGACATGACGCAGAGAGATGAAGAAATCCTGCAGGACGGTGAAACCCGTTTCAATAATGTGCCCTCATCGTCTGAGGAGAGTGACGACTGAAACCACGTTTACACCTCGACTCTAAATATGAAGCTGACCAGAGTGTAGAAGTACGTCCACCAGAACCTCCGGAGCTCATTTATGAAACCGTCAAATTTTCATGAATGTAAATAAAACATGTCGAGGTTCTACGAGCACAAACGGATTTGAGCACATCACGGTGCTGATGAGTGAGCTCTGACGAGGCGGTGGTGGAGGGCTGATTCTGTCACCTCTGGACCGGTGCCGTGGTCACCAGAATCAGAACTTTAATCCGGTCTCAAGTCCTGAAGTTGAGATCGAGCTGAGTCCTTGTAACGCTGTTTAAACCTAAACCGTCTTGACTGGCCTTGTGGGACCTTCTGGAGGCCTAAAAACACATTCCTGTATCGACTTTAGATTCTGCTGTCTTCTTTCACTATGTTCAGCAATGTGCAGTTTCCATGCGGACGTGTAGCTCCTCCTTGATAATCTGATCTTGCTAAACAAAAGAGAGATCAGTTTTAATCAGTTTTAATTCCCCAAAAGCTGAAATTAGCTCCAGACTTCGGCCAAAATGAAGAACAGAACGAAGCCATGAAATCGACCGTCTCTACTAGGGTCCGACCGACGCCGATACTGATTATTAGAGGGGGAAAAAATCCGATTACTGATTAATCTGCCGATCTTTTAAAATTTTTATGAAGTTATTAAAAATATATATATACTGTACAAATCTACAGTATACTACTGTACTACTGTACCGCCTCGATCACTAATGTGTACTGTTGTTTATTCTACCGTTCCTGACACGGCTAACAGTGTAGCTAACAGGCTAATAGCAGGTGGCTAACTCTAACTTTAGCTCGCTTGTTGACTTATTGTGTATTTCACAAACTGGTTTTATTTCCCGTTGAGGCGGACCACTCTCCTCCGTGCGTCCCTGAGCTGCTGCTTCAGATCCGTCACTCTGCTGTGCTGTGAAGTAGTTAGTGGATGAAGATTTGCATGAGGTCGCTGCGCCATCTACTGGATAAGTGTAAGTGAAACCGAATCTTATTCTCCGCATTTTATTTCTGAAAATATCGTCGAGTTTTGGCCGATTACGATTAGTCTCAAACGCGCTAAAATTGGCCGATTTAATCGTCTCGCTGATAAATCAGTCGGGCCCTAGTTTCTACCAAGACCTCCTCCAAACGAACTAGAAACCAAAAACAAAACCTAAGAAAACAAAAGGATCAGATCGATAATGAGACTACAGACATGACAAGACCCAAACTACGACACCGCTGCAGCGGGTCACAGACGCTGGTGTTTCCTGTCTCATGCGTCGCTAAGCTAACGGTCTGCAGCTTCATATTTAGCACAGAGACAAATGAAAGATGGTCCTTTAAAGCGACTGTCTGCAAGAAAAGCAAATAAGCTCACTGAACTGAAGAACTGAAGTTGTTTTGTAAATGAGTCGACGTAGAGAAAATGTCCCTTCTTCATTTTTCTCCTTCTGTCTTTATAAACCTGTGAACAAAAACTCTGTACATCCTTTACCATGTAGACCACTAGGGGGAGCTTTAGAGGTCGATTGTTGTGCGTGTGCGTGTGCGTATGCGTATGTGTGTGTGTGTGTGTGTGTGTGTGTGGGTTAAAGGTGGTCCTCAGCTGTGTTTACCCCCGGACTCTCAGCTGTCGTTCCTCCTCCGTCTGTGTTCATGAGATGCTTCGAGCTTCGCCCGTGTGATCCTCCCGTACCGTCTGTAAAAAACAAAACAGTAATAATCTGTGAATTTGACTTTGACTGGAAGCAAAGATTCCTCTGAGTGCAGCTCTCGAACCCGAGGACAGATGTGGTGGGTGTATCATAGAAATGTAAATCTCCGCGTGTTTGGAGTGGTGCAGGTGATGACTGTGAAGCTGCTGGATTACGGTGCTACAGCAGCTCGCTTCTTTCTGGATTTTTTTACCGTGGTCGACTGAATCCTGGTCGTTTTGTAATATTGTTATTGAGATGATCTAATGCAGAGACGCGTATAGATAAATAAGTTATTGATGTTTTTCAATGAGAGTTCAGCAGCGTTCATTTATTTGATGTATAATTATCACAGAAGGAGGAAAAAGAGTCTTTCTGTTGCTTTAAAAAAAATAACTTTGGAGTTTGATCAGAAACCGAAGCGGCTTTTCTGAGTCTGTGTCCAGGAAACAGGAAACAGGAAACAGTGATGCATGGGGAGGTTTTCAAGGTGACACACTTTGGCAACATGATCCTCAACACAAAATGATCGATATTTGTTTTATTTTATTTTAAAGGATTAAATTATTGGCAGCTCAGTGGATTATTTTATGGGGACTAAATCATTTAAATTCAACAAATCTACCATATGGTGGTCATGAAGGTCAACTGCACATAAAACAATAAATTTTCTATGGACACAGGAGATCATTAAATACAATATTTTTGAAAACCAAAGCAGGCAACATGAACTAAAAAAGAAACAACAACAAAAAAAAAAATAAAACTAAATTTATTCACCAAAATTCACAGAAATTTCCTTTAACATCAGAATATTTCTCAAAATGAAAAGAAAATAAACAAAATTCATATTTGTGAAATGATTTGTGTGTTTTTAATATTTTTGTCATAATTTTGAGTTTCAAACATTCTTACAGTTTGTGAATTTGTTTTGATTTTTATAAAACATTTTTTGTCTTTCTTGAGAAACTTTTTAATTTTTTTTTACATTCTTGATTATTTAGATTTTTTTAAAACAATATTAATGTTTTTTTAACTTCTCGTTGTAAAACCATTTAATTTAATAAGTTTTTGTTTTGATACATTTTCTCATCTTGATAATTATTTTTTAGTTTTGCAAATATCTGTTTTTTTTTTAGATTCTGCATTTATTAAATATCTTTAGCATTTGACATAATATTATTAAATTCAAGGATTTTTTTTTCTGCATCCGTGAAATGTTTACGCAGTTGACCTTCAGGGCCACCGTACGAGTGTTTCTACCCCAGTGTCACAGTCGTGATTTATCAACATTTCGGAGTAAAGTGTCTCTTGTTTCTCCATCACTGTGAAGTTTCGTCTGACCTTCTTCAGCTGCTCAGTTTGAGGAAACTGTTGCCTCCTCGCGTCGCCCTGAAATCCTCCTCTCTGTATCGTTCTCCAAACATGTTGAGCATTCACATCAGGTGCTATCCTGTGTTTGAGCGTCATGGGTGTGCCTTTCCCCCTCCTCACAACCCAAAAGATTTCAGAAACTTTGCTCCAAACTGGACGCCTCGCCTCAGCAGAGTCGACTGAAACATCTGTGATGCCTGACTTCACCTGCTGCTGCTGCTTTGTGATTTTTAACAGTCATCAAAAGGGCAAACTCAACAATAATCCTGTCTGTTATGAATAATAAACCCATGGTGTTCCAGGACATACTCCAGCCAGGTGTGGAAAGGTGTTTCCATGACTTTAACCTCCTCTGGTCCTCTTCTTTAATACTGATTGTAAATCTAATGGTACTTCTATCACATGGACGCTAAAGTGGCTGCTCACAGTAAACTCTATAACCCTCAGTTTGATATGTGCATGTGTGCTGATCCAGACATCTGCAGCATCCAAATGTTGCACAACGTTTCCTGCGAGGATGATTATGAGCTTTAATTTTGGAGATTTTAATCAGCGTCTTTCACTTTCATTGTAGCGTTTTTGTTCGGTCTTAATCAGAAAATAATGAGAAGAGAGCGGCTCGCTCAGCAGAGGGTCACCGAGCATCGAGAACTTCCTTTGACCCAAAACAGAGACACTATTATCACAGATTTACACAACCTCAGATTCCAGGACGAGTTAACAAAACACTCCTCTGTTACTGTAGAAAACAAACTCCGCTCTCCTGAAACATCTCCTGTGTGAATATGTGATGTTTTACTGACTTCTTTGTTTTAGAAATAACACAAATGTGTGTGTTTTTTTGCTGCTCATGAGGGTGCTCCTGTTTTAAAGAGTGTGAGTGTGAGATTCAACATCATAAAACAACCAAATACATGAAAATCTTTAACCACAACGAGAGGATTCAGAGTCTTTACAAAACTTTATGAGACAAAGTTACACACAGTCGCTGTGCGACACTGGGTGTTATCTCCAAATGTACATACATATGGTGTGTGTGTGAGTGTGTGTATGTGTGTGTATGTGTGTGTGTGTTAGCGGCATTGTAACCTCAGTTTAACTCCAAAGTGATTCTTTTTGCCCTGTTTGACCTGAGCTAGAATGTCACCTCTATATTATTATAATTATTATTATTTACAATAATGATACTGAAATATGTCTATGGAGAATTTTAAGATTATAAAGTCATTGTTATTACGATCATTTTAACACAGTATGATTATTATGATTGTTATTATTCTATGTCTATCATTACTGCTATTATTATGATGATGATCTGAAGTGTAAAATGAGCCTCTGTGTTTTTTTGTATGTGTGAATATTCAATAAATAGATGTTAACAATTTACCTATTTGAAATATCTATCTATCTATCTATCTATCTATCTATCTATCTATCTATCTATCTGTCTATCTATCTGTATCTTTATGTCACCCTGTTATCAGTTGGCGCAGAAACACAGCATTCATTTGAAGTACAAAGATAACTTGTGCTATAAAAAAGAACATTGTACAATAGGCTGTTTTAATACACATAATATTGGCAATAACCGTCTTATTAAAATGAAATTTTGATATTAAGTCAAATATTAGTCTTTAGTACGACCTTGAGCCCTTGGTGAGGGTCCTTTCAAAGCAAAGTAGCAGCTAACTAGCTAGCTAATTAGCATTAGCACGCTAGCTTCGCGACATGACTCAGCACAAACAGACATTCAAAGATTTATTGTGTCCAAAAACAAAGTTAAAACTTGAGCCTTTTCGTGTAAATAATTAATTAATTGTTTAATTAATCATTATTGCACAGATATTTCAAAGGAAACAAAAACGGTAGGCTACTGTCAAAATGTATCGCACAATTAAAAATTAAAAATTATTAAAAATAAATAACTTGTTTTAGCTAGATTGGACAGGTTGTAAAAAAATATTCGAACAAACTCACTTTTACCGCAAAAAGGAGCTGGTTAAAAATCTATATTGTGCAGGTTGCGCATTCACATCTGAACCCACGCAGAGGGCTCCGCAGCCGACCATTGCAGACGAGAGCTGTTGGAATGACGGGACGTTTGATAGCATGGTAACATACTACCATTACGACAATTAGAGACCAATATCGGAATGGCGGGATGCCGGAATGGCGGGATTTCAGAATGTGGCCGCCCCTCGACCAAAACGGAACACTCGTGACTTCTCTTCTATGAAAGAACAGAAGACACAGGTGTTCTGTGTTATCATTGACAGTTTTTTTAAGTTGAATTTTTACTAAAAAAAAATCTTTTGAGAGACTGATTTTTTTTACAATCAATGTATTTCATCATTGTGAAAAGAAAGTGTCAGAAATAAAAATTTGTGCTTAAAATTCAATAGTTTTGAAATTCAAAGTCTGATTTTAATGTAAAAAATTCAGTTTTAGAAGTTCAGATTTAAACTCAGATGGCACAGTTTGACTTCCATACCTCCACCCTGAGCTGCTCTCTGTGCGGCTCTGCGGGGCCGGCCGGAGAAACTCCCTCCCCCTTTCCTCTCTCCAATCAACAACCGCAGCAGGAGGAGACCTGAGCCTGAAGAAGTGACACCGCCTCACCTTCCTGACTTCACTCCTGTTTACCAGGACAACCTCAACCCACCCGGGACCGAACCTGCCAGCATGGCGACCCCTCTCACCGACCAGGAGAAGCGAAAGCAGATCAGCATCAGGGGCATCGTGGGAGTGGAGAATGTGGCCGAGCTGAAGAAGGGCTTCAACCGACACCTCCACTTCACCCTGGTCAAAGACAGGAACATCGCGACACCCCGGGACTACTACTTCGCTCTGGCCCACACCGTCAGGGATCACCTGGTGGGGAGGTGGATCAGGACTCAGCAGTTCTACTATGAGGCTGATCCAAAGGTACGAAAACAACAAACTCAGAGTTCACTTTCACTTCCTGTAAAAATGTACAGTACGGAGAGAGATTAGACTGTAACACAACATGAAACTTGTCTGTATGCAGATGAGTTATTGAAAACACTTTAACAACCAATAACAGAGTTTGATATTCACTCTTATGAGACTTTTAGACAAATCAGTCTCATGAGAATAGCTGAAAATAAAAGTACAAAGTGTGCAGACTGAGAGGAAATGAAACAAAACAGAATTAAAGGTGCAAAAAAAGTATTTATTAGAAGTGTTAAAATGATAAAGAGATTTGTATTGGACATGCAAAATCATGTTAAACATATGTAACACAACATGAAACTTCTCTGTAAGCAGATGAGAGTTATTTAAAACCACTTTAACAGAGTTTGATATTCGCTGTTATGAAACTTTTTTTATACAAAACATGAAACTCAGAGCCTCTGCAGACCAAATGAACACAACCTCCAAAGATTCATAGAAAGGATTCAGATCATTTTATAGGAATATAGATCAACTTAAAACATGACTACTATTTGTTAAAACAGAATCCCAATAAGGATCAGAAGTAACTACATAACTTGAGATAACATCAGTCTCATGATTATAGCTGATAATAAAAGAACAATGTGTGCAGATTGAGGATTAAAGGTGCAGAAGTGCAAAAAAGTCTTTATTGGAAGTGTTAAAGTAATAAAGAGGTTTGCATTACACATGCAAAAACATGTTAAACATATCGACACTCTAACATGTGCATCGACAAATATTGCGAAATACACAATGAAAATTTTAAGTGCAGTAAAAAAATGACATGAAACCACATGCGATGCATAACTTGAGATAAAATCAGTCCAGTGACAATAAAAGTACAAAGTGTGCAGATTGAGGGGAAATGAAAAAAAGAGGATTAAAGGTGCAGAAGTGTAAAAAATGTCTTTATTGGACGTTTTAAAGTAATAAAGAAGAATTCAGAGAGTATCAGAGATCGTATCTGCTGCTGAGGATAAAACACGTCCTGTTCAGCTGCATTTTTTCATCTGTCTGCTCGCATGGCTTCCTATTATTTTGACATGAGGAAGTTTTCTTCCTGCACAAACTTTCGCACTTCCTTTTCCAAGAGTGAGGAAGGTATTTCTGGGTCGTTGCATCATGTTTACACTCTCCAGTTCATGCAGGAAAAGGTGGTTTAACTCGTTTGCTGCCCACAGAGCGTTTCATTTCCTCAACAGTCTCACCGAACATGGAGGACGTCTGACTAATCGAGCTTTTAATAAAATGATGTCAAGTGTAATCATGTTTTCTTTCACACATCCAGAGGGTTTATTATCTGTCTCTGGAGTTCTACATGGGCAGGACGCTCCAGAACACCATGATCAACCTTGGTCTGCAGAACGCCTGTGATGAGGCCATCTACCAGGTCAGGACCGGGTTTAGACACGAATGATCGCAGATTTACAGACGGGTCTTTTTCAGTTTACACAAACACATCACTGTTTGGGCTGAGATGTTTTCTTCTGCTGCTGCTGTAGCTTGGTCTGGACATGGAGGAGCTGGAGGAGATGGAGGAGGATGCAGGTCTGGGGAACGGAGGTCTGGGGAGACTGGCAGGTAAAAAACTACAGCTGTTTAGATTTAGAGGAGACGTGTTGATAAATAATCATGATTAAAGCTCCTATTGGTGACATTTATCTGTCTCCTTCTTACACAGTGTACGCCAAAATAATAAACAAACAACCATTCAAATGCAAGAAAATTAACAGCACTTTAAAAAGTATAGAGTACAGTCAGAAGTGCATACCTCTTAAAACTGCTGCACAAAGAAAAAAAAGTTCATTTCATAAATTTTATCCTGAACAGGAAAATTTTGCACTTTAAAAACCATATTGGACATATTAAATGTTTATTTTCTGAAATAGATCATAGGAAATGTGTAAAAACAAATATTGTAAAATATAGATAAGAATAAGAATAAGTAGAATAACTTTATTGACCGAAGGGAAACAATAAATAATAATAGATAATAGTAATAAAAATGATATAATATAATTTAATATAATATAATATAATAAAACATTATAATAATAATAATAATAATAATAATAGTAATAATAATAATAATAAATATGATCAATAATATAATATAATATAATGTAATATAATAATAGAAAATAAAAAATATAATAAATAATAGATAATATTATAAAACATTATATTAGATAACAAATAATTATAGATAATATTAATAATAAATATAATTGATATATAATATAATAAAATAATAATATAACAATAAAATTTTAATAGATATATAATAATAGATAATAAAAGATATTATAATAAAATGTAAAATGTAGTTCAGAAATTTATAATTTACAGATTTAAAAAAAAAATTATACTGCACAATAAAAATGTGGATATTGCTTAAAAAGGTTCATATTTCAGGTAAAACAATGTGAAGTATTAATGCACCATCAAAAAGTTGCTTAGCTAAATAATGAAAATACAAAATAAAATAAAAAAATTATAGAAAAAGTATTTTGCTGTAAAAAATTCTATTGCAAAGTAAAAGCGTTTTAAATTTCTCCAAGTATTTCTATTGCACATACAAAAACATGTTAAACATATGTACTCTGTAACATGTGCGTTGATAAAAATTGCAAAATACTCAATGAAAATTTTAAATACAGTTAAAAAATTAACAGTTCTTAGTTTAAAAATGAAAATGATGATTTTTTTTTGTAAAGGTACAGATTTTTAGGTGAGAGGTAAAATGTAAAGTAGTGTTGCACAGTTAAAAAATATAAAGAAAATAAAAATGTATTGCAGTGAGCATCGCATTATGACCAGAAATGCTTTTTTTCAGATTTGGCAGTCGTCCTCTAAAATTCCTCAGTCTGTCTGATGAACAGAAATAATCGCTGCACCTCCTCCTGCACCATCATGATCACTCAGTTTGAGTCCATGTTTTGATTTAATCTCTTATATTTCATTTTCTGCACACAGCTTGTTTCTTGGATTCGATGGCCACTCTGGGTCTGGCAGCGTACGGATACGGCATTCGATATGAGTATGGGATCTTCAACCAGAAGATCAGAGACGGCTGGCAGGTAAAAACACTCTCAAGTTTTAAATATGGTCTTTAATAAGAGTTTCATTTGACCTTCCTTAACCTTTATCTAAAAACTCCAGGAGTGACTGTGGGCTCAGACTCCTGCTGTAAAGACTCTAAAGTGGAGCAGGGCCAAAGGAGAGTAGAGCTAGGTCAGATTAGATCACCGATTAATCATTGACGGTCCCTTCACTCGTAGTTTACTCGGTGCAAGACGCTCCTGAGCAAAGCTGGAGCTGGTTGGTTTTCCATGAGCAAACTGGAGATAAGAGACCCTCAAACTGCGGGCTTTTGCCCTTTTGAATTCTTCGGCGTGTTTGCTGTCCAAACCGTCAGAGTCAACATCGACTCTGGACGCTGAACTGGATCATAGCTCGCTGTTTTCTCACTGAGGTGGATGAACCTGTGCGTTTAAACTCTGCCGCCTCAGTGAACGAGGATTTCATTCAGTAATGCAAACATAATATACGAACATAATCGTGTTAAATCACAGAGTGGAAATACTTTTAGACTTCACCTGCAGTAATAAAGAGGTCAAAGTAAGTAATGAAGTAGGTCGTAAATCTTGAACTTTTTAATCTTTGTCCCGGATCGACTCTCTGCAGGTGGAGGAGGCGGATGATTGGCTGAGGCATGGAAACCCGTGGGAGAAAGCGCGTCCGGAGTACATGTTACCGGTTCACTTCTACGGGAGAGTGGAGGACACGAAGGACGGCTCCAGATGGGTCGACACTCAGGTACTGAAGATGTGTTCAGGACGGTTTTAGGAAATGCTTTTAGATGGTAAACTATGGTCAAAGCTGTAGTTCCCAGAATCACCACTAGGGTCTGTCTGCAGAAGCACCAGAATGCACACACACACTCAGTCAAAAAAGCTCATTTTTAGAGCAGTATTATTTTATTAGCGCTGTTTTCTATATTTTTCTTCTTCAGGTGGTTTTGGCGATGCCGTACGACACGCCCATCCCCGGCTACATGAACAACACGGTGAACACCATGAGGCTGTGGTCCGCCCGCGCCCCCAATGACTTTAACCTGAGAGACTGTGAGTGTCCGAGGCGGCTCCTCACCTTCAGCTAAATGTACAAAAACAGTCTGTGAATTTCCTTTAAGAGTTAAAAGATAAAATCTGTGAGAGAGGAGGAAACTGCTGCAACACTGGCACCGTGCAAAAACAAGTCTGTGTTACAAAACAGTCTGAACGCTGCAGAGGGAGAGTTCTGACTTTAATCTGTAAAATCTAAAACTCCTGATATAGAGATACTAAAAATCTACTCCGTCTGTTTCAGTTAATGTTGGAGATTACATCCAGGCTGTTCTGGACAGGAACCTGGCGGAGAACATCTCCCGCGTCCTCTACCCCAACGACAATGTGAGTTTGTTTTCGTCAACATCAAAAAATCCTGAATTTATCTCAGAAAAAGCTCCAATTATTTTCTTTTCTGTGTAGTTTTTCGAAGGGAAAGAACTCCGTCTGAAGCAGGAGTACTTCGTCGTGGCCGCCACACTCCAAGACATCATCCGCCGCTTCAAGACCACGAAGAAAGGCGTCCCCGGACGAACCTCTTTTGAAAGTTTCCCTGAAAAAGTAAGTCTGAAAATAAGAATTAATGAGTGCAGGTGTCTCAGGGGCGGAGATGAGGTTAGAGAAGTTAGTGTGTGTTTAGAGAAACGTCACTCTTCTTCTACATTCAGTTTCTGGTAGAAGAAGACGGCTTAGAAATTCCAACAAAGATCATGATCGAGGACAGTTTTTGTAAGATTGTAAAGTTTTCTTAGTTTTACTTTTCTGAGGATTTAAACAGCTGATAGAAACAAAACTATCCAGAACCGTGAAACTAGCCGCGTTAGCTGCTAATTAAAGCTAACGAGTGAATACGATCTCCTGAAGAGCGACCATGAGACGTTCTCGTTTCTCTCGGCTTGACCGTGAAGATACTTCCACTGATCAATGTCGTGATTATTCCTCAGATCCTGACTACCCCACCTTTAAGAGCGATGTGTTGTGCGAATCGAAGAAATCTGCTTTTCTACTAAATTAAAGTTGGTGTTCCTCAGGGCTCGATGTTAGGCCCACAGACTTTTTTTACCTTTTTATTAACGATCTGCGTCAAAGCTCCTTATTATTGCTGCTGCTTTTCTCCGTATTATTATCATTATTTTTATTTATTTTTATTTTTTATTTTTTTATTTAACAACAAAACAGAGTGACGACAACAACAGAAACAACAACAACAACAAAAAGATAAAAAATAAAAAATTTACAAAAATACTTTTGTGAGGGAGGGGAGGGGGAAGGAATTTATATAATCTGTAAAAGAGAATTTAAAAAGAAAAGAAAAAAAAAATCTTAATTGGATTACATTGGAATATCTCTATAATAATAATTAACTCTGTTTGTGGTGCTCTCCAGGTCGCCATCCAGCTGAATGACACTCATCCCGCCATGGCCATCCCCGAGCTGATGAGGATCTTCGTGGACATCGAGAAACTGGACTGGGACACGGTGGGTGAGAGTCACTTCCTGGTTCGTCCTCTTCGAGTGGCGTCTGTAAAGGGTTAAACTTCTGAAATCATGATGAGACAGGAACTCAAACCACAACTTGACTAATGAAACCGTCAGCCTGGAGTTACGTAACGTCTGTGTGGAAAAAAAACAAAAAAACTGTCGTCCAGGTGAAGAAATAAAGTCAGAGGGAGTTTGAGAAAGTGTTCGACAAAAAAAAACAAACTATAGATAAGTTTTAATTTTTTTTTACACACCCTCCCTCCTCTGCAGGCCTGGGACCTGACCAAGCGCACCTTCGCCTACACCAACCACACGGTCCTCCCTGAAGCTCTGGAGCGCTGGCCTGTGGAGCTGCTGGAGACGCTGCTGCCCCGACATCTGCAGATCATCTACCAGATCAACCAGATCCACCTGGATGTACGTCTAAAAAAAATATATACAGTTTGACTCTGCAGAGCACGTCAGTGAAAATCTGTCCCGTCTGTTTCGTTCCTGCAGAAAATCGCTGAACTCTTCCCCGGTGACATGGACAAACTGAGGTCCATGTCTCTGATCGAAGAGGACGGCTGTAAGAGGGTCAACATGGCGCACCTCTGCATCGTTGGATCGCACGCCGTCAACGGAGTGGCGGAGATTCACTCCAACATCATCAAGACTGAAGTGTAAGACAGAATTTAATCTCAGGGTGAAGTTTAGGAGGAGAGATAAACACATGATTCAGACGAAGACGGACATTTTGAAACGACACCAGAGTGTGTGTCTTCACAGAAAACCACAGGATTGAATCATCGTTCGCCGCTCTTACACACACCGAACAATAACTGCAACATCACCGGTGTTGAGAAACAAACACACAAAGTCGAGTTACACATGATCTACAGGAACTTCAGAAACAAAGTCTGAATTCTGCTTCATTTAAGGTGCCGATTAAACACACAGGGAACTAAATATGACTGTTGATGTTAATGTTGTCTCCATCAGAGTCCTCCTCGGTCCTCCTAAAAGTCAGTTTGGAGTAAATTCCTCTGAACTTTCTCCTGATCTGCTTCCAGGAGACGAATCCTCATCCTGCTGACTCACTCTTTCCCTTTTTTCACGACACACTGAGGTTTTTTTTCTGCTGCTTTTCTTGATCAAAATTTTACAGCCTGACGGCGTTCAGGTCTGACCGTTTCCTCTGAACCCTCATGTCGATGTGACGCCGTGTTTGGGTAAAAGCAAAAGAACAATCCGGTTCTTCGCTGCGCCTCAAATGTGACTGAGAATCCACGCTGTGTCGGAGTCTGTCCGTGTCATCGAAGTCCCTCGGTTCATACAAAGCACTGACACAGACTTGGGGTCATTAGAGGTCAAACATGCCTTAGTTCAGTACTTATTGCTGAGTGTCGGTGCGCCTTAGGACTCTAATTAAAGCTCCAGTGAGTGACTTTTTTGGAGTTATAAAATAGACTGAAGATAAACAGCCAAAGTAGGTGATATATGTGACTCTAAAAACAGGAAAGAAGACTCATTTCTGAACCATCAGTGAAAAGGTTAGATGTAATGCTCTTGGGTTACCACAGGGGGCGCCAAGTAAACCAACATTTTCTCACTGGAGCTTTAAAAATGGAAAAACTTGAAAAAAATAACACAAATATCTGATGTAAATCACATATGGGTCGGTTCCTGGTGAGGCATCTTAGAGTGAAGAGATGAAGGGTACAATTTTGTCCTCAGGGGGCGCCAAACTCCAGCACCATATGACAGTTTACCACAGGAGCTTTAAATTCTTCTTCTGTAACATTTTGTTTTTTTTTCCACAGCTTCCGAAACTTCAGCGACCTCGAACCGGAGAAGTTTCAGAACAAAACCAACGGCATCACCCCCCGACGCTGGCTGCTGCTCTGTAACCCCGGCCTGGCTGAGCTCATCGCCGAGGTTTGTTTACACCGCCGCCTGAGAAACAAACACAGAAACGAGCGAGCGAGTGAGCGAGCGCCAGGAGGAGTTCTAAAACCTCTGAATCCTCCGTAAACTCTCCCCCAGCTGTCAGGCTGTGACTCAGCTCTGGAACAGTTTATCCCCTCCTCGCAGAATTTTCCAAACGTTTACGAGGAAACAGTCTCGGTTTGTTTTGGACGCTTTTTAACGGACTTCTGTTTCTTTCAGTTCATCGGGGAGGATTATGTGAAGGACCTGAGTCAGCTGCAGCAGCTTAATGACTTTGTGGACGATGCCGCCTTCATCCGAGACGTGTCCAAAGTAAAACAGGTAAACATTCACTCAGGAAGTCCACTGAAATATTCACTTTTACAACATTATGAGTCATCGAAGGGAAAATACAAGGTCCATCTAAAATATTCATGTGGTTTTAATACAAGGAAAAACTCATGGAGGTTTATCAAAACTTACACCAAAGTAGAGAGTCTGAAATTTTTATTAAATAGATAACAGGAAGTCTCTTTTTTTTATTTCCTGTTGGTCTAAACAGCTCAAGTCTGAGGATGCTGCCAATCGAGTTTTTTTTCTAATATCGTCAAAGTAATTATTACAGTTCTTATACATTCATCATTTCACAACGTTATTAATTTATAAAATAAAAGAAATATTGTTATTGCTGCTTAGGACAATAGAAATAAAACAATACTGTAAAAAAATATAAAAAATGATAAATAAAAATGGAAGGCAGTGATGTTTTATAGCTGCTAAAATGTTAAAATTTAAAGCTCCTGTGTTGTACTTATATTTGTGTCATCTTTGGCGCCCCCTTGTGGACAAAACAGTCTCTAATCATCGTGTCCTGTACATGCTTATAATACATTTTATCATAAAAAAAAAGTTACTGTCAGACTGGTTTGTTCTCAAGTCCTGTTTTTTTCTGTACAGCTCTATTTTTAAAAGTTATTAGGGGGTTCATGTTTTCTATGATTGACACCTGATACAGCCTATGGGCGTACAAAGATTGTGTAGCTCACCAGAGCGACTCTCGGTGACTCTCCCGCTGAATGCGTACAACGCTACTGCGCAACGTTGGTTTCAGGAAGTGGAGAAAAATCGCAGAAATACCGAGAGCTTTTTACCTTCACAGACAGAAGGTGGAACCAAGTTGTCCATAGTATATACAGTCTCTGAGTGTGACCAACTGAACTCTTCCTTTATGATGTCACACATTAGATCAATGAGACCAAAGACTTCCATTCTAAAGTTCTTATTGTGGTGAAAATTCCGGAATCCCCTTTGATGTCCTTGATGTTTTGATCTCATTGAAGATCAGCTGTTCTGAATTACACACACACAAACACACAAATAGGTTGCAGGCAGTACTGTGTGTGGAGTGTGTACAATGCTACTGTGCAATGTTGGTTTCAGGAAATTGAGAAAAAACCTGTAATTACCAAGAGATTTTCGGCTTCAAATTCGTGTACTGGGGAAAAGCGTAATCAAGTTGTACATAGACGGGTTTCTGCGCAACATTATTTTGTTTACTAGCGGAGACGACAATCGTCAAACATTACGACCCTGCTCCTAATATTAGAAACATCGGAAACAACGACACAACCTGGTAAATTGAGTGAAATTCATGCATATTTCAGTGTTTTTCTGATTTTGATGCAAAGAAAGACAAAGTAATTTTTCAGTGAAATGAGATTTTATTGCAATTGTATCAGAGAGAACTAAAAATTACAAAATCAAACCAGTCCATCATGTTTCTGATGGTTTTGTTTGTTTCTGTTTATCATAAAAATGCTTCAGTATGAACTTGAGACTTTACTGCGAAGGTTACACCAACATGATGTTGTTTGTTATTTCTGCGTGTCTCTGCAGGACGAGATTTTACGACCGCATTTATTTGTCAGGAATCAGGACGTGTCGGGACAGGTCACCGCTGCGAGTCAGCGCCTTTCATTCTCATATTTCTGATTTCAGGACAACAAGGTGAAGTTCGCTCAGTACCTGGAGAAGGAGTACAGGGTGAAGATCAACCCGGCCTCCATGTTCGACGTCCACGTGAAGAGGATCCACGAGTACAAGCGTCAGCTGCTCAACTGCCTGCACATCATCGTCATGTATAACCGTACGGGAAATCACTCAACATCACACACACACTGAGCGCCGGGAGGTTTGAGAGTCACATGACATGATCTGGCGTGAAAAAGTCTCCACCCGATCCGTGCCGACAGCAAGTCCAAACAAACCCTCAGATCAGGATCCGTCTGGATCAGGGCGATCAAGGGAGGGAAACACACGAATCAGCAGTTCTGTTTTTATGCAACATGCAGATATATTATGCAACTGAGTCTTCAACCTTCAGAGGAAAATTCACAGAGATCATGAAACTGTAATTCAGAGTAAAATACCTAAAGAGTCAGACAAGAGCGGGCAGATCCTACAAATGTGCATCAGGCCAGTTTTTAGTAACACTTAGAGAAAAATATTCAGTAAATGTTCAAAACAGTTTCTCAAAGATCATCCTAAACTTCCTCTTTGTTTGTGTCCGTTTCTGTTTCCACAGGGATCAGGAAGAACCCCAATGCTCCGTTCGTACCTCGAACCGTGATCATCGGAGGAAAGGTACAGAGAGAACATCACAGACGGAGGTGTGTGTGTGTGTGTGAGGTTTGTGTTTCACGCTCTGTCGCCCCCTGCAGGCCGCTCCAGGGTACCACATGGCCAAGATGATCGTGAAGCTGATCACCTCGGTGGCTGACGTGGTGAATAATGATCCTGTGGTGGGAAACAAGCTGAAGGTGATCTTCTTGGAGAACTACAGGGTCTCCTTAGCAGAGAAAGGTACCGTCCAACACCTGCTGCTCATGGTTCTGGATCTTCTATGAACACCCAGAACCAGAATCACAGTGAAACCTCCTTCTTCTCCGCAGTGATTCCTGCCACAGATCTGTCCGAGCAGATCTCCACCGCCGGCACCGAGGCCTCAGGGACAGGAAACATGAAGTTCATGCTGAATGGAGCGCTGACCATCGGCACCATGGACGGAGCCAACGTGGAGATGGCGGAGGAGGCCGGAGAGGAGAACCTGTTCATCTTTGGCATGAGGGTGGAGGACGTGGCTGAGATGGACAAAACAGGGTAAAGGAGACCGTCTTCCTGAATCATAGAAGTGAAGAAAGTCACAGTCGGACCTGAGCTCTCTTTGATCTGTTCCTTCAGGTATGACGCCATGGTCTACTACAAGAAGATCCCAGAGCTCAAACAGGTGATGGACCAGATCACCAGCGGGTTCTTCAGCCCTAAAAACCCTCAGCTCTTCAAAGACCTCACTGAAATGCTCTTCAAACACGACCGGTGAGAAACACGCGGATACGTCCTTTAATTTCAGTCCCTGAAGATTTAAGAAGTGAGAAAATTTAACCATGAATTTATGAGTTTATGTCTAAATCAGAAATATTGTTTCCTCATCCTCTGTCCAACTGTGCAGATAGGCTGTTAAACAGCGCCCTCCTCTGGACAAACTTTGTAACATAATTTCTGAATGACCCCTGAGTTTTGTTTACAGGTCCAAGTTTTTCATCAGTTTTAAATCTTCTGATTAATTCAGATTTTTGACTCTTTCAGGTGTAAATTAAATTAAAAATAATATTATGCAGTTGCAAAATGCAGTTTGCATCCATCCAGCTTAACAAGTATAAATATATTTACAAATGTACACAGTATGAAAGAATATATACATGAGTCTGTCAGGGAATAAAAGTGCATACAGGCTTTAGTAGTGCACAGGCTATAAACAGACTATAAATATGATTATATGACAGATAAATTATACAGTCGTGAAAATGAGGTTTGAAAGGTTTTAAGTTGGTTTACGGATATAAAGTGCAGGTAGTTATAGATAATTAAAGCAGTGGTTCTCAACTGGTGGGTCCTGACCCAAAAGTGGGTCGCAAACGGCTGGTCAAAAAAGTCAATATTAAATGCGCATTTGATGTTTGACATGTCTTTTATTTTGAAAAATATCTGATTTTGAAAGTTCCTTTTAATGTGGCCTGAATGCAGTAAAATTACATGTTTTGTAATTCTATTTATTTTGTGCAATTTGATGTTTATTCACTTTTTTTTTATTATAAAAAAAATTATTTGCTGGTTTGGATTTTATAAAAGTGGGTCACAACTTCAGGACCATGGGAAAATGTGGGTCCCAGAGTGAGACCAGTTGAGAACCACTGTCTTAAACTGTTTTGCTTTTTAAAGCCCTCGTTGTCTAACTTTGATTTATCGTCTCGTCTCTCTCCTCAGTTTCAAAGTGTTTGCAGACTTTGAAGACTACGTGAAATGCCAGGAGAAAGTCAGCAAGCTGTACCAGGTAAATAAAACCCTTTCTGTTAAACCAGATCAGACAGGTTTACTTTTTTAATCCGACTCCATTTTCATCAAGCAAAGTCAGGCTTTATTACGACATTTTGTAGTTTATTCTGGGGAACCTAAAACAATCTGATTGATCAAAATCTAACCACTGAAGTTTCATCTTTGAGGAAATGTGTGACGACCTTAAAAATAAACCTGATTAAGTGGATTTAAAGAAGCAGTGACCCACAGAGTAACACAGTAAAAAATCTAAAAAATCAGAATAATCAAACTGTCGTGTGTCTGAATCAGAATCCAAAGGAGTGGACCAAGATGGTGATCAGAAACATCGCCGCCACCGGGAAGTTCTCCAGCGACAGAACCATCACAGAGTACGCCACCGAGGTGTGGGGGGTGGAGCCCACCGACCTGAAGATCCCGCCCCCCAACGAACCCAGAGAGGCCATCGAGGAGACGGCCCGGGCTCTGAAGAAAGTGTGAGGCTGAACCACATCCAGGGTGGAGGGGAGAGGGGGTGACTTCCTGTTTACACATCATTCACTGTTTAACCTTCGAGTAACACGCCGCGAGAACTTTACCGAGAACTTCAGATCAGCTGTTTTTTATTATTATCTATTTTAGATTTACAAACACCAGAGTCAGAGTTAGAGAGAGTCTGTTACAGACGTCAACACACGCAGGAAAGAGTGGATTTGATTTGTAACTCGGATCAGTTTAAGTCTCAGAAACTCTGACCTCTAAAATCACAGAGACTCAAAGTGTTTTACGACCGTCGAACCCGGTGTATCTTTGTCAAACCAGTTTCATGTGTGATCTCCAGTAGCTGTTGAAATAAAAGCTCATTGTGTTACATGGTTCGTATCATCTGTTTAATGTTAAAATTAAAGTTAATCATAATGATTTAAAAGCTCAAAACTAACTAATGTTGACCTTTTTTCCAAAGTGGTAAACTTCTTGTTGTAAACTGGACATGTTGACCTAATTTAATACCTCCATTGGCTGAATTTTTTACCACTGATAGGGGGCGCTATCGAGCCACATTTACCCACTGATATTTAAATCCCATATAATTTAAATCTTTTGTCATGTGCCAAGTTTGGTGAGTTTTTGAGCATTTTAAGACACTGTAAAAAAGTGATAAATAAAGAGAAACCGTTTATATTTAAAAAGGGCCGAACAACAACCTGAAGAAGTACGCTTTTAAAAAAAAAAGATGAACATGAAATTAAAAACTTAGGAATAAAAAGTGAAAGTTTATTCAGCAAGAGTCTGAAGATTTCTTTAAATGTTCTTTTATTAGATTTCTCATGTAAAAACCGGAGCGAACACAAACACCTTCACAGATATTTGAGGAGAAAAATAAGTAAGAGCGACCACAGCGAGAGTACCTCTTAAAACTAGAATATCCAGAGAAAGTGAATTATGTCTTAAATATTTAAATAAAACACTGAAAAGGTCAAAATTAAAACACTGAAGTTATAAAATGAGTCCAGAGTTAGTTTAAAGCTCCTGTGAAGAGTTTATGAAACAGAGTGAAATTAACAAAAATGTCTTTTTTAAAATCTGTTAAAACAAAAACAGGGTTAGGGTCAGACATGATGATTTAAACCCTCTTCATTTCCCACTGCAGAAATACAAATAAAGTTAAAATATTTGACTGTCATCGGAAACGAGGATGAGATTCCTTCGTCTGATTGGACGAGAAGCAGAGATAAAAAAGCTAAAATTCCTCTCAGGAGCTTTAAGGTAGAGTGTGTAGAAATGTGAATATTTAGAGATATCAAGTATATCAAGTGTGAGGACAAAAAGCTCCTCAGTATCGTCCTCTAGTTCTCAAGTTTTGACCATCAAAAATATCTGTACAGATTCTCTTGTGTGAAATAACGCCCACTGCTTCGTCTTCTTTGTTATGGTCCATTTCACACAGACACTCTATACAAAAATACGACACCATAGCAGAAACATGTTAGTGAAAGATGGCAGCCTCTATGGAAGATGAGCTGCTCCTGTGTAGTCATAAAAGTCTCAAAAGTTAAAGGGATATACTGTCGTAAAATTAAATTATGGTCAAACACCGTAACACCGAGTTAGACCCCACCTCCAGAGATGAATGTTGCCGACCGCTTGCTTCTCTAGTTATACCAACTTTAGTAACGACCGCAGGATAGAAATACAGAGAGCCACGCCCTCAACCAAAGCGCCACTCTATAGCCACAAATAATGCTCAGAACAGCACCTAACTTCATCAACAGGACATATAGGGTCACAGATATAGTACTATATTCAGAGTTGTTCTAACTCCTAAGAAAACAAACTGAAGCGGGGGCGTTTCTCCACCTCTGTAGTCTATAAGCTGGGCCAATAAACTTCTACTGTAGTAAAATGAAAAGGTAAAGGTGTTTTTATTGAGCCGAATTATCAATAAAATCATGATTTTGTTAACAGGTATGAATATATGTGCTGTTGAGTTAATATATTTGAACAAGAGCACAGTAAAGTTAAATCAGCTAATTTTCCAATGAGGTTCTGTTACTGAACGGAACTACACCATGTTCTACTGAGGTTAGTACATATAGGGTCACAGCCATAGTACTAGACACCAAACATCTTTTTAACTTTGACTCATTTCTTTATCAAAGAGACTAAACACAACTCACCTACTCTCTTCCAGCAGACACTTGTTTGTAGCGAGACCTCAGGCCAGTCCATTATGGACTACAGCGGGGTGCCGCAGCTCAAGGAAGAACATTTATGATCATTTCTTCATCATTTCCTTGAAGTAATAATCACCATATTAATCATTTTGCAGACGTGGTAGTTTTTCTTAGTTTCTCGCTACAAACAAGCGTCTGCTGGAAGAGAGTAGGTGAGTTGTGTTTAGGCTGTGACCCTATATGTCCTGTTGATGAAGTTAGGTGCTGTTCTGAGCATTATTTGTGGCTGTAGAGTGGCGTTTTGGTTGAGTGCGTGGCTCTCTGTATTTCTATCCTGCGGTCGTTACTAAAGTTGGTATAACTAGAGAAGCAAGCGGTCGACAACATTCATCTCTGGAGGGGGGGTCTAACTCGGTGTTACGGTGTGTTCGACCCTCAGTTAATTTTACGCCAGAATATCCCTTTAACAGAGGAAAAGGATTTTTACAAGTCTGTTGGAAGCTGTAAAAGTGTCGTAGTGGTTTGAGTTGAACACGGTGCAGCATGCATGAGTTCTCTCCAGGTCGTCCAACATGCCTGTCAGGTTCATTGGTGTGACTGTACATGAGTGTCTGTTTGTCTCGATGTGTCGGCTGCTGATAACGTGTGCAGGGTTACGGATGGATGGACCTGTACCTCATTTGATCCCGTCTTAAACATCTTAAACATTATTGATCCACTTCTTCTTCTTCAGGGGGAGAACCTGTCTCCTCTTTTGAAGGAAGGTTTTGTAGAAATTTCCTAAAACCAAAGCAGACGGAATATTTAATTACTTTTTTATGAGTTAGTTATTCTGTAGACGTAATGAAAATAACAACAACTGTCAGCCGAGCTTCATTTTTCAGCTCGATAATTCACAGTGTCACATGTAATTGTAAAAAGTCATATCAGTTTGAACAACACTAACCCAACCGTGTTCATCAGATTAGGATCCAGGTAGATATAGTTGTGACACAATCCAAGATCTGCTCTGTAGGAGATCATTTCAACCTGAACGTCTGAGTCGTGTTTTTTCTTCGTCTGGAGTGATATCTGGTGCAGCTGGAGACAAAAGAGGCAAAGTAGGTCAGTGAGGGTGCTGTAAAATCTGCAGGGAAACGATCCAAACCCTCGAGCTGTACCTTCACACCCATGTCGTACGGTACGATGTTGTCGTCCTCTGCGTGGAGGATAAGAAGTGGACTGATCACTGTCTTCAAACTGAGGAGGTTTGGGGGTGAAGAAAAATTCATGATTGAACAAGTTCATCATCAGTAAAGAGTTTGAGTTATTAAAGATGCAGAGGGTGTTCTTACTTTTCGTCATTCGCAAAATCAATGTTGATTTTATCCAAAATGTTCCAAATTAAATTCTCAAATCCTGGAAGGAGCATATAGATCTGAAAGACAAGTATGGAAACGTTCACACAGCAACATCAGATGACAATTTAAAGGATAGAACAACTTGTTTGGATTTTATTCATCAATTTTTTAAGGTGAAAATTGTTGATTTAAAGTGACAGAAGAACAAAGATGCAGAGAAAGTTGTATGGACTTTGAATTTGAAAACTTGTCATAACATTTTAATTTAAATCAAAGTATGTTTATTTGTTGTATTTCCCGATATCGTAAGTTAAATTTTGTCCCTCCATGTCGTGTCTCGGCTCTGAGAAGTTATTAAATTTTACCAGAAATCATGAGCAACGATCCAAACATCTTTAAGGACCACAAATCTCACATTCATTAAAACTGGATAAAAGTTTAGTCAGTTATATTTATAAAAAGGTATAGATGTATGGTAAAATATAGGTGCTGCTCCATTAAATAGGACAAATTTGCCTCACCTTAGCCAGAGGATGTTTGCGGACAACATCTCCGATTCTGGTGTACGGAGCTTCAAGGATTATAGCATCAGCAGCAGACCCTGATTTAAGACGGACATAACAAAATACAGGATCAACATGATGAAAGATAACGCCCTTCATGAGCTTCAAAAAAGTGTAAACCTTTATCTAAACTAGCAGAAAATCTCATAACGGTAGATGGACTTAATTGGATGGTGCACAAACTCTATAAAGGCTCATATATAAAAAATGATCAGGTCAAAGGTTCGTGTAAACCCTTTTAAGTGATTTTATTTAAATGTGTTATGCTACTTCGCTGACTAATTCATATGTGACTGTTTGGAAATCAGTAAATGTGATTAATTTTTTATCCTATTTATTCTGTTATTTTTAGATACCGGCCCTTTAAGTCCCCACTCAGGTGCATCAAGTATTCTGGCCTGATAATGAGACATTCAGGTATAACAAAGATCCAGAGGACAAGGCCAAATATAATGTACGCACTCCAGAGAGGAGATCAAATCCAAGCTAAAATAATTCAATCTCTAGATGTTAACACACCTTCTTCTTGTAGTTTCACTGCAGTATTTGTCGCCACCCTGAAAGAAAACACACAGAGTGACTTCTACACATGTCCTCATGGATATTCATGTTATTGGTCAGAAAGTCGTGAAAAAACTGACCCAGTCCCAAGTGAGTGACCCCACAGACACACCAGACCTCCTCTGCTCTGCTTCTTTGCCCAGTGGTACAGGTAGAGGGCGTCAGTGGTCAGTCCAGATTCACTCGGCTCACCGGTGGAGTCTCCAAAACCTCAACAGAGGACACAAGAATCAACTATAACAGGGCACTATTTACCATCATATTTATTATAATTATAATAATAATAATAATAATAATAACAATAATAATAAACAAAAAACTAATAAACATGATAAAGTAAAAAAAATAATAAAACAAAAAATAAATAATAATTATAATTATAATAATGATAATATAATAAAATTCAAATAAAATAAAGAATAGATAATAAAATAATAATAATAATAATAATAATAATAAACACAAAAAATAAAAAATTCATAAAAAATTAATAACAAAAATAATAATGAAATAAAATAATAATTATTATAAAAATAAAAAATATATAAATCATAATAATAAAAGAAAAAATATTATCATAATAAAAATAATAATAATAATAATTTATGTTTAAAGGGGAAATGATCATGTGTAGCACCTTACCTCTGTAGTCTAAAGATAGGATGTGATACCCTGCAGCACTTAAAATCTGAAACACACAGAATCAAACATATATGACATATACTCAAAGTGAAAACTGTTGATGCTCTAGAGGAGAAATCGTACCTTCACCAGCTCCACTCTGTGGCGTATGGCTCTGCAGAAAAGACACAAGAATGAAAACAAACAAGTGACTCGTTTACTCTGACCCACTGCCCCTCTGAGCTCTGCACCCCTGATACCCACTAGACTCCATTAGGACCAATTCAAGAGCCTCTATCCTGCTGCTCTCATCCCACCTGGTTCCTAAGTTGCCATGGAGATAGATAATAACAGGGTTGCCGTCTCCCAGGGTCTCCCAGTACCACTCAGGGCTTCTCCCCGCGGCCTTCTCCCATTGGCTGACGGGGAGCGTATGCCTGAGGGAGACAAAGACAGAGAGCGAGAGATAAGTGGGGCGAACAAATACTCCTGTGTTTGGAGGTAGAGGAGACACCTGCACCAAACATGCAGATGATTGAGGTTTTCACAAGAACTTCTTCATTGACTGAACATCACAGGAACCTACGGATGACCTACCACACACCCACTGAGACGCCCTCCTCCGTGTCGAGGTAGAAGTTGCACGTGTGGTTCAGCACGTCTCCAGGTCTGCTGAGATCCACAAACAATGGAAACCTCACTGCAGCCAAGAGGAGCAAACAAGGTAAGAGTAACTTAATCTCTGTAGTTAGAGAAGTTAGAAAGAGCTTCTAACTGTCCGTACACATCTGAAGTTTCATGTTTTTTATTCATACTACGCTACATTACAAATAAATCACTTCAGTCAGCTCAGGTATCACTTATTTTACTTCACATCATAACTAATAAAACAGCTCTGTTCAGTCATGTCATCAAAAGTAAGTAGAAATAAGTGAGTTTAATTAAGCGAGTCTTTAAAAGCTTTTTAAAAGTGACAGTGGAAACAGAACTGAATGAATATCAGCAGGTAAATTGTTCCACAGTGTTGGAGGCACCGCTACAAAAGCGTGGTCACCTCTTGTTTTTTGTGAGTATGAGGGACAACTAGTGAGCCCTGGTCAGCAGACCTGAGTGACAGACTCGAAAAAGCTGCACCATGTTGCTTAATGTCTTCCTGTAAACCGCTGATACATCAAACTAACAAATAAATGAACCTGAACAAAGTCGCTGCTCTGAAGCAACCAGGTGTGCAGGACGATGTTTGGGTTTCTAGGCAACAGTCAAGTCTCAGGTAAGTCGTAGAGCGAGTTAAGTCAGTGGATAAATGAGAGAAAATATGTCGGTTATTTTTCCTTTTTACGAGCGTGAGCGGCCTGTTGAAGTGCTGAATCGTCTCCTTTTCAGTTAGTTTCTTATCAAATCCGACTGTTTCATATCAGACTGTTTAGCATTGTCATATTTTCAAAAGACTCCTGTCTGCTGAAGAAGCTCAGAAACAGTGTAGTTATTGTTGTCCACTTCTGTCACAGCATCTCATTGTTCTCCGCTGTACGAACACACGGCCTGTTGTTACGATGAGAGTCCTTAAATAGGTCAGAGAACTTTACAGGTTATTTTCAATCTCAGTTTGATGAGTTTGATGATCATTCTCAGGACTTCAGTCTTTGTCACGCAGTCATGGAAATATGTTGGTGGCTGCAGATTTTCACATGAAATCAAACTGTGAATCTACTTTTTATGTTGAGATATTCCAGTTTAATCTGGTGTATTTTTGCATGTAAATCACGATAAACATAACTTACATAGATGAGAAAATATGACGTGTCCGAGTATCCAGGGGAACACGTAGAGAATAACCGGCACTGAAGCGTAGGCAGTGATCAGACACATCAGAGCTTTCTTCATCCTGACTGCGATCAAGATTATTCTCCTGCAAACTAAACAAACTCTGAGAATCCTGCTTCACTCTGAGAGTCTGTGAGGCTGAGAGACAATCCTGCTGAGCTCCTGACAGTCAAAGCTGTGAAATCTGTAACAAAAAGAAAGAGGTGAAGGTTCAGCTGAGACTGATCAACGCTGCAAAACAGGAATTTCAAGAAAGGAAAACAAAACAAGTCTTATTTTTGTACAAGAAGAATATTAATCTTGTTCAGCATGTTTGGCATTAGAAAAATCATCTAATTTTAACAGAAAATGTCTAACTTTTTCTTGATAAGATATTCCAGCTAATTTTGAGATCGAATGAACCAGAAATCCAGCGGAGCAACAAGATCATTCGTCTCATTTTTAGAGTAAGACATATTGTATGTACAACTTCTCAGTTTAAGAACGCCGTGAAAAAAGAACAGCTGATTTTAGTTTTATTAAGATTTCCACTGCAGGTGATCTGAACCTGACAGAATCTGCTGCCTCAAACATTATCTGACATATAAAGATGTCAGGAGGCGAGTCTAATAACACAATGACCAGATAAAAACAACAATGAACAACAAAGAACAACAAAGAACAACAAAGAACAACAAAGAAAATGCTCGCTTGTGGAATAAAAAAATATATATTCAATGAGAGTGTTTTGGTATCTTGATTTAAGATTCAGATTCAGACAACTTTATTTATCCCCTAAGGACAATTCCATTCACAGTTACCCTGCTGTTTGATCCGTCCAAACACACAAATCAGCAGACAAACAAACCAGACAAGTGCAGCCAGTATACAGCCAGGACACAGGACACATATGACCATCAGCCGACTTCAGACACTTAAGATAACGTCACTTATATCACTTATTTGCTCATTAATAATCCAAGATTATGGCGTATTTTCTTAAAGTTCATTTATTCAAGAGACTCAAATTCTAATTTTAAATAACTTCATCTTGATTTTTCATTGCTTGCTGTAAAAAAATTTGATTAATAAAATTTTCTGTCTCATTTTAAGTTTCAATTGAGTCTGTCAGGGCCGAGAAATTTGTTCTTATTTTGAAAATTCTTGTCGAGCAAAAAAAAACAGCTTAACCCATCGGCAGATCATTTCACTTGATACAAAATTATTTGTTTGAATATAAGAATATTTTGCTTTTTTCTGGTAGTGCAGTCCTTTACATTAAATATAGTCATTCATGTGAGTCATTAGGACAGTGGTTCTCAACTGGTCCTTCAGTCGCGACCCACTTTTATAGAATTCAAACCAAACAAATTAATCTTTTAATTAAAAAAAAAACTGTAAAGACTTTAATCTTTAACATTATTACACTTGTTTTATTGAGTAAAATGCATTTCAGAGCACATGAAGGGGACAACATGAGGACGGCAACTGCTGAAGTTTCGTGTGCAGAAAATTTCGAGTATCTAATAAATATCACATTAAATATTTACTTTTTGGGACCAGCTGTTCGTGACCCATCCAGAACATGTCCCCGACCCACTTTAGGGTCGGGACCCACCAGTTGAGAACCACTGCATTAGGACGTACTGTCACACCTGTACCTGTTCCACCTGAATCAATGACAGGTAGGAAGTCATACTCAGACAGGAGGGTATAGAAAAAAAACAACTTAGATGCAGCATATTCAGTCATTACCAGTAAACAGACCTAACTGTAAATACTGTAATAAGTATTGATAATAAAATCTGTTTGTATAGATTATTGATCCCCTGTTTTACTCTCATGTTCAGAGGTGATTCTTACCTTATAAGAACAGAAACAGTCTGGTTTCAGATAAATTAAATGTTAATCATTATCTCCGTGTTTGTGTCCTGCACCGGTCTCCTTGGTGACAGAGAAACAGCAGAATCAGAACCAGAACCAGAACCACAGCAGCTAACAGGCTAACCTACAGCAGCTAACACACAGCAGGTCCACTGAACCTGAGCCGCAAAACCGGAAGGGTAAAGTCAAGAATGGGCGGGCTGTGTGGACGGGCTGGGTGGAACAGCGCCCTCTGCTGGACGACTGATGGAACTACAACAATAAAACTGATCAGGAATACAGGAAACAAAATCTGACTCAAACTTTGACTTTGAAACGTGGATTTATCTTTAATTATTCTTTAGTGCCTGAAACTAAAACTAAAGTGTATCACTTGGTTATCCAGCTCTCTCAACTTGAAAAAAACGTTATTGATGGTATATTAATTTTTAGTTTACACTTTGACTCATCCCAACTAAAATTATGACTTTTTAAAGTATTAAGCATGTTCATAAAATGACAAAGTCAGACTAGAGTTTTATTTTTAGATAAAAAAGATCGCTCTTATATGTGATTATTCAGCTTTAGTGTAAGAATGAGGTGTAAGAATAGTGATAGTTTGTTTTTATGGAGATGTTGAATACATGGACCGGGGCTGCTTTAGTCCACGGGGGGGCCGGACTGAGTGAGTGTCCGGTCAGTGTGACGCTGTTCCCGGTCACCGCCCCTTCCTCTATCCGACACTTTTCAAAAATCCTCTACCACCAGATGAGAGGAGGATGGTCCACAGCCGAGGACACAAAGACGAACCTGCAGTCAAAACCTCTGAAACTGGACTGAAAATAAACCCACTGACGGACTCTGGGTTCGGACAGGACGGTTAGAACCCGAGCGGAACCACGACACCGGACACCGGGAGAAATGTTGAGCGGTTAAAGTTGATTTTAACGCGTTAGAGCCGCTTTTTATCACCGATATCAGCTGGAAAAGGAGTTCAGTTTCGCTCAGGTTCGGATATTTTGGTAAGTGTTTAAAGTTTATGAAGTTAAATCTGTGAAAGTTTCAGATTGAGGCGAAAAAAAAATCAAACATTATCAGGATGATGGTACGCTGCATTCAGTGGTGTCGAAATTATCGGAAATTCAGTTTCCCCTATCAAGACACACTAAAAATGCCTCTGAAAGTTAGTATAACATTTGTTGTAGTCTGGAATAATTTGGAGTCTGTTCTCCGAGATTATAGAAGAATCAATACGGAACAAAAATCGCTTTTCAAGATGACTGTGACAGTTTTGTTTTAACTGCAGATATATTTTGGCTCGGTTTTGTGAGCTTAAATAGTCGTCGTTTTTTTGTTTGTTTCTCAAACCACAAACTATAGACAGTGTTTCAGCCCTCATGTTGTTTCCTTGTTACTGATAAAAGGTCATAAACACACAGAAAGCGAAAGAAGTTCTGTTTAAACCGGGAATTACGACAGTCCGAGCGGTACCTGAAGGCAGCATTAGCCCCGTTAGCTTATCCGATCACTTTCCTTAGAAAATCCTCTTTAAACTTCTCTTTCTGTGTCTTTCTGTTTCTCTGTGCTGCTTCACTGTGGGTACAGGTTATTACCAGCCCTGTAACTGATTTCATAGTTAGATTCAATCACAAATTATGTAAATTTACATACTAACAGGCCTGGTAAAACAATTATTTTATGAAGAGTGATGCTGCAAAGACACTGAAATCAGACGATGCACATTTTTCTGGACATTTCTCACAGAAATTTTCATGTTAAAAGTTGGATTTAAACCATCTGAGAGGTTAAAGTTTTGTGATAAAGCTCTTTTGGACAATAAAACACCCATAAACATGTTGGGCAAATTTATTTATAAAGGTGTTGGGATGGGATGACAGGTAGTTTAATACTATACAAACATTTCTCTGGAGATGTGAAGAATGCCTCACTAAGATAACCTGACCCAGATCTGACTAAATGTGTTTGTTAAGAGCTTTCCTACACATATAAAGTTGTTTGAGAGTGTACAGAGCGAAGGAAAACAATGATCTATGACTTTGAGAATGTTGGACAGTTATTATAGATATCTGTTTGGTCAATGATGGGAGTGTCGCACAGAAACTGAGCAAACTGCATCAGACTGGAAACTATTTAGATGCAAAAAAAACATGAAGTTTTTGCAGATATTTTGGATAAAATGTCTTCATGACATGGTCCGGCTGTTTATTTAGAGAAATAACACACAGGTCATGCAGCAGAGTTTCCAGTCTTGGTCATTCCCATGTTAACTTCTGGTTGTTGGTTTATTCCTCGCTGCTTGTGCTCTCTGGTCCGACTCGGAGGATTAACCTCCTTCTTGTGACCTGGACTTGAGTGACTCTTTGGCCGCAGCAGCAGCTGTCAAACTGCGGCCACCGTGATCCTCCGAGCCGAGCAGGAGGGCTACCAGGATAATTGGCTCAGAGATCCTTGATGCTCCATCAGTGCAGAAGAAAGTCTCTCACATTTTTTTACCAGATCTCTATCAGAAGTTTCTGCTCCTATTGTGCTGACCAGGCAATTATTTCCTTGCGTTTCATAAGCCGCTCCAATGTGCAGATGCAGAATACTGATTCGGTTTTTGTCCCTATTGTTGTTTGGTGAATGGGAACCCCAAGTCTGCGGGGTGTGGGGGACACCTGTCCGGGGCGCTTGATGATCTCAGTGGGAGCAGCTGGAAAAGCCGGGGTCAGGAGAGCTCTTTGTATAGACATTCAGACTCAAACAGGGGAGTCTCATCTCAGTGGAGAAAGTGGTCTGATGGATCCTGAGCTTCAGTCTTTCAGCACAAAACAAAGTGATTACGCATGATGTTACCCACCGGCAGGAAAAATATTGAGGTTTTTTTTTTCATGGCATGTTATTCCTTAAAAAGAAAGAAAGGTCAATTTGCAATAAAATAAATATAAATAAAGGCAGTCAACTAAAAGCTAGTAAGACACATCTGCATGTTTTCTGTGACACCCAGATTATAAGAATTACACAAAATTATTGAATGAGATGATTTAGGAAAAGTGTTGTCAATATTTAGGCTGCCATCTAAATTAAAAAGTCCCTGTACCAGCTAGGGGTGGGAGAAAAAATCGACACAGCATAGTATCGCGATATTTTGTCTAGGGCCTGTTTGAGACTAATCAGTAATCAGCCAAAACTCACTAATTTTTGACAATATTTTCAGAAATAAAATGCGGAGAATAAGATTCGGTTTCACTTCGAAAATGTTCCGCCATTTGAAAAGATCCCCGACTTATCCTGTAGATGGCGCAGCGACCTCATGACGATCTTCATCCACTAACTACCTTAGAAGATCTGCAGAAAATGTAGACTTTAAAGCTCCTGTGAGGAACTTTCAGTTTGTGTCAAGTTTGGCGCCCCCTGTGGACATCTCATCAGCTACACGTGACTATGATGGAAAATAAATCTCCCTCAGTCAGTCAGATGTTATTTATAGTGAATATTTTATGCCGAAATTATAGAAAGGGCCATTTCTTCAGCTGCTCACGCTTGTTTCAGACAATTAAACGTATCGTATAAAAATTGTAAAGTTCAAACCTGATGGTCTGGTTGGATTTAGATTACCATGAAAAGGCAGTACCTTGAATTTTGGCAGACTTAATAAACTCCTCATAGGAGCTTTAATGGATTTTGTAAACGTTTAACTAATATGGGGACAAGATTAAAGATCTAAATGACTTTTTTTTGGACTAAATCACAAAGTGCCATCACCCACAGTTACAACAACAACAAAAAAAGACAAATACTAACTATGTCCGAGCTTGAGAAAAAGAAACAGTCTTTATTGTCCTCTACATTATCTGAAACATTAGTTGAGTAGTCATTAGATATAAACTCCCTGTCTGTCTGTCTGTCCGTCTGATTGGTTAATAACGTGATATAACAGCCTATGGTAGTATTTGTCACTGGCGTTGTATGATTGCTTGACTCCGCCCCTCTCTCTCTCCGCTGCTATTTTCAGTCATGTTAACTAACATTTGCAGCGTTAAGCCTCAGGCGGCTGAGCTCAGCTCCTGCGTACATCACTTATGTCATTTAGGGTTAGAAAAGGTCTTCCTCTCTGTCTGCTGCTCCTCATTGTTGTTTTTTTCTTCATCAGAGCAGTTACAGCTCTGTTTGTGTCTTGGTAAGCGAAGCTGCCAATCAGCTGATATCGGCTCAAGGCTTTGTTTTGACCTTCCCAATTAGTCCCTGGCTGCACTCTCCTCCTGGTTCTCTGCCACCTCGCTGTATCGTCCTTGGTCTCCCTCTGCAGTTTGAAGGAGTCTGGAAACTTTAATCACGCTTGTGTTCGTGCTTGTAAACCTTGACTCACTGAGATATCTTCAAACTTTGATGTTATAAATGATGAAATATCAAATTAACTTCACCAAACTGAGCACAAGGTGAAGTTTCTCAGATTGAATCACACAGACCATAAAACATCCCAGCTAAAGCCAATAAAACCGAGTCATAGGCGGCCTCAGACTTGGCCACATCGATCAATTTACCTGATTGTCTAAGCTTTCTAATTGGATTAGCCAAAGCCTTCACCACCGATGAAGCAGCAGCAGCAGCAGCGTGTCGCCGCTTTGTCACTCTGCAAAGCTGTTAGGACAGTGTGCTGTTGACATGGATGTTTCTAGTGTCTTTTTGAAGGGGACTCCAGGTTTTTTCAGCCCCTTTGTCATTCAGACTTCAGGGTCCGAATGACCAACAGGTGAAATCTGGAGTAGTGTTTGAGCCGGGGAAACGGTGCCGGGTCTAAAAACCTCCCTGAAAGTGTCGGTATCGGCCTCTGACAGGCTCAGATTGTTAGTGTCTGAGATGGACCACACAGAGGTGGATCATTTCGTCAAGGTAAGCGTCTTTTAAAGACACGAGTCACTTTTCCTGAAGACGCCAGGATCAGTCGACCAAAACAGAGATTTTACCTCACAGGAAGCAGAAGCGGATTCTCAGTTTAGACCATTTCACCACTCCTGTGTGTTCAGGATCTGTTGTAATGTTTGTGTTATTCTGTGTTTTTGTGCGTTTGTTTCCCATCTTAATATCTGTGCAACTCAACCAGCAGAAGACCAGCAACTCCTGTGTTGTACCAAGAGAGAGGCTGATCCTGTTGGGTTTCAGGTTTTAGGGTGAGGGGTGGGAGGATGCTAATCAGAGCTTAATACATATACTGAAAAAGGAGATGATTTTCTGGTTTGTGTCAGGGCTGGGCGATAAAACGAGAACGATATATCGAAAACTAATTTCCCTCAATATCGATATAAAACAGAGTCAATATGCTTTTCAATAGTCGGCTTTCTGTCATGTTTTGATAGACTATACGAATAGCCAATAAACATGAATGAATGAACGACACAAAGACCTCACACATGCAGTAGTTTATGTATTTCAAAAAAACATGCTACCAATAAACACTGTTAAATTTCATTTAAGATTGACAAGGGATTTTTTTTATATCGTGATAAATATCGATATCGACTGATATGAAAAAATGTATCATGGTCAACTTTTTCACATATCACCCAGCCCTAGTTTGTGTGAAGGGGTGTGGCGACAAGGTTTACTGGCGCACTCAACAAACTGTCATAAATTCAGCCCAGAAATATCAGATTAGATGGTCTAAATTTAAAACATCGTGTCTAAGGCTACGTTCACACTGCAGGTTCTGATGCACAATTCAGATTTTTTGTTAAATCCGATCTTTTTGTGCGGTCGTTCACATTACAACAATGAATTCGGCGTTAAGTAACCCACATGCGCACAAAGCACAAATGTCTTTCTGCGCCTGTTTGTGTTGTTGAACAATGGTGATGTTTGTCGCATATTGATGACGTAAAGGTCGGATGAACACGACCTGAGCGTCCACACTGCAGTCACATCGGATACATATCTGATTTATGTCCACGTACAAAAGAGGCCTGGGTCGGATTAGAACCAATCAGAACTGACCTGTTCACACTTAGATTAAAACATCAGATATGAGTCACAGATGGTTAAAAAATCGGAGTTGACCTGCAGTCTGAACGTTGACTCAAATATACAAGAAGAGTCTTGGAAACTAAGAGTTTTCTCTTCCAGGGGAAAACCTGCTCCACCTAAACTTTGGTGTAAAGGAAGATGAGACCTGAATAATTTCAAATCCTTCAGCTGCAGTACCAAAGTTTGGGTTTCAACATAAATAAACTCCAATTCAGTCCAGTCAGTTTGTGGACTGAATCATCAGACGCCAAGAATTGATGTCTCGTTGTGTAACAGGAAGTCACCTTCACCCGCATATACAGACACCAAACTGCTTCAGACTTTATATTTAAGATCAGATCCCCTTCCTCAAAAGACCGTCATGAATTCGCTGCATTTTGCATTCCTCCAAGTCGAGGCTGTCTGTACTTTATTCAGAAGTGGAGGACAAATGTGATAAAGGTTATGGCGCTCCTCGTCACCTCAGTCACATGTTTTTCTTTGTCCTGGTCTGACAGATTTCTGGGTGGATTATATTATTATTATGTCGACTGTTCTTGGTGTAAATCTCCAACCTTGCCCTCTGATTGCTGTATTTAGGATTCCTAACCCCTCACTTGTAATCAACTCTTCACAGAAGCATATTATAGCTTTCACATCCTGAGTTGCAAGACGTTTATTATTGTCACATTGGAAGTCTGATAAATATTCTTCTATTTACCGTTGGCTTAAAGACGTAATGTGTTAAAAACATTAAGATGAATTTGCTGCATTTTTGTTTTCGTCCAACAAAGACCCTGCTGACATTTGAGTGGGGAACGATAGACAGGAGGTGTCACAGTTTTTATTTAATCATGTTGTTTCACTTCAAATCTCCCTTTTTTAAACATTAAAGTCACTCAGCAGACGACCTGACCAGTCAGTCTTCAAGGTAAAACTGCTAAAACTAACACAGAGGACGATGTCAGAGCCTCTTCTGGCGTTAAAACAAATCTCACTGTTTCGTCATTAGATGATTCTGATTTTCAAAATACCATCCTGAGTCTTTCAGTCACCAAAACTCTGACCTTTAGTGGACTTACTCTCTGCAGGGATTACGGTGCTGCTGATGCTCTCTCTGCTCTGGCAGCATCTATCTGCTGGAGCAATCCCAAAACTTCATCTCAGATTATCTTTACGGACTCTTACACATGTCAAAATCTGAAAGACGGCAGAGGATGTGTTTCAGAATCAGTCCTTCTTTCATGATCAGATTGAACAGGTGATAAAGTGACAGTGAGGAGGTTCTGGATTGTTTAAAACCTGGACTTTTGGTTCCTCCTTGTCTTGCAGGGCAGGCTGCTGTCCTGTGGGATGGATGACGCCCAAGAGCAGGACAACTACGAGGAACGCCTGAAGGAAGTTTTTAACAGCTTCGACACCAGCGGCTGCGGCTCTCTGAGTCCGCAGGAACTTTCGGACCTCTGCCAGTCCCTGCACCTCGACGATGCCACACCGGCTCTCTTCCAGACCCTGCTGCAGGACCAGGACCGTCACACGGCCAGGGTAAGCTTTTCTTAAATGTAAACCCGTGAAGAAGAGTGTTTTCGGATCTGCGTGACAGTCTCAGGCTCCTTTACACCCTTTTTTAAAATTGGCAGACGTCTGCGTTAAGCCACTCGAGCTCTCAGGTCGAAGTGTCTCCAGGCTTTTTCTGGTGCTTTGTTAGCTGTCATGTTGAGGACAAAATGTGTCCTCATCAGCTCTGATCCCAGGTGTCTGTCGTCAGGACAACCAAGCCGACTAATCACCGTTCAAGGATGCTTCTCTTTGAGGATGTAGAAACAGAAATGGATGGAGTTTTTTGATATTTCTCCCAAACTCCTTCTCTTCAGTCTTTTTGCGTTTGTTGTAGGCGTGTGGACAGACGGGTGGCTATTGTCATGCATGTGGGCGGGTGGATGTTCGCAGAGGCCTGGTGAGCTGATTGCCGACTCATGGCACGCAACAATCGCGTCAAAAAAAAGGAAAAACCCCCCTCTCCGTGTAAAGCCGGCAGCCGCCAGCCTCGGCACACAAAGAAAATCAGCATATTCAGGGTTAGCAGCTGTTGATTCTTGAAGTGTGACCTCCAAGCTCCTCCACTCAGACACCCAGGGTCACCCAGCCTCCACCCGCCCGCCACACGGGGGATTACATCCAGTCAGAGGAATCTCACGAGTTTTTGTTTGTGTCTCGTTCTGAGCATCTTTCACATTTCTACTCGATTAAATCACCGTCTCTCTGTTTTTCTCTGTCCTCGTTTCAGGTCGACTTTGAGCAGTTCAAGAACGCGCTGATTCTGGTTTTGTCGTCGACCATAGAGCAACCTCCAGCAGAGACAGAGGCCTTATCAAGACCAGGTAAAGTCTGGATTCCTGTGTGCCCCTTTGTTTCAGGTTTGGGATCCGACTCTGATACTTTGGGTTGAAATCACTCCAGGAAATGTACAGTTTAAATGCTACGTTTGACTTACCCCGGAAGTCAAAAGTTGGTGTTGAAAATGACATTGAGTTACCAGCATTCAGTTATCAGGTTGGAAAAAAGCAAAATTGGAGGCTGAAACAAGATGGCTACATCTACTTAAGTTATTTTAGCGCTTGACTTGTCCAAATATAAGGCAGGTGCTAAAATAACTTTCTTTGACTTGGTAAGTCTGCTCTGAAGCGACACTTGTTTATTCAGGCTTTTGGTATTTAGTTAGGTTTTTTGTAGTGTGTTGTTAAGCTCTTTGGGTATCTTGAAAGGCGCTATACAAATGTAAGATATTATTATTATTTTTATTTAATTTTTTTTTATTATGGTAACTGAAGCGCTGAGAACTCGGGTGTAACGTCATTTTCGGCCCCGACATCTGACTTCCAAGGTTACTCGAATGCAGCATTATTTACATCACATGGTCGTGTGACAGTTAGCCAATCAGATAGTGTTGTGGGCGGGACATACTTTTTAACACCGTATTTTTCGCACTATAAGGCGCACTTAAAATCCTTTTGGCTTGTCGGAGCTCTGCAGCTACCGTAGCCTCATGGAGTTATTGAATGAGTTTAATAAAGTTTGACTTATCGGACTGTTTTGTTTGGCTTAATGCGCTTTATAATCCGGTGCACCTTATGTATCAAAATAGACGCGAATAGACGCGTTCATTGATGGTGCGCCTTATAATCAGGTGTGCCTTTATAGTGCGAAAAATACGGTGAATAACTCTCTTCAGCCATCTGAAATGAAAGTCTGAATGACGTTTAACCGCCCTGAGAGTTGGCTAATGCTAATGCTAATGCTAATGATCGGTATACGCTTAAGTCTGGAGTCTGTAACAACATCTATCTATCTATATCTATCTACGTCGGGATCCTAAACAGTCTGAACCTCTCCGTGACAAAAACAGGAGTTTCAGCCGCGGTCCTGCACCCAGGCTGACCCCCTTCCCAGGACTGCAGTCAGACCATTATAGCTTCTTCAAACGCGGCCCGCTAAAGTTAGCCACTGGAGCGCTTTGGACTTGGAAAGTCCTAAAAATAGTTCCTAGGTTTAAAAATACAGAAGTTCCCCTTTAAGAGGAGTCGCTGAAGCCGCCCGCTGTGTTTACAGGAAGTGAAGCATGAGGCCCTATCATGAGCCTGATCTGTGTCCACTGTCAGTCCCAGTTTAATTTTGACCCTGAAGACACCCATACCCGTGACGTGAAGGCTGAGTGTGTGCGGCGGCCCCCCTGCTGACTCAGCAGTAAATCTACATACAGAAGCACCGGGCCGCCTCTAAGCCAATTAGCCGACACCTGACCTGTTCGCACCGTCATGGTTTGTGAGGTTGGGTGTTTTTAGACAGAGCGCTTTTCTACGAACAAACACACGAATGTATCGAGACTTTTTTATGATTGATAAGATCATTTCCAGGAGGTTCCTCTGCAGGTTTCAGACACTGACCTTTAGTTTTGTCTGTTTCCTTAAAATAATGAGACTTTAACAGACTTTGGTTTCTGCTTTTGGAGAAGTTCTGAGTTTTGGGGAAGTATCTGCAGCTGTAATCCCATATTTTTGTCATGAGCATGTGGGTTTGACTCAGATTATATGACCATTCTCATCCTTGTCTGTATGAGCTGCTGCTGCTGTTATTTGACCTCCATTAATCCCCTCTCCAGTCGCACCAGTCTCAGCAGATGACTGTCTATCATCAGTCTGGTTCTGCTTCAGGTTTCTGCCTGTTAAAGAAACTTCTTCTTCTGCTAAATCCTGCAGAGTGTCTCACTCTAATCTGACTGGATGAGTTCAGTCCTATCTTGATTGAAGATTGATTAAAGATTGATTGTGTCTCCTCAGAGTCTCCTGAGATCCAGCCAAAGTTTGTGAAGGGCAGTAAACGCTATGGTCGCCGCTCCACGCCGGAGTTCATCGAGCCTTTTTCTGGCACGTCTGAAGCCACAAATGGACACGGACCGGAGAAGGAGGCCGACCACGAGGACTGCGATGACTCCGCCGTCCCGAGGAAGCGTGAGGTAAATGACTATGAACGCCGTTGTTCTCCGGCAGCGCTCTGAACATCCGGACACTCGGACGGCTTCCTTATCTCCTCCCGTCCTCGCTCGAACCGTGTTTTCTCTCCGCAGCAGCAGCGAGGAGAAGGCGATATTCTTAGATAATCAGCTTAGCGGCGTTGATGACAGGTCCTGAGATGTGATAGAGACACTTCACTCAGGATCCACAGGGTTCCCGGGTCGTTACGTAACTCTGCAGCTCCGTCTGTACCTAACACTGAGAGCACAATTACTCTTTAACCAGCTGCCGGTAGTTAAGATGGAAGCAGAGCGCTCACTGAGCGTCACTGTGCCGTCAGGTTGATGGTCCATGATGTGGGTTGAACTTTACCCTCAGCTGCATGTGCCTGTTGTGATGTGGTTGTCAAGGCAACACCTTGTTCTGTTCCCAACGCCCATAACAGGTGCCTTCACGCTCCTGTGTCATAAAGCTGCACAGCGTTTGTCTAATCTAAATCTCGCACACCTGAAAAGAAAAGACGTCGTTTCTCAGATACGTGAAATGAACATCCTGCGTTTCCCCGCTGTGTTCATGCATCCACGACTTTGGACGTCGAAATACGATCTGAAGATCGTAGTTCGTTTCACATCGTAGTTCGACTGTGTCGTTTGTTTCAGGATTTAAAGAACTAATTTGTCGTCTAATTTAATCATCGTAGCGTGTGGACCTTATCCAGTAGGAGAGCTTAACGTCCACGAGGTCCAGCATCAGTCAAAGAACAGTCAAAATCTCTTTTTATATCTATAGGGGCCAGGTTTAGTCTGATCTACGACCATAATCCTCTAAAACGTTGGAATGTCTTTAGTGGAAATCACTGCATGGACTTGAAATAACTTGAAAAACTATCGTCTGTAAACAGAAACCAGATAGAATGAGGATCCAGATCTATGAAATAATACTATAAACTGCAGAACTTAAGACGTGACATGAGGAAAGGTCATGTTATGACTGATGATACCAAAACAAGCAGATGAGGGTGTTTGCAGCAGTTTCCCAAAGTTTCTGTTTCTGCCATAACATCGAAACGCAGCCATGAGGAAATCGCTTTGTGTCGGATGTAAAATAACAATTATGCAATTTGGAAACTCCAGGATTTACAGAGTGCTCCAGCTTGAGGAGAACAGGCTGACTTTGCCAGCGTGGGCGTGCTGCAGCTAAATAAATCACAACACTGAAATCACTGAGATGGTAGAATGATGGCCCGCTCAGCTTGTGCACGGATGGACGTGTTCATATTGTGGCTATTGTCTGAGCTCCACCAAGACAAACACTATTGCAGACACTGAAGTGAAGCGTGTCTCAGTGTTGACTGATGCTAAGCCGCAACAAAGCTACAATGTCCGGCCTGTGGACCAGCAGATGGGAGGGGTCAGGGGGCTGTGCCATAGAGACTCTGTGAGGACGAGGAGGAGGGAGAAGGACAGAGACAGAGGAACAATGAGCTCCTCCACCCCCACGCTCCTGGATGCCTATGCAGCATGTATGAAAACGCTGCTCCCAGGATCCCATCTGTTCTTCATTCCCTCACTGTTTGCTTCTCAGACAATAGGCGGTCACGCTGGGAGGGGGTCGCAGCAGCACTCTGGGTCACACGTCCAAATAACAAACCCCTGCTTTCATTTGACCACAACATGCGCAGAAAACTGAAGGAGAACTTTTTGAAAAGTTTTTATGACTAAAAGTATAAAAAGTTGTGAAGCTAACGGGCTTCAGTAGGCGGCCTTTAAACAGCTGCTGCTTGTTTTCACATCACGATAAATTAACATATTGCACTGTCACTTTTTCAAATTTGATGTCAATGGTTGTTTGTTCTTTTGCAAGAATGAAAATCTGCTTCAGTTGGGTGTGAAAAAGTCTTTGGTTTATATTTGAAAAGTGTGCAGCAGCAACCCTGACTAAAGGTGTCTTCTTTATTCATTGATAACGGATGACTTGAATCTAGCACAGTAGCCCGGAGGATTCCTCAAATTCACAGCAGAGCACAGAAAACCTTTTTGTTTTTAACTGCCTTTTTCTAAATCCAACCGTCGTCAGCACAAAGGCTCCCTTGTGTGTTTTTGTCAGATGCTCTGCTCAGTTTTTCCACCCAGACTCTAGTTCTCGTGATTTCAAACGAACATTTAACGTATGAACACCTGATTGTTGCATGAGCAAGTTAGCCTGCAGGACGGCGATTTTAGGATTAAGTAACACTGCTGGTTTTTATTAAAGCCAGCCTCTCTGTGATACTAATTTCTTGGTGTTTTTCTTCTTAACAGCGCTGGATCGCTCATGAAACAAGCATCGAGGAGTTTGAGGCAGAAGGTAAGTCAGAGTGGCAGGATCTCCAGAAGAGTGGTATCACTGGTTTCATCTCCAGGTTTTGATGGTCTTCTTGTTATCTTTCATGTAGGCCAGCTGCATCTCTGGAACCCGGACGAGCCGAGCACCCCTCGAGGAGCTGGAGTTCCTCTGTCGAGCTCTTTAGAGGAGAGGCTGCGAGAAGCCTGCGAGGAGCTGGAGATCTCCTGGGACGGATGTGCCCATCAATCTGAACTGGTCACCTTGTGTGAACTCCTGGGCCTGGAGGTGAGGAGACACAGATGATATCAGGACAGATTTTTAAAGCTCATTATTGTTTATCGATTCATCTAATGATTAGAAAGATTTGGCATCACTTAATTATGCTGTGGAAACTTTTTTAACTGTGCTGCATTTTTATCTGGCCTTGTGTCACGAAATGTAACATCAGTCATTTTAACTGTAACTGCTGAACTTAGGGGTAAGGTTTGGAAATCAGAAAAACTTTTGTATTGTTATTATGACACATATTTTTACTGCACTGCATTTTTGTCTATGAGAACCTTGTGTCACTGAATGTAATATAAATCCTTTTAACTATAACTGGTGAACTCATGAGGACTCATAATGTACTTTGGAAATAAGGGAAAATTTTGTATTAATTATAGCATTGGAGGACTTACTTCTGATAAACCTTCATGATTAGAGAAACTGTGGTCATATTACAAATTTCTTTCTGATAAGCGGCAGATGAAAACCGTAGAAGATGATATCAGTGTAGAGATTTGGCCCTTAAGTGGTGAAATAGATCCTTGACCGCCTGTTAGCTAACTTCCGGAAGACAGCTAGCTTTAGCATTTAGCCGCTCCCTGTTTGACGGTCAAAATCGTGATTTCGACGGTAAAAGAAAAACTTTGACGCTATTATAACAAGTATTTTATAATTTTATGACATGGAAGTGCTAATGTTTATGCTGGCATCTAATTTTAGCTCCCCAATTAAATAAAATACCGAACGCGCGGGATAGCGGTGTTACGGTTAAATGTGTAACCCTGGAATCTAGGTGCGTTCAGCCTGTTGCTATGACAACCACATAACCATTCCGCTGTAAGGCGCGAATATACAGGGTCGCTCTCTCCACCATAACACCAGTAGTCTGTTAAAAGCGTCGATCGGGACAAGGGTGAGAAAATTTGCTGGTTTGAAGGCAGTTTATTTCAAATAAATTATTAAAAAATGGCGAATTGTATTAACAAGATTGAGGAATTGGGAATAAAAAGTGGACAAAATCTGAAATACTAAAGTTAAATGATTTAAGACCCGGAATAACATAAGAATACACCACTTACGGGTGCCCGCCATGGGAATATTGGTGCAATTTCAGGTAAAATTTATGTAATTAAAATTAAATGTTTTAACACTATACAAGAACAACTCATAGTGACAAATACACATAGTCATATTTTGTTTTTGCTAAATTATCATGTAGTCCGATGTTAACCCAATTTTTCTGATTAATAGTCCCCCTTTTTTAACCCCCTGAGGTCTTCCTTGAAAAATACAACTTCATCTTTAAACTTTCTTCGCCTTAAAATATCTTAGCCTACTAGTTGCTGCAATCAGCAGCTCAATTTTGCCAACAAATCCTGATTATTATCTATAAGTAGGTTTACGAAACACACATTTCCCGCTCTATAAAAGCAATAAAAGGAAAACTTGTATCTGTTAATCATCTCTGCGTATTTTGAGGTTTAGATAACCGATATGTGCAAAAAAAAAATCTGAAATTGTTCTCCTGAAAAGCTTCAGTTGTAGTCCGCAGAAACAGGCTTTAAAGTCTTCATTGTAATCCTTCGAGGCAAATGTTCTTATCAAAGTGAATCCACTTATTGTTCTTGTTTTTGCCAAATACTTCTTTAAGCACAAACCAACCTTACATAACTTTATACAGAACAACAGGAAAAATAGTTATTATACTTCACAGGACACAGGTGTTGTTGGTCTAACCCCCCTTATGTGGTCCGTTCGTTTGTGTGACATCTCTGTGTGTGGAAATAGTTTCTTGATCCAACAACATATTTGTCTTCAACACAATCACACACACACTAATAATTACCTGCTGTAAGCAGCTTTGTTTGGCCAGGTGAATTACTGTTTTTGTCTCTGGAGTCTGCTGGCTTTAAAGACCTATTTATATATTTAGAAACTTAAACTAAAAGCTTTATCCCTGTACGATCCTGTTTTTCTAAAACAGATCCAACCCTTTTTGCACCTGCTTGTCATTTTAATCCCAAAATTGTAAGAAAAATAGAACTGGAGATAACAACGTGGAAAACAATCTACAGTGAGAAACATTTTAAAGCCCAGAGCAGAAAACACGAACGGGGCAGATTCATTCAGTAACCAAAGCAGCCGGACAGCATGTTGAAGAAGCAGGGTTGAAATCATGTAAAATTCTGTTTAAATTTAGGACTAAACAACTTTAAAATCACAAAGGTATTCAGAGTGAAGAGGAAACTCTCTGAACACAAACGTTTCTGTGTCAGATTCAGGTGGACGTGCTGCAGAGTCTCACCTGTGACGGAGTCATGAACGTTCAGGAGTTTGTTTCCAGGGTGGTAACCCACAACAAACCCCCGACGCCGTCCGCCTCCACGCCCTACAGACAGCTGAAGAGACACCACTCCACTCAGGTACGCCACCTCCTGGTACACCTGTAGTACTTCTCTTTATTTTATCTTCATCCGTGGGTTGTTGTTTTGCTTTTATTTGATCGGACAGTTGAAGATAGACTGGAAATGAGGAGAAGGAGAGGAGGAGTTGAATGCTGGATCTCATGGTGTGTTTGTATGAAGTGAAATTTATATACAATAAAATAGAAATTCCCTTTTACAGCCGTTTGATGAGGGCGGTCGCAGAATAGCCACTCCCTCTGCTCTGAGCAGCACCATCGGCACACGTCTGTTCTCCACCCTGGATGACGGTTCTGGTTTCACTCTCGTCGAGTACATCCTGGACGCCTGGGTGGAGGAGGGAATAGAGAACAGCACTGAGATCTTACAGGTAAGACAACACACCTGGATCAGCTTCTCCTCTCAGCTCCCAACAGAGTGAAGAAGTCATCAAAAAAACTGATTTATATTCCTACAGGCTCTAAATTTTAACCTCGATGGAAAACTGAGTCTGAGCGACCTCACCATGGCGCTGGAGAACGAGCTGCTCATCACAAAGAACGGGATTCATCAAGCAGCGTTGGCGAGCTTCAAAGCTGAGATCCGACATCTCCTGTGAGTGGATGAATGTTCTTAAAGCTGCAGGATTCGTTTCTGTCATCTTTGGCGTGTTCATGATGGTTTGTGTCTTCCTCAGAGAGCGTGTGGACAGAGAACTCCGGGAGAAAGAGAAGATCCGATCAGACCTGGAAAAAGTGGAGAAACAAAAGACTCAGCTGGCCACAGAGGTGGACGAGCACCACTCCGCCATCGAGCAGATGAACAACCTCAACCTGAGGTGACTGAACCTTCAACGTCACAGCAGCTCCACTTTTTTAAACTGTTTTTATGTCAATGAAACCACATGACAGTGGCATTTCACTATATTCAACTTCGCTATTTTCCAGAATCAAAGTGTTGAACGTTGTTGTTTTTTTCCTGGTTACAGGAAGTTGGAACAGGAGCACAAAGAGAAACTCGCAGCCGTCCGCTCTGAGCTGATGAAGGAGATGGACCAGATCCAGCAGCAGGCCAGCGTTCAGCGTGAGGAGCTGGAGGCCGAGATGCAGAAGATCAGAGAGGATGAGTCTTTCCTCAGAGACCACCTCTCCATCTCTGTGAAGGTATTAAAAAAAACTGAAGTCTTATAATCTACATTTGAAAAGTTAGTTTTTCTCTTTTAGAGTGAGAGGATCTTCTCGTCTTAAAGGAAACATAACGGTTTCTTTGTTTTTAGGAAAACAGACGTCTGGAGATGGAGCTGCTGGACAGCACCGAAAAACTGGAGGAAGCCCAAAACCAGATCACCAAACTCCAGACTAGTTTGGACAACATTATCAAAGAGAGGGTGAGGACAGATTTAGGAATTTATGACCTTCTGACAAGGATCTTTCCACATTTCCTGTTCGGTTTCTCTCTTTTATTTGTCCGTGTTTGTTCGACCTCTGTTGACTTCTTCATCTTTTTTTAGTTTGGAGACCTGGACCCCGGCAGCGCAGACCTCTTCCTGCAGGAGGAGCGCATTAAACAACTCCGCAGCAGCTATGAGGCTCAGTGCAGAGTAACTACAGTTTAATTATAACTGAGTTTACAGAGTCACTGAGAAAAAACCCGCCTCCTAAACATGTCTGATTTCTGCAGGAGCTGCAGGATCGTATCGACGAGCTGCAGTCCGAGCTGCAGGAGTTTCACGGTCTGGGGAGAGTTCTTCAGCCCTGCCACAAAACCCTCTCTGAGGAGCTGGAGAGTAAAAGTCCCGGCATGGAGTCTGATCCAGGTCGGTCCAGTTCTTAGTTCTTGTGTTTGTCATCATTTTTATAGAAACATAGAAACCTGACACGAGTCCGTCTCTCTGCAGGGATCGGTTCAGACGAGGTTCAGCCGTTCAGCATGAGTCTGGAGGCGGAGATGATGTTGGAGCAGCTGAAGGAACAGCACCTTCAGGAGATGGAGGATCTGAGGAACCAGCTGGAGACCAAGGTGAGTTCAGAAGATCCAGGAGAGTGTTTGAATCTGAGTTTAGTCGAACCTCTGAGTTTTCATTTCTGGTGTTTTTTACTCGGAGAGAAACTCTGCCGGAACTCGATTTGAAGATCTCCTGATGGATAACTCGATAACCTCAAACTTCCTCCTGTTTCTCCGCAGATCAATGAATTCGATAAGATGGTGGAGAAGCAGAAGGCCTCCCATGAGGACCAGAAAGTCACCATAGTGCTCCATCACCAGCAGGAAGCCCAGGCTCTCAGGGAGGAGATGGCCACCCTTCAGATCCAGACGCAGGAGCTCCAGAACCGGCTGCAGCAGGTGGATGTGGAGCGGACGCGTCTGGAGCAAACGCAGGTGGAGGAGACGAAAAAACTCCAGAACCTCCAAGAGAAGGAAGTGGAGACGTTCAGACAGCAGCTGCAGGAGGCCCAGACCTGCAGGGAAGATCTGGAGGAGCAGCTGAAGAACCTGAGAGGACAGCAGGTGGAGAACGATGAAAACTTCAGCAGAGAGATGGAGGAGCTGAAGAAACAGCACGCCGTCCAGATCAGGAGGCTGGAGGAGGAGCACGTGGAGCTCTCTGAGGGTCAGCTGGAGGAGGAGAAGCAGAAACTACAGGAGGAGAGGTCAGAGTTGGAGAAGAGGCTGTTTGAAAGTTCTGAGAAGGAGAAGGAGCTGCTGCAGCAAAGCCACGAAGAGGAGCTGAAGGTCAGACTGGAGGAGGTGAAGGAGAGCATGGAGGCAGAGCGGGAGGAGGTGGTGAGGAGCCTGACGGAGCAGTGGAAGAGAGAGAGGGCTCAGCTGGACGAGCAGAACAACGACGCTCTGCAGGTCCTCCTAGAAGAAGAGATGATGAGACTAGTGAAGGAGCAGGAGGAGAAAGAGGGGAGGCTCAGGGAGATCTGGGAGCAGGAGCGAGCTCAGCTTCAGGAGCACCAGGAGAAGGCCCTGCTGCACGAGAGGAACCAGGTCCAGGAGCAGTTTGAGCAGAGGGAGAGACAGCTGAAGAAGGAGTGGGAGAGCGAGAGACTGCAGCTGGTGGAGGACTACGAGGGGATGCTGCAGGAGAGGCTGAGCGAGGAGAAGGAGAAGTTCGACGGCGAGAAGGAGGAGGAGGAGAAGAGATTCGAGGCTCTGATGGGAGAGGAGAAGGTCCAACTGGAGGAGAGGCACCGAGAGGCCGTGAAGGAGCTGACGGCCAAACACACCCAGGAGAGGGACGCTCTGAGCGGCATGTTGGACAAACTCCGAGAAGACATCGTCCAGGAGAGGTGAGACGAGATTTCAGTTTAGATTTAGGCAGATGAAGAAAAAAACATCTAACCTTAAAAAATTCTAAAAAACAAAAGGTTTCTCAGCTGTTTTTTATAGTATTAGATGTTCTTAATTACAAACTAAAAGTTGACTAAAGTTTGACCACTAGAAAGGCGTCATTTTCACGATGGCGTCCATGATGGTAGGAAGCCCGAGGAGACACTCCAAGTAAATAGGGTAAAATTTTAAACTTGCAGATATCACCATGAAACTTCCCAAGTTTATCACTTAGATTAAGACAAATATTTTTTATATTACAAGTTTTGTCAAATGTTATGTATGAATATGTAAATGAGGTAATATCTAATTAAATATGCAGTAATTTACATACATATTTGCACCTGACGAGTTTGGGAATTTATTTTTGACTCTGAGAGAAATGAAAGAAGTGAATATTTGTTTGTGAGTTTTTGTTTGTTTGTTGTTTTTCTGTTTTTTCTGTAACTGTGAATTTAAATAACCGTAAACAGGAAGGAGATCCAGATCAGCTTCACTCAGAAAATCCAGGAGGTAGAAGATCGTTTCTCAGGTGAACAAGAGTCTGTGGAGAAGCGATTTCAGGCCGACATCCTGAAACTGGAGCATCACTACCAGAGCGAGCTGAAGGCTCTGACTGAGAGCCACGCTGAGCAGAAGCTGAGATGGGAGGCTGAGATCCAGAAGACCCTGGACACAGCAGAGGAACACAGACGGATCATGGAGGAGGGGAAAGAACTGGAGAGAGAGAGCGTGAACCAGGAGTGGATCAGAGAACGCCACCAGCTGCAGGAGCTCCACAAAACGGAGATCGAAGAGCTGGTGCAGAAGAACCAGCAGCTGCAGAACGAGCTCCTGGACTTCATCAGCATGGCTCAGACCAAAGAGATCGAGCTGAGCATGCAGCTGAACGACCTCCACAACCGGCTGCAGGAGAGCCTGAAGACCAAAGACGAGCTTCTCGCTCAGTCCGAGAAGAAAGCCTGCGAGATCGAGCTCCTCCTGAACCAGACGGTGGAGGATTTCAAACAGGAGAAGGAGGAACTTCTCAGCAGCCAGAGAGAAGTCGAGGCGAAGTACAAGCAGGCGCTCTCCGTCTCTGAGAAGCAGATCAGCGAGAAGATGGAGCTGCTGAGCGAGCGCGACGATCTGAAGATGAGGATCGAGGAGATGGAGATGCTGCTGGAACAGGCCACCCTGGACTTTGAGCTGGAGAGGAAGGAGCTGCAGGAGCACATGGTCGCCCTGGAGAAGGCGCTGAGGGAATATCACGAGGTGGAGAGGGAAGAGCTGGTGGCAGAAAGAGGTCAACTCAAGACCAGGGTGAAGGACCTGGAGCTGAAACTGGGTCAGGTTTTGTCTTCTGAAGAAAGTGGGAAATCACACGTTCATGCAGCTGATGAAAGAGAGGATGTTCCCGGTCACGAGGAACCTGAAGTTGACCCTGAACTCCGTCCTCATCCTGCAGAAACCAGAGACAAAGACCCTGAAAGAACATCCTGTGGAGTCCTGGACCAAAATAGCCCCGAGTGCGAGAACAAAGCGGCTCCTGGGTCATGTGAGGAGGAGGAACAAAGGAGCTCCCATGAAGACCAGCCGTGTCATGAGATCGCCGTGGTGGATCCCTCAGCGCCCGAGGAGACAAGTGACCCAGATAAACCAGAAACCAAAGATGTTTCCGAGTCTTTGACCCTGAGAAGTCCTGGTGAAGGTGGAGACCCTGCAGAGATGGAGGACTCTCTGAGGAGACTCCAGATCTCCTATAACACGGCCACAGAGGAGAACCTCCTCCTGCTGGAGAAGATCTCGCTGCTTCAGCAGAAAACCGAGCTGCTGGAGAACCTTCTGGCCCACAACACCGAGAAGATCAAGAACGGTCAGCAGATATTAGAGGAGAACTACGGCCTGAAGGTGAAGATGCTGCTCCTGATGGACCACGTGAAAGAGCTGGAGATGAAGGCCCTAAAGATGACCGACCTCCAGATCCGCTACGAGGACTGTCTGTGTGAGAACACCAAACTGAAGGACCAGAACCTGGAGCTGGAGAAGAGGGTCTGGAGCCTGGAGAGCAGGATGAGTATCTTCCCGGAGCTGCAGGACCAGATGTCTCTGGTGGAGGAGATCAGCAGGATGAGGGAGGAGAACAGCAAGCTCTCCGAGTTATTCGAGGAGTTGGAGAAGCAGCCGGAGATCGGGGCGCCCGAGATCCTGGCCGACGAGTCTCTGCTGGACGAGGATCTGGAGGGGTGCTGCGAGGAGTTTGAGAAGCAGAACATCAGACTGCGGCGCGCCATCACGGAGCTGCAGGACAAGTCCACCACCTTAAACCAGACCACGCAGGCTCATAGGTAACCTGGAGAGGAAGTAGATCCCCGACCCTCCTCGTATCCTCATGGTGGCTTCAACCCTAAAACCTGCTCCTCCTTCTGTCTCCAGGATCAGCGTAGACCTGGATTAGGTCCCTGAACCCTCCTCTCCTGTGCGTCTGTGACCCCCGTAGACAAACTGTGGAGCGTTCAGAGTCTGTGTGTCGATCGTAGAATAATTAGATGTTTTTACCGTTTATCTGTGAACTCTGAGCTTCGTAGAAATCCAGTTTTTGGTTTTGATGAGTTTTTGTCCTCCTGCAGATCTGAAACCGGCCGCCTGGCTGAAGAAAACCTCGCTCTGCGGCAGAAGATCGCCGCCTTGAAGGAGGAGGACTTGAAGGAGTCCCAGGAGGAGCTGATGTGAGGAGACAAACACCTCAACAGATTTTTCTATTTTCACTTTTGTGTTTGTTTTTGTTTTTGTCGTGACGTTTTTTTTTCTGCTTCATTTCAGACAAAAACTGGAGTTCTTGAAGAAGGGGAAGGTCGCAGCTCAGAGGGCGGCGGAGAACTTCAAGAAACAGGTGAGGTTTGGATCCATTCAGATCATGATCCGTCTCTTTACATCCTGTAAAATCTGGTGGTTGCATGATCCTCAGCGCTCTTCTCTGCCCTCTAGAGGTATAACCTGGTAACACAAGTGTGTGTTTTGAAAGGCAGAGTGTAAATCTCTGCACAAAAGTCTTCAAAAAGACACATCGACCTCTAAAAAACCCTGACATCTGCAGGTGAAAGTCCATCAGAGGAAACCCAGCGCAGTGATTCGATGTTCTGGAGAAGATTAACTTTAATAAACAGGTGTTTCCTCTTCTTCTTCCTCTTCTTTCAGATCACGGAGCTGCGTCTGCAGAGTCAGCAGCTGGAGGACCAGAACGGTCTGCTGACGGAGAGAAACGCCCAGAACATCGCCGACATCGAGAACCTTCGGCAGCAGCTGGAGGAGGTGATGAAGGACGATGAGAGGACGGAGGGGTTCTCCGCCGAGAGGAACAAGGTAAAGGGCGCCGCGTGATGACGGTTGTCATGGTGATGATGCTGTTTGGTGGTAGCGGGTAGTTAATCGGCGGCTGTTTTGTGTTAGCTGGCGGCTTGTGTGTCTGGTCTGGAGACAGAGTTGACCAAAGCTCTGGAGGACGCCGCTCAGCTGGAGGAGAGGAACAGTCAGCTGTCAGAGCTGCTCTCCGACCTCAAGGAGAAGGTGAGAACCAGGACCAGGACCACGGACCCTCTGAGGGGTTTCACAGGAGCATAGAAAATAAAATGAGGGGTTTAGGTTTCACACAGTATGGGAAGAAAATGACGCAGAGGTACGAGGGCTGGACGATGATTTTAAAAAATAATAATCACTATTATTTTTACTGATTTTAAAATTACGATTAATAAACACAAACACAATTAATTATTTCAAAACTTTTGAGTTTTTTTAAACCACCAAATTATAACTATAAATAGAACTCAAAAGAACAACCAGAATTAAATGATTAACAAGTCAACAAGTTAAAAAAACAAAACAAAAGTTAATTTAAATAATGATAACAAAAAATATATATATATAAAAATAAATACCCAATCCCCATGCACTCCTGCAAAACTGAAACATGTAAAAAAAACATTAATAATTTTTCTTCGATTATAGTGTTTTTATAATTGTAAGAAGCTGAAATCGAAGTCATGATTAAAATTCGATTGATCGTCCAGCACTAAGAGGAAAACAAACTTTGTGGAGTAGACGAGCGGCGAGGAGAAACCCGTGTTTGTGTGAGTCAGTCTGGTTCATTTATAGAAAGTGAGGTAAGCGTCTGATCGGCGGTATAATCCTCGCCGTGACGTCATCAGACTCTGAAATAAGAGTTGGAGCCTGATGGTGGAAAAAGAGACACTTTGGGGAACATGAACTCAGAGTTAAAGTTCAGTCTGAAAACCAGAGATAAAGGAACAAGCCTGTCATGCATGGAAAAGGTCAAAGGTTATTAATGAAGGTTATTAGTCCTGATCTCTGTCCTGGTCTGATCACAGAACCACGTCCTGGAGGTGGCGCTCCACTCCGGAGGTCTCCAGAATCAGAGCAAGAAGCTGCTGAGAGAGGAGGTGTCTCGGCTGGTGGAGCAGGAGCAGCTGCTGCTGAGGGAGGAGAACGAGCGTCTCCAGGCCGAGGTCCAGGAGGTCAAAGGAGACCTGCTGCAGTCCAGAGAGCAGGTGAGTCCAGGACCACAGGGACCTCCTGTGAAGACCACGAACCCACAGAGTTTTTACCGTTCCGTTTTCTCTCCTGCAGATCCGTCAGCTGGACGCCACCATCCTGTCCCTGAAGCAGAACAAGCAGCAGACTCAGTCCTCGGTCCTGCTGAAGGCCCTGGAGCAGGAGAACGCCTCCCTGAAGCAGGAGCTGGAGGCCCAGAAGGAGCTGAACAAGGTACGACCAGAAGAAAGTCCTCTGTGACGCTGATCATGTGGTTCCTGCTTCAGTCCTGATCATGAGAACTTTGGTTTCAGAGCTGTGAGGCAGGACCAGGACACGCCGAGGTGGAGAGCCTCCAACAGGAGAACGAAGCTCTGAAGGCTCAGATGGCTCGACTCTCTTCACACCTGATGGAGGTACGCTGGGTGAAGTTACATCTGTGTGTTAAAGGCAGCGGTAGAAGAAGACTCGCCTCCTGAACGTGTCTCTCTGTTTTCTCCAGAACTTTCAGGCTCACCTGGTCGGACTCCTGCCTCCGTCTCCTCACAGGATGCCCCGCGGTCAGCACCGAGCCGAAGATCAGGACAACGTTCAGGTAAGAACGAGTCTGAGCAGATCCCTGTAAATATAAACATGTATTTAAAAATACATGAAGATAGTTAGACGATAAAATCCGTCCTGAACAAACTCAGAGTTTAGAGTTTAGGGTTATTTTAGGTTTTTATTCTTCGACAAACAAAAATGGTCACATAAATCCTGAACATTTTCACTTTCACTTTGGTTTGACATCCATCTCCATCATTTCTCTCTCATGTTTGGTCACATTGAAGCTCTCTTATATCACCAGAGATGTTCTGATCCAGTTTTTCTGTTCAGTACCGACTCCAGCTCTGTCCTCACCTGTAGACATTTCAACTTTTTTACCTCCAAAGTTCCCAGAGTAACTCATATTCCAGATTTTACGGTAATTCTGGAGTCAAACACACAGATTCATATTTTCCAAAAAGTTTCCAGCTGGTCCACAGGCTGATTAAGAACCTTTTTAATCTGGTATCAGAACATCTCCAGCTCTCACGGTCTGAACTTGACCTCTCAGTGGGAATTTTTCAGGATTTGATTTTATTTTTGGTCACCTTGGTGTAGAAAATGTTCCTGCTTAACTCAGGTGTGAAACTCAAACTAAAGGAAACTCGATCTAAACTCAAACACCTGATTTAAGTCTCACTCTTATCTTCATCACCTGGGTTTGTAGCTGCGTGTCACAGCTCCACCTCCTCACCTGTCCGTCCTCGCCGCCTCCTCCTCCTCCCGTCATGTGTTCGTGTTGTGTTCGTGTGTGTGTTGACTTTCTGGGTTTGGTGTTCAGTCTGTGTGTTTGTGAACTCCTGCTCTCTGTTGGATTTTCCTCCTCGCGGTTCGTCGTAGCTGCGGTGGTGTGATCCTGTAGGTGTGGTCCTGCTGGCTGTTCCTCCATCTGTCACTTCCTGTCAGAGTCATGTCGCACAAACCTCCGCCCCTCCACAGCTAGACGGATGTAGTTAGGTCATGTGAGAACGCCGTCATCCCTCCATCAGTGTGTTTTAATAGTGTCTGTTAGCTGTGTGACTCAGTGAGTGGACGGTGTGTCACCATGAATGTCGGTCCTGTTTGACCTCTGACGTGATTTTCAAGAAGTGGAAACTTAAAGAGAACGACGGAGTATTAGGGCCACATTAAAGGGAAAAAAAGAAGACTTTGAGATTAAAGTAATTACTAACGAGAATTAAGTTGTAATAAAATCATTACCTAAGAGAATAAAATTGTCAAAGTAAATAAAGTCTTGAGGCTGTTTTTGTGGAGGAGGAAATATCTGAACTGGTGAACTGCTTGAAACGGCTGCATTCGGAAATTTAACCTCTGCACAGACATTTCCAGACGTTTCCCCTTCCTCAAAAACAGCGATTCCCTACAAGTCCTCCTGGTTCTTTCTGCAGAAAAGGTGTATTTCTTGTGTTTGTCCTGATATTCTGACAATGTGACGCTGAAACACCAAAGGATTTAGTATCTCCTTGTTTGTGAAACCTAGCTAACTAACAATAGGTTAGAATAGCTATTAGCTTAGACTTTATTCTCGTAAGAAATTATTTTATTACGACTTTATTCTCATAAGCTATTACTATTGTTACAACTTTATTCTCGTAATTACTTTATGACGACTTAATTCCTCTAGCTAAGTAATTTAAGACTTTTTTCTCTTAAGTAATTAGTTTATAACGACTTAATTCGTATAGCTAAGTAATTACTTTACTACGACTTTATTCTCATAAGTTATTACTTTGTTACAACTTTATTCTTGTAAGTAATTACTCTATTACGACTTAATTCCTCTAGCTAAGTAATTATTTTTTTAAGAATTTTTTTCTCGTAAGGAATTACTTTATTAAGACTTTATTCTCATAGCTGAGTAATTACTTTATTACAACTATTTCCTCGTTAGTAATGATTTTGTTACGACTCTATTCTCTTATATAATTACTTTACTATGATTATATTCGCGTAAGTAATTACTTATTTACGATTTTATTCTAGTAAGTAATTATTTTATTACGACTTTTTTTTCATAAGTAATTACTTATTACGACTTCTCTACCATAAGTAATTACTTTATTAAAACTTTATTCTCGTAGCTAAGTAATTACTTTATTACGACTACTTTCTCGTTAGTAATGAGTTTATTAGGATTTTTTTCTCTTATATAATTACTTTACTACGACCTTATTCTTGTAAGTTATTACTTATTTAGGATTTATACTCGTAAGTCATGATTTTAGTACAACTTTATTTTTGTAAGTAATTACAAAGTCCTACATGTTTTTCTCATCAATGTGGCCCTGACACTCCATCATAAAAGAAAACAGTTTTTGTGAAACTTCAAAATTAAATTTGGTTCATTTACTCCAAAAGTTTTTAAGTCCTTCGAAATCCAATCTGAGTCAAAATTATCCCAACAGAATAACAGACTGAATCTAATCTGATGGTTTTAATCCAGATCAGATTATTTTTGAACATCTGGATCTAAAACATCACAGAGATGAGGACCTCAGTCTGTGTGGGTGTTCAGATTTAGATTTAGAGGTGGAGGAGGAGGGTGGAGTCGTGGTGGTGAAGTGTTCCTGCCTTTTCTTCCTCAGGGGCCGGAGCAGCGGGCGGCTCACGCGGACAGCTACCGGCGGATCGGTGGACTGTAACGCCGGCGTCTTTTCCTGCTCTCTCTTCTTCTTCTTCTTCTTCTCTCAGTCGTTGTTCGGAGCCTCAGGTCTTCTCAGCATCCTTATAGGAGATGATGAACTTTGAACTGTGCTGCCTGATTCAGAAGGCATGAATGTGTAGTTTGACGTCTCTGCTGCTAGGTGGCAGAAAAACTCTGAGGGCGGGAGGAGGGGCCCTCTCAGGTTTCTCCCAATGGGATTTAGACTTGAAATGATGTTTTTACTAAAGTGTAACATCGACAGACTTCCTCCTTTTTCTGCTCTGTGCATTAAAATGTCTGCAGCAGGTTGAAAACAGGGAATCTTCTGAACGTTAACAGGGTGTGTTTTTGTTTTTTTTTCCTGTCATGCACTTGTATCATTCATCGTTGTGAAAGACGGGGGGTTTCTGCAGACATCCTCAGGGGCTCAAGCTTGCCTTACGATCATCGAGGAGTGTTAAAGGGGAATTCTGGTATTTTCTTTTATTACTCCGACATGTGTTTGCATCTGAACAACTCATAAAAGCAAAAAAAGTTTGAAAGCAGTGAGACCCAATCAAAGCCAGAACTCGAAAAGTTCCCATTTGGGACACTCTTTGTAAATATCTGGAAGAATCCCTGCAGAAAACAGTCGTTACATTGATCTTTTTAAAGCTACCAAACCTCATTAAAAAAACTGTTAATTTAACGCTGCAGAACAGCAGAGTTGTTTGTCCACCACTGCCCCAATCTGTCGCCTTTTTCCTGTCACACAGATGTGGTATTACTACAGAACTTTGCACTTAAACTTATACAACCTAAAAACAAACATGTTGCGGCAGTTGTACTTGTTTAACACTTGTGTCCTGTAAGCTTTAAAATCCAGCTTTTTTTGAATGGAGTCTGGTGGTTTTAGAGAGAGCGATGTTCAGCTGTGTCTCGTCCGTGTCAAGAACAAGAACTTTTATTGGACCTCATTTGATGGAGGGTTTTTTAAGAGCCACTGGTGAAAAATAGCAGAATTCCCCTTTAAATGGAGGCTGGATGAGTGCCTATCGGCCCTCTGGGCTTTTTCTAACAATCAAGTTCATCCTGTAATCATCAGCTGATGTTTGTGTTGGAGTGCAGTCAGGGTTTTTCTCTTAATGAGGGTAAAAAAAAAAATCTCTTTTTTTGTTTTTCTTCTTGGACATTTTAGTCTCTTCCTCCAGCTCGTGTGTTCATGTTTGTGTGTGCTGCTGTTTCTGTTGCTGCTGCACCAAAGTGAAACCCATCTTCAGGTTGTTTAATCTGCAAAAACCAACAAACATGTCCCACACCTTTGAATGTTTATCTTTAATTTTAGAGATGTGATCATGTGTCATATCTGAGTTTAAGTCTGTAAGTCGTTTTTTTTGCACTTAATTTAATTTTATTTTGTTATTTATTTTAACAGGCAGTATAGTGTTTGTTTTATTTATGCATTAAGTTATTATTTGTAGATGTATCTGGAAAACAGCGCTCCATTTTATACATATTTATAATTTATTTATTTTTTTAGTGAATATCTCCTTTTTAGAAAATGTACCAGAAAGCGTTAAACTCTGAAACCAAGTCCAAATAAAAGCTTCAAACTCCTTCAAACCTGGTCTGGTCTGAGTTGTTTCGAGTCTCCTCTTCTTCTTCTCCTTGTATATTTTATAATCACAGTTTAATAAAATAAATCTTGGTCCTGGTTTTGCAGCCGTTTGTTGATCTCGCTCACTGTCTTGTCACCAGGATGACAGGGAGAGGAAGATGAAGATCATGGAGGAGCGAATGAAGGAGATCGAGCTTTCGCTGCACAACGTCAAACTGCTGCTCAAAGAGAAGGTGGCTCAGCTCAAAGACCAGGTCAGGAATCATTCAGTCCACATCAGTCCGATCCATGATCTTCTGCAGAATTTGTCCTTCAGAGGGCTGATGGATGCTGAAGCTCTAAATCGTTCCAAAATGTTCTCCGTCACGTACTGCAGAGTTTTATTCAGGTATTGATCTTCTCCTTTCTCTCTGACTCTTCTCAGCTGCACAAGAACGGCAAAGCGGACGTGTTGATCAAGGATCTGTACATGGAGAACGCTCAGCTGCTCCGAGCTCTGGAAGTGACGGACAAGCGTCAGAAGATCGCTGAGAAGAAGAACTACCTGCTGGAGGAGAAGATCTCCAGCCTGAACAGGATAGTGCGAGACCTCAACCCGTCACTGCCGTACTATTAACGGAGGAAGGCGGTTTGCACTTGGACCAGAATCACCAAAGTTCTTCTTCTTTTTCTTCTTTTTCTACTTCTTCTTTCTCTTCTACTTCTTCTACTTCTCCTTTCTTCTTCTTCTTCTTCTACCTCTACTTCTATGTCTTCTACCTCTTCGTCTTCTACTTATTCTTTCTACTTCTACTTGTTTTTCTTCTACTTCTTTCTTCTTTCTTCTTCATCTTCTACTTCTTCTACCTCTTCTTCTACTACTTCATCTCCTACTTCTCCCTCTTCTTCTCCTTCTCCTTTCTTCTTTCTTTTTTATCTTCTACTTCTCCTTCTGCCTCTACTTCCTCTTCTACTTCTTCTACCTTTCCATTTTTCTTCTTCCAATACTTCTTCTTCCTCTACTTCTACGTCTTCTACTTCATCTTCTTCTTCTTCTACTTCTTCTACCTCTACTTCTACATCTTCTACTTCTTTTTCTTTGTCTTCTATTTATTCTTTCTTTTTCTTCGTCTTCTACTTTTTCTACTTATTCTTCTACTCCTTCGTCTTCTACTTCTTCTCCTACTTCTTCTTCTACTTGTACCTCTCCTTCTTCTTTCTTCTGAATGCTTCTTCTCCTTCTTCCATTTCTCTTATTAAATCCCATACTTTTACTTCTTCTTTTACTGTGTTTTAATACGCAGTCTTGTAATCTGTTGGTTTTATGACTCAGCACTACTTTTGTCGTTGTTCTTGGACCGTTAAAGAGACAAATGTGAGGTTAAACTGCAGAGAAATGCCTTTTTTATTCCAGTAACTTATATTTTTAAAGTGTTTTTTAAATGCTGTAAATGTTGAATATTTCACCATGTCGATGTATTTCCTTTTGGAAAATACTTAAGTGCACTTTTTTATAATCTCAGAGATTAACTGTGTTCATCACAGACCTGCTGTCAGCAGTGAGATCATGTAAACACAGATGTTATATAACCTGATGACCTTTACTGTCTGTTTGCTTTTTTATGACACACTACTACCTAAAGTGTTTTATTTAAATACGTCTGATTCAATCCTGTGACCTGCTGCTGTGTGCCATCATGAATGTTTTCTGACTGAATGAAGAGGTGTGTCTTCAACAACAAGCACTAAACAGGTACAACAAGGTAACAGTTTGTGTTTTAGGGATTAATAAAGTTTATAAATTGTGTTGGTTTGATTCCTTTCTTACTCTATAAAGAAATTTTAATTATCATTAAATCTATGGTAATACTCTGCTCCTAAAAAGTAAGTTGGGATGCAACTGAAAATGTAAATAAAAACAGGATATGACCTTTATGTTATTATTTTAAAGCCAAAAGGAAACATATGTGCTCATTTTAATACCGATACCAGCATCCTGTGTCAGACAAGTCAGGACAGGGACATGTTTACCATCCTGGTGCGTCAGCTGATCTTATAACAACACCGATCATGTTTGAGAACCAAGGAGACCAGTTTCTGGAGGAGGATTTCAGCAGCTCAACAGTTCAGGGGCCTTCAGATGTTATTGTATTATATGCAATAGTAATAAAAAGAATGATTGTACCAGTTGAATAGTGTATAATAGATAAAAATACACATGAATGTGAAGAAGTGACTGTTATTTAGGGAGAGTTATTTAGGGAGGGCTGGGGTGGAGAGTGGGGAGATAGTAGGGATACAGCTCAACTTACCCCGCTCCTATGGTGAACAACACGCAATCTGATTGGTCACAAGTGGACACACAGTATGCAAAACTTTAGAAAAATCGACCGTGATCTGAAAAAATAAATGCCATAATATTGCAGGACGGGAAAACGTTGCAGATGTGAATGCTTGTATTGACAGGATACGGGTTCGAAAAAAAATATTGACGTCCGAAATAATCGCAAAAAAAAAAAAAACACTCCCGGTGTGAAAGGACCTTTAGACTGAATTTTTTTACCCTTGATTTTTTTTTATGGTGAATTTTTTTTACTGTTTTTTTTAAGTCGAATTTTTACTACACGAATATTGAGCGACCATTTTTTTCTTTCATTTAAATTATTTAATAATCGTGAAAAAAAGTGTAAGAAATAAAAATGCATGCTTGAAAATCGATGGTTTTGAAATTTAAAGTCCGATTTTGATGAAAAAAAAATTCAGCTTTAGAAATTAAAATTCAAAACCAGATGGCACAGATTGACTTCCATAGACTTAGCCTCTCTGAAAGTCCATTTTGTACCCAGTCTTGTTAAAGAACTAGTTATAGTTAAAGGTAAAAGCGGAGGAAAGCGGTCTCATAGATGAACAGGTATGATGAGAATTAGGCGAAGATGTGAGAAAAAAGTTTATCCACGCTGTTTGTTTTAATTTTAAGACTTTATTTGCAGTCGGAGTGACTTTAGAGAAGGAGAAGAAGTGGGAGGGAGAAGCAGGAGAGTAACCGCTCCCCTCCAGGATGATGATGATCAGCGGTGGGAGTTAATCAGAGCAGCAGCAGCAGCAGCAGCGGAGGGAGGAGGAGGCGGAGGAGGACTCATCTGTTAGCTAAAGGCTAACGAGCTAAACTAGCTGCTAACCGGCTAATCCGAGTCTGAAAAATGTTCACTCTCCGGGATAATGATGGTCGCGGAGCCGAGGGGTCGTACCATGACATTACAGCTCCGTGTTGTTGTTGATGTGTGTCCGAGCTTTGAGTGATGCTCTCACGAAAGAAAAGTAAAAACGAAGCGTCGAAACCAGCCGAGGTCCACGGGAAGTATGTGAAGAAGGAGACATCTCCGCTGCTCAGAAGTAAGAGAGACACCATGTTAGCATCGGCTAGCCTGAGAGTAGGAGTTCACTAAAGTGTTAAAAAGTTAAAACTACTGAGAACAAACAGGCTAAAGTGAATCTGTGGGAATAATAATGAAGTTAAGAAGCATCTGAATTAATGTTTAAAGGCTTTTTGTGTTAACGTAACGACACTAGTTAGCATCGTTAGCTCAAGTTATCAGGTAGCTTTAAAAACTCATAATATCATTAAAGACTAACTTTAATATGAATAATCTGTGTTTTTTAGTGGTTTTAGCTGCTTTAAACGGTGAAGTTTGATCCAGAAAGTCAAAATATTTTCCGTTAAACTTTATAAATCCATTTATTGAAGTTGTATGAATGTTATTGATCATGTAATTTACACTCTCGAAGTCACATAATCGATAAATATCACTTTTCTTTACACCTTATGTGATAATTTTGATTGAATACTTGACCAAACATGTTATAATCCTTAAAAAAATGAAATATAATAGGATATAAAGGCTGTTTTATCTCAGAGAGTTTTAAAGAGAGTAAAAAAAACTGTTAAAAGAAGTTATTAGGTTTGAATGAACGTAAAAATCAGATTGATTGGGTTGGTGATGTCATGTTTTGGTGCTCAGGTGTGTTTACTTGTTGAAATTCCTCACTAATGTCTGACAGTTTTGCCCAGATCTGACTCGTACCCTCTTATTTTACACCTTACAGCTCTTTCGCCCTCATTTATGTGTTTTTTTTTTGTGTTTTTAGCAGCTTTAAATGATGAAGTTTAAACCAGGAAGTCAAACTTTTGTCCTTTAAACTGTATTAGTCCATTGATTGAAGTTGTATGAGTGTTATTGATCATGTAAAATATAATTGATAAATATCACATTCCTTTACACCTTATGTGATAATTTTGATTAACGAGTTGATCAATCAGTTTATAATCTTTAAAAAATGGAAATATTATGGGATATAGAGGCTGTTTTATCTCAGAGAGTTTTAAAGAGAGTAAAGAAACTGTAAAAAGAAGTTATTAGGTGTAAATCACCATTAAAAATCAGATTGATTGGGTTGTTGATGTCATGTTTTGGTGCTCAGGTGTGTTTATTTGTTGAATTTCCTGACAGTGTTGCCCTGATCTGACTCATACCCTCCTCTTCTACACCTGACAGATCTTATGCCCTCGTTTATCCGTCATGGACCGACTATTCCCAGACGAGCAGAGGTCCCCCTGCCAGATATGGGGCCCTCCGCCTACCCCGTGCAGCCCAGCAGGGAGCCCGTGGTGTCGCGCAACAAGAGCTTTCTCCGCCCCCACGTGCAGAGACCCCCTCATGAGGTGGCCCGCAGAGAAAGCCACCGCATGTCCGCACCGCCGTATCTGCCGCGCAGTTTGGGAGACCTGCCCCACGAGTACGGGGGCTCCTCACAGTCCTTCCTCACAGACGTGAGCCCCATGTCGGAGAACGGAGACGCCGCCCGCTATTATTACCCCTCTGAACCGTACTATGACAACCAGCAGCACCAACAGCAGCAGCAGCAACAACACCAGCAGCAGCAGCGGCAGCAGCAGCAGCAGCCCAGGAGGGTCCCAGACCGCTTTCCTGAGGACTATAGATACTATGAGCACAATGAGCACAACTTCCAAAGACTTCCACAGAGACAGCACACTCCTCCCGCTCCGAGCAGACCGCCTTCAGGTAAACACCGAGTTTGCTGCTCTCACCTGCGTGTGTGTCGTACTGATTATTTAGCAGAGTAAACAAGAGAAGGTGACGTACGTGAGAATGAGACGTGTCAGAATACTTCATCAGATCCACACTGTAAGCAGGCGAATCCAGGACATCAGGGAAGATTTATAAAAACCTTTTAACTAAACTCTGAGATAAGATTAAAAAATGTGCAGCAGCCCTTTATTAGAGTCACTTTAGAGTCGGAGTAAGTGTGTTTATTGGCTCCGAAATAACAGCTGAGAAGGTTAATTTCATCTCAGCTCTCCTGACAGATTCAATATTCTGATCCTTCAGCTCCACACTCTCGACAGAATTACGATCTTAGCGCCGTCTAATTTCTGTAAACGTTGAGAGTGTTTCAGTATTCCTCTTTATTTTGTGTCTGACTCCTCTTCCTCATCATCATCTTCATCATCATGAACCGTGTACGTGTCTCAGTGAAGCCAAACAAGCATTAGCTGCTCCGTGTTTTCACCTCTCTGTTTGCTGAATCTCTCTGCCATCAAACCAGTAATTTGCCGACCGCTCCCAGTCAGACGTGTTAGCCTCGCTCGGATGAATCATCTCGGTGCGTAGGTGCTGCTCTCTGAGAAAATGACCCGCACATGTGAGGCTAATGCGGGGCCCTTAGAGGACTCGTCTCTTCCTGACATTGGAGGATGAGGGAAAAGTTTTAGTTTTGTTTCAGAGGAAAACTTCAAGGTCTCCTTCCTTACACTCATTTTCAGAAAATCAGTCTAGAGTTCGAGTGAAACTTTACAACCAAACAGAAATTGTGTTTTATGAGCACTTGTGGACGGATGAAGGTAACGTCATCCAGGAGAAAATGCTTGATCAGTAAAAACCACATCAGTCTGAGTAAACAATGAGTAAATTTTCGTTCTGAAACTCTGCGGGAAAACATCGATGCAGAACTTTAATTTCTGTCCAATTCAACAACCTAAAAAAACACCTTTTCTCTGCCAATCATGAGATATTCTATAGCTAAGAATATTTTTTATAAAAACAGATCAAACCTGAAGTTAAATATTCAGACAGCTTCATAAACTTCACGTGAACAGGCCTCTCTCTCCCTCTTGTCTCACCCTCTGTCTCTGAGTTAAATGATCGTATTGATATTCGGATTGCTGAATTTCAGTTTCGTTTCCGACCAAACTGCTGAGCAGAAAAAAAGCTTTCCCAAAACTCTGCATCTGTTTTCTGAATGAAGCCCAGATGCTCTGAGTTTCCTGGGAGTTTTCCTCGTTTCATATCTGACGGACATCTCAGCGTTTGTGACTTTAGAGATCAAATTAACGAACCGTGAGTTTAGTCTGTCGTCTGAATCTGTGAGTCTGAGGCTGTCAAAGATCCTCTGTGGTGTTTAAGGGTGTAGCTTTTCCTCAGTCTTGTCCCCCCCTGCTGGGTTTAACACCCAGAACATGCTGGAGGTCAGGACAGCTGCTGTCAGCTCTCTGACTCTAACGCTGAATTTTTATTCAAAAAGGTCCAAAAATAACAAAAATACACCCCAGTTTTTCTAGACCTGAACTGTGTACAGCTCCTAATTCCCTCAGACTCTTTGGTGAAACAATCATGTTGTTTTTCTGACCGAGTTCGTGTGGATGTTTTTATTTTGGTGTTCAGAGTTTATCGTCCAGTTTTGCTTCAGTTTGTCCAAACGAGCTGAAGGTCTGACTGTGGCTCTGTGTTTCTGAAGAAAAGGCCAGAGGAGATGATGATGATGATGATGATGATGATGATGATGATGATGATGATGATGAGGTGGTGGAGGAGGAAAAGGAGGAGGAGGAGGAGGAGTGCATTTCTGTGGAGCGCTCACACATTCCATCCCTTTACTCAGCAGCTGGCGGAGCGCTCGGACCGGCGCTGTTTCTGTCACTTCCCTGCTGAATGTTTCAGATCGTAGCGGCCATTTTACTCCGATCTCTCTTCATCCACGTCCCTCTGATCCGGTCCTCCTCTCTGGGTCATGATAGTCCTCAGCTGTCCAGTAAGAACCTCAGGGACCGACTCTGCCGTGTCCCTGAAGTTCAGTCTCTGTTTAGTTTTTTCTCCTCGGGTGTTTTTGTTTCCAAACTTCACCACACTCCCTTTTCCTTCGATTCTTCGCTCAGAGATAAGACACTCCGTCACTCTGCTAACTAAAGCCTCTGTCTCACATTTCTGACTCATTACCAAAGTTCCTGATTTTCACGTCTTACAGAGAAAGACGGTTTGCAGCTTCACCCCTTCCTGCTCCCTAAGAGCGAATTTTTATGAGCTGAGTTCACATCAGATCTCCTCGACTTCTTCTGGAAATTTAAATCTCGAGGGCCTGCAGGAAAAAAATGAGGGCTCTCTGTGACGATGGGAAAACGCAGTGTGCAGCTCACTTTTACAACTTTAGTTTTTCCTTCTTGTGCGTTTATGAAGAGGGTTCAAAAGAGAGAAATCAGAGCAGAAGTTTGTGACCTTTGCACACCCACAGTGGGTAGAGACACATGCACTTTATTCACGTAGTTTTTACCAGCTCTGAGTTAAATCCAGGTGAGCACATCTGTATGTGAGGTAGTGTCATGAGTCATGACGCAGTTATGCTGTGATTTAAGGGGGAACTGGGATATTTAGTGCATAAATGAATCATTATGACTCAACAGTTGGACCGTAAACTCTAAAACTCAAAGGTTAAAGTTTAAGATTTATTTTTAATTCCTTTAGAAGAATAAAAACTGAAATAAAACTGTTCTGAGCAGAGTTTAAAGATCTGTCTCTCAGTAAAGATTTCGTTCCTGCGTGTGTCCTGCTCCGTCTTCAGAATAAACGTTTTAAAGCCGGACATTCCTCTCCTCCAAACCTCGTTTTCCCACACACACACGCCGCTCTTCAGGATTTTCCCAAAATATTTCCTCTCTCCCAGCGGCGTTGTTTGCAGCCAGCTGCTCCGCAGCGTCTCCGCAGTCTCTCCGCCTCTGAAGAGAAATGTTTGTTTTGCTCAGGCATAGGTCGAATCCAGGCCAAGTCCCTCGGGAACCTCTCCAGTCTGACGGGAGAGGACATCCCACTTCCTGCCGGCTGGACCGTGGACTGGACCATCCGAGGCAGGAAGTACTACATCGACCACAACACCAACACTACGCACTGGAGCCACCCTCTGGAGAGGGAGGGGCTCCCTCCAGGCTGGGAGAAGGTGGAGTCGGCCGAGTTTGGAGTCTACTATGTGGATCACATCAACAAGAGGGCCCAGTACCGCCACCCCTGTGCTCCAAGGTGAGGAGACTGTTGTTTTATTTTTTTACCTCTATCTCTGGAAACTTGACTGACATTAGACTCTGTGGGTTTTATCAGAGATGTTTGGTTTTACTGATTAATTAAATTCAGGTGTAAACTCTGTGAGGTGTCTCTCTGTTCGTTCCAGCGTGCCTCGATACGATCAGCCTCCTCCGTTACCTCCTCCTGTCACCTATCAGCCACGTCCTGCAGAGAGGAACCAGCCCGTTCTGGTGCCGGCAAACCCGTACCACACCGCCGAGATCCCGGACTGGCTGCAGGTCTACGCCCGGGCGCCACTCAAGTAAGAGTCAAGACTGCTGTCAAGAGGAATTCAGAGTTAGATTATTCAGAGTTAGTATATTCAGAGTTTGTTTATTCAGGGTTAGTTTATCCTGAGTTTCTTTGTTCAGAGTTAGTTTATTCAGAGTTAGATAATCCAGAGTTAGATAATCCAGAGTTAGATTATTCAGAGTTAGTTTATTCAGAGTTAGATTATTAAGAGTTAAATTATTCAGAGTTAGTTTATCCAGAGTTAGTTTATCCAGAGTTAGTTTATTCAGAGTTAGTTTATCCAGAGTTAGTTAATCCAGAGTTAGATTATTCAGAGTTAATTTAGGAGACAGAAAATGAGATGTGGACCTGATTCTTGCTGCTCAGTTATTTACCGTTGATCTGATTTCCTGTGATCGTTTTTTTCACAGTTATCTTCAAAAGTGACTCAAACTCTGAATAGATCATCAGAAAACTTGTCATAGATCTATGAATAACAGATGTCTTTTTAAAGCATTTACAGTATAAGGTCAGATATCTGCAGAAACTCTGAGATCATCATGACACATTTCTGTCCAAAGTTCAAAATCCTGAACTTTATTAAACCCAGACTCCTGATCTCTACAGCCTCTGAGTTTGTGGCGTTGACTCAGATTCTCCTCCCCTTCTTAAAGACCCCTGACTCTCTCCTCTGTCCGTCAGGTACGACCACATCCTGAAGTGGGAGCTGTTCCAGCTGGCGGACTTGGACACGTACCAGGGCATGCTGAAGCTGCTCTTCATGAAGGAGCTGGAGCACATCGTCAAGTCGTACGAGGCGTACCGGCAGGCGCTGCTGTCGGAGGTGGAGGCCCGTAAGCAGCGGCAGCAGTGGTACGCCCAACAGCAGCCCAACAAGAACTTCATGGGGAACTTGTGAAGTGAGCTCTGAGGTCTCCCTGAGGTCTCTCTGAGGTCTCCACAGTTTGGGAGTGGTCGGGTTTCCCACTCTTCATTTCCTCTTTACCAAAACACATCTGTGCCTTCGCTTGATCCAAATATATCAGCCAGAAAGACTCAATGAACGAACGAACGAACGAGTGACTGAAAGAAAAAAAAAAACACTAATGAAGAAAAGGAAGTGACATCGGTGCCATTTTACAGACTCCTCTTTTTAAGACTGAGGAGAGCGGCGGAAACGTCTGCTCTGGAGGAAGATCCTGAAATCTTTTGTGCCTTTTTACTCCGATAAAAAAAAAAATGTCCGCTCTGGTTTTGTACTCGCCAGCGACCCGCCTCATCTGATCACCTGATGGGAGAAAGCGACAGGCAGCTTCTTCTCATGTTCCTGTTTGAAATCATTTCTCCTCTATATCCGCTCCGTTCCTCCTAAACCGAAGTCACACTCGACATAAATGAAAAAGTGTGTTTCTCTTTTTTTTATACGACAATCCGTGGAAAAATTCACCGATATTTATATGAACCACGTCTTTGAGGAAAGAAGCATCACGTTTTCGATGCTGCGGTTTGAGCGTCTCTCGGCTCTTGGCATTACTGTAAGTCAGGAATATTCTCGTGTGTGTGTGTGTGCGTCTGTGCATGTGTGTGTGTGTGTGTGTGTGTGAGATGAAACATAAATAAGCTACTGGAACTTTGAAAACACTAAAAAAAGAAACACAACTTTACCAAAAAGTGCAATTCAGCTTCTTTTCGTTCTTCCTCTCTGAATATTTCTCACCTCGGTAATGCCTTATCGTTACAGACTGACACGTGTCTTTTTGGGAGGGAGCGCAGGTCCTCACGAACATTTTCTATTGATCGCCGATCGATCGGCTTCACAAACGTGACTGCGTTTAACAGCCGTCCGATCAGGTGACAGCAGATGATGTTGGTGAAGAACCTCCACAGAGTCCTTCGTGATGCAAAAAGGTCTCGATCACATCTTCTCTGTTTGTACATATCTGAGTTTGTGGATTGAAAATACAGGACATGAGCAATAAAGTCTGCAGTGAAGAAAACCTCTGACTCCGCAGTCGTTTGTCGTTTTACAGAAGTCAAATTAACTTTAAAAATATTCTTTAAAAAAAAAAAAAAAAAAGTCTTGGTACAACCTCAGTGCTAAAAACGTTGATAAAAACAGATTTTAGTTGTCTGCAAATCTCTTAAACTCTAAATTAATCCCAAAACCAGATTCTGTAGGAGAAGTAGAAGAGACCTGACAAAGGAGGATTGAGACAATTTTCCGAACTTTCTGGTTGGTTTCTACTGTCCGATATTGTAGCACGCTAACTTTGTTTGGGCTCCTGAACGACACGGGGGAGCAGCATCCAATGAGGTTAGGGAGGCGGAGAACGGCTTTGTTTACAGTCAGAAAGAGCGGACTGCTCAAAAAACTCAACTTTATTTGTAAAGCACTTTAAAACAACCACAGCTGAACAAAGTGCTGTACATAAATAGACAAAACAACGCAGACATGAAAAACATTAAAAAAATAATTTAAACAATGGATAAAATAAAAACAGATATTAAAAAGTAAAATATGGTGTCAATGTTTTTACAAACCAATTTGAAAAACTATACTAACACATAACTTAGAACAAACTATAAAACACTAAAACAGGAGCCGAGTCTCATGCAGGGTTGAAAGACAAATAAAAATGGGTTTTAAGACGAGTTTTAAAAATGGACAGTGTGGAGGCTTGTCTGATTTGGAGGGGTCGCTCGTTGCATAACTTTGGGGTCACAACAGAAAAAGATCTATCCCCTCTGAGCTTCAGTTTGGACCTCAGTACCTCCAAGAGCAGCTGATCAGCTCACCTGTAAAATGTTGACTTTAGAGACAATAACAAAATACAGCGATATCGTGATATTACTAGATATCAATAACTAATAACTATTGACTGATATTAAAGATTTTTTTGTAAATACACCACAAAAAAAAGAGGCTTCTCTAACAAAATCCTGCCTTTAAACGGTTAGAATGAAAAAATGACTCAGAGTCCGTTTTTCTTTAATTTGGTCCAACTTTATTGGTTATTTCTCTGAACTGAAAGTGTGTTTGGAAACTCTGCAGTGTGGACTCCCAGGTGATCCTGAGTCGATGTTGGTGTTGATGGACAAGGAGAGCTGCTTCAGGGACGACAAACTGAAAACCTTCAGGGACATTTTTCCAGAGTGTTTGTTTGTTTTTTGTTTTGTTTTTTGTTTGTTTTGTTTTTTTGCAGATTAAAGTAAAACGGCGTAAATGAACTTCTGCTCCTCCTCTCTGTGTGTGTGAAGGCCTCACTGATGCTGATTATACTTTGTGGAAGACTCAAGAAGCCGCTCTGCCGCAGCGCCTTTCAATTTCCAACCGTTGAGGTCAGACCTCAGGATAAACTCGCTAAATATGCGTGACGGTGTTCCTGTGCTGTCAGTGATGAGAATGTTTTACAGTGAGCTCTGTGACTCGGGGAGAGGGCGGGGGCGTTCAAGAAGCGAAAAAAAACAATCAGCACAGCTTTACAAATGTACAGTAACAGTCTACCAAGCCGAAGGATTCACACAGCGACGACTGCAAGCTGCTTTGGAAACACAGAGAGGTCGGAGCCCGGCCTCTTTCACCATGCAACACTTAGTTTGTTTTTTTCTGACACATGATTCAACTTAAGTGTGTGAGGATGATGGAAGCCGTGAGGAATGAGGATCCTTTTCCAGACCCGGCAGGCCCGTCGCCCCGCCTGATCGCAGCTCGCTTTGATTCCTCGTCGGCCACAGAGCAGCTACATTCCTCGGATTTGCTCGAACATTCAGTGAGAGAAAAAAAAAAAACACAACAATGGTTTCACCCACAGGCTCCACGACACAATGAAACCTCTCACACACACTCACACACACACTCACAGAGCATCACTGTAGCTACAAAAACTGTAAGCAGACTCAAAGTGAGAGATAATGTCAGCTGTGCGGTGTAAACTTTGACCCACTCTGAATGTTTTTCTCCTTCCATTGAGTGCAAAAAAAGAACAAAACTCCCTGATCGAGTCTGAAGTAACAAAAAAAGTTTCACAACGAATAAAAAAAGTGCCACCAGGTGTCTGCATATGTGCGAAAGTAATGCTATGGCACAAAACCACTTTGTCACAACCATTAAAACTCATTTTTTTATAAAGTCTACCTGCTTTAAGAGCTTAAAGATGACACACATTAACCATTTACCATGCTGATGATGCTTGAAGAGCTCCATGTTTTTAGATACAGTACAGGTTTAGCTTTCAAACATCGCAGGTCGTAGATATTGTTTCCTATAAACAGCACTAAAATTTTAAAGAACAGAACAATCATCACAAATGCAGAAGAAGGGTCTCAGATTAGGATATATGTTGAAAATCACACAGGCCCGGCTGTTCAAAACTCTCTAATCTCAGAACTCTAAAACCAAAGTCGGAATTCCAAGATCAAAGTCAGAATTCCGAGATGAAAGTAGGAATTCTGAGATCAAAGTCAGAATTCTGAGATCAAAGTAGGAATTCCGAGATCAAAGTCAGAATTTCAAGATCAAAGTCAGAATTCCGAAATCAAAGTCAGAATTTCGAGATCAAAGTCAGAATTCCGAAATCAAAGTAGGAATTTTGAGATCAAAGTCAGAATTCCAAGATCAAAGTTAGAATTCAATATTCTCAGAATTTTAAAATCGAAGTAGCAATTCCGAGATTATTCTCAGAATTCCGAGATTAATCTCAGAATTCCGAGATCAAAGTCAGAATTCCGAGATCAAAGTCAGAATTCTAGAATTCTCTGAATTCCAAGATCAAAGCTAGAATTCCGAGATCAAAGTTGGAATTCCGAGAAAATCTTAGAACTCTGACCTTAATCCCAGTACAGGGGAAAAAACGGAATCCTGACTTTTAACTGAATTCTAAGATTCAAGTGAGGATTCTAGAATTTAAGTCAGAATTCAGATAAAAAGAGATTTTTCACTTGAATCTCTAAATTCTGTCTTTGATGTCAGTAATCCAGACGATTCAGCCTCTTTATAATCATTCCAGATGAAGAACAGAGTTACAGAGACCAGCGCTCTTTATCAGGCTGGACTTCATGGTGAGTACCTCTGCATCTTAGTTGTTGCTTGGATCATATTTGATAACAGAATCTCTTTTTTTTTTCACTTCTATAAGACCTGTTTCTGAGATTTGATCTAAAAGGAGTTTTTTTTTTTCCCCCTCAGATTCCTTTTGAACAGCCGGGCCCCGCTGCTGAATGACGGCGAAATCAAACCCCTCTGATATGAAAGTAACAGCTGGAAGTCCAGGAGGCCGCGGTCTCCTCTGGCAGGTGAATACAGTGTCTGTACAGGCGTCTTTATTATTAAGTTATGTTCACAGACAAAAAGTGAGACACAATGAAGAATGGCATCCATCGCTGGAGAACAGACACCTCCTGAGGAGACGCTCTGACCTACACGTGAACATCCTACTGTCTGTTATCAGGGTTAAAGGAAAGGGGAGGTACCGGCGGCGGCAGCGCCAGCCAATACCAAAGAAGAGAGTGCCTGATGGGAGAGGATGCTCCTCCTCCTCTTCCTCCTTCTCCTCCTCCTCCTCCTCGCCTGTCCATCAACACAAAGTCCCATCTGTCTCCTTTAATCAGTCCCTCTTCTTGTCCTGCTCCTCCGCCTCCTCCTCCACCTGAGGCCCGGGGAAGGCGTGGTGGTACAGGTGCCTGTGATTGGCCGCTACATTGTACAGCTTGTAGAGAGCCTGTGGAGCAGAGAGGAGGTCACAGGGAGAAGATTGAACCTTGAACAGGAGAGCCCAGGAGCTCCAGGTACATTAGTTCACAATGACTGTTCAATACTTCACTCTGATTGGTCGAAACCTCAGAACAATTGTGTTTAACTCAGATGGTGATCTGAGGAAATAATGACAGTAAGAACAGATCTAAGAGCAGCCAGAGGAGACACTGGACCCCAACCATCTCTGAGAGGGAAAAGAGGAGCAACATCCTGTCCTGCAATCCATGCACCAGCAGCAGAACTATTACGAGCATCTCAAAGTTCAAAGTCTCTTTAAGAACATTTATGATCATTATTTCATAGAAATACAATCAGACCAAGATGCTAAGGCAGAAGAACTACCGCGTCTGCAGAGAAAAATAATTAATATGGTGATTATTACTTCAAGGAAATGATCAAGAAATGATCATAAATGTTCTTCCTTGAGCTGCGGCACCCCGCTGTAGTCTGTAATGGACTGGCCTGAGGTCTCTCTACAAACAAGCGTCTGCTGGAAGAGAGTAGGTGAGTTGTGTTTAGTCTCTTTGTTAAAGAAATGAGTCAAAGTTAAAAAGATGTTTGGTGTCTAGTACTATGTCTGTGACTCTATATGTCCTGTTGATGAAGTTAGGTGCTGTTCTGAGCATTATTTGTGGCTATATGGCGTATTGGTTGAGCCTGTGTCTCTCTGAATCGCTATCCTGCGGTTGTTTCCAAAGTTAAAGAACAGAACAATCTTTAATTTTACGCTGGAATATCCCTTTAGACCTGAAGTGATAACAAAAGTGTAAATACTGAAACATCTGCACTCACCTCATTCGTGCTCCCCTGCAGAGGCGTGAGAAAGAAAGAAACGCATATTTATCATGTTAGCACAATCATGAAGAAAAAAACATTAAAAAAATACTTTCGGAAATGAAGAACTGCTCTTCAACTCCTCATTTCCTCTGTTTTAAAGGAGACTGCTGCCCTCTAGTGGCCAACAGAGAATTAATCAGTCCAGTTCATAAAAATGTCAACCTGAGCATGCTGGATTTGTTTTTTTTTTGTACTAATATCCCTTAAAAATGATACATTTTCTTAATTTTAAATTTTTTTTGTTTGTTATGTTTTTTAAAGTGTTTTCTGACTTGTCTTCGCAGCGTATAAAGTCTCTGATTCAGCATTATTTACATGATAAACTTGGTGAGTGTTGAGTCAGATGTTGATCGAGATGATATAGAAACAGAAATCAGGTCAGTCCTGACGTCTCTCTTCGTTACCTGGTCCCACAGCGCACCAGCCACCTGGTCGATGACGGCGCCCAGCTCCCTGTACTCCCCGGAGTAGCGGATGTAGGCCCAGGTGCAGAGGGTGATGAGAGCCAGACCCAGGATCATGTTACACAAGCTGGCAATGATGTCCACGCCCACAAAGCCCGTGATGCCCGCGGCCACGTACATGACAAAGATGACCACGAAGAGCGTGGCCGGCGTGCGGGCGGCGTGGAAAATGTTCTTGGAGTCATTGTGCTTGATGTACTGGACGAAGACCTCGTCGATCTCGCCCTCCAGCTGCTGCAGGTAACGCCGGCTGAACTCCTCGCCTCCCATCTTCTTCACGCCCCTGAACACCTGCAGGGCCTCCTCTCTGATGGCGCTGTGTCGGGCCTGCAGCTCGCTGGGGGCCAGGAAGGGCCGGTCCCCCCCGCAGACCTGGAGCAGGAAGACGGAGGTCAGAAGAATAAAAGGGGAGGGGAGGAGCAGAGTTTGTAGGTTCAGGTTTTTACTCACCTCCTCCATCTTCTTGTTGTACAGATCCTTCGCTGCTGCGACCGCCGCCAGATTATTCGCCTCCGCTGTGGCCTGAGAGGAAAGGTCAAAGATTTCACCACAAAACGAGTCGATTCAAGATCTCATTTTTCTAAATCCAGGTGTGTCTAACCTTTAGATGCATAAGTCCAGTTTTTTGCATCATGTTTGTAATTATTAATTTTTAGAAACCTTCGATTTTTATCGACTGTGACTGTCCGGTAAACATTTACTGTTGATCCGCACATCTAATCTGAGCGGTCTCTCCACCCTGAAGGTTATTTTTACAGAAACACACCAACACATGTCAATATTATCATCATTTTTATACCTCATAACATATGAGCTGCTATGAAACACAGACTTATTCTCCACATCCATGGATTTTGGGTGATAGTGTTGTGGTTTCATCCTCAACTGACAACAGTTACCGTGGAAACGTACCTGCAGCATGGACTTTGGGTGCGGCAGCTCCTCCCCCTGATAGATTTTGATGTACGCCTGAAATGAACAAAGACAAAGGAGCTTCAGTGACGAGTCTGAGGATTCAGAGAAATTATCGACCAAAGGATCATCGCTGACCGACCGCTGACTGACCGATGGACAGAGATGATGATTAATCTGAGTCCTAAGTGTTTAAAGGTTATCTCTGTGAGCTCTGACCTTGAAGTACTCCAGCAGACCTCTGCAGGTGATTTTACTCCCGTTGATCTCCTTCACGTCGATGTTGTGAGGACTGAGCAGCCAGGGGACCAAAACCCTCAGGTTGTTCAAGAAATCACCGTCGATCTCTGGATGGAGACGAGAGGAGACAATCAAACAATGACGCCACCTTTGAGGATGAATATCTGTGTGAAAATAGACGGACTGTACCTTTAATCCTCCCGTCAAAGTGCGGGTTGGTGGCCACCTTGAGTCCGGGGTGAGGCATCAGGAAACAGGAGATGTTGGTGAAGCAGGAGTGGATGTGTTTCCGGACGTTCTGCAGCTCTTCGTGTTGATTCTCTGAAATCTGAAAATCAAAACGTTTAAAAAGTTTCAGAACGGTTATAAAATCTTGACTTGAGGGAGAAATATAAATATGAATTCATCATTTGAGTTTTTTGTTTCACCTTCAGTCTCTTCTCCAGGAACTTCATCCCTCCCTCCTGTCCGTACGGAAACTCGTAGGGGAAGCTCCAATCTCGAACCAGGAAAATCATGGACTGAGGAAAACAGACACGGCGGTAATTTAGTTAACTTAGTTAAAGTCACATGTTGTGACGTTTCTCAGCACAGATGATAAACACGAAACTCATTAAGAAGAAAAAGACTCAAAGATGAGGAGGCGGAGACACTTTTATCCTCTTGATTGAGTTTGAATAATCAGTAAATGTCAGTTTTTACCTTTAGATGAAATCAGCGCTCTAAAGAAGATGATTTAAAAAGTACCTGAAATGGTTTGAGGAAAGTCTCCTCCATCGCCAGTCGGCCGTACTCGGTGAACAGCTGAAATCAGATCCATGAGAGGAGTCATGATTCAGATACTTCAATAAAACAACAGATTTCTGATGCATTTGTTTTTTTAACCTGAGTTTACCTGCAGGTGCTGCAGGTCGTCCTCCTGCACGTTCTGTGAGATGTTGTAAACCTGTGAACGGAGATGAAATTTTAAAGTATTTTTAGATTTTCAGAGAGACCCGCTCTCGTCTCAGCTCAGTTTCTAACAAGGTCCGAGTCCTCGTACCTGCATGGAGCTGATCATGGTGCTCAGAGCGAAGACGGTGGCTGAATCCCTCAGAGTGGACTGGCTGTCGAACGTGCCCTGAGTGTCCATCAGCAACACCGCCACCTGTGGAGAGAGAGAGAGAAAGGAAAACTTAACAAGAGAAGAAGAGGAGCTTTAAATCGGTTTTCTTTCTACCAGCCAGCAGGGGGCGACCACACTGGTTGCAGACAGAACTTTGATGATATACACTGCCTTGAAAAAGTATTGGCAACCCTTTCTTTCACGGTACACTTATTACCAGGTAATTAACAGGTAATTACCAGGTAATAACATGGTAATTACATGATAACTACTAAGTCAATACTGTCTAGCTACCAGGTCGGTAACCTTCCATCATAATACAGATTTGAAGCTGAATCGCTCTGGTATTTCCAGGATTTTCTCCACTTCCTGGAACCACCACTTGCACAGTAGCGTTGTACGCATTCGGCGGGTGAGTCGCTGTGATGACGCTCGGCTCAAACAGCGTATCGCTACGCAATCTTCGCACGCCCATAGGCTGTATCAAGTGTCAATCATGGAAAATTAAAACCCCAAATAGCTTTTGAAAATGGAGCTGCACGGAAAAAAGAAAAAAAGGAGAAACTAGAGAGTATTGACTTAGTCGTTATCATGTAACTACCTGATAATTTCATGTTGTTACTAGTTAATTACCTGGTAATAAGCGTTACCAAAGTATTCATACTCCTTTTTCACATTTTGTCACTCTACAACCACAAACTTTAAAGTACTCAAGGCAGTGTAGATGACTCTCTGAGACTGATCTGGATCTAGCTGACTCAACCTTTTTTTTTTTTTTCAGACATCTCTATTTTGAGTCAAACGGCTCAGATCGGTCTTGGACTTCTCTTCTTAAAGATCATTAAAACCTAAAGTCTAAAGGTTAATAAAGTCCATCTGTGATATTTCATTAAGTCTCTCTGAGTGGATGAATAATCACCTTCCTCCCGTCCGGTTTGTCCACCAGGAAGACTTCACTCCAGATCTGGATCCCGGTGGTCTCCCTCTCTGAGCCGCCCCTCCAGGAGAAGCCGGTCAAGGGTTCGTCAGAGTCTCCGAGCCATTTTTCAGAAGCCTGAGCGAAGGGAGGTGAAAGTTCATCCTTTAATAACCCTACTTAACGATCTGATACTCTGACAGAAAACACAATCAGACTCACATGGTTGTACATGTAGCGCAGCATGAAGTCCATCAGGAAGGACTTTCCTTTGCGGAAAGCTCCGGCCACGGAGACCGCCACCACCTCCCGGTCTCTGACCTCCTCCGACAGCAGGATCCGGCTCAGCGCCGCCTCGTCCAGCTCGAAGGTGTGGTCGTCTTTGACCAGCAGCACCTGTATGGGCCGGGCCTGTTTGTCCGGCTCCTCCTCCTCCGAGCTCCAGTCGTAGACGTTTTTATCGCTGAGGGACCCTGAAGGACGAGACGGAGACAGAGAGAGAGAGTCACTTTAGGACGTTTAGATAATGAAGAAAAATACAATTATTTATTTTAATCTGCAGCAAAGTGGACTAAACTGTAAATGTGTGGGTGCAGAAATACAGAAATGTGATTTTATCTGATGAACATCTGCACGCTGGGGCTGGATTAACAATATAAACAACAATAAATCACAATAATTAACCATCACCCTGCACTTTTCTGCATGTATAGTCAATTTTTAATCCTGTTAGAGGTCTGTCTGAGTTGATATGTCTCCTCTCTGTCAGGCTTTTAAAAAGTCCAGATGTCCAGATCAGATCAGAGTCTTTCCTCCACTTTAGGTCCGGCTGTATCAGAGCCGAGCTGCGGTTTAATCAGAACATTCAGAGCTCTTCTTCTCTGATAAGAAAACTTGGCGCTCCATTAAACCAGGAAACGGGAAAGTTGAGTCCATTACTCCTTCCTGTTCGCTCCAGATCAATAACTCCGCCTGAACGCTTGTTAATACTCCTAATGAGCCGCGTCATGCTGGCCTTTCCATCTGTTTCAATGAGATCAGATGCATTCAGAGCTCTTTTTCCAGAGCTTTCCAGGCAGTGACTCAGTCTGTTTCCAGTCTCTGCAGAGCTGCACTGACTTTACCTTTACCTCACAGCTGATTTCCAACATTTATGATCCAGAAAAATCAAAATACTCTTCAGCTTTCCCTCAACCCTCAACAGATGAGCTGTTTGGGGTGAAGTTGGAGCGCTTGCATCATAGATTATGATTGTTTTTGTTCTCTGGTGTTGATTTTCTCTCACTTTTGTTCTTATTTGGTTCATTTTCTGCTCTTGTTGCTTCTGCACATAAACTTTGCTCATGTTGACTCCTGATGCAGATTTCAGGGTCAGTTAATCCTCAAATGTTTGCTCTGCTCTATCTGCAGAGTTCAAAAACCTTCCTGAGGTTCAGAAAAATCCACAAAAACACCCGTCCCTTCAGTCTGCGTGGATGTGAGGCTCTCATTAAGGATACAATTGCAAATGAAGCATGCTTTTAAACCTCACAAAAGCGCCGAGACGAGATTAAGGGCCAAATTTTGGGAGCGTGCTAAAAGATTTACGCAGGAGGCCAAGAATCCACGGTGAATAATTTAAGGAGGAATCATCTGTGCTTTTCCTCTCGGGCCTGGAGACGACTGTCAGTGTGACTTCATATCTCCTGCAGAGGCCTCACACACACTCGGCGGAGCCCGGCACAAACACCAACGCCTGCCTGGTTAACCTGACCGAAGACGTCAGAGGCAGCATCTGTCCAAAGTGGGTCAGATAAGATGAAGTCTCAGATGACAAAAGAGCATTTTTCCTCCATTATCTCGTCCATTTCTCCACCTTACAGGCCTGTGTTTAAGGTGACATGACCCACGGAGAGACTGTTATGAAGCCTGTTATCAGCATAATCACTGAGGTGGAGGTGATCATGGTGAAAGCGGCGAGGATGAGTGTAAAAATAATGGTGATGAGAGCTTGTTACTGATGCAAGATTACATAATTTGATGGCAGATGCAGCATCACAGGAAGCTCAGTGTCATAAACAGTCAGATTAGAAGGTTATTCACAGGCCTGATGATAATATCACCAATAAAACCCTCAATAATCAGCATGTAGGGTCTCCTCTGAGCTGATTAAATACACATATGTGTTATTATTGGATGTATCCGCTCGCTTCAGCTGCATTTCTCTGCGGTGACAAACAGAAAAAACGCATTTCAATGAGCTAAAAGCAGCAGATTCAGAGAGAATCGGCGTAAATACAGTGTTTTAGTGAGGAAAACATCCTTTCATCATGGAGTCTGAAATAAACATGTAATTAGCTGCTCTGCTTACACCCTCGCCTCGACAGGAATGTGGAAAAAAACCATCTGTGCGTCAAAGAAAAGGATGAAAAATGAGGAGTACGTACACTCACCCCAGCTGTCTCTGTCTTTACGGTGCTTCGCCATGATCCTGTCCCTGAATCCCCTCTGTTTGTCCGGATAACAGCGGCCCTACTCGGCGGTCATGAGTGTCGGGGGGTTGGGAGGATGCTCCACCAGAACGATGCTCGCATCGCAGGAGGATGATGATGGAGTTTTTTTTCCCCTCTTATGTCAATAACGGTGCAGGGTTCAAACCGACAGCCAGGGGGCGCTGTTGTCTGTTTTTACAATCCCACATTGTGTTTAAAATAACTGAGGGAAATAAATGCGGTTTTTTATCGTGTATAACACTGATATGAACACAAAGTATGTAGAGGACTGTGGGTTTTTTTTAAGGATACCAAACCTCTGTGACTCTGTCCGCTCTGGAAGTGTAGTTCAGGATTCTGCCGGCAGGTGGCGGTAAATACACAGGGATTATGGAATGTGCTGCATTCAGGGACTGTCGTCAATGTCCAAGTTTTTGCAAACCAGATTAATTGGAGAAAATGTAAATACTTCTATTCGGTTTGATATGTTATAACATATAATAATAATATTAAATAGAATAACAAGAGCAAAAAATAGAATACTTTATATAAAGAGTCAAAGGTGTAACTTATGAAAATCTATGAGATATGATGTATACTTCAGTGTATATAAAAGTGAGTACTCTGTATCTAAAGTGCATTTTAAAATATAGATATTTTGCTTTTATTTGTGTATATTCAGAGACTCTAAGTGTTTTTTTTTCGACATATAAAAATGTTTTTAAATTTGCTATATTTTTGCCAGAGTGGATTATTTTAGTTCTCATTTCATCACATCGCATTTACTGTTATGTGAGGTAAAGAGGTTTACGGTGGCCGAGAACCGCCACTGCTGCAAATAAAAAAGAATGCAAAAAAAGAAGCCGCAACAGAAGTTACAGATGCAAACAAAAAAAAGGAAACTGAAGCACGCTACAAATAAAAAAAAGAAACAGAGCAGATAAAAAAGAAAAAAGAAAAGCCACAACGGAAGTCAACGATGCAAAAAAAAAGTGGCGACGCAAAAATAAAAATAAAAATAAATAAAAAAAAAGTTACTTACAGCGAAAATAAAAGGATGCAGATAAAAAAGGCATTTATTCCCATAGCTAAGAAAATATTTTATTACAACTTTATTCGCATAGCTAAGTAATTGTTTTATTAAGACTTTTTTCTTGTAGCTAAGGAAATACTTATTACAACTTTATTCTCGTAGCTAAGTAATTACTTTGTTGTGACTTTTTTCTTGTAAGTAATGATTTTAGTAAGACTTTATTCTCGTAGCTAAGGAAATACTTTATTACAACTTTATTCTCATAGCATAGTAATTTTTTTATTTAGACTTTTTTCTTGTAAGTAATTATTTTAGTTCGACTTTATTCTCATAAGTAATGAATTTAGTATGACTTTGTTCTCGTAGCTAAGTAATTACTGTATTACGACTTAATTCTCGCAAGTAATTACTATATTACAACTTCATTTTCATTCGTAATGACTCTATTCTGGTAAATTAATGACTTTAATCTTGAAGTCTAATTTTTTTCTTAATGTGGCCCTAATACTCCGTCGTACTGAATTAAATGAAAAATTAAAAAAAAATAAAAAAAACCCACAAAATTTCTCTCACCACATCACACATTTTTTGTGTGTCGTTGTTTGTTGAATGTAGAAGTTGTATTTTCCGAGCCGTCCTTAAACGCATCATCATCACCAGCAGGATCCTGTATCTGTGCCTCCTCACTCACACACACACACAGATTAGCAGCAGCAGCAGACTGTTGCTTTTTCAGCTCATGTGTTTTAATGTGAGGAATCCGTTAAAGAGTGAGGCTTGATGTGATTGTTGTACTTTAACCGTGAGTATTGAACGGTCGACTTTTAAAAACTGCCATTAGAGGGAAATGTCATGTCAGCGGCTGAAGTTAAAGCTGGAATCCGAGTGTGAACCGTCGGAGGTGGACTGAGAGAGCGACAGAGAGAGAGAGAGAGGAGCTACAGCTACAGCAGCGGCTGAAGTTTACTACAGTTTCCTCGATAACAAAGGAGAGCTGCTGACTCTCACCCCGGACTCTTTATTCGACGCCATCCTTCGATAAACGTCTGAAAAGAGAGGGTTTAACGTGAGAGACATGCTCCCCCGCGGTGTTTGCTGTGTTCACGGTAAGAACGGTTAAAGAAGTTCACAGGAGCTAGTTAGCTTTAGCCGTTAGCTTACCGACCTGTCTGTAGAAATGTCAGAGTGTTAGCTGGAGAGGCTAAAGCTAATGTATATTTAATTTTACACATAAATACTGTCATTGAAGTTAATGCTGTTTTTATTATTGGAGATTTAAGTCACTTTAATGTGAGTGGTAGTCAAAGGCAAACTTTAAAGTAGGGGAGGCTGGGTACGGTTGCATCACTGTCTGCATTCCTCCCACTCAAGTCAAATTCAGTTATATTGACATCATACGTTTATTACTTAGTCATATTCATTCTATTTTAGACATTTACAACACTTCTGAGGACAGCTGCATTATTATATTTCACTGATAAACATGTGATTTTTACCCTTATAGGTTTAACCAATTTTACAGTCTACTTGTACATAAACTTGTATTCTGATTACTTTGCCTTTAGAGTAAATCTTCGTTTCTTAGGGTGTTTTTGTAATATATTCTTGCTGTAAATCTCATAGATATAATGACAGGTATGACACAAACTTGAATTAATCAATCAGTCTTTATTTGTACATCACTTTTAATACAAAAATGATGTAGCACAAAAGGTTTTACACAACTGAGGGATAAAAGAAACAAACAACAACCTAATCTACCCCAACCCACAATCTCAGCACAATAGAAACATGTATTAAAATGCATGAACTTATAAAGGGCTTGATAAGGAAGATGAAATAAGGAAACACTGGAGGTTTAAAATCTAAAAGCAAAGTAACATAAAATGAAATCTAAGAAATAATAAATAAAGTGAAATAAAAACAGTAAAAGATACTAAAATAAGAGCACCAAAACAGCTCAATAAAAGACAATCCTGTCATTAAAACTTAAAGAGATAAATGATAAAACACTTAAAGTTAATGAGGTAAAATTTAGTTAAAAGCAAGATTAAAAAGGTACGTTTTTAGGCCTCAGGTCTTCAGGTGAACTGTTCTATAATAGTAAAAAGATGCCTTACCGTATGTCTTGATTTTAACTTAATAGGTAATAATGTTAACAGAGAACTTCCTGAAGACCTGAGGACAACAGATCAGATAAATAAGATTAAGAGCTTTAAAAACCAATAAAACAACCTTAAAATCTATTCCAAAAGAGACGGGTAAACAATGCAGAGACCTTAAAATCGGTGTAATGTGACAGTCAGGGCAAAAACTGACAGTAAGCTACTGTTTTTAATCGCCCTCCAAAAGTCTTGACACTAAAGGAAACAGCTGAAGCAGGTCAGTCAGTGTTTTAGTAAACAGTTGTATGTGGGTGTCTGACAGTCCAAACCCTGAAGCTCAGACATGCAGACAGCAGAGGGACAGCTGAAAGATGGTGGAGCAGTAAGGGATAAATGATAACACGTTTCCCTTCACTTATTTATATCATATCAAACTCAAACATTCATTCTACTATATCAGAAGTGTTGACAGCAATGCCAGCTATATGTAGCCATATATGTGTAACCCAATTTCTGTGTCTTAATGAATTAAAAATCCATCTAAAATAGACTTAATATTGACTTATTTTGCTTGTACCTTCTTAGTACTAACTTCCACCAGTATTAGCTGCTTTTTAGACTCATTTCTCCCTCTCGACTTTGTGCTCCTGTTAAAGATGGTGAAATAAGTCGGTCGTGCCGCTGCCTCAAAGCTGCAGCAGCCTGTGAACGAACTTTTTGTGGTGCGTTTGAGGTCTGACGCCACCAAACCGAAGCAGTTCGTAATGACTGACCAGGATGTGTCTCTTTTGGAAACAAACTCGTTATTAAAGCCGTCGGCCATGATGGTGGTGTGTCTCTGCAGGAAGTAAACAAGGGCAAAGGGTTTGGATTAAGAGAGCACCAGGGAAGATTTCCTTAGTTTTTAATCATCTGTAACCTTAAATAAAAAACGATCAAAGGTCCAGACTTTGTTTCGGATCAGTGAATAATTGGAGTTGTATTAATAGTACATGTTAATAGCAGACAGAGGTAGTCGTATATGTAAAGTTTGATTCTTCTAGTCTCCACCAGTCAATGTGAGGAATGTGTGAAGTGTTGCAGCTGTCCCCGGTCTCCCCTATAAGCTGAACTCTCTGAGTGCCGGATCGAGGTCGTCATCTGCTTCGTTGTCGTTTATTTCACAGATTAAAAGTTTGAGTCAATATTTTCTGAACACCTTCTTCTCTCTCTCTCTCTCTTTCAGGACATGGATCCCGGAGAAAGACCGTCTGAGTAAACACCGATCAGATTAATATTCAGGACCGCCGCTTCATCAAACCACCCACTGCCACCGGATTTGATCACGCCAACTAAATGTAAAGGATCGATTTGTTCCAGCCACCATGGATATCTTTCCCCGGCCAAGCGGAGAAATCCAGAGGAGAAACCCCCAGCATGACTTTGAGCTCATTCAGAGGGTGGGAAGCGGCACATATGGAGACGTGTTCAAGGTACAGTGAGGCCCTTCTGGTTCCCACAGACCGTCACCAGAGCCGCACGGATCTTGGCGCAGAGTCACGTGACTTTTCGATCCCCGTTTGAGGCAGAGCGGTGTTTGTTTTAGCAGCTTTGATAACATGTGGCTGACACATTTGATAGTCGCTTCTGAGCTGGAGCCAACTTCTGCCTCCTAAGAAAAAGTCTTGAGACTGTAAAAGTCGGAAAACTGCGAGTAAAAGTCTGGTATCAAAACTGCCTGCAGCTCAAAAGAGAAAGTTTTAATTTGGTCGAGCGGCCGAGATCAGAAATAAAACCGAGTTCTGACCACAGATGAACACGAAGTGAAGGTGGAGCTATATTTGACCTCTTTATATTCTGCTGGGTTCCGGTTAAAGAGTTTATTTCGAAATCTATTCGTTGTCTGCTCGTCTAGATAGTGACTAAAAGTTCAAGACTTAGAAATGCAACTTTTAACAAATAAGTGTAACACAGAAGAAGTTAAAAAAGTCATAAAACAACAGTCTAATTAAGTCCTCATTACAGATAAGATAACTGACTGTTTTAATCACACTCCTTATCTTATTGGAGATAAACTCTGTAGTGAGTCTGTGTTGTAAAGATAAAGAGTGATCCATTCAGGGTTATTTACTGCATGTGTCATGTGACCGTCTTGAGTTCTTGGTGCTGCTGGTCCGTTTTTATCAACATCACTTTTATGAATTTGCAAAGAAAGAAACATTACCGACGAATTTTTAAGACATTAACATAAGGTGTCTAAAAAATAACCCTGTGAGCGTCCATGACCTGATGTAAGGCTGGGCGATAAAGCGAAAATTTACAGATACCGAAATTTACGACCTCATTTTGCCCATATCGGTAAGGAAATAGCCCATATATGGCTGAGAGATTTACTTATTTTTTTGGGTCATAAAGAGGCGTCACCTTTAATTTCAGTCCGTTACGTCTAAAGAAACAATCAGATTCTCCTCGTTTTCAAACTTTGTGGGATAAGGAGGCGTCAATATTTCAAAATAGGGACGAAAATTTACCGATACGGAAATTTACGACAATAACTGACGTCATTTTGCCCATATCAGTATATTCTGTGTCAAATAAGTAAATAAATAACTAGTACTAAAAGTACTATCCCCGAGAAATGCGGTGAAAAGTGTCCTGTGTGTCATGATGTCATCATCCAGCTTTGCAGCGAGTTACATGCCTATGTAAGATACTTGATTCTGATTGGTCTAAACTCTGACGACCTCTTGACGACCTCAGAGGCAAAGGTGTAAGTTTCCATCGGCACACCAAACCGGATGTTTTAATTTAAGATTCTAGTGCTGGGCGATAAACCGAAAATTTACTGATGCCAAAATTTACGACAATAACCGACGTCATTTTGCCCATATTGGTATATTCGGTTTAAAAAAAAAATATTTAAATCAAAGTTGTTTTTGGATGTGTGTAGGTAGGCTATGGTCTCATGTCCCTTTAAGACGCTGTCCTACGTCAGAGACGTGACTCCACCCCATCCAGTCTGTAACAAAGAGGGAAAGACAGGTGAGGAGATGGAGGACGGAGAGAAAGTTGGAGCGGCTGAAGTAGACGAAGTTAATGTGGGAGGGGGTGAGCAGCTTGTGGAGTAGTTATCGAGGTGAACTGATCAATATATCGGTATATTGATTTGAGAACATATCGCCCAGCCCTAAGCTGATGGTTCAACTGCAGGATCTCAGTGGAATCAGACAGAGGAGAAAACAAACAGTCGGGTTTTGTTTAGTGTGTTTCTTCTCGGCCCCTCAGATCTAATCCCTGTCAGACACTCAGATGAAACTACGTCACAGTTTCTGATCCCGACCCTCAAAGAAAGAACTCGACTTCTTCCAGGAGAAAAGTTAAAACTCTTTTTCAGCCCTTAAGAGGAACTTTAGCGTTTTGTTGCTTTTGGGGATCTCTCTTCTCTCTTGACTCGTTTCTTCTTTTACACCTCTCAGTGTTTTTTCTCACTCAGGTGTCATCGCTCTTTATGATGGATGTTTTACATTCAGCCTGCAGTGACTCTTTGGCGTGACGGCGTGCTGCAGCAGAACGGCCGACAGGCATGTAAAAAAAAGAAAACAAACATGTCGAGTTAGTCAGTCAAGTCATAAAGAGGCGTCAGTTTTATTATTATTATCATTATCAGTCTGTTTTATTACGAGAGGGAAACCATCCAGAGATCGTTTGGTCGGTGCCGGCGGAGAGGTGGACGTCATCCTGCTCGCACAGTTTGAGTAATTTTCCTTTTAAATGAGAAAACTGAAAATCTAAAACAGAAGCTGTCCGGTTAAACACGATGAATCACCGCGTTTCCCCTCAGCCTGCGGTCTCCGGACATGTGAGCTCTCCTGCTGCTGCAGAACCTTCTTGTTTATCCGTCAGCCGTGGCGAAAAACAGGCGACCCGTCTGATCCAGAGTGTGATAGTTCAGGCAGCGTGTCACGGTCTCTCTCCCTCCTCCACCTCCCCTCCTCCATACAAAGGCTCTATGACCAGCACCCCCACCCCTCCACCCCTCCACCCTCAGACAGGCCACCGGTGGAATGCTGCGCCTGGTATTCTCCCACAGCTCGCTGCAGCAGCGCCGCAGAAATATGATCAGGCCCCTGTCTAAACATGCGTCTGTGTGTGTGTGTGTGTGTGTGTGTGTGTGTGGGTGTGTGTGTGTGTGTGTGTTCAGGCCGCACTGACAGCGGAAACACCTCCAGTTGGGAAAAGTCCTCCTCTCTCTCTCTCTCTCTCTCTCTCTCTCTCTCTCTCTCTCTCTCTCTCTCTCTCTCCTGCTGAGTGGAGTCACAGTTTAACGCCGCAGCATTCCTCACTTTAGTCGCTTTATTACATACAAACATATTTATCTAAGAGACATGTTTCCTCCGCTCTAAGGGAAGAAAAGTGTCGTAAAGTTTCCTCTTTCCTTTTATTGATGCTCATATTTAATTTGTTTTCACGAAGTAACGACAAAAACAAACGTAAACTTCTTCATTTACGGTAATTTTCCGTCAAATTCTTGTACTTTTGATTTCGTCACACGATCAGAAGTACGAGAATTCGACCTCCCTGCGTGCTCTCCCTCTGCAGGCTCAGATGAAACATCCTCTGAGGCGACCACGTTCGTTCGAACTGTGTCTGGTCTTCGCTCGGTGACCCTGTTTAGAAGTTTCCACCGAGTTCTGCCAGTGAACGCAGAGTGGAGGCTGCTCGTACTCGGCCCTGCAGAAGTCTTGTTTTGTGGGTTTTTCCATGAGCGGAGGCTGGGAATCAGAAGTCGGAGGAACTGTCCGTGAGGGAACTTGTGACCTCTTTAACCCCGAAACCTCCAGGACGCCTCCATCAGCCGATCCGACAAACGTCTGTGAGAGTGCATCATCGTCAGAAAAGTCAAAGTAGGATGTTGAGCTTCTTGTAGCTGCAGCTTCGTCTCTGGGGACGTCAGGCACACCTGGTTTCTCCTCAGCCTGACACGCTGATTGATCTCGGGTCAGATCTTCTCTCTTCAGAGGTCGTTCTCACGGCAGACTGCTCCTTCCTTCCTGCAGACCAGCCTCAGGTCTTCTTCTGTCTGCTGTGTCACCTCAGAGCTTCCCTGTTCCCGTGTGGTTTACACTTCTGTAATGTAGATGATGAGGAAGTCAGAGACGATCACTGAGGCTGACTTTAAACGTTTGATTCTCAGAGATGAACAGACTGACAGCAGCTCAAACATCTCAACTATTCTCTGTGAAATACTTTCATAATCAGGTCTCTGTAGTGTGTGTGTGTGTGTGTGTGTGTGTGTCTGCGCACATGTGGTATCAGCTGCACTTCAGCAAAACAAGTCAGCGCTTTGTGTGGTACATGATTGTGTAACTGTGTGTGAATCAGCAGCACATTCCCTGAGCTGAGAGGTGGCCGCCGTGCTGGAGGGTTTTATGGTTTACGGTTGATTTAGCCGCTCGCCCCGTCGCCTCACTCCCACGGATTAGGAAGCATCCCGTCTTGACCTGGATTTGGAAGTCAGCGACTCAGCGCAGCCGACTTTAAAATAGAAAGTTCACAAATGAGGGAGCGAGAAGTTTGTCGGTGTTCTGGTCCAGAGATGAAGCTGTGGAGATAACGTGGAGTGGAAATGTTTCTGCATGAAGAAAACGATGCAGCGGCTCTGAAGACGGATTAAATGTAGATCAGGATATTTAAAGCCTGGGAACAGCTGACCGGACTCTGGATTCTGAGCAGATATGAGTGGTCATTTTGGCTTTATGGGAGTTCATATAGAGGCTGGTGTTAAATACGGTTACATGGAGTATTCACTTTAAAGGCACTGTAAGGAGTTTTCTTTGACTGGGTTTGAAATAGGGCTGGGCGATATGTCCTCAAATCAATATCCCAATATATTGATCAAATCACCTTGATATCGATAAATAGACGATAACTACTCCACTATCTGCTCACCCCCTCCCACATTAACTTCGTCTACTTCAGCCGCTCCAACTTTCTCTCCGTCCTCCATCTCCTCACCTGTCTTTCCCTCTTTGTTACAGACTGGATGGGGTGGAGTCACGTCTCTGATGTAGGACAGCGTCTTAAAGGGACATGAGACCATAGCCTACCTACACACATCCAAAAACAACTTTGATTTATTTATTTTTGACACCAAATATACCGATATGGACAAAATGATGTCGGTTATTGTCGTAAATTTTGGTATCTGTAAATTTTCGGTTTATCGCCCAGCCCTACATCAGGTCATGGACGCTCACAAGGTTCATTTTTAGACTCCTTATTTTAAAGTCTAATGGTTCATTATTTGTTTATTTGTTTGTTTTGAACCCCATTAGCTTCCATAAAGTGGTTGCTCGTCTTCCTGGGGTCCAAAAACTTAAAATCACAATACAATTACATTTCAACAATTAATTAATAGTAAATACAATTAAAGATTCAAATCATGATTCTAAACAACATTAAAATCACTCCAAAATCTGTGCTTTTATAGTTCATTCATAGATATAGTTCTGTTTTAAAGTCTTTATAAAATAATACCTACTGCTTATTTGCTGTAAAAACCAAACGAAATCCTCCTTGAGGAGCTTTAATCCGTTCATTTCCTTCCACACCTCCACATTGAAACCCCTGAGTGAACCTTTAAGCTGACGATGAAGATAACTACGACATCATCTATCTTTGCTGTCATCATGAAGTGATAATTCTGGGGAAAAGAGTCAGAAATAACTCAAAATATCTTGATGATTATTCATGACTGAGTCAGCACCTCCTCCCGTTCTCAGACCACTCCTTCACTGAACAAACTTTGACCTTTTTATCGACTCTTTACTCAAGACTCAAACAAAAAATGTACATTAGATGGAAACAATCCTTTCACAGGACGATATTCTCTCATATTTACATGAAGATACTCTTTATTTATTCACCTGTTAATATAAAATTTAGATTCAGGACAATAGCAAGTATCTTAAGAGCTCTAAAAACTGGATTTCTGTGTGAGTTTCCTCAATAATCGATTAATCTTTAGGCCTAGGGAACAAAAAAAGGTCTGATTATTTGTTGTTCTGTTTCGTCTTTCAGGCCCGAAACATCCAAACCGGGGAACTCGCTGCAGTGAAGATCATAAAGCTGGAACCAGGTAAGAGAAAAACATCAGCTGTTTGTTTTCTGAGATTTCCTCGGAGCTGAAAAATCAGGCCTACTTTGGAAATGAGCGGAGGTATTTCTTTTTCCGAGGATTTGAACGGTATGCACATGAAGTATTAGAGAAATCTTGTTGCGCACTCAGAGCCAGGACTAATGAGCACATAAATCAAGCTTTGTTTGATTCTGGCGTCGACCTAAATATGCAACAGTCTTTTCCTGTAAGGACACAGAGGAGGAGAGAGAGAGAGGATATTTGTGATTGTGCTGCTCATGACCTACTGACAGAGTTAGTGCCATCCAGATTAGTGGGATTAGGTCCAGGGCTTTGTACCACCAGCAGCATCCAGACTGAGCTCGGCTGATTACCAGTCAGTGAACGGAGAGACTCGCTCCTGTTTGTTTTCTCTTTCATTCATCACCTCTCTGTTAGGAGCGCAGACCATCCGGGAATACTAATACGTGTGTTTGTCCGGAGTTCTCACACTTCCTGTTGTACCTCTCAGGTGTCACCCTGCGTTTTTTTTTTAAGATTTAATTTCAAAATATTCACAAATATTTTAATAAATCCAAGGAGATCTTGAGATGTAGATGTTTTCCCTGAATATTGGAGGGAGAGGGATTATCGTTAGAGTTTGTGTGTGAACATGAAGAAGAGGATCAGGGCGCTTAGGGAAAGGGAGCGAATTTCAGATTGTCGCAACTTTTGAAAATCCAGACTCAAAGGACTTAAAGATGGATTTATTATTACAGTTGTACTGTGTACCTATATGTAAAAGTTCACTGTACATCTTAACCAGTTTTATCAATCAATCAAACTTTATTTTGGTGTCCATTCAAGCAGGATATTAAAAACAATGAAATAGAATAAATACAAATACAAATACCAAACTCCGCCCACCCTCCCAACCCCCATTCAACACATACAACACTCAACTTGTCTTGAAACTAATCTTAAAATCAAACACTAACAGAAAGTAAATCAAAAAAGAGGTAATAAAACAAAAAATAGTTACTCAAGGACTAAAATAGCTTTAAATCCCATAATGCAGATTAAAAGATTAAAACAAAATTTAACTAAAAGCCAAACTGAAAAGGTCTTGAGTTTACTTTAAAAATATGAACAGTATTTACGACCACCTTCAGGGTTAACTTAGAGACGCTGAATTCAACTCTCAACACCAGCCCCGCTCGGTCTGAGGAGTAAAACTCTTCACATTTTAGTATAACGTTCGGGTTTTTGCACCTTTTGCTCAGGCTAACCCTGACCAAAAAGACATTTACTCGTTCACCGAGCACGGGTTAAAGGGTTAAATTCTCCTTAAACTGCACTGCCAAGTAAATAACAACTCTGTTCACTGGTGCTGTTTACATATATTTCAATGTGCCATCATGAAATAATTTGGAGCAAACAGGCCTCTTCACATGCAAATGAACCTCACTGCAGAAAAAAACAAAACCGTCTAATGAATGTTTGAGTGAAATGTTTACCGTCTGCTGAAAGTTGGTGGCAGTAATGACACAATACTTATACTGGGATTCCACTGCATGCAGATCTGCTACGCTCTGCCCCGGAACAGCAGTCAAAAACGCAAGCGTACAGCACCCACTGGATGCAGAAAGCGGAGGAGAAGTGCTTGTGATATTACCGATATTTCTCGCGAGACTGGAAGAGATCACACAAGATCTCGCGTGTTTCACCGTGAGACATTGAATAAAATCGGCGGTGCATATAAACACCCACATCCCACAACACTGGCCCCTCCCATTATCATGTGAAGAACAGTTTAACAAATTGACTTTATTTTATTTTAAAAATTACTCTGTAGCCGCATACAACTTCCACTGCTGCTCTGCACTGAATTGATGCGCCGTTCTGCGGCGTCCAGCAAAAGTAGAAGCCTTGAGAATCTGATCCGACCATCAGAGCAGTTCACCAGCGGAGCCGGATGGCAGACGGATTGTGTGTAATCATGCACATTGATTATAACGCTGAGATATAATGTATCTGAACACAAACATGTCATGAAATCCCCCCACAGTGAGATAGGACAGAGTTTGGCACTGTCAGGATTAGAGTGCTCATCACAGCTCTGCGCAACAGAGAGTGGAACTACTGAGAGGTCAAAATCAGGTGAAACTGGAGCAAACTGCACAGAGATGACGGATCACTCTTTATCTGACATTGTTATACTTTTACATTATGAAGTTATATTAGGAATAATTCATCTGGTGGTGATAATCCTAGAGAGTCGTAGTTGTGAGTCATGTGTGCTTCAGTCTGACGGTAAATAAAGTCGTTTGCCCCGAGCAGGTTTGCCTGTAAGCACCTTTAAACACTGGAATATTTGCTGTGCTCATATTGACTTTATCTTTCTGATGAGATGGAGCGAGGATTAACCCAGCCCAGGTCGTCCTGTTTCAGCAGGACTCTCTGTCTTTTACACCCCCGCCCCCCCGTCACTGCAAGAGTCACTCCTTTCTGTGCTTTGGGTGGACCTGAGAACCAAACAGGTTTGACCAGGAGGAGTGACGACGCTGGTATGAAGGACGGGACACGAGCAGAGAGAGAAAGGAGGGGGAGGGAGAGAGAGAGAGGAGGGGAGGAGGGGGGTGAGGCCCTCTGGCTGCAGAAGCTGGAGGTACAGCAGGTTAATCTGAACGACTGTTGACACCAACACTGTCCAAACTTTGGTGTCTGTTAAATTAGAGAATCACTTCTTCTTCATCCCAGTTAGACCTGCGATATAGATATAGATCATATAGATACAGAGGATTACAAAGTCAGAGAATGAACGACATGGTGACTCTATGATAAAAGGATTATCTGATTTTCTTTGTATGTCACAGAGAGGCTTCAGTTCCGGTTTATGTCAGCGGTAGGAGATCCAAAAAACAGATTCATTTTTCAGGATTTACTTTTAACAGACGCTCCTGCTCGCTCGTATCGTTCCAATTAAATTCAGATATAATGCAGATAAATACTTCAGATCATTACAAATGGGGCCCAGTCAAGGTGCAAGTCAAAAGCATTGGTGCTACTGTAGATGCCAACAGACTACCAGCAAACACAATGTTTGCAGGACTTCTACAACTAGGATAAAGTGACATAGTCCAGGACCCGAGGGAGGACAGTTTAGCGATGGCGCTACAACACGCTACAGCAGGTCAGTTTGACAAGAAACACTTCTGTTACAGACACTTGTCTTACTTTGTTAAAGCGGTTTACCTGTCCAGCAGAAAGGTTACAGGGTCACCAAGATCCCCAAGCGTCCCCCATGGTTTATGTTGACCCGGCTTTTTAGCTCTTGTCCGGTCTACCTCCGTTTTAAGCGCCCGTTATTCCTCCAGAGTCTCCGGTATTTACTTTGTTTTCTTGCTTGTGTCGGCAGTCGTGGCCAAAGGAGGATTCAGACAATTTTCCGAACTTTCTGGTTGGTTTCTACTGTCCGATATTGTAGCACGCTAACTTTGTTTGGGCTCCTGAACGACACGGGGGAGCAGCATTTTCTTGTTGACTGTTTTCTTGCTGACTGTTTTCTTGCTGACTGTTATCTTGTTGACTGTTTACTTGTTGACTGATTATGGTTGACTGTTTTCTTGTTGACTGTTTTTGCTGACTGTTTTCTTGTTGACTGTTTTGGTTTTGACTGTTTTCTTGTTGACTGTTTTGGTGTTGACTGTTTTCTTGTTGACTGTTTTGGTTTTGACTGTTTTCTTGTTGACTGTTTTCTTGTTGACTGTTTTGGTTTTGACTGTTTTCTTGTTGACTGTTTTCTTGCCAACTGTTTTCTTGTTGACTGTTTTGGTTTTGACTGTTTTCTTGTTGACTGTTTTCTTGCTGACTGTTTTCTTGTTGACTGTTTTGGTTTTGACTATTTTCTTGTTGACTGTTTTCTTGTTGACTGTTTTCTTGTTGACTCTTTTGGTGTTGACTGTTTTCTTGCTGACTGTTTATGTTTGAGTCTTTTCTTGCTTGTGTCGGCAGTCGTGGCCAAAGGAGGATTCAGACAATTTTCCGAACTTTCTGGTTGGTTTCTACTGTCCGATATTGTAGCACGCTAACTTTGTTTGGACTCCTGAACGACACGGGGGAGCAGCATTTTCTTGTTGACTGTTTTCTTGCTGACTGTTTTCTTGCTGACTGTTATCTTGTTGACTGTTTACTTGTTGACTGATTATGGTTGACTGTTTTCTTGTTGACTGTTTTGGTGTTGGCTGTTTATGGTTGACTGTTTTCTTGTTGACTGTTTACTTGTTGACTGATTATGGTTGACTGTTTTCTTGTTGACTGTTTTTGCTGACTGTTTTCTTGTTGACTGTTTTGGTTTTGACTGTTTTCTTGTTGACTGTTTTGGTTTTGACTGTTTTCTTGTTGACTGTTTATGGTTGACTGTTTTCTTGTTGACTGTTTTCTTGTTGACTGTTTTCTTGCCGACTGTTTTCTTGTTGACTGTTTTGGTTTTGACTGTTTTCTTGTTGACTGTTTTCTTGCTGACTGTTTTCTTGTTGACTGATTATGGTTGACTGTTTTCTTGCTGACTGTTTATGTTTGAGTCTTTTCTTGCTTGTGTCGGCAGTCGTGGCCAAAGGAGGATTCAGACAATTTTCCGAACTTTCTGGTTGGTTTCTACTGTCCGATATTGTAGCACGCTAACTTTGTTTGGGCTCCTGAACGACACGGGGGAGCAGCGTCTGCCTCACAACCAATCAGGTTAGAGGAGGTGGAGAACACAGAGATATCGTCATATTACCAAATGTCATCAATAACTAATAACTATTGACTGATATTAAAGTTTTTTTGTAAATACACCACAAAAAAAGATGCTTCTTTAACGGGATCCTGCCTTCACCACCTTTAAGAAGATGTGTAAAATTTGTTTAATGGATGGCAGTCAAATCCTGATCCTGTGTGCTGCACACGTTTGCAAATATCTATTTATAGAGACGAATAAATCATCATCGTACTAATGTAGTTTTTTTTTCCTGCACACTAAAACCGGATCTTGTCTGTAGCTCTGTGACGCTCTGTTCAAACTCGGTGGTGGTGTGTGTTCACAGAGGCGAGGGAAGCGTCTTGCCTGTCTGAGAGGAAGTGGTCACACTCCGAGGCCTCCGCTCGCCCAGAGCAGAAACATCGTCTTGTGATGTTTTTTGTTTGTCTAAGCCCAGAGTTCAGTCAGAAAACTCACATTTTTGTGGCTCCTCTTTGCATTTTCCTCGTAAACAGTCTCATTATGACATTTTTGCGAACAAGAGCGCAAAAATAAGACGGTTTGTTTACAGACGTTGGACCATACGGCAAAATTTTGACTCAAACACTTAAACAAACTGTCTGTTTTCGGTCTTTTAAAGCAGCTTTTAGGAATAAATGTCAGTCAGGATTCAAAGAAGTGTGATTTAGGGGTCATTTTTCTATTTTCAGAGTTATTTTGGTTTCTTAAAGTCTTATAGGTGTAAAAGTGGATTGATTGAGCGTGCTCAGACTGAACGGTGTGTCAGGACTTCTGTATAATCCTGAAATGCTCTAGATTAAAGAACACCTAGATCCTCCTTACTAAGTCAACCATTCGAGGTGATGATGAACAACTCCTGTGTGTGGAAATGAAGGAGGAGGAGCGTGTTTCAGCAAACGACAAAAACCTTTAATAATAGACGACATTTGACCAAAAATAGAAACATCCTGTTTAATAGATGCAGGAGGAAATTCAGAAACTTTCCCCTTTTTAAAAATGTCAGAATTTCCCTTTTAAATCAGGATATTTGACCAACTCTCTGATGTAAATCCTAAGTGTGAGAGGAGTTACAAATCTGTGAGACGTCCTCCTGTGGGCGGCGGTGTGTGAGCTTAAAAAGACAAAGATTAACAGAGGTCAGTTTCTGTCAGTTTCTGTCAGTTTTCAGGATCCGTCCCTCCGTTAAAACCCTTTAAATAGATCCCTGGACTCCCTGGACTCTGACCTGATACCTCTCCAACCTCTCGTAATTGAAAACGAGACGCTCCTATCAAACAAACAGGAGTACACAGCATTATAGGGACTATTTTCAGCGGTGGATTAGTACACCTTTAGTGCTTTAGTGATTATTTACAGTGGCGGCAGGACGATGTCTGTGTGATCGGCTCAGAATAAACTCCAAACACTGTCTTCATCAGGACGTATCCGTGTTTTAATCGTTTATAGACATTTTATTGTCTGTTTAGGTTTTAGTTTAATAGATGAGAGCCGTCGAAGATCATATAATCACTTATTTCTGTCTTTTTTATTTGGTTTGTTGAAGAAAATAGAAACTTCCAGCCTTTTTATTCTGAGCGCAGTGTCAGGACTAACGCTCCTGTAAATACAGGTCACATGATCACATTGTTTACACTGGGCATGTGCACACCGTACCACCTCTCTCTCTCTCTCTCTGCGTTGGTCCGAGCTGGACCTGAACTCTTAAAGAAACGCAGAAGAAGAAGTTTTTGCTGACAGTAAATTTTGGCCGACTTGTAATCCAGTGAATGAGCTTATTTTGGAGTGATGCCTTCACTGACAGTCTGTCAGCAGAGCGTCTGGTCGACCTGAACCTCCGGATAATGTATTCCAGGAACTTGTCTCTGCACAATTGGGAGCAGCTGGGCGTACATATTTCTGTCTTCTTACTTCCTACTAACGGGATGTATTTCAGGTTCACTCTGCTGCTGTGGATGTGAGCCGATACCACCCAAACACGAGGAGAAGAACGAGGTGTTCCTTCTCTGATCTGACGTGTTTAGATGAAAAGTCCAACACTGTAGTTTAAGGAAATTTCTGTGGAAGGAAAGATTAAAAAATGTCAGAAATGATGGTTTGATTGTTTTGGTTTGGTGCTTTAACTTCATCTTTCTTTCTCATTTGATATTTTTAAGATTTTCAACATAAACAACAAAGTACAAAATGTTTTCGATCTGCTCCTCGGTCATCTCTGCTTCAACAGAGGTCACTCCGAGTTCATGCTTTCACCACTGACACTCAGTTCTTTTGTCGTTTCATCGCTTTTCTCACCATACCACCAAACCTCACTGACATCAGCAGGAACTCGGGCATAACATTCGTGTTTCTGCTCCTGCAGCTGCTTTGAATTCTCGGCGGTTTTGTTGGAGTAACTGCGGTCCGCTCAAATCCTGCTCATATCTCATCTTTGAATAAATACGAAACACAAACTGAACCGTGGAGGAAGAAGCAGCAGAACAACAGCTCTGAGAGTTAGGGAGCGTCTTCTGTGGATGTCGTCTTGTGGGTTTGCAGAGCGTGACGCAACAGTCGTTTATGGTCGATCAAAATGTCGCACCCTCTCTTCACGGTCGGTTTTCTGCAGAAATGTTTTCCTGTGGTTGTGAAAATTTTCAAGAAGCGTTAAATAGATCGGTTACAACTCTACACGTATAAACTCAAGATCGATTTATTGACTTAGTGCGACTGAAACTGGATACAAGGGTGCAACCAACGACTATTTCAATAGTCGACTGATCGGAAATTGTTCGTGCTTCACCGACATGCTGCCATGATTCATATGATCTACTTTGCCTTATCTCGGCTAAAGTGCTCCCAAACTTACGAGGTTTTTAAGTGCTTAATCGTTGCTGCTGTATGGGATGCAGGATTTTTTTGCGTTGGACGGTAGGGGAAGGTCCCACCCTCCTTCACCTCTGATTGGCTAGAAGTGCTGGGCTCTGATTGGTTATTCCTTTTGGCTGTGAAACGTCATCGTCTGTCGGGTTAGGGTTAGGAGAATCAGAAGTGCGATAATTTTCTGTTATGTTCTGTTCGATGTACAGAGCCGATAGCCCGCGCTCGGCTTGAGCGTGTGATGATGTTACACAGCCAATCAGAGGCGAAGAAGGAGGGACCTTCCCCTACCACTTGGCAAAGACGCTATTGTGCATGTGTGACTCTAGGCAGAGATCATAATGAAGTAAGACGCCGCACTCCACTGGAAAGAAAAACACGTCTGAGGAAAAAGGTTGCAGCCTGAAATCACACAAACTCGAACTCCTCGTAGTCGGTCTGTAGGACACAGAGTTGTGAACAAAATCTCAACGATCAAAATAAAAGAAAACTCTTGAACAAAACTAAAGTACAGAGCTGTAAGAAGTGAGGGTGTTCGTGTTTCCTGTTCGCCTCACGTGATCGTGGTAAAATGTTCCTGGAGACGAGAGTTCAGGAAAAGAAAAGTTTCTGTCGTCTCTTCTAAAGCATCTCGTTGTTGTTTCTTTCTGCACCTTTCCTCTCTGCAGCCCTGCGGTCGACCTTTGCTGTTTTTTTTTTAAATGTGCGATATAAATAAAGATGACTCGGCCTGTGAATGTTTCAGACGGCGGGCAGAGCGACTGAAGCTGGTCAGTCAGCGGTAAAAACAAGAACTTTGTGTTTACATACCTGTTGGGCCTGTTCGCTGTCTGCCTGCTGAAACACGTCACTGGAGGGAACCCAAAAACCTCTTTTGTTGATTCAGTTCCCACATTTTTCTCTGTCATGATCTGCTAAATATAGATCTATATGTGACTCTGAATGTAGCAGTAACTCCATCCTGACAGTCTGTTTATGAAGTGTTGATATCCAGACGGAAAGTCTCTCATGTTCAGGAGAAAAAAATCTAATCTTTTGTCCATGTGTGATTTCTCTCCCTCTGTTTCCAGGGGATGACTTTTCCATCATCCAGCAGGAAATCTTCATGGTGAAGGAATGCATGCACCACAATATCGTGGCCTACTTTGGGAGCTACCTCTGGTAAGAGTCCGCGCTCTGACTTTTCTTCTCCCTCCTCCTCCTCTGTTTGGTTCACTCCTGTCAACATAAAACACGCTCACATGTCGTTTGAGTCACACCTGTGTGTGAAAGGATGACTCACGCTCTGTAACCGGGCTGACTGGTGCTGACTCGGCCCTTCAGCACCGCCAGGATGCAGCTCTCGTGTTTTAACGCAGCCTGTGTTTAGTGGCTGGTATCTGGGAGGAAGTAGGGCTGGTCCGCCCACCGCCGCCTGAGACTTCCAGCAGGTTTAACTGGAATATGAGCCTCTGATGTGTTTTATACGGCGGTTGGTCCACAAAGATGCGTGTCTTATCTCAGCGGGAACGTCTCGTACCGTCTCGCCACCGCAGAGCACAAAAGCCGAGTGATGACTGCAACCCGTAATTATCATGAAACCGGATTAATTGGACCGGGGCAACAATTTCTTTTCTGTTTCATCATCTCAGAGTCCGCATGAGGGGATCTGAACTGTAGACCAGGTGGGATTAGGAACCTGGAAAAGTGTGTCCTCTAAACCGTAAACAGAAACTGGATTATACCTGATGTTCAGGAGACAATCCTATTCAAAAATAAGTCCTTAATCAATAATAATCATAAAAATAAAAACAAATGTTATCAATAGTGGCCTTTACATCCAAAGATCTCAAAGGACTACATGTTAAAAACAAAGAAACATCACAATAAAGGGACATAAAAACAGGATCTGGGTTCAAAGACAGCAAACCTGATTCATGATAACTTCCTCTACGAAAAGCCACAAATAAAGAGCTGTGCAAGTCTTTAAGTAACCGTCTTGGACATAATTTCAAAATAAAAGCATCATGTGTAAACAAAAGGGAGACTCTTCTTAGACAGAAAATGATCTGATAGTTTTTCCTCCAGACTGTTTTTATCATGTATGTGAGACAAACACAGCTGATGAGGGCCGAATTAAAACGAACATTACAAGGTTACAACATTACAATAATTTTGCCAACAAAGTCTTCATTTTCGGTTGATTTCTTTTGTTTGTTGCTCATTTTGCGATCATTGTTGTTATTACCGGTGTTGTGCTGAGAAACACATGCCCACCGAGGATTGCATCCACCTCGCAGAATCACGCACCGCTTACAGTAGAGTGATCCATGTAAATGTACGATTTAAAACCCGAACAGTTCTTATTTGTTGGGCTAAACAGCGATGAGGAATGTTAAGAAAGTAATTATCAGCGGATACACGTTTCTCGGCTCAACACCGGCAGCGCCAGCGACTCACTCATTTGCCTCCAACATCACAGGCTCTGCAATGGGACTCTCACGCACACGTACATCGTCATGACGATGTTTAAACGATATATCGTGCAGCCCTAGGCCCGGTATAGTTCTCATCCATGCATCGGTTGGATCTTTGTATGAAAACTTGTTGAGCCTCTTGAGTTCGACCACATTTTAAACAATCTGCGTCTGTCAGTCTTTACTATAACAGCTGATAACCAGGAGTACGAACCTTCTTTGACATCCTGATCCTTCTAACTCCATATCTCTCTGTCTGTCTGTCCCCCTTCAGTCGGGAGAAGTTGTGGATCTGTATGGAGTACTGTGGAGGAGGATCTCTGCAGGACATCTACCACGGTGAGTTCAGGTTCAGGGGCGCCGGTTTGGTCTGGTCTGGTGGTTAAACTGGTGTCATCATTGCACCTGCGGATGGTTTGATTATCGAATATGACCTTTTCTGCACGTCACCTCCCCGCTCTCTCTCCTCACCACATTTCCTGTGTCTTCTCTATTTCAGTTTAGAGGTTTTAATAACATGAGAAACACGAGAATCAAGTAAAAATTAACAGCTAAAACCAGCAGGGGTCTTTTTCTTCACATTTGAAGAAAGTCGTCTTTAATGAATCTGTTTTGTCTTTTCAGTGACGGGTCCTCTCTCAGAGCTTCAGATTGCCTATGTGAGCAGAGAGACCTTACAGGTAAATGCTTCATCGAGTTCTTTTTCTGCACGATTCTCCAGAATTTCATCTTCATGTCGTGACAGAGCGCGTGATTTCTCTTCTCGCAGGGTTTGGGATATCTGCACATTAAGGGCAAGATGCACCGCGACATCAAGGTATCGTATCTCTGAGGGTTTCTTTGTTTCTTCTGGCCTCTTTGGTATCCAGGTCAGACTCGTTCTGATGTGCCGCACACACACAGACACACACAGACACTTGGCCTCATTTGAGTAGAGAGAGAGACAAAGGGATGAAATCTCAAACGTGACAGAAAGAAGGTCAAGAAAAAGAGAAGAAGTGTCGTGTTAGATCGGTGATTATAGTCCAAAGGTCAGAGTCGTCTGCAAACTAACCTGACAGGAAGAGAAGAAGAGCAGAGACGTTCACACTGGAAACACGTGACCAGAGGTGTGACTTACAGCGGGTTTGAGGTCGAGCGTTTGTTCGCCACGCCTGCTTCGAGCAGCGTCAGCCTCGTGTGTTATCGCAGAGGCTCAGGGCTGGACCTATTATCTTTACTCCACTCCACGCAGCGAGCACTTCCTGTTTCCTCCACTCTCACCGCAGGATGCCACCGGAGAGAGTGTCAGTCACGGCCAACAGAAACACTGAGAACCGTCAGAAAAAGATGTCACCCCGGTGAACCTTTACTGGCACTCAGACTAGGACCAGGTCCAAATACACCAGATGTTTAAAGTCTAACACACGAGATCACCCCTGAGCTTCTGACCTCTGTTTCATGAAACTAAACTGCGTGATAAATCTTTTCCCTTTCAAAATAAAACGCTGATTTTTCTTCCACAGGGTGCCAACATCCTTCTTACAGACAACGGAGACGTGAAGTTAGGTAAGTTCCTCCTCAGCGTCTGAACGCTCATCTGTAACTTTCAGTCGTTATCTTAAAATCCCTGTCAACCCTCTTTACAGCCGACTTTGGAGTGGCGGCCAAAATCACAGCCACCATCGCCAAGAGGAAGTCTTTTATCGGAACACCTTACTGGTGAGTGAACCAAACAGGTTTTTGTTTAGAGGAAGTGAAATGATTTTATTCTTTATGTTGTCTGAAGCGTGCATGAGAGGGAGAATCGAACCGAACAAGTGAAAAATAAAAACGCCACTGACTCCTCAGCAGGTCAGCTGATGGCCAGAGACATTTTTAAACTCCATTATTCTCCACATCATCACAGACAATATCAAACACTCTCCAGTTATTGTTTTAGATCCAATCTGTCATGTAGGAAAAATAAAACTTTATTAAAAGGACTTAAAGCTCCAGTGAGCAAGTCTATGTTTATCTTGATTTTGGTGCCCCCCTGTGGACAAAACAGACTATGATTATCTTATCTTATGCTTTAATGCATCTCAACTCAACACAACTCAAATTTATTTATAGAGCACTTTAAATACTAACAAAGCTGACATAAAGTGCTGTACATAACATAAAACAACAATAAATAGTTGTTTTAAAATATAATAAAAAAGTAACAAAACAAATGATAAATATAACATCTAGAAATCTATAAATATGTAAAAAATAATGTTTTAAAAATCTATAAATAATATGTATATAATAATAAATATAAAATCCATAAATAATATATTTTAAATAATGCGTATAAAAATTTTCACTGATGGTAAAAAAAAAAAAAAAAAAACATCAAAATGATTTTTTTCAGTCTGTTTTATAAACATTGTAAAATTCCTTACTGGAGCTTTAACTCTGCTGACCAGACTGCCTGCAGTGTCTGCAGACTTCATCACTCTTTATCTAATTTATTTATTTGTTCAATCAGACAGATTTATTGGTTTATCTCTAGTTTTTATGTTTTTGATGTCCAGTCTCATGGTTTCAGTCCTTCAGTTCTGTAACTGTAACTGAACAGTGATACCCACACACCGACACCTTCTCTGTCAGAGTTTCAGTGTGACCAAATTTAATCTGACAGAATCTGAGAAAAACTTCCTGTGAAAACGTAAATTTCAGCTCCTCAGTATCTGGTCGTGTTTCAGACTGCTTCAGGATTTTGAAGGTCTCAGATATTTTAGTCATGTGACTCTGAACACAATCTCCGTTTGGCCTCACCTTAAGCAAAGACAACAGGTGCATGAATAACTTCACTGCAAACAGAATCCAACTTTACATCTAAGTTAGTGATCAAACAACGTCCTGAAGTTATTTCTCAGTATCGTCATTTTTTCTTAGTTTTTCCTCCCTGACCTCCTTCCTCCTGTGTTTCTGCAGGATGGCTCCAGAAGTGGCGGCAGTGGAGAAAAACGGCGGCTACAACCAGCTGTGTGACATCTGGGCGGTCGGCATCACCTCCATCGAGCTGGCCGAGCTGCAGCCTCCGATGTTCGACCTTCACCCCATGAGGTTAGTCAAACCGTCTAAATATAAAGAGCCTCTGTGCGTCTGTCTCTGCGGTTCCTTCAACAGTCACTTTATTTTTATTTATTTCGGTCACAGCGGCCTGACTTACAAACCGTCTTTCTGTTTCATCTCAGAGCTTTGTTCTTGATGTCGAAGAGCAGCTTCCAGCCTCCGAAGCTAAAAGACAAAAACAAATGGTGAGTCCTCTGAAACATTCAGTCTGCTGTACGACTTTGAGACGCTCGGCGTGATACGACAATCCTTCTTCTTCTTCTTCTTCTCCATCAGGTCCACCGCCTTCCACAACTTTGTCAAAGTGTCTCTGACCAAGAACCCGAAGAAGAGACCGACTGCAGAGAAGCTCCTATCGGTAATTCATCTTTCTGTTTACATAAATGTTGGAAAGTTAGAGTAAAAGATAATCAGATAATCAGGACAGCTGCAGCTTTAGGACTTTTCAGGTTGAGATTTTTCCCATCATGCCTCAGCTTCTGTGTTAGCTCAGTTAGCATCACCACCTTTCTCATGAGGCGTTTCCTCCTCGTTTATGTTGATGTTTGGTGAAATTTTCTTCATTTTTCGGATGTTTCCATGTCAACTCTGAGCTCCAGACTCAGACCTGAAGAGTAGTTTGTCTCGGCCCTCGCCGTCTGGTCTTTATCTGCTGTTTAAAATACAGTCACAGGTTGTTTATTAAAGATCAGGGCTGCAGAAAACCACAGAGAACTGTTTTAAAACCGAGCAGACGTCTCTGAAAAGACCATCATCATCACGAACGCCGTCTCACAGGACGTGTGTGATTAATGAGGAGTGTTTAATTACTCTGAAACTGTTTAATGAAGAGACTCTGAGACCTTGAGTTGAAGATTAGGATGTCAGATATCTGCTCATAATGTCTCATTTCTCGCAGCACGTGTTCGTGGCCCAGACGGGTTTGACACGGCGGCTCGCCGTCGACCTCCTCGATAAGATGAACAATCCAGATAACCACCAGCATTACAGCGAAGTGGACGACGATGACCTAGAGGTAACGTTACAGCAGATTCAGATAACTCAAGGCTGTGGTCGATTCATCATGACTCGCTTTTCTCTCGTATGAGAAGTTTCCTGTTTTGTGAAAAACTTTTGTGCTCATGAGAGAAACAAAGACGAGGTTTAAGCTTCGTAGAAACGTCACTGCCTCTCCTTCCTGAGGCTCACACACACACACACACACACACACACACACACACACACACACACACACACAGCAGCTGTTTTTTCTCCCCTTAATGACGTCAGAGGACTCAGGTGGAGGGCTGCAGCTGACTTCGACTCGCAGTAACCACAGGCCGTGCAAATCTAACCCTGAATGCACTCTGAGGCTTTTTTATTTTTTCTAATTTTAAAGCTTCAGCTCATGAGCCGATTCTGTCAGGACGTTTTGAACTCTCGCAGCTCTGCAGTCTTTGTTTCTTCACCTCAGAGGTCCTCTCTTCTATCTCAGAGAGGATCCTGTCGTTGAAGAAAGAAGTTTAAAATCTTCACAACCTTAAAAAGAAGAGATCACCAAGACTGTTTTTTTTTAAATTCATCCCTAGAAAACAACAACAAAAAAATGCTCCTCTTGATGCAGGAAGTTAACTTAAAAAACCAGCAACACAAGATATCTTCAAATGTGAAATACCCCTTGAGAATCAGACTGTGTTTTTTGGACACATATCTCAGGAATGGCCGAGAAGAGATAAACATTTATTAAGTATCTGCTGATGGCCTGTAAAAAGAGTATTACCAGGAAATGGCAATCAGAGGAGAGCTAAAACTTCAATATATGGATAGACATATATAAAATGGAGAGGATAACAGCAATTGTTAATCACAAATTAGAGAAATTCACATCATTCTGGGAAAATTAAGTCAAATGTGTCACGCTTAATAGGCCAGATTTTATTTTCACAAAGCAGTGGTCATGATGTTTGAGAGAGATCACTCCCAACGATACATAGTTTTTTATTTAATTTAGTTGTTGTTCTGGTTGTTTGTTTTTTTCTCATTACTTGGATATTAACTAAAATTTGATTTTGGCATGCAGCATGCTTAAAGGCACAGCAAAATACAATTAATACAAGATTGAAATTGCTTCAATATAAATGGCTAATGCGAACTTCTATCACCGCAGTAAAACTAACTAAAATCTGTCCTAATATTCCAGATATCTGTTGTGTAGAGGAAAAAGGAACATTGTTCCGTTGTGTTTGGGAATGCTCAAAAGTACAATCATTTTGGCAGAATGTGATGCGGGCCATCTCCCAGCCAAACTCTGTATCCTGGTATATATCCCTGAAAATTTAGTTGTCAACTCTAAATTATCAGTATTGATCGATTTTGGGCTTCTACAAGCTTGAGGACTGATCGCTCTTTTCCGGAAAAATATACAGTTGCCCTCTGTAAAGTTATCGTTGAAGGAGATTGCATTTGAAAGACTTACACATATTGTCAGAGGGGAAAAAAACAGTTTGAAACCTTTTTTGGAATTTTTGGAGGATGAGAATGTTGTTATAACTTGAGGGGCTCTATTTTCGTGTCCGCCGGCAACTTAAAAAAAAAAGAAAATGGAAAAAAACAGCAAATCATAAAGAAAAGTCTGTGAAATTTGTGAAGACTAGTGAAGTAAAGTCAAAAGTAACAAAGTTAAATCTGGATGTCAAAGTTGTTTCGGGTGTTTGAGAGTCAGATTTAGAGGAAAGTTTCGTCTCAAACTTCCTCCGACATTATTCTTCCCTCTGGAGTCAACATCACTTTAGGTGGCAGCCAAAGAGGTGGTACCACAGTCCGTTTTAAAAGACCATTGTGTTTCTCTCTCCCCCCTGACAGCAGCAGCTCTGTCTTGGCCTCCATGAATGAAAAAAAAGAAAAAAGGCCCTGAAGGCTATTGACTGGAGCAATAGAGCTGCTAACAAACAAACAGCCTCTGGGATGAATAATAATGTGAAGACGGAGCAGGAAACGTCGTCTCAGTTCTGCTTGAATTCGATGATGTGGATTAAACATGTTGATAACTCTTCACCCTCACGTCTCTCTCTCTGTGTTTCAGCCCCTCTCTGCCGTCAGACACACCATCCGCTCCACCAACAAACACGCCCGAGCCGAGAGGACGCGCTCAGAGATCGACTGTAAGTGAACAGAAAGTCCCAAACGCACCCCCCCCCCCCCCCTCCTGCTGGGACCCTGTCCTCTCATTGGTCAGCGTGTCAGCCGGCCTGCCTGTTCAGCTCGATAGTCTGAGGGTCATCCCCGTAATCCTGCTGGCAGTTTTCCAGACCACAGCGTGTGGTGGAGCGTGTCCGAAAATAGATCCACTGACGAGAAAGTGGACTCAGCGTAGAAACGTGTCTACTAGATTCAGTTTAATCCACGTTTACAGACTCTTAAAGAGCGTCTGGATCATGTTGTAACACAGCAGAGGAGGTGTCGGTGTGAGTGTGTTAGATATAAAAACTTAACTGCAGCGTCACGACTCTGATTTCATCACTTTGGGTCGATGTAGTAACACGGCGGCGATGAGGAAACTCCTCTTCATCCTGTGTCACGGTCTCTCTCTGCTCCACATGTCTCCTGTCTGTTTCTTTATTTCTCACTTTCCAATCTGACTCTCCTCCTCCTCCTCCTCCTCCTCCTGCATGAAGCACACAATGGGACTACTGACCACAGGAGGCCATGCTCAAGTCCTAGCTTCTCTGAGGGACACAGGGGGGACGCAGGTCAGTTCAGCGATGTCTGTGTGAAACCCCGGCTCACCCCTAAGACCCCCTTAGACTCAGGTTAACACGGTAGCACATAACAGATCCTGGACCAGCTGAAGTAAAACCACTAATCCGTTTGAGTTTGTGTGTCTGCTGAACTTCCTCCTCCTCCTGTGTGTGTTTGTGTTTGTGTTAGTGGTGTGATAGAGGAGTGTCTGTTCCTCCTGCAGACCTCGAGGAGTCTGATTTGTTTGCATTTTTCTCCCCTCTCTTCATATTCCTGTGTGGAGCGGGCAGACCTGCTCAGTTTCAGGTGTAATCTGTGTTTGTCCGGGGTGACCGGCTCCCCCACAGAGGAGGAGGAGGAGGAGGAGGAGGTGTTCATCGATCTCCTGCCAGTGTCCGAACACTCCCACGGCTTTGTTTGGCTTCCAGTGTTGAGCTCTGACGCCCTCTAGTGTCTGAAAACGAATCAAACCTTTTCCTTTTTTTCTCTGTTTTCCAGTCGACAAGCTGCAGTTTGAACCTCCGCTCAGGAAGGAAACCGAGGCTCACTCTGAAATGGTGATTTTTTAATAATTCTGTGGATGTAAAAGAAAGAGTAAAAATAAAAACAGTTCCTAAAAGTTTATTTTTGTGCTCTGGTCTGTTTCCACAGGATGTGAGTAAAGATAATGACTTCCCCTCTCCCTGGAGTCCGTTCGCAGAGGGAGGAATAACAGCCAGGTAACCCACGGATATACTGTCGTCACAGAAATATCACCTGTTCACTCTCTCTCTTAACTTTGTTTATTTATTAGGTTCATGTACTTAGAAAATAAATTAAATGTCATTAAACTTGATGCTGTGGGACAGAAAGGTTGAGAAGATCTTTTAACAATCCTTCCAGAGACAGTAGATGACTTTATAAGACATGACAAGTGAGACTAAAGACATTAAATTTCTTTTCAGAGATAAAATAAAGTTTTTCTTATTCTTATTGAGGTGATTTCAGCGCCAACCGTCCAGATCCAGCTCTGTTCTAGATCTGATGCTGTTTCTGTCTGTGTTTTTATGCGAATGTTTTAAAGACTGTTTTGTTTACGTCTCTGAGATCTGAAAGCAGTAAAACCCTCAGATTTATACTCATAACAGCAGGGTTACTACGCAAGTATGGAAGTAATTTGATCAATTTCCAGGTCTTAAAAAGTTTTGAAAATGAAAAATAAAGTATGAAGAAATATTAAAGTTTCCAGACTATTACCACAGTACAAAAAATACTGTTTTCTAAAATAGAAAAGTCAGTATTTCCAAAAATAATTCTCAAAAGTCGGGCTTGGAAATGTATGGAAGTAATTTGATTAATTTCCAGATCTTACAAAGTTTGGAAAATTGAAAATAAAGTATGAAGAAATTTTTAAGTTTCCAGATTATCACCACAGTACAAAAAAAAAAATCAGTTTTCTAAAACTGTGTAGAAACCCTGTTATAGAAAATCTACCATAGATGCTGCTCACTGTCTCTCACACTGATCTAACTCGTGTCTGTGCATGAACTCGCTCTCCTCACCTGCAGCTTGAACTGTTGTTGACCTTTAACCTCCTCTTGTCTATGTTGTTGCTGACCGAACCCTCTCTCTCTCTCTCTCTCTCTCTCTCCTGTCACTCACTCGCCCTCTCTCTCTCTCTCTCTCCGTCCCGTCTCGCCTCCCTCTAAGGAGTCTGCTCAAAAGCGTTGAGGACGAGTTGTTCCAACGGTAACACTAACCCACCTGTGCTCTCGCTCCCCTCTCCGTCCATACATCCATCCCTCGCTCGGCCCCCCTCGCCCTCACCGTAGTGAACCTTAGAGTGTCCACCTCTCACCCTCCTCTGCACCTTTTCATCCAACACCTGTGGCGTGATGTTCGCTGTAGATCCAAACTGTGTAGATGGAGACTGAGACAGGGAGCAGAAAGTTCTGGACTTAGAGAAGTGGAGTCAGAGCTGACGCGAACTCGACAAACAGATCTTCTTCTTCTCTTGTTGTTTCCATCCCGTGATAAACCCTCTCCTCTCCTCTGAGGGAAACTCTCATACAAACATTCCCGTCATCATCAGCAGCTCCTCCTCCTGACCTCCTCCTGACCTCCCATGAGTCTTTGCTTCTGCTCTGATTTCTGTCTTTGCTCCCTGCAGGGGTCACATCGCACATCTTGAAGACGCCTTCGAAGAAGTGGAGCTGTGAGTGACGTTATCAAACTAACATCATCATCATCAGCTGTTGAGTTTCAGATCTGTCTGACGCACAAACGTCTTTGTTTTCAGGTCGACTCTGAAGCCCGGCGTGCCCCCTCCTCTGCCTCCTAAAGTGAGACCCTCAAACTTTTTCACTTTTTAACTTTCTAACCGAGTAGATTTTCCTGAATCCGACTCTTCTCTCCGTCAGCCTCGACTGAACAGCTCTTCAGAGGAGATCGGCCTGAACGACGAGAGGTGCCTGACGGTCCGGAGGTTCCCCAACGCCGAGAACGGGCCGAGTCAGGCGGCTCGCAGACAGAGCACGCCAGAGTCCGGCAACAAGGTGGAGCATTCCTCGCCGGACTTCCTCTCCGCCAGCGTCAGCAGCCCCGGCCTTTTGTCTCACGCCTCCGACCCCGGTGAGTTCAAGCGTTTTCTTTATCAATGAATCATCTTTTTTTGATCAATGCTGTGAGTTTTAAAAAATATTCTGATCGTTTAGTGTGAACAAGAACTTACTTGTGAAATCAAAGCTGAGAAAAACTGACGAAATCAAGTCTCTTAAAAAACAAGGATAGGTTGTCTCCTCTCCCTCATGTCCTCTCTTTTCCAAAAAAGTCAGAAACCTCTAAAACAAACCTCTAGTTTTTATCTTAATCTTCCCCACGCTCCTGTTTCAATCATGTCTGTATTCTTGGATCAATCGGTTAATCTCTCAATAATCACTTTAACTCTATTTTCACAAGCTCTCAGTAAACCGAACAGTAAAGGTAAGAGAGTTTGACGTGAACATGTCTGTTCTGAGGTTAAAGCTCCTCTGTTAACGTTTCCCTCCCCCCTCTCTCTCTCGCTCTCTCTCTCTCTCTCTCATGACAGAGAACGATTCGGACGGCAGCCTGAACGGAGGGAGTCCCAAACCGCCGCCCAACAGACCGCACCACCGGAAGGAGAAGAAGGAATTCCCTGTGAGTCTCGTGACGGCTCTCATCTGTTTCAGATTTAGGGTTCGGCTGTAATCTGAGGAGTGAGAGCTGGATTTACTTTGTGGAGGGTCTCGGTAAAAACCTCAAATATGAGAGTCAGAGGGGGGTAATCCAGCGTCTCTCTCTCTCTCGATGTTGTTGTTTGTGTCCTCATCATGATCAGATGTTCTCCTCTCTCTATAGAAACCAGCGATCAATGGTCTTCCTCCCACTCCTAAAGTTCTGGTGAGTGGATCCTCCTCATTGTTCCTGCTACATTCTGGAGATGTTTGGGGTCCTCCGAGCTTTCTGCTCTGCGGTTTCTTCTTCATGTCTCACTCAGCCCGACGTCTTCCTGCTTCTTCTCCTCGTTTCAGATGGGAGCCTGTTTCTCCAAAGTGTTTGACGGCTGTCCGCTGAAGATCAACTGCGCCACGTCCTGGATTCACCCGGACACCAAAGGTACGGGTCGACGCGACGAGAGCGATGAACAAGAATAACTCAGACGGTTTGTTAAAGACGCGTTTGTTTTCCTCTCTTAGATCAGTACCTCATCTTTGGGACGGAGGACGGCATCTATACTCTGAATCTGAACGAGCTGCATGAAGCCACCATGGAGCAGGTAACCATCGACCCCGACACACAGGAAGACCCTTTTATACGAGGGTTAGGGGGGCTGAAGTAAACCTGAGTGTTGTCCTAGTAACCAAACATCTACCCTGAAACTGAGACTCACCAGAAGTGAGAGTTAAAGCGACACAGAAATACACTCAAACCCCGACTGTGAAATCACGGCGGGTTCTCCTGAGGTGAAGGTTTTCCCCCTCCTCTTCCTGATCACCAGTTTAACTCTGACTGACACGTCTTTGTCTAATCCTCCTCTCCAGCTGTTTCCCAGGAAGTGCACATGGCTCTACGTTATCAACAACAACCTGATGTCTTTATCAGGTAAGTGACGGATTTACCGCCGCCTCCTCCTTCCCCTGCCGACTGTCATCAGCTGCTGCTTCTTTGTCCTCCTGTGTTATCTGGCAGACCCTGAAATAACCGTGTCTTTTGTTTGTCATCAGAGCGTCTCTGAGTGACACGTCCGAGGAGTAAAAATAAAGACACTTGTGTTTTTTTGTACAAACCTCGTCTGTGTGGCTGAAACCTTTTTAGTCTCAGTTTAACAGCTGAGGATGAGATTATAAACTCTCAGTTTTACTCCCCTCGGTATACTCAACCTCTCTTCTTCTCTTTCTCTTCTTCCCTTGGACACTGTCCATCCTCCTCCTCCTCTCGCCTGGCTTGATTTGATCTTCTACTAACCGGCTTCATCAGAAGGTAATCATGCTTCACACCATCATCATCATCATCATCGTCACACTTCTGTTTGTACTCCTGTTCACGTCTAACCTTTCTACGTGTTAAAGCTGCTTCGTTCACGAGAAAGTCGTATAAGATCGCTGTTCTGATATTCATAACGTGAGGAGATGATTTTATTTTTCTACATCATGATTTAGAGACTCAAACATTAAATTTCTCAAATAGTTTTAAAATAAAATCCTGCAGGACAAGTTCAGCTAAATCAAGTATGTCCAGTAAACGTTCACAAATCTTCTCAGAGTGAATTCGTTCATCTCCTTGTGTTTGTCTCGTTGTGGAGAAGTGAAATTAAAAACTGCCGTTACTAGAAGAGAAGAACTTTTTATTTAAACAACGTCCTCAACAAACTTTAGGGGCCTCAATTTGAGCTGTCATGTGACCAGCGGAGGTGAAGAGGCAGAGCTCATCCACCTCAGAGGTAGCTGTTAGCATGTTAGAGCTACACATTTGCATAAACAGTTCAAACCTTTTTCTCCTGGAGAGCTCGCCGAGAACAGACTTCATCTCTCAAAGAGGTGCAGCTGCAAAATCTTGTCCTATCTGCACCTGTTGATTGTATGAGCACACACTCCTTATATGGGCGTACTTTGATTCCTTAAATGGGTGTATTTGACTCCTTATATGGGCGTACTTTGACTCCTAATATGGGTGTACTTTGACTCCTTATATGGGCGTACTTTGACTCCTTATATGGGCGTACTTTGACTCCTTATATGGGCGTACTTTGACTCCTTATATGGGTGTACTTTGACTCCTTATATGGGCGTACTTTGACTCCTTATATGGGTGTACTTTGACTCCTCATATGGGCGTACTTTGACTCCTTATATGGGCGTACTTTGACTCCTTATATGGGCGTACTTTGATTCCTTAAATGGGTGTATTTGACTCCTTATATGGGCGTACTTTGACTCCTAATATGGGTGTACTTTGACTCCTTATATGGGCGTACTTTGACTCCTTATATGGGCGTACTTTGACTCCTTATATGGGCGTACTTTGACTCCTTATATGGGTGTACTTTGACTCCTTATATGGGCGTACTTTGACTCCTTTTATGGGTGTACTTTGACTCCTTATATGGGCGTACTTTGACTCCTTATATGGGCATATTTGACTCCCAACTTTGACTCCTTATATGGGCATTTTTTTGACTTCTTATATGGGCGTACTTTGAGTCCTTATGTCGTCGGATTTTGACACCATATATAGTTGTACTTTGTTTCCTTATATTGGCATACTTTGACTCCTTATATGGTCATGCATTGACTCTTTATGGTGTATTTGACTCCTTACATGGTTGTACTTTGATTAAATTTTCTTTTATCCTTCTTGAGGAAATCCAAACCTTTATTATCTTTTAGTCTTTCAGAAATATGTAAAGGTCTTTCCTGAGTTTGAAGTTCTGGTATCAGGTTCCTGAAGTGGTTCTGGAGGTACCAGCTCTTCGGTCTCACTCTTGTCCTGTTACCGTCCTCTGTAGGGAAAACCTTCCAGCTCTACTCCCATAATCTGATCGGGTTATTCGAGCAGCTGAAGAAGCCCGGACTGGCCGCTCAGTTCCAGACTCACCGCTTCCCCGACAAGATCTTACCCAGGTGAGACCGCAGACCCGTCAGGTTTGATTCCAGACTCCCCCGATGTAGACGTCATCAGCTGTTTTTAGACCGTGGTCATGACATCACAACTGTTTCCTCTCCTCAGGAGGTTCGCCTTGACGACGAAGATCCCCGACACGAAGGGTTGTCACAAGTGCTGCATCGGTGAGTGACTGTTTTTTGTTTTCCGCCTGTTTTGGTTCAAGTCCTCGTCCCTCAGTGACGGCCTCACGGTTCTGTTCACAGTGAGGAACCCGTATACGGGACACAAGTACCTGTGTGGGGCGCTGCAGTCCGGGATCGTCCTGTTACAGTGGTATGAACCCATGCAGAGGTTCATGCTCATCAAGGTCAGTCCGGGTTCTTCTTCAGAGGTGGAGGACCGTCACAGGCGTGCAGATCCACTTCCTGTGACCCTGACCCCTCTTCTTCTTCTTCTCTCCTCCCTCTGCAGCACTTTGACTTCCCCCTCCCCAGCCCGCTGAAGGTGTTCGAGATGCTGGTGGTCCCGGAGCAGGAGTACCCTCTCGTGTGCGTCGCCATCAGCCAGGGCACGGAGCCGGGTCAGGTGGTCCGCTTCGAGACCATCAACCTGAACTCCTGCTCGTCCTGGTTCACAGAGATGGGAACGAGTAAGTCCAACATCTAAGATCTAAGAAGTTTAGGGGGTCAGGTGGAGGAGGCGGTTTGTGACGGTTTGTCTCCTCCTCACAGGTAACCAGCAGGTGGACGCCATCCATGTGACCCAGCTGGAGAGAGACACGGTGTTGGTGTGTTTGGACCGTAAGTTTAATTTCTGTTTCCCGACTGTTTTTTTCTTCAAACTCAAAATAAAATCTTCTTCGTTCTCCGACAGTATTTTTGTTTTTTCATCCTCCACAGAAAACTTGAAGATCGTGAATCTTCAGGGTCGACTCAAGTCCAACAAGAAACTGGCGTCTGAGCTCAGCTTCGACTTCGGCATCGGATCTGTTGGTGAGTTTTGAAAATTTAATATAAAACCAACACGACAAAGTTTGAGAGTGAAGAGAAGAAGCTGATCTTTATAGAAGCTGAACGTTGTCGTCCTCTCTGACAGTGTGCCTTCAGGACAGCGTTCTGGCCTTCTGGAAACACGGCATGCAGGGAAAGAGCTTCAAGTCCAACGAGGTAAAAACTTCTGATTCACTCTTGGAGCGTTTGGTCTTATTGAAGAGTTTTATTTAATCCCACTCTTTCTTAATCTAAATCCACATTAGTCCAGGATTATCGTCCGTCATTCGTCTCTTTAGTTTTTCTCTGGATCCTCCTCAGGTTTGAATAGAAGCTTGTTTGACGAACACGTGAACCGTCGCCTCGGGCTCGGGTCAACAAAGACCCCGAGTGCGGCGTGTTTGTTTGTCTGTCGGCGATCCCTGCGGATTAGACCTCAGGTGGAGCCGGACAAAGTGTCTTTGTGCGCGGCCGAGGTAATGAATTTGTCCTCCTTTCACGCAGGGATTCCATGTGAACCCGATCACGCGTCGCGCTCGGCGGCAGAATAAAAGTTCAAGAGATCGCGGGGAGGTGAAGCGTTGTGCTTTTATGAAAAGTGATATGCTGATAGGGGTCGCCCTTTTCAAAGGCCGCCGTGTCGGCCGCCGCCCCGCAGCGCTCGGATAAAACACCGGGTCTGTTTGGAGAGTCTGCGCCCGGCCCGGATTTTAGAAATGTCAGCCGCCGCCATGCAAAATTGATGCCCAATCATAAACGAGCGCCGTCACAGCGCAGGGAGCCGCGCTAAATAATTCAGCGTTTGTCTCGTTATGATTCCCCTCAAAGGCGAGGCATTCAGGGGCGGCGGGTCCGCTGATCCGATCTCGCTCCGGTGGGTGCTTCTCTGAACACCCGAGACCTTGTTCTCGTTCAGACTGGAACAGATCGGATCTCTGCGGGGCCAAGGACTTACACCTAGCAGGTGTCGCTCGCCCGCTATCTCACATCTGTCGACAAGTCCTGCTGACATGTCAACATGGGGGGGGCGGGAGGGGGGGGCTCGTCTTTTTTCACTTTGACGTGTCGACAGGATCGTACACACTCTCCTTAGACACGGCACACACACACACACACACACACACACACTGTTGTTAAAGGCACAATGAGTGACCTGAAGGTAAACAGTCAGAATCTAAAACAGAGGAGGGGTGTGAACAGACTCTGACGGACTGACAGGACTTTGTAAATGGACATAGATCTTAAAGGTATAGATCTCTGATGTGTTTTCTATCTGTAGAGTCTAGATAAACACCTTTAGATAATATGAATGTTGTTTTTACTCCCAGGTGACTCAGGAGATCAGTGATCCCAGCAGAGTCTTCCGCCTCCTCGGCTCTGACAGGTCAGTCCCAGATTTCCTCTCCTTCACTATCAAACACAAACACCACCTCCTCCTCCTCCTCCTCTTCCTCCTCTTGTTTGTCCTCTAACGTCGGCTCGCTGACCCACATAACAGCGGGCCGCTCCTCCCTCAGGTCTCTGTGTTTTTCTTCCACATGGAAACGACCTGCTGGCCTGCTGTGTCTGTAAACCCACAGCTCCTCTCGGTCCGTCTCTGTCCCTGTAGACCGCCGTGTTTACCTCCCACCTGCTCATTCTTTCCATCTTATGTATTAAACCCTGCGGCCACTGATTGTACTCGAGTCTGAGCAGATGAGAACTTCCTGAAAAGTTCAGAGTTCTCTGATCGGATGGAAACTAAACTGACCGACATCTCTGCGAAAATAAACAAACACATCCTGAAAATTGACAAGATTTCAGTTTGACTTCATCACGATTCAGAGAGCGACCTGACAACTGTCCAGAAGACCGTCTCTGACCCCCTCCAGGGTCATGCTCCCACCGTCAAGCGACTCCTGAGGAAGATCAGAGAAGTCCCGTTTCATGATAGTTTTGGGTTCTCAAATCATACTGGGTTTTATCAAGTCCTGAAGTCTACCAGGAGGTTTTAGAGACCCTCATACGGGATTTCCACTGCATCCAGAACAGCTCCGACCCGGAACGGCGTCCGACAATTTTCACTGTCCGTTTCGTGGCAGATTACGGACAGTGGTAATCGCAAGAACTCGCTTGGATTCATGCAATCGCGCGATAACGAGTTGTCTCTATAAAGACAGCCACATAGACATATAAGCAGTAGATTGTGTCCTTCCAGAGGAGGAAATCTACTTCTAGACTTCTAGAATCAGCATCTCCTCATCCATGGTGTCATTGGGGTGAAATGACGTCTAAAAACCTTTCACTTGTTCGTCTCCGCCCGTTTGCATGGTGTGAAATACGATCCTCCTGAAACACGGAGTGTTTTATTTTGAAAAGAAGCCGGATGTTTTATTTTGTGTCTGTGCCCGACTTCCTTTCCAGCACGGGTTAATCTGTGCTGAATTTATCCGCCATGCTCCGGCGTCCAGAAAAAATAGAACTCTTGTGATCAGCTGTGGAGTCCGGCGATCTGCAGAGGAACGGAAAGAAGTCGGTGGGAATTGACACGTTAACTTGAATGGTTACGATCAGCTACGATCGGAGGATACGACCTTTTAGGAGACGATCAGGATGAAGGGGGAGATTGGGGGTCAGGCTCCATCTGCCAGAGATGCAGATTTGGTTCTCCAGCAGGACCTGGGACCTGCCCACAGCGCCAAAACTACCACAAACTGGTTTTCTGAGAATGGTGTGGCTGGGCTTGATGATACCTCAGAGATCCTCCATGGGGGCCAGGATCTGGTCTAGAGAAAGATGATCTAGATCGACTAAGATTTCAAAGTCTAAGAACTTTCTGGTACCACTCACTCCTGGTGGTCCCCCCGACTGTAGACCCAGAACGAGGCCTCCCTCCCTCCCTCCATCTCGCTCTCTGCCCAGAACCCCCTCCTCCATGTTTAATTCACCGCTCCTGCGGCCCTGCCAGCCCTGCCGGGCCCTGGTTTGAGTGTCTCTCTGCTGTAATTTCATCTGATGGAAGACACCGTTTGGAGCGGAGCATCCTGATCCGCTGTCACCGCCATCTGAAGATTCACCCTGCTGTCGTCCTGATCTGACCGCGACAGCTGATCGGGACGACTAATGAGCCGTTTAGCGTCCTCTGTTAGTTCGCCGCTGACGCTCTGAACCCTGACGGCGAAGGAGACGTGGTGTTGTCCAGATATTGAATTGATAGAAGCTGCTCTTCGGGTGATCAGTCATATCAGAACAATACTTGTTTAAAGGCAACGGCTGAAGTTCAGTGTGATGTTCTCTGTGATGCTGTTGTTGCTAGGATACAGACTCAGCATCCTAAGGCACTTGTATTGAATTGGATTGTAACTTCTCCCTCCTCTTCCTCTCCTCTTCCTCAGGGTGGTGGTCCTGGAGAGCCGGCCCACAGACAACCCCACGGCCCTGAGTAACCTCTACATTTTAGCCGGTCACGAGAACAGTTACTGAGACGGCGTGGACGACGACGGCACGCTCCAGACTCTTGACTTCAGGATTCGTCGTCGTAGTTGTCGTCATGGGAACAGTCTGTTTCAAAAGCAGGTTTTTGTTACCGATCGGGATCTACAGGTGGGTTAGAAGAGGAGCGTCTTCAGTCCCGGAATCCGGATTCTTGAGCGGCCTTGCAGCAGCGACTCGCTCACTGATGTAGCAGGAGGCGCAGAGACGATGGCGGCGCCTACGAACTTTGTTACTGACCGTTTTCTCTCTGTACTGTGGACCGAGTTACAAACCTGTTATTTAGAGGTCTTATGCTGCGATCGAGTTAAGATGTCGGAGCTGAAAAATACGTCGCACCAGAGTTACTAGTGTAAGTCGAAAAAAAAAGCGAAAACAAGACGGCTGCGTCTACGAAAGTTAGCCTGAAATTTTTTTTTTTCCGACTAACGCTGGTAACTCGGGTGTGACGTCATTTTCAGCTCCGACTTCCGAAGTAACTCTAGCGCCGCATTATTGTTCTTATTGTTTTAATAATGATTGTCTAAAGTGCCATTAAAGTCGCAGCAGTTCTGTGATCGTATTATTAGCAAAGATGGGAGATCGGCCGTGTTTCCGTAACGCTGAGAGGAGATTTGTAGTCAAACTAATAGATTAGTTTCAACAGAAACCCAGCAGCATTGTGGGTAATTTAAGCGATATTTATTAACCTCATGTTTGGGTATGTTTGATTTACAGACCTTGTTAACCGGCAGTGTCAGCGGATTAACTACCTAGTGTAAAAATCCCGAGCAGCGTTGGGTTCGTTTTTCTGACGTTTTTTTCCCGCTCTCTCTCTCTCTCTTTCTCTCTTTCTCTCTTGCTCGCTCGCTCGCTCTGCTGCGTTCGTAGATATAATGTACATTTCCCTTTTTCTCGACCTTCCTCTTTTATAGACTCTTTTACTCCTCATTATTTGCACCATGTAAGCACTTTTGTACATTTTTTTTATTTAAAGATAAAACGACAAAATAAGGGACGGATGCTCGTTTTTTTTCGTTAACATCTCTGCATTCCCTTGGCAAATGTTTTAATGTCTGCTGTTTTTGTAATAAAAAAAAAACGCTGTTAACAGGACGAAGGGTTGGTTGTTGTCTCTGTGTTTGGATGTCACTCCTCGCCGACGATGATGATGAGTCTCTGAGGGCGGAGAATTAGTTTCCATCATTTCCCCGTTTAGTCTGCCGTTCCTCCGACTTCACTAATTGGTCTCTCGGCGAAAAACACGTCAGCTCTCGAAGACGTCAGCTGTTGGTTTTAAAGCTTTATTTCAAATCCAGATGTGAGAGGATTCATGTCTTCTGAGGACGGAGGACTCCCCCGCTGACACCCACCTGTGTTGTTTACCTGTCTCACTCCTGTTACCTGACGGAGGAGGGTGGAGTCCACACACCCACGCTCACTCGCTCTGTCAGGTGTGATCATCCACGAAAACCTTCCCAAGAGTCCGATCATCCTCCTGCTTTCTCCCTCCCTGTGGAGCTGAAGGTGGAGTCAGCTGTTACTATGGGAACCAGGGATGTTAAAGAGAGATATGTGTGAAGCTGGGGTGTGTACCGGAAGTCGGCTTCAAAATAAAAGCATGTAGAAAAAGCTGGTGTTTCAGTGGAGAGAAAGGAGCCATTGGAGGGCAAAATACTTCAATTTTTGAATTTTAAATTTTGCTATTTTTAATTATTTTTTTATTTATTTTTAAAATTATTTTTATTTTTAGTTTTTTTAACATTATTGTAATAACTGTGAAAGGAGGGCAAAATATTTTCTATAATTTTAATTATTTTTTAACTATTTTTTATTTTCTAATTTTTATCTATTTTTATTATTTTTATCTTTATTTTTTATTTTTTTATTTTTTTTTCTTGTTTTAGTCCATCAGGTTTTACTCTTTCTTTTTACTATTTTATTTTTTATCTTTTATCTCCAGTGTTTCCTAAAAGTAGCTCTTTCCTCATGTCATGTCTCGATGTCAGGCCATGTCTCTTTAACAGTACAGCTTCAGTTCTCACACTGTGTGCGCTTCTGTGTGTGTATGTGTATGTGTAGGTGAGTGAGGTGGGTGGGTGTGTGTTTTTGTGTGGCTCTGTGGGTGGGGTGGTGGTGTTTTATTGTTGTTTTTAGCCCCTGTGAGACACTTTGAGCTACATTTTTAGTCTAAAAAGTGCCACAAAAACAAAGTTGAATTCCTGAACAATGTGATACGAGCTCAAACAAACAAACAAACATGTTATAAAAATGGTTATGGATGGGAATTCACTCAGAAATGTCTTTATCTTGATTTATTGATTCTGAGTTCATGAAGAGCACAACAAATGACACAGGATTGACGTTTGAGAACCGTTCCAAGCTGGTGTTTTATTTTGAAAGGTGAGCCCGGAAGTGTGTGTGTGTTCTCTGTTTACCTTGACCCTGTAGAGGAGCCACTCCTCCTCCTCCTCCTCCTCCTCTTCTTCTTCAGCTCAGAGACACTAAAGTCCGTCCAGCTCGTCGTGTTTGTCTGAAGCTCTCTGACTCCTGAACTTCACACCGACCGACACCTGCAGACTTTTATCCTCACAGTGAGTTTTTATCGCATTTATTCACATTTTTAACGAACAGACAGTCTTTTTTACCGTAATATTTATAACAGAAATATTTAAAATTCTCAGTTTTTATCAGTTAAAGGTATTAGAGGTGACTTTTTTCTGCCTCCACAACAACAGAGACGATTTTACTCACATTAAAAATCTTCCTGCTGCAGATTTTATCAACACTTATTTTAGGTTTATTTCTTCTTTTTTTAAATGTTTTTTCATATTTTTCATCAGTTGTTTTTTAGTGCAGCACTGATTTTCATCCTCTCTCTCTCTCTGATATTTGTTATTCTCTCTCTCTCTCTCTCTCTCTCTCTCTCTGTCTCTCTCTCTCCTTTGGGAAATGAGCGAATTTACTTTGCATTGCAAATGTTTAGTTACGCAATCTAACTGTTCAGAGACACAGACAGGTGTTCTGTGTCCTCTCAGCTATCACATCTGTCCTCGCAGACAGGTTTGGGAGGTCTTTAATTAATTTTATTTTTAATTATTTTAATTTTAACTTTATCTGAGTTTATTTTTAAAGGTTTAGATGGATTTAGGAGTTTTTTTTATGACAGATTTCTGTCCCATCAGCTCCTTATTTTGACTCAAATTGATGCAGAATTACAAAAATGTGTGTCAGGAGCTGCAACAAAATAAGTTTAAAGTCGCATTATTTATTATGAAGAGGGTCTTTAAATCTAAAACAACCACTTTATGGCTGAACTTTGACTCTTATGTGGCTTTATTAAGATTTTAAACCATCAGTTTAATGAATTTTAATGCTAAAAAGATGTAAAATCATGAAAACTTGGATGTTTATCTCAAAGTTTAGACTCTATCTGATCCGTCTATGATTTGGTGAATTGCTCACCTGCAAATTTTACCGTTACTACTTTGGTGCCATCAAAAATAGAGAAAGAAAAATATGACTTATTATCTGTTATTAAGATAAACTGTTTTTAATCTCCTCACTTCTCTATGTCCAATGGTAAAATTTAAAAGTGTTTCTCTGCTGGAAAATATTGATTTTAGTTTAATTTTAAAGGCGTAAACAGTCAAGTCCGGACTTACAACTTTTTATTTAGTATTTGTTGTGTTCATATGTTTTTTTTTTAATTGATTTTACTTTTCTGTTGATGTGTCTTTTAACTGCCCTATAAGGCGACCACAAATAAAATGTATTATTATTTTTATTATTATTATTGTAATTATTAATAAAGCTCTGATTTCCTCTCATATCTCCTCCTCCCTTCGTCTCCTCTGCGCAGAGAAAAGCTCATCCTCCTCACACCTTTCCGAAAAGTGAATTTTTGCCGGTTCACCCTGAAGATGGAGAAGTACGAGAAGATCGGGAAAATCGGCGAGGGTTCGTACGGCGTCGTCTTCAAGTGCAGGAACAAAGACTCGGGTCAGATCGTCGCCATCAAGAAGTTTGTGGAGTCGGAGGACGACCCCATCATCAGGAAGATCGCTCTGAGGGAGATCAGGATGCTCAAGGTGACACAAAACCACCCCGTCTATAAAAATAATGAGACAAACTTTGTCCACAAGGAGGTGCCAAAATCAAAATGAACAGAAAGTTACTTACAGGAGCTTTAATTCTACGCACTCTTAAAGTATAAATCCTGATTTTAGCGCCATTAAATTTGTGTTTTTTCTTTCTTTTTGTGCATCCAGGAGAGAAATGTGAGATTATTTCTGCAGAGAGCTGAAGTCAAAGTGGAAAAAAAGGCTGAAAATCTTTTCTGTGAAAATCTGATTCAGACTTTTGGACAAATAAAGACATTTAAGATTTCATCAGAGCGAGAATAAACCACAAAAACATCGACAAAAATATACCTTTCCTTTAAACCTGCTTATTAAAGGTCTAAACAGATAATAATCAGAGATGCTCGTCTCATGTCAGACCTTTAATTAGTCATGCAGAGGTCAGCTGGACGCCCCGCTCATAAATAGGACAGGATGGGGGCTGGTTGTCGGGGGAACCGCATGTTTATGACCGGCTGTTCACAGTTTGCTGTTTGATGGGAGGAAAAACGAAGACGGTCACTTTGGTCGGCTGGTTTGAGTTAAACTGGGTTTGATGGTTTTTAGATGAAGGTGTGAAGGAAAATAATAATAAAAACTTTATTTATAACGTACTTTTAAAAACAAGAGTTTACAAAGTTCTTTAACAGGCAGGAAAACAAAGAAGATAAAAAACAAGAGAAGACGAAGGGGAAATGACACATGACTGTGAATAAAGAAATAAAATAAAATAAAGATCAGTGAGAGACATAAAAGTTCTGATGAGCTGAGACGACATTAAAATAAAGACATTATAAGAGCTTATGATACTGAGCCGACACAGGAACCAAACCACAAAACCCTGAGACCAAGAGAACGATTATAAAACATGAACAATAAAAGGTTTGAAAGAAGAAAAAATCTAATAAAAGCAAGTCTATAAAAATGAGTTTAAGACGTGATTTAAAAGCAGTAAAATGTTAAAAAGATGATATTTGTGAAAATCAGACTCGTTAAGTAGATTCCTGAGTGACAGCAGGAACTATGAGACCATTAGTGACAGTAAGATCAGTTCTTTTGACTGAATCTTTAGAATTCGTTCATTAAAAGGATTCGTTCAGAAGATTCGTTCACTGAATCAGTCAGTTCTTCAGAGCCCCATCCTGTCGGTTCAGTAGACCAGTGAGTGACACAGCGGCAAGTTCGTTCATTGACCCCTTCCCTCCCTGCTGATTCAGTTCACGTCGTTCACTCAGCAGTTCCGTTCTTTTGAATGAATCGTTCATGAGCAACACAACACTAGAGACCATCATCTCTGGGGTTTAGGGGGAAAAGGATGTTTTTTGGAGTTTGGCGCCCCCTGTGGACAGAGTGAGCCCTCTCTTCTCTTTTATCGTACGTGTTAAAATCGTGTTTTCACGTCTTGCTGTCTTGTAAAAGTGTAAATCATAACAGAAGAAGGCTGTTGGTTCAGCCTGCTGTCAATCATGTGGTCGAACACCCGCCCCCTCTCTCTTTTTCTGTCACACCTTTAATTTCACCGTTTTTTTCTTCTTCTCTTTCTTCTCTGTGTTTTTTGTTTTCTTTGCAGCAACTAAAACACTCCAACCTGGTGAACCTGATCGAGGTCTTTCGCCGTAAACGGAAACTTCACCTTGTGTTCGAATACTGCGACCACACCGTCCTCAACGAGCTGGACCGCCATCCCAGAGGGTGAGTGTCTTAAATCGGGCAGTGACTCCCTAAGCAAGGGGGCATCTAGTGTGTAGGATGTTCTTTCTGGAGATCATAGATGCTGCTTTAATAATCAAGATCCAGGAACACCAGAGCAAATATAAGAGGGACTGAGGGGAAGTGGATCTGGTGAGATGATTCAGAATTTGACATTCATTGTGGAAATCTTGGACGCCACATCCTGCTCAGTTCTGCAGCCTGCGTCCCTGATGGTACGGGGATCCAGACGAGGACTTCTTCAGGGGAAACTTCATATTTTAGACCACATTCTGCACGGCTGTGTAGTAGAAGAGTCCTGAAATCCTCCTCCAGAACCCGGTCTCCTCAGATCCCTCACGTTTTTATTCTCACACTTTTTTCGCCGTCATCTCTTATATTTTGTTTTCCTCGGTCTTTCCCTCGCTCAGCTGTTCCACACTGCAGCTTTGTCGGGTCAGGGACCGTCATCTGTCAGTGTTGCCGTGGAAATGTCTAAATCAAGCCCTGAGACTGGTCATTAATAACAAGCTCCGCCCCCTTCCCCTCCACTTTGTTCTCCGCTCTTTTGAACGTCCAGGAGGCTTCAGGCCAGGACCAGAGGAGGAGAAGGGAGGAGGAGGAGGGAGACCAGACGACGTAAAAGAAAAACACTCACAGTATAAAATGTGGCCTATAGAGTCCAGACAGCTCCCCGCCTGCAAAGCATTCTGGGAGAGCATCACTGTAAACATTCCACAGCGCGCAGGTCAGCTTCCCCGGAGACGAGCGTTGTGCCCCGGACAAAAGCGGAGAGTCCGGTGTGGTGGATGTGGACCGTGGAGATAACACAAAGTACACTGTGTTTAATCCAGAGCAGCCCCACTCAGATTTATGCTCCCATCCTCACACTCTATACACTCTAGATCTATACTGTACAACCAACACAGGAAGACGACCTTAAAGGAATATTCAGGCGAAAATTAAATTAAGGTCAAACACACCGTAACCCCGAGTTAGACACCCCCTCCAGAGATGAATGTTGTCGACCGCTTGCTTCTCTAGTTAAACCAACTTTAGGAACAACCGCAGGATAGTAATACAGAGAGCGAGACCTCAGACCAGTCTATTACAGACTACAGCGGGGTGCCGCAGCTCAAGGAAGAACATTTATGATCATTTCTTCATGGAAATACAATCAGACCGAGACGCTAAGACAGAAGAACTACCACGTCTGTCGAGAAAATGATTAATATGGTGATTATTACTTCAAGGAAATGATAAAGAAATGATCATAAATGTTCTTCCTTGAGCTGCGGCACCCCGCTGTAGTCCGTAATGGACTGGCCTGAGGTCTCCGTACAAACAAGCGTCTGCTGGAAGAGAGTAGGTGAGTTGTGTTTAGTCTCTTTGCTAAAGAAATGAGTCAAAGTTAAAAAGATGTTTGGTGTCTAGTACTATGTCTGTGACCCTATATGTCCTGTTGATGAAGTTAGGTGCTGTTCTGAGCATTATTTGTGGCTATAGAGTGGCGTTTTTACACCAGAATATCCCTTTAAATAGATGTTTTTTACTGATCCAGGACTGAAAGGATAAACAAAGACGTTCGTAAAGACATTTAAAATCTAAAGTTTCTTGTTTGTTTTCAGACGATTTTCTTTGAATGTTTCGTCTTTGTTCTGATAAAGACGAAACATTGGGTCCAGAGAGGTCTCTGATGGTTCTGGATTCTGGTTCTACCTGGTTTCCTTTTTTACATGGTTCAGCTTGAACCTCATTTGTGGATGCAAGTATGAACTGTACTCAGAGATGATGCTTTTAAAGCCCATGTGGTGATTTCCACTCCAGAGTCCTGTCTGCTTTTAATGCCCTGAAGATCAGGACCAAGTCTTGGTTTTGTTCCTTGTCTCTTTTAAAAGGAGTTTTTTTTTAGTCTTTTAATGATATTTTATACTGTAGGTGATGATTCTCTCACTTTATTATTTCCTCTCGATCAGTTAAAATCACTGAGTTTATTGATTTTTCTGTGTCGTCTCTCTCAGAGTCCCGGATCACCTGGTGAAGAGTATCACCTGGCAGACTCTCCAGGCTGTAAACTTCTGTCACAAACAGAACGTGAGTGTCTCTCTCTCTTTGTCTGTTTTTGTGTCTCCTCTCTTCGTCTCTTTCGGCTTGTTTTTGAATTCCTGGCCTCTCCTCCTCCCTCCCTCCTCCGGCTCCCTCCTCACCATCTGTTTTATGGCTCCTTCTTTTTTTTTACACGAATTCCTTCCCCTCGGCTGAGCAGCACGTTAATGGATCACCGAGACACAACAAGAGGAACAGCGAGGGCCCCGGTCTGAGTGAAAAAGCGGCGTTCCTCTCAGAGTCTCTAAACTCTGATGTGTTTTTTTTTTTTAGTGCATTCATCGAGACGTGAAACCTGAGAACATCCTCATCACCAAACATCAGGTCATCAAACTCTGTGACTTCGGCTTCGCCAGGATCCTCAGTAAGACTTTCATGATAAATACCTGTCAGCGCCACCTGGTGGACTCGATGGTCCACTTTAAGGTCCTGAAGTGTCTCAGATGTGTTTCTGTCTCTTGTGTGTCCAGCTGGTCCCTGTGATTACTACACAGACTACGTAGCGACTCGTTGGTACCGGGCCCCTGAGCTGCTGGTGGGGGACACTCAGTACGGCCCCCCGGTGGACGTCTGGGCCGTCGGCTGTGTGTTTGCTGAGCTGCTGTCGGGGATCCCTCTGTGGCCCGGGAAGTCCGACATGGACCAGCTGTACCTGATCCGCAAGACCCTGGGTGAGACAGAACACGACTGAATGGAACAGAACAAAATAGAACAGAACAGAATAGAATCAAATAGATTGGGATATAATAAAAATGAATAGAATAAGATGGAACAAAATAAATTTTAACAGAAAAGAATAGAATAAAAAAGAATAGAGAAAATAGAATAAAGTAGAATAAAATAGGAAAGAATGGAATATAGTAGATTAGAATGGAGCAGAATTAAGTAAATTAGAATAGAATGAAAGAATAGAGAAGAATAAATTAGAACAAAATAGAACAGAATAGAAAAAAATAGAATGAAACAGAATACAATAGAATAAAATGAAATACATTGTGATAAAATAGATCAGAATAGAATAGAAAAAATAGAATAGAGTAGAACAGAATAGAGTAAAATAGATAAGAAAATAGTAGAATGATAGAAAAGAATAAAACAAAATAGAATAGACTCGAATAGAATGAAATACATCATGGTAAAATAGAATAGAATAGAATAGGATAAGATAAAATAGATCAGAATAGAAAAAAATATAATAGAATTCAATGTAACAGAATAAAACAGAACAGAGTGAAATAGATTAGAATAGAGTGGAACGATAGAATAGAATAAAGAAGAATAGAATAGAATACAGTGAAATAGATTAGAAAATAATAGAATGATTGAATAGAAAAGAACAAAGTAAAATAGAATAACAACAAAATAGAATAGAAAAGAACAGAATAGAAGAGAGCAGAGTGAAATAGATAAGAAAAGAATGGAACGATAGAATAGAATAGAATAGAATAGAATAGAATAGTTGGATGGTTGAGTGACTGTAAGAACAAAAGCTTTACCTTCAGCTCCGCCCCCTTTTCACCTCATTGGTCCAGAACAGAACTGTTAAAAACAATTCTCCACTGGTCTTTTTTTAAGTGTTTACAACAAAAACTCTCAGAATAAAACGGTAAAATCGTGATTTACAGTAAAATCCACTCATATCGTGAGATCAGCAGCTTTTCTTTCCCACAGAGAATTTCAGAGACTTTAAGGCGTCCTGATGTTCACTCGTGTGATCTACAGTAAAGACAGCTCAGTATCTGACATTAAAACAACTCTTTAAATCTGAACAGTGAATTAATATGTGTGTGTGTGTCCGTCTCTTCTGCAGGAGACCTGATCCCTCGACATCAGCAGGTTTTCAGCAACAACCAGTTCTTCTGCGGAGTTTCCATCCCAGAACCTCAGGAGAAGGTGAGACACAAAAAAACGCTCCGACCTGACAGCGTCACATACGGGGATCATGTTATTTGGTATAACACATTTAGAAACGGTCACACTTTGGCTTTCTGTGGTATTTTGTTTTCATCCTTGACTCTGTGCAGAAACAATAAAAGTCAAAGTGAAATAAGAAGATAAAAATCAGGTTTAATGTTGGTGATTTTGTCTCCCTGCAGGAACCTCTGGAGCAGAAATATCCAAACTTGTCCCACCAAGCTCTGAGTATCATGAAGGTAAAAAAAAAAAGTGTTTTAGAAATAATTAAAATATCAACGTCTGCAGCCGATCAGATCTCCTCTATCCTCCGGTGAACATTATAAATCCATAAATTTGTAGATTAGTTCAACTTTAACTTCACCGTCTCCTGTCCACGTGGTTCAGGGTTGCCTGAGGATGGACCCCGCGGAGCGCCTGACCTGCGAGCAGCTCCTGCAGCAGCCGTACTTCGACAGTCTGAGGGAGAAGAGCGAGAGTACGTCACGAGAGCAGGAGCGCAACAAGCGGACGCGGTTCCCCCGGAAACACCTGCCGGCAGGGGTAAGAGACGAAACCTGGAGGAGGCGAGCTTTATCAGCCTGTAGGGGGCGCTCTAAGTGATTTGTCCTCACTCTTTCTCTCTTCAGTATCTGCCTCAGCTGACCGGCAGCAGCATCTTCCCCACCGTGGACAACAAGAGATACTACAACAACCTGCGCAAGTTCAACTACCACCTCCCCAACATCTAAGCGCTCTGCTCTCTCAGGACGCCGGGTCGCACGTTTGTTTTCCAACCACCTTTTTGAAGGTTTGATGTCCGTCTATGCACTACCCCCCGCCGTGTCGGTTCATGAATGACGAGTTTGTTTTTTTTACACTTTGAGGTTTTAGAGACAAGGAGTGGCGTGCCGCTCCGCTCGTAGACAGACGGTGAAACTGCCTCGCCTGTTTGCCAAATTGTATTTTTATAAAAAAGACGGACTCTGCAGGAGTGACGGGTTTTTATTCGAGTTTTTAAATTATAAACGTGAGGAGAAACCTTTAAAGCATATTTATTGACACTAGGAGTCAAACATTCCCATATTTAAGAGCAAATCACGACAAAAAGACGACATTTTATTCTTTATTTCTGAAGCTTTGGTGCTAAGGATGTTCACAGCCATCTGTCTGTTTTCACGTTTGTACAAATTTTGCCAAATTTATGTACAGAAAATGATGAACTTTGACATCCTGGGCATGTGGAGTCACATGTAACACCTGAAACGCTGAAAATAAACAACACAAGAGTTCAATTTTTCATGTAAAGTGCTTCTTTCTTGATTTCTCCTCGTACAGTCGGACCGTCCCGCCGCTCAGAACGACCCACGTGTAAATCCAGTTAACCTTCGAGCTTTAAGGATCTACATATTTACTCTGAAGTCGATCCTCCTCACAGTTTCTGACGCTAACGTTCAGTCCAGATCCAGAGCGATTTCCAGCCGAGGGAGAGCCGTCTGCAGACGCTCCACCGTCGTCTCTCTGTCGCTGATCCCGGGAAGATCGCTGAGGAACAAGTACTCCAGATTTCTGAGGAAGGAAAAGAAAAACATTCACGTGTCTAAGGCCCCATCTACACGAATAAGGATATATTTCAAACCGCACATATTTATGTCCGATTAGGCCTCCCTACCACACCAAAACGGGAGTTTGGAGCACTCAAACCGGATAAATCTCAATCCGGAAAAATAACAACAACGATGGCGGACATACAGGGTATTCTTTACGTTTGTTTTGCCCTGTTGGGGCTAATTTCAGCCTTGCAAGTGAACCTTGTTTTATACAATTACATCCACCAGTCAGCCAGCTCACAGACGCGTCTGCTTTGTTATAGCCGCCACACCGTCTCATGGACCCGACGCAATAGCGTAGCTTCCGCAAACAATGCATGACGCATCACGCTGTTACGATTCATCGGCCAATCATGTAGCTTTGTAACTAACACGTGTGGACAGATACATTTATTTAGACAGGAGTACAAAAATATCCTGATAAATAAATATCTATATACGTGTAGTTCGGGCCTAACTTTCTGTTTTTTTCAGCCTGCTGTCAATCATCTGGTTTAATACCCGCCCCTCACAGCGTTTTTACCCAATGAAACAGTTCGACCTGGTCCTGGTGGACTCCTCTGTTTCAGTCTGAATTTAACTTTTGGTTTTATTTCCATTCATATATTTGATTGATCTTTTTACCGTATTTGCAGACTTTAATATAGATGTGTGTGAAATATTTCCGATTTATACTGACAAACTTTCTCTCTCCAGTGTCAGCGTTGCTCCTTCATCTTTTTCACTTTTTCTTTTCTCTTATTTTCACTTTTTTCATGTCGTTTTGGTAACCGAGGCTGTGACAGTATCAAATTTTTTCACCTCATGATTATTGTGGCCATAAAACATGATAAAACGACACGATCAGAATCTTAGACGTCTCAGAGAGCTGTCATGAACTCACGTTATCCCCGCCTATTTTTAGCAGGACATAAATGTGGTATTTTAGCAGCAACATCAAGAGGAAATCAACCATCTTTATCATATCAGTTATAAGTCAAAGATTTGATCGAACAGAAAAGGCGGATAAAGACTTACTTGAGTCTGTGCAGAGCGATGATTCCCTTATCCGTCACATTCCCACAGGACACCACCTCCATCATGTACACACTCTCCTGCAGGTTCTTTATGGAGCTCAGCCTCTCCAGGCAGGTGTCCTCGATGTAGATGCACTTATTGAACTTGATTTCCTCCAAAAACTTCAAACCATCTAAAAAAAAAAAAAAGAAAACACGACAGGTTTGTAATCTGTGCGGACTCTGGCACCAAAGAGAGAGAGAGATCCGGGTTAGTGCGAGGAGCAGCAGACGGGGTCAGAGAGGGTGAAAAACATCCCGCCGCTCACTTGCGTCACTTTTGGATAATCAGTCTGGGAGAGAGACGCACTTTCACCCTCGCCTTTCCTTTCTTGTTAACAAAGAGGGGAATCACTTTCAGGTCGACGGCGGAGGAGGTCAAGCTCACGTTTACTTCATCTAAAATTTACACTCCCTGAACAAAGCTTTAACCTTTGATTTAATGACCGTCTGACCGACAAGATCAGGGTGAAAAAAACACATTTCATTAATCCTCTGAGACCAACATGAGAGGGAGCAGAAACTGAGCGGGGTTTAGGTCTTTGGTGTATCTATTGTAACACCACATTGAAGTTTGATCAGACTGTCGTGGGGTGAGTTTGGTGCAGACTGTGACACTGACCCAGGTGGTCGAACCCTCTGTACATGATGCAGGATTCTGTGGCGTCGATTCCCTGGATCTTGTATCTGCCCAGAGGCCCCGTTGGGATTCCGTTGTAGTCGAAGTGCCAGCGCTCGAAGCCCTGAAACCTGACTTTGGCTCCACATCTCAGCAGCCACTCTGCCGCGGCTCGATCCGGACCGACAGCTTTGATCCTCTCGTAGTCCACCCTGAGAGGAGACCCACAAACACTCAGTGTGGCGCTCATCCCTGACGTAATATCACTTTCTCACCCTTGGTCTACATGGCAGCGTGCCCGCTGCGTCAGTGGGTCAGTTGTTTTAACCTGAGTAATCATCACCAAATGTTTGTTTAACTGCTTATCGATCAGGTAAAATAATATTTTCACATTTTGAAACTCAATATTTGCTGTATTGTCCGCTGAATACGTCATGTTTTTGTCAAACACAGGAAACTAGAACACAGGGGTGAAGATAAGCCGGACAACACACCACAGGACACCACTTTAAATATCTCTTAAAGGGATATTCCGGCGTAAAATAAAGTTACACTGAGTAAGACCCTCCCTCCAGAGATGAATGTTGTCGACCGCTTGCTTCTCTAGTTATACCAACTTTAGTAACGACCGCAGGATAGCAATACAGAGCCATAGTACTAGACACCAAACATCTTTTTAACTTTGACTCATTTCTTTAGCAAAGAGACTAAACACAACTCACCTACTCTCTTCCAGCAGACGCTTGTTTGTAGCGAGACCTCAGGCCAGTCCATTACGGATTACAGCGGGGTGTCGCAGCTCAAGGAAGAACATTTATGATCATTTCCTTGAAGTAACAATCATCCAATCCGTTTTATTTATATCACAATTTAAAACACATTCAAGTTTACTAAAGTGCTGCACAGTAAAATTAAAAGAACAGACACTGCTGTAAAAATCAAGATGAAATAAAGAAATTCAGGTAAAAAAACATTAAAAATGAAATTAAAAAACAAAAGCATAAAAGAAATAAAAGTGATAAAAGGACAAAGATCACTCGACTCTCATGCTGAGGTAAAAGGAATAAAAATGAGTTTTAAGACACGATTTAAGAGTAGAAAGAGTAGAAAGAGTTGGGGATGTTTTAATCTCGATTCGTTCCATAGTTTGGGAGCCACAGAAGAGAAAGCTCGGTCGCCACGGGTTTTTGGAAACTCGAGTTGGAGCTGATCAGCAGACAAAGATTTAAGAGGTCAGTAATCTACACTGCAGTGCTGATCCATTTAAAGATTTAAAAACAATACAATTTTAAAATGAATTATAAAATGGACAGGAAGCCAATGGAGGGACGCCAGAATTGGGGTTATGTGGTCATGTTTTCGTTTACCTGTTGAAAGATGATCAGCAGCATTTTGGACGAACTGTAAGAGTCATTTTCACTGTAGACGCAATAGTTCTTCTGTCTTAGCGTCTCGGTCTGATTGTATTTCCATAAAGAAATGATCATAAATGTTCTTCCTTGAGCTGCGGCACCCCGCTGTAGTCCGTAATGGACTGGCCTGAGGTCTCTGTACAAACAAACAGCTGCTGGAAGAGAGTAGGTGAGTTGTGTTTAGTCTCTTTGCTAAAGAAATGAGTCAAAGTTAAAAAGATGTTTGGTGTCTAGTACTATGTCTGTGACCCTATATGTCCTGTTGATGAATCCATAATTGATTGATCCATGAAAATCCTTAATTTGATTTTACAGAAAGGACTGAATTCACGGTCAATATAGTGCAATATTACAGGTGTGTGTGTTTAAAGGTGTGTGTTGAGGTGTTGTGCTTTGTCATTGTACAGATATTTAACATGTCTCCACAGGCATTAATGTGTCTGCCCTTTAATCCTATGATTACTCTCGTCTTACTTGTTGAAGACTGCATTGAGCCAACCCCAGAACTGTCTGCGGTTCCTCTGACCCACGGCACACCGCACCGCCCTCGATAAAAGCCTCATATTATCAGCTGCGACATAAAGACAACAATTTAAAGTGTAAAAATCTTCATTAGTTTTAATCTTTAACCTTAAATTAATCAGTTTAATTCACTGTGTCACCTACAACACGTGAAAATGAGCTCAAACTGCCCTACCTGTCCTCCAACAGACCTCACTGTTTACATTCAGCACCGTTTCCTCAGACCTCATGACGTAAAGGAAACGTGCCGCCCCATTGGCTGAACGTGTAAGTGGGTGAAGCATAGATATATACGTGTAAACGCTAGATGGATTACGCACGCTGTTAGCCAATGGAGACCGACGTCCGCACTTAGCGGCCATCTTGCTACGGTCAGCTCTCCCACTCCTAACATTCCAGTCTACAGTACATGTAGCATATAAATAACCACAGGTTGATTTATTTTGAACCGATTTTCAAACAAGTTGGTTTGTAACAAACCTCAGAGTTTTAGTTAAAAGGAATTTTTTTCTTGCCACTGTTACTCATGTTAGATGAGATGGTCCAAAACCCATCTTAGGTTGGGTTTTGATAATTCATCAAACAATGAGCGTGGTCTAGACCTGCTCTTTTTCTTTGGAAAGCGTCTTGGAATGACGACTGTTGTGAATTGGTGCTATATGGATAAAATTTGATGATTTGATTTAAATATCTGTCTTGTGTTGCCTTTCTGTATGTTTCTAACAAACCAAAGAGTTTGGAAATCATGTGCAACTTAAGTTATGTTGAATCCAAAGAGCATTTCTGCCTCTTGAACTGATGTAAAATTACTGGGTCAACTTTGTAATATGTACTTGGTCTCACTTACAGAGTCTGTCAGCCAAGTTAGACAGCTGATAAACACAAACACATCCACAAAGACTGTCACTAAATTAATAAATAAAAAACAAAAAATAGGCTGTTATACAAGAAATAGCCATGAAACAGCTGTGTTTCATGATTAACTTTTTTTTCTTCAAGTAAATCTGCATTTTTGATCATGCAGATTACATACCTCCCATCAGCTACCATACAGTGTATCGGAATGGTATACTGGAGTAAGATGGCCGCCGTGTAGCGACATCTAGTCTTTCTTATAGATATCTATGGGGTGAAGTGTCACTGTGGGCGGGGCTTCGAGTCGGCTTTCAGGACAGAGCAGCAGAATGGGGGGCTAACAGCAGCAACAGGAGGACTTTGAGGAGCTGAGGAGGACTTTCTGACAGTTTAACCATGAAGAAGCAGATCTGAGGTGGTTTTTAACGCTGTTATCATGATCCGGACTCTGAGCGCGGTGTCCTTTAGGGCTCCTGGAGCGGCTAAACTGCTAAAGGACATCCGGAGAAGACAGCTGCACAGGTGAGACACAAGTGACAGAGAGGAGGAGGAGGAGGATCAGGGCTGCAGAAGTCTGAGTATACTCATTTAAAATCAGAGAAATCCTGATTTCTTTGGTGTGTTTCTCACTGACTGTGAGCTCAGTTACAGACCAGCCGGTGTCTGCTTTAATGACTTCCAGAGACTCTGCCAACAACCAGATTACACAACATTTCAAGAGTCTGTCTAACCTGATCTACACACCTCACCACATTGTTTTAACACACCAAACACGTGCACATACATAGGCCTACAGAGACAATGAAATGTACAGTCCAGTATTCACTTTTCTGTAACCTTATTTAACCTTTACTTCAATGGGAGTAAAACCGAGTTTAGGGTTAATCATTTATTTTTCTACTTCTAAGTCAAATACTGTCAGTGTTTTATCTCTGTAATCACTTCTAAATAAGACTCCTCCCTTAATCATCCCTTTCATGACTTGTATATTGATTAGGGCCCGACCGATTTATCGGTGAGCCGATCAAATCGGCCAATTTTAGCCCGTTTGAGTCTAATCGGCAATCGGCCAAAACTCGCCGATTTTCGCCGATATTTGCAGAAATAAAACACAGAGCTTAAGATTCGGTTTCACTTTGAAAATGTTCTGCCATTTGAAAAGTGAAACCCGACTTATCCTGTAGATGGTAGTTGAAAACGCTTTTCTGGTTTGAGTTTGATCAGTCGGTCTTCCTGTCGGTGTGAAGAGCAGCAGCCTACAGTATATCTACAGTCGATATCTACAGTATATCGGTCGGGCCCTAATATTGATAGTATACTAATAACAATGTCCAACAATGGTATGAAACACAACATTAGATATAATAAGAGACAGTAAAAACATAAATATGTGACACCATGCCGACTCAGAGCTCAGCAGCATGACTTAGACCTCCATAAACACGCAGACATATTTCATAATGTCATTTTAAAGAGAGAAGTATAACTTTGCATGGCAACAGTGGAGGAGGCTTAAAGAGACCGTAGCGTAATCAAAGCTGAAATGAGAGTTTTCAAAGTCACCTTTTGTAAGTTTAATGAGGACATCTTTGAGCTGCTTCAGAAACATCACAGGGACCAGAAAAAGTCTGAAAATGAGTCCAAAACGTGTTAGAGTGAGCAGACTGTAAAATGTTCAGTATTTACAGGGCAGTAAACGGACACAGAGTCGGATGAAGGTCTTGTTTCTGGAGTCCTGATGTTTGACCTGAGGGCTCAGGATCAAACGTGGAGGATGTGAGCGGGTAAAGACCCACAAAATGTTCAAATAGTTCACAAATTTAAAGGTAAAATGGAAAAACATTTTACTGACAGATCTGTGTTTTTATAAAGTGAGTTTTCGTGTCATTGTAATGTTGGTGCAGCTGTCACTAACTGAGCTGCTGTACAGTAAACACAGACGGTTCATTGTGAGATATCCACAGAACATCAGACAGGAGTTCAGGTTTGATGCTGAAAAGACTCGGTTCTCTGTGATCAGTCTGGAGCTTCAGAAGATGTTCTGCAGGAAACGATCACATCTCTGTTGTTCCTTTATCCAGGATTGTAAAGGTGTAAATCTAATCAGCTGTAGAGTCACTTCATCAGCTTTAATCAGTCTGTGTTGACGTTGTTTTGTCTGACAGACACAGACCCTCATGTTCATGTGGAGAGCTCAGATGTCTCCAGACTGAACGTTCACACCTGCTGTCACCGTTTCCTACGTCTGCTAAACCTGCTCCACCTCCGCTCTCGTTTGCATGATTTCAGACTCGTAGCTGTCGGAGCACGTACAGTCTGACTTTACAAGCTGGAAACTTATTTAGCATTTTTTTATTGAAACCTACACACTGTACTGACTCACTCTGTGTATGCAAATAAAATCATGCTCCAGCTTGTTTTCAATGAAATATCGACTGTATGTTGTAATGTAAGGTTGGTGATTCATGGCAGCTTCTCTGGGATTATATAAGAACTGAGTTTCATTGCAGAATAACAAACATAATAACAGATTAAGGTCTTTTCAGCTTTAAGGAAGAATGTCTGAGCGTGTTTTTACAGGTGTAGGTGGTCAAACCTCAGCGTAAAAGATCATAAAGTGATATTTGTTTTTGCAGAAAGTGTTCCTCTAAACGAAGATGCAGTTTCCATGAGCTGTTTTTGTTTGTTGCTCCCTCCATACGTCGCTTTGCATGTTTCTAATTAGCAGAAATTAAAACAAGATGCTGCCCGGCTGTACCTGAGCTCCTGCTGTGTGTACGAGGACTTTAGGTTTAATATGTTCTCTCAGACCTGAACGTCGTGTTCCTGCAGATTCTCTTTATTTTTCTCAAATGCATCACGATGAGAATTCTCAGAGAACTTCTGCAGAAACGGTTCACTTTAACAAAACCTCCCTAACCGTGAGTGTAAAGGTCTGTTAGCTGCTCATACATACAGTGGAGCTCAGTTGGACGTTGAACCTCTGACCTAAATTTTCTGACCTCTTTCCCTCCTGGTCAGTTATTAATCTTAAATTTGCCTCTAAACTCGCCTGTCCTCTGTTTGTTTTTTTTTGTGTTTTCAGCACGTATGACGTGGCCGTGGTGGGCGCCGGTATCGTGGGTCTGGCCACGGTCAGAGAGCTCATCCTGAGACACCCGTCACTCAGCTTCATCCTGCTGGAGAAGGAAAAGGAGCTCGGTGGGTGGAGATGGAGAGTAAAACAAAGAGAGTCTCATGTTTTGTTTCTCTTTCATTCTTTCTGTTTGCATTTATTCTTGTTAAACCTTCTGCGTTGAATCTTGTTTGTCTTTCTCACCTGGAAGAACTGATCTTCCTGAGCTTCTCCTATCTTTTCTTTTCCTTTTAAAGCACTTTGTATTTTTTTTTTATGTTTTTAAAGGTGCAGCTGAAAAGTTACTTAATTGTAGGTCGATTAAACTTCGACTCTCAGATCACAACACCAGACAGGAACGTTTGAGCAGATCAGTTTCACATCCACATAATAAATAACTGATTTATAAAGTCACGCCAGGTCAAAGGTCAGTTTTTCCTCTATCAGATTAGAGCGAGAACATTTATAAACAGACATATTAACATCATCTGGAGGAAGGATCGAGCTGCAGCTGCTGATTTCACTTTTATTCTGCGTTTAAAGTGATCGATCCTGTAACTACAAAATATTTCAGATTCCTTTTATTTTCTTTTTTTTTTTACTTTTTATTTATTTACAGAACATAAGGGCCTTAATGGGTGATACAGTTGAAATGGAAATATTCTTTTACACATAAATCACAGCCAAATGTCAGACTATTCAAGGTCCATACCTCCATACCCCCTTCTTTTTATGGCTTTCCAAAAGAATCTTCAACAGGTTCCTGTCCTTATGTCGGACTGTTTCTGGGATTTTACTGAGATATAAAACAACAAAAGAAAAATCTAAATCCACCCCTATTATTTTATTGATCTCGGTTGACACCTCCCTCCAAAATGACTGGATCTGACTGGACATGAAAGTGATTAGCCTTAGGTTTTTCCACATTGTTAATTTGTTAATTTAGGGGTTATGAAAAATCTCACCACATTCTTCCAGCCGAACTCTCGGTTGTCGCTTGTGTCTCACATGTTTCTATCTGGGTCTCTTCTGATGTTTGTATTCCTGACTCCGTCTACCATTTTTGTTTAATAGATAACGTCGAATAATTTTTAGAGGCTTGTGTACTTTCGTAAATTCTTGAAACAACTTTTTATGATCTTTCTTTTTATATGCCTCATGAAATATGGACGCTAAATTGTATTCCGTAAAAGTCAAAACAGTGTTGAAAAAGAAGAAAAAGCTCAGTGTTCCCCCTCAGACATCAGCACTTCTTAAATTTAACTTTATCAAACATACAGTTTTCTCCTCTTAGGCTGTAAAAAAAACTGAAAATCTGACATTTAAAGTCATGTTCTAACAGCAGGGCTGCTTTTTAAAAATAAAGATATTTAATGTGAATGATAAAAACTGAGCAGACACTCTGTACACAACTTCAACTACTACTTTATCCAACAAGTAATCCTGAAGCAAACGAGTGATGGTGAATATCCTGAAACGAGTTAATTTGATCTCAAATTGAATCGATGAAAAATCCCCAAAATATCTGATTAATCTGATTTTATTCATCTGTTGATCTTTAAAGAAATCCTGTTTTTTATTATACTGATCTTGAATTTCTTCTCCTCTGTCGTCTTCATCAGCGTTTCACCAGAGCGGACACAACAGCGGGGTCATCCACAGCGGGATCTACTACACGCCGGGGTCTCTGAAGGCTCGTCTGTGCGTGCGCGGAGCGACGTTAGCCTACGAGTACTGCGAGAAGAAAGGGCTGCCGTACAACAGATGTGGAAAGGTCGGCGTCACGTCTGTAACAGGATAATATCACCTACAACAATAACTGTGAAAAAATTATCATGAAATAGTTTTGTCTTCTTGTTTCTTTTTGTGTTTCAGCTCATCGTGGCCGTAGAGCAGGAGGAGATCCCCCGTCTGAAAGCTCTGTACGAGCGCGGCATGAAGAACAAAGTGCGAGACCTCAGCATCGTGGACGCCAAAGGGATCCGAGAGCGAGAGCCGTACTGCAGGGTAAGCGCCTCAGAGACGCCGCTGTGATTCATGCCGGAGAAAAGACGCCGGTGAAAGCCTCGCTCCTGTTTTTCTCTCAGGGTATCATGGCCCTGGACTCTCCTTACACCGGCATCGTGGACTGGAGGATGGTGGCTCTGAGTTACGGCGAAGACTTCAAGGAGGCGGGAGGGACGGTGGTCACTGACTCTGAGGTCACGGATATCTGCATGGTGAAGGAGAGTCCAGCTGGGAGCTCTGAAGGTATGAGACATGATCAGATTCATAATCAAACAAAAACCTTAACAGTCTAAAAAATCCTCCTTATCTTCTCATTTTCAGGAATGACATATCCGATCGCAATCAGAGACGTGAAGGTGAGACACCTGCGAACGTCAGCCTCACACTTCTGAGATTGTGTGCAGGTGTTTAACTTTTTCTCATGATGTTGTTCGGACAGGGAAACGAGGTGCGGTGTCGTTACGTCCTGACCTGTGGGGGGCTGTACTCAGACCGCCTGTCGCAGATTTCTGGGTGTAGTCCAGAACCTCGAATCGTCCCCTTCAGAGGAGATTATCTGGTCCTGAAGCCGGAGAAGCACTACCTGGTCAAAGGAAATATCTACCCTGTAAGTCTGAAGGAGAGGACGTCCTGTTTTCCTTTTTCTAATCGTCTTTTTATCGATTTATTTCTTTAAAAAAAGGAGATTTGTCTAATATCTGTTGGGTCTTTTTAAAACGTCTCTATGTCTGTTCGATTTGTTCCCTCCTAAAGGTCCCTGACCCCCGGTTCCCCTTCCTCGGAGTTCACTTCACCCCGCGCATGGACGGGAGCGTGTGGCTCGGCCCGAACGCCGTCCTCGCCTTTAAGAGGGAAGGTTACAACGTGTACGACTTCAACGCCCGAGACTTTGCCGACGCGCTCTCGTTCAGGTACAACAGATGAAAAAAAAAAACAAACACTGAAGATTTTAACGCGTCCTTCAGTTTCTGCAAAAGTTTGATGAGACGTTTGAGTTTTTGTTTTCTTTATATAAACTAAAATCCACCGTTAGCACTTTGATTATTGTATTTTTAAGGCTGTTTAACATGTTTTAACTTATGAAGATACACTGACTGAGCTCTGTCTGAAACTTTTTTAACTTGATGAAATTGTCAAATTTATGTTCAGAAGTCACTACTGTTAGTTTTGCTATTTTAAAGTATAACAAGGCCGTATGCTCACTGCTTATTCCACTTGATTAACATTGATATTTAGTGATAAAACTGCTTCTAATCAGGTATAAAAATTGGTTCTTTCTCATAGTTTCCAGTCGTCTTCTGTAAATTTATTGAGCGTCTTTATAAAGTAGATTGTGTAAGAGTAAAACAACAAAGTGACCATGTGTAATCTTTGTAATCTTTGTCTCCTGCAGGGGTCTTCAGAAGCTGGTGTTGAAGCACATGACCTACGGGCTTGGAGAGATGTATCGAGGGGTTTTCATTGGTGCACAAGTAAAAATCCTGCAGAAGTACATCCCTGAACTCTCTCTGAGTGACGTCCTCAGGTACGGTGGAGACGAGTCTATTTCAGATTTCAATGTTGTCTCTAACTTTACTGACTTAGACTTAGACTTTGTTCCTGTTGGAACATTGGGCGATGAGTCCCCTCCATTCGCTCCCTTCTTGCTCCATGCTAGCTGACTCCCATCTCGCTCAGGTCTTCCTCGGCTGTTTGTCTCCATGTCTTCTTTGGCCCCCCTCTCCTTGCCACACTTGCCGCTATTTTTCTCTTGGCAGTCGGAGTCCATGTCTGGTCATTCTCTTTCTCCTGTCAGAGACGATGAAGGGTGCTACACCTGCCCTTCTCATCACCTCTTCATTGGTGATGTGGTCTCTCCATGAGATCTTTAAGATGGATCTGAGGCACCGTCGATGGAAGACATCCAACTTGTTGGTGATGCTGGCTGTCTTCGTCTACGTCTCACAGACGTAGGTCGCTGTAGGGATGACCACTGACATATAGAGGCGTAGCTTTGTGGCCATGGTGACGGATTTTGACAACCAGATGTTCTTTGCCAATTCTGGTCTGTACGTCTTTCTCCACATCTCTAGTATTTGAGATGTTGCTTCCGAAGTTCTCGATGTACTCTATGTCGTGTTCGCCGATGGTGAGTGGTGGAAGGTGTTGATGTCGTGTTGCGGTCATGGCCTTGGTCTTTTCTTGGCTCATACGTAGACCGACTTTTGCTCCTCATGCAAGTTGTTTGTCAATTCTTGGAGTGCAACGTGGGCGTGGCTAATGAGCGCTGAATCGTCTGCGAAGTCCAGATCTGCCCCCTTGACGTTGCGGTTTTCCCCGATGACAGTTTTCCTCATCACAAGGTCAACGACTCTCTAACTTTAGTTGTCGTGTTTCTCCGCAGGGGTCCCGCCGGAGTGCGAGCTCAGGCTCTGGACAGAGACGGAAACCTGGTGGACGACTTTGTGTTCGACGGCGGGGTCGGGGACGTTGGCAGTCGAGTTCTTCACGTGCGGAACGCTCCCTCGCCAGCGGCCACCTCCTCCCTCGCCATCGGTGAAATGATCGCAGACGAGGTGGAGAACCGCTTCGCGCTCTAGAGGAACCAAAGCGATGCAGCCTGAGGCGCTGAGACGAACTGTCAGAACCTCAGCACCACTGTCGCCATTTTTACGGGTCACGCCTTAATTTGGAGGGAGACACTTTCTTTATGACCTGTTTTACCTGAGTTTAGCTGTTCCAGGTCCTGCTGTTTGTTTACTCCACCACATTTCAACTCACACTGAATTCTTTGTGCACTTAAAGGAGTGCATGAGAGGAAATGTTCAATAAAACAGACTGAGGTTAAAGTCTGAGGCGGTCGAATAGAAATATACACCAAAATCCTGTTTTAATGGTTCGTTCTGAGTCTGAAGTTTGAGTTTAGCTGAGGGCTTTCCCTGTGGATTCTTGTTTTTTTGATTTATTGGAGTTTTTTTTTTTTGCTGCTGACAGGATGAGAACAGTTTTTTTTCTGTTTTTAAAGTCACTGCAAGACTTTTACTGAACGAAGTTTTAAAAAACAAGTATACTGGAGATGTAGATAAAGAAGTTTGTTGGCCTCAAACATCAAAAATTGTGATATGATTAAATATATTTTCATGTTGAAGCTGCAGGACGCACAGTTTACTATGAAAAAGCAGGTTTTCTGACTTTGTTCGAAACTTTTGGGCATTTTACCTGCCAGAATAACTTTGTCAGGAAATATGAAACTTAAATTATATGGAAAATAGAAAGTCTAATTTTATAACATATTTACATAAATGTAAACGGAGGACTTTGGATGGTTTGTTTTTTATTTGTGTGTGGCTATTTCATATAATTCTGCTTGGATTTGATCGTCATAAGACCTCAAAAGTTTCCTTAAATCTGTTTAGATAATGTTTCCAGAAATGTGGTCAACCCCATACTGTCACTTTTACTCATTATGGATAAATAATTGATTTTCTTGGATGAAGAAAACTGTTTATTGAAAGGCAAACACACCTGTATTCTCTGTGCCAAATATTGTTTAATATATTTCCTCACATTTAAAACAGGTTTTCCTATAATCGTGGAGAATGTCGTTACTGGATAATTATCATGATTATGGTGGTTCAAGTATAAGATCTTATTAGTTTTGACTCTTTTGTGCTTGAAACGTTTTGCCTTTTGTGTCCCTGAGTGGTGCAAAGGTTCCTTTTGTCCACTAGGAGGCAGAATCACAGCAGCAAACATTCATTTTGAGCCTTGATGTAAAAACAAAACGTGTTTAATTTAATGCTTTTGCTTCAAAATGTCGTTTTGTATGTTTTTACTGGAGGTGCATGTGTAAAAATAAATTAAATATATTATTTGATTTTGCTCACCTAATAAAGTGCAGTTTGTTAAGGTTTCTACTGCTCTCTTTTGTAACACTGCACGGTCACAACAGAGAAGTCAACAAGTCACGTTAACCCTTTTTTTAATTGTTGAACATGTTTGTCTTTCATCCACATTTGAGGTTTCCTGTATTTAGTGAAGCAGAAGTCCAGCCCTGATATTTTAACTGTCCAATAAAATGTGAAATTACGCAGTGTGCGTGACTGACAGCGGACGCGCGGCGCAGAGAAGCAGCGGCAGCAGACAGTGGAGGTGGGAATTTCGGCTCGTTTCAGTGAATCGGACCATTTGGCTCCAAAAAAAAAAAAAAAATAGAAGACGTAGTAAAACATTACAAAGTCAACTCTAGTGAAAACAAAATGTTTAGACAGTTGTTTCTTTAAATGATTGTCCAAGGTAAAAGTAAAAAAATAACATTGATAAATAATGGTTCATGGATTAATTAATTCACAGAAAAATTGATTATTTGAGGTGTGCCCAGTTTGACCAATGAACATTTTAAAATCCTGGTGTTCAAAAGGCACTCTCAAATCATATCTATACTCATTTGCAAACTTTCTAATCTGGATACTTCTGCAACAAATTGGCATCTTTAGAAAGAAAAAAAACTAATGTATGTTTAGTAATCTACCAGTTGTTAAAAAAAATACAACTAGTTGATTTCAATATTTTTAACAGCTTAAAGGGATGTTCCGGCGTTAAATTAATTTAGAGTGAAACGCACCGTAACACCGAGTTAGACGCCCCCTCCAGAGATGAATGTTGCCGACCGCTTGCTTCTCTAGTTATACCAACTTTAGTAACGACCGCAGGATAGCAATACAGTGAGCCAAACGCTCAACCAAAACGCCACTCTATAGCCACAAATAATGCTTAGAACAGCACCTAACTTCATCAACAGGACATATAGGGTCACAGCCATAGTACTAGACACCACACATCTGACTCATTTCTTTAGCAAAGAGACTAAACACAACTCACCTACTCTCTTCCAGCAGCTGCTTGTTTGTAGCGAGACCTCAGGCCAGTCCATTACGGACTACAGCGGGGTGACGCAGCTCAAGGAAGAACATTTATGATCATTTCAATTTTATGTTTTTCCTTGAGCTGCGACACTCCACTGTAGTCCGTAATGGACTGGCCTGAGGTCTTGCTACAAACAAGTGGCTGCTGGAAGAGAGTGGGGGGGGGGGGGTTTGTTTAGTCTCTTTGCTAAAGAAATTAGTCAAAGTTAAAAAGATGTTTGGTGGCTAGTACTATGGCTGGGACCCTATATGTCCTGTTGATAAAGGTAAGTGTTGTTCTGAGCATTATTTGTGGCTATAGAGTGGCGTTTTGGTTGAGGTTTGTTATATCCCTGTAACATCATCAAGGATTTCGGGATGGCCAGTCATATTCCAATGTTAAATTATAACTAACTATTTTGATAAACTTCAAAGTTATTACTTTATTAATTATTGTTAGTTGTGGGAGACACGAGCCGGTTCCCGTCCCGTTAAGGTCAAAGAGTCGGTTCAAAGAGCTGACTCGTTCGTGAACGGCCCATCGGCGTAGCAGCAGACAGACAGGCAGCGGAGTTGGTACGAACATCTTCGACTCCACAAACCACCAAACCAAAAACACTTCGGCAGCTCTGCCCACAGACATGCCTCGGACTGGCCGCCGTTTTGGGGGATTTTCGTGATATTTAAGCGCCTCTATATCCGGAGAAGATGACCAGATGCCATGTAAAGAGCGCGGGAGAAAGTGTGCCTTGTTTGGATCTGAACGGGTCTTGTGCCACAACATAAAAACTCATCGAGGCCAGCAGCAGCCTGGAGCACCACTTAGCTTAGCCTGCCTGCTAACGTTACAGGTGTTCAGGCAGCAGATAACCCGACATTACTTGTAGCTGTAGTTAGCTGGCAACGAGCTGAGCTACCATGTTGTGACTTAATCCTGAACTTAATGTGCCTGTTATACGCTTTTAAGCAACCGCCAAGTAGAGAGTATAAGAGTTAGCAGAGCTGTTGTTAGCCGTTAGCTGCCGTTAACCCCCCGTGTTTACAGCAGCTAAAGCTAGCCTCATTAGCCGCCGAGCTAACGAACTTTACAGCTACATGTGCTTGTTTTCTTTGGGAGCTCACTCTCCGCTGCTTCAACTCCACTCGACACCGGACTCTTGGTGTGATTTAGAGGTATCTTTACTATTCTCCAACGGGACGGGTTGACTTTTTTCTTCCTCCACCGTGCCTGCCTGGAGCTGGACTGACCCACCCACAAGGACTATCTTACCCGGGGGCCGATGCTGACAGTTCAGCCCGGATCACGGCAACGAAGCCAGGAGCCGCTACAGCCATGCAGCCCCAGCAGATATACGACTTTTCCAGTGACGAGAACAGTCACAAATGGAGAGGCCTCTTCGTGCAAGCTCTACGGAAGGTAAAAGAACAAAAACATTAAAATTAGAGATGTTAAAGTGCATTTTTAATCAGCTGTTCTCAGACTGGAGAGACTCTGGAGGTTTTACTCAGCATCTCACAACAAACACAAACTTACATGATACCTGTGAAGACTCACAAACCACACTTTACTTATATTATCATTGATATTACTTTAAAATGATCATTATTAGTGTTAATGTGAACCAGGACTGATTTTTAAAGTTAATTCATCATCATCCTGCCTTACTGTTGACACTGTTTATTATGTGGGGTGTGACTGAACTCAGCTCATGAGAGGACATCAGAATAGGTTCAAGAGGACCAGAGGAGATGATATTTTTTACTACATTTTATAGAAAACATAAAAAATTGAAAAGTACATCAGTTCATTACTTTGTCACACAGTACAGTTACATTTAGACATGTTTAACCAGTCATTAACTCGTGATAAATCTCACTTTCTGACTGAGTATGAATGAACAAATGTAGTGAGAGACAAAAACAAAAAGGATTACAGCAAATTCAGAGTTGTTTTTCTCCTGTGCGAGTCTCCAAGGAGGACCAGAGATGATTTTTACAGCATTTTATAGAAAACATCAAAAATTTTAGTCATGACGGAAATAATACATCCATTCAACAGCTTGTCATAAAGCACAGGTCCATTTAGAAATATATAACCAGTCATTAACTTCACTTCAACTTTATTGTCCCAAAAATGCATTAAAGACGATTTAAAGGTTAAAAGAAGGTAAAAAGAAAGCATATGTCAGTCATACCAGTATTTTTGCATGAACAGAGAGCATAAGATAAAATGCAGAAACAAAGTGCAATGTGCGGTTTGTGTACCAATAAAAGACCCCAAGATGAAGCATGATCTATAATCACAATAATAACAATAATAATAATAATATACACCGTCTAATATCAGAAACAGTTATCTCCTCCTGCAGGAATCATTTCAGGCTCTGATAGAATCTGGGATGAAGGAACTTTTATTCCTGTTTTTTGTGGTTGTAGGAACTAGCAACCGATGGTCAAAAGGTAACAAGATTGTATTCTGAGCAGAGAGGAAGGTCACTATGAGACCGAATGGACACAGCTTTTTTAAGAACCTGCTTGTTAAAAATATGATTCAAACTAGTGAACTGCACGCCTGCAATCTTACCTGCCACCTTTACAATCCTGCCCAGGATAAATGTCACTTTGTGTGTGTTTGTGTGTGTCCACAAAAACAACAAGGTTTTCTGCAAATTCAGAGTGATGAACTCTGAGTGATCTTTTAACATCTGATAGAAACTGTGTGATTGTCTGACTGAACTCCTCAAATAAAAAATAGAGAATAAAACCAGCGTAAAAAAAGTAAAAATAACAGATATTATAACAATGTTGAATTTTTGCCTCAATCTGATATTGATACAGATTCATACTTACTGTTTTTATTGTCAGCATTACCTCGTCTCCGCTGTTATAGAATTATTAACCTGTTCCTCTATTTTTGTAATCATCTAGAAAAACAGACATAAAACAAGGAAAACGATAGTTTATAATCTGTGAATTTATTGTTTTTTTTATCATAGACATTTGGTCATGGCTCTGCTGTTTGTCAGTGACACTTTCATGAAGTCACACACACATGCTGGCTCTTGTATGCTGTCATTGCATGCACATATTTATAGTGTTGATAAATTTTCACATTTGTCAATACAGATTTTTTTAAGTGTGTTGATAATATAATCCATCTTCAGTGCAAACATAATCAGAGAAGTACTCATTTGTGAACAAAGTTAGTCATGTACGCTAATGAACCCTCATCCTGCCACATGTGCATCCACATATTCGTCCGAACAGTGCAGATTTACAGCTCTGTTTTCTTGCAGTGCTCACTTGTAAATTAGTTATTATTTAGGATTAAGAGTTACAACTATAACAGGTATTAAATTTACCATCTGGATCCTTGGGTTTGAGTCACTTTAGTGCTCCGTGTTTGTAGCTCCTCAGTCTCAGCTGTATTTCTGTGATATCTATAGACCCACGAGAAGACTGGGAAGCTCGCCCTTAAATACATACCTGACAGTCAGTCTGTTCAGTCCTCGCTGGTTTACAGATCGTGGAGCTGGTGGTGATTTGAAATCCAGCCTTTGGATGATGGAGTCGTATCTCCTCTACTAACAGAAGCTGTGCTGTGGTCACCAGTGTGTGTGTGTGTGTGTGTGTGTGTGCGCTGTGCCAGGCTTGCTGGCAGCTAACTTTGCAGAAGCGTCTTTCTCTAAGGTTCTTTCACGCTGACTACATCTCGCCTCTATATTCTTGTCCTTCACTTTGAAGAGGAGGAAATTCTGCTGGTAATTCACAGACAAAGATCATTGTGTTTAATAACAGTGAGGTGTTTTTCTCTCAGGTGGTGCTGAGGTCGATGTATCTTTGCTGCTGAGTTGTTGGTTTTTGAGTCCTCTGTCGTTGTAATTTTATATTAGAAAAGTTACTTAGTACACCTTTATTAACCCAAACTTAGTGTCATCGCAGTTCTGGTTGATATTTCTTGATTTCTCTGGGTATCAAAAATGCTGCTCGGTCCGACTCCTTCATGTTTTGGTCTGTTATCTTCCGATTTTACACGACGACTTGTACCTCAATGAGAAAACTCGCCACGCTTTAATATCATGAGATCCCGTCTTTGCTTGACTTTGTTTTGTTTTGTTTTACCCACACTAGACATGCTGTTGTGTCTCTCTGCCAGTATGTTGATGCTCTGATTGCTAAATGATGATTATTATTACCGTCACAGTCAAAATCAGGGGGTGTAATTGAAAACTCTTGCTCTTCACTCTTGTAAAGAAGAAACTACATCCCAGTTCATTGGAAGTGAAGATCTTGAATAACTTTAACACTCTGTCAGAAGTCCAGCATCCACCGTCCAGACTTAGTTTCCCAACATTTGTCATCAGTCATAATAAAACCTTTACTATGGAAAGTGTCGTACTGAAACTGTTTCAGCACTCTGACACCTTCACTTGTTGATAATAACCCTGAACCTCTGAATAAAGTGTGTCGATGGTCGTCCTGCGTGGTTGTGGACATGTCCACACAGACTTCTTTAATACATTTCTCGTCCTAGTTCCCCATAGTGACATTTTCCCACCCTACTTTTTGAAGAAGTTGCCTAACTTTGCCGTGTTTTGATATGTTGACATGTCTGTTTCATACTTCTGATGTTTATACTAATAACCATCAGGGTGGTGTTGTTGTTGTGATACCTCCTCCTCCCAGTTCAATAGCAGTAAAGCCGTGCTGGGATTACTGGAAGTCACTGTGTCACTGAATGAGTGGCGTGCGTGTGTGTGTGTGTTTGTGTCGCTGCCAAACTCTTTGATTCGTTCCTCATTCGGTCTGAGAATTTCTCATCTTTGCTGAGTTCTTGAGCAGGAACTGCTGTATGATGCTTTCATGTGAAGTCTCCCTCCCCTTTTTGAAGAACTGCAGCTTTGTTCCTGTAAACCTAATTGAAAGTTCAAGGAAAGGAAATCTTTTAATTTTAATGTCCTTGGTCAGCAGGACTAGTTCCTTTTTAGCCGGCCCTCTCTTACTCTTTTCTTGCATCATCTTGGCTTCTCCCCCTCTCCTCCGTCATCTCCAGGTTTATTTTCTCTTTTCTCAGACTTTCAAACTCATGACAGAGCCGCTCCGGCTTGTTTTGTTTAAACTGAAACCGTTCTCATCGTCGGTCTGAGTCGCAGCATCCTTGTTGTGATATTTGAAGATGCTCAAAGCTCTTCTTTCCTCCTCCATCCTTCAAAGAGACACCGACAGGTTTCTGAGCAGTCCTGCAAACAACAGAGAGGCTGTGCAACATCACGATTTACAGTACGTTGTGCAAGGATAAAGAAAAGTTGACGACCTGATTCTCGAATTTTTTTGAGCTGCATCTGTTCTTGACGACACTGATAAGATTTCAGATATGATCGCACTTCTCCATTTCTAAAGGAAGTTCATAATGTGTCGTTCTTGTACACCACGTCTCACTCTTGAACTCTCCTCATAAGGTGATATGCACCCTCTCCTCTGCAGCGATCAAAACACGTTTTCAAGTTTGTATCCGATCACTGGAAAAACGTGAAACTCAGCTCACTCTCTGGACTGTCAGAGGTCGACATGATGGCGGTGAAACTTTGGTCACCGGTGTTGTCTGTGGAGTAGGGCTGGGCGATAAACTGAAAATTAACCGATACCGAAATTTACGACAATAACCAACGTCATTTTGCCCAAATCGGTTTATTCGGTTTCCCTAGAAATTTTTGTAGGGGGGGGTCGTTGTTACCCCAACTTTCTTGCCGCTCCAGGAGCTATGCTGTTACATTCACATTACGTTACCTGCGTGACTCACGATATATATCGTGTATAAGCTTGAATGTTACCTTTCACGTTGATAGAAGAGGGTCCGACAGGATTTGATGCGTTCCTTGATGATTCACAACAAGTCGGAAATAAAGTTGTGCGTTGTTGTGTTCACAGAGTGCGAGTAGAATCATTAGTGGCGCATTGATTTTAATGATCATGTGACATTTCAGTACCGGCGCACGTAATTTAGCATGTAGGGGGAAACACTGCTGATACATATGAGTCCGAGGAAGAACTATGTGAGATGGAGGACGGTTCAAAAGTTGGAGCGGCTGAAGTAGACAAAGTTAATGTGGGAGGGGGTGAGCAGCTTTTGGAGTAGTTATCGTCCATTTATCGTTATCAAGGTGAACTGATCAATATACCCTGATATTGATTTGAGGCCATATCGCCCAGCCCTACAAACTCCACTTCTACCACTGAGACAGAGTCATCAAGTGAAATAAAATCAGCATTTTTAATCACTTTTCCCTCTGAGACCGTCTAATAAACTTCCTGTAAGTCTCATCTAAAATCACGACACCTGTCCTCCCTGTGTGTTTACATCTGGATAGTAGAGCATCGTCATATTACAACAATGCTGCAGCGCTCCAGCTAAGACACAAATATCAAAAACTTGTTTAACAGACCAGTGACTTAAGTAAACGATCTTATCCAACCTTCAAACTCTGCAGACAATGACCGTGTGAGATGTGAATCAGCCTTTGTGCGCCTCAGAGAGATAAAGTTTGTGTTCGCACCTGTTGAGATGACTTACAATCACACTGGTATCAGTTATAGGCCCATATCAGCTGATAATGCTGGAGTGGTTACCAGGAAAGGCTTTCTTTTATTTCCCTGTATCTGTGCGAGCAGGAAACTTGTCGAGGGTGACGGACTCAGAGTGTGGAGGAAGGATGAACCCAGAAAAGATCCGGTCCACTCTGATCCAGAATCCATGTTTGTCCGTTTGAGATTCAAACCTCTATCAGGCTTAAATAACCCGCACCAATGTTTTTAACTTGGAGTAACCTCTGAGCTGAAGTCATCACACACACAGACACACACACAGACACACACAGAGCGACTACAGTGCAAACCTCACAGCTGATTTTGGAAGAAATACTGAAATAGTGTTTGGTGACAGAAATAGAAGAGAGAAGTTTATTTCCAAAGCATGAAAGATGAATTTCTTCACACCAGAATAACCTCCTGTGTTCAGAGTCATTTTACATTTCTGTAGAAGTTGGTGAACTACCCTTTTTTTTATAGTATCTCCTCAGAATTTAGTTTTTGACGCAGTCGACCTGCTGCTCCTTCCCCTTTGTGGCGGCTGTAGATGAGTGCTCTGTTGATTTCTGTCTCCTCGTTATTATCACGTTTTTCAGTTGAAGTGATAAAAAAAACAAAAAACTGTGCAGATGTTTGTGGAGGAAAGTCTGATCTCCTGTTATCAGAGCTGCCATCTGATCAGAGGAACATTTAAATATGTTTATTGAAGTGGAATACAGCGGGTTTTGACTTGATCGGTTGTCTCATTGTATCGTGTGATACCACATATTCCTCGCCGTGTAGCACGCAGGTGTAACCATCAATAACTCTGCATCTGCATCATAAACTTCGGCACAGTCCGAAAACTTACGACCACACTGTGTTTGTGCGCTAAAGGAGCAAAGATCTTATTATTGAATCCAATTCTAAAGTAAAGCTTTACAAACTGTTCGACAGAGGACATTTTGTCAGGTGATGAGCGATGCCATTGCCAATGATTAACTATCATTAATCTCAAAATTATGACATTATTCATGAAATTTCGTCTTTATTTGCATCAACTTTAATCTTGTAATTTTGTCTTTAATCTCAAAATTTTGCCTTCTTTCACGACTTTAATCATGAAATTTTAACTTTAATCTCAAAGTTTCGACTTTAACCTCGTAATTTTGAGTTTGATCTCAAAATGTTGATTTGTTTCCCAAAATTTCTACTTTATTCTTCTCGACTTTATTCTTGAAATATTGACTTTAATCTCCTAATTTTGAATTAAATCTTGAAAGTGACTTCAATCTCAAAATTTCGATTTAATTAATGAAATTTCTTCTTCATTCATGTCAACTTTAATCTCGAAATTCAAATTTAATCTCATAATTTTAACTTTGATCCAAAAATTTCAAATTATTTCATGAAATTTCGATTTATCCATTTCGATTTTAGTCACAAAACTTTGACTTAATCTTGTCATTTTAACTTTGATCTGAAAATTTCAATTTATTTCACGAAATTTCTACTTTATTCATGTCGACTTTAATCTCGTAATTTTGACTTTAATTCTGAAATTTAGACTTTAATATTGAGATCCAACTTTAATCTCGTTCCTGTAATCATTTTCTTTTCTCTTTATGTGACCCTAATCTTCTTTTGTAGGTCTGCTCGTAGTTTATCTGGATATAAAAAAAGACGTAATATGACAAAAGAGTCAAAGGTGAGGTCTGAAAATATCTTTTTCATGTTTAATAGCCTTTTGTTTGTTTTTTTAATTCTAGATTAAATCAAACAGTCTGACTTCACAGTTCGACATCCACTTGGAAAAAAAGGACAAAATGAAAAAGTTCGATCTGATCCAGAAATGTTGTCGACTTGTAGTTTTTCTATTCTGCTGAAACTTCCTCCTGTCTTATTCTGACATGGACTCATAATGAAGTCGTCACAGCGATCCCTCAGGTTGTTGTTGTGCAGCAGCAGAAACAGAAACAGAACCAGCGTGTGTCTAAATAAAGTCTTTTCTGTCTGTCAGAGACGGTGCAGCAGCAGCAGCAGCGATGATGAATCAGGTGAAACTGAGAGCAGGTGGTGGGACGCCGTGCCGCGGTTTCTTTGTCTCAACTTGTTACACAACTGCCGGAGGGAAAGTCTGCGAGAGACTGACGCAGGAGGGTTTGTTTTGGTTTTGACAGACTGTGACTCGCTGTTTTTCACAGCTGTCCACTCGAGGAGGGGGGGGTGTTTCCTCGTCAGGAGGAAGGGGAGGAGGCGTGTTGGCGGACGGTTTTAGACTGTTGTTGTTTGGAGGTTAAAGTGAACCTGCTGCAGACTCTGAAAACCACGTTACTGTGCTGTAGAAAAATGAATGTTCACACACACATGTAGCCGCCCGTCTCTCCGTCTGCGTTCCTGATGTCCACACTGACATTCACGTCCTCGCTGCGTCTTCATTTCCACGCTATTCTTGATCCCTGCGGCTCAGGCGAGAGCGTCATTCGGCGTCTGACACGCTGGTGTTGCTAGTAACCGAGCGTTCCCCGAGTCTGCTGGAGGAGAGGACGGCCTGAGCTCCGCCGGCTACAGTTTCATTCCTCTGCAGAGGAGCTTCTCGTTCTCTCCATGAAGCACGAGTCAACGTTTAAAGACGGATCAGGTTACAGACGAGCTCTGTCGATCTGCGTTTATGTCGTCTTCGTTATCCGACACAAGAAAGAGATTTTACACGAGAGGACAAAAGTGCAGAGAGTTTCTTATTTCTCTGTTTTATTTAAACTCATCCTAAAGCTCTTGTCAGGTGTCTTATTGTATTTTTGACTGAATACAAGAATTCAGTTTTTTATAAGACAGAAACTGACGATATCTAGACATAGATGCACATAGACTTTAAATACACATGTTTGCATGAGTAAAACCCGGTTTAGACGGAGAAATTTCTGCACAGCAAAGAATAAAAACGTCTAACCGCCCAGAGGAGTCGAGCTGAAAACTGCTGGATGACGTCCAGACTAGTTCAGGTGTTTTAACAGAAAAGGAGTTTTATATATTTACTGTAATTTCTAACAAAGCCTGCATGATCAGCAATAAGTGATGAAACTGTCAAACACTGAAAAACAATAAAAACACGTAGATACGACTCAGTCTCTGTTTCTGAGCACCTGTCTGCAGGTGTGTCAGAAAAAATCAGTTAATGTGGTTTATTGATACTATTATTTGGTTTGTTTATATATAATCATCGTGTTTTGTTCTCTAACTTATCAAAGTTTGTGTCCACAGATAACTGACATTTGTTCAGCGTACTTTAAGAGGTTTTCTGTGACCCAAAATTAAGACGGAGCGATTTACAAATCCATCGCAGCATGAGTTTATCTTCAAGAGACACAACAGGCACCAAAATAACAACCGAGTGGTGTTAGTGTGGAGTGTCGTGATGCACATGTCATGTCTGCGTGTGGCTGTGCAGACGAGTCCAAGAAAAGAGCAGCGGCGAAGGTTTCTGCAGCGCGCCGTCGCATCTGCAGCTTCAGCTCGAAAACACTAACAGGTTCCACTTCCTGTCACAGCGTCTGATGAATTCACACGATCCCCACCCATCCCAGACGAGTATCAAAGTGTGTGAGCATCAGTTGGTCCTCAGATGGAGGGTGTGTGTGTGTGTATGTGTGTGTGTGTGTGTGTGGATGCAGGCGGACAGGCGGGGCTGGGGTCACTGGGTCGGGTCAGACCGGGGTCACAGCCGGGCCACGTGCCGTCGATGGCACGACCACCAGCCATTGTCTTGATGATGTGAATATGAGGGCGGCGAGCCAAATGTCAGAGGGAGGTGTGTGTGTGTTAGCGTGTGTGTTAGTGTGTGTGTGTTAGTGTGTGTGTGTGATTGAGTCATTATTTGTTTGTTTATGGCATGTGTGACACTTTTGTTGTCGCTGTGAAGTTTCTGTTTCTGTGTGAGTCAAAAGCCTTTCTCTGTTTATGTGTCTGCATGTTTGTGTGTGTCTGTGTGTGTGTGCGCTGACTGCCTGCACCATGCATGTGTCGCGTGTGTGTGTGTTTTATGTGTGTGTGTGCCTTTTGTCTCCGAGTTGATCTCTGCCCTGTGGTTCCCCAGACAGTCTGGTTGTAATGGCGGATGATGTCATGGCATGAATCACAAACAGTGACACATGCTCGGGTATAATAACAAGCCCCACCCCCACCTCTCTGCACACACACACACACACACACACACACACACACAAGCCACATTACCTGCAACCTGAGCCCGCTGCTGCAGCCCCGTGTCCACAGCCCGGAGAATAATCAATTGAATTAGAAATGTTAACCCTTTATTAACGCCGGCGTCCAGCTCCTGTTCTCACCTCCACTTTTGACCACCTGGTCCTTCTGTCTGCAGCTGCAACACGTTTCATTCTGCAAATCTAAGAGACGTGCATCTTCTTATGACGCAGTTATTACACACTAGATCTTATATTTTTTGTGTGCATGACAAAAATACTACAGGTTTCAGAATTGCATGTATATAACCGGTTTGGACTTTTCACTTTCACTCGTAAAACCTCAAAAACTCCTCCACGGTTTCCTGTCAGCTCTCATTATTTCTCCGTGTTTGCGTTCAGGGTGATCAGGGTTCGAGTGTTTTGCCTCGTTCACCTCGAGGTTTGAACTTTTGCAGGATGTGATCTGATCTTCAATCTTCAGAAAATGATATTTGCCGCTTTGAGATTCACATTAGCCCCTGTCCTCTTCATCATAGTCCTCGATTATGCGCTCAGGAAAGCAATCAGTGGGCGAGAGCAGGAAGTTGGCTTCACGCTAACACAGAGGAGGTCGAGGCGACACCCTGCGGTGGTCCTCACAGACCTTGACTATGCGGATGATATAAGTCCGCTCTCTGACAACGTGGAACAAGCACAAGAACTGCTGAACAGGGTAGAGCTAGAGTGCGCCAAGGTTGGTCTTAGGCTAAATGTCAAGAAAACTGAGGTCATCACCTACAACATTCCACCAGAACATCAACCTCTGACTACAGCAGGAGGCGCTGTGCTGAAAGAAGTCGAGGACTTCAAATACCTGGGCTCATGGGTCAACTCAACTGAACAAGATCTAGGAAGGCACTTGCATGGAGAGCCCTGAACGGCATGAGCGGTGTATGGAACTCCAACCTCCCCCACCAAATCAAACTCAGCTTCTTCTACGCGACAGTAGAGTCCGTTCTCCTCTATCGCAGTGAACGCTGGACCCTGAAGCCAACCCTGGAGAAATCCCTAGATGGGTGCTACACCAGGATGTTGCGTGCAGTGCTTAACATCAGCAGGAACGAACATGTGACCAACAGAACACTATACGAGGGGATACCGAGGGTGAGCGAGAAGATCGCTGTAAGGAGAAGGAGACAAGCAGGACACTGACAAAGGCATCAGGAACTGTGGGAACCAACACATGGGCATCGGCCAAGAGGACGTCCTACACTAACATACGTGGACAGACTCAAGGAGGACGCAGGAGCTCAGAGTACCAACGAACTGGCGAGATGTATGGAGAATCGGGACGACTGGAAGCGACGATGAAAGGCTCGTCTGAGGACGACCTAGAGATTCAGTTTTGTTTCCACTCACTTCAGGTGTATCAGACAGCTCTTTGTCCTCCTGGTATCAGGATGGGACTGTTTCAAATTGTGCAACCTGGAAAGTTGACTGACGACTCTTTGAATATTTCAGATGGACCTGTTGATCGGTTGGTATTACCTTTTCTAAATAAAATCCATGTCACAGGCTGAGATACGTTTTACTAATGAGAGAAACAACAGTTATGTGATATCGGAGGTGGAGGAAAGGAGGTGGTGTTGGTGTAAAAACCAAACAGGTGGAGCTCAGGATGCAGAAGATGTGACACTGAAACATAAAAGCGCCGTGTCGTCAGCTTTCAAGTTTCTGATGCTGAAGTGGAAAAATGACTCCCACACGCAGGTCGACGTGGTTTTCTTTTCCGTTCCTGTTTGTGGCTTTAAGTTTTCGAAATGTAACCCACCGTTTCTTAGAAATCCAAAATATTTCCACTCTTTCTATGAACTCTGTCCTCATGGAAACAAACAGCAAAGTGAAATTGACAACCTGATGATGCAGCTGGTGTCTTCAGGGTTTGTTCAGATTCATAAATAATTAAAAGTGATCTTTTTAATTTTTATTTTTGTCTTTTTTGTCTGTAACGTTTCAGTAACAGAAACTCAACGCCTGAAATCAGTTGGTTGGAGCTGGTTTGAGATGAATTTCATCTGAAGACAAAAACGAGTAAACGAACAGATTTGTTGAATAATGCATCAAGAATTCATTATCCTGCATGTTTAATGACGTCTTTACCTCGTCCTGAAATTTTCCTGAAATTATCAGGACTTCATGTCTGACAGAAGTGGAGGTCTCTGCTGCTCCACGTACACGCTCATCAATATCTCTCAGTCCGCTGCCGTGATCTGCTCTCCTCTGGGAGTCGACTCTGTGTGGTGGAGAGCGGGGCAGGAGGACGATGGAGGTGGACGCCGGGGAGCGCTGGGACTTCCTGTACACGAGCCTTTCCCTCTTAATGGAGCTGACCCATGAAACTGAACACCTTAACACGCACGGACGGATGTACATGAAAGCATGTACATATGATCGGTATCCCAATCATTGTACTGTCAGCGGCGGCATCCAGGAGACGAGCTGACCAATCGGACTGCCAGCTTTCATTATTTTCACTGTCCACTAATCTCTCCATCAGTCGGCTCGTGTTACTGAAGACTTTAAACGCCTGTCAGATGTTGAGTTGGAGCTTCTGTCAGGGCTGGAGCTCCAGTGAACATCTACTACTGTGTTGTTTTACGGCTCTACTGTCCAGATGTAAACAGACACAGATGTTAGATGACCTTTTATGTTGCTCCATGGTCTGTTTGTGTTTTAAAGTCCCACTCTGATCGTTTTCTCAGTGGTCTTTAAATTGTGATTTTGAAGTTTTTAACCAAAATCTCGTTATCTGTGTCATTTTCAAGGACTTTTCTTCTGCAGAGCTCCAGTAGCTCATTAGTAATTCGCCTCTGAGTTGTGGGCGGAGACAGCGCTGCTCTGCACACTCCTCTTCACACTAGCTTTTAGCCTAACATTGCCGAATTATTAGAAGTAGCAGGTAACATCGCTGCTATTCAGCTCTCGGACACTATTGTCTTTAAGGACATGATGAAAGTTAATATAATTAGCTGTCTGACCAGCGTTGCAATCCGCTAACGCACACACTTGTTTCGTTATTGTCACGATCTATATTTCTCAGTGTCTGGTCTGCATTATAGCGTGGCTCCGGGGGCGGAGCTTGGATTTGTGATGTAGGAAATCTCACTGAATCTGAATCTGCTGTTTGGGTCTGTGAGAGAAATGCAATTTCACACTTAGTTTTCTCATGATACGTCCTGTGGCATCAGAAAAATGAACATGTAGAGACAAGGAAAACTGGATTTTCATCAGATTGATAGATAGATAGATAGATAGATAGATAGATAGAGAACTTTATTAATCCCCGAGGGGAAATTCGGTTGTTGTAGTAGCCGATACAAGCAATACAAGAGAATTACAAAAAATAGATAAAATATACAAGCCTATACAAGACTATACAAGATAATGAATGATACAAGATAATGAATGAGATTGGGTCTGTTAATGGGTCTGCATGTTGGACCAAAGTCTGTGAACATGAGCCACACTCTTAAAACCAACTGTTAGGAACGTACAGACTCTGATCTCTGATTTCAGGGTTGTTCGTTCTGACAGTTATCTGTGCGTTTCATTCCCTCATTGGTTGGCTGGATTTCAAATTTATGCTGAAACGTCAGGATGTGACTCCTGAACAAACTTATGTATCAGCAGATTTCATACTAGAAAAACAGGAGCTGCAGCTTTAAATCAGCTGATCATCAAAATAGCTTTTTTTAAATCAGTCAACCAGCTTCAGCTGCTTTGACTTGTTGGTTTTTCCAGTGAACTTCCACAGAAATGAAACTGGAAAATATCCGCATTAAAAAAGAGTGAATCAAAGATTTTATTTTCTTCTAAAACAAATAAACTTTAAACGTGGATAAAACTTTTCTGACAGTGAACAAACTCATCGAGAGTTCAGGTGTCAAGAAACATAAACAAGACTTTAATGATGTCCCAGAAGGAGGTTAAAGAGGTGACTCCTGTACTGGAAAAAAGAGGATAAATATATATAAATATACCTCTTTTATCTTCTATAGGCAGTCAGTATACAGATAAATACGACATATGAAACGATGAGAAATCTGCATCTCTGATTTGATTGGTTGGCAAATACAGAAACCAACAGACAGACAGTAAAACCTGAATGAAGTCCAACAGGTATGGGTATCAGGATCACAGAAACCTGGTTCAGTGATCGTCATGACAACACAGAAACCACCGTTCACAGACTTTGAGCTGAGTTTCCCCTCTGCTGTTTTTCCACTCTGTCGTTACTTTCGCTTTACTCCAGTCTTCATCTGTAAGAGACCGTGTTTCATCAGGATCAGGTTTCAGTGGTTCTGTAAATACTCCGAGCCGGAGTCATACCTGCACACGGCAGCGCTCTGACAGCAAACGACTCACTCAGAGGATGTTTGAAAGAGTTTTTAGAGTAAGTGGTTCAGAGTCTGGACCGCCCCTGTTTTAAGAATCTTGTTGGTGGTTTTGATGGAAAACCTGAACCCAAAGATGAAGGTGAAGACATCGACTGAAACATTTTCCTCCACAAACGACTTAATTCAGTGTTTTAGCTAAAGGATCAGCTGATTGGGTCGATGGTACTGGAGTTATTCAGTTAAACAGATTATTAATTGTGTGTCATGATGATCCTGAAATGCTCGTTGTTAAGTTAAAGATGTAAATCTCTACTACCTGGATGTAATTGGTGTTGTCTGCAGGCTGCGTCGAGTTAAACTGACAGAAAATACAAATCCTGAAACCTGCTGCTCGCTCTGCTGTCGTTAGAAAACCATAAAAACTTAAATAAATCAAATAAAACCTCAGAAATGTTTCTGCAGAGACTTCATGATAAATCTACTTTGACGTATTTTATCGATATTTTTGAAGTGTCGTCAGATTTGTCACAGACTTCTTTTTTTTCTGGGTGCAGATTTTTTTCTTTTTTTGATCCATTTGTAGATTTTTTTCCAAAAACAAACTCCCTGTCATCAGTCTGTAGGTGATCAGTTATGATTAGGGTTTAAAAATCAGTCCAGTTCAAGTGTTTATTAATGTCAGTGTTGTTTTAGGTCTATAATCAGATTTATCCTCCTGATTTCTTTTGTTGTTTTACGATCAGAGCTCTCAGCCGCCCACTTTAGTTTTGTCACTCAGCATAAATAAGTACACCGCTTTACAGTTGTCAGAAAACCTTTAGTTTCCTTTCAAATTCAACATTTTCTCTGTCAGACTTTACAACAAAATACTCCCCAAAATGTCGACCAAACAAGATCTTTTAAGTTGCATAAAAAAAGTTGCAAAAATGAGTTCAACCCAATCAAAGTTCTGGGAGCAAAGCTAAATTTAAGTTATCAAATCAACCTAATTTTCATCATATAGTTAATAAAATGTTATGTTGAACTCTGCTTTGTCAAAACTTTTGAAATTGTACTTTTGCTCATCTAGATGCTGAATAATACATAACTTTTAATACTGATTTATGCTGGACTCTGTATAACTTGAATTTTATTTGATATCTGTTATCGTTTTTCCTAATCTGACCTTCAGATTTGTGTATTTTTGCTGCTCGGCCTCTCATCCTGACATTGTCGGCACTTGTTGGATGTTGTTGGATGTCGTTGGAGGAGGACGGGGGCCTCTCTGAAACTATTCTGTGAATGGAGTCCAGGGAAACCCCCGTAGTTTCAGCGGGGGTGACTCACAGCTCCTGGTGTCCTGTGGAATTTGGTCAAGTGCCTATTTGTGGTGGAGAGGATAAATCTCACACCGCCGACTTCTGCTTTGACATGTCGTTTTTTTTCCACCGTGCGTTTCTGTTTGAGGGTTATTTATAACCGCCGGGTCTTGTGAGCGTGCATCAAAACAGAAATGACGTGGAGAAACGTGAAGAAGAAGCCGAGCCGCGGCGGTTTCAGATTTTCCAGGGGATTGAAGACAGATTGAGGAGGATGGAGGGAGATAACCGAACCCCTCTCTCTGTTTTTTCATGTTCAAGTTAAACTTGAGACAGCAGTGACATCCTCTGTGAAGTCAGAGCTCAAGAATGCGTTGACCTTTTCACGCTCCTCACATTCCTTAATCCGGGGGCAATGTTTTGTCATCGTGACGCCCCGCTCTGCTGAACGCCGGGCCGGCCGGGGTAATTCCATCACCGGCATGTGAACAGGCCGCGCTTTTGTGAGAGGAGAGTAAATGTTAGGCTGTGTGGATGATCCACCTCTCTCTCTCTCTCTCTCTCTCTCTCTCTCTCTCTCTCTCTCTCTCTCTCTCTCTCTCTCTCTCAGTCTGAGTCTATAATCGTATCTCAACTGACAGCATTCCTGCAGGAGGGCACGGCCCCGATGACGACAACTTTCGGGAGGTTGGAGGGAGGAGGGTGGTGTAAAGGGGGAAGTGTTCTTCCATTTCTACTCGTAAAGCTGACGAGGCCACGCCCACTCCACTGTCTGCACCTAAAAAAACCACTCCTCCTGCCAGGCTGGCTCCTCCCACTTCATAGATTTTATATTTGATTGATTTATAAAAAGATTTTGACTTTATTAGGATGCAAATTCAAAGAAATGACCCTGATCGTTGCCCTTTGCACGCCTGTTCTTGCACGTCAGATTATTGCAGGTTAAAAAATTCGAACCGTGATCAGTCACCGTCTGCTCTCGCCGTTTTGACGTCATTAAACGTGATCTGATGCTGACTGATTCGCCTCGTTCCAGGTGTTACCAAGCAGTAGGAGAACATCACGTGATCAAACCCAAACCCAGAATACAGGATGATGTTTCTCCATCCTGGATCTGGATCTTAATCATCTCTTTTTTATTGTGTTTGACTTCCAGGTGCAGAAGCAGGTCCACCCAAACCTCCAGGCGAAAGAAGACGCCCTGCAGCACATCGAGGAGCTGATCCTGCAGCTGCTCAACATGCTGTGCGTGGCCCAGCCGCGCTCTGTGCAGGACGTGGAGGTAAGACCGCCATCAGAGCGTCCAGATCTGATCATTTCCATCCAGATCGACTCTCAGTAAACAGAAGATATCACTGATTGAATTTTTGTGTGTGAAGCAGCTTTAAGTCATCTGATCGTTCACATCCATCACACTGAGATGTTTCCTCTCCTCAGGAACGGGTCCAGAAGACGTTTCCCCACCCCATCGATAAGTGGGCCATCGCAGACGCTCAGTCAGCCATCGAGAAACGCAAGAGGAGGAACCCTTTACTGCTCCCCGTGGACAAGATCCACCCTCTGCTGAAGGTAAAGACCTCCTCCTCCTCATCATCATGTGAAGTTTACACAGAAGATCAGTCTTACTAATTGTAAGAAGTAAACTTCAAAATATAAGCCACCTGGAGCGCCCCCTTCTGGGTAAAACGTTGATCTGTTTTTGTTTTTCAGGAGGTTCTGGGCTACAAAGTGGACTACCATGTGTCTCTGTACATCGTGGCGGTTCTGGAGTACATATCCGCAGACATCCTGAAACTGGCGGGGAACTACGTGGGCAACATCCGGCACTACGAGATCAGCCAGCAGGACATCAAGGTGTCCATGTGTGCGGACAAGGTGAGCGAGAAAACACGCCAGCATCTGTGAACGCCGCTCAATTTGATGAAACAGGTTCTGACGGGTTTTCCTTGTTTGCGTCCAGGTGTTGATGGACATGTTCGACCAGGAGGAGGACATCGGTTTGATGTCTCAGTGCACCGAGGAGCCGTCGTCCTCCGGGGAGCTCACCTACGACGACCTGGTGAGGCTGGAGATCGCAGAGGAGCGTCAGTACCTGCGGGAGCTGGACCTCATCATCAAAGTGTTCCGCCATCACTTCCTGTCCAACCCCAAAATCTTCGCGCCGCAGGTGAGGAGGCGGCTGAGATGTTCTCGATGTAAAGACTCACAGGAGGAGGAGGTTATAAATATAAGTTTTACAGAGGCAGGGGGACGAAACTCCGTGAGGTGGAGAGAGGACAGAGGTTGAACCTGGGGTTTAATACGTCGCTGTGGTTCTGCATATTTCAGGGTGGGGTCATCTGCGGTGTCTTCTGGGTGAGGAGGAGAAACCTTTGTGAGGCCCAGAGGAGCGCAGAACGTGTAATTATGTGGAGACAGGGACCACATCTGCAGAAATAACCTCTAAATCACGTCTGTTGAAACGCAGCGTAATCTGAAACGATCGGAGCGACGAGGAGCCGAATAATGACGGGACTCCGATCAGACCGGAGCAGCCAATCAGAGCTCAGAACCGTTTCAGGGCCGTCGTCTGCTCCACTAATGAGCTCCTGGTCTAATCAGGCCTGTTGTTGTTTTTTTTAAAGCTCGTTATTACGACGGTTTTTAATTTCTGGGAGCTCTCTGCTCCTCACTGACTCGCTCTTCTATATTCAGAGTTTACCTGGACTGAGGTGACCCCGGTCTGCATGAAGGTTCAGGTTTAGTTAGCAGGTTAGATGTCTGCTTATCTCATGAGGACTAACTTGTTGACCATGTTGAGCATGTGCAGATCTTCAAACGATCTGATTTATTCGTTTTTAAATAGGGACTGACCGAATGGGAAAATCTTGGCCGAAACCGAATATAAGAAAAACTTGGCCGAATAACCAAATAGCCGAATATGATTAATAAATATGTAAATAAATTATGAATTTTTATCACCAAGCAATTTTTGTACAATTGCTGTCATTGCCGTACATTTGTTTCAAAGCTACCTGATTATGGCAAAACCTGGCAAACTTAAATATTAATCACTTTATGTTTGAACCATGAAACATTTATTCAGCTTCAGCACATGACATAACAATGCTATAACAATAACATTCAATAAAATAAAATTAAGTAAATAACATCTTTGCTATAACAATACAAAAAAAGTGCAATTTTCCCTGTAGGATAGCCTAAAGTAAATAAAATAAATAAAATAAAATGCACATATGCAAAATAAATAGAATAAATGCGCTTACATGCATGCATATACGATTGTGCAAACTTTTGTGCAGTGAGTTTCTTGACCTCGTCATGTTTGTCCGTATATTTAGCGCTCATGTGGTTGATTAGCCCCGATGTACTGAAAGTTTTTGCCGTCACACCACCTCGAGACACTTCAGCAGAGCAGAGTTTACAAATTGCCATCCGACCATCTTTCTCTGATATGTCGAAATATTTCCAAACCGCAGACATGCCGGTTGAACGGCTTCGAGCCAAGACAGCTGCACGTATCGTGTGCGTCGTATCAGCATGCCGGCTTGCCTCTTGTCGCGTTCCGATTACGTCATCAACATGCTGCTAAAACAGGGAAAACGGCGCCGTCTGCGTTTTCAGTTTTTGAGAGTTCATACTAGACCCATGTTTATCCACACTATTCTGTGATTTTTTTTCAGCTATAACATCTATTCGGCCGAAAACCAAAAATTCATTTTTAATGCTTTTCGGACGAATATTTTCGGCGCCAAATATTCGGACCCATCCCTATTTTTAAAACTGTAGTGAAAACAGTTTGTCACCTGATCCAGTTTTTCTATCATTCAGGTCTTCATCTCCTCCTGCTGTTTGTCCTGATAAAAACTTAAATGCACAATAATATCAGGATAACTGCAGATATGAAAACCTGTGCTGATGTGTGAAGTCTAGGGCTAAGGCCGCGAAATATTTCTGCAACTATTTATTATTTAGATCGATCCAGATTTTCGACAGGTGGATTCTCTCCGTCCTCTCTCGCCTGTGAATGAACCTCATTTCTGTTTCTGCTGCAGGACGTGGAGGTGATCTTCAGTAACATCCTGGACATCCACGAGCTGACGGTGAAGCTGCTCGGGCTGATCGAGGACGCCGTGGAGATGACGGCGGACGGCAGCCCTCACCCTCTGGTGGGGAGCTGCTTTGAGGACTTAGCAGAGGTATGAAGATCCTCTCGGCATGGAAACGTTCACTTTTATCCTGCCGTGTAGGTCGTAAAATAACGCCCACGTTTCTCCGTGTGGTTACAGGAGCAGGCGTTCGACCCCTACGAGACCCTGTCCCAGGACATCCTCAGCAAAGATTTCCACGAGCACTTCAACAACCTGATGGCGCGGCCCACCGTCGGCCTCTACTTCCAGGTGAGATGTTCAGAGAAGCTCCCAGAACCGTCATCTCCTCCATCGTTTTGTGACATTTCATTCCTCTCTCTCTCTCTCTTGTCCCGTTTTAGCCGTTACTTTTCTCTCCCTCCCTTCCTGTCATTCTCAAACGTGAACTTTCTTATAAAGCAGAAATGTCATAAACCCGCCGAGAGAGAATTTGTTTGTTTTTAATACGACGGTACGAGCAGGTCACGGATGTGTTTGGATTCTTGTTCCTGCGTTTCTCTGAAGTCAACCTGCTGGAATTCCTCCTGATATGGTCGGAGGAGGAGGAGGAGGAGGGCATGTCATGACACATATTCGGCGTCCCGTCTGCGTACGGTTGATTCACTTGTTTTATTTGGACATTCCTCACAAGAATAGCATTGAATTCTGCTCGGCGGGGGTGCAGTTCGGCCGCCTTTGAAGATGAAATATTTGCTGGTGTTTTCTCAGGCTGAAGACCAGCGAGTCCGACTGTTCACATGGAGCAGCATCAGGATTTACAGTATAACAGAGGGGGGTTCTGATTCTGGGCTCGTATTTGAGCATATTCAGGGTCTACAGGTGCAGGAAGATCAGGGACCACAAATCATCCACGTCCTATCTTCTAAATACAGGCGTGACATGAAGCTTTAAGGTCTTTGCGTGTTTACCCTCAAACTAATCTGACCCCAGTTGGATAAACAGCGATGGCACTCTCCTCTGATGACCCACACCCAGTGTTTATTTTCATCCATTCACTGTGTGAGGGCGGGAAAAGGCCACAGGAGTCAGAAAATAACACGACAGCGTTCATCGAAAGTCCTAAAAGTGAACCGGAGAGTCCCTCAGAGTCTGGACTCGAAGCCGACTCTAAAAGCCTCCCTCAGGGTTCAGATTTTATTTTTAATGAAAGTGATTTTTGTTTATCTCTAATAAATATGTTACATAATCGAGGACTGAGGATGTTTCTGCAGGAACCGTAAATCTAAATTTCTGCAGTTAAAGGAGCATTTCGGCTTTTTTCCATCAGCTACAATCGAGTCCGGAGTCGTCGTGGTGCTTTGGAGGCTTTCTGCTTTGTTGGTAGACCTCATTCGTGTGTGTGTGCGGTTGTGTGTGTTTGTGGTTGTGTGTGTGTTAGTGGTGGTCCCAGGGGCAGATGGTGTAATGGTGTCTCTCGCTCCCCCTCTCATCATCCCTCCACCTCACACACCTTTTGATCGTCCTGCTCCTTCCTTCTTTATTTCTGAATTTTTTCTCGTCTTATTTCTCTGGCGTTTATTTATATTTGCTGAAAAGTGGAATCGAACCTCTGTCCGTGTTGTCATCAGCGCTCCAGCTTTCGTCTGGTTTCATGCGCTCCATCCTTCTCGACCCCCTCCTCCCCTCGTTCGGTGGGATAGATGTGTCTGTGGAGCACTCAGCCCCTGCACTCTGCAGCGTCTGGTATTGTGGGTAAATTACATCGCCTTTTAAAAATAGACCAGGCAGCCACACTGCGGGCCATTTTTCTACTGAGGAGGAGGAGGAGGGGGTGAAGAGGAGGAGGAGGACGGTGGCCCAAGGCGCATTTCATGTTGAAAATAAGATGTGAATTAAGACAGCAAAAGAGCGTGACATGGGTTCAAGCAGCTCTGTACCTCTGCGAAATGGGAACATGTTGTCCCCGCCGCCGCCATCGCGTCGTATTCCTGCTGCTCTGAGTGTTTATATTTAGGCTGCCGCCACAGTGACGACTTTTACATGTTGGAGAGTTACAAAACCGCCTTTTACCCACTTTACCTGCTCCGTTTGGACGCTTCAGACGTCCTCTGATGTGGACTAAGATCTCTTTTAGATTTCTCTGGGATTAAATAAAAAATAGAATCATTTTAGCAGGTTAATCCAGAGAGATATTTATTTTTACTTTGATTGTAACTCAGTGTTTAAAGATAATATTGTGGGGAACTAACAGGATAAATACACTTAAAGTCCCTGAGGAGGAGGAGAGAGGAGAGCAGGGAGAGGAGAGCAGGAGGAGGCAGTCGTGAGGCCGCAGCGAGCTCAGGATCGTCTAAAAAGTGAGAGACATTGTTCTGAATCACAGTGAATACAGATCCTGAGGTTATGGAGGATTAGGGCTGGGTGATATGTCCTCAAATCAATATTACGATATATCGATCAGTTTACCTCGATAACGATAAATGGACGATAACTACTCCACAAGCTGCTCACCCCCTCCCACATTAACTTCGTCTACTTCAGCCGCTCCAACTTTCTCTCCGTCCTACATCTCCTCACCTGTCTTTCCCTCTTTGTTACAGACTGGATGGGGTGGAGTCACGTCTCTGATGTAGGACAGCGTCTTAAAGGGACATGAAACCATAGCCTACCTACCTACACACATACACCTAATTTACCGATATGGGCAAAATGACGTCGGTTATTGTCGTAAATTTTAGTATCAGTAATTTGGTTTATCGCCCAGCCCTATCGAAGATGTTATATTTGTAGTTTATCGTGTTGAAAGTTTGACAGACATGTTTTGACGAACAGATAAAGTCGCTGAAGATTCAGAGTTGAAGTGTTTTTAGGTTTCGTTTTCCTGGATGAATGAAGATGGTGTTAAAAGTGGTCCGTCTCTTATGTATCAGATATGCTTGAGCGCCATCTTCTGGGTAAAACGCTGCATTACACTAAAACATGAATCTCCGGTTTTAAAAACAGAGCGGTGTTGTTCGCTCCTCGTGTCGACTCTAACAGGAGCAGAGGATGCTGACGTATCAATAACATGATCTAAACTTAGGTCATTGTCCACCCCCCTCCCCTCCTGCCCATCACCGATCATCAGCCAGCTGATGTCTTATTCTCCACACACACACACACCCCCACCCTGCTGCTGCTGCTGCTGCTGCTGTGGGGTCTGAGTAGTAGGTATTGATTCTGGCTCGTCTATCAGGGGAACAGGAGATTTAAATGGATACTATGACGGCCTCCTCCTCTCCGGTTACCCTGCCGCCGTCCTCACTCCTCCATCACTCCTCTCTCTCTCTTCTGTCTCATGAACAGACTCAAACATACACAGATACTCGTTTCTAATTGGATGTTTTTTTTGTTAATAACTGCTGACTCTGGTTAAAAGAAAAACGTCTTTCTCTCTCTCACAAACTCGTCTTCTCTGCTGACTCTAACCCGTCTCTCTGGATCAGGATTTGGTCCCGTGCCTGCTCTCTGAAGCTGACGTCTGGACTTTTTCCAAAAACTTTGTTCACGTGTAAAAATAGCTCCAGAGTTAAAATCCTGGAATTCCCCTTAAAATGTTATCAGTGCGTGTTTCTATCATCAGTTCATGAGCGAAACACATCAGATCCAAAAGTTTGGGATTGATCACAGGATTAAAAATACGAGTTTCTGCAAAGTGTCTTTTGTTTTTTGTTTTTTTTATTTCATTTCTAATCAATAAGTGTATTTTCTTCTCTTGTCTTGTTTTTTGTTTTTCTTCTTTATTGATGTTTGTTGATCTTTCCCCCTTTCTTGTGCCTGTTTTTAATTTTTATTACTTTTTTTGTTTTGTTGCTATTTTTTTCTTGTTTTCTTTGTTGTTGTTTGAGGAGGTGTATTTTGTTTTTATCTTATTTTTCTTTTTTACACTTTGTTTTTAAAATTTTTGTATAGGATAGTTTTTGTTCTTTTTTTGTTTCTTTTTTGTTGCTTAATTTTTTTAATGATTATATATTTGCTTTTGTTCTTTGTTTTTGTTGTTTTTTTGCTTTTATTTCTTTTTTATTTTATTTTTACTTTTTGTTTGTCTCTAAAGGTGCACTTTTTTTTCTACTGTTTTTTGTGTCATTTGTTTTGATTGTTCATAGGGGTGTTTTTTTTTTCTTGTCTTTTTCCCATTTTTTTGTTTTTTGTATATGACAGTTTTTTGTTCGTTTTTGTATTTTTTGTTTTTTGCTTTATTCTTCTTTCTTCTTTATAGGATTGGCTTTTGTTCTTTCTGTTTTTTGTACCTTGTACACTTTTTATGTTTTTTTTTTTTGTTTGTTTTTGCATTTTTTTTTGCTCTTAATTATTTGAGTGTATTTTATTAATATTTTTTTTAGTAAATGACAGTTTTTTGTTCTTTTTTTTTTTTTTTGCTTTATTCTTTTTTCTTCTTTATAGGATTAGATTTTGTTCTTTCTCTTTCCTCAAACCTTTTCCCTTTTTTAAATGTTTTTTTTTTTTGTACTTTTTTTGCTCTTTATTATTTGAGTGTATTTTGTTCCTTTTTCTTTTTTCTTATTGTTTTATTTCGGGGCTTTTGTGCCTTCAGATTTCCTGTCTGTGGGCTGAATTTAGGTTTGACATTTATTTAGCGATCCTCCATCACACTGAAATAATCTCTGATGTGTTTTTGTGTCTCCAGTCAGTGGCAGAGGGATTCAAAGAAGCGGTCCAGTACGTCCTCCCTCAGCTGATGATGGTCCCAGTTTACCACTGTATGCACTACTTTGAGCTCCTCCAGGTACGTCCTTTCCCTGATCCGTCTTTAGGAGAAAAACTCTTTATGAGTCCGTCATAAGTTTCTCATGAATTTGAGTTCTGCTCAGCCGAGCTTACATTCAGGTTAGGCCTCATTATTTTTAATAGGGAGGTTAACAATGATGCTCTTTATTTCTGTCTCTATTTTTAGCTCCGAAAACGGCTTTCTGGACATGCTGCCGCCTAAAACGGCTGTCCTGGTATTTGGCTGCAGTTTTTAGAAATGAAGTGTGTTTAATTTCCCAGAGCAGACAGTTCAGTCGTTTGTGTGTGTGAGGGGTTGGCTCTCCTTCACGTGAGGATATGAGAGACAAACTGGTTCCATTAGAGATGCAGTAAAGTTGTTAAAAAGTTTTCGTGTCTTTGCAGCAACTTCAGGAGCGCAGCGAAGACCAAGACGACCGTGAATGTCTGAAACAGGCGATCACAGCGCTGCTCAACCTTCAATGTAGCGTGGAGCGCATCTATGCCAAGCACCAGCCCCGCCGTAAACCCGGGTACGTACGCGCCTTCCTCTTCCTCCTCCTTTTGGTGTCTGTTATTTTTCCCGGCTCTAAACTCCGCCCCTCTTCCTCACAGCGAGCCCATGTACCGCCTCTACAGCAGACAAGTTCGTAGCAAACAACTCGCCATCAAACGCATGAACGAGATCCAGAAGAGCATCGACGGCTGGGAGGGCAAAGACATCGGCCAGTGCTGCAGCGAGTTCATCCTGGAGGGGCCGCTCACACGAGCCGGCGCCAAACACGAGAGACACAACTTCCTGTTCGACGGCCTGGTGATCAGCTGCAAGGCCAATCAGAGCTCGCGGCTCCCGGGGTCGGGCAGCGGGGCGGAGTACCGTCTGAAGGAGAAGTTCGTGCTGAGGAAGATCCGCATCGTGGACCGCGAGGAATCGACGGAGCTGCGGCACGCCTTCGAACTGATCGGAAAAGACGAGAACTGCGTGGTTTTCTGCGCGCGGACAGCAGAGGAGAAGGCGGCGTGGATGGCGGCGCTGGTGACCCTGCAGTACCGCTCCACTTTAGACCGTATGTTGGACACCATGCTGCAGCACGAGGAGCAGGCGCATCCTCTAAGACTGCCCTCCCCGGAGGTTTACCGCTTCGCCGTTCAGGACTCCGAGGAGAACATCGTGTTCGAGGACAAGGTCCAGAGCAAAACCGGGATCCCTCTCATCAAGGCCGGCACCGTGGGCAAACTCATCGAGAGGCTCACCTACCACATGTATGCAGGTACGACCCGGACTCTGTCACCCCGACCCGTCTGAGGAGGTTTGTTCTGCAGAGATTCGTTCACTCATACCTGATCTATTCTGTCTGTTTCTAGATCCGAACTTTGTGCGAACATTTCTAACCACGTACCGATCCTTCTGCAAACCACAGGAGCTCCTCACGCTGCTGATAGACAGGTACGCTCAGACCCGAGAGGAAGCCTCAACACACATCTCGTGTCAAATATATCTATCCAAGTATGTCAGAAAGGTTCTTGGTAATGTTTCTGAGATTTCTTTGGGGAATTTTGTTAAGTCTCAATTATTGTTATGTTCTGTTGGGAACTCTTAAGGTCGGGACCAACGCAAATGTACGACGTGAAATTTACGAAATATTCGAATTTTGACGCGCCTGACTCTACACATCAAGCCCGATGGGATTTTGCGACTTTCCAGGGGGGGAAAAAGACACGTCCCGGGTGGAAGCGAGAAGCAACGCTGTGATCGAGTTTGAGTTTACAGTGAAAATACATATGGTATGTTGTATCTGAACAGGTTAGCTTACGAGCTAAAGTTACTTAGCACAGATGGAAGTTAAAACAAAGACGTTTATCAAACTGTTAAAGCACACAAACTATTGTCATATGAGAAATCCGACGCTATGACTCTCTACAAGTCGTCCTTCAGGTCGTTATCTTTGTAATATTTGTGTCTTTTATCAAAAATCACTCTGTTCTCCAACACGTAAATAGTCAGCCGGTCGGCCATGTTGGATATACCGGTGAACCTGATGTCGCAACAACACGAAATCTGATTGGTCAGAAGTGGACACACAGTATGCAAAAGTTAAAAAAATCGGCCGTGATACGAAAAAAATAAATGCCGCAATATCACAGGACGGGAAAATGTCGCTGATGTAAACGCTTGTAGTGACAGGATACAGGGTTCGAAAAAAATATTGAAATAATCGCACGAAAAAAAAAACGCTCCAGGTATGTAAGGACCTTTATTGTGGAAAACCCAAAAGAGGAAGTAGCAAATGTAAGCGGGGATATACATGGAAGCTGTTGTAGTTACTGTGTGCTTTTGGCGGACTGAACTAAAAGTGTCGCTGTCGTTTTCATTTTAGTTTAACAAATTTAATTTTCATTTTAGACTCCAGATCCAAGAAAAAGACAAAACCAGACACAGACTACCGTATTTTTCGCACTATAAGGCGACTTAAAGTCCTTTTGGCTTGTCGGAGCACTGCAGCTACCGTAGCCTCTTGGAGTTATTGACTGTTTTGTTTGGCTTAATGCGCCTTGTAATTCGGTGCGCCTCATGTGTGAAAATAGACATGAATATATGTGTTTATTGATTGATAAAAAACAAACTTGACGGGAGAATGTGCGGCACCTCCACGGCAGCTCTGACCCTGTCGTACGCACAAAAACTGGAGAAACGAGGATCTACGACCCCGACAGTAGAAAGAGGAAATTAAAGGGAATTGATATATTTGCGTGAAATAATAAAAAATTACTCATTTCACAACACACATCATACATTACAGATATATTTGCAAAAACCAAGAAGGAGGAAAAATGTATATTGATGCCCCAGGGAGTGCGCCAGCAAACGCACGTACTTACCGACTCTGGATCGTGTTTTTATTCTGTTTATTTTGATTCCTCAGGATTGAGATCCCCGAACCAGAACCGACTGAAGAGGACCGACAGGCTCTCTGGAACGGCGACCAGCCAATGGCGGCCGAGCTCCAGAGGTTCAGGAAGGAATACGTGCAGCCGGTCCAGCTCAGGTACTGAACCGTCCCATCGGGGGTTGGATCAGGTCTTAACTCTTGAAGGAGAAACCACAGACTCCTCTCCTGGGTCTCTGTCGGTGTCTGACTCTTGGACTCTCTCCTGTTAAGGTCTGGATGTTCTCAGCAGGCCTCAGCTCGTCTTTTGTCCTCAGTTTTTTATCCTTATAAGGAGTTAAAGAGTCGGGAACGGTTTAGTTAAAAACCTGTAAAAACCGAGAGCTTCTCAGCATCAGAGTGAAACGCAGTTTTAGTGAAGAGCTGCTGCAATAAAACCTTTTAAAGTCGCAGAGAGACGCTTAAAGTAGAAGTGACTCATTACAGGTATGAACGTGTGAAACTCAGAGGCGTCGTAAAAACAGAGAATAAGGTTTAACAGGTCTGAAAATAACAACAACATGACTCCTGTCGACAGAAAGAGTCTTTACTGTTTCTGCAGTTTATCTCAAATCAGAGACGAGGGTTCAAAAGGGATCAAACTAGTCCAGATCAGATCCTGGAGTCTGGAAGGTAGAGGTTTGATCCTAAAAATCAGGGTCATCTCATCACAGGAACTTAATGATGCTCAATTCATCAAAAAATTCAGACTTACGATAAGAACTTTTGAAAACTTTGTTGTTCCAGTGAAAAATCAGATTAAGTAAATATCAGGATTGTAAAAAAATATTCAGATTAGTGATTTTTTTTTTAATCTGAAGTATTTTTCATCAAATCTCAAACCTAAATCCCGATTTAAAGCAGGCATGTTATAGATTTTGGCGCCCCCTGTGGTGAAAATAACTGCAGAGTTTTTAGTGAATTTAAGGATCTGTGAAAGTCTGAACCTGGACCAGGGTAGGTTAAACCTGGAAAACAAAAAAAAGAGTTAAAAACAGACTTAGGTTAAAAGTTTGTGTGATTTATCGAAAGGAAAAACATTTCAAAATAAAAGCATTAAAGAAGGTAAAAAGGAAAACACTCAGAATCAGAGTGAGACTTTGAAATATGAGTATCTGAAGTAAATATCAGGACTGTTAAAAAAATATTCAGAGTAATAATGTTTTTTTTCATATTAAGTATTTTTCATCAAATCTCAAACCTTTTGGCGCCCCCTGTGGTGAACATAACTGCAGAGTTTTTAGTGAATTTAGGGATCTGTAAAAGTCTGAACCTGGACCAGGGAAGGATAAACCTGGATATTAAAATAAAGAGTTAAAAACAGACTTAAGTTAAAAGTACTGTTTTGGAATTTAATTTGAAATTGAATTTTTCAAAATAAAAGCATTTAAAGGAGGTCAAAATCCCACTAAAGCTGCTGTTTCTATTTCATGAATAAAAGGAAATCAACTCAGAATCGGTGTCAGACTTTGAGAGACGTGTGTTTGAAGTAAATATTATCATTTTTAAGAGTTAAAAATAAGAGGACAGAGGTTTTAATAGTTTCATTTCTTCTTCTCAGGGTTCTGAACGTTTTCCGTCAGTGGGTCGAACATCATTTCTACGACTTTGAGAACGACCCGGAGCTGAGGAGTCGGTTAGAGGAGTACATCACCAGCAAAATTCAGCTGCGAGGTGAGAAACTTCGAACTCAGCAGACGTCCGAGTGGATCAGATCAAACATGTTTTCTTATAGTTTTACAAACTCGACCCAACAAACGTCGTGGTTTCTCTCTGTTCAGGGAAGTCCATGAGGAAGTGGGTGGAGTCCATCAACAAGATCATCAGGAGGAAACTGCAGACGCAGTCCAACGGCGTCAGTCACAACATCACCTTCGAGAGCCCGCCTCCTCCCATCGAGTGGCACATCTGCAGAGCCGGACAGGTGGACTCCTTCGACCTCATGACGCTCCATCCAATCGAGATCGCCCGCCAGCTGACTCTGCTCGAATCAGAGCTCTACAGGTGAGGCATTCTGGGTAAACAAGGTAGAGGATTCGTGTGTTCTCTGACTCTGGACCAGATCGTCTAACTTCTTACCTTTGACCTTCCTCAGAGCGGTGCGGCCGTCTGAGCTGGTCGGCAGCGTCTGGACCAAAGAGGACAAAGAGAAGAACTCGCCAAACCTGCTCCGCATGATCCGCCACACCACCAACCTCACGCTGTGGTTCGAGAAGTAAGTCCCCGCCTCCAGGTATGAAGAATCAGACATGAAGGTCTCAGGTGTGGCGTCTGTAACCGTGTGGCGGTCTCTCTCAGGTGTATCGTGGAGACCATGAACCTGGAGGAGAGGGTGGCGGTGCTTTCCAGAGTCATCGAGATCCTGCAGGTTTTCCAGGAGCTCAACAACTTCAACGGCGTGCTGGAGGTGGTCAGCGCCATCAACTCTGTCCCGGTCTACAGACTGGACCACACCTTTGAGGCACGTTAAAAACACAAAGTGTTTCATTTGAAGTGAAGCTGCGTAAATCAGGCGAACGCTAACGTGGTGAGACCTTCTCTTCCTCCTCTTCAACAGGCAATACCAGAGAGGAAGAAGAAGATCCTGGAGGAGGCCGTGGACCTGAGCCAGGACCATTTCAAGAAGTACTTGGCGAAACTCAAGTCAATAAACCCGCCCTGTGTGCCTTTCTTTGGTGAGTCCAGTTCGACAGAGTCTCTGATGATCCGGTCTAGAAGTTTTCAGGTTTTAAACGGTTCACGAACTCGTCTTTCTCCTCAGGAATCTATTTAACCAACATCCTGAAGACGGAGGAAGGGAACCCGGACTTCCTCAAACGCCACGGTAAGGAGCTGATCAACTTCAGCAAACGGAGGAAAGTAGCAGAGATCACCGGGGAGATCCAGCAGTACCAGAACCAGCCCTACTGTCTGAAGGTGGAGCACGAGATCAGGGTGAGAGCTCGGGCTTTCAACGCCGTCTGTGTTTGAACGAGTCTTCAGAAACGTGAACTTCTTTGGTTCATTTCCTGTTTGTTTTTATTCGCAGAGGTTTTTCGAGAATTTAAATCCGATGGGCAACAGAACCGAGAAGGAGTTTGCAGACTACCTGTTTGAAATGTCTCAGGATATTGAGCCACGGAACTGCAAACAGCCCCCCAGATTTGTGAGTAACGACCCCAGACTCACCCAGGATCATTGATGGTCGTTTTGGTCGTTTTGATGATAACGTTTGTCGTCTCGTTTCTCCGCCCGCAGCCCAGGAAGACCATGTACACTCTGAAATCCCCGGGGATCCGGCCTGTACGAACGTCTACCTCTGGCACCTTGAAGGGCCACCCCGTCCCCCTGGAGAGAGAGCCGCCTCACAAGATCACCTTCCGGAGCATCGCCGAGACCGAGCCGGAGACGCCGGCGTCGGCCTCGGTCCCCACCTCCCCGAACACGCCGACCCCTCCTCAGTCCGCCTCCTCCGACCTCAGCTCCGTGTTCATGGAGCACGACTACGGCGGTGAGTTTCAACATTGGAGAGTGATTCCTGCGTCAGTTATCGTCTCATGAGGTGTGACATGAAAATAAAGTCGTCATAAAGCGAGAATGAGAAAAAAAGTCGTAGCTTTACAAAAAAAAAGTAAAATTTAAAGGAACAGGTCGTAGTCCGTCAATTTTTACTGACCTCCAAAAATCAGCAGGATGAGATTTTTTATGACATGAAACATGTTGAGGAAAAGATAAGCAAAGACTGCTCTGTCCAGAGGGGGCGCCAAAGTCAACACAAATCAAAAGTTCCTCACAGGAGCTTTAAAAGGGGTTCTAGTGCCCCTAGGGGAACTTTTGAGAACTACAAAAGGCACTTCAGATTTTTTTAAAGCAGCTTTGCTGAATGAGACGTTTGGATTTGATATTTTAAATGTTTGATTTTAAAAGATTTTTACATTTTTTAAGTAAACAAGCTCACCGTGCTTATCTAAGATGACTCTTTGTAAAAGGACTTCCTGTCTTTAAACACACCAGACCCAAAATCCAGACCCTCATCCTCTTTTTTTGACCCTACAGGAAGTAACGCCATATTCGCTCCGGTTCTTCTTCCACCTTCCAGTGAGTTCAGACTCTTCGTATCACGTCTCTTTAAATTTGTGATGATCTGTGGCAGATCTTTAATCTCTCGTCTTTCCCGGTTTTCCTCCTCAGAGTTCCACTCCGTGTCTTGCGGCAGCCTCCACCAGCTCGGCGAGGAGCTGCTGAAGCCTCCTCCTCTGCCGCCACGAAGGAAAGACGCCATGTCTGACGCCAAAGTAAGAGCAGGCGTCTGTTTGATGGTGTAAATTTGATTGACAGTTGAAACGATAGAACACAGTTTGAGTGACACAACATCACGACCTTCTGCGGCGCCGTCTCTGATTCCCGTCTCTCTCTCTCTGTCTCAGCTGAGCTCCAGGTCCGACAGTCCCCCGGCCATCCCTCCCCGGCTGCCCCCGCCTCTGCCCAGGAACCAGCCTCGACCGCCGGTCTACAACGGCCCCCCCATGGACGGCCCCCTGCCCAGCCCTCCTCCCCCGCCACCCCGCGACCCCCTACCCGACACGCCTCCCCCGGTGCCCCAGCGGCCGCCTGAGATCTTCATCAACTACCCCCTCAACCTGCAGCCCTCCCCGGTGGGCCGATACCACTGGGACTTCAGCAGCTCCCCCAGCTCTCCCAACACCCCGCCCAGCACGCCGTCGCCGCGCGTCCCCCGGCGGACCTGCCCGCTCAGCGCCAGCACGAACAGCCTCTGCCCTCTTCCCGTCCCCATCACCGCTCCGCCTGTCCCCCCACGCCACAACTCCAGCCCGCAACTCCCCAAACTCCCACCAAAGACATACAAAAGGGAGCTGCTGCAGCCGCCGCTACAAGGCCTCTCATTGGTGGAGAACGCCGACAGCAGCCAGTGAGCCGGCGTCACTTTTGAACGCCACGAAATGCAAACTAGGACACAGTGGACTGAAGAGCTACTGATCAGAATGAAAGAAGAGTCCCGCTCCACACGCCCACCTGCCCGCCGCCCTTCCGCATCGACCGACCACCTCCCTCCGCTGTGCCTCTCAGGGGATCAGAAGCTCCGCCTTCATCTGAAACCCTCTGTGCCAATGAGAAACCCACACCGGTGTGCCAGCTAACAAACAACAAGGATCTGAGCGTGTGCGTGTCTGTCGAGTACAGAGCGGGGTCGTCTTCTGCTCCTGATGAAAGTTCTCACCCCTCACGCTCTCTACTCACCCCCCCTGCTCGCCCCTCTTTTATTTTGAAGGGGGGGAGGAAGTGGGCGGGGTCCAGGAATTTGTAGCCTCAACTGTCATGCTTTCGTTTCTTTGGGCATTGACGTCACGTGGAGTCCTGCTGCAGCTCACGGTTTCTCCCGCCGCTCTCCTTGTAGCTCTTTGACGGCGTGCGTGCGTGTTTGTGTGCGCGTTTGCGTGCGTGCGTGTGAGCGGCAGACATTTCCATTGACTTTTCTTTCCTACAAACAGTTGCCAAAGTCTTATTTTATGCAGGGGGATAAGGGATTTTCTTTTTTTTTTTTTTTTTTTAAACAAATGTGACGTTGACCGAAGCGGCGCGATAAGGAGACACTGAATCCCCCACCTCGTATCTCTGAACACTGTGACTGTAAAGACGTGACTCAAACTGTCTGACTGTTGGCGTGTCTGAAGACGGGCCTCTCTGCAGCCACTAAACGTTGCCTTTTAAAAAAAAACAAAAATCCAACAGCGGTGACCTCTGACCCCAGCCTCCGAGAGCAAGGCGAGAACACTCCGTTTGCACATCCTGTTCGGGCAAAGTCAGCAGGTTTCGGATGGAAGTCTCCCTCTGCGGAGTCGGAGGAAGGAGTCGGTTTCTTTCTCCTGATGTCTTAAACGATCTGTGTGACGCTGTCTTGACACTGTGCTCTTCATCATCTTCTTCTTCGGTATTCAAACCCAGCACTAGACGCCTGCAGACTCCCACCACAGCCGGGTCAGCTCCCCCTAGTGGCTGCTTGAAATACCTGAAAACACACCCGTGGAAAAAGAGGAACTTTTTAACCAACTTTCTGTCTCTCAGATTTCTTTTTTTTTTCCCGCTTGAAAACATTTAGTTTCACTTTGGAAAGACTGAAATAACCCCTGCATCATGCTCAGATGTGCCTTTTATTTTGTTTTCTACTTTACAGAAATAAGCAAATGGTGTCTAAAATGCTAAAAAATAAAGTTGCCTATGTAATGTTAGAACAAAGCTATACACTATGAAATTGTACATGTTTGTGGATACTGTGTATATATAACATGTATACACTAACTAAATAATTTGTATAAAGTGACAAGGTTTTTCCCCTGTTGTATTGTACTCTCATCCGCATCTGTTCAGTTGAATATTGCCTAATAATCCAATGCTGCTACAGTCGGATAAAAAAAGAAGAAAAAAACGTTAAAAAAAAAGAGAAACAAACAGGTCACTGTCACTAACTTACTTACAGACAATCTCCAGTTGAAACACTGGGAGTATTAACTGAGGAAAGCCATTTTTTTCTCTGCTGCCCCTTAGCTGTTTTAAAGCAATGAAAAAAAAAAGAATACACAGTTCAATATGCCAAGCACTTACCGAGACATGTGCTTCACTTTGTACATCCTACTAATTGCCTTTTCCAAGATTTTTTAAAGCTAACGCGCATTAAACACAGGCTGGAGTCGTATTAGTTGAATATACGCAGACCTATATTCAGTTGTGAGTATTTCAGCTCGGTGAAGAATTGGATGTTTTGTTTTGTTTTCTGATACACACTTTGTGCACTTTAGGCTGTACTGTTGAAGAGCCACAGTTGTTATAGGTCACCTTTGTAAAAAAAAAAATGCAGTGGTCCTATGCAACTGTTCCTACTCACTTTCTACAAGGATGGAGGCAGAAAAGTACGAGTCCACTGTCTCACTTCTACCCCAGTAATGTTTGTAAAAAATCACAGAAACACCCGAGCTGGCTTCAGCAACACTTTGAGATCGCTTGTGCCCTTTTTCCTCCTTCTGATCAAACTAGAAATGAAAAGGAAGATTCTGGAGGATTTTTATGAACATATGAAGTCAAAACACTTCTCTGTCTCTGCTCATGTTCTGTCCTTCTCCCATGTCAGTATTGGCGGGGTTTATTTTGCCAAAATGTAGTTTTCGGTTTGTTTGTTTTTCACCCCAGCGCCTATAGAGTAACAGATTGGTTTTTCCTCTGGTGGCACTGTAACAGCTTGATCCAGCAATCGGTTTATTTGATGGTATGTGGCCTTTTAACTGCTTTGTATTAATGGTCTTGATGAGATTAATAAATCACCCAGTCTTATTTTGTACTGAACCACTCATTCCTCGCCTTGTTTTTGTTCAGCTTTATCATAGAAACTTTCCCATAACTGTCTCTGGAGAAGCAAAAAATATTTTATAACAAGTATTGCCTTTTTAGTCTCCATTTTAATTCTTCCCAGTGTATTATTATTATTATTATTATTATTAATATTAAGAAGAAGAAGAATTAGGCTTAAATGGCAATTGCTAGTTTAAAAAGCAATGCTAGCTTTAATAGGAATTTCTCTAATATCAAATGTATTATTATTATTATTATTATAGATTATAATTATAAAATTACTACTACTACTAATTATTATTATTATTATTATAGTAATCATAATAATAATGAATTTGATATTTGAGAAATTGCTGTTTAAGCTAGCTCCAGTTAGCTTCGGCTAGCATGGACTAAACGGGGAAAAACAGACACTTCTATGATTTAGTGACACATAATTTATCCCCAAAAACATCTTGAATTCACCATGTAATATTTTCTAAATTAGTTCTGTTATTTGAACGATAAATAAACCGTAAAAACGACGATTCAACCGTTTGTAGGTGTAACGCAGGGTTACGTTACCAGACAATTTCATGCCCTGAGCAGTTAGCAAGCAACCCGTGGAGCTAAAAACGGTAGGGCAAACGGATAGTAAAAAGACGTGTATAATTTGAGGGAAAGAAGACAAAATAGGTCCAACGTGGCAACTAAACTGGTAAGTGTTGCAACGGGATAACCGGTTAATTAATTCCTTCAAAACTAAATTACATTAGCCAGTATGCGCAGTAACGTCTGCTAATGTTAGCTTCACTTTAAGCTAGTTAAGCTAGTTTAACATTACCAGGAAGGAAAATATGAATGTTTTATTTGGATAAAATATTCACTTGCTCAATGAAATATATATATTTTTTAATTCTAATTCATAAATATCCTAAATTAAAACTATATTGTTGCTTCCCTTAGCTACAAATTTAAAGTTTGGTAAGTATGTCAGGGATTATTTTAGTTTTGACTATAACCTGCAATCAGAAAAATAATTTAGTGCTTAAATTTATAACTTTTGGTAAAAGAGTCTCAAAGACTTACTACATTAAAATTGTAAATATTTTATCAATACATCAATGATAACGACCAAAAATGTACTAGTAACGCTTTTTTGTTTGTTTCTGTTTTTTGATTGATCGAGAAAAGGAAAACAAAAGATTTTTAAAATATTCAAAAATCAACTTTTATGTCACTAATCTAATTCATTAATTTGAGTGATTAAAAAAACACATATTTCACAGACTCTTCATGTGGTTTTAATGCAGAAATCTTATTTCCAAGTAAATGTAAAGACAGAGAAAATACAGTTTATCCTTTAGTTGCTTGACAAAAATGCAACTACCTCATATTTATTCATAAGTTCTGACACACCTGAGAGTTTGTACCGCACCATCAGAAGATGTTAAATGTTAAAGGTTCAGATTTAACTGAAAGTAGTGAAAATATTTTGTTGTTTCAGTGTTTTTTCCTGTAAGAGCCTCATCATCTCAGTCTCAGCATCACAACATGGCCTCAAATTTTCTTGTAACTTTAAAGTTTTTGTGTGTAACAGTTTTTTTTCACATTCCTCCTGGTGTCCAGATGTCAGGGGTAACTTTAAACTGTGCTGCAGGGTCCCTCGCTGTCCTCGCTGTCGTCCCATAATCCTCCACTGTTTATGGCTGCTGCATGGTTAGCACCTCGCTGCTGAGACAGGCCCGGTCTGCAGAGACGAAACAGGTAAAACAAGATTCATCCATGATTATTAATGTCTGTATTTATTTGTGTTTCAAGCTCCTACCTCAGGTTTTCTCTGCTGGGGTTGAAGTTCTGAAAGCTCTGCCTCGCTGCTCCTTGAATCGGGATGAAACCTTGTCTGTTGTCTCTTTCTGGAGCCGAATCAGCCTGGAGGACATGAAGTGATGTGGACACAGAGAGGAAAACAAAGAGACGCAGTCAGAGCTGTCAGGAAAATGAAGAAGTGTTGATCAGATGATGTGCTGAAGATGATGTTAACATCTGAAGTTGGTGATACGTTAGAAGAAAACTCACCAACTGTTTGGACGGGTCGTCCCAGATGGGCCTGAAGGCACTTTTTGGATGAAGAGGAGGAGACCCCTTCCTCACGCTGACCAGCCTCTTCCCGTAGGAGCTGACAAGGCACGGCGTGGGCCCGTCCGCACACGGCCCCGCGGTGTTCCTCAGAGGAGGGTGTGGGGTCAGTCTGGGGATCTGCCACCTCAAACACACAGTCCTCTCTCTGGGCGCCTCCCTCTGCTGCTGTTGGCTGTACGAGGGTTTCAGCAGCACCGGCACCTGGCTGTCCTCCTCCTCCTCCTCCTCGTCCTCCCCGCTGTTACTGCACATGGTCTCTCTTCGCAGCGTGCCGTCAGGGCTGCAGGAGGTCACTGAGGAGTAGTCGAAGGCCGAGGTGTCGTCCGGGTCAGTCTCGCAGTCCTCCAGGCTGTGGTTGGTGTGAGACGCCCCCAGCTCACTGGTTCCCTTCCCAGTGGGATGGCTGAAGGTGCCCTGACCTGAGTCGCTGTTCTCCCCCCAGCCGGTGGCGTCAGGGGTGAGGAGGGAGCAGTAGGCGTGTCCACAGTCCCGGGCCGGCTGGTTCTGGATCGTCTGGTCTCTCCCGCAGGTCTTCCTCCTCACTGGACTACAGGACCAGCACTCGAGACGCATCGAGTGACAGCCGTCGACTCCGTTAGTGAGGCCGGCGGGCTGCTGGTGGTCTCTGTGAGAGGAAAAGGAGAAGGAGGAGGAGGAGGAGAAGGAGGAGAGTGGTTATGGGTAAGAGACGGGGGAGGAGCTTTACTTTGACATGGACTAGACAGCACCAACCTTCTGACAGTTAAGATGGTTAAATATTCACAAAAACTGAATTTAATGGTTCTAAATCACTCATGAACTCGCAGTAGAAATCTGTCCATCTGCTGATTTCTTTCTTGCTGTTCTGTCTGCAGCCAGCAGAGGGCGACCCTCACCTGTGAGCTGCAGAGCTGGACTCCTGCTGACCCTCTCTGGGCTGCTGGTTCCTCCTACAACAGTGAGCAGACGGTCCAGCAGCTGCTGCATCCGAGCAGCTGCTGAGAACAGAAATAGAGTTTCATCTTCGTTCGCTTATGATGACAAATATCTGATCTGGTGTTAGAGACGTTTAAGATCGTCTGTGTTTCCTGACCTTTGACCTGCGCCCCCCTCCTCCCCCCCCCATCGGACGCCCTCCTCCAGGATGACGTGACAGCGAGATAAAATGCTCCTCAGCGCTCGCTCGGTCCCCAGCAGGAGGCTGCAGTCCGGATGCTCTTTACTCGTCCACTGCAACAAGTTCTGGAGAAGGAGAAGACGGAGATTCAGTCTGAGCTCCTCAGAAGTTCAGAGAGATCCAGATCAGATCTTTAAATATCTTATAATCCTGACATCTGCTCTCATGAACGAAGAAGAAAAGCAGCAAATCTTCATTTTAAAGCAGCTGGACCGGACTGAACTCTGATCAGTTTTACTGGACAGAGTTTAGTCCTCTCTAAAATCCTCTCTAAATCCACCCTGATGGTGTTTCCTCAGAGTTGGACATCAGGCTGCTGACTCACCTGGATGTGACTCAGGTAGCTGTGAACCCGAGAGACAGGAGCCAACAGCAGAGAGAGCAGCTTCATTTCCTCTCTCTCCATCTGTCCGCTCTAAACACAGAAAACAGAAAACACTCTTCATCATGATTCACAGACTCAAGGACATTTTTAAACTTCAGACTTTATCTGTATTAACCCTTTAAAAAACAGCTGTTCCTTCACTCTCTCATACCTGCGTTTTGCTGCTTTTCTCTGAATGATTCAGTCGGTTAAACTCCAGCGAGAGGAAAGAAGCCAAGGTCGTCGTGTATCCAACATACATGTCTGAAAACGCCGTCTGGAAACATCAAAAACACGTTTTCATCTCCTTCACGATCAGTCTCCTCTCTCTCCTGTGTTTGTGTTTTTTAGAGCGTCCACTCACATCGTTCTGCCCGATCAGCTGCACCAGGATGTCTCCGACCAGAGATTTCCAGTGTTCAGCGGAGAGTCGCTCCTGCAGCGTGTTTCTGAAGAGCAGATGTCGCTGTAGCAGCTGCTCCACGAACTTCAGGTAGGTCTGACTGCACATCGACACAAACAAAGTCAACAAAAAGTCAACAAAAACATCCAGATCCATTCATGTCAGTGACTCTGAGACTTACTGCGGCTCCACGCTCATCTGGTGAGGCGGCAGATTCTTGTACCGATCGTAGAGCTGGTTCAGAGTCGACACGTACTCCCACTCAGAGTGAAGGAGCTGCATCGCCACCTGATGTCGTGCGTCTATTCACAAAAACAAAAACAAACAAACTATGATGTTTGTATTTAAGTTAATCAGCTGTAAACAGACAGGTAACCCCCTCCTCACCTGTGCCCTCACTCAGTCCTGCTTTCAGTCCCTGCAGGAAACAGTGCAGCAGCAGTTTTCCTCTGGACAGACAGGCGGTCGAAGCGGACGCACACCCGCTCGGATTCTGCTCACACGGCGGCTCTGCGGGATCGCCGCTGTAAACAGACGGTTAAAAGTTCTTTTGCATGTTTACAACCTGATGACTTCTCTTAGCACTCATACAGACATGTTCAGTCTTCATTTCCAGCCTGAGGTCAGACATGAGTAGAAAGATGCTGATTTGTTCAAACACAAAGAATATCCAGATCACAGGTGACTTTTTCCACCTTTACCTGTCTCTCTGTTTGCACGTGGAGCTCTTTCCGTCCTGCAGAGGTCTCTGTTTGTTGCTGTACAGCTGTAAGATCTGACACTGCATCACTCCGAGCTCCTCCTGCAGGAAAACCGGACTTTAACGTCACTTAAACTCAGAGAGATTCATCGTTTTTTCATGCAAAAGGAAGTTCCTCTCAGTTTAAGTGTTTCAGAAAAAGTGCATAAACATAAAAACTGTTCTGTTGATTTAAGAAGATCTTGTCTCTGAACACTTGGTTCCTCTCACCCTCAGGGACTCCACCAGAGTCTCCAGACGATGAGCTTTCTTCTGGCAGCTCCTCCTGTTCTCCTCCAGCTCCTCCCTCAGGTACGTGTCTCCATGTTGGATCTGACTGAGCTCCAGGAGAGCGCTGGTGAAGCCCGTCTTCAGCTCCGACACCATGCATTGTAGCTGAAAACACAAGGACAAATAGAGGTCAGAAATCCTCGCCGATACTGAGGGACTGAAACTTTATTTATCTACCATGAGCTGCAGGATCTGAACCTGAGGTGTACTGTCTCTTTAACAGAACAGGTACGGTGATGAGGAATACCTTTGAGATCTCAGTGACGAGCTCGGCCTCTTGAGGCTTCATGACCTGCAGGAACAGACACAAACAAAGCAGTTTGCAAACACTCTGATGGTAATGTGCACGAATTTCTGCAGCCTGCATGACCTGAAGGAGAGACAGAAAAGAGCGTCCACTGAGAACAGAGCGAGCTTTCTTTTGTGTGGGATTCACTCTGCCCTTTACAACATGAGATAGAGTTGCATTCACACAAAAGAGACAAAAAAGGGACGTCAGCCTCTTCTCTTCCCACAAAGTGAAACTTTAACCTCTTCTTAGTCCTCCCGAGTAACTGAATATTTGCGAAGAGTTCAACTTATTTTGGTTTTAATCACATTTCTTATATTTCTCAAACATGTAAATCTATAAAAGGAGCTGGAATAACATGTCTGAACCTGGTTAAATCACTCCTCTGTTTGTTTGAGGTACCTGCTCAGATGTTGCCCCTGCCAGCAGCCCCTCTGCTAAGGAAGTGGCGAGCTCGCCAAAGAGCTCAGCCCTGCAGGGGGAAACGGCTGCAGGAGCCAAGATCGCTCCTTATAGGTCTGCTGACAGAAGGACAGGCAGCAGAAATAAATAAATAAATAAAAGTACAGTGTAATTTATCCTTAATTTTGATGCAAATACATATTTAAATAAAAATACCTCCAAACAATCTAATCCTAAGACATTTTTGCTTTACTATTTGGAGTTAAACCATGGAGAAATGACATTTCAGTCGCAGATTGAAAGACCCTGATGAACATGCTCACCTGTAAAATGATCCTATACTTATTTTAAATGACTGTTTCCCTCAGGAGGGTTAAATATTTTAGAGAAAAACACAAAAACAGAGAGCTGAAATTTACTAAATCTGTCTGTAAAAGCAGCTCTTACTCACTCTAGTCAAAGCTCCTCAGTGTTTCCTCTGCAGACATCTGAAAACAAAAATAATTATTCCAGTAAAATAAATGACTCTTGTTTCTTCTCCTCGTCCTCCAGTTTTCCTCTCGTGGTAAAAATAAACGTGTTTTCAGTCATTTGTGGCGTCTGAAGGCGGTCGTCTCGTGCTGCTCTGTGTGCTGCTCCGTGCAAACAGCAGATGTCCCGCGTGACGCTCAGAGAGCAGCTCTGTGATTTTCCCTGTTTACTGAGTCAGGTACAACATGGATCCTACAAACACCTCAATATGAACGCTGCACTGAAGGTTAATTACGGTTTAGAGTCACAGCTCTGTAAATATTTAATTACATTTTATTTTTCACCATGACACTTTTAGGCTTCTTTAGCAGTTTAGATTTACCCTATTGGAATACTCAAACTAAATGTTGATGGTACGGTGGCCCTGAAGGTCAACTGCAAAAACATTTAAATCAATGTAACAAATACTTAAGTGCACAAATATACAATTAAACACTAAAATCATTGTACTAAATCACAAAGTGTTTAATAAAATTTTTCTCTACAGAATACAAAGCTTATTTATGAAACACAGTCAGGTTAGAAAAGGTAAAAAAAATTACAAATGAAAAACTTTTTATAAAACTCAAAAATTAGAGGTGAAATTAAAATATTTGACAAAACACAAACTATTCAGAAAGACAAACTATTAAACAAAATGCATCAAAAACTTAAAACACCAAAATTATTTAAAAAATAAAATCATAAAATATTTTCACAGAAAAAAAAACGTTTCATGACAAAAAAAAAACCTTTGATGACAAAAACATTTTATTTTTTTTTGCAGTTGCTCTTCAGGGCCACCATACAACAGACTTGTTTGGTTTTAAAAGTCATTCAGGGATAACGGTTTTAACATGGGTGTGATTATGACAATGAAAGCCGCTCAAATACGTTTATTAGCCGTTCAGATTTTTAAGTTGTATAAAACTGTTTGTAAAGAGGTCCGATATCATCTTAATTCAAATAAACCTAAAGTTATGGATGTTTAAAACAAATGATATGAACGTGTTTTAAAATAAATATCGTTCAAGTTTTTGAAAACACAAAACAAACCGTCTGTGTCTCTCTAAAGCTCTAAAAATGATCAAAGTATTTCTATTTTTAAAAAACCTACATCTTTTCTCGTCGATCACCTCTTTGACCCCGCCCGTGTGAAGACGCTTCGGCTCCATAACGAGCGTACACTCGCATGCGCTGTGTTTGAAAGAGGCGTGGTTTAATCTCTAACGGTGAATCTGATTGGCTGTTGGCTTCTCTTAGTTTTCAAATCGAAGCAGCAGCTGCTGACGAACAGACAGAGCTGTCGGAAACAGACGACAGGAGCCGAGCGAGAAGAAACGGTGAGAATACATGAAAAAGCCCTTTAACGACATTTATCAAACATTTGAATCATGTAGGAATTTATCGTCTTTATTTACCTGTACTGTTTTCTTCGACGGAGGAGCTAAAGGTGGCTAACGCTAGCTCTCATTAGGAACAGGCATCTGTCAGATAAACTCAGATAAACTCTGTCGTTATTTTGACGTTTTTACTCTGTGTAACTTATCTGAAATATATAATCTTTTTGTACAGGAGAAAACTCCAAGTATAAGCCTGTTTGTTTCATGTTTAATTCATAGTTTACAGCTGAGTTTGTATCCTGGTTACTGACACCTGATCCTCTTTAAAGGACTAATCAATACACCTGATCTGACCTGAACAAGATAAGGTCTTATGACTTTAGAAATAACTAATAATCAACAAAAATCATTCTAAAAAGATCTGTTAAATTCTGGTAATTCAGTCAAAACCAAAGAGCTTTAACAAACAAACAAACATTTTAGAGAAAACAGAACATTTAACTGAAACCAGAACAAAGTGCCATCATTGACTCTTGGTTATTTTGGGTGTTTGTGAAGAATAAAAATAAACTACAAACATGGACATAATAAGATCTTATTAAACCTCTTTACTCTTTTAACAGTCTGTAGACTGAGGCCATGAGGCTGAACGAGTTTGACTCTTCCTCTGAAGACGAGGAGGTCGGAGAGGATCAGCTGACACCCCTCAACATCTCCTGGTGAGTCTCCTCAGTTTCACTTCCTGTCTCAGTCAAAGTTGAAGGTTTTAGCGGGTTAAAATGAATAAAAACATGACTTTGTAGGAGTCAAGAGCCTGTATTTCAGTAATTATATGTTAAAATTTATCTCTGTGTTCATTCATGAGTGTTTTTCTTCTTTCAGGTTACCTCTCTCTATAGTGGAGTGCTCTCAGTTTCTTGGGATTTGTGGTTTACCAGGTAAAGTTACAGTTTCTCATTAAACATTTCTCTCTGTTACAGTTTTCTTCATTATTGCAGCTGAACAAAATATTCACTGTTTTAATCTTCAGGCTGCAGATTCAAAGATATCCGCCGGAGTCTTGAGAGAGACGTTGGTAAGATCATTTTAATAAAATCTAAAATCGTACATATTTAATTTGTATATATTTATTTCTCGGTTTCTGTCTCGTTCTCAGAGGAGATGCAGAATCAGGGGGTGCAGGAGGTGTTTGTTTTCTGCACCAGAGGAGAACTCAGTAAATACCGGGTTCCCTCCCTGTTGGAGGCGTACCGTCAGCGAGGCTTCACCATCCATCACTGGCCTTTTCCGGACGGGGACGCTCCCGAGCTGGAGCAGTGCTGTCAGATCCTGGAGGAGCTGCAGTTCAACCTGGAGACCAACAGGAGAACCGTCATCCAGTAAGGATGAACATATTATCAACATTGGGCCAATTTAAACATGAAATCCTTAGAATTTCAGGACATTTTACGTACACACCTTGTCAAAGATCAGGTTAAGTAAGATGATGAGACCATGCTGCATTCACTCACCCTGAGGTTGAACAGATTTTTTACCATAGGTCTGATGAGGTGACCAGATCAGACGTGCATTTAGATCTTCAAAGTGTGGGAATTCAGCTGGTTGTTAACTTCTAACAGCAGCTTTTATACACCAGAGCAGTAAAAGAACAGCTTTTGGTTAGTTTATCTTTCATTAAAATCAGGTAAAAATGCACTGAAACCCCTGAGGAGGTTTTGAAGTCACAGAGTGAGCGATTAAAGCTGCTCTGAAACTCTCAGACTGGACTCACCTGAAGTGAAATGGAGCGTGCAAATACAGAAACCTTTCATGATGAGAAAAATATAAAAATATGCAGAAATTTCTAGGACAAAAAGTCTTTTAGAAGTATTTTTAAACCTCTTTGGAGTTTCACTCAGCTCTGGAGAACCTGAACACTCCTCACCGCTGTAAGATTTTTATACCTGACTGTATTTTTCTGTCCTTCCAGCTGTTACGGAGGTTTCGGACGCTCTGGACTGAGTAAGAATATCTTCTTTATCATTTTTGAACTGTTTTCTGTGTTGGCTCCTGTTTAACGTTAAATCTTCTGTTTTTCTGATGATTTCTGCTGCTCAGTTGCTGCCTGTCTGCTGCTTCAGCTCTCTCTAACGATGACGGCGAATAAGGCGATCGAAATCCTGCGAGAGTACCGAGGAGGAGGAGCGATACAGACAGTGAAGGTGGGAGTTCACGTTTTGTAATTCTGAAAGGAAGGACTGAAAGTTTGACTCCCACTCGTCTTCTCTTTAAGTTCTTGTTGTTTTAATATTTACAAACATGTTAACTCAAATATTCTTCTGTCCTGCAGCAATACAACTTCCTCCATGAGTTTCGGGAACGTTACTCGGCCTACGTAGCGAGCAGAGAGGTTTCCACTGAGCGCCCCTTGTCTCGATGATCGCCTTCTTCTTCTTCTTCTTCTTCTTCTTCAGGTCACGAGCTGCAGAAATATTCTTTCCTGACTGTGTGTGCACTTTAACAGAAAACGCTAATATATTTGCTTATTTTCATCCTCGTTTTCAAATAAAGGCGTGATGAGGAAATCCTGCTCTGACGTTATTTGTTCCTTTTTTTTATGAGACACATTTATTAAAAAAAAACATTTTAGGTATCTAATGTGATTTTTATTTTGATCAATAAGTTATAAATATCTGAAATATGGAGAAATTCTGTTGCAAATATCCACAGTATTTATTCTGGATAGGAAGTACGGCTCAAACTAAAACCTCGTCCACTGTTGTAATGCTGCAAAGTTCGACTGTTGTCTTTAAAAAAACACTCATTTCAGCCTGTAATTCAACTACTGTCTCTTTAAGGCCACCCAGCACTCTTGAAACCTTCTCTGCTGTTGCCACGTAGTCTGTAAGAAACATTAGCTTTGTTTAGCATTACTTCATTAATTTCAGCCTCTGGTTCAAAACAATTTTATTTTGTTTTATTTATTTTATATTTTATTTTACTTCATTTTAGTTTCTTTAATTTTGTTTTTATTTAATTTAATTTTGTTTTTATTTTATTTTACTTCATTTTATTTTGTTTTTATTTTACTTTATTTTAGTTTAGTTTATTTTACTTCATTTTAGTTTCTTTAATTTTGTTTTTATTTTATTTTATTTTGTTTTTATTTTATTTTACTTCATTTAATTTTGTTTTTATTTTACTTCATTTTATTTTATTATTTTATTTTACTTCATTTTGTTTATTTTACTTTATTTTGTTTTATTTATCCTATTTTATTTTATTTTGTTTTACTTTATTTTGTTTTTATTTTATTTATTTATTTTTGGGGGGGTTATCTGTGTTAAATCCTTGCAGGGTGGTATCCCTGAGCTCACCCTACCTTGGTCCTGCTGTTTGTGTTATTAGGGGGCGTGGTCTGTTCAGGTGACCTGCTGCAGCCAGGTGAGCACAGGTGTGAAGAGGGGGAGGGGCAGAGTGGCAGAACAATAGAGGAGCAGGAGGGAAATGTTTGCAGGGGAAATTCTGCTGATTCCAGGGAGAAACGGTACAAGGAAGCCAGACCTCTGACCCCGAGTGAGGAAACCAAGAACTGGAGCTGCAGGAAATCCTGGACCGGTCACGACCTTTGGCTCAGAGCGGTGGAACAGTCAGAGTTGGGTTTAGAGGGAGCAGGCCAAGAACCGGTGAGTCTCCCACATTTGGATTAGTTTTTTGGATTGTATTATTTTTCCCCCAATGCATTGCTAACGTCTCCTTTTTGACGGATTATTCTGTTTAAGTCGTGGAGGACTGTTTTTCTTTGGACTTGTTTGGTTGGTTCAGGATCCTTCCTTGGGATTTTTTTATTATTTCCTTTTGATAAGGGAACTCGGACACTGAACAGGGACTGGAACAGTTATTCTGCTGAATTTGTGTTAGGGATGTTTGAGTTTGACGGGCTGGGAAAATTTGTGTGTTGTGATTTTTTTAGGAGCTTTGAATTAAAATTTGTGCGAATAGAAAAATTCTCTGAGGATATATTTATGTAAACATTTTCCTGCTTTCGGGAGTAACCATTTAAAAATTAAATGTTATGTTATAGTAGCTTCAGACCTTTTTAAAGCTTTAAAGAAATAAAGCTGATTGTTATACATTTTTTATGGAAACAAGACTTATTTTGGATAACACAAATTAATTTTAAAATTATGAGAATATTTAAAAATAAAGACTGGATTCTTAAAGATGTAGGAAACAAATTAGAAAAAAATAGGGGGGAAAAAAATCCTGACAAAACTTATTTTCGACAACACAAATTAATTTAAAAATTATGAGAATATTTCAAATTAAGAGTGGATTCTAAAAGATGTAGAAAAAAAATAGGAAACAAAAAATGTAATATAAGTTTTAGTTTTCAAAAAGTTTTACCAAATTTTTTAAATATTTTTATTACGTTTCCAGTTTTTCATGTACAATATTCCTGTTTTTGTTAAATATTTTTATGCTTTGTCTACATACAGAATGCCACTAAATTCTACAGACTGTACCTTTAAGCTCCTAACAAAGCCAGCATTAGTAAAGGAGCTTAAATTTCCTAAAGTTTTGTGTAAAAACATCACACTGCTCAGCGATAAGAGTGGGATATTTTTTTATTTAGGTTGAAATAAACTCAAGTTTGTCATTTCCTAGATGTGACATGATGGGATCTAATACATCAAATTAATTTTATTCTCGACAAATGATCTTCCCTTTCCCTGATAAATGTACACACTTGGAAAAATGGCAATAAATACTCTGATGAATTTCGTCTAAGTGGCCTCAACAAAACGGGGTCGAACCTCCCAGGTTTGGTTCTGGAGAGGACCCCACACTGCGAGGAGTGCTTGATATCCTGGAGACACGAAGAAGTCAAATGAAACACAATAAATAAAAAGACTGGAGTTCCTAACGCTGTGGAATATCTGGTGATGAAATGAAGACAAAAAAAAACACACAGAGGAATTTTTTAAAAAGGTACAGTCAACAGTGTGGCACGTCAGCTGGAGCGCAAAAGCAGAAAACGAAGGATTTATCGCTTCACAAGATTTACTGTTGAGTCTACCTTTTCCAGAGCTGCGAGGGCGAGTCTACAGAAACACAGATCACACACACGGATGTCGCTGTCTACCCTGGATCCAGAAAACAAACATGGCCGTTGATGTCTTTAATGGAGGTTACACGATTCAGCCGTGGCGATAAAAAGGTCTGAAGTTTGGAAAGAAATACACCAAAAACTTATCCTGACCACCAGACGGTGATTGTCCCCGTGCAGCCTCGCACCAAGTGATATTAACCCGTCCCAAAAAAACGCTCCTGTTCGACCTTTACGCATCTGAGGAAAAAAAGCTGAAGTCTCTGAGTTTAACTGATAATGAGCGGGTACAAAATGAACCGATCGAAGCAAAAAGAAAGAATCAAAAACAGAAAAGCACACAGCTCAGATTCTCACAGATAATGCACACCTGAAAAAGTCTCACCTAACCTGTAAACACTCAAAAGTTGGAAAAAAAAAAATCTTTATTTAAGTCCTAAAGCGTTTATAAATCACCACAAATTTCAAATAAAAACAGGAAACAGAAAAACACGTCCGTTCAGGTTTGTCCTCGTCTTCCATTTATAAAATTTAGTTTTTAGTGCTATGAGAGGAACGCTGAGACCGAGAGATTCTCTTAAAACAGGCTAAATGTTTCCGAAATGACACTCTGCGCTGTGTGAGGGGGAGTCAAAGAGTTCGTCCGCTAGAAATGGCGTCTAGTGTTGCTGAACGGTGGTCTTCTCCAGCAGGTCCAGTGTTCCAGCACTAAGATCATAGTGTCTGGTCGTCGACTGTACATGCAGGTCCTTCTCCTTCATGGTCGGGTTTAAGAGCTCACCAGAACATAAATCATCCTGCGGGGAGAGAGGAGAGAAGAAGAGGGTCGACATCAGTAAACAACCCAAACATGAGGAAAAGCTTCAAAACAGACTCGTTTCTCGTACCCGTAGAGATAGTAGAAGAACGACAGGAGGTAGAAAGCCAGTTTGCACCAGCCCTCTTTTTGACAGAACGCCAGGATGTCGGCGTTCATGATGGTCGTGGGGTCGTAGAGTCCTGGACAGCTCATCACAGGTCTGCTCATATACCTGCAGAACAGGTGAACAAACAGGTTTGAGTTATCCGACTAGATCACCTCCCACAGAGATGATGCACGTTTATTCACACGATACAAACCTCCAGACGTGATAGGCGAGCAGCGGCAGGTTGAGACAGAGAGTGAGCCACTCGGCCGCACAGAAGAACATCACACAGAAGAAGAAGTGGATGAGATACTCTGGGAGAACCAGCTGTGAAGGAAACAACATGGAGGAGGTCAAAATCAGCAGAAACATCTAAACTGTTCAGACCATCACTCAGTGTGCAGAGACGTTTTAAAGAAGTGAAGTGAGCTGTATAAATATATAAACCCTGAAAAGCAGCGAGTTGTACAAAGAGAGCAGCGAGTTATTTAAAGAGTCGTCTAAAAACTGCAGTCGGCCCCGAAGAGGGTCAAAGACAGGACTGAAATACTAATGAGCTGATTTTAACTCTGCGTTTACTGAAATACACGAACCGTGCTTTATCCAGAGAACAGGGTGAGAAATCAGGACCTGCCACTTGCAAAACATGGAATTTAAAAAACCTCCATATTTACTCAGGACTAAAGCCGCGTACAAAACCCCAATTATAGTCCTGACGCTGAGTTAAATGTTCCTCAACGGTTCAGGGTCTCCTTAGTCCTGGTTTTGGTGTCATGAATCTGGTCTGGGATCATATGAAGGTCTTAGATGTTCCTTCTAACCCTTTAGATATTGATCTGGCGGCTTTCCCGGTCGATTTAGAATCAGAATCAGTGACTGATGTTGATAAAGATCGACTTAAATCTGTTGCAAGTGGAGAAAACAGGTTGATTTCCCACCCTGCTGCGTGAACATCATCATGCATCATCAGATCTGATCACAGTAACAAAAGGGGAAACCCATCAACAACTTGCTCTGCAGAAGATTTGCTCATCTCAACATGTTCTGCAGTGAGAGGGCAGACCCACGGATCACCATCCCACGTCCTGACACACTGGAGAAGGACATGCTGTGAGCTCTAGCAGTGTTGTGATGCAGCAGCCCGCCCCGGGTTCGACAGAGTTCGAGCTGGTGCGGGGGGGGTTCACAGGGGCAGATGGAGGCGCCACATGGAAGCCATGCATTCAAAGAGGAGGGAGGGGGGCGACCGACAGCCCACAGATGGAGAGGTGAGGGGCGTGTAGGGGGGGAGGGAGGTGCAGGGTGTGATGTGTTGAAATCCTGCACTGTGCTGCCAAATACGAAACAACTGATCGCAGCGCCAAACGTGCCGAACAACTGAGCTGAGGGTCCGCACGCAAAAAGACGACGGGCCGCGGTCAGAACTGCTGAGAGCATCCTGGAGCAGACACTGAGGAACCTGCACTCTTCACCAAATTTACTCCGCCTACCGCTGAAGCCGGCAGCCAATCAGACGCCTGGAATATTGCTGAGCTGGAGCGTGTTGGGACTCTGCAGCCATCTGCTCTAAACCACAGGTGATGGAGGTTAGAGCCAACGCTGAGCTCATATTCATACAGATTAGTTCTGCTGAATTTACATGCAGAAGAGAGAAGAGAAATTAACGACCTTTTAATCCGCTTCCTTCAGCGTCTATCCAGCATTTTCCTGCACCGTAATCCACGGCTCAAACTAAGCGCCGTTCAGTCGATGTACCTTTGCTGATTTAAGCGTGCAGGTATGAACAGTTTTGGAACGGCTCCAGGTGATAACAAAACAGACTGTAACGGACCCACCCAATCAAAGTTCGTCAAATAGGAGATTTGTTCTTCTGGTGTTGATGTTAACAGTTTGATCACGCCGGTGTATTTAAGCCTCATGTCGTGTCACTTCTCTTAAACTCAAGTTTCCTAAAGAGTTTACTGTCCTGGTTTTAACTCTTAAACTATTTGCAAACAAAGGGTAGGTTGTAAAAAGATCATGCATGTTTTGAGCATTTGCAAGTCTTTTCAGTTAACAGCTAAACTCAATCTATGATCAATAACATTGAATATTATATGACAGAATATCCTTTAATACCACAGACTAAGAGAAGCTTCTCTCTAATGCGGGTCAATTTCACTGGTTCGATGAAAACATACAAATAGAAAGCGCCATCCATAAATTCACCTAATGCTCATCCTCTTAAAGCCACACTGAGAAGCTTTTTGAAGCATAAGACAAATAAATATAAGAAACATCTGCAACAGTCAAAAATGTTTGCAAAAATACATATAAAAGGAATTTTCTACGAGACAGTTAAAAACCTGAAGCACAGGTGGCATGGAGTCTAATCCCAGGCTGAGCTCTCGCCTTAAGTCTGAGATTAGTTAACTGAAAAGACGTTTGCAAACACTTCTCCGTGCAAAATGACAAGACTGCAGACTTGAGTTGAACTGAGCGGGCATTTTAAAGATTGGTACAAACCTTCAATGCAATTTTGACTCTTTTAATCTTTTTGACCTTTTCAACTGTCTTTTTGCCGTTAAAAAAAAAAGTGTTAAAAAAGCAGATCAGGAAAAACAAAAACAACAAAAAAGGCGTTAGAGATTCTTACAGCTGACAAGATCACTGAATTCATAACAGGCAGGTTATTTAGCATAACAGTGCAGAGAAATGATCGAAAAAGACAGGTAGGTGGATAAAGTTATCCTCAAAGAAAGAAAAAAACCTTTAGACAGAGCTTTTCTGCATGCAGTCAAAGAGGCAAGGAAGGATCAGAGGGATGTGTAGTGTCACTTACCGGATTTAAAGTGTTACACTGATCTATAGGATTCTTGTAATCAGTCTTCAGCTCATCAAATGCTATTATCTGGGGGGACAAAACCAACACAGCGTTACAATGTACAGACAGTGGATTAGTGCAAAAGTACATCTTTGGTATGCTGCTATGTGTCTAAATTTCCACTTTTGAGCAGAAGTGTTTCACAGTCTGAATATATACTGTAAAGGAGGGTTTTCTCTATACTGCAAATTGCCTCCTTTGACTCCAACATGAAATGGTTGTTTGTGTAGAAAATGGTTATACAGAATCTGTCAGGTGAGGTATTTAATAAGTGCAAACCAACAAGCTTCAACATGTCAGCTGATTGGCAGTGTTTTAACAAAGCAGCGGACACAGAACTGTTTCTATCTGAAGAAAGTTAACATTTATAATTTACGGGAGAATAAAATATGGTCCTGTTTTTGCCTACTTCTAAACCTGGCAGTCACAATTAGAGTGACAGGTGAATCAGAGCACAAGAAATAATGTTCTTCGCATAAATAAATACAGGTGTGTAGTTACAGGGATATTCCGGTGTAAAATTAAGGGTCGAAAGATGAATGTTGCCAACTGCCTGCTTCTCTAGTTATATTTCTTCATGGAAATTCAATCAGACCAAAGAACTACCCCGTCTGCAGTGCAAAAATGATCAATATGATGATTATTACTTCAAGGAAATGATAAAGAAATTATCATAAATGTTCTTCCTTGAGCTGCGTAACCCCACTGCAATCGATGGACTCGGCCTAGATCTGGCGACAAACAAGCAGCTGCTGGAAGAGAGTAGGTGAGTTGTGTTTAGTCTCTTTGCTAAAGAAATGAGTCAAAGTTAAAAAGATGTTTGGTGTCTAGTACTATGGCTGTGACCCTATATGTCCTGTTGATAAAGTTAAGTGCTGTTCTGAACATTATTTGTGGCTATAGAGTGGCGTTTTGGTTGAGCGTGTGGCAGTGTGTATTGCTATCGTGCGGTCGTAACTAAAAAGTTGGTATAACTAGAGAAGCAAGCGGTCAGCAACATTCATCTCTCGACGGTGTGTTTGACCCTAACTTAATTTTACACCGGAATATCCCTTTAAATATCAAAATCAGAATTGGCTTTCTTACAATATCTGCATGTCGAATATCGGTTGAAACCCACTTGTTAATCCCCAAATATTGCACTTCTGTTCTTGAATTCAATGTTAGTTTTAGTGTGTGAACTGTGATTTTATCTGTGTAATTATCTGCAAAGGCTAATAAAGCATCTTTGCACTATTTCGAATGAAACGTTATTTAAGAACCTGATACTGTCTTTTTTAATCCATTCTCCTCCATGTCATGTTAATTCCTCAGAACAAGACTTGGAGTCCTTTTGAAACCAACCAATGGTACGATACTTTCTGTACTAATCACTGTAACTTTTGAAGCGATTTAACCTTAAACTTTAAGGACTAGTTCGATGGCATTTGACGATAAATCGAATATTAACCCTAGAAAAAAACGTGACGCGTCGTTAAATTGGAGTAAGCTGGTAACAGCGGCACGACAGAGCCGTTAACTACATGTCAACGTTAGCAAAGCTTGCGAGCTACATGGCTAGCTAACTTGACAGTTATGTATACAGCCATACGCTTTAAGAGTAAATAACTGTTCATGATAACTACAGTGTCGTCTTTAAAGGCTCAAAAACGTGAAGAAATTACAGGAATAACGTAAAAACTGTTTGAATTTGTGGTTTAACGGGCGGCTAACTTTAGCTCGCGCACAGACGTTGGGTGTGTGTGTGTGTGTCATTCATTCTAGAACGTCGTACACTGAACTCCGAGCGCGGGACGTTTCTATGGAGTTCGCCTGTGTTCGCCGTCGTGTTCAAACCGCGGCGACCTACTACGTCAAAACGAGAAAACGTTCCAGCTGTGTAGCGTCGAAGCTGGCCTAACGTTAGCCCGCTCCGTGCCAGCCGTCCTCCGTCTTCCTCCCACTCAAATCAGCGCCGTTAACAGTAAAGGAGAAACGGCCGTAGCCCAAAGATGTCTTAAAGTGTACTTACGTGCCAGATAGCGAAGAAGATAAGCGCCGCCGTGAGCAACAGAGCGAGCATATAACAAAAGGCCGCGAATGTGAACGCCATTTTTTCTCCGGTTCTCCTGCTGCTCGGTTCCTGGCTCAGTCAGCGGATGATGCAGGCAGCGCCGTCCGCAACTGATTTGAGATTTTCAGCGTGTCTTCTTCTTCTTCAGTGGGTGTTCATCCGTGTGGCATCCATATTGTTGCATTACTGCCATCTTCTGGAGTTATTTTTGTAGCGGTGAATAGTAGGTGAACGAATCTACTCTCCTGGAGAGAGGATGACTTGTGTTTTTAAAGGTGGTATAATTAAGGTTCACGTTTTGAGTACTTATTTTAAACAAATCACAAAAATCTTGAAAAATGCAAGAAGCTGTTAAGTGCTGGTATGGAAGCCCTATGTGGCCATGTATTCATATATTTTTATACTCACTTAAAAAAACCCACTCTATAGCCACAAATAATGCTCAGAACAGCACCTAACTTCATCAACAGGACACACAGGGTCTCAGCCATAGAACTAGACACCAAACATCTTTTTAACTTTGACTAATTTCGTTAGCAAAGAGACTAAATACAACTCACCTACTCTCTTCTAGCAGTCACTTGTTTAGCGAGACCTCGGTGACTGCAGCGGGGTGACGCAGCTCAAGGAAGAACATTTATGATCATTACTTTATCATTTTCTTGAATTAATAATCACCATATTAATCATTTTGCACTGCAGATCTACAGTATGATCAAGTTTAAAGACTAAATGTGATAAAATATACACATAAATCACAAGTTTAGAAAAAGAATCCTCTAGAAACCACAGGTTTGAACATCACTGTCATTTTATTTGGACAATAGGACAATAGACACTTTATAAAGTATGGGAAAATACAAATATCTCAAGTTTCACTTATGCTATGAGGCAGCTGGTTATGATTCACGTCTCAGGTTGTTTTTCATTAAAAAGGAATGAAAAAATAAAGAAGTTATCTAACCAGAGAGAACAGTAAGAGCAGAAAAACACAGTTTCAGGTTAAAGACCAAAGAGACTTCTTATACAACAGGCTGACCAAACAAGAGGGAAAGTTATTAGATCCACAGGACAGCCACATACATGACTCAGGAAACAGGTAGCTTTAACACCGGGGAGTCTGTCCAAAGATTATCAAAGTTCTGTCAGTGTGTAAAGATTTTAAAAAGAGTAGGAACACCGCTGAGAGCAGGTTTTCAGAAATTTGTGTGCAAATATTTTATTTGAAGTCTAATAATTTAAAATAGTCTGGAAAGAAGACATGCAAAAGAGCAGCATTTAGACAATGATGAAAAACACACATTTAAGCATGCAATTCTTTTACAGTAGCTTTCCACATTTGAGAGGCTGAAAGAATTTAGATAACAATGAAATTGTCTTGGTATGACAGAGTATTAGGGCATTTAGGATAAAGTCGTACATTTACAATGTCAAAATAGTACGAGAAAAAGTCGTAATACGCTGAGAATTTAATAATTTTGGGAAAAAGTACAGCAAAAAAAATACGTTAAGTTGTTATGTTACAGGGAAAAGATGTAAACAAAAAAGTCATTCTGTTATGAGGAACAAGCAGATTATAGATTTAAAGTCAGTTTGTTTTATTACTCAGGAGAAACATTGATGGAGTAGTCGTTAGAGTGAAAACTCGTTATTTTACAAGCACCAGAAAAAAAAGTTGTTGGATGAAAAAGTTGTAGCTAAGGACAGGTTTATAAGAGAAAAGTCATTTTCTCATAGAGACAACTTGACTCTTTCAATCTCAGATTTTATTCTTTAGTCAGGCCCTAACACTCTGTCATATTCTGTAAGTTACACTGAGTTAAATACAAAGACTGTCAGTTAAGCTCGCTCTCATTAGTTTCAGACTGTGCTGTTTTGAGAATTTACCACAACTTTTAAAGACTTTTACAAGTTAAAGGATCGTAAAACTTTCTGAACCCATAAAGTACAGCACAAACTTCAGTAACAGCAGAAACCACCAGACACGAGAATCACCCAGGAAGTTCTGTTTTTGTGCTACAGCAGCAAAATACAAAGCTGACAGTTGAACTACAGATTTCTGTCTCATTCATTGTTCCTGATGGATTAAAAAATAACCCTGACATGTTTATAATTAACATCTAAAGTCAACAAGTGATTTTCATGACACAGAGTGATTGTGCGCACGTCTCTCGGTCTGATCTAAAACACAAACTGGTCCTCAAATTGATTCTCACGACGACTAAACAGGAAACAGAGTCTTTCAGACTCTAGAGATCAGGAAGCTCAGGACAATATTAGTGTTTTAAAAACCTTCAGATCCTCACAAAGATTTTTCTGACTGTCCTCCACTGTTCCCGTAAAAATAAAAAACATTATCATGTTTGATTTTGGCCTCATGATCCATTTATAACAGACGTTACTTTGACAGAAATGATTAAATCTAAGACAAGGCATCAGTACGGTAGACTCAGCAGTTTGACTTTATACATGAGGTGGTGATTTTCTGCCTCAGGGCTTCGTTAACAGCTGCACCTCTCGTTTTCCAAAGTCGGGGGATGACACTAATGAGCAGAAATACGGAGTTCAATTATGCAAATTCTTAATAATCAAGGTCAGAGGATCATACAGAGCTCATGTCAGGATTTTATTAGGATTCAGAAGCTTCAACTGAGCTCACGCTTTCAGAATATCACATTAAACTGGACTGTAGTGATAGAAACACAACTTTAAGTAGATCTAATGTAGCTTTAAATATCTGGGACTGGACACACTGACGTTCAGAGCCGTTACTCCCTCTGTACTGAGTTATTCAGATTCTGTTTCAGTGGGAATTATTTGAGTCTTAAACTGACAGAAGTTGTTTGTAACATACTCTTAAATAAGTTTGAGCAAACAAAAGACAATAATATATAAGCTGACCTGTTAATACCCCGATTCCAGAAAAGTTTGGGACGCTGAGGAAAATGTTGGTAAAAACAGAATTTGATCATCTGCGAATCAATTGAATCTTTTTTAACTTGTCTTATCAAATGTTTCCAGTGACACATTTTGTTGTTTTATACAAATATTTACCAATATGTTTAATTAACTCTCTTAATTAGACCAGATTCACAAGTTTGGAGAGTGAAATGTTGTCACTGTGAAAGGATTTTAGCTGCTCAACAGTTCAGGGTCTCTTCTGTCCTGTTTTTGGGATCCAAATGTTTGAGAAAAGTCTGAAAAGTCTTTGTCTGGATGGCCGCAGACATTTCTCCTAAATCTGTAGATATCGATCAGGCGGCTTCCCGGATGTTTAAACTACACCTGATTTTGGATTATGCACCTCCACACACCCAAGAGTGACAGGTGGTCCCTCTCTAGAGCGCAGGATGCAGGATCCACGATTTCCAAAAGAAAGCCAAATTTTAATCAACATTTTACCCAGCGTCCAAACTTTACGGGTTGTAGATTTAATTAATTAAGGAAGTAATGGTCTAAAATATCTAAATGTCAGTGTCCCCAAATATCAGTTGTTTCTTTTAGTCAAACCCGCTCTATATGAAAATACGAACCCCCCCTCATGCTGTTCTTTATCTACTAAGTCTATACATGAAGCACTACTGGCATTTTTAGACGTCACGGCTGTTTCTCTCCAGGCTGCAACCACCTCTGAGCAACCCGAGCAGCTTTACGTCAGAATGGATCACGACATTCATCGACACTAATAACAGTACTGGCTATAAAGCACGATATTAGCTAACAATCTCCCTAAAGAAAGACACATTAAAACAGGTTAAAAGAGCGTCACCCTGTGTCATGGAGGTTCGGAGGAAAACTGGAATGTTTCAGCTGGATTTGTTTCGATGGAGAGTGTGATATCAGCGAGTGTAGAAACAGAGGACAGAGTTGTGTTTTTACTGCAAACACAGACGATAACGTGTGATGTGAGGATGAGATCTGCAGAGTGATCGGCACAGCTCACACGCAGACGGGCGAAGGTATCATAGACGACGCTGCATTCATGTCGAGGCGGAAAAATCAGAAAATTGAGTTCCTAACAGCTCAAACTCACAAAAGCTCCCTTGGAAAGTAGGAATATTTTGCTCGTTACTTCGGGTGTTGATTTCGACATTAATTACGCAGAATCTGAGCGGATTTTATGACTTCAAACTAACTTCTGATTACAATTTTTGAATTATGACTTAAAAATCTGGAGAAAGATTTGGTTTCTTCCAACAAAGCCGATTTTGAAAGACAAGAAACATGTCAAACTTTGATTCTTCCTCACATTTTGGCTTATTTTTAATCGTTTAAGTTATGATTATCAATCCTGGTTTACATAACATGACCAGGTTTAGGTTTTAAAAGTTAAATCAAACTTTTTATTTCACATTTGGACTCTCTGAGAACTCTGAGAATAAGAGGAGCGTGTGAACGCAGCATCAGTCAAAGTGGTCTTAGTGTTATCGTCCTTTTAGGAACTGAAGGAGAGACTGACTCTTTTGGTCTCTGAAGTTGTTTTTTTCATCACAAACAGACACGACAGTTATAAAGTATAAGCTCACGTTAACCTACAGACACCAGAAAAAATCAATCTTAAAGTTAAACTCGCTCAAGTTGTTAAACATAAACGGTAAGAGGTTAAAAAAAGACGTAAACTATCGAGGAAAACAGGAAGTGTTGATACCGTTATCGTCCCCTGAATGAAGATGCTGAAGGAGATGTACGAGTTCTAGTCATTTCCGTTCACGTTAAGAGCTTTGGGAGTGTTAATTCAACACAGACACGTTACTGGCACATGGAGAGATTGTTCAGGAGTCAAAAACAGACCTGCCTCAAATAGCGTTTCCAGTTTTAGGCCGACAGATGAGTGAAGTTCAGTTAGCAAAGAGAAAAGAGTACAAACGTCTGTCTGACTGAGCTGGAATTGTTGTCGATTTAACAGCAGAGGCCTAAAACTCCGGATTTTAACGCTATTTAAATCAGGTCTGATAGAAAGAAGAGAGAAACATTAACTGTGGTGTGTTCCCCCAAAGAGATGACACCAGTTTGTGCAATCTGGATCCTCCTCACATCCCAGACCCTGCAGCATGAGACGAGTCTAACCGAAGAAACCCAGTTTCTCTCTGAGCCACTCCTCCGTCAGGTCCTCTGTGTTTCTGATCTCAAACACCTGCAGGAAACAAAACAAAGACCACAGAGACACAAGGAGATTAGCTCCAGTGGAATTCACTGTGGATAATGAATGTTGAACAGCATGTAAGGTTTAGTAATCAACTGGAAATGTTCAGGTCTAAAACAATGAGGTAGTGATAATAAACTTATATTGATCTTTATTTTGATAATGTGTAAAGAACAGCAAAAAAAAAAAAAAAGATTCATCACAATAAAAATTCACCAAAATTATAAAAAGGCACATTTTCCTAAAACAGCTGTTGTAGTATGAAGTGTGTGTTGATTTTGAGTCTCTACTGTATAACAGCGGTGCTACTGATTTTTGTTTGCAGCGTCTTGCTCTTGTATCGTACTTTTGCAGACGGTCCCTGCGAACTCGCCCAGCTACCAGCTTTGCATGGAGATCAGTATTATTGATCCAACTCGAAGAACAGCTTCAACAGTTCGGTTTTTGATTCTTGTAGTTTGTAGTCTGTGCTATTACGATGTGAAAGAGGCATCATTTGTGTTTAGACAACGTTTCATCTCAGAGTTATTGATCCCGGAAGTCCGACTCTGTGAATATCTTTCCATCTTTACCAAACTTTTTCCCACTGCTGCCATTTCTAAGCTTTAAGGCGCACGACACACAAAAACAAGCACCTGGCTCTTTCAGTTTTCTGCACCAGCTACCGTGAGACTTTCCATCTTTTCCAGCCTTTTTTCCGCCCAAGCCCAGCTTCCAACATCGCCGTTTCTTCTCCTGGATTGATCTACCTGACATTCATCATTTGAAATTTCCACTTCTTCTTCTCCAGCAGGATGTAGACTATCCAGCATAATGCTGCTCTCTACCGGTCATTTTCAGATCTAACTAACTAGGGTTTTTTTTTTTTTTTTCCATGATTTAGAAAAAGAAATCCTGAGCCAGATTTTCGGCACCATGCCAGATTTCTTGAGTACATTTGTCTTCATTATGCTAGTTACCGTAAATCCTCTAATATAGGCAGGGTTCTTTATTTGTTCTTACCCCCTTTGGTACCAGGCCTTTATATGAGACAGGCTTTTATTAGAGGCCGACCTTAAAACCAAATCCTCTCTGTCTCTAAAAATCATAAATGTTCATATGTGACACAAATTGACGGTCTTATTCACTAACTCCAGCCATGCCCCAATTTAAATGGTCAATTATGTCTTCATTTCTAACTGCAATGAAGTTTTCAATGCTTAAGTATTATTGTTGTTGAAGTCAGATCCCAGATGGCACACTCACCTTCGTCAGATCAGCAGCTTTCACCAGCCTGTGTTTACTCCCTGCATACATCATCTGCTGCTCCATTTTGCATCCTGTGCAACACAAACAAACCGAGAAAGGCAGAGACACTCATGCATCACACAAACACTGAAGAAATGACATACTGAACAGAGGATAATGTCGTAAACAAACAAAACAAATCACTGCATAAACTAAAGCTCTATCCTCTGCTTCCACAGGTGACTCAAAGCTGTCAAACATCGGGATAATGTGAATCCTGATTGGCTCTTACCTGCTGGGCTGGAGAAGATGAAGCAGAGAGGATAGGAGACACGTCCGTCATCATGTTGGTATTTATAACTGTACACGACAAATGTTCAAGGTGCTAAGGAGAAGTCCACGTTTATTAAAGAGGAGGAGGAGCGGGGCTTAAATTTCCAATACTGTCACTTTATATTTCAAAATACAAATCTACAGTATATCACAACTAGACGGATGAAATCTAGATTTGAAATTTAATTTGAAAGGATATCTCGGCTGTCTTTCCGGAAGTTCATCTTTGAGGTCATCAGGAGAAATATCCTGTAAAATAAAAATAAACATGTGAAACTTAAATCAAAAATATTGTTGTACTAAAATGGGAAGTTATAAAAATTAACTGACCTCATGTTCTTCCTCAAGTATGACCATCTGTCTGTCTTTGTCGATCTTCACTGTGGAGGACAAATTAGATCATTTTCAGTATTTGCTTTTAAAGTAACACCTCTTAACTTCATCCTGAGCAGACAAAATACCAACACTACAGGGGCTGAGATAGTCCAAACTGGAGGCAGGAAGAAGGAACCAAACTTGATCATGAGTTTAGTGAAATTAACCTTTAAAAATTGATCCAACTGTGAAGCAAAGCAGAGGCCAGAAACAAAAATAAAACAGGCGTTAAATTATGACCAAAAGAAGTTCCTTGTTTTGATGTTTTAGAGAGGCGGCGTGTAAAAATCTATTTCTGTCCACACAGCAGGAAGCAGCGAGCTGTGAGAGCGATAATGGCACATTAATGTTCAACTGAGGAAGGTCATTTTCAGAGGTGACCCAAATCTGCTGAGTGCAACAGACTCTTTAGTCATGATGGATTCATATTTTCACTACAGTCCGCTTCCTCTCAGAACCTCTCACATCACTTCCTCTCTCTCCTTTCACCAAAAATACAAACAAACACGTCCTGAAAGAGACGACTCTGACTTATACTCAGGTATGATTAAAGTGTGAATACTCACTGATGATGGCGGCGTTGTTGGTCTGCCTCCGGAAACGAAAAGCTTTCAGCTTTTCAATCAGCTCCTCATCCACGTCACACACCACCAGAGATTCACTCTGAGGAAGACGCACAAAGACGCACAAAGATACACACAGATACACACAGATACGTCAGTGTGGTTGTGAAAAACTTTTTACGAATTTGTGTGTTTTTGTGTAAATGCATCGGATGCAGAGGCACAAACAGCAGCTTTAAACCGAGTGCATGTTTTAGAGAGGGGAGACCGCGCCATTGTAGTACTTCGGGCTGGGACGATATGCTTTTCTCCTGATTCGATTCCTCTACGATTTTTTGGATGCCAATTCGATTTAAATTGCGATTCTATGATATTGTCGATTTTATCGGTTTTTAGTGTGCATTTTTAACACCAGTAAAACAGCTGAATGATGATGATTGGGTCCATGTGTTATCAGTCCTTTCAATTCATCCATTCAATCTAATAAACAAAAAAACTAGTCAATATTTTTTGTCGAACCCGTATCCTGTCAATACAAGTGTTCACATCAGTGAGGTTTTCCCGTCCTGCGATATCGCGCCATTTATTTTTTTCTTATCGCAGTCGATTTTTCTAAAGTTTCACATACTGTGTGTCCACTTCTGACCAATCAGATTTCGTGTTGTTGCGACATCAGATTCACTGGTATATCCAACATGGCTGACCAGCTGACTGTTTACGTGTTGGAGAACAGAGTGATTTTTGATAAAAGACACAAATATTACAAAGATAACGACCTGAAGGACGACTTGTGGAGAGTCATAGCGTCGGATTTCTTATATGACGATGGTTTGTGAGCTTTAACAGTTTGATAAACGTCTTTGTTTGAACTTTCATCTGTGCTAAGTAACTTTAGCTCGTAAGCTAACCTGTTCAGATACAACACACCATATGTATTTTCACTGTAAACTCAAACCTAATCACAGCGTTGCTGTCACAGCACCATTAGGTCTCGGTTGTTCCCTTACGTTTATGGATTATAGTTTAATATTCTTATCTGGTACTAACCCCGACTCAGTACATGCTATCATGACAGACAGACATCTCAACACTAGAGTCTAATCAGAACTGAAAAACAGTCAGTCTGCTGTTGTGTTTTCTGTTTTTAGAAACGGTGGCATATAGAAGCTCTTATTTTTAAAAGGAGTACGAATTTGCCATCACTTGAAGTTGAAGAAGACTCCATTTTTGTCTTCTCGCTTCCACCCAGGACCTGTCTCTTTCCCCCCCGAAATGTTGCAAAATCGCACCGCACTTGATGTGTATAGTCAGGCGTGTCAAAATTCGCCTCCGAAAATTTCGTAATTTCGCGTGGTATATTTTCATTGTTCCCGGTGTGCAAGGACCTTTTATTCTTAAATTTGGGGGGGGAAAAACAATTTTTGAACATAAAATTTAAAAATTGTAAAACAAAAAATCGCAGTACTTCGGTGAACTGATTTTTTTGAGTGCAGCTTTATATGAACAGATTTACAAATGACAGAAAGTGCACAGGTGATGTATTTTTCTGTGTTTAAATGAAGTGTAGTTAAACTGTTTTTATCTGCAGGACTCTGACCTGCAGGTTTTATATGAACATAAATTCAGACCCAGCACAGCAGCAGCAGTCTGGAGAGGATTTGACTGTGGTCTGAACCTGTGTCAGAGTTACGTAACTGCAGCACAAAAGCATAAAGTCTTGAGGAATCTCTGCAGAGACTTTCTGATTTCTATAATTACACCCTCCTCAACAGATGGCAGGTGGGAGTCCGGATTTCACTGAGCCCAGAGAGGGATCCTCATAGATTACGAGGAGGAGGATGGTTGTGTTGTGAGTCTATAGAGGCTGCTATAATAACACAGAGAGAACAGGATGATTCAGGATGACCATCAAACTCAGATTTCAGGCTGACTTGTGCTTTAAAATCCTCCTCTGACAGCCACAGAGCTACTTTGGCTGCTAATCCATCCAGGAAATAAGGCTCGGAAAACTTTGACTCTCTGCTTTATTAAAACATGTCAGATGTTGGAAATGAAGCTCTGACTTTAACAAACTGTTTCTCCACACGGAGAGGAGTCGAGCTGTCATGACACGCAGTCAAACCAAAAAGACCCCGAGGAAACATTTTCATCATGATAGTGAAGCGAGCTAGCGTCAAGGCAGAGCCTTTACAACAGACATGTTGAGACAAGTCAACCACGCGGAACAGGAAGTCCGCTGCGACGGCCTTCAAAATAAAAGCGGAGGATAAGATAGGAAAATATGTTCCCTTATTAGTCCCAAGAGGGGAAATTCCAAATTTACAGCAGCATAGTACAGATATTAAAAATTAAAATAAAACTTTGAGTTAAAAAAAGATGTGCATGCATCATATTCACATCTTTACATAATAATAGGATAGTAGTCACAAGGAGATGAAGTTAAAAAGTGTAAAGGGTAAAGACACAATTGTATATTATTATATATAAAATTATAATGGCTGCATTAAGAAAAAATGTGATATTCGTTGTTTTATTGTAACATTACTACTTTATTCTGGTAATAAAATGACTTAAATACGACTTTACTACGACTTTTTATCTTGCAATAATTTGACTAGAATAATGCTTCCACAAAAACTTATGACTTTAATGTCAAGACATAACGAATTTACCACGCTTATATTGTTGTTGGATTGTGACTTTATAACAATACAGTGTAATATCATATTTGTATAATTGTTTCATAACTTTATTCTCATATTGCTACTTCATTACAACTTAATCTGTTTGTGCTATTGTGTGTTCATTCTTCAAACACTTTAACTTCATTTTCTTGTGACTATACTGACAACTCGGAGCTGAAAATATAACTATTTGTCTTGTACGGTGGCTGAGAAACGCCACTGCTGCAAATAAATAAGAATGCAAAAAAGAAGAAAAAGGCACTACGGAAGTGAACGCTGCAAAAAAAAGGGGTGATGCAATAACTGAAAAAAGTTACTTAATACAAAAATTAAAGGATGCAACAAAAGAAGTGAACTCCATCCTACAATTTTAATACCGATATACTTTTCTAGAAACTTACATATGACTTTGGGGTGCACTTAATTGATACCTTTTCTAGTTTCCGTCTCCTTTTAATCAAGCATTTTGTAGTTTTGCACCACGGCCCTATCTAAAGTATCATCATTATTTCAGATATTTCTTGCTATTAGAATTGAAAATCATTTAATGTTGTAAAACGGTCTTGTCATAGCTGTTAACTGTCACGAAATCACGACCCTCACTCACTCGCTGTAGCTTTTATTTTGAAAGCTGCAACCGGAAATCCTAAATATCAGCTCCGTTTCCATTGACGAACTGCGAGCCTGAACAGAGGGTGGAACTAAAGCTAGGCTATCAGGCTAACGCTAACAAATCTGCGTCCAGACTTTCTCCTTTCCAGTCCGTCAAAGTTCAGCTTCCGTTCAGAGGACTCGGTCAGAGAGCGGCGTCATAAATCTGTCAGAGACACACAAACACTCACCATTGTTGTTGTTGTTGTTGTAGAGTAGAGAGAGTCTCCTGAAGCTGCAGCTGCTCTTCTCTCTGTTCAGACGCTTTAAGTGTTTTTTTTTTGTTTTTTTTACTTCACATCATCCTGTAACTGACCAATCAGAGACAGGCTGCCCCCCCTCACAGAAACCTCTGCTGCCCACTATTGTTCCAAAAATTATTCAGAACCACCCAAAACAGAACCAAACACAAAAACAGGGAGACAACACCTCTGAGATTTAACATTAGTTTGGGTTTTCAGTTGTTGTTTTAAGTTTTGGATCAGTTTTTTTTTTATCCCAGTGTAATAAAACTGAAATCATTAAGTAATTTACTAAAAGATACACAAATACAAAAACACTGAAGACCACTACCATCCACAAAAGACTTCGATGTAGGTTATGTGTAGGAGTGCTGGGGCCACTAAAAAAAACAAAAACTTCCAACCTATAAAGAAAAATGTGTCTCAGAATTTTATCTAAAAGTCAGAATTTGAAGAATAGAATCAATTTTCTGATAAACTCTAAATTCTGAAAAATCTATGAAAAAGTCAGAATGTTAAGAAAAGGTCAGATAGCTGAGATTAAAGACACAATTTAAACAAACACCACCAACAACAATAAAAGTGCAATACTATACTCCTAATCATTTATTAATCATATGGAATATCAATATCATCATCATCACATCCATACCTGTTTTTTTGTTTGTTTGTTTGTTTGTTTGGCACTGATGTGAGTACTGCTGCTGTTAACAATTTAATTTCCCCACTGAGGGATGAATAAAGGAATATCTAATCTAATCTAATCTAATTCTGAGATGTAAATCAGTGTTTTGACGTCTATTGTACAATTCTGAAAAATCTGAATTCTACTGTAAAAGTTAGATTTCTATATAAAGAATTCCAAATTCTGAGATACAATTCAGAATTCTATGAAAAAAAACTCACAATTTTGAAATCAAAGACAAATGTTTTACTTTTCCTTAGAATTCTGAGATGTGAGTTAAGGTTTGACTTTTGCTGTATAACATATATAAAAGTCAAATTTTTGGGATAGAATCAATTTTCTGATGAACTCTAATTTCTGAAAAAAAGTCAGATTTCTAAGAAAAAGTCAAAAAACTGAGATTAAAGACAAAATTCTGAGATGTAAGTCAGTGGTCTGACTCCAGTTGTACAATTCTGAAAAATCTGAATTCTACTGTCAAAGTTAGAACTCTGTGAACAAAATTCCAAATTCTGAGATACAATTCGGAATTCCATGAAAAAAAGTCAGAATTTTGAAATTCAAGTCAAATGTTTTACTTTTCCTTAGAATTCTGTGATTTAAGTTATTATTTTTACTTTTGCTATATTAAATTTAGAATTTCAAGAAGTCTCATAATTTTTAAATCACAGTCATCCAGAAAATATTCTGTCATTAAAGCTCCTGCGAGGAGTCTTATTCCAAATATGAAATGGAGTAGAACTATTATTGATGTCCCTTTTATGATATACCAGAAAATGTAGATGAGATTGATTTGGTGTTATTTTAATGCCTTAACTTGTCCCCTTTTTGAAATAATTGATCTTTGAAATATTTCTAGTGAATGAATATTTGACTATCTAAAGTAGCAGGATGTGATTTTTATGTTAGCTGACGTCCTTTAAGCGTGTGGAAAAGAGGTTAATAAAAATTCACGTCAAAATTGGGTCCAACTTGACAAAAAGTAACGATGTTTTTAATGATGCAGTTATGCTTCATATTTATCTTTACAACCGAAGTCGTTCAAATCTGAATTATATTTGTACTTAATTCCATGACTGTGGTAACGACAGAGGCGTGTCTTTCCCTCACAAAAGTTTTTATATAACTACTTTAGATTATTTGGGTGTGTGCTTTTTTTCCGGAACGCGCCCACTTCGGAAAACGTCATACCCGAGGCGCGTTTGTTGCTGCATTCAGGTACTACTCCAATGCACGGAGTTTATAAATTCAGAAGTATTTCTGCGAATATCAGTCTGTTGGGTTGAGATTTTAGACATGATTCTTAAACAAAAAATATTTAAAAAACGAATGCTAAAATTTTTTTGGCCTTATCAGTCAAAAATCTGGTCTCAAAGCGCCTTCACTTGAATTTCTCCGCTTGATGTCTCGTTTTTCCGATTATCCCACCGCTTCTTGAACGCGGCGCGTATCCCCGAGAGTTGTAGTTGTGAAAGCAGATCTGACGTTAGCTTGTAGTTCTCTGCCTCAGCAGGCTGAATTAGCTTGTCAACTTGCCTCTACGGCCGGATACATACTATTTTTTTAAGTTTAATCAAAGAGGGGTTCTTCTTCTGGCGAGGTAATATAAAAAATGTCCTTACTGCTTTATGTCGGGGAAAAGATGAACGGATAAGCTCGCCCTTTGGACGTTAACTTACAGTTAGCAGCTGTTAGCTCAGTCAGTAGCTAACTGTGTAACATCAGTAAACTAAAGGTTTTAATGACTGTGTCTGTGTTAATGTGGAGCTTTAGTCAGTGTAGAGTCTATATGTTTTATATTTGTACTGTTTTAGTTTGATTACATGGTTTGGACTCTGTAGAGGAGGGTTTTATTCATCATCAGACGGGGATGGAAATATTTACTGTGCTATTACTCAGAGCCTGAATGTGACAGACTGTTCACTGCTCTGTTTCTGAAACTAAAGGTTTTGTTTTTGTCCTTTTAAATTCCAGATCATGGCAGATTTCTCGGTGAGTCCCCAGGTTTAGTTCAGGTTTATGTCCCTCTGTGGTTTCATGGTAGACCTGCTCACTTTCTCTGTCTCTGTCCTGGTCTGTAGCTGGCAGATGCTTTAGGAGACGACACCCCGAGCCAGGCAAAGAAAACCAGTAACACCAACCCGTCAGCCCCTGGAAATCACCCTCCACCTCCCTCAAACCCGGGATGGCCTGGATCAGCACCAGGAGCCCCCACCCAGCCCTCCGCTCCAGGTGACTACTCTGGTGGATCCTCTGGACCTGGAGCTCCAGGGCAGTTCCCGTTTCCCTCTGGTCCAGGAGCACCAGGCCAATACCCGGGACCTCCCTCAGCACCTGGAGGGTTCCACCCTGGCCCTGGGATACCTGGACAATATCCACCTGCGCCAGGAGCTCCTGGGCAGTTCCCTTCCAGTCCTGGAGCCCCGGGTCAGTTCCCAGGGCAGTACCCACCTGAAGGAGCTCCAGGACAGCTTCCTGGAGGCCCAGTCCCTTTCCCAGGTGGACCATTTCCCTCTGGCCCCGGAGCTCCCCCCGGGCCGTATCCGAATGTGCCTTTCCCAGGAGGTCAACCAGGAGGTAACGGGATGTACGGACCGGGTGGTCCCGGTGCATTCCCCCCTGCTCCTGGATCATTCCCTGCTTTCCCTGCTGCTGGAGGTTTCCCCCCCATCCCCGCAGGATCATGGGGACCTCACGCAGGTGGAGGCTTCCCCTCTGCTCCTGGCCCCTTTGGTCCGGGCCCTGGGTCTATGGATCCTTACGGGGGTCCTGCTGCTCCAGGAGGCATGCTGGTGAGTACGAGCGCTCCTCCCTGATATCCTAATGCTGCTTGCTTGCTTCATTTCCTTTCTGCTCTGGTGTAGAGTGGAGCATCTCTCTGAGGGTGGTGGTCTGTGGGGGTTCAGGGTAAAAACTAAAACCAGATAGCTGCTTATCTTTAATGCAGACAACTTATACAAGTCGACCCCCTTCAAAGACACATGAATATCCACTCAATTATAGTGTTTTTTCCTTAAAACAGAGACCTAACAGAGTGCAATTTAATTAAATTTAATTATATTATCAAAGTAAGTAAGTAAACTTTATTTGTGTCGCACTTTTCACAGACAAAAATAAAAATGTACACACAAATTAAAAGGCCAAGACAACAACATTAAACAGTCACAGCAGCCCCAAAACAATTAAACAAAAGCCTGAGCAAATAAATCAGTTTGAGGTCGGCTTTTAAAGGAGTCAACAGAGTCAATTAAGCGCATTGAAAGAGAGGAAGATCATTCCAAAGCCTGGGAGCAACAGCCTGGAAGGATCGGTCTCCTCTGGTCCGAAAACGAGTGCGTGGAACCATGAGTAGATTCTGATCCACGGACCTCAGAGCCTGAGAGGGGGTATAAGGCTGGATCAGATCACAAACTGAAGACAAGACAGTTCCTTTTTGTTCAGCCATGAAAACAAACGATTACAGTCGTCTAAACGTGACGACACAAAAGCAGGAATGATGAGCTCCAAGTCATTTTGCGACACCATTTTCTTAAGCTTAGAGATTTTCCTCAGTCGAAAGAAGCAGTTTCTCATCAACTCATCAAACAATACAGAGATGAGATCTCATGGTGTGATGAAGCCATGTTCAAATTAGGGCCCGATCATGTTAATTTTTGGGGCCGATGCCGATTATTAGGGGGGAAAACCTCAGATTACCGATTAATCTGCCGATTTTTAATTTTTTTAATGAAGTTATAAAATATATACATATATACCGCAGATATCAACAGTACACTATGAGGTCGCTGCGCCATCTACAGGATAAGTCGGGGAACTTTTCAAATGGCGGAACATTTTCAAAGTGAAACCGAATCTTATTCTCTGCATTTTATTTCTGAAAATATAGGCGAGTTTTGGCCGATTACCGATTAGTCTCAAACAGGCTAAAACTGCCTGATTTCATCGGCTCGCCGATAAATCGGTCGGGCCCTAGTTCAAATCCTTCAACAGGGTCAGACTGGGCCTCCTCAGAAGCTGATTGAAACAAAAACTAGAACTTTGAAATGTCAGAAAGTTAAGAAGCAAAAACTGGCCATGAAAACTTGGATTATTCTGAAAATCCTAATTTGACTCTCCAGATTTCAGATTGTTGGTATTCAGTAAACCTGTTTAGTGGTTCCTCTGTTCTAAAACCTGAATTTGTCTGATTTGGAAGAAACAAAGTCGGGTTTTCTTTGGGTTTAGCAGCAGGATGGTGCTACCTTCAGATCCTTTCTCTCTCTCTCTCTGTCTTGGGCTCTGCTGGTCTGCAAACATAAATCCGAATGGACAAAAATCCTAAAGTAGTTATGAAAAATGTATTCTTGTCTTTCAGCCCAGATATTATCCTCCGTATAAATGAAAGCAATGAACTCCAGTTTACAGTCGGACAAGGACGTCACCTCCAGAATCAACATGTGGTTTGATTAGGCTGCAAAGACTTAAAATATTTACACAGCTCAGATTTCTGCTCCACCTGCCTGGGGAATGTATTACCCGTAATGAAGTGCAATATCATTTTAATTACAAGCTTCACAAACACTGAATTCTGTTTACTCACAATTATGTAAGACTGTCACTGTTTTCACACCGTTCCCTCACTTTTCTATGAGCTTCTTTGTCTTGACTTTGTTCAGCTGATTCCCTGTCGTACTGAAAATGATAAAAACTCCCGTTTTATTTTTTGGTCTAATCTTTGTGGATTGTGTAAGAGTGTTGAGCTAAATGAGGGAGACGTTGAGTCATTGGGGTGTTGTATTAGGAATGTGGGCCGGGTTTCACTTTTGGATAATGTTTAACTCCCTCTTTATGGTGTTAGCTGTAAGTTCAGAGTATGAAAATGTGAACAGTTTCTGCCCCTGAGGATGTTTGAAACAGACTAAACAACAGTGTTTCTGTGTCTTTGGATTCTCTTGATAAATAAACATACTTAACTCTACTTTCTTTTTCTGTATTTCTTTATTTACTTCAAAAATAGGACAGAAAATACGACATTTGATCAGTAAAATGTCCGTTTTCTTTTGCAGATGATGCCGTATGATCTCCCGCTTCATGCTGGAATTATGCCGCGGCTTGTAATCACAATAGTCGGGGAGCCTCATCCAGGTGCAGACAGGTAGGAGCAACTTTGAGAAACTGTCCCCTTCTTGTTTGATTCAGGATTTCAGTTTCTGAGCAGGACTCTTCTACTACAGAGCCATGCTGTTGTAGTTAATGTCTAGAGTTTTTATACACTTGTTGTAAAAGAGACGAGAAAAGGATATCGATGTTATTGAGGCTTTAAAATCAGGACAAATATCTGTCTGTTTGTTGAGGATGATTAAATAAAAATGTTGTGATTCTCTTTCAGGTTCCAGATCGACTTTATTAAAGGTTCAGACGTCGTCTTTCACTTAAATCCTCGATTTCAAGAACAAACGATCGTCAGGAACTCGAACCTCGGCGGGCGCTGGGGACCAGAGGAGCGAGATGGGATGTTTCCGTTTGCTCCTGGACGTCGTTTTGAGGTAAAATATGTAACAGAAATCGAAGTTTAGATTCAGTGAGATTTGAGGAAGATGAATATTTTTACATTAGTGAGAGAAAGGTGACGTTTGTCGCTTTTTACTCCCGAAGCCCAAATTAAAATCCAGAAAATATTCCTGTATAAGGAGGTGAAATCCAAGAATTTTAAGTTTTTTCCTAAATATTATTCAAACCAAACGATCATCAATGATAAAAGGAGATTATTTTAAATGCTTAACCACTGATACACAGTTGTGACTCTAAAAGATAAACAGTAAAGGTTCTGTGTTCAAGCAGAGATGTTGGAAAATCCTCTTTATCGTCTTTATCAGGACTTGGACTTTGGTAACCTCATGGACTTCTTACCAAACCTCAGTCAGCTTCAGTCTGACGCCCGTTTACATCACCTGAGATCAATCAAGTCTGTGATACCGGAGGATTAAGGGTTAAATATAATATAGATTAACATCCACGTGTACATTGTTCGGCTTTTTATTCAGTGAGGAGCAACGATTCATAATGCAGATTTTGGTCTCTCTTTCTGTTTGTGCTGAAAAGATTTGAAGCTTAAAAGCTTTTAGGGCCACCTGGTGGTTTTTCAAAGTAACAGCAGCTTTCAGAGCTGCAGCGTAAACTTCGCCACACTTCACTGACGGAGACGGTTTCACTCTCATCTGTGAGAGACGAATAATAAAGAAGCCTGTTTGTCATTCAGCACTTTCACTTTTCCTCCATTAATTCAAATATTATCTTACTTTATTTAGAAGTGACAGAAACAGACTGTGTGTGTCCAAAAAGAAAAAATATGGTAGGACTGTGCTGGCAAGAAACAAATGTATTTTTTTTAATAAACTTTTCCAAACAACAATCCAAAAATCTCCTTTTCTAACCATATCCTTTTCTAGATCACATTCAAACTGATGAGCTGATCACATCCCTGTGATGTAGTGTGCAGTACGATCCAGCAGAGGGTGCTCTGAGCGTAACCTGACCATTAAACGGCACTCTTGACCTCGGTACATTAATACAGTGATGCAAATATGGAGAACGTGTGCAGTCCAAGCCGTCTTTAGCCGACAATCACGTCTCAGAACCATCTGAGAGATTTCTTTTGGAAGTATTTTTTTGTTTTAGACCAACGATTTAAAGCGAATATCGTCATGTTAGCATTTTTTAGTACAGAAAGCTTTTTCGGTTTAAGTCTTACCATATATTTTTGAGTGACTGTGACTTTAGGAGGGTTCACTATATTTATGTTTTCAAGTATGAGCATTTCCTGTTGTATACTTTTAAACTTTGGAATGGATGGAAATAATGTTTGAGAAAAATTGATTTTTTTAGTTTGTTGCATTTGTCAACATGGAAGAGGAGGAGCTTAAGGCTTATACTGCAGCCAGCCAACAGGGGGAGCTGTCAGTCTTTCTCCAGATTCACCAAAACATGAATTTAAATTTCTGGTATTTGCAGTAAAAACCTCAGATCCTGACTCTGACTCTGATGTGTGTTTGTGTCCTTGCAGCTGAAGATCCTGGTGGACGAGGACATGTTCAAAGTGGCCGTGGACGGAAACCACCTGCTGGAGTACGAGCACAGAGTGGGCGGGCTCGAACAGGTGACCCTGATTCGGGTGGCCGGGGACATCGCCCTCTACAGCGCGGCCCCGAACATGATCTGAACTCGGAGGTCACACACTCACCTCCTGATGGAGTTTTTGAGGCACAAACAGTCGGTGACGGGCGCTCTTTGCTCGCCTGACTCATTTATTACAGAGCAGATGGTAAATTAATCCAGGTCTCTACACTATAATCTCGTTTTTTAGGTTTACCCGGTGACATTTCAGTTTTTAAGCACTTACAGTCCAGTAGGTTTATAAGAATATCAGAGTAGTGAATGAGATTAAAAGCATTTAAACCAGGCTGGAGATATTAATTTATGCTGAATCATGAAAAGACTGAAGGCCCAATGATATGCTGTATTTTGTTTACAGTGCGCACCTGTTTGTTCTTCTTTTCTTTCAATCTTGATGAGCCTTTGTAATGCATGAGAGTGTGCTGCTGGTCTCCCTTCCCCTCCCGCCCGCCCGCCCGCCTTGTTTCTGACCTGTTCACATTCAGCTAACTATGAAGTGTCTTTATTATTAAACGCAGAGCTCCTCCCTCTCTCAGTATTAACGCTCCTCTCGGACCTGAAGGACGAGTTTGAATCAACAAATCATGATTTCACGTTGAAGTCGGATCCTGAAGTGACTCTAAATTTAAAAAAAAAAATGAACGGAAGAAGAAGAATAAGAAGAAGAAGAGGAGGAGGTTTGGGGCTCTTGTTTTGTTGCCAAAGATCTCAGTATTTTTAGTTATAAATAAAAGGGCAACAAACATACTGACTGAAAGGCTGTTTGAATCTGAATTATGTACACTTTCATCAGCTGCCTGCCTGTGCAAATAATAAATGCTAGTTTCCCTGATGCCATTCTTTATTTTACACAGATTATAAACAGACAATACTCTTCATTTGTAGGAGTGTCCTCTTATTTATTAGCGATTATAAACACAGACACAAAAATCATCTCTTATTTCTATAAACACACAAGTTCATTAAGTTTATATCTGAATTTAAACTTATACCTGTGTGTGGTGATACAGGATATATACTAATTTGTTGAGAATACAAACATAAACCTTACATCCTGTATCTTGTACTGATGTTATAACGGCTGATTTCCTCAAAATGACAGGATCATTTGAAACCAGAACATAGTCTGGTCCTTGTGATGGTCCAGATCACTCCATGTGCGGCTGCCAGCCCTCACTTAAATCAGATTAAGTTCATGTCTGTTGCAGATATAAATGAGGATCATCTGCTGTTCAGTCCAGATCGAAATGAGTCGGTTCTCTGCACATATAACACAGAGACAACAATTTAAATATTACTGAAAATGATTCAGAGGGGACAAAAGCTGGTTATTATTAATGCTTTTCAGGATTGGATAACTTTGCCTCGACTTTATGGGTTTATTTGGAGGGCTGAATGACAAATTTTCACCTCCAGATGGTTGTCAGATTATTCCTGTTTAGACTAAGTCAAATTATAGATTATTGATCCCCTTGGTTAAGGCTGCAAACTTGTATATATGTTTATTATGTTTACACTCCAACAGGAGAAAAGAGACGATGAAAGAGGGGAGGGAAAAAAGGACATGAGTGAAAAGTGTTTGATTTAACTTCACAGTTATTCTACTGGAGCTTAAGATATTTATGTCAAACTATGTCTCTGCTCCGGGATAGAGAAGTATTTAAATATTCTACACAGTTGAAATTTGTTCAATATATGTAAAATATTGATGGAATATTGATATGTGAAATCAATAAAAAAGAAAATTATAAAAAAATTATATTTAACAGACAGTGTTAATACATACTGCAGATTAACTAAAATAGCACTTTATTGTGAAATAAATAAAAAAGAAAATAAAAAATAATATTTAACAGACAGCCTTTATACATACTGCAGATTAATTAAGATACCTATTTATTGTGAAATCAATATAAAAGAAAATTAAAATAAAAATACTTAACAGAAGGCGTTAATACATACTGCAGGTTAATTAAAATAGCCATTAATTTTTAAATAAATAAAAAGGAAATAAAAAATAATATTATTTAACAGACAGTATTAATACATATTGCAGATGAATTAAAATACCCATTTATTGTGAAATCAATAAAAAAAAAATAATATTAAACATACAGCATTAATACATACTGCTGCAGATTAATTAAAGTAACCATTTATTGGGAAATCAATAAGAAATATAATTTAAAAAAATAATATTTAACAGACAGCGTTAATACATACTGCAGATAAATTAAAATAGACATTTATTGTGAAATTAAAGAAAATAAAAAGAAATAATATTTAACAGACTGTTAATTCATACTGCTGATTAATCAAAATAGCTTTTCACATAAAAAAGAGCATCTCTAAAAGTATGAATGTTATATCTGTGTGAGTTAGAGTTATTTGTTGGTGTAACTCATAGACTGTATATACTATATATATTTATATATGTATATGTATATTCTACAGTCTATGGTGTAACTCCTCCGGTGTTTTGCTTCAGTTCTCTGGATTTGCCTCTCGGCTGTGATCATAGACTGTATATACTATATATATGTATATATGTATCTTCTTTATACAGCCTAGTGTGTAACCTCTCTTGTGTTTTGCATCATTTCTCTGAATTTTCCTCTCGGCTGTGATTCAAAGGTTGGCCTGCAGTTCCGCCTCTGACCATGAGGGGGCAGCAGGCGCAGACATCAGCCTCAGCGGTGCCGAGAAAGCAAATCGAAACTCTTCAATGAGTTCACCTTCAGATAAATAGTTTGTCCCTTTCTTCTCTTCGCCGCAGACTCTAATTTAACCCTCGGGGTGTGTTGACAAAATGAATGGCTCCCTGCACTCCTCGTCCAACGTGGTGGTCATTGGACTGAAGCGAGGACCGGCGGGTAAGACGGCCGACGGTCCGGACGTGAAGCTAGCTCATTAGCTCTGTATGCTAAAGTGCTACGTAGCAGCGAAAATGAAGCTAAGGGCAGATTTTAAAACCCAAACTAACCAAAACTAGCCAGATATCAGGGGGTTAGGTGGGTTTTTGAGGAGTAATGACAGAGGTAATCATGCTTAGATAAATACTTCAACTCTAACTACTCTGTTAAATGTTAAAATAGTCAGTTTATGGACTTTGTGAAGTAGTTTTAACACGTTTTAAACTAACTGGGCCTGTTATATAGTCACTCATTACAGACGGAGTTTTAGGATTACTCTGCTTTATTATAGAAACATGAGTGCTTTACACTTTGTTATGTAAGATTTTAGGAGGACTGCACTGTAACATGAATCATCCTGAACTTTGATCCATACAGATAAATGTTATAGGACCCTGTAAACAAAGGTGAATATTGAATTTTCTTTATCTGATTAAAAACTCTGTTTTTTTGGGTCTTTTTACAGGTTTGGGGTTCAACATAGTTGGGGGTGTGGACCAGCAGTATGTGGTGAATGACAGCGGCATATATGTGTGCAAAATTAAAGAAGATGGAGCTGCAGCTTTGGATGGGAGACTGCAGGAGGGGGACAAGATCCTGGCGGTAATCAATACAGATTTGATCAGAGTTTATGTCCTGTGGGGGTTTTATTCAGTTTATTTCATTTGGCTGTCTCAAAAGTTGTTTTCTGAACATCTTAGGACACCCCCTCCAGAGATGAATGTTGCCGACCGCTTATTTCTCTCGTTATACCAACTTTAGTAACGACCGCAGGATAGAAATACAGAGAACTCCCAAAAAAACATAGCCACAAATCATGCTCAGAACAGCACCTAACTTCAACAACAGGACATATAGGGTCACAGACATAGTACTGTATTCAGAGTTGTTCTAACTCCTAAGAAAACAAACTTCAGCAGGGGCGTTTCTCCACCTCTAACACCTAAGGTGTTTTTATTGAGCCGAATTATCAATAAAATCATGATTTTGTTAACAGGTATGGATATATGTGCTGTAGAGTTACTATATTTGAACAAGAGCACAGTAAAGTTAAATCAGCTAATTTTCCAATGAGGTTCTGTTACTGAACGGAACTACACCATGTTCTACTCAGGTTAGTACAAATAGGGTCCCAGCCATAGTACTAGACACCAAACATCTTTTTAACTTTGACTCATTTCTTTAGCAAAGAGACAACTCACACCTACTCTCTTCCAGCAGCCGCTTGTTTGTAGAGAGACCTCAGGCCAGTCCATTACAGACTACAACGGGGTGACACAGCTCAAGGAAGAACATTTATGATCCTTTCTTTATCATTTCCTTGAAGTAATAATCACCATATTAATCATTTTTCACTGCGGACGTGGTAGTTCTTCGGCCTTAGCGTCTCAGTCTGATTGTATTTCCATGAAGAAATGATCATAAATGTTCTTCCTTGAGCTGCGGCACCCCGCTGTCGTCTTCCTTGAAGGTCTTCCCACAAAAAGTCCTTGTCTGGATGGCAGCAGATGTTGCTTCAAACCTGGAGATATTGTTTCAAACTGAGAATACAGCATCTATGATTTCCAGTTCTTTGTTGAAAGGACAATTGGACTTAAGGCAAAACGTCTCAACTAACTCCACTTGTCCTTTCCAGAAGAAGGTCAGATTTTAATCCTTGAGTCTACTTTAAAGGGACTCAGATCCAGGTGATTTTGAGTCCATGTAGAATTATTATTTTTATCATTATTATTATGATTATTATTATTATTATTATTGTTATATACTGTCGATGATGGATGTATTAAGGATTTACTGTAATAAAACTATAACAAGAATGGAAATAAATAACCCTTTTTGATAAAACTGTGCAGATAAACGGAGTTCAGCTGGAGGATCGGACACATAAAGACGTGGTGGAGTTGTTCAGGACGGCGGGGGAGGACGTGGAGCTCCGTGTGCTGAAAAAGGTGAGAGTCCTGAGGCTTTTAAACGACCTCCTCCTCCTCCTCTTCTTCATCTTCTTCTTCTATATCTTACTGAAATGTCTGAACAGTCCTCTCTGTATTTGTCGCTATCAAACTCATAATCCTACATTATTCCACTCAGCTGATCCCTTCTTAATTAAAACGTATTTAAACTAATTAAAATGAGAGTTTGCTGACTGTGTGGCAGCTGAGAACAAATATCAGGAAGTGTCTGTCAGTCAGAGAAAGTGGAGACGGATGTTGCCTGACATTACCTCCATTCACAAGTGGAACAAAGTTCAACGTTTACGACTCGGAGAAAGAGCTGAGCTTAAAGAGCTGCACATGGACTCCTGTTTACTGAATGTTGTGTTTCTTAGTTTTCATCAGTATTTGTTTTAAAACTTAACAGGAATTTTAAAGTAAGTCAAAGTACGGATGAATATTTCCTCTTTACGTAAAAGAGCTTTCATGTTTTTATCACAAAGCAAGTTTTTAAAGTCTGAAATTTCAAGTTTATTTTGGAGACACTTCTGGATTTTTAAGAATTTCTCTGTTACTTTCACAGCTTTAAGTTTTACCTGCTTATAACACCAACTAAAGGTTTTATTCAGATAAAAACTCAGACTAGATTACCTGATCAAATCAAAGTTTGTGATTTTTTTTACGTTTGAGCACCACAATCTCTGGATTTTATCTGAACGATGATTGGATTACCTGATCTAATCTATCTCTTTATTTGTATTTCATTCAGACAACCTGGTTTTACAGATTAAATCCAAACAGATAGATTAATCTGACCAGGAGAGAGGCTGTAGTGAGCTGACGCAGTAACAAGCTCAAAGTGAGAGACATCGTTCTGAATCATAATAAACTCAAGAGCTGAAGTGTTGACATGAAAAATTAGGTTTTATAAAAGCTTGAAAAGACTAAAAGAGCTCAATCTTTTACGTTTTAACGACACGGTGTGAACATATTTCTCTATGAGCTCTTTAAGTGATTTCTTTCTCTCTGTCTCGCAGTTGTCCCGTCACATGAACGGTCCCACCGGCCCTCGACCCGAGCAGGAATCCCCCGTGTCTTCTCTGGGAATACTCGCCGCGTTAGCCGGAGCTGCTGCGCTCGTCGCGTTCATCTACGTGCGGCACCTCAGGAAGCACTTTTAACCATCAGACGTCTGTTTGTTATTTTTCCAGATCAAAAACTTTGCTAAAGGCCAAAGAGGTGAACGAGGGAACAAACCCCAACACAGTAGATGTTCTGTCTTTATTTTTTTTTTTTGATTGGTAGGTGCGTTTGTCATCGATGAGTTTCTCCAAGTTCATGTGATTCATGGTAGCTCGCTTCTATGCAAAAAAAGACGCTCTCTCTCTCAGCACAGAGACGCTTTAGTTTGAGGTAACTTTGTGAACTTTGTAGGGAGATGAATGTACTCGAGACATTCCTGCTGCCGGGCTGAGCTCAGGCAGAAACAAGCCGATACAGAGAAGACTGTCGAATCTCCGAAAGTCGGGTCAGATCTCAGTTTATCGCTCTTAAAATTAAAGTCAGCTGGTTGATTTTCATTTTGCACAGTTGTACAGAATCAGACAGGAGCAGTTAGTAAGATGAATTGTGTAACTGACTGAGTGCCTTAAATAGAAATGATGGTGTCCAGGTCTTATTAGCTCTTTCTCAGGCTAGCTCTTAACGTAAAAAAAGGAAACTAAAGGATGTGGCTGCTGATGTTTCGTCTTCTCCTGTCAACAAATCTTGTTTGTCTGTCTTCAAGAAAAAAATCATAAATTAATTGTCAAATAACGTCTGAGAAACGTCTCGTCAGTGTGGGTAGAAATGGTGCGTGTGTGAGGGTGTAGTTTTGTCTTTTTAAGCTACAGCACCTGAAATGAAATAAGATGCCGGCATCAAAGTGGCTCCTCTTCGTCGTCGTTCTGTCATCGTTGGTTTTGGTCTGTTTCTGTTTGGATTTGTTGACAAAGAGGGACGTTTACATCGCCTGATTTTTACTCTTAAAGGACCAGTGTGCTAAAAAAAAAAGAAGAGAAGAATACCAAACATTTCTTTAAATATAAATATCTTTTGAAAATATGAAGCTTTTTTATCTAATCCAACAATGAGCCTTTACGTCTCCAGAAAGGAAAAAGCCTTTTTCAGTGAGTCCGACATGTTTCTACGGCAGCCCAGAAAGGACAAACCGAGCTGAGGCTGCAAAGATGTTATTTTAGCTTGAACAAAAAACGGAAGCGAAGTTTTCCACATAAAATAATCATCGATCCTAACTTTGGCTGAAAGTTTGCAGGGCAGAGTCAATGCTACGGAAGCCCAAAGTGGTCATAAATCTATGCATTTTGTTTAATCTGTTCTATGATTAGTTCAGGCTATTTCTTGGGATTTACACTTATTTGTCACAATGCTTGTTTTACTGTAAAATTTCAACCATTTTCTTGACACCTCAATGAATTTATTTAATATTTCCAGAAAAACTGACTTTATAGACACACAGGAGACTTAATCAGGTTAGATTGAGAAGAGGGGTCGGAAGGGGGGAGGTGGTGAAGTTTACTCATCTGTTTACTTCCTTGTGAGACTTTAAACCCAGACACAGCTGTTTTGTTTCTGACACATCTTTAAAAGTTTGTTTTCAGTCGTTTGCAGCCAACCGAAGAACCTGTTTTTGACCTGAAAACCGCAGCTGCAGTTATCAGTCAGTTGCATTCTAAAACTTCACCCCTAGATGGCACTAAATCTCACACACTGCTCCTTCAGAGAGAAATACAGTTTGACCAAGTATCACAGATTGTGTTCCCTTTTGAGAAGTTTATTATAACGCATAAAAATAAAAAGTCACTCAGGTGGAGATGTTGAACCCATGTTATTAAAAAAATCATTCCTGAGCGTGAGGTCGTGTCGTGGGCAGCTCGTTTCCTAACGTTCAGTCAGGGCTGAAGGTGCTGCCGTGTTTGAGCCGAGCGTTGTTGCCATTTTTAACATTCGCACCTTCTGCTGAGTTGTTGTCTCGTGGGGTGACTGTGAAAATAAGTGTATGATTTGGGAGGAGAGATGAGTTCTTATTGGTGTGAAGGATTTATACTGAAAAGCAGCTCAAACTGGCTCACTTTAAAGAGGATGGGTTTCTGTCAACAGCTTCAAATGTTTGTTTTTGCACTAGCCACAATCATGGAACTCCTCCAGTAACGGCCTTAGAGCAGGTGAATCAGTGATTTATGTGCGCCGGGTGTGTTTGTCTGTAGAGCGTCTATCACACAGACCCATCTGACTGTCTGTGACTCTTATCGTCTGTAAATACATTTCATATCACTGCTGAGTGGGATTGTGAATATGTGCAGTATGCCAGAAATGTTGATCAGAAGCACTAATAAATTATACAATTGCTGTGTGTTTTACATCCAGGCACCTACTGTAATAAAATTCATGTTGAATTCAGCTCTTTGGTCTTTGTGTGTTTATTTTAACCTGAAACAATATACTCACCATCACTTAAATAACGATTTTTAATTGCTGAGTGTAAATGCAAACGTTAAACTTTCATTAGAATCTGTCAATTTTCGTGTTATGTATACATCTATACAGTGGCCGAGAACAGCCACTGCTGCTGCTGCTGCAAAAAAAAAACCCACAACGGAAGTTACTGCTGCAAATAAAAAAAAGAAATGGTGCAGATAAAATTTTAAAACACAATACGCAAAAAAAAAAAAAAAAAAAAAAACGTGGTGATGCAAAAATGATGATGCACCAGTGTTTCACGATCTAGGCACAGAAGACGATGAAGAAAAGACGAGCAAAGAAGTAAGTGGAAAGGTTTTTGTTTAATTTTGCTTCGTAAACTTTTTAATGTTTCATTTGGTTAGACCATGTAGCACCTTAAATTAAACAATAACCTTTATACTTACTTCTTTGCTTGTCTTTTCAATGTCGTCTCCTGTGCCTAAATCGTAAACACCTGTGCATCATCATTATTGGTCCCCAGCAACTCACTTCCCCTGTGGCTCTTTTTATTTGCGTCCCTTTATTTTCGCAGTAAGTTTTTCCATCGCCACTTTTCTTTTTGCATCTTTAACTTCCGTTGTGGCTTTTTTTTAACTGCACCATTTCTTTTTTTATTTTCAGCGGGCTTTGGTTTTTTATTTTTTATTTTTTGCATCAGCAACTTCCGTTGTGACTTCCTTTTTGCTTTCTTTTTTTATTTGCAGCACTGGCAGTTCTCAGCCACTGTATATATTCATGTATACATAAAACGAAACTTGTAAGATTTTAATCAAAGTTTAATGCTGGCATTTACACTCAGTAATCAAAAATCGATATGTAAGTGATGGTGAGTATTTTGTTTCGAGTTAAAATAAACACACAAAGACCGAAGAGTTTAATTCAACATGAATTTTATTACAGTAGGTGCCTGGATGTAAAACACACAGCAATTGTATAATTTATTAATGCTTCTGAACAACATTTCTGGCAAACTGCAAACATATATGTTACAACATATATGTGTAAAACCAGACTGTATTGTTGAAAACTATCGAAGTTTGAATGATTAAGCTAGCTAGTAACGGTGCAACACCGGATATGAATATATTACCTTCAAAATAAAAGAAGACAAAAATAAATTTCCCTCCGAATATACCTCCGAAATAAAACGACCAATATGTTAGGTTGCGTCAAACTGATTATTTACAGCACACAACAGGTAGAATAAAGAAAACGTCAATGTATGAACGAAATAAGGATTTACGAGCTGAAATATTAGATCTTATTGTGTGTTAATGTAAAACAATCGACGAAAACAGTTTTATTATCGCCCTGAATTTTACTCAATACCAGTTTTTGTTTGTTTAAAGTACTTATTTAGTGAGTTTTACGATCAGAAAAAAAACAACTTCAACTGCTAAAAGTTAGAATATTAAAGTATTTTAAAAGTGGATATGTTCTTACTATTCTAACGGTCGGCTGTGGTGATGAAAACAAAGTAAAAGCATAAAAATAAAAATGCGCATTGTTCTGTGCGAAAATGAAACCATATAAGAAAACAAAATGTGGTGTTTTAGTAGAAATAATAAAATAAATTAAAATAAAAAGAGAGCTCCTCTCAGCTGTTGGAGGATGTTCCCTCGGAGGCAGAAATGATGTAATCAGACAGGAGAGAGAGAGAGAGAGAGAGAGAGAGAGACGATCAGCAGAGCTCACTCACGATACAGCTCTATCCTCTCTCTCATTTTTACACTTTTCTCTGAACTAAAAACATCGACGAGTGTTTTTTTTCTCGGGTGGTCTACGTCCGGTTCCGTGTTTGTCATGTGGCGGAGCAGCACTGTGCTCTCCCGACGAAGAAGAAGAGGATGCTGGATGCGGGCCAGCAGTAGGAGCAGCACCGGCCGGGGATGCTGCTACTGCTGCCTGTGGTGACTCCCCCCACCACCACCTCCTCCTCCTCCTCTCATCTCCTCCATCAGCTGTAATTATCCACCATGGCTCAGGAGTCCTCTCCCACGGCTGCACCGACGTCCTCCGGGTGAAAATGGCCCCGCACTCCGCCTCCACTGGTCCGCCTTTACGCCTGTGATGAACCGAGGGCGCCTGCTTCAGACCCCCCACACTTGTAGGCCTCTTTCTGCCGATCTGGATCATGTTATCACCTCCAACGCGTCTGCTGTGACATTTTAATCTGTTGTTTTTGCTTCTCGGTCCTCCAGCATCGCTAAACTAACATTTCTCGGAGCTGCACGGGGACATGCGGCTCCTCACTGAGCCCAGCAGGGATCATCTGAGTTCTCCTGGTCTCACTCTGGTTGATGGCACCTCTCTTGGCTTAACTTCTTCGGGAGCATTTTTCCTGGTTTTACTCGCAGGTTTGCAGGTCTGTGCGTCCATGCGGTAGTCGCCCTGCTTGGGGAGGAGTAAGCAGAGGGGTGTGGAGGTCCTGAGAAGCAGAGAACGTGGAGGGTGGGGACGTTTGCCTTTCCTGCTCAGGTTAAAACCATGGCCAATGAACCTGTCATCCTTAACGTCTATGATATGGTAAGAGCTCCATCTCCCACTGCACTCACTCTTAAAGCAGGTCTGTTGGTGTTTCTTGCTCCTGATTTGCTCAGAAAGTAGTGAATGAAAACACTTTCAGTTGGATAACGTTGGCGCCCCCTGTGGACAAAACAGTCTTTGCTTATCTGGTCTTACACATGTTGAATTACCAAAATCTAATTGCTCTGACTGTGAATATTTAATGTAAAAATGTAAAAACAGGACAGTTTCTTCAGCTGCTTGGCTGGCACTTAAAGGGATATTCCGGCGTAAAATTAATTTAGGGTTAAACCCAACGTAACACCGAGTTAGACACCCCCTCAAAAGATGAATGTTGCCGACCGCTTGCTTCTCTAGTTATTCCAACTTTAGTAATGACCGCACAATAGCAATACAGAGAGCCACACGCTCAACCAAAACGCCACTCTATAGCCACAAATAATGCTAGCAAAGAGACTGTTTGTAGCGAGATCTCGGGCCAGTCCATTACAGACTACAGCGGGGTGCCACAGCTCAAGGAAGAACATTTATGATCATTACTTTATCATTTCCTTGAAGTAATATTCACCATATTAATCATTTTTCACTGCAGACGCAGTAGTTCTTCTGTCTTAGCGTCTCGGTCTGATTGTATTTCCATGAAGAAATGATCATAAATGTTCTTCCTTGAGCTGCGGCACCCCGCTGTAGTCCCTAATGGACTGGCCTGAGGTCTCACTACAAACAAGCAGCTGCTGGAAGAGAGTAGGTTTGGTTGAGGTTTGTTTATGGCTCCTCAGACCGCTGTGTATTGCTATCGTGCGGTCGTTACTAAAGTCGTTACTAAAGTTGGTATAACTAGAGAAGCAAGCGGTCAGCAACATTCATCTCTGGAGGGGGGGTCTAACTCGGTGTTACGGTGGGTTTGACCCTAACTTAATTTTACGCCGGAATATCCCTTTAAGGCATAAAAACTACAGTATAAGAATTGCCAATTTTGTCCCTGAGGATCTCACTTGCCTTAAAAATGTCATAAATAATGCATCAATAATAATTTCAGTTTATTTTATAGATATTAAAAACCTTCTCACAGGAGCTTTAAAGTTAGAAAGATTCAAATGTGGATCAAATTTAGGTAGAAAAACATCGCCTGTTGATCCTGCAGCAGAGATGTGTAAGGATTCTTTTTTATTATCTCAGGTTAACACAGATTCACTTTGCTTCTTTATTTTTATGCCTGTGCTCTTTATGAACTTATAAAAGAGTAAAATTTACAAAATTTACTGCTGAATTTTATGAGCACAGTCAAAATGATGCAGTAAAATCTAGGAGCTGCAAATTAGACGTGGTCTCCACAGGTTAGCTTTCATGGTACCAGATCACGACTTCACCAACCAAAGTACACACTCTTTTTAGACGGTTTTTGCACTTTTAATTCTCAATTAGAGAAAGTAAAGTGTGCCTCAAATATCACAATACTGCGTCTGCATTAAAATCTGAGTCTGAATCTGTAGAAGCTGCAGTTGTATATAATTTATGCAGCTGTCAGTGGAATCTGGAGAGCACAGTGACACCCTACATGGAGCTGCTGTTTCAGGTTGTCTACACATTGTTCTCTGCAGCCCAATTAGGATACTGTAAAAGCAAATCCTGCAGCTGAACTTCGCTAACTTATGGGCAAGTCAACTCTGCAACTTTTACCCAGTTCATGTGCACTCCAGACAAATGATTGCTAAATTGATGATATTTTCAAAGGGGTTTGGTTGGCACTTTGGCAGAATGGTCTTTTATCTCATTGTTTTTTAAGACATGAGCAGTTCTGGTGTATTTTGGTCTTTGGTTTCCTTCTCTGAAACCAGCAGAGGAAGTGAAAGCACCAGCAGCACTGAAGATAAACTGAGCTGTTGGACATGATGTGGTTCAATACAGCAGACTCTGAGACAATATGATAGTTTGAAACCTGTTAACCAATCGTCTAACAGATCCTCCCCTCAGCTCGCTGACTTTTGTCTCTGCACCCACAGCTCACATGACGCACACTTGTACAAAAACCACACAAACACCGCAGCAGGACAAGGCTCCTCATTCATTCATGTGCCCACTGTCCGCTCCTCACACTCTGTGCGGCTGCTGAACAACCTCCTGTGTGAATATTACGCAACATTTTGACTGTCCGTCCACAGATACCCTCCTTTTACAGCAAAACATTGACTTTGCAATAAGTCTGTTGATTCTTGTAGTAAATAAGCTGTTCATATCACACTCAAACTGAGCTCCAAACAGTGGTGCCTGCAATATTATATTACCTTTGTAAAAATTCTAACTTATCTTCATTTTTAATTAACAATACGACCCTTTAACATGTATTTATCCTTCCAAGTTACTTTCAGGTGAGTCTGTACAGAAAAATTGGAGAAAACATGATTGTAATACCAAAAAGACCAAGTCCAAACACTGCAGTACCTCAAGTGTCCACTTGAGGCTGACCCAAAAGCCAAGGAATCCCCATTAAGTCCAGTATTTTATCTATACAGCTGAATTAAACATGTTTACAAGCTGGTTTAATCAGCGATTCAGGGTATTTGGCTCATGTATGTGTTCCTACATAATGTACAGGGAGTTATTTTTATAATACAAGGCTAAATTTAACGTAAATCTGTATAATTAGGGGCATCTAAAGTAGGTTTAGTCAGCATTTCTTCATCTCTATACACAAACCAGTGTGTGACACCACTGAGATTACATCCATGTTTTATATAGTCTGTGATAAAAACACACTTGGATGGGTTATATGGCTTTAAAAAGGTGTGACGGCACGTTAAAAAAGACTACAAATAACACGACAGTGGGAGCTGCTACAACAGGCTAGCACTGGTAATCGCACCATCTATCAAGTGTCAGTGTGAGTAAGTACAAAAATCAAAAAACAGGTTTATCTGTGTCCTAAAAACCCAAGATGATGACGCCCCTGGATGTCTTGTTTTATTCCCTTGTGAGTCTTCTCTTTGCTCTTTTGAAGTCAGATATTTCAGACGGTGTTTTTGCATTTCCAGAAACGCACAATGAGGTGCAGTCAAGCACTAAAACCCGAACCCTGGTGCAGCTGTTGAGGTCTAAGCATCAGTCGGAAGCTTTCTTCACAGACAAGCACCTCAGCGGGGCCACATGTGACAGCTGCTCAGACAGACAGCCGATTTAATCCCAGCGTAGCTCTGCTGTGCCGGGATTTAACAGGTCAAACAGGGAGGGGGGGCGGCTGGAAAGAGAGAAAGTGATCATGAGGGGGCGCCGAGTCCCGGAGACCGCTTTAAATACTGGAGATGAGAATTAAATACAAAGAGGAGAGGAGCAGAAAGAGCTGCCTGGAGGAGGGATGATGATAAATCGATTGTTTTCAATGTGAAATCAATGTGGCTGTTAGGAGAGTGCAGTGGTGCATGATGGGTCTGCAGACTGGGAGGACTGGTGCAGCGCCGGTGATTTCTCAAAAACAAGAAAAGACGAAGAAAACATGTGTCTGATTTAATCTAACATGTCAGGACTCTGCTGTACGCTAACAGGAGTTATTACGTTACTTTCCTTAGCCATCTACTGGCTGTGTTAAATGCTTGATTCTGATTGGTTCAAACTGTAAAGGGCGAAGGCAAAGGCAGACAGATCCTCCACAAAAAGAGAGAAGAAATAAGAGAGGACAGAGACCGTGAGTTAAAGAGACATCTACCAAATTGCAGAAAACAGACGTGAAGTAACCGCAAATGTCGGCAATGATGTAGTTCGGCCTTTCCCTGTATGAGTCGTGTTGTTAGCTAGCTAGGCAGTAGATGAGTGGGTTATCTAACAGCATATTACTCACATTAGCTCATGTATTAATGGTGCATTCGAGTTCCCTTGGAAGTCAGAAGTCCGAGCTGGGAATGACGTCACACCTGAGTTCCCAGCATTTCAGTCACCAAGTCGGAAAAAAGCAAAATTGGAGGTGGAAACAAGATGGCTACATTTAGGAAAGGTATTTTGGTGCTTGTCTTGTCCAAATATGACGTTGCCATCTTGTGGCCGCTTCCGATTTTGCTTTTTTACGACTTGGCGCTGGTAACTCGGGTGTGATGTCATTTTCAGCTCCGACTTCTGACTTCCGAGGTAACTCGAACGCAGCATTAGCACACGAGCTAATGTGAGTTATATGCTGTTAGATAACCCGCTCATGTTAGCATTCCTCTACTGCCTAGCTAGCTAAAAACACGACTCATACAGGGAAAGGCCGAACTACCTCGCTGCCAGTGGCGGCTGCTGGTCTTTCAAGGAGGGGAAGCTCATTTTTCTGGCCTACATCATAATTGTGTTTGTTTATTAGTATGTAACAGAACAGAGTCGCCAAACACAACAGCAGTCGTTTTTAACAAAGACAAAAGTCGCTGAGGATCGGTAAAGTCTCTGGAGCAGTTAAGAACAACGGAATGAATAACTTGGAAAATGCTCTGGTAGATGTTTTATTCTTCAAGATCGCTGATTCGCTTGTTTAGCTGTCAATCAAAAAAGGATTTCGCCTCAGACAGCTCATCCAGTCATGGATGCAGAAGCGCGGAGTCCGGGAGAAAGTCGGGACCGCCCTCTCGCCATAGAACTCCAGTGAAGCTGGGCTTCCATTGGGCGGGACAAGGCCCAGCATTTATCCAATGAGCGTCTAGTTTCGCTGCTGGAACAACCCACTTTAAGCTTCCACATTGAAGTCAGCAGAAGCCCAGCGTCCGGCTGTTTAAAGCGCTGAGGCGCTGCGAGGATGAATGGGAACGAAGTTATGCCGGTTACCTGTGATTATCAGCTTCTTATCACAGTGTCTGAACAAAAGATGAAAGCTTTCTAGAGCGTATTTAGTTAATGAAATGAACACACAGCCGTACGTATTTCAGCACTTTTTCTTTTTTTGGGGGGGTGACATTTTAAGGGAAGCCGAGCTTCCCTTGCAGTCTTAGAGCAATCGCCACTGCTCGCTGCCTATATTGGGCGAGTGAAAAGTTAAAAAACAAAATCAGAGGCAGAAACAAGATGGCTACATCTAGGATAGTTATTTTAGTGCTTGCCTTGTCCGAACATAAGACAAGGTAACTGTCTTGGTAACTGAAACGCTGAGAACTGGGTTGTGACGTCATTTTTAGTTCTGACTTCCAAAGTAACTCAAACGCACCTTAACTACCGTCTGTTTAATTGTCGTCTATCTGGCGTGTTTGCAGAGTTTCAACTCTTCGTCTTTTTCTCGGTTTCGTTGAAAACGATAAAAATCAACACGGGGCAAAAGTCACAGCAGAAACATGAGGAGGCTGCTGGAGCGAAATCAAATGATGGATGTGTTTTAATTGTGTAACTCTGTGCCCGGAAACGTGTTTTATTATTTATAGCAGACATCTGGGACAGTGTGGAGCTCTTAGTGTGTTTCCTCGGGGGTGTCTGAGGGTGAGAGAGCATCAGTGGGGCATGGAGGAGGAAAAAAGAGGGGGGCAGGAAAACCGGATTATTCCCTCTGTGTAAATTTACGAGCTGTACTTTTGTAAACGAGTCTGTTGTTTCATGGCTGAGACGTCTCCACTGTTTCTGAGTGAGGAAACAGGCGACGAATGTCCTCAAACGTGTCCTTTATTTTTGCATAAATGCTCAGGGTTCGATCTCAGCAGCCTGTTGATGATGATCGTCAGCCTCAGTGTGAACATGATCTCTGCAGAAATGATCCTTTCAGTTCAGGTGATGCTGTTTGGAGGACGTCTTTCCTTTGACAGTCCTGTTTCTACTGCAGCATGTTGTATATTTACAGCAGCAGCAGCATCCTGATGTTTTTTCTTTTGTGCCTTTTTTTCCTGCTGTATCGATCCTAACATGACCTTGTTCCCTCTCTCTCTCTCTCTCCTCTTTGCAGTACTGGATCAACGAATACACGTCCAATCTGGGGATTGGAGTCTTCCACTCAGGCATAGAGATTTACGGCCGAGGTAAGACCCTCTCCTTCAGTCTGCGGGATCAGACCCTCAGCCTCAGGCCCCTCAGCGCTCCCCCGTCTGTCTGGTTGTGAGTTTTGTGCGAGGCTGCGTTCACAGACACGGGTGAAGTCTGTTCTCGAAGTGGAGTAAAGTTTTTGTCGCTAATAGCGTGACCCAATTTCTCGGGGTTGAGTCACCGCTGACTCACCGTGTGTTTGTGTGTGTGTGGTTCGAAAGACGAGAGGCAGAAACCAGCGTGAAACTATATCGCCGGGAACTCCGGTGTGAAATATCGGCTCTGTGCACGGTGAAATATGATGAGAGGAGAAATATATCCCCCTCTAGGCGAGAGTATCTCTGCTTTCTGCAGAGTTTCGGCACATTATTTTCTGCGTGCAGAAATTTCTAGCATAATAAGCTCATGAATTCCATCATTTTGAATTTACTGTCGAAGAAAATCCTGCAAATCTGAGGCCTGAAATGTGAAAAATATCCATGACTTGTCTTGAGTCTTTCTGGATATTGTCCTTTTTTTAATAGAAGGTGGTTTAAATGAGGAATTTAGAAGAGAGTCATGTGCTGTGGACGTAAAACACAAAAGTAACAGGAAGTCAGAGCAACAACAACAACAACCTGATGCATCCTCTCTCTGCATCTCCCAAATCCTGATTCTGATTGAACCCAAAACCCGTTAGAATAAGAGGACGCTCAGAGGATGCAGGTCCAGTCAGCTCAAACAGGCAGTGATGAATCAGGATCTTCAAACGTGGCGTCCCACAAGGCTCCGTCCTCGGCCCCCTCCTCTTTTCTGTCCACATCCTTCAGAGACTCTGTGGTGATCAGTTACCGATCTGTCCAAACTGTCTCGTTGATAAAAAACTTGATTTTTTTGCGTCTCAGTTGCAGAAAAACTCGGAGCTTTCTTCCCCTCAGGACTCCACTAAACCGGTCTGGAGTAAATTAGGTCACCTGTCCGCTTTCATTAAACCAGCAGCTAAAAACCGTATTATGTTTGACTCCTGCTTTTGAAAAGGGTTGTGAAAAAACAGTTTCTTTCCCCCGGCGGTCCCCCGGTCTAATTTTAGACCTGAAAACGACCAGAGTTTTTCTCTTAATCAGGTGTGTGGCTTGTTTGTTTTTTTCTCTCGGCTGCTGTGGTTTCTTCTTCTTCTTCTGTCTTTAAATAAATCTGACTCGACTAATGATCGCTCACGCTCCGTGGTAAACAGAGAGAGAGAGGAGCTGAGATGATGTGTGATTATAATGAACATCATCGCAGTCAGACAGACAGTCGAGGGTAAAAACAGCAGAAGAAAAACAAAAAACACGACTTCTTTCTGACTTCATCTTCTTCACTAACCGCTGATTGTGACGCTTAAAAGACGACCAATCACTGATGAGGGATTTCAGGTGTTTAGGCGCAGATTCAGACCCTGCAGTGATAGATTATATTATATGTTGAATTTGAGGGTGAGCTGCGTTCACGGTGCTGCGCCTCAGAGTGTTCATCAGTGTTTTTATCCATCTGCTGTAAACACAGAGCGCGGCGGCCTGTAATTAGCCCGTCCTAATGATCTAAGCACCATGTGTCAGTGATTAAATACTCTCCTCTGTGTGATTACAGTCGCTCACGTTCTTGTTTGTCCTCGCAGAGTTTGCATACGGAGGTCATCCGTACCCGTTCAGCGGCATCTTCGAAATCAACCCCGGGAACGCCGCCGAGCTGGGAGAGACGTTCAAGTTCAAGTGGGTGTTTTCGTCTCTGTCGTCTGTTTTCAGTGTTTTCAGCGTCCTGATGTGTCTCTCTCTCCTCACAGGGAGGCCATCGTTTTAGGAACCACAGACTTCACAGAGGAGGACATGGATAAAATCATGGAGGAGCTCGGGAAAGAGTTCAAAGGGAACGCCTACCATCTAATGCACAAAAACTGCAACCACTTCTCCTCCTCGCTGTCTGAGGTCAGTGAGACTCCTACCTGAACCAAATGTTCAGGATCCATACAGAGACGGAGCGGAGCGCGCTTACATAAACGCCGCTCCGCAGAGCTGAAACACTTTCACACACTGAGGTTGTTTTTCTCGCCGTGAAGAATCCGGCAGCCTGTGAAAAACAGAAGAATAATGAAGTTTTCAATGATTCCTGTAGTGGGAGTGTGATAACCGGGTTTCTATAACACGTTTACTGTCTTCAGACGGAGTTTAGTTGTTATTTTAACGACATGGTGGTTAAATGGGGCCATGAATGGAACCCTGAGGGACCCCACATGAGAGGGGGACAAAAACACAGACGATTAAAAACTGTGACGACATCCACACGACTCGTTTAACTCTGGTTTTCTCTTCTCAGTTGCTGTGCGGGCGGGAAATCCCTCGCTGGGTCAACAGGCTGGCGTACTTCAGCTCCTGCATCCCCTTCCTGCAGAGCTGCCTCCCGAAGGAGTGGTTGACCCCGGCCGCCCTGCAGAGCCACATCAGCCTGGGCCTCCACAAAGAGGAGCAGAACGAGTCGAGCGACGACGACCATTCGTCCCCGTCGGGAGCGGCGGCCACCGGCTCGTCCCACAGCTGCCGCCACACCAGGGTGTGAACTTCCACGCCTCCACGACCACCTCCGGACCCTCGCGCCACCTCCGCCGGCGGCTCAAGTGGCATTTGTGGGCTTGAACAACCACCTGACCTCATACTGTTCGTCGTCTGAGTGAAGAGGCAGGAGAAGAAGAAGAAGAAGAAGAGTCTCCTCTTCCTGAAGAAGAGCCGCTGCCTGCCAGAGACTTCCTGTCCTTTCTCCAGGCGAACTTTGACCTGAGCCCTGAAGCGTGGCTCAGACTCAGAATCCACCGCGTACAGATCTGAAGTTTGTAGTCAGTATTATAACTCTTTTCCATGAACTTTTCAAACCTTTGTCAGCCTTGTTCCCTGTCCTGCCTTCAGAGCTGCTTTTGTAGAAGAACTAGACAGACAGCTGAGGCTCCTTTTAGCGACTTTTACCAGGAAACAGCTAATCTGCTCAATTCACAGGTTCTCGTCCCAAAACCTCTATGTGGCCTTCAGTTCATATCCTCGACTCTGCTTTCTGTGTTGAACTCACGTAGTTAACCGTCGGCCATTTTAGAGAGGGAGCGGGTTGATTAATCGAGGTTTTAAAAAACTGCATGTTGAAGAATTGAACTGGGACCCCACTTTTCTGACTCAAACTGCGAGTATTTATTTATTAATTCTCCTTTTTCCTTTTTTAAGACAAACGATCCGACCGGGGATTTGTTTTTTTAATCTGCTGTTAACACCAACGAAAACAGGTGCACAGAAAACTGTCGACTACTGCAGAGTGTCAGAGCCACATTACAGGAAAATAAAGACGCAGGATCACAAAAACTAGTGAGAATAAAGTGAATATTTCAGGAATTATGTCTAATATTTTAAAACATACTCAAATAAGTCCTTCATAGAGTTAATAAAGTCATAATTTTACAGTAATATGTTGTAAACGATTAAATTTGTACATAAACTTATAAATTAAAACTCTTTCCTGTGACTTTCAGCCCATCCTGTTGCAGCTTTTATTGAAAACACTTTATTTCGATTCTCTAATGTGGTTCTGATTCTCAGTCGTAGAAAACAATCAAGGGCAAAACACTGTTCACGCCGTCTCCAGCAGTCCAGTCACAAACTGTGAACATGTCCGAGACGCCAACTCCACGAAAGGCAAGCTGCTACACCGACAAATCCTGACTCTGTGACCCCGTTACGGTTTTGGTCTACGCTTTTATATCAAAACAGTCTTTGTATATCTACGGTACGACAGAAATGTACACCAACAGTCAGAAAATGTTCCTGGTAGAGCCGGTCTGAGAGAAACTCCCGGAGTTAGTTTTCCTTTAAAGTCCTTAAAGTTTTCTTTTCCTTTATTTCGGGAAGGTTTCTGCGTTTTTACTCACAGTTGGATGGAAATAAAGAGTTGTGTTTGGCCTGAGGGGGACTAGATGTCTCTGCTAGAATATAGAAAACACGCTAAGCTAACAGACGCTCACCTGAATTTTAATACAAGAGTAAAAGAGCAGTTTAAATCTTTTTTTATTATCTGGCAGTAAGAAAGCAGTCGTTTCCTGGAATTTAAAACCGTTCCTTTAAAATCTTGAATTTCACAAAGCATTTTAATCAGAGTAAACAAACCTCAAACCTGTGTCCTTTCATAGCTGGTGTTTTTGTGCTGGCAGTGCCCATGACCTCGATGTCAGGGCTCCTTCCACCTCCACCTGTGAGTCTGAACTCTTACCGACCATTAAAGGACACTCATGATAGTTTTCACACAAACTGAGTAGAAAATAAACAGAAGTAAGAGTTCCCAGGTGAGCATGTCCCTTTAAGAGCAGCCGGGTGGGCGTGTCCTTTAATACTGTCCTGATTGGACAGCAGGGCCTGACATCAGGTTTGGGCCGAGTCTTTGTAAGTGAAAGGTCAAAGTTGATCCACTGATTAACAAAAGCAGCAGATGCTTTTTGTGTTTTTGTACAGAAGACTGACCCCCAATTTCCACCACATCCTGAACGGCTACAAAAAAAAACCTATCCTCCGATCGTAGCTGATCGTAACCATTCAAGTTAACGTGTCAATTTCCACCGACTTCTTTCCGTTCCTCTGCAGATCGCCGGACTCCCCAGCGGATCGCAAGAGTTCTATTTTTTACTTGATTTATATCCACATACAGATGAGGCCTGGGTCGGATTAGAACAAATCAGAACTGACCTGTTCACACTTAGATGAAAAAATCTGATATGAGTCACAGATGGTTAAAAAATCAGAATTGACCTGCAGTGTGAACATAGACTAGAAGTCTAGAAGTCGATTTCCTCCTCTGGAAGGACACAATCTACTGCTTATATGGTTAGCCTATGTGGCTAAAGACAACTCGTTATCGCGCGATTGCACGTGTATCCACGGGTTCTTGTGAAAATCACCGCCATTCCGAATGTGGTGAAAATTGGGGGTGAAACTGTAAATAGGTCCTGCCAGCACAAGCATGAGCGTCAGTGGACACAGGCCCTTATTCATCCTGGTGAGGTTGTTTGTTCTGTTGAGAAGACAAGATTGTCATTAAGAGGAAATATGATGTCATTAAGCTAATTGTAATCATTGTTTCGACTCACATGCAGGTAAACACGACTCCCCTCTTCCATTTGCTTCTTAACTTCTTGTATAAACTGTTACCTGCTTTTCTCACCTGTCCTTCGATTAATTTCAGTCCCTCCTGCTGTGTTGCGTTCAAGGACAGCTAACCTTTCTCAGGAAGGAATCCACATGTGTTGACTTCTCCATGTTCTGAAATAAGCTATATTCTTATTTATTTTTCAGCTGTACTGTGTTTGGGTTTTTCAGTTTGTCATCACAGGAGCTGTACAGATCAGAACAGACAGACCGGACAGACAGACAGGTGTTTATTTTTCATGGTACTGTGTCAACCTTAACCCTGTATTTCCTTTTCTGATCCCAAGACAATTCAAGAATGATGATATAGTGCTAGAATAAAGAGACAGAGTAACAAAACATGGTTGTATTCTTTTGTAAAGGTCTAAATAAGCACGGAATTGAAAAACACATACATGACTCTGTAGTGGAAGTCACCGCATGGGCTGTAAAAAGTCCTTTATCACGGTTTCCTTTAACTCTTTGTCTCTAGAGGTATCCAGGAAGAAAAATAAAAGTATGAATGCAATAGAGGTAGAAAAACTCTGAGCTGGGTTGCCAAATCACCACCTGCGGCGTCTGAGAAACATCTAATTTGCTCTCAACATTCTGATAGATTTCTTCAGGTAAAGTGATTTATATTTCACCGTAATGATTCATACCGTCTGTGCAATGCTATTGGAAAAACAGATGGATAAATTCTCCACCCCCTGACCGGGCAGGGTGAGCATTTACTGCGGCAGAAAATGGCTAATAATGTCAAACTGGCAACCTGCTGAGAAGTAAACATGCTGCGTTGCGTTCATGAACTATACAAATGCTCGGAATTTCTACAATAAGTAGACTCGCCAGTTTGTGGTAGTTGATAAGAATATTATCTTGCGTTGAAAATATTGTTGGCGCTTTGAAAATGAGATTGATCGTAATTTAACGAATAAGTGCAAACACAAATTGGATAAAGATTTACATCCGAGCCAAATACCGGCGAAACCCAAGTTATACTAATCGAAAATAACTTCAAATTGGTCCACCACATATCTAGATAATATGACGCTGATTAAATACACATAGAAAGTGAGGTGCTGAAATTTTCCAAGTTGTTCCAGTTGTTTTTTTCCGATTTTGTGGGCCAATCCCTAACGGATACTCGTTTTTCCGATTATTCTGCTGTCACGTGAACGCACTGGTCTACTCCCCGTTGCTCTTTGGACTCTGTCGCCATTTTGATTCGAGCGCTGAAAACAAGTGAGCAGAAGTTAAACAGCGAGGGAACAGACGACGCTCCGAGGACGAAAATAAGGTGAGAAACAGGTTTAATGCGGTTAAGATAACTCATGAAACCGATTTGAAGCTTTTTGAAGAAGAATTCGCTGTTTTGTACGTTTTGTACTGAAGTACCCGTTAGCCGGTTAGCTTCTCTTTAGCTGTAGCCGACCTCGAGGTGAGCTGGAAACGTTGGACGAACCATGAGAGAAATATCGGAGTTTATCGGCCAAATTTGATCTTAATTTTTTGATGAAAATGTGTTAATTTTTGAATGATAAGTATGAAGTTTATTTCTTAAACGGCGCTCATGTTTAAAGCGTCAAAAAGTAACAAACTAACGTGCATCATTTCAACAGTCATATCCTAGCAACAAGCTAATTAGCCTCAGTGGGGCCCATGTGGTCCAGGAGATTATTTTTAACTCTAATCGTGTTCATTAAACAGGATTGTTAATCTGGACCTGATTTTATTATGAGTTTCTACCGGATCAGCTCGTTAGTTTCTATTTAAAACTTTTAAAATTGGAGTTAAACCGGTTTAATAAAGTTTCTGGTTTGTCATGCTGTGGGCTTGGATTGAGCCTCGCAGATATTATTAGATCTAATATCAGTGTGATCAGGAAAAGTAGTATTAAAATAGTGCCTTTAAATCAATAATGCCCTTTGTGATTTTACAATTGAGTAAAAAGGAAACTGAGTGGACAAAATAAACAACAAATAATCAAAAAAACAGGACTCACAGGACAACTTAAACGTTTTAGAAATAAAAACACACCACAGTAAAAGAACAGGACGCTAAAAGGAAAAGTTTCTAACTTTATATAACTAGAGTTTTTTTTAACTTAACAATATTTTTATTAGTTTTATACAGATGAAATGGCTCAGTGACAAATAAGGGTTTGCATCATGAGTAATTAAAATGTTTTAAAAAATTGTGTTAAAAGTTTGCATTAGGTTTGCAAAGATGTTTATTTTGTATCTCTGTTGGTTTCATATAATTTTTAAAAAGCTTTTAAATCTTTTTTGTACAAAATAATTGATGGATTTCCATTGGGAAAACCACAACAAAAGGGGAATTATTTAATACTTTTTTTCTCCTACAGTGCTTGCAAGTATACTAATTAAATAAAGTTAGTTAATTTTAATTTATCAGATGAAAATACATCTTGTTAGGATTTTTTTTAAATTAAATTGGATGCATGGTCCTGAAACCCTGAACAGATTATCTTAATACACCCCCACAGCCCTGATATGTACTGGTTTGGGACTTTGTTGTACCCGCAGGAATAAAGTGTTTATCAGGGGAATAAAGAGGATTAGTCACCTGATCTCAGAACAAACAGACTGATAATGAAACAAAAGAAGAAACTGGTCTGACCAGATCTGACCCTGTTTGTGTCGGTGAGTTTCAGCTCTGAGCTCGTTAATGTTAATGAAACCTGTTTACACCGAGAACGAGATGAAATCAGAGCAGATTCTTCAGAGCGTCTTCAGACTGTCAGTCTCCTCACACTGAGTCTAAAATTAACTTTTACTCCAGCCAGAGTGAACACGCTGTTCTTCAGTCATCAAATATTAACCCTGGTGTACTCCTCGTTTCCTCGCCATCTGGTTGGTTAAATATTTACCAAGTCTGGTGTTTTTTTCTCTCATCAGCAGGTAACCATGAGTGGCTGTCGTATCTTCATTGGCCGCCTGAGCCCGCACGCCAGAGAGCGAGACGTGGAGAAGTTCTTCAAGGGTTACGGACGGATCCGAGAAATCAACCTAAAGAACGGATTCGGCTTTGTGGTGAGTCTGACCGCCCGCCTACTGTGCGAGTTTAAATGTCTGATCACGTCCTGTTTGGAGGAAAAATAACCTTCCTGCTGTTTCCGTTTATCAGGAGTTTGACGACCACAGAGACGCAGACGATGCAGTTTATGAGCTGAACGGCAAAGAGCTGTGCAGTGAACGGTAAGAACCTCATCTCGAAATCACGCAAACTTAGAGACGAATCTGTAAACGGAAAATCAAAACAACCGCAGTGAGGTTCGCTAACGCCGCGCCATCCTCCGTAAGCGCATCATTATGGTTAATTTAGCTGCTCTGTTACAAACGGCACTCACTCATCCTTTAATCCCTATAGTTTCAATCACTTTATGTTGATGCATTTATAGTTTAACCTCGCCCTTTGACCCCAAGCCTGATCCAATCACTGATGTTCTTGATACGCTGACTGTGATCACAGTTTGTTTCAGGGTTTCATCTTCGCTGCTTCTTCCTCTTCCTTCAGGGTCACGATCGAGCACGCTCGCTCCAGAAGAGGACGAGGTGGCGGCCCAGGAATGGGACGTTTCGGTGGTGGTGGCGGCGGCGGCGGTGGTTACCGACCATCCCGCCCAGCTCCAGGATCAAGGTGCATAAACTTAAAATTTAAATTTTTCGCTGTCTCAGTTTTAAACAAAGAGAGGAGGTGGAAAATTCACCTTTCTGGTTTGTTTAAGAGGAGCAGAGAGCAAGTGCTTTTTTTTTTATTACCGTATTTTTCGCACTATAAGGCGCACCAGATTATAGAGCGCATTAAGTCAAACTTTATTTAACTCCCTCAATAACTCCGTGAGGCTACGGTAGCTGCCGTGCTCCGACAAGCCATCAAGCTGTGCGTCTTTGTAGCTTACCAGAATAGTAATGAAACATTTTGACAGATTTTTGAGCGCCGTGTACCACACAAGATCCGTTAAAGGTCAGTAAGCACAACCAGAATTCAAACATGAGGCGCACTGAGGATTTTTGAGAAAATTGCAGGATTTGAAGTGCGCCTTATAGTGCGAAAAGATGTTATTCATTCTTCAGTGGGAACTTTATCCAAATGAAGGAGTTAAAAAGTCGTGACTTCCTCAGATTTAATCTTTAGACCAACGTTTAAGCGTTAGCCTGATGGTTAAATATCGACCCAGCTCTTCTGCGGTCGAGTGAACATGTGTCAGGACGTCTGATCTTTGACCGTACAGTGAAATATTTTAGATTTTTTTATCTTACACTGTCACGTCTGTGTGACCCGGACAGGTACGGCCCCCCTGTGCGGACAGACCACAGACTCATCGTGGAGAACCTCTCCTCACGGATCAGCTGGCAGGTAAGCGGTCTCTAAAAATCCCCGATGTGGTATCTTTTAAAAAAAAAACAGAAAAGTGTGCATCCCCCCTTTAGAGTTGATGTGTTTTTATGTAAAAGTGAAGCAGCATCTCTCTGAGCGGTGGTTCAGTTTATCCTCATAGCTGATTGGCCAAGAACAAACGAAGAAGCCCCCCCCAGTCTGTCTGTGTGTTTTTAGTTTCTTTTCTTTACCTCCATCTTCACTTTTGTTCCAGAAAAAAAGAGATTTTTTTTTTCCTCTAACAAAAACATACATGACTGTTTTTTTTATTTTTTTTAACAGCTGCTCTGAGTTTATGTCAGAGGTGACTGCACACCCCCCATGGAGGTGTCACACAAGTTTGTAGCGCCCTCTTCTGGTTGTTTTTTCTGAATAGTGTCCATTTGGTGCCTCTCCTTACACGCAGTTGCCGCCGGTCTAAAGTCTTGGCTGGGCCCCGTAGCGGGTGAAAGTGGTCTAGCGCAGGATACGGTAGCCTTAAGAGGTCCGTAGCCACAGTCTGGAGGTTCTGTGGGCTGGCATCCCCCGACTGCAGTAACCCCCCTCAAATCCATGGTCCCTACACTCTCCCGTTTGGGTCTTTTTCTGTTGCTGATGGAGCTGGGGGGGTGTTGAGTCGGGCGCACACACCCCTCCCCCTACTTGCTCTCTGGTGGTTCCTTACTTGTGGAGGCCGGATGCTGAGTCAAGGCCGAGGTCGTTTCTCAAGGGCTTAACACTGCATTGGTTCCCATTTGCTATTTGGACAAGTGGCTCTATGCTAATATCTTCCTGGGTTTGGAGCGGTAAGTAGCATAAAACTCATGTGATTGGGTTTTTTCAGGGTCGGGGTTTAGGGGGGTCTAGACTCAGTTTATCTGTAAAGACTGAAAACTCCTAGAAGTCACGTGAACTCAAGACAAACTGTAAGTAAGAAGTGGACACACACACGCGGGCGGGCGGCGAAGGGTTTTAGCTGATGGACATGATTAAACTGTTGAAGGCAGGAAGTGGCGCTCAGGTGAGAAGGAGGATTTTGTGTTTTAGAAAGAAAAGCAGCCGGAGTCTGAGTTAAATTAGATATTATACACATTTTACTCAGCGATCAATATTAATGTGATCAATTATGGTGCGTTCGAGTCACCTCAGAAGTCAGATGTCAGAGCTGAAAATGACGTCACACCAGAGTTACCAGCGTTTTAGGTACAGTCGTCATCGTTTCATCGTCATTTTCTTCCGCTTCATCCGTGTCCGGGTCGTGGGGGCAGCAGCTTCAGGAGGGAAACTCAGACAGCCCTCACCCCAGCCACTTCCACCTGCTCCTCCTCTGGGAGGCCACGAGGTCTCCTCCCGGTGGGACATGTCCAGAACACCTCTAACGGGAGGCGTCCAGAAGGCGTCCTAACCAGATGAATCCCCCGGATGTGGAGGAGCAGCGGTTCTACTCTGAGCACCTCCCGAGAGTCTGAGCTCCTTACCCTATCTCTAAGGCTGAACCCGGACACCCTGAGGAGGATCTTTCAGTTACCAAGTCTGAAAAAAGCAAAATCGGAGGCCTGAAACAAGACGGCTACATCTATGAAAGTTATTTTAGCGCTTTCCTTGTATTCGGACAAGGCAAGCACTAAAATAACTTCTTTATCCGACTTAAGCTGGTAACTCGGGTGTGACATTATTCCCAGCTTGGATTCCGACTTCCTCAAACGCAGCACAACTTTGTGGTTTTGACAGAAAAGCAGCCGGAGTTTGAGTTACAATTAGCTCTTGCACGCAGTTACAGTAATCAATATTTATGTCATCACAAAAAAAAACTACAGAGCGCTCAATGACGGAGTTTTATTTTAGCACCACAGTGAAATATCGATCATATTTATCAGTTTTTATTTAGAGGGAAATATTAACCAAATCATCAGCATGGTGTCGCCCCCTGCTGGCCTGTAGAGAGCCTCTGCGTCACCGTTCGGTCCACTTCTTATCTACAGTCTGTGCAGAACGGCTCTTAATCAGTTATTTTTCTACTTCTCTAAAAACAGCCGAGAAAAAAAGTCCAAAATGATCCGACAGAGAAACCAAAACTTAAATCTCCGATCTGAAGTAGACAGAAACTCTCACGGCTCTGTAAGCTGTCTGGCGTCTCATTCTGGTGGTGAATTAGTTTCCTCTGAAGGTCTTGAAAACCAAAATTGGAGTACGTGATGAATCTGTAGAGCCAGTTTAAAGGGACTTTGTGAACCCTGGTCCACACGGAGGTATTTTCTCTCCCTCTTCCCTGAAATGTGAGCTTACCTCAGTCTTAGCCAGGTCTCAGTGTGTGTGCTGGTGTCTTGCTGCCTGCTCACGTCTCTCCCTCCAGGTTCTGAAAAGGCTCTCACCGGTTCCTCGGACTCTGTCCGGCCTCACTAATCCCCCATTCTGCTTTGAAACAGGACCTGAAAGACCTGATGAGAAAAGCAGGTGAAGTTACCTTTGTGGACGCCCACAGGACCAAAAAGAACGAAGGGTGAGTTTGATCTGCTGTCCCTCAAACTCCTGAAGGGTGTCCTCAGAGTCCGGGTCCTAACCAGTGGGTCTGCTTTCCCCGTTTAGTGTGGTGGAGTTTGCATCTCGCAGTGACATGAAGAACGCCATCTCCAAGCTTGACGGGACCGAACTGAACGGACGCAAGCTGAAGCTGTTCGAGGACTGCAGAGGGTGAGAGCGTGAACAAGTCTTCAAGTCGAAAATCCTCTCAGATTCTGAACTCGGTTGTTTTTTCTCCCCTGACATCTGCACGTCGATAATTCTGAGGAAGTAAAAGCTCACATCGTTTTAATTTTTCAGCAAATGAACTCGAACTTTTATTGATTACTTAATGCTTTGATCGGCTCTGCTCCAAAATACACCAGAGTTTAAACCTGCTGCAGTGTTCCCTGACAGAAGTGAAGGAGTTTTGTTGTTGGAACCTTCAGTCCAGGTCTCTCTAAGGGGTTTTCTTTTTTAATATCATTTCAGGTCATAAAATGTCCCCCAAATTTTTTTAGTTTAATTTTTTTTAAATATCATCTCAGGTCATAAAGTGTCCTAAATTTTATTTTATTTTATTTTTTTTCAAAAGATAATTTCAGGTCATAAAATGTCCGAATTTTTATTATTATGTATTTATTTATTTATTTTTTAAATATCATTTCAGTTCATAAAATGTCCTTAAACGTTTTTTTTAATATCATTTCAGGTCATAACATGCCCTTAAAATTTTTTTATTCACATATATTTTTTACTTTTATTCATTTCAGGTCATAACATTTCCTAATTTCTTTTTAATTTTTTTTCTTAAATATCCATTCAGGTCATAAAATGTCCTAAAACATTTATTTTTGTTAAATATTATTTCAGGTTATAAAATCTTCAAAAAAAAATTTTTTCTATTCATTTATTTTTTAAATATCTTTCCAGGTCATAAAATGTCCTTAATCTTTAAATTTTTATTTAACACATTATTTTAGGTCATAAAATGTCCTAAATTTTTCCATCTTTTTATTTATTTATTTATTTATTTATTTTTGAATATTATTTTCAGTAATAAAATGTCCTTGAAACCTTTTTTATTTTTCTCCTAGCGTCTTATTTCCACCTCATCCTCTTTCATCCCTGAACTTCAGGAGTAAAAATATTTCTCCATCATGATTTTTAAAAAGATTTAAACTTCAGATCTGTCGTTAAAAGTCTCTTCTGTGCTCTGTTGTTCTGTTTTTCTGATCTTGACCGCGTCTCTTCTGTCTCTCTCCACAGTCACAGTAAGAGCCGCTCTCGCTCCCGCAGCTACTCGCGCTCAAAGAGCCGCTCCAGGAGCCGCAACCGTTCCAGGAGCCGCTCCAGATCCCCCAGATCTGCCAGATCCGCCAGCCGCACCCCAGAGAGGAAGTCATCGAGCGGGGGCAAGGCCGCCGGCAGATCCCCCTCCAGATCAAAGTCCCGCTCCAAGTCTCATTCCAAGTCCCGATCCAAGTCCCGCTCCAGGTCTCGCTCCCGCTCCCCCGCCCCAGCTCAGACCAAACAGTCCCGTTCCCGCTCTCGCTCTCGATCCCACTCCCGTTCTCGCTCCAGATCAAGATCCCGCTCCGCCTCAGCCGACAGCAAACACTGAGGTCTGGTCCCCTGAAGGCCGTGACGCAGAGAGGCTCGCCATCGTCCTCGTTTTTTGTTTTTTTAGGAAGAAGGGGGATGATCGCCTTTTTTCACGCTCTCTTTTCAGATCAGATCTTTGTGGCGCCCGCAGCGGCGTCTGTTTCTTCTTGTTTTCATGAGTTTATTGTGTCACTGGGAATCAAACCTCCATGTCATGTGATCGTCAAATTAAATCCTGCAAGTGGGGAAACATTTCAATCAGCGATGATTCCCGTCAGCCGGTCCCCGCTGTCCGCCATGTTTGATTCCATCCACCCGTCTGTGCGTGTGTTGAGCGGCGTCAGGTAAGGGGGGGGAGCTCTCGTCCCTCCAGACGCCGGTGTCTTTGTCGGTAACTCGACCTCCTGGCGTTGCCGTGAAACTGTGATTCTGCTTCTCTGCGCGTGTTGCATTCACTGCCCCGATGTGTGAACGTAAAAAGCAAACATCTCTGCTGACGGTTTCTTTCTTTTCTCTCCTGTTCCGGTCTCTGGATCTGTTTTAACACCGATTATTTCAGGACGGCGTCTTCTTCTCGTTTTTTCTTCTTTGCTTTTATCGACTTCAGTTTCGCAGCTTCGGCTGTGCGGCGTCAGGTTTATGAACACAAACGTGTCCGTCAGCAGAGAGAGAGAGATGTCTCTAAGTAGGTTTAATAATAATTTGATACTAATAAAACACCTCATGCATTTTGTCTTTTTTTTTTTTTAGTTTTTGTCGATAAAGAACATTTTTTAAAACTGTTTGAATGTGTGAGAGACTCGTACATGTCGGAATAAGTCTGCAGTTTAATCAAATAAAGCTTTCACAAACTTTGAGCCGACTCAAATGTGTCCTTTTATTTTTATTGTTAAATTTAGGATCTAAATTCTGTTTGTATTGAGAACTAAAGTGAGTTTGAAAAACATATTTCATGGACTCTACATATCCTGTAAGTATCTCCTTATGTCTCTATGGAAACCTGTTAGTCACTGATAAGATTAGCAGGGATTAATATTATCAGAGGTTATTGTAATCCTAAAGTAACCGTCCCACAGACTCCTGTCATACCTTAGAGGTGATCAGAGTTTATTTATAATCGATTTTATTGATAAAAATCACTTCAAAACAAAAAGGTTTAAAATGACGGTGTGAATGAACACAGTTTTTGTTACCAATCTTTCACATATAAACTAATGTTTTAAATATGTTCTGTCCTTGTGTCAGTTACAGCGATGACCACACGGTGGCAGTATTGCTCAGGGCTTGATGACGGATGTTGATAGAGAAATAAAAAATGATCCTTTAAGTGATAAAATACTGGAAAAAGTCATCTTAAAGGACACAAACCACAGTCAAAAGATGAAAAATCAAAGATGAGAGTTTAAATTGACAACAAAGACGTAAAAAAATCAATTACAGTAACAAAAAAATTATAAGAATGACAAAAAAAGTAAAAATATCTAAATGCAGATACATACTGATAGTAAGGTGATACAAAACGGTTAAAAAGGTTAAAAAATACATTGTTAAAATTTAAGAAAGGAAGTGCAAAAATGACCATAGACAAAAAAACAACAAAATTACCATAAAAATGACACACTATAGTCAAACAAATGCACAATAAAAAATCAAAACCTTGAAAATAGTCAAATAAAATCACCAAAATGTCCAATAAGAGACTTAAACTGACGCAAAAAAGAACAGAAATGGACTCAAAATGATTTTGAAAACACATAAGGACCTGATGTTATTGTTAAATGACTGATAACTGACACTGACAAAATAGAGGTAGAGAAATAAACATAAAATTTCTTCATAGGAGACACAAAATCTACAAAAAATCCATCAACTTTATCTCCAAATCACAGCAAAGACAAACTGAAGTGAGTGGACCCCAAAAAGAGGACAGAACTAACCAATAAAGACCTTCAGTGGGTCACACCTGACAACCAAAGTGGCCAAATCGCAGCTCTGACAGTTTCCTGGGAGGAGATGTATGAGGGGTGATCAATGCCACAGACTGATCTCGAGTGGAAGTGAGAGATCCGCTTCCTGTATGTGGGGAAAATAGTGCCACAATCCTGCTCCTTGTTTTGTTTTATAGGCACGAAATCCATCTTGAGATTTAAATGTTTTTATTTTTTTTGCAGGTCCTGTGTTTGAGGAGAAAAACAAGATTTTTGATTAATGTTAAAGTTTTATTTAATGTTTTATAGACTGTTTCTGTGCAACGTCATCGCATGAATTTTACTTTATTTACCAGGTTGTGACGTTGTTTTTGATGTTTCTAATATCAGGAGCAGGGATGTTGTGATGTTTGCCGATTGTTTGTTTTGCCGATTGATACAGTTTACGTCACAACAGCTCTTTGTCGATTTCTTTTTCCACTAGAAAACAAAGAATTAACGTCCCTCTTTCCGCCCCAACGCTGCGCGCGAACACCTGCGATGACGTCGCACAGAAACCCGCCCATAACCTAACATGTTAATGTCCTCTCGTCACCAGAATGTTCCAGGTCTTGTTTTCTCCCCACCCCTCCCTCTCTCCCTCTCTCTCTGCCAGCCTGTGGCACTGATCACCCTCCATACCCTCCGGGCAGCGTGGTAGGCACAACAAGCTCGGCGGTCTCTCCTCACTCCTGCTCGGCTCCTCTCTGCAGTCCCTCCGCGGCGGCGCAGACAGGACCTCACCGACCCGCCCGGAGAAATGAGCTCGACCCCCGCCGTCCACCACGCACTAACGTGAGCGTCCCCCACTCCTCCACGGACACACTAACACCCACGCACAGACGGTCGGTGTGCTGTTGACGGATCCTCCTCCTCCTCCTCTTCGCTCGGCTCGGTGTCGGACAGTCCCACCCGCAGCACGGACCATGGCGGAGAGAAGTGGCCGGTTGAGTTTCCCCGGGAGCGGGGCTCTCAACAGACCGGTGCCCATGAACCTGTTCGCGACCTGGGAGATAGACGGATCGTCCCCGAACTGCATCCCGAGGTAAGAGGACAGCTTTCGCTTTCTGTGTCCCTGCTGTCCTTTTAAACTTTAAAGCTCCTCAATGCGCCAAACATGCAAACAAGCTGTCATTCCGCCGCACTCGGCAGGCGGGGAGCTGCTCCCACCGTGCCAGGCAGGATGCCCATGCAGGCCCCTGCACCGGGATCCACCATCTGCAGTGTTTCCATGTCATGGTGGATGTTGGTGAGGTGAAGTGTGGTCATGTCTCCTCCACCTCCAGCCCCTCTCTCTCTCTCTGTAGGTCTGAAAGGTGTTTGCTCTGCAGATACTTCCACTCAGCTGTCAGCCTCATGCCAGATCATTGTGCCAGGCTGCACCATGGAGACCGTTTGGCTCCGGTGACCCCAGAGACCCAGAGGCAGAGCTCACACCGGTGCAGATTTACTGCTCAGGCTGGATCATTACAGCGACTGGAACATTTAGGATGTTGAATCTGGTCTTTATTGGTCTGTAGTTTCAGTTTTGGTGCTCCAATGTAGTTCGGGATGCAAATATCAACTCTATGATCTATTTTTGATCATTTTATCTTTAATTTTTAGCAATAAAGCTCCTGAAACTGGTCTTCATCGGCCTTCTAGTTTCAGTTTTGCTGCTGTTCTGTGGGTCAGGTTTCAGATACCAACTCAATGATAATTTTTTTATGATTTGATCTTTAATTTTTAGCGTTAAAGCTCCTTAAAAGCAAGTCTTTGTTGGCCTTCTAGTTTTGGTTTTGTTGCCTTGATGTGGGTCAGGCTTAATTATCGGCTCTATGAGACATCTTTGATCATTTTATTTTAATTTTTAGCATTAAAGCTCCTGAAACTGGTCTTTATTGGCCTAGTAGTTTCAGTTTTGTTGCTCTGACATGATTCGGGCTGCAAATATTGATTTTAAGATCTATTTTTGATCATTTTATCTTTCATTTTAGCTCTAAAGCTCCTAAGAACTGGTCTTTATTAGTCTTGTAGTTTCAGTTTTGCTGCCCTGATGTGGGTCAGGTTTAAATATCAACATTATGAGACATTTTTTATGATTATATCTTTAATCTCTAGCGTTAAAGCTCCTGAAACTGGTCTTTCTTAGCCTTCTAGTTTCAGTTTTGGTGCTCTGATGTGGTTCGGGTTTCAAATATCGACTCTATGATCCATTTTTGATGATTTTATCTTTAATTTTTAGTGTTAAAGTTCCAGAAATTGGTCCAAAACCTAAAGATATTGTCTTCCACTCAAATTCAGAGACCAAAATATGAAAACTTTAAAATCTTTAGATGGACTGATGTCTTTTTGTGTACTTAATGAAGCTCTTTTTCACGTTGGTGTGTCTGTTAAGGGCCCAAGTTCATTCCCTTATCCATTTTGCTTTTATGCATCTTAAACTTTTAGGCGGTAATGTCTTTATTTTCATGGTTGCAGCTGCAGAAATGTGCATCTCTGTGTTTTGCTGCTAATCTAGAATATAACAGGAAGGATTTAGTTTATTGTTTAAAGAAGATTTTCAGGATATTGTTTGAAAACTTGTGTTAAAAACCGTCACACCTCCAGCCTTCTCTCTCTCTCTCTATCCTCTTTGGTTTTAGTGGGTTTTACACGACAGCGCAGCTTTTAACTGAAATACGTCTAATTCACTTCCAGGAAAAGCACAGCTGTGATTTTTATTCAACAGAGTGGACCAGGACTTGTCAATCCCCACATGACCCCGCAGGTTTTTACCGGAGCAGGAACATTCGGAGGTGACTCTAAGTGACCCTGTTTGGAGGTTCTGCAGAGACTCTGATCGGTATCGACGGGATCAGTCAGAGTCCGACAGCAGGAACTCGGCTTGTTAACGTCACGTCAGATCAGCTGTCTGAAGGCGGATAAACAGACTGACTGCTGTCCGTCTTTGGAGGTCACTTTGTTCTTCACTTTTACTTTTAGGGTCAAACACACCGTAACACCGAGTTAGACCCCCCCTCCAGAGATGAATGTTGTCGACCGCTTGCTTCTCTAGTTATACCAACTTTAGGAACGACCGCAGGATAGAAATACAGAGAGACACGCCCCCAACCAAAACGCCACTCTATAGCCAAAAATAATGCTCAGAACAGCACCTAACTTCATCAAAGGGGAAATATAGGGTCACAGACATAGTACTAGACACCAAACATCTTTTTAACTTTGACTCATTTCTTTAGCAAAGAGACTAAACACAACTCACCTACTCTCTTCCAGCAGCCGCTTGTTTGTATTGAGACCTCAGGCCAGTCCATTATGGACTACAGCGGGGTGCCGCAGCTCAAGGAAGAACATTTATGATCATTTCTTCATGGAACTACAATCAGACCGAGACGCTAAGACAGAAGAACTATTGTGTCTGCAGTGAAAATGATTAATATGGTGATTATTACTTCAAGGAAATTATCATAAATGTTCTTCCTTGAGCTGCGGCACCCCGCTGTAGTCTGTAATGGACTGGCCTGAGAAGAGAGCTGCTGGAAGAGAGTAGGTGAGTTGTGTTTAGTCTCTTTGCTAAAGAAATGAGTCAAAGTTAAAAAGATGTTTGGTGTCTAGTACTATGGCTGTGACCCTATATGTACTAACCTCAGTAGCACATGTTGTAGTTCCGTTCAGTAACAGAACCTCATTGGAAAATTAGCTGATTTAACTTTACTGTGCTCTTGTTCAAATATATTAACCCGACAGCACATAAATCCATACCTGTTAACAAAATCATGATTTTATTGATAATTCGGCTCAATAAAAACACCTTTACCTTTTCATTTTACTACAGTAGAAGTTTATTGGCCCAGCTTATAGGCTACAGAAGTGGAGAAACGCCCCCGCTTAAGTTTGTTTTCTTAGGAGTTAGAAAAACTCTGAATCTAGTACTATGTCTGTGACCCTATATGTCCTGTTGATGAAGTTAGGTGCTGTTCTGAGCATTATTTGTGGCTATAGAGTGGCGTTTTGGTTGAGGGCGTGTCTCTCTGTATTGCTGTCCTGCGGTCGTTGCTAAAGTTGGTATAACTAGAGAAGTAAGCGGTCGACAACATTCGTCTCTGGAGGGGGGTCTAACTCGGTGTTATGGTGGGTTTGGGCTGATAAACGGACTGAAATGAACAGCGATGCATCTTAAGGATGAACGAGAATAGATTAAACCCTCCATGACACCTTTGACAGTTCGTATGATCAGAGTTTTAACGCCTGTAGCTGCTCAGAGGGGAGGGGGGTCGGTACTCAAAGGAAACGGCCTCTGCTCATCTGAGGAGAACCTCTTCACCTTCGTGAGTCTTGTTCCCTCTGAGGTCTCCGGCTCGTTGAAACGCCGTCTCTGCATCAATCACGTTTCCAGGAGTCACATCAGGACACGTGCCGCTCCACGCCGAGAGGCTTAATAATCACCTATCAGGGGTCAGCGAGAGACGGCTCAATCAGCTCTCTCAAAGGAAGGTCAGATTATAATTGCACGCTGTCTTAAAAATCCAGATGTGAAGAGAGAAAGTTGCTGCTGAAATGCAAAAATAGTGTTTTCATAAATCAGGTCAGGGAGTTTATGAGGATGTGTCTCTGCTGCTGCTGCTGCTGCTCAGGATGAAGGTTACAGGAGGGGGGGTTGTCCTGATCCGACTCCTCTGCAGCCTGTCTGATACCCTGAGAGTGAATGAAGGAGGTACTTTAATGTTTAGTCATCTTATCGTGAGGAGCATTTAAATCAGCGCCTCTTTATCGCTCAGAGCGTCTGAATTCGTTCCAACGATTGTACGCTCCTCTCCAAAGCTGGACCTGCCTCCTAAAGTGACTCTTCAGACCCGGATCCTGCAGATGGATCTGACTACCTGAGGTTTCGCGCTCCGAGTGAGGCATGTCGCGGGTTATCTCGGTATTTTTGAAGTGGGCATCAGTTGCATTTCTGCACATCAGCCCACAGGCGCGAGGCGAAGTGCCGCGAGAGACGGGGCCAATTCCTGAGACAGAGCCGGGATTGAACGGGCCCTCGAGTGGCAGCTGGACCCAGTAGGCCGTCATATTTGGGCCTGTTGGAGGCGAGAGTGCTGAGATGTCGCTTTGAGCTGCAGAGAGACACTCGCTCTTTTGTCCCCCCGGCTGCCCGGGACGCTCACACTGCGGGAATTTCGAGTAGGATGAATGAGGGTCGGGTTAAAGCCTCTCATTGTTTTATGTTCCCTTTCTTCTTGTTGTCCTGCACTCAGCGCCCGATCTGTACCAACCTTTGACAGTTTACACAAGACTGGAGAGCGCACAGTCGCACCAGCGGACATGTGAGGCACTGTTAGCCAAACATGCTAACAAAAACATGCTAACAAAAACATGATAACATGCCGATGATGACAGGAGATCTCTGAAACCGACCGAGTTGCTGAAGCTGAAGATCGGCGTGAAGATCAACTGATAAACTGAGGGCTGAGCCTAACCTTCACGTTCTGCCTGAACTAGAACCATGTTCACCTGAAATACTGAGATATAGATATTGAATTTCTCTTCCAGGATCAATAAACTTCTTCTTCTACTAATACTTCTTCTTCTTCTTCTTCTACTTCTTCTTCTACCACTGCTTCTTCTACCTCTTCTTCCTCTTTTTTTCTTCTTCTTCTTCTACTTCTACTACTACTACTACTACTACTTCTACTACTTATTCTTCTTCTACCACCTCTTCTCCAATTAACACTACTACTTCTACTCCTTCTACTAATTCTTCTTCTTCTACTACTTCTTCTTCCTCTATTTTTCTTTTTCCCCTCATTGTTCTTGTTCTTGTGCTTGTCCTTCTTCTTCTACATCTTCTACTTCCTCTTCTACCACTGCTTCTTCTACACCTTCTTCCTCTTACTTTTTTCTTCTTCTACTACTTCTTCTACTTCTTCTTCTACCACTTTTTCTTCTTCGACTACAACTACTACTTCTTCTACCTCTTCTTCTACTAATTCTTCTTCTTTTACTTCTACCTCTTCTTCTACTTCCTCTACCTCCCCCTTGTTCTTTTTCTTCTTCTTTTACTACTACTTCTACTTCTTCTACTGTCTCTACTTTTCGTTTTTCTTCTTCTTCTACTACTGCTAATTCTGCTTCTTTTTCTTTTTCTACTTCTACTTCTTCTATTTCTTCTTCTTCTACTACCCCTCTTCTGGATGTTTCAGAAACTCAGTTTATGATGTAAATCTGTCGGTCTCACAGAGCGAGTGGGTTTGACAGGGAGTCAGATATTGCAGTTCTGTTTGGGTCGATCTGGAGTTCGTCCTCTGTGAACCATGAAGGTCTGCAGGTCGTTTCTCAGTGATCTGGTCCTGTTCCTTTCCTCCTGAACCCCCTGACTCCTGACTTTGACTCTTGTTTTCGTACAGATGTTCCTCCCCGCCATGTTCAGACGGCCTTATGTAAGACACCCGTCCTCCTCAGTTATGCTGATGCGGCGCGTCCTGGAGGGCAGACAGGGCAGGACGGGGAAAGGGCAGACGCCTCCTCGCTCCGCGTACTCCCACAAACATTTGAGATGCTTTGCGACGCTGCAGGCCGATCAATCCCGCCTCCAGCCGACTCTCTGCATGCACCACGTCTGACTGATGAGATCTGGTTTTAAGGACCCAGAATCAGTGGGATCTGCTCGGCTCTGCTCTCGGCTGCACACAGAAAACACCTAAAAAGTCAAACATCAGATCATCTGCAGCGATTTAGCGTCACTGCCGGGACAGACGAGACCGTGACAGAAACTGTAGTGGAAGTCTGGTCCTGCGGCAGATAATGTCCAGATGATAACGCGCAGACAGAAACAACAGATTACCTCCAATATCCTGGTTTAACCCCGGGCTGCGGCGCCAAAGATGAATTTGCGTATTTCAGCGGCACATTAAGAAACTGCAGAGCAACAAAGACGATAATCTCCTCTGAAGAAAGGAAGACAGCTTTTGTGTTTGAGGAGTGAAATACCTATGGGCTGTGCGGTATTAAACGTGGATCTACAGCGCCGCCGCCGATGTCTCATTACCATACTCCCCCCCGCCGCATTACATTCATGCTAATTAGAAAATGGGGACAAGCACATGTGCAGCTGGAGATATGGAGTTTGAGGACGGCGTATTTGCAGCTCGCTCACGTCTTAAAGGAAAATGTCAACCTTGGACGATTGTGGTGTCGCTGTAAATGTTCATGACGTCCTGATCAGACGGCGTTTTAGTCTAAATAGACCTCAGGGTGACGGAGAGCAGACCAAACGACAACTAGGTCCACGATAAGAAAGGTTTCCTTGTGAGGTTGAGTGAGATCGAACCCCCTCATGTTCGGGCGAAGGGTCTCTGAATCACCCTCTCAGACCGCCGCCTCCTCGTGACCTTCTTTCTCCTGAGATGTTTGGATTTGCTGCGTTTTTTCAGCTCACACTCTTGTTGTGTTTCGAAGTCTTTTTTCCCTTTTCCCGGTTTCATCTGTTTGAGGCATTGTTTGTGTTTCTGTGGCGCCACATCCACATAATGAGGCGTTCGGGAGTCTGGGATCTTTTCTGTTCATTTAACTCGATTTAAATTTAGATCATATTTAGACGGTAGGCGGGGTGTGCGCGCCGGGCGTGTTGCTCTTAAAACCACAGATAATACAGCCTAGTTATGATAACGTCCACCTGATTGATTAACCCAAATCCACCAATCTCATTAGCTAATAGATAAATCTCCTGTAAAGAGCTTTTCGGTGTCGTGTTTTTACCTGATTGTTGGCGGCAGAGGCGGCCTTAATTCCACATGTAGCTCGAATTATGAAAATAACTCTGTGATTACACAGGCCACTCCGGGTCTGTTTACTCTCTCTGTGTTGCAACACTTTTCAGAGAATGAGGTTATTGGACTGAGAAGGCAGAGTGAGATTTATCAGGAGTTTGTGTCCGACGTCGATGAGATCATGACTTTTCTCTGATTATAAATCCTGTTTTGTTTGGTTACTGTTTGACAGGAACAACTCTGATAATTGGACAAGTATCAGCTGACTCTCATTGGCAGAAATAACCTTTAAGTTATGTCGAATAACACGAAGCTTTCTCCGGCTGAGATTCAATTTTCTGCCTCATTTGTGGTGTAACTTCTCGTTCATCACCTCAGCTGAGTGTTTGCAGATCAACATTTGACTTTTTTATATTTACATTTTGCTCCTGAGGCACGAAGTCTGCTGTATTATTCATCCTGACCTATTAAGACGTTGTTTTGATTCATTTTCTGACACGCTGAGTTTCCATATTTACGTATTGATTATTCAGGCCTGTGGAAATGTGGATTCCTGCACCGAGCGGAGTTATTGCTGTTTTTATTTGATTTGTGAATCCAAACACCGACTTCCAGGGAAATCCTTGTCATACATTCGTCACTGATTTCCACGGCAACAGTGTTTACTTTGCACTTTGGCTGCGTTCAAGGCTAAAGCGTCCATGTGTTTGTGGCATTGGTTGTTAAATGTTTGCTGCAGTGTGTTGGTGTTTTTATTAGCCATTTCCTCGGACGTTCAGTCCAGTTAGTGTTGATAACAGTGAGGTACTCGGGTTGTTTAAGAGGCAGGGATAAAAAATAAAAAAACTGAACATTGAATTGTACTTTATCCAGAGCAGCTAGAGGCTCTTTGTTTACACTTTTGTCCTCTGAAAGGAAATCTACAGGGAAATTTTTATGCACAAAATACACTAAGAAGGCATTTCATCACATTTTAGACACTAAAGAGCAAAATAGGGCGCTTTGTTTACATTTAACACACCTGGATGAGCATTCATGGATGATTTTTTTTACATTTCATCCTCTAATTATAGCTGCCAGGGAGGCGCTTTATTTACAAGTAAGCTGAGGGCGCTTGATTTACATTTTATCAATAATAAGAGCAAAGTGGACACTCGAATCACATAGTACATTGAAGGGACATTCAAAGGCACTTTGTTTACATCTCATTTCCTTAAGGAGAACTGAGAGGACACTGGACCCAGAGTTTTTACACTAAGGGCTTCCAGACGACTCTTTATTTACATTTGATCCACTAAAGGAGCGACCACAGGAGGCTTTATTTACATATTATCCTCTTGATTAGAAACATGTGGACACTTAGTTTACATTTTTTCTCCTCCAGGAACAACAGGAGGGCGCTGAAATTACAGTTTTACTCTGTGAGCCCACAGAAGATGGTTTGTTAACAGTTATCAACAAAAAGAGCAACCAGAGGGTGCTTTATTTACTAATCTATTAAAACAGAAACAAAAAGGCTCTTAATTTACTTTTAATGTACTTAAAAAACAACAAGAGGGCCCTTTGTTCTAATGTTAAACAATAAGAGGGCACTTTGTTTACACTTGATTAACAGAAAGGACACGAAGTTGGCACTTTGTTTACATTTTATGCAATAAAATTTTATTTACATACAGTATGATCCCTTAAAAAGCTATCCAAAAGGTGCTTAATTTCCTCAATACAGTTTACAGTTAAAAAAATAACAAGAGGAAACTTTTATATTTATGTTTAGAGAAGCAAAATGAGGGCGCTTTGTTTACATTTAATGCAATAGAAGATCAACCGAAGGGAAACTTTATTTACATATGATATCAAGTGCTTAATTTCCTCAATACAATTTACAGTTAAAAAGTAACTAGAGGAAACTTTTATATTTATGTATAGAGAAGCAAAATGAGGGCACTTTGTTTACATACGTATATGTAGATCGCAACCAGAGGGTATTTTGTTTACCTTTATTTTGAAACACTGGTAGAATGGGACTTTGTTTACATTAATTCACTGGAAGAGCATCTTCATGTTTTCCTGCAGGAGCCTCAGAGAGAGTTTTTTTGTTTCGTAATGTTTTATTCATCACAAAAGCATCTAAGCGGGGGCACTCGTGGTGTTTTTTTCAGACATATGGGCACCGGGTGTTGCCCCCGTCACCCCCCTCTTGGTCCACCACTGTTTGACACCTATTTTTGATTATCTGACTCGTCCAGTTTTGGGGTAATTTCAGGATGACCCTGCAGGCTGGATTTCCAGGTCTGCCTCTCACAGCAGGCAGCGTGAGAAGAGGGAGCGGCTATTTCAGTTCTGCCTTCGCTCAGGCTTAAGGAACTTTTTCAGAATTCAGAGCATGGAGGAGAAATGTAGGTCAGGCTCCTTTTTAGAAAACTTGTGGCCGGGAAGAGAGCTTAGGAAGGTTTTAACATATTGTAGTCATTAGGAAAGCTGCTGTGCCACGTCTGGCATACTTCTCCTGGGTGGCTGAGTCATACGACCTCTTTCGGGTTCCCTCCCTCACGGATTGGCTGGACAGATGGACGCAGTGAAAATCCTGAGGTTGGCATCGGTAGCTTAAACCCTTCATCTCTGCCTCTGGATAACTGTAGAAATGAGCATTCATTATCGCTGCCAGTCAGAAATAAGCGTCACTTTACAAGCTTGTAAACATAACCTCTCTGGCCCCCCCCAGTTGCTAGGAAAACCACCACGGCTAATCTATTGTGATACAAACATCCACTGAAACTGGAGAGGTTTTAATTAGAAGAATAAGTGACTCACATTCAGGTCTGGTGACTGTGTATAGTTCCCTGATAGCTCTGTTTATATCAGCCTAATCTAGAGAGAGCGGTATGTGGTTGACCTGTTTCTGGAAAGAGCCTCATTGTCTTTCTGAATAATACTCCTCACACACGAGATGGCACATGTGAAAGACAGGAGACACAGCTGAGAGGACAGACGGTAGAATTTGGGTTACCTTGTGATATGTGACCCAGTAAAAGAAATATTATGCTCCGACAACCGGGAGCTTATCGCTGCAGCCGTCAGAACCGAGGAGCTGGTTGTCCAAAAATGGTGCTGTGGTCGGCGCTCACGCTCTGCGGTATCACACATAATTCAAACAGACCGGATCCGCTCGTTTTAAAGTCGAAAACAAGATCGGGAAGGAAAAAGTGAACCAAAAACTCTGAGCTGTTGTAGTGAAAGAAAAGGACTCGATGTTTAAAGGCACCACATGTTTGTTTCTGCAGCTGTTTTAAATTTGAGGATCTGCAGCCTCTCAGTTTCTAACCTGCGATCACCTGAGTGGGTGGAGATGGTGTATTAACAAGGAGCTTCGCTGACTGGCTGTTGTCTGACAGGGGAGGGTGGGCGCTGATTGGTGAAGGTGGATGCAGAGGCGGAAAAACACCGAAATGAATTTGGCAAGCCCTCCAGGAGAACCTGTGAGAGTCCTCTCCACAGAGTCAGACGTGCAAAAAAATCAACTCTGTGGAGAGTACTTGAACAGGTTCTCCTGGATAGCCTGCCAAGTTCGTTTCGGTGTTTTTCCACCTCTGCATACCGATTGGCTGTTGTCTGAAAGGAGAGGGTGGGCGCTGATTGGTGCAGAGGCGGAAAAACACCGAAACGAACTTGGCGAGCCCTCCAGGAGAACCCGTGCAAGTCCTCTCCACAGAGTTGATATTTTGCACGTCTGATTTAACCTTCAACTGCAGCAAAGCCAGATTTATTGTGGGAGGAAGTGCTATCACTGGTTTGCATGCACGTCTATGCAAATCCCTCCTGTTGTTTTGTTACCACAGGAGGAAATTTAGCTTTCCTCGCAGGTGCGCCTCAAAAACAACAACAGAGGCTCTTCCTACTTCCTCAGGGTTACTAGGCTGGAGGAAAACATACGCAGACATGTGCCATCATGGAAAAATGTGTTTACGTTTATGTAGCACCTTCATAAAAAGAGCAGAAATCTGATATCGCTCCGATTTAGCGTGTAAAATTCCTCCAGAATAACACGCATAGTGCCGGATGATCCACGGCTCACATTTCAGATCCATTTTCATGCCGACAGGTGGTTAATATTTGACATTCAAATCCTGGGGTATTCCTTCAAATATGGACACACTGCATTTAACATAACATTCACCCGATGGAGTTTGCACGGATCTTGAACGCACCGCCGCTCGATGAAAACAGTTCTGGGTGAAATCTGACCCTTTTAGTCACTTCAGTCTGTAAACACTTTTATAACGGGACAGAGCGCTCGTTTTTAACCGCCCAGTAATGTAGAAACATGTCAGAGGGACGATTAGAGATCCTCTTCAACCACAGCGCTCACAGATAAAAGTGCAGATGTGGTTTCGTTATGACTGCACACTTAATTTTCAGACGGCTGTATAATTACTCAGACAAAAGCTGAACCACTTTTATTTATTTTTTCCCTGTTATGTAATTTAAAGTCCTTTTAACCATCTCTCTCTGTGTGGACGCTGTTATCTAGGACACTTCAGACTCGGCTTTAATGGAGTCTGAAGTGTCGGCCGATTGTTTAATCCACCATTAGTCCACTTTTATAACTCAGACAATAACATTAAACTCAAAAACAACAGTGTGTTTGAATCCTCTGCTGAGATTGGAAATCCAGTGAACGACTATTTAACGTTTAACATTCAGAATAATGATCCAGGACTAAGTAGACTGTTGAGTAAATTATTATAAATGTAGTTTTCTTCGTGTTATCACTGAGAGTTTCAAAAACACCTTCCAAGGTGAAGACAGCTTTGTTGTTTTTGTTTTGATGGTAAAAAATGAAAGTTTAGGTTACAGCTGAGGAACTTGTGCTTCAGGATTGTTGTTTATATGTGCCAAATGTGGGCTGCTGGTTTATTTCGGTCTGTTTTTTAGTGTTTAGATTAACATTTATGAGCAAACCTCGCTGTTCGTCACTGTGCTGCAGCTTCATTTCTTGGTTGATACAAAACCAGCAACAAAGTCAGACTTTTCTAACCATTGAGGCCAAATTAGGGCCAAGGGTTGTACTACCTCAAACCTGGGATGGTTACCTCCACTAATTACATCGACTTTAGCGTCCAACGTGAAGAAAAAAAATCTATAAAATGGTTACCTAACATTTATAACTTCACTTTTTATGGATTTATAAGGAAGGTCGTTGTCCAAAGTTGCTGTTAGAAACACGAACACAAGAAAATGTGCGACTTGATCTTGGTGCATGGACCGTCTCTGATAAGGCAAATAACCAAACGTGATTTCAGCCAATCAGCTACCTCTTGGCTTAGACGTGAAGTGGTTTTAACAGATGTAGCACCTTGTAAGGTTGTCGTCTTCATAGCTACCATGTTGTGGTTTGTGTCTGTTTTCTTCACTTTGTTAGACGTCTCTTTCACTCTGCTCCTCATACCATCAGATGTTTCTGCCACCGTGTCAACAGGCAGAGGGGAAATTTCTAGTCTCTGGCTTTGCTCATTTAGAATTAATTACCGTCATTGTGGGTTTCAACCATAGATGGTATATAGAATGAACGCCGTCTGCCTCCTTGCTGGGTGGAGCCACTCCGAGAACAGCACCCTCTGGTGACGGGCTGCAGTATAGGTCATAAATCCCGCCTCCTCCAGACAAACTTCAGAAACACAGAATATAATTTTTTGTGATGTTGACATGTAGTTACTGTCAGACTGGTTTGTGTTCAAGTCCTCTTTTTTCTGTACAGCTCCATTTTTAAAAGTTATCATGGGGTTCATGGGCGTACCAAGATTGCGTAGGTCACCCCGGAGGATACGCTGTTAAGCCGAGCGTCATCACATCGAATCTTGGTGACTCTCCCGCTGAATGCGCACAACGCTACTGCGCAATGTTGGTTTCAGGAAGTGGAGAAAAAACGCGGAATTACCAAGAACTTTTCGGCTTCAAATCCGTAAACTGGCAGAAGGCGGAACCAAGTTGTCCAGAGTAAATACAGTCCATTTTAAAACAGCCACAGTGATTGGACAGAAAGCTGAACAGGTTTTTTTAATTATTAATCTGAATTTGGGTCATGATGCTGGAGTCCCAGATGATCTACGTCTGTATTTATCGACCTTTAAACTCAAACTGCTGTTTTTATGAGGAGGAACAAATGTGTGTAAATGTGTGTAAATGTGTGTCTCAGTGTTTCCTCTGACTGTGTGTGGTTGGTCTTCTTGTTTCATAATGATCTGAGAAGCCCCGTGTGCACAGCTGAGCTGAAACAGCATCTTTTCTTTGGCCTGCCGATGATTAAAGTGGGTGTCCAGCAGTCTGGCATCATGGGTGGAGCAGAGTGGAGCAGCACGCTGCATACAAAGCTCTCATTTGTATTCCGCTGCTCTCAAAGGGCACGGGGCATTTTATGTTCTTTAGCGGGTTTAATTCTCTGCAGAACATTAAAAGACGACTCCCCTCTCAGCTGGATGCTTCATGTTTCTCCTCCCTGACTCAGCTGGTCTAACCACAGACACCAGTGCCGACTCAGAACCTACAAACCCACCTTTTTCCTCCTTTTTTACCACATTTACTCTCAATAAACTCACATGTGCAAAGTCACATACAAGGAGGCGCACATCCCGGGAGATCTGATCTGTTTTAGCGCCGTAGAGGTTTGATGTAAGTTTCTAGGTCACTGTTATCCTGGGCTGACTGACGGAGGGAAAAGAGTTCATATCTCCCTGTCTTGCATTTTTAATAGCTTACATTCATTATGCATAAAAAAATCTTCTGGTTTGGTGAACGTAGCTCTCTACGTCAGTCACACTCCAGTGTTTTTCCCTCTCTCTCTCTCTCTCTCTCTCTGCCGTCAGATATCATGGCGGAGGATTTCTGGCTCAGGGGCAGGAGTGAGGAGATTTGATTATTAAGCTCTTTCTTTGTGGACGGCTCTTCAGTATTCAACAGCTTGTTATTTGTGTGTTTGGCTGAGGGCTGAGCTTAGAAACGGCTCAGCTGTGTGTGAAATAGAGGAGTGCAAACACGAGAGGAAAATTAATGTGGATATTTTTAAGTTTTACAGATAAAGGAGTTAATTAAGGACAACAGAACTGAGGCTGGAGCGCCGATATCTTCTCATGTGAATGTGGGCCAGAGAGGAAAGTTCAGTCTGTCGTTCATTTTTAAAACAAAACTAAGTTTAAAGATAATTATATTATTAATATAATTATTTATTTATTTATTTATTTTATTATTATTATTATTATTATTATTATTATTTATTTATTTATTTTTATTTGTATTATTATTATTATTAATATATTATTATATAAAATGTAAAATTATTATTGCAGATCTTACCTTAAACCATCACGACCTATACTGAGGTCTGAACATGCCACTATTAGAGATTTCACGATACGATATTCATAAAAGATTTTGGTCTGATATCGGCAAATATCTGATTATATCGGATCAATAACGGTATCAGCAAAGACTGAAGGCTAAAATAGCAGTTTCAGCCAATACTGAAGACTATACTGGGTATTTTTTCTCTAAATTTCTATTATTGTTGAACTAATTTTCAACTTAATTTGCTAAAAGTAAGAAAACAAAATATCTAATTGCTTATATTTAGTATATTTCACTTATTTTGAGGCTGTAAAAAAATTACTTTTTAAGTTATCGCACCTTAAAATACTTATTTTATGCTTATATTTAGGATATTTTGTCTTATTTGTAGGGCTGTAAAAGTTAAATTTTAAGCAATCTGATCTTAAAACCAGCATTTTATACTTATTTTTGCTTATATTAAGTATATTTAACTTAATTTAGGGCTGTAAAAGTTAAATTTTAAGTTATCTGATCTTATGCTCTACATGCTAAATTCTAGATTTAATAATCTTAATTAAAGAAATCTTGTCAAGTGAAATTATCCTGCTGCATGGACTGATAATTTCACCTGTTTTTAGTACCTTTTCCATCAGATTTAGTGTTTTTATCTTGTTTTTTTTTTGCAGTGCATGACCATTACATGTGTAACAGTCCTTACCATGTGGTGGTTTGTGGTTTCTTCTCGTCTGTTTTCTTCAATTTGGTAGATGTCCCATTCACTCCGACTCCTCCAGCTGCAGCTCAGTGTATTTCAGCTCCAAATTTACCTGAAGGGATTCTCATTTGAAGAATATAACCACCTGCTCACTATACATCACCCTCTAACCTGATCTGCAGTCAGATATCTAAAGTTTTCCAGAAAGTCTCAGAGAGCGTCTCGACTAAATATGAGAAAAACAGACGTAAACAGTGAGTCTCTCTGATATTAAACTCTGGGATTAAAGTTCCCGTTTATGGCTCACTGAATCTCTTCCTCGCCGTCGCTGTGAGCTTCACTCCTCCTCTGATCAGCCTCTGGAGGACAAACATCTGCAAACACCGAGCCAAAGGTCTGTGTTTGCTCCACTGCACCTCCAATAACTCTTATCTCCCCTGCTGTGGGTTTTATGAGATGAACTTCTCTGCTCTGAGTTTCATTTAGCTGCTGTGGTGTCTGCCGCCATAAAACCAGCAGCAGCTTCAGCACCAGTTTGGACGTACTGGGTGATAATGGGAGGGGAATGAGACCGATCATGCAGGTCAAATCACACTGTGCAGTATTTGTTTTAACTTGAGTGATTTTTTTTTCAGTGGGAGAAAAGTCGTAATGGAAACACGCTGCTGTTGTTTCTGCGCGCCTGATGAAGTGTCGGCCCACGGTGTGAATTACTGAATCGCGTCGGCCGAGTCTGTCTGCCGCTCGCCAAAAAGGTGAAGAGAGAAAAAGACAAAGAAAGAGTTTGAACAGGCGCTGCCACCATCTGGTCCAAATTAACAGTTTTCACTAAAAAACAGCAGGTTAAAGAGTCGGCACAAGAACTTTTCATGGTTCCCAGAGGATGAATCTTGATTACATTTGTAATTTTGTTATTTAGCTGGAGCTACTGGCAAGGTTAAGTTTTAACAAATCTGCTTGAGTATCTAAAACTCCATCAGGTGAGATGGGATCCCAAGAGGATAAACCCCCAGACTTTAGGGTCCCCTGGGAAAATTGGGAAGAAATAATTAAAGTTCTTAGAGGATATGTCTCTTTTTAATGTTTCTCAGTAGATAACACCGACATAGGATTCAGGCACCTAGTTTTCAATGTTTATCTAAATCTGGTTGGCCTTAGATTTGTTCCTGATATTCAGAGTCTCCAGAGGATTGATCTTACTGACTTTTTCATCCCTCTGTAACACCCGTCACCTGGCCTGGCCGGTCAAAACTGGCCAAAGCTTCCACCTGAAATATCTTAACAAACGTTTGACATGTTTGTTCAAATTTCAAATTGACATTTGTGGTCCTCAGAGGATATATCCTTTTCTATTTGTAGTCCCAGTTAGCCAACACCATCATTGGATTCAGTGTTTTACGTCTGACTTTTGTTAACTGGAATTAGAGGACATTTAGTAAAGACGTCTCACATCTACGTTTGCAGAACAGATTGAAGATATTCATAGTTCCCAGAGGATGAATCTAAGTGACTCTTTTATCCTCAGGCAGCACCTGGAGACCTAAAGCTGATTAAAGATTACACTTTTGCACTGAAATAAATTAACAAATGTTTGATACGTTGGTAAAAAAAACAAAACTCTGGAGTGTCATTCGTAGTTCCCTGAGGATACACCCTTTTGAGTTTTTTATACTTGTGACCTTTGCTTGTTATGGCTTCATTGTCGTAGGTTTGACTTTAGTTGGTAAAGTCATCTGTTGTCAACTCTTGTCAGGTGGATGGCCCAAACGTTGTTAGATATTCATGGTTCCCAGAGGATGAATCTGAGTGACTTTGTCCGGTTGAGAGTTTACTAATTAAATGAGGTTTTTGTTTATGAATCATGACGTAAAATTTGTGAATTCTATCATGTTGGTTTGCGATCATTAGCGTCACACTTTAAAACTAAAAACACTAAAATTCGCAGACGCTAAACCTCCTGTTTCTGTCGTGTTTGTTACCATGTCGATCTTTACTGACCGGTAATCAGCCGCTCGTTCTCCCATGATGCAGGAATAACCATCTCCCTTTAAAAATCAATGAGCGTCTTTTGTCCTCTCCAGCTCTCTGTAGTTTGTGACCTCTGAGTGTGTGTCGTCTTTCAGTTTGTGTCAGAGATTGATGGAAGTAAAATCTGATCTTTCCATCAATCGTTGTCCTCTCTCTCTCTCTCTCTCTCTCACGTCTTTGTTTTTCAGGGCGACTTAGTTTGTGTCTTTGCCAAATTCTGACTTAATTTAGCTCTACGTTCCCTGATATAGATGTATGATATTAGACTGAATTTGTTGATGTTGTTTGGAAAGAGTCAGCTCATCTCTGCAGCTTGGTAATGATAGTGCCATCGTGGGTAACGTGATAACGCCGAGGACACCTCTGTGAAGCGTGCTTGAAGTTAATGAAAACGCCGAGCAGATGCCAAAGTGAGACGAAAACAAAGGGGAGGCGTCTGATCGGTGCTTTGTCTCCGCAGACTGAACCTCAGACGTGTTCCTGCGGCCTAATGGATCCCTCGATTAATAAAAGATAAGCAGTCAATTATTGAGCTGTCGAAGGCGAGTTAGGGACGACACGCAGGGCGGAGGGCGCGGGGCGGGGGGTCAAAGAGGAGGAGGAGGCGTGTGAGATATTTCATGGTTGAAGGAGGGAGGCTGTGTAACCTCGCCCTGACATCAAAATCACCTTTATCCTGTTTGTTTGTCTTCTTTCGTCACCTAAATCTAAAAATCTAAGAACCAGTTTAATTTTACTGCGGATAAAACCTCTGAATTTGTCTCCTCTTTATCCGTTTTTGCGGTTTTCTGTTTTACTCAAAGCTCTTGTGAGCATTTTTTTTTACTGAAATTCATATTTTAGCCTTTTTGTGATCTCCAAAAACGAATAAGGTTGACTTTTTTTTATACTGTAAGTTTTAATGTTCGAAAAATATGTATAAGGGTAAGAGTTTTTGTAATGTCCACGTAAAATACTCCCAAACATCAAATACTTGATTGTCAAAAGTCAGTAATGTGAAATTTTGTCATGTAGATGACAAGATAAGCAAATACTGTTTGTCCACAGGGGGCGCCAAAGTTCACATCAACCTAAAATTCCTTACTAGAGCTTTAATTTTTGTTTAAAATAAATCCAAAGAGTGCAAAACATTGTCCTTTAAATTTGCAAGATTGGGCCAAACTTCTGTCTTAACTTTTCACCCAATTTTATGTTCTGATCTTAAACATTTAATTGATTTTACTGTTTTACTTTGACCGGATTGATGCACGGACTGGTAGTCGCGTATATGACACTTTATATCATCAATATCGACAGATGTACTTCAGTTAGCATAAAAAAGAAGCTCAATTGTTTATTTTCCCTCTTATTGTTTATCATCAGCAGATACAGACATGGAAAATAAAAATAATTAGAAGTTGTCTGCCTCGTTGCTGATGGTCTCGTTCACTTTTATAAGTCATAAATCAGCGTCTCTGTTAATTTCAGTCTGTTTCCTGACCAGATAAATCTCCTTATAGTGGCTTTAAAAACACAAGATCATGACTCTTAAATCTTCTTTCTGTTAATGTATTCATTTTAACCAACCTCTGTAAAGTTTTCCAATATTTTTATTCCCTATGATCAAAGTTTTGCTGTAGATTTGATGCCGTTTTCACTTGATTTACTCCTCTCTCCTCTCTCAGTCTCGTTTTAAGACAGCTTTTATGTCGTCGAGCCCTGGAGGTTGTTTTCCTTTTGAAGCTTTCGCGGCCTCTCTTTGTGCTCATTATTAGCCTGCTGAGTGAATTAAAAATTCAAATTATAAGCCCCACACACACTCACACACACACACACACACACACACAGACCTGACTGCGTGTTGTTTACACCGAACTAATCAGAGGGATACTGTTTTAAAATGCAGCTGATGTTTCTTCGTCTTCTTCTTGTCCTCTGGTTAATTGTGCGTGCAGCTGTAAAAATGCCAAATGTCTCTGATAATTTCTTCTGCCCTTTCTGCTAAGTTGATTTTTATTGAGTTTATGAATTAATGCAGCAGAATAAACAAGTACTAGTCTGTTTATTTTGCTCTTTCCTTTCTTTAAACACGGTCTCATCTTTTCTCCGTCTTTGTTTCTAAGGTAGAAACGTGGACTCTCTTCCTCTCTCTTTCCTGAGTTGAAGCATCTTCATGTTTGTGAGGAGAAAGCCTCCGTCCTCGCCTCCTTGTTGTTATTGTGCAGGCGGAGGCCGAGGTGTGAAAAGGGAAAACAGAGCTGTAAAAATCTGCTGCTGCTGCTGCTGTGTGGACCTTCAGGGCTTAATGATCTACTGACACACATTCGAACGAGCAAATATGAGCGTGGTTTATGGAGGCGAGGCCGGGACGGAGTTTAGACTTTAGCCTCCAGTCGGCGGCGGTTTATTATTCATGAGCAGCAGAGAGGTAGACAGTTTATGTGTGTGTGTGTGTTTCTTCAGCTGTAAATCCTCAGCTGATCTGGATGAGTTTACTTTCACTGAAGGATTACCTGTTTTACTGCGGGTTCAAGAAACACGTCTAAGAGGGAGAATTACTGCTGTAGTAGAAGTAAACTGCTGCTTCATATTTACACACATATAGAGTTATAGTCAGAGTTTTAAATCAGCGGGTGAATGAATGTCTGAGCGTCGGGTTAAACTGTCTCCAATGTCCCATCGTGAAAGGATCGAGACTCTGAGGAGACGTGTGGTGTCCCCCTTTGAAACTGCATTCTTAAAACAGTAAGACTTAAATCGGTTTATTCTCATAACATGACTTAAAGCTCCTGTGAGGAACTTTTGATTGGCGCCCCCCTGTGGACAAATCAGTAAAAAAAAATACTGTTTTCTAAAATAGAAAAGTCAGTATTTTCCAAAATCCGTTCTAAAAAGTAGGGTATGGAAAAGTATGAAAATTCCAACTGTGTAGGAACACTGATTATTTCCTGACAATAAATCTCATCCTCTGACTTTTGATAGTCATATATAATTATTTTGGGAATATATAGGGACACCTACCCCCATCAGTCTTTTCTCTGATGCTCATATTTGCTTTTGTTTATCATTAGAAAGCATTTTGGAGCGAGAAGATGGAGCATCGTACAGCGTTGTTTTTGTCCGACATGATGGACGCGCTACTTTTTCTGTAGATGAGACGAACGCTACTCCTCTACTCTGGTGTTTTTGTTACGGGGTTACAGGGGCGTGGCGCACATGCACATGCATTGTTCATATTCATCATATATCATATTCCGATTTTGCTGGTAACACGGTAGAGAAAATCGAATTTCAGTCGCATTATCTGAGTGTCTTAATCAGAGTTGATTAGAGTCGGGCTAAGGTGTTTACATGCACTTTAGTTGTCCGGTCTTAATCGGAGTAAGGCGATAATTTGTTTTTCTCGAGTGTCATGTAAACGTACTGACTGTCTGTAACTGTAGGTGCAGGTGTGTATTTTCCTCTGTGTGTGTGTGTGTGTGTGTGTGTGTGTGTGTATGAAGCACTCAGACGATGTTCATTCACAGACTCTTACTCCTGATGTCAAAACTGTCGTCTCTCGTCAGAAGGGTTGAACTCGAATCTATTTTAAGCTCTGTGTGTCCTATCTTTCGTGACAAGTGCGCGCACACACACACACACACACACACACACACACACACACACACACACTCTCCCCTACTGCTCTGTCACTTCACTACAGCGTCTCTGCAGCCAGCCGGTAAATCCTTCAGCTGAATATTGCATGAGCAGCTGAGCGGTGGAGCCCCCGGCACACGTCTGAATAACGGGCAGAAAACACAGCAGATTGATCAGTGTGTGTGTGTGTGTGTGTGTGTGTGTGTGTGTGTGTGTGTGTGTGTGTGTGTGTGTGTGTGTGTGTGTGATTAAATGCTGTAAAGCTTGGTTTGGATGCATTTCAACATGTGCATGTGTTTCGCTGTTATCAGGCCTGTTTGTGAGCTCAGTGTGTAAATCTCTGCAGCAGGTTCAGGGTCGACTGCAGCTGGATCTGATGACACTCTTAGCTACATGCTAACATGCTAACATGCTAACTGTAGAGTTTAACAAACAGACTAATTTCAATGCAGGTTATCATAAAACTGAGGAGTGGCGAAGAAGAAGCAGACTGCTGAAAATTTAAAAAAAAATAAAAATAAAAATCAAACATTTTTTAAAAAAATTATTAAAAAATAGGAAAAAAATTAAAAATAGAAAAAAAATATATAGAAATTGAAAAAAGAAGCAGACTGCTAAAATCCTTTAAAAAAATAAAATTTAAGAATAAAAAATAAATAAATAAATAAATTGAAAATAGAAAAAATAAACAACAAAAATGATAAAACTTGCACTTGTTTGGCGATTTTGTCCTGATTAATGCGTCTGTTTGTGTGTATTCAGAAGTCTGAGAGTATAATGGAAATACTGCAGAAAGAAAAACTCTAAGTCGTGGTTCCTGTCAGGTTGTGTGTGTGTGTGGGGGGAAATACCTTTTAATCAGCCAAAGGAGATACCGAGGAAATTTGGCAGGAGCAGCCGCTCACTCAGGAAGAAGCTGATAAGATTTTCGAGACCACCCCAACAAACCCTTAAAAGGGGTTTTAATACATCCTCCTAAAAAAAAACAAAGTCCTGCAGAACAAAAATACAGGGAGAAAAAGTCCATAATGTGGTTTTTAAGAACGAGGACGGGGATAAAAATGACATTTATTTCTCAGAGTTGCTGTTTTTTCCACAAAGAGAGTTTGTGGGTGTTACTTTTTACACAGCTTACGATGCTTACAAGATACACTGATTTTAATTTATTATGAGTTTAATTTAATCTAAAGTCGTCCTATTTTGAAAAACTTCCTCTATGTTTACCCACATTAGTTTTTAACTCCTCAGTATTAAAGTTCAAAAACATCAGTGATCGTAAATAACGTTGTGTCTGAGTCAAAGTTCGCTCTCCTGTCTGAGTTATATCCCCGTCCTCCTGTTGCGAGCGCGTCTCCACAGTCAGCTGTAATTGGCGGTTGTTTTTGTGAGTCGTAGTCTGGCAGACATCAGAGCTGGGAGCTGAAATCTCGACAAAGACGCTCTGGCTGTCAGATCGGTTTCTGCGCCGTCTGAGGTGAATCGTCGGGGTCGAGCTTTCCTGCGTGTTGTTATATAACCTTTGCTCTTCTCCTCTCATCTTTGTTTTCTTCTCTCCCTCTGTCTCTGTCACAAACTCGCGGCCTCGTGGATTTCAGGCGTGAGGACGAGGACCTGCACTTAGTTTTGGGGTAGGCAGGCCGGGCGCCGATCCAGACCCTCCCTTTCCTCTTCATCCAAACTCCTCCTGGCATCTCTCCCTGCGCTCGGCTCCGCAGGGATTATCCCGGCCTACAGGAGGGAAGAAAAACAAGAAAAGACTCCAATTATCACTCTTAATCTTTCCACATATGAGTCACTTCATGGCGTTTTGCACACTCAGCACTTTTTGGGGGAAATAAACGGTATTAGCGGTTTCACGTGAGCAAGTGCTTCCTCTCAGATAAACAACATATGCTGATAAAACACAAACTTCTCAACATGTCGAGCTTTTCTGCAGGAAATTCAGCTCAGAGTTTGTCAAAGTACGAACATTTTGTTCTTAAAACTAAACGAAAATAAAAGTCTGATGAAGGTAGACTGACAAAGGAAGTATAACCTCAAACTTTATGTAGTTTATATCTATGCTAACTCAAAAAGGCTAAATCTTCCACCATTTCTCTGACAACATCCGTGTTATTTAAAATGGTTATTGATTAAATTCTATTTCCTATTATCCAGAGGTTTTGTGACATTTCATGGTCATATTATCGTGTCAGCTCTCGTCTTTATCGTGTCTTTGCCTCGTTTGCGTGTTGAAGTGAAAAAGAGGGGACCCAAGATAGACCCCTGGGGGACGCCACGTGAAAGAGGAGGCATACAGATACAGTACAGCGCCACATCACTGACTCTCATACACTCATAAAGACCATAGACTGTTTATACTACGGACAACTTAGTTCCGCCTTCTGCCTGTATAAGGATTTGAAGCCGAAAAGTTCTCGGTAATTCTGCGTTTTCTCTCCACTTCCTGAAAGCATCATTGCGCAGTAGCGTTGTACGCACTCCACACACAATACTGCCTGCAACCTATTTGTGTGTTTGTGTGCATGTGTGTGTTTGTTAGTGTGTTATTCAGAACAGCTGATCTTCAATGAGATCAAAGCATCAAGGACATCAAAGGGGATTCCGGAATTTTCGCCACAATAAGAACTTTAGAATGGAAGAAGTTTTTGGTCTCATTGATCTAATGTGTGACATCATAAAGGAAGAGTTCAGTTGGTCACAATCATAGACCGTATTTACTCTGGACGACTTGGCTCCGCCTTCTGCCTGTATACGGATTTGAAGCTGAAAATCTCTCGGTAATTCCGTGTTTTTTTCTCCATTTCCTGAAACCAACATTGCGCGGTAGAGTTTTGGTGGAAGAAAATTTCTATAAATTTCTAAAATTTGTCCACAGCCCCATAAGCTTTGCTGGCGGGATTTATGACCTATACTGCAGCCCGTCACCAGAGGGTGCGGTTCTCGGAGTGGCTTCACCCAGCGAGGAGGCAGACGGCGTCCGTTCTGTATATAGTCCATGATAAAGACACAAAGATCGTCCGGTTTAACAGTTTAGTCTCGGCCAACACAGGAACAGATTCATTCACCGACACACTGGACTGGAAATGTCTCTGTGACTTTGGAGTAAACAAACATGGAGGATGAGGAGATGGTGGAGGTCTCTGAGTGGAGTAGACGATGGATGGATGGTTGGATCTTGTTTACTAACCTTACGTGAGGCGGGTGAAGCGGGTGAGGCCCACAGTTGGGGGGGAGGATAACTGTGAGGTGTTGGTATGGCATGTCTGTTTGTGAGACTGTGAGGCATGTGTAGAGTGAGATACCGCCCACTCTGACGCAGTGTGTGTGTGTGTGTGTGCGTGTCTGTGTGTGTGTAAATAGCTAGAGTGTGGTATCTCTCTGATGTTTGTGTCTCAGGTTTCAGTCTGAATCAGGCGAACAGGCAGGACTCGGAGTCCACGGTGACCTCTGATTCTTCTGCTCTTTTTTTTCTTCCCTCCTTTTTCCCTCTCGTCTGGTTCCTTTTTCTTTTACTTTTCTCCTTTTTCTTCTGCTCCCACTTCATCTACCTTTCCCTCCCTGACTTCTTCTCCTCCTTTTCTTCTTTCTTCTCCTTTGTTTTCCTGTTTGCTTTGTGTTTTTAATGCCAAAGCATTTACAGAAATCTCCCCTTAGTCTCCACCAGGTAGCATTCTGATATGCCAATGTGGAAATGCCAAAAACTGTAACACCTCAAGTGTCCACTAGAGGCTGCCCCCAAATTTGAGTGAACCCCATAGAGCCCAATGTTAAACTTAATTAATTCTTTATTGCAGATCTAAACGTCTATTTTAACCCGAAAATGCATAAAACTGAAAAAATATAACAATAAAAGTAAAAAACAAACAAAGATAAAGCAGCTTGAGTGAGGGCATTATTAGAGACAGACATGTTGGTTTGTGCAGATCATCGTCGTCTCATAAATCCTGTTGATGACTGAAGTGTTTGTTATAGAAATGATTGTGTTTACAGCTCTGTGATCGATTATTTCTGTCAGTTTGGTCGTCTCTGTTTGGTTTGTGTTGATTTTTCTCCCTGAAATTATCGGACAAATAATCTCTGGGGTTTAACGATGTGAAACACGGTCCAAGAAGTCGTCCATCCAGCCTTAGCTGGTTCAGTGTTCGTCATGTAATCATTTATTTTGGGGCGATGGAGGCGTGGGAAACAGGATTAATGAGGGATTTTCCCTGAAGAAACCCTGAGGTTATTTTTAGTGAACCGAGTTTAGCTTTTAGTCGAAGAAGTGAACATCTGCAGTCAAACACAACATCTTATTTTTGTGGTAAAATGAGAGCGAACTCTTCAACCACAGGTGTTAATTTTTACCTTTAAAAAATCAGCCACTTAAGCTCCGCCTACTCACCCAAATATGGTCACAAAAAACACAGTTTAAGGTGTGAAAAACAGCCAGTAGTGATCTCAGGTTGGTTTTAAATGTTAATCCAGTCTGTCGGTGAGTCAGTCACATGTTCTCCAGCCTGTAATTGAGGAGCCGACAGACGTGTGGGTCGAGCAGCGGGAGATAATAGAGGTTTGATTTTCTTTCTTTAGAGCGAACGCCACTTTCACTCTCTTCATACATACTTAATGGGCTTTAAAATGACTCACTCAGTCGGCGAGGAGAGGACAGGTGAGCTCGCTTCGACGGGGAACAGGTGGATGATGGACGTGCGGAGACTGAACCTGCTAATTTAACAGTACTTATCAGAGCTAAATGAAGTGAACGCAGCGATGACATTCAGAGCTCAGACCGCTGCAGGTTTTACTCAGATCCGTCTCATTACCTTCGTCTTTGTTGGAAACGCTGAGATGGATCAATTTAAAAACCAGAACATCCTCGCTGACAGAATTCAGTGTTTCTGTACACCGTCATGTCAAGCTACCATACGTTGTCTTTTACTCGGACATGTCCTCTTTTTTAGGGGCTGTTTGGCCTTGTCCAGGGGTGTTTATAAAATTCTTCAAATGTCTGCGGTTTAGTATGAAAGTTCAGAGTTTGTGTCATGCGGATTTATTGAGTTAGGAGCGCAAAAAAAAACTCGATTCGACCCGCAAAACTCAAAATTTACTCCCCAAGACTCAGTGACTCCGCCCCTGCGTAGTCGCGTCCTTTTTTTGAGGATTCAGAATATCAGTGCTGACATGAGTGAGGCTTAATTGGCCTTTTTTAACGTTGTTTTATACCCTAAGACTGATATCCTCACCTCCATGCCAACTGCAGCTTATGCTAGTCTCAAGTAACCCACCATCCGTCTTCAGGAGAGCAGGAGAACGTCAAGTGGGTTTAAAATGTTGGCGCTGTTGTGTGTGAAAGATAGTTAGAGACGCCAAGACCCGCCTTACGTTGCTTCTGATTGGTTTATATTGCGTGGTGCCTTCCATAGTTGGTTAGATTTAGACACAAAGGACTGATGGATCGGTCTGGGATTGGTTATTTCGGTCAGTCGATTAGAGTTTCTTGAACGACGGCAAGCTCAAGTTTATTGTTGTTAAAAAAATAGATACAGAGTATTGAACAGGGAAATATAAGTGTGAGAAATGTCAAATGTGGCGTGTGGTGTGAGAATGGGTCAAATTGCGTGACTGTGACACTCGAAGCGTGATGATTGGCAGCTCTGGAATACAGTCACTCAAGTTATGTCCCCATAAATAAAAGTGTTTGTGTAAGATCAAATGTAAAAGTCCTAACCCTGAATGTTTGAATGTTTATCAGTGCAGGTTTATGCAGAGGCTGAAAAAAACACTAAAGCAAACTTGGCGAGCCCTCCAGAAGAACCCGCTCCTCTATGGGACCTTTAAATTGAACCCTGACATGCAGCATCCATCAGTGTGACATTTGGCTGCAGGTTCAGTCTTTTATACAGAATATTTACCCCCTAAAAGTGACATTTGTTCCTTTTTCAGTCGTTTGATGCATGAAAACCATCACTCCTCCTTTGGGTTTACGACACCGCAGCTCTTACATCCTGATTTCAACATTTTCTCTCCAGTTGTGAAATATTTTTTGACAGGATTTCAATCTCCAGGTTCCACCAAAGCTCTCTCCGAGAGAAAGCAGGACTCTTTTTAGTCACTCAGGCGTCTTTGGATCTCGGTTTGAGAGACATTCCTGACATTTTCCATTTTCCAGACTCTGACAGGTGATGGATCTCTTTCTCTCTGACAGGAGAAAGTCCTCTCCGTCACACCGGCTCAAAGTTTCCCCTCCGTCTCCTGAAGAATTGCTATTTCTCAAGTTTCACTCCCTCCACTTCCTGCAGCGTTCAGAAAGTCTCAGCAGACTTGTTTTCTCGAGTTTTCTCAGTGAGTCACGGAGTTGGAGCTGCTTTGAATCAGAGCGACAGCGCAGGGAGGGCTGATGGACAGTGACGAGAGGATGTTGGTTTTCCACAACCTCCAGAGACGTGAGAATCGAGGTCACAGCAGCTGACTGACACACAAACGAAGAAAAAAGAAAGAGAGAGAGAAAGAGAGAGTCAGGATGAAGTTTAACAAACACAGACGCTTGTTTAGAGACCCGACACCTTCAAATCTGAGCCTCCTGGATGACGCCCTTTCACTTTAATGAGTCCTCTGGGTTTCGTTTCGCTTCTCCTTTATCTTGTAACTCATTTGCAATCATCCAAAAAGCCTCGACCCTCAGGGAGCGACGACAGACTTTTGGTATTTCCATGTAGCGGGTCATTAAAGAGGAAGACTTCCCGCCAAGACTTTGTTTCTTTCTCTCGTTGTTTACAGTCTAGTTAGAAAGTTGAGAAATGACTGTTTGTGGCGTCCATGTTTACATTCTGCAGCGACTCTCACCCTGAATTTCCACCGCATCCCGAACGGCTACAAAAAGGCCGTATCCTCCGATCGTAGCTGATCTAGTCTAGAAGTCTAGAAGTAGATTTCCTCCTCTGGAAGGACACAATCTACTGCTTATATGTCTATGTGTCTGTCTTTATAGAGACAACTCGATATCATGTGATTGAACGTGAATCTGCGGGTTCTTGTGAGTTCTCGCGATTCCTGCTGTCCGTAATCCGCCACGAACAGATCCGGCGGGAATTGGCGGACGGCAGAAATCACCGCCATTCCAGATCGGAGCCGTTCCAGTGAAAATTGGTGGTCAGGTGCATGACGTGCCTCAGGTCATGTGACTGTTTAAATAGTCAAATATTCCGCAGTGCGTTTCTCGGCTCGGCCTTGGCGATGTTTCTGCGCGGCGTGGACCTGCCTGAGGTCAGGACTCGTTTGCGAAACGATTTCTCTGCTTTTTTCTTCCTCTCAGCCCTGAAGTGTTGAAGGTCGGCTTTAATCCAATTTCAGAAAATGGATTTTTCTCACAAAGATTGGAGCGCGGAGAAAGGGCGGCGTGTCTCCTCTCTCCCAGGATGAGATAGCACGCTCTGTTATCGCTCCCTGAATTGGTTTTTCACTCTTTTGTTCGGCTGCAACAAACCTGAAGGCCTCCCGACCTGACTGGACCTCCTTCTTCCTCAGAGTCCATAAACAGCTTCAGATCCGACATTATTAGTGTTGTTTTAAAGTCTGGTCCAGATCCAGAACCAAACTCACTTTTAACTGGACAGAATATGTGTGTCAGGTTATTCTGAGAGCAGCGTTCACATCAAATCCTCCACTTCAGACCGCTCCCCTCCTGATATTGGATACACAGTTAACTCAATTCTTACGCCGTGTTGGAGCATCTATTTTAAGAGTGTGTGTGTGTGTGTGTGTGTGTGTGTGTGTGTGTGTGTGTTTGTGTGTGAGGTCGGTCTGGTGCAGCAGAGCAGGAAGTGGCGGTGTGAAGTGTGAAATGTCATTATGGATGCGGCTCGGCGCTGCAGAGCTCTCAGAGTCCGGTTCCCCGACTCGCACTTTTACATGGAGGAGGAGAAACTGAACCCTGGAGTGTCTTAAATCCGGCCTCGGCGTAGACCTCCTCTGGATTTAGGACCCGGTTTTACAGAATGAATAAATTTCTGCGGCGCTCTGGTGCGAGAAATCATCCGTCTGTCTGCAGGTTTCTCGCTCTGCAAATGTGATTCCAGCTCAAACAGATTCATGCTTCAGGTTTTATATTTTTATTTTGATGCAACTTTTTCTTCGTACAGTGAAATCTCAGATATAAAACCTCCCTCAGGTCGCCAGCTTTTCCCATGAAAGGCTCCAAAATAAAAACAAAATACGATTAAAACAAGATTTAAATATTTTCAACAAAAGCATCAAAAGGCGGCTGTAGCTAAACCAGGTGTGGGCGTTTATAAAAACTCACTGATGCTCTGATCTAATTTTGTAAAACCTCGACCTAAATATTTCAAGTTTGTTCGTCTTTTTTATTTTGAAGTTTTTCTATTTAATTTTCATGTTTAGTAAAATAACACACAAGATCATTTTGGAGGAGCTATTACACTCTGAAAGAAAGTCACACAAGGATAGAAGTGATCCATGTGAGATTTGCACAATTTGTGACATCACCAGTTGGTGAATCTCCATATAAGGTCATCATAACTGCAACACTTCCTGTTCTGGTCTTTGTTCCTGAGGTTTTTGTCACTTTTCAGACTTTCCAGGTCAGACTCTGGGTCCAAATCCTATCAGACCAGATCCACAGTCTGTGTTCATGAATTTACTTTATTGTAACAAATCCAGAAAGACGACTTTTGATTTTTCCTTTAAGTTACAAAAAGTTGTTTGGGCTCCGGTCTCTGTCGGCCCTTAGTTTAAAAACGTTGGTTGTATCATTTGTTCTGACTGACCAGTACCGACCTGTTAAAGGTCCATGAGTCATTTTACCACGACAACATCAAGACTGAAGACAGTCTTTAGTCTGTGGGATTGGATGTGAGTCTGGATTGTGTTAAAAACTGAGGAGAAGTCTGCAGATAAAAGTCTAGTGCCCTCGAAATGCTTGTTAAGAAAGTTAGAAAGTCAATTTCAGACCCTACCTACTTTGAAGACATGAAAAAGTAAACTTTAGACATAATCAGAAGTCGTCGTCCAGGTTGCGGGGACAGTAGCTTCAGGAGGGAAGCCCAGACGACCCTCACCCCAGCCACTTCCACCAGCTCCTCCTCTGGGGGGATTCCCAGGCGCTCCCAGGCCAGGCGAGAGATATAATCCCTCCACCTGGTCCTGGGCCGCCCACGAGGTCTCCTCTTAGTGGCACATGTCTGGAACACCTCTAACAGGAGACGTCCAGAAGGCGTCCTAACAAGATGCCCGAGCCACCTCAGCTGACTCCTCTGGACGTGGAGGAGCAGCGGTTCTCCTCTGAGCTTCTCCTGAGTGTCCGAGCTCCTTACCCTATCTCTAAGGCTGAGCCCGGACACCCTGAGGAGGAAACCCATTTCAGCCGCTTGTATCTGCGATCTTTTCTTTCGGTCATTACCCAAAGTTCATGACCATAGGTGAGGATCGGCACGTAGATCGACCGGTAAATCGAGAGTCTCGCCTTACGGCTCAGCTCTTTCTTCACCACGATGGATCGGTTTAGCGTCCGCATCACTGCTGACGCCGCTCCGATCCGCCTGTCGATCTCCCGCTCCGTCCTACCCTCACTCATGAACAAGATTCCTCACTGTAGCTTTAATGTGGTCTGTGGCATTAAAGGATTTTATCTAAAATGAAGCAGAACAGGAAGTTTCAGTGGCTTTAACAGCTTCTTCTCGTCTGACTGTTTGTCTCTTTACTCTGCGTGTCGGAGGCTTTTCTCCTTGTTTGCTGATTGAAGGACGTTAGAAAAGCAGAAAGACCAGATTTTGAGGGTTTTAGCTCTGCGGTGATTCATCCTCATCCATCAGATCTCTTTGTTTCTCTCCGGCGTGTTTACATTCGGCTCTTTGCTGATTCGTCTTCGCCTCACTGACACCAAACAGACTCCTGTTGGTTTGTCGTCGTTGGCAGGTGAAGTGGTTGTTATTGTGCTCTTGCGGCTCCCCCCTCCACCGGAGCATCTGTGCCGCTCTGGCCTCTGGATCAGGATCTGGTGGAGACCGGGTGCAGGGCCCGGCTGACGCTGCAGAGAGGGGACAGAAGAGGGGGACAGGTTTCTTTGCTGCAGAGCCAAGACGGCAGCTGTGTGGTGAATGTGTGCGAGGACAGACTGAGAGCTCAGAGCACAAATGCTGCAGCAGAGAGTCCTCAGCTGTTCGGAGAAACCTCGGATAAATCCGACTTTTATATCAGAGGGAGGACAGAGAGATCTGAGAGGCTGCTCCGACCGCTAAAGCTGATTCTCCTCGCCGCTTCAGTGACATTTGGACGAGATAAAATCTGACAGATATCAACTTCAGAAACTCCAAACTTTTCTACTTTCAAAGCTTAACAGTCAAACTCACAGCAAATTTAGATTCAGTTCATTTTTTGTTTTTATGTTGTATTTATTACGTAATACATCCTCCTATAACCGAATCCAAAAGTTTTAGAGCTCCCCCTGCTGGCTGTCTGCAGTATAGATCACGCCTCAAAATCTAAATACATGGTTTCTGCTTTATACTTCATTTTTATCATGCATCATATTTTTGGGAAGTTTAGTTTTAAAGGTACATTGCGTAGAGTTAAGCAGCATTTCTCCAAAGAAATCAAGTCTATTCTTGTTTAGATTAGTTTATATTGAATACGATATTACAGTTGACTTAGAAAAGAGTCTTTTATTTGATGGAAGCAGCTCAAAATAATCTGTACTGATGAAGTTTTTGGCAGTAAAAACCTCATAGAAAGAGGATCAGACTTATCAAGCTTCAACTGAACATGAATCTGAGTGAATCAACAATCATGAAGGCATAAAATGAGATTGATAAAAGTGGGTCACAGACTTCTTTGACCATCTGATAGTAAAATGACCCTGATATAACCCCGATATTAGCTCAAATATGATGGAATTCCCCACAAACATAACCCAGAAGTGACTGAGAAGCATCCACCTGTGACCCAAAGTGACCACAGCAATAATTTTGATATACAGCAATGTCTAGGGTTGACTATACGTCCTCTTTTATCTGGACATGTCCTCTTTTTTGGGGGCTGTCCGGCCTTGTTCAGGGGGGGTTTATAAAATCCTTCAAATGTCTGGAGTTTTGTATAAAAGTTTTGAGTTTGTTGCGGGTGGATTTACTGAGTTAGAAGCACGAAAAAACATTCGATCTGACCCCAAAAACTCTCACAATTAACTACACGCAAATCCGTGACTCTGCCCCCACGTAGTTGTGTCCTCTTTGTGGGGATTCAGGATATAAATACCCCTGGCAATGTTTAGATCTAATGTAGTGTTATAATACTACTAAATTTGCACAAATAGTCTGTGTGCAGGGTTTAAAATCTGTTTAATCAAGCCATAAAGTTGTGCACTTTAACATCAGGCCTAATGGGGGTTGACTCACTTTTAGAGCCAGCCCCAAGTGGCCATTTGAGGAACTGCAGTTTTTTGGAATTATTTTATCTTGGTTTTGATCTTTGTAAAAAAAAAAGTTGAAATTCCAACCATTAAAAACACCAACATTAGTAATGCTTAAAAGCTGGGACTTTCCATTTTAGGTGAAAATAAGGGCGGCGCCTTTAATTTTCAGCAGCTCCGGTCAAAAAAGGTCACTATAGATCCTTTCGAGCTGCTCCATGGGGGGTATTTATTTGCATTAGAATCTCCTGCGTCCACACATGAGCCTGACTGTGGAATTATTTGGCTTTCTCTGCCCACGTAAACCAGCTTCCAGCCACCTTGCGTAACTGGAATAGATGCTGTTGTAGGCTTGGAACCAACGACGACCGGGTCGAATACGAAACAGCAGAAGAAGAATGCTGCGTATTGTCAGTGTGAGAGCAGGCTGGAGACAATGTGGGCCTTCATCGGCTTGCGTCCGTTGTGCCTGGGGCTCCTTGAGCCGTGAAGAAGAGAAAGGTCTTCATTCAGGCTGCTGGGGGCCTCTTCTTCAGACCTGCTATTGTGGTGGCTTCTTCTCGCTCCGTCTCGGTGTTTTCTTTTCTCTCCAGGCTGATTGATTCTGCAGCGTCGTGTCACTCAGCACTCTGAGAGGTTTTATGAAAGTGTCGTCTGTTTGCTTTTGTTTTCCTCTTTCACCTCTCCGTCAGTTTTACGTCTCCAGTTCTCGGAGGAGAAGAGTTGTGTTGCATCCAAGGTCAGCTCCTCAGTCCCGTTGTGGTCTCATGTTGCCTTCCAGTTTCTTTTCCCCTGTAGATTGCATTAACAGATTGACGACATGACAGTACTCCAAAATTGAAGCTAAAATATCTCCCCTTTTGTGTAGCTGCGAGATCGTTGCCTCTTCCATGTAAACAGATGGGACATGGGTTAAAATTTTAAATCAGGATATCTTCGAACAAGTCATTAATGGCACTTCTGTGTATGCTAATTTTTTTCCCCTGACTGTTTTAAATGTATTTTCAGGGCTTTATGCTTTTATTTTGAAAGGTCAGTTTGAGAAATATAAGAAAAGTGGTGAGAAAGAGGAGAAACAACATGCTAAAAAATCAAGCTGACACCGAGCAGAGAAATGAAGCCCATACAAGAAGTGCTAAAACTGCAGTTCCTTGAGTGACCACTAGAGGCTGGCTTCAAAAACACAGGAAACCACATACACACTTATTGAAAAAAGCCGATTTTTAGAGTAATAATAAAAACATCTAAAGCCAGATGTTTGAGACAAAACTATGTGACATGTATTTAAATTTTTTTTGTTTGATCCACGTCTCATCTGTTTACATGGAGGAGGCCGATTTCATGACCTACAATGCAACCAGCCACTTGGGGGAGCTCTAACTGGATTGCTGTTGTCGAATCTAAGACAGTTGAATGATGATTAAGTTTTATAACCAGGAAAGCTAACTGAATATTTAATAATTAATAAAGAGAGGGTTTAATTTAATTGAGTTTAGAGTTAGTCCAGGCAGGCCAAAGAGTCACATGAGTGCATGAGCAGATCAGCTCCTGCTGTTTCTTTTTTACTGAAGTGATTCTGACTGATAGAAGTTTTAATTTCTTTCACCACTTTTTAGATAACTTTTCTGCCCTTTTGTTTTCTGTTTATTTTTATAGTCACTTTTTTCTGTCTGTTCATTTATAAGTCGAGTTGTTTCACACAGACCAGAATAGACTCTCGGTGCTAAATGGGTCGCCCTCTTTTTTTCACGTTTCATAGATTTCTCTCGTTTCTGTCATTATTGCAGTTTTGACCCACATCTCCTCCCCTGTGTGAAAATAAAGCCGTTCCTGCCGCTGAATGACATCTAATACTGTGTTTTTGTTGTGCCCAGAATAAAGTAGGAGTGATGTCATTCTGACCGGCAGCCTCACTAACACCATTTAATGCTGCTGTAACAGAAAGGCTGGATGATAAATGGTTGTTGTGAACAGGACTCTGGAAAAAAAGAGCTTTTCTTTTTCACTTTGGTCTGGTGAGGAAGTGTCTGAAAAAATCGTGACGGGCTTGTTAAAGCGCACACGCTGCCCCAACAAAGGCAGAGGCTCTGGCTGTCCCACCACCATCCACCACCCTGCCTCTGTGTTTCTATTCTGCTCCGCTGGCAGAGGCCCGCAGGTTCAAAATGAGGGTTTAGCTCAGTCTGCCGCTAACTAACAAGAGGAGGAATTCAGGAACTTTGCTGTGATTCGCAGCCAAATTTCTGAGAATCCCTGATAATAGGAGCAAATCAAATATGCAACACAGCCCTTCACCTCACCGCCTCCTTACATCCTGAGGTTAGATCATCACAAAGAGGAAGACGGAGTTTATAAACCCTCTCATGCTTCATTTCCGTGAGTTTAATTGGATTCTGGAACTTCTTTTTGAGCGGATCTGCTCTGAATCCGAAAACCGGACATTGGAGGTGTCGCCCGTCGTAATCCTTTAAAGCTCAGACAGTTGATTTCTAATTTAACCCAAATACCAAACTTAATGAGTGACTCTTTAGGTAACAAATGGGTAACTAGTTACAGGTTTATGCAGACGATGTAACACTATTCAACTGACCTAAAAGATGAGGTTATTAATACAATAGACCATCTGTATGGAAGTCAATCTGTGCCATCTGATTTTGAATTTGAATTTCTAAAGCAGAATTTTTTTAGCATCAAAATCAGATATTGAATTTTGAAACTTTTGAATTTCAAGCACACATTTTTATTTCTGACATTTTTTCACAATGATGTAATAAATTCAGTTTAAAAAAATCAGTCTCTCAAAAGAGTTGTGCAGGAAAAATTCAACTTAAAAAAATGTGTGAAAAACTAAACATAAAAAAAATTCAATTTAAAAAAGATTCAGTGTCAAAAAAAATTTAAGAATTTTTTTTTAAGTCGAATTTTTACTACATGAATATTTTGAGACATAAGTCAGACGTGGGACTGATTTTGTTTGCGTTCGGGGTGAACACAACATAAGACATTAATATAAATTTGTAATTATTATGCAGGATTCTTGCGCCACATTTACCTCCTTTTTGCACACAAACCCAAAATGTCCAATGATAGGAAATGCCTGTTTAAGGGCCCGTGTCCACTAGCTCCAGTTATTTATTTAACTTTGTCAGCAGCTGAGGTCGAGGTTTGTACAGTCAGGAAAACTAACTAACCAGGAAACTAACCATGAAGTTAATATTTCACTCATAATTAAAAATTATGTAAGTGTTGTAGGAGCTGGTGTGAAGCGCTGTCAGCACAGGAACAAAAAAAAAACAGCACTAATGGACACAGGCCCTAACTCTTCTCTATGTGATTGTCTTAACTTCTCTAATTGTTCATTCGCCCACAGCTTGACATAAATCTGAGCTGAAGTCAAAGCCAGCCTGGACTGCGCTCTTGTTATTTATGACCTCAGACGTTTTCATCTGTTGGGCATAAAAACATCAAATTAACACGTCCTGAAAGCTGAGAAACGATCACACTCAGACTCATTAACCCTGATGACTCCGTGTTTCCTGACAGACTGTGTGACACTGTTTGTGTTGAACTGTAAACTGTTTAATAAATGCACCGTCTGGTTTCTCCCTGTCAGTGACTCATCTGTCGGTGCATATTCATGAAAGCGCAGCAGAACTGAACGTCTTCTCTCCTCTCTCTTCCTGTCTTCAGGTTGTGCAGCCTGACTCTGAAGAAGCTGGTCGTGATGAGGGAGCTCGATAAAGAGCTGATCTCTGTGGTCATAGCGGTTAAAATCCAGGTATGCTGCATGAATAAACTCTCGGCGTGAACAAACATGTTTCACACGGATACAAACAAAATATTTTCTTTGACAGAAAAAAAGGGAAGATCGCAGCATCCGTCTTTTTTATTTTAACAAGATACTAAAAAAAATCATAAATACGTTTTCTCACAACAGGATTACTGTAAAATCCACTCCCTTCATTAGACCAGCCTTTATTGCTGCTCTATTTTCCTTTTTATTGCACATTTCAGTGAGAAAAGACGTAGAAAAAAGGTGACAGTAAAGGACAGAAATGGAAATACAGAGTGAGGATGTACGCTCTACCTTCCATCAGGACTTATTTATGAGAGTGAAAGAGGAGAGAGTAAAATTATGGCAGAAATAGGACGGAGGATGTGGAGCCAGGATAATAAACCTGTTTTCTTGTTGAGGCTGTACGCTCTACCTCCCCCTATTCTTTGATTTTTATCGAGGAAGAGTAAAAAAGGTCAAAAACTAAGATGTGCTCATAAAGAGATTATATAAAAAGACAGGGAATACAGAGCCATAGCAAAAAAAAGCTAACTGAGGCTTGTATGCACTCCTGCTAGGATAGGCTGGATGCTATACCTTCCCCTGTTTACAGAAGAAATAGGGGAGAATTGAGACAGATAATGGGGCAAAGTGCCTGTAACAAGAGGTAGGAAACAAGGAGAGCAAGAATAGGAAGTCTATTCGAGCTAAATTTCACCATCTCCAGGTTAGACTGTACGCTTTGACCTCCCCCTCCTCCTCAAACAGAGAAAACAGGAATTATGTGTAAAGAGATGCAGAAAAGAGGACTAACAGATGAGACTAAATCCTTTTTTGGGGACTGGGGTTCACTGTGATGGTCTATGCCGCACACTCTACCTCCCCTAATGTCCTATTTCCATCATAGAACAGAGAAAAAACAGAGGACAGAGTCTGCAGAGGTGTAAGAAAGTGGAAGGAGCTAACTGAGCTAGGACGTTAAGTTTCTTTAGCCTCTGTTTTGTTGGACTGCACGCTCTACCTCCCATCATTTCATAATTTCCATATTGAAAGAAAAGAAAGGAGAGGAGAAAAACAGGAAAATGTTATGTAGAGCAGTCTCAAGGTGGAGCTCACCTTCACCAGGTTAGACTGCACGCTCCACCTCCACCTCTATCACATTTCCATGAAGGAGGAGAAAGACAGAGAAACACAATAAATCCACAAACCTTAAAAATATTATGGTTCATACATTCAAAAACACCTTCTTTTACTGCGTTGTTAATGTTGTCTCTGTCCTCCCAGGTGTGCTCACACTCCTTTTAACACCCACCTCTTCTCTTCCAGGGCTCCAAACGGATCCTCAGGTCCCATGAGATTGTGCTGCCCCCCAGTGGGTCTGTGGAGACGGATCTGGCTCTCACCTTCTCGTTGCAGGTAAACGAGGAAAATAAAACAGAGCTGCTGCTTTTTGGTGAACAGGAAAATGAAGGACACCAAATACACGAATAATTTTCATATCTGTGATAAATGTTCTCTTAAAGTTTCAGACATGTTTCTCAGGGATGATTGTGTGTCGGCTGAGTTTCATTTCCCTCTTCGTAACGGCGACTGCAAATCCTGGAAACGTAAAAAAAAAAACAGCCATTAAAGAAAAACTGTTTCCTGAGGCGCGTCGAGGGAGCAGTTAGAAAACTTTTGTACAAGTCTGTCTTTTTACAGCCGACTAAAATATGAACGAGAAGGAAAATTAAGACCAGGTCTGAATACTGCCCCCCTTTTAATTTTAGAAAGGAGAAAACTTTCTGTGACTCGCTTTAAAGAGGCGGTGTGATGCTTTTTAAAATTTATTGTGTCACTCTATAGCCACAAATAATGCTCAGAACAGCACCTAACTTCATCAACAGGACATATAGGGTCACAGACATAGTACTAGACACCAAACATCTTTATAACTTTGACTAGAGACTAAACACAACTCACCTACTCTCTTCAAGCAGCCGTTTGTTTGTAGTGAGACCTCAGGCCAGTCCATTACAGACTACAGTGGGGTTTCGCAGCTCAAGGAAGAACATTTATGATCATTTCTTTGAAGTAATAATCACCATTTTAATCATTTTACAGACGCGGTAGTTCTTCTGCCTTAGCGTCTCAGTCTGATTGTATTTCCATGAAGAAATGTCTAACTCGGTGTTACGGTGTGTTTAACCCTAAATTAATTTTACGCCGGAATATCCCTTTAAAGAGACAGAGACAGCTGAAATTAATTGCTGAGATGAAGGTTTTCAAAGACACCAGTCTGACATAAGTAAGGAAGTTTTAACCATGTAAACCGTGAAGCTCCTCAGACCTTAGGTAAAGAAAGGGTTAAAAAAAAGAATAAACAATAACAGAAATCCTTCAGATTGAAAAGTATCGTAAGTGAATGTTTTGTCTTTTCTTCTAGTACCCTCATTTCTTGAAGCGAGAGGGAAACAAGCTGCAGATCATGCTGCAGAGGAGGAAGAGGTACAAGAACCGGACCATCCTGGGCTACAAGACTCTGGCTGTGGGATCGATTGACATGGCCGAGGTAGAAACGCAGAAACACACCTTCATGTTTAATGTTATGGAATCAAAATCTGAATATTCACAAGGAGGAAATTTGATTTTGATATCAAGGTTATAGTGGGACGATCAGCTGCTGTTTCCTTTACTCAGACACAGTCTTTGTAGAGTCGTGGTCGTCGTGTTTTTACTCATCAGAGGCGGGTTTTCATTTCTGTGTTTGTCAGAAAATATTGAGTTTTGAATGTTTTCATCTGGATGTGAATCTACAGATCATTATTGACTTCAAGACTCTGTCCTTCACATCACAATCGTGTTTGGAGACCACACAACCAAACATCGCCGCGCCTTTATTCAGAGTCTAACCGCTTCATTACATTTGTCCTTGAAGAGCGAAAAAACCTCCCTCTTCTGAAGTGATCTCACACAGCAGTTAAATCCTGAGTCCTGTTTTATTAAAGCCACGAATTCATGAATAAGTGACTTTATTCTGGTCATTATTTCATGCTGCAGATGATGCTGGAGTTCCCATATGGCTGACAAAGCTCTGTGGAGCTTATTAAGGTCACATCTCAGCTGCTGAGAGAGACAGAAATACTCGATGAAGAGCCTGAGAGGGACATAAAAGAAGCAGAAACACAGATTTGTAGTTGAACACATGACTGAAATGATTTTTTCTCTTTTAACTCCGACATACAAAGAAGCTCTGACACTAAAATAGACTCTGTGGAAACTGCTGAAGGCTGATCTAGTCCCACTTGACTGAACTGGAACACGGATTGGTTCAGGTTTGAGGCGCTGATGTCCTGAAGTGACCCCGGTTTGGGTTTTTCTGCGGTTCTTAAGACGCTCTGAGTTTATCAGTAAATAAACGTCACGCTACAGCTGAGCTTTAGATGTGGAGACCTGAGGGTGAGTTTGTGCTTTAGTTGGGGAACATGTTCTGGTTCTGGTCCAGCGAGGATGTCAAAAATCAGAGCAGCTCAATCTGACCGACTCTGACTCTTCCAGGTGATGCAGCACCCGACAGAAGGAGGACAGGTTCTTCCTCTCTGCAGCAACCAGAAGGACATGCTGGGGAAGGTGGCCGAGATCTGGATCTTCTCCTTATCCAGTCAGCCCATCGACCACGAGGAGGCGGCCCTGCAGGGAGGACAGAAGATCAAATGTTCTGGTAGATGAACTGCGCAAATCTCTTATCTCCTGTGATCCGATCAGATTAGAGAGATCAGAACTTGAAAATGGATCCTTCACTTCAGCTCCTTTCATGTCAGTCTGGGACACCTGTAGAAGAGTTTTACAGCTTTTACTCTCATATGAAGTTAGACTCGAGTCAGATCAGTATCATGAACCCCCCGAAGTTACGCCTTAAGGCTAGCTATTAGCTCCCAACGCTATCTCCATTCAGCTTTATTAGCATAGTTAAGCTGTACGGTGTTAGCTGCTTCTTTATTACAGATAATATTGATGATTTTAGACCTTTTTTGATCTTTTACCTGAATTGTTTTGTCACTAATTTAACATAGAAAAGCAAACAGACAGAAACCGACTAAATGACGTCAAGATAAAAACAAAATACAGAAAGTTACTGTAAATTTGGAGGTGTGGTTCTGTGCTCTTTCACAGACAAAACGTGAAGCAGGGAGAGCATCAGCAAAGACGGATCATAGATATATAACTGTAGATGGCTTATGCACGCTGTTACATAATGGAGACCGACGTTTGCGCATGGCGGCCATCTTGCTACAGACAGCTCGCCCACTCCTAACATTCTAGTGTACGGTGCACGTAACATTTAAATAACCATAGATTGATGAATTTTTGATCATGTAGATTACTCACCTCCCGGAATGGTATACTGGAGTAAGATGGCCGCCGTGTAGGGACTCCAGTGACTCCGCCTCGAGTCGTCTAGCCTTTCTTATAGATATCTATGAGACGGACCAGATCAGTTTGACTCTGGTCCAATCAGACAGAGTTGATCACGTTGACCCGGATTGGAGTTTTTGATCAGCCTGGTTCTGAGGACCAGAGTGAGATCACAGGGTTCAGAGTATTTTGTAAATCCGGTTTCCTTCGGCTCCGTGAGCGCCGTGTAAATTTAGACTCTGGCGGCGTGTCAAACTTTAAAGGGTCGCTGAAATATGAATGAGGTTTGTATCTTCTGTACTCCACGGCGTTTAATCTCTCCGCTCCTCCTCCTCTGCTCTTTAGATAACTACTCAGAGGAGGAGTACGAGAGCTTCTCCTCAGAGCAGGAGGCCAGTGATGACGCCGTTCAGGGGCAGGTGAGTCGACCTGCAGGTGACCTCTGATGACTCCAAATAAAAGGTGATATATTTATGAATAAACTTCAAATTTTTTAGGATCTGGAGGATGACGAGTACGACGTGAGGAAGCCAAAGAAGCAGAGGAGGTCGATCGTACGGACCCCCTCCATCACCAGAGTAAGAGACCAGAACCAGAACCAAAGGAGGTCGACTTTAAGTCCAGAGAAACGACAAGAATCAGCATGTTTGACGTTTTCAATTCAACTCTGGATTCATCCAAACAGACACTTTGACTATTTATTAGAGTTTTATTTAGGTTTCATGTCCCGTCATTGTTTTTCACGATCACCAAACAAATTTTGGATAAAACAGAAACCTCTTATTTTTAGTGAAGAAGGTGAAATTCTCCAAACTTTGAGTTTCGTTTAATCTACAGCAAAAATGAAAACAGTTTGTTACTGTAACTCCTTCACTCAGTGTTCAATATGTTTGATTTTTCATGATCAAGATTCACCTCCGAACAAATCTAGATGCTTTCCTCACAACTTTAGTCAAAGCGCCCCCTTGTGGGGAAACAGGGTACTGACTTTTGCCTACGATATCTGATCCGTACCAAATTTTTTAGGTATGAAAATTAACGCGTCCGTTTCAAAGGACGGTTCCGTCAATGCCCACATACTTCCATGCATCCTTTACGTTGGCATGATTGTTAACTATTACATCCACCAGGGGGCAGGCCGGAGTCAGAAGTTTCTGACAACAACGAACTGTAGAGGGAGGCAGCGTTGGAGGAGGCGGTGGTCGGTCAGGCCGCTAAATGCCTCGTGGTTGGAGGACAGAGAATTCTTTTCTCTAGTCGTACCGATGAGAGAAATTGACACCGATCGTCATTTTCAGCCCCGCCGTTGTCTTCTTTACTTCCTTCTAGAGATGCATATCGGGTTGTGACAGCAGCAACACTGCCCCCCACAGTTTCCGGTGGTACTGCTCCATCTGACCCGTATCCGTAAACTTCAAAGATATGTGCAGAAATACAGATGAGAACAGCGTGAAGCTCCGCCCGTATCCATATGTAACATTGAGCATAAATTAGCCGTAAGAAACATTTTTATCGTGCTCTAATTGCCCCCTGTTAGACATCAAGTGATACTACCTCGTATACTGACAGGTGTCTGGCGCGACTCACCGACACATCAGTTTAACTCACGGTGAAGGAAACAGCTACTGTATCTGGATCAAGTCCGTGGGCCCTTAAATCATCGCTTTAATTCAGATGTAATCCAAACTTTAAACTCTTGGACGAACCGACTCCTCTGTGCTGAAGCTGTTTTGTAAAGTCGTATTTATGACCCTTTTAAACTCCGACAAACAGAAGCTGAACTCTGACAGAAGAGTCCAGTAACTCTCAGTAAACATGGAGGAGATCTGCAGATCAAGAGGACGTATAATTTATCACTTTTAAGACGGTCCTGGCATGTTTTTAGCAGAAGAGACGGTTTTTATGGTTGTTTGCAGCTCAGTGAGCAGCACATGTAAGCCCAGAGAGCAGACGGGGGCCTGATGTTGCTTGATTATTGATTTACACAAACGCAAGCTGCAAAATCGATACCCAGCCGACCCTGCAAATGTATCTACTGCCGGTAAAATGAGTGATATGGAGGAGCTGTTTTCTCAGGACTGGATGGCTGAGAGCTCTGTAGGAAATCAGAAGTAGGTCACAGACTGACTGTGTTTGCTCTCCTGTGTTTTAGCAGCAGAACTTTAAGCAGCGCGTGGTGGCTCTTCTGAAGCGCTTCAGAGTTTCAGATGAGGTGGGTGTTCCTCTCCCGGGCTCGCTCTGGGGATTCAGTTTTCCTCCTGTGCGTTCTGTCGAGCCGCCCAAGATGTAATGTGATGTAACGTGTGTGTGGGTGTGTGTGCGCTTAAAGGTGCTGGATTCAGAGCAGGATCCTGCAGAACCGCCCCCTGAGGTGGAGGAGGAGGACCTGGATCTGGACAGCGTGGAGTTCGAGAACCCGAGTGACAGCGGGCCGGAGCTGGACGACGATGACAGCGTCCTCAGCACGCCAAAACCCAAACTCAAGTGAGTCATAAACGTCTGACCTTCAGTCCTGTCGCCATGGTAACTTCATACATACGACATTTTCATAGTTTCTGACTTGCAACAGATTTTACGTTAGAAATGACTTGTTGGTGCTACTTTTTACACAGTTTTGCAAAACGTCAGAGACTGTCGCCTAATGAACTCCCCATTTAGCCACATTAGCATACGTTAGCATAGTGTCGCTACCTGGTCCGTCCCGGAAGCCTTCTTTTTGTTTGTAGGACAGTAGGAGAAAGTCCCGCCTCCTTTGCCTCTGATTGGCTAGAACAGCTGGAAATGTCATCACACGCTCAAGCCAAACGCGAACTGTCGGCTCTGTACATCGAACAGAACATTATCGCACTTCTGAATCTCCTAACCCGACAGACGATGACGTTTCACAGCCATTAGAAATAACCAATTGGAGCCCAGCACTTCTAGCCAATCAGAGGCGAAGGAGGACGGGACTTTCCCCTACCATCCTCCAAAAAAAAATTGCGTCCTGGAAACCTGATTTGTACTGCGCATGTGCAAAATGTATGCCACTTCCTCTACTTCATTGCCTCTTGTGCTTTGCAACAGCATCGACATTTGTTGGACAGCTTCAGCATCAGCGAGCTCGCTACAGTCGGAATAGATACTTCAACGCTTTTCTTTTCTCCTGAACGAAGTGTTTCCCCCAACTGAAGCAGAGCGCCCGAAAGTCAAGAAAATGGCGCCCAGTTTTACAATTAAAGGTTCCTACTCCAGCTAAATTGTAAAATTGCAGCGTGGTTCTAAAAGTCTTGAATGAATGTGAATATTTTAGTGTTGAAATTGAACCGCTGTATAAAAACGCTAAAATTCATCGTCAGTAATGCGTCGGCTTCTTGTTAATAAATTTAATATATAAAATAAATCCCGCCTTCGAAAAGTCAGATAACCATAATTTTGACTGGATGGCAGCTCTCTGTGGCCCAAAATGTCTCACCGTGCTGGGCAGGAGCTCTGGAGCCTCTTGCTAGCTAGCCTGTCACATCACCATCTTGTTTCTGAATCGATCGGTAGTTTAAATAAAGTTTTTACTGTGAAGTAAATTTGCACTTGTGCAGTACAGATCGAGTAGGTAGTGACTCAATGCTGTAAAATACATTGAAATACAAAGAGAGGAAGTGACGTACGTTTCGCACATGCACAGTACAAATTGGGTTTCGGAGACGGATCGGGTAGCGACACGTACATTAGCATACGTTGGCTGTTGTCGAATTAGCCGTTGGTGTAATATTCGTTGTTACCGATCTCTGCTGCGTAAATGTTGATGAAGGTCGTTCAGGCAACGACAGTGATCCAGCGATCTGTTCATGTTAGCATAAATGCAAAGAGAGGTATTTTACCCAGAAGGTGGCGCCATAATATGACTAAACTAAGATCAAACTGTGTTTGTGTTTCAGGCCATATTTCGAGGGTCTCTCCCTCTCCAGCTCTCAAACCGAGATCGGCAGCATCCACAGCAGCCGGAGCCACAGGGAGCCCCCCAGTCCGGTGAGACACACACACACACACACACACACACACACACACACACACACACACACACACACACACACACACACACACACTGTGACCGCACAAATAACAACAAAACATGTGGAGACGTCCAAAGAGACTCTTCAGCTCTTCCTCTGGGTCTCCTCTAACCTCGGAGTCAAACAAACTGGGTCACCACTGACACCAGTGAAACCAGTGACCTGTGCTGAAGGCAGATCAGCGCGTCCGCTGAGGCAGAAAGGCGATAATCGTCCTGCTGAAGGGCGTCTTTCATCAGTCTGCGGGTCCAGAGCGGTTCTGAGGGGATCAGAAGTTTGTTTATGAACCTGCAGGCGTCTGTTAAAGCAGCTCAGCGCGGTCAAAGAAACAAACCTCTTACTTTCTTTCAAAATAAAAGCCCCGTGGCTCTGTCTAATCCATGATACGCTTGTTTTTCTTCTCACCATCTGATTCCAGATTGACCCAGATAAAACGAAGAGCGGTGGAGCTAAATTCCCAGACGACAGCGTGTCTGATAACGTCTCCTACGTCAGTATTAACTCTTTATAAACTCTGTTTTTCACTTTGTTTCCATATAAATATAATATCTAATGTATATTCTACTCACTAAAGGTAGGTTAGAGTTTTATTAGCTGTTATAAAACCTGAAAAATGCATCGACACGTCTCCCAGCTGATGTTTTTTCCTCTCTGTGTTTTTCTCAGGAGCAGCCGGAGGCGGTGACTCCAACTACAGAGCTGGAGATGGACAACATGGACACGTTCTTAGAGAGGCTTCCTCCCAGCGGCAAAATGACCAAGACGGAGTCCCTCATCATTTCATCCAACAGGTAAAACCAAGACGACGACCTCCTTCAGAACTTTCCTGAAACTACAGGAAACCAGACGGGAACCGTTTATTTTTTAGACATATTCTCGTTATTCTTTCACTCTCCTTTTTTATTTTCACTCATTTAAGATGCTGTTTCGCAACTCCTGTGTCTCTGTAATCAATCCTCATAGATCAGGGTTTCGGCTCCTGTTGTTGACGTTGGCGCTCAGTCCTCCAGCTCTCTTCTTCTTCTTCTTCTTCTTCTTCTTCTCCTGTTTTTCAGGCAGGAACCAAAGTTGGCAGGGAGGCGAGGCAGGAGCACGTCATTGAAGGAGCGCCAGGCCAGCAGGCCGCAGAACGAGAGGGCCAACAGCCTGGACAACGAGCGCTCCATGGACACACGCTGCCACCTACAGGTCAGAGGAGAGAACTGCAGTATAACCTCCTGATAAAGGCCTAAAGCTTCTGTGGACAGGATTGTAAAGGACTAATGAGCTCGTCAGCGATTCTTATTTGTAAAAGTGACATCCTGAATCTGAGCAAACAACCCACAGAAGATTTAAAACTTTAGAAAACACAAAACTTCAAAACTGTCACATCAGCTGTCTTCTGTAAACAAAGTAATAATGTCCAAAAACAAACACGGGTTAGTGTATGAAGTTTTCTTCTTTTGTGTATTATAGATCCCCAGAAAGACGGTGTACGACCAACTAAACCACATCCTGGTGTCTGATAACCAGCTCCCCGACAGCATCATCCTCATCAACACGTCAGACTGGCAGGGCCAGGTAAGATAAAAACACCTGTACCATCCTCATTTGACTAAATACACATGTTTAAAACTAGAGGAAGACTTTTCTCACACTTTTTAATTTGCATCTTTCTCGTCCTCCTCCTCTTTCTTAGTATCTTTCAGATATGCTCCAAAACCACCATCTACCTGTGGTCTGCACCTGCACCACGGCCGACATCCAGGCTGCGTTCAACACCATCGTCTCCCGTATTCAGAGATTGTGCGTCGACTTCTGCTTCACGCTGACTTTACTGATCGACGTCTCACCTTCGCTTTGTTTTAACTGGTAAAACTCTCTTTTTTTATTCCTTCTCAGTTGTAACTGTAACTCTCAGACGCCCATTCCCATAAAGATCGCGGTGGCCGGGGCGCAGCACTACCTCAGCGCTGTTCTGAGGCTCTTCGTGGACCACCTCTCCCATAAGACCCCGGACTGGCTCGGATACATGAGGTTCCTCATCATCCCTCTCGGTCAGTAAAACCTCCTCCTGCGTTGTTTTGTCTGCATTAAATCGTATCCTGCTCATGCGTGCTACTTTTTACACAGCTTCAGATTCATGAAACGACTCGCCTGTTTCTCTTTGTTTGTTTTTTTAGGGGCTCATCCGGTCTCCAAATATCTGGGCACTATTGATTACCGATACAACAGTTTGTTCCAGGATGCTGCTTGGAGGGACCTGTTTCACAAACCTGAGGCTCCTGTTGTTGGTGGGTCTTTTATGTGTTTTTAATACTGATGTAAAGTTTGTAAGGTTTGTTAATCAGACCTCTTAAACTGATGATGGATGTTTCCTCTGCAGCCCAGGAGAGTCCCGACGTCGTGTCCCGGGTGACTCAGTACATGGTTGGCGCCAACGGAGCTCATCAGCTCCCCATCGCTGAGGCCATGCTCACCTACAAACAGAAGAGGTAGGTGACCTTTACTGTCCGTGTTTCACCTGGATATTCACCTGTGAACTGTACACACCTGAACTGTATTCTAGTTTAAAAGATTATTTATGAACAGGACGGTAAAAGTTTAAGTTTATTTCAGTCTGAGGGTTTTTATTTTCTAACAAATGCTTCTAATGCAGAGCTTACAGCTGTTTTTCAAAAGGGGGTTGAACTTCTCTGTGAAACATATTTGATTATTTGTTTATTTGACAGGGTTCAATCTATACAAAGTAAATACAGTTTTTGCTTTTTGCCATAAATACGGATTTAAAAATCCAATCTCATGTTTGTAAACTCAAAAATATTCGTACTTTGCTCTCACTAAAGCTCTCATTCCTCTCTTACCATAAATATCATCGTGATAACGGACTTCAGCAGTTTTGATTAAACATTCACTGATGTTAGCGAAAACGCAGCTGAAACACTGCAAGTTGTTTGACGTTCGAGACTAAGTAAGCATTAATTAAGATTGTTAAATATGTGGCGTTTCAGCACAACAATAGTCTTCCCCTTTGACTGAATATGTGATATATAATTTAAAATAGTATTTTCACACCCAGCCTGTTGTATTTCTACTTAAAACAGACGACAGTGGACGATATTTTGTGGTGTTCCACAAAACAGTTCGTGATCAAAACATCCCGGTTATCAATCAGCTAATAATTTATCGTGATATTCATGAGTTAATACTTTAAATATTGTCAGATGTAGTTGAGTTATCAGGATGTCTTCCCTTTAAAACTTGACATTATCATAAATTTAGCGCACTACAGTCAAACTTGATTAAACCACACTCTAAAGACAGTATCATCAATAAATCAGCGTGAATGATCCTGATTGGTTAACTCCTCAGAAACGCTAAGTTACATATAAATGAATTTAAAGGTATTTAATCAATAACAGCAGAAATGTAGTTCATTTAATCATGATGCTAGCAAAACATTAGCTTGTTTTAGCTAGTTTTCTGTAGTTTGATTGTTGGCTAAATTGATAGCAGACAGATATCATATTATGAAATAGTTTAAACCTACTTTAACTAGTAGGTAAATACTCACAACATATATTATATTTACTTTTAATGTTGTGGTGGCCCGTCAGCCGAACTAGTTAGCTTAGCCAAACAGCTAGCATAGTAACATTAAAGTGGTTGCAGAAAATGATAATCGTCACAACAAGAACATAAGAAATTCTTGTTGTATAATTTTTGTTAATTAAAATTATACTCGTCAACATTAACTCGGTCATAGATCTGATAAAAATGGCGACTGTAGCCTGAAGATGTCAGTTTATACGCTAATGCTATTAGCAGCGTAACGTTAAACTGAAACAAACTGGTAGAAACTGAGCAGGTTAATTTATCATTATTTAAATTTGTAATTATGATGATTAGTTAATGATTTGAAATGTAGAAATGTTCTCCCCCTTTTGAAAACTCCTTTCAGATGAAGTTTGACTAATGTCGCTGAGTTTGTGTGGGCGTGTCGGCGTTCGTTCGTCCGTCTGTCTGGTTAACATCACTGTCTCTCCTCCATCACTGTGTCCGTGAATAACATGTTGTTTCTTTTTGTTGTATTTTTTCTTTTCTGTCTTTGAAGGAAAAAGAGCTTTCATTTTGATTTTGCAGTAAGGTATTGTGGTCGATTGAGTTTGTTTCCCATCTCTTAGCTTGGTGATTCATGCGCTTTCTCTCTCTCTCTCTCTCTCTCTCTCTCTCTCTCTCTCTCTCTCTCTGTGTCGGAGCATTTTCCCTGCACTCTCCGGAGCTTGCCACTTTAACAGCGATTACATTTTTTTCTTTCTAAGAATAGCTTGAGCTGAAAACTTCTCAGATAAGATATAAATCTGCTAATAAGGCCACAGCGCAGCGTAACAACAAGCGCACACAGACACAGAGCGAGATTACCGGACCGAGGGATTAAAGTTACATCAAGTTAAGAGCGTAAACTCAGTCTGAACAGGTCTGATATTAAGACTCTTATCACTAAGACTTTCACTTTTATGTCTGAGTGGATTTAATTTGTTTGATCTAAACAAAGGAAAATAACATAGACGTTGAAAAGACATCGATCTAAGCTCCTGTGAGGAGTTTAACCTGTTGATAAAATCGACTCAGATTCATATTTATGTCTCCTAATGATCTTAAAAAGCGAAATGAAAAGTTTTCTGTAATACCTAAACTTTTGGACTTTTTGCGCAGGCATGTATCACAAACTCAAAACTGAAATGAACTGAAATAATCTCTCTTCATGTCCGGCTTTGCCCCAAAATACATCTTAGAAAAATAAGTTTATGAGGCAAAAACAAAACTCATAATTTCGTGCTTCACCGGCTGGTTGTCAGAGCAGAAGTTTTTCATCCACTTTAATTAGAAAACAGTGAATTATCCAACATAAATGTTTGAGTTTCGGGGGTTTAATTCTGTCGTCCAATAAGTCAGAATCAGCTCAAAGTCGTCCTCGAGGATTACCGATGAGTCGTATTTTTCTTCCGGGAGCTTTAATGAAGTCGACATTTGGCCGTCAGTCTCTTCTCTCAGATAAGAATGTTTTGTTCTGTTATCCATGCATGTCTCCTGGAACTCGCTCCACATTGACCATTTCTCTCATTTATGTGAGGAGATCAAATTCAAGCAAAATCAGAAAATTAGAAAACAGAGAGTTTGTGTGCATGTCTGCAGAAATAATGAGTCTCTCCTCTTCCTCTTCTTCTTCTTCTGCGTCTGTGTCTGTGTGCTCATGTTGAGACTATTCTAATTTGGCATCATTGAAGGAAACAAAGAACAAAGTGAAGATAAATTTGACTCCTTAGTTTCCACTTCAAACAGTCCTCCCTGATGATGATGAGACTTCAGAGGACTGACTGGAGGGTAAACTGAGCTGATAAAGAGGCAAGAGACCAAATCTGATCTGCTCTTCTTCCTCCTCCTCTGAGGCTCTTCCTCCTCCTCCTCCTCCTCCTCCTCCTCCTTCCTCCTGCTGTTTTCTCTCCATCCTGTGCTCACCTGGCCGTCCATGTCTGTCTGTTATCTGTGTGGTTAGAGTAGAAAAAACCTGCACATCTTCATCAGATTTTCACCTTCAGGTTTGTGTCATGACCTGCTATAACCTCTTAAAATAAACACATTTAAAACTTTTTAGTGTTTCAGCCTTAAACTAGTTAAAAAAAAACAAACATCTGATCGGGGTCGTAAGAGTTCAATCGGACTTGGATTTGACATAATAAATGAAATTTTAAATTATAAATGCCATGGACGGACTCGCTGATAACCTTTTTTAGAGTAAAAATGACCGAGGGAGCGAACTGTAAGTCTGTAAGATCCTTAAAAAAAGAAATAAAACATAATTATTGGTATCTAAAGAATTAGCTGCTTTACTATTAAATTAAGAATCAGTCAGTCTTTATTCATTTATCCAGAAGTTACACCTCCAGCTCCATCTCTAATAGTGAATCGAAGTATTTTTAACACAAGTGCACAAAAAAAGTGTAAAATTATCTCTGATTTTAGTCTTAAAACATTTCAACTTTACTAACCTGTCTAGACCCAGTCCTGTAGATGCTGGTTCTGATGTAGCTGCAAAACCCAGTTTAACCTGCATGAGTCGTTCTTCGTAGTTCTCCATCCGTCTACATGGACTGAAGTGAATGTGCAGCTTTAAACACATTTAAAGGTTAATTCCACAATAACTACGTTATTACACGTCTTTAAACGAAGAAGAAGAAGAAGCTGCTGCTCACGAGCTCGCTGTAGCATCTCTCTTCGGGCTGATATTAAAAGCTAACGTTCAAAGATTTATCGTGAATCCGAAAACATTAAAACTTCTGCCTCTTCAAAAACTGTTGTTCAAACTGATACCCTTCAAAATAAAAGCATGAATTCATGGATGGATGGATAAACAGAAACCGAAACATAAAACCTTTAAAATGTCAAAATACAGGGTTTCCTACGCAATTATGGAAATAAATTTGATCAATTTCCAGGTTTTAAAAAGTGAAAAAAAAGGATGTAAAAATATTTATGTTTTCTGGACTGTTACCAAAGTTCTCAAAAACTCTTTTCTAAAACAGAGAAGTAGGTATTTTATTCATTTAAACCTCTCTAGATAAGAATAATGTCCTCTTCGTTATATGCGTTTATTCGTAAAGTAGATGAATTAGTGTTGCCGTGGTAATCGAGAGGTTCAAACCTGATATTTTGATGTTTCATGTAAACAAGGTTTTGGATTATTCCAGTAGATTGCTTCATCCTGCCGTCCTTAAACAGTTCAGGTGTAAAGAGGCGATATTTTCTATTTTCTAGTGATACCCTGTTCAATTCGGTGCTCGCCATCCCCCCTCTTTCCAGTCCCATCATGCAAAGCTGCTTCAGTTCACGCATGTTGACTTGATGCGTTTATTTCAAGTACTTTTACTGCAGCGATTACAGTCTGTTTCTGAACAACCAGCTGAAGCAATCTACTGGGAAAACTCCAAAACAAACCAACCATAGACTGTACATAGAATGGACACCGTCTGCCTCCTCGCCACCCTGAGAACAGCACCCTCTGGTGACGGGCTGCAGTATAGGTCATAAACCCTGCCTCCTTATGGAGCTGTGGACAAACTTTAATAATCGATTACACAGAATATAAATGTTTCTCCCCCCTGGTTGTGATGTTGACAGCGACTCTCGGTGACTCTCCTACCGAATGCGTACAACACGACTGCGCAATTTTGGTTTCAGGAAATGAAGAAAAATCGCAGAAATACCGAGGGCTTTACTGGCGGGAGGCGGGACCAAGTTGTCCGTCGTATATAAAGTCTATGGTACCGATTAGTCGTGTCGTAGACCCCGAATATGTGAATAAAACCGAGCCCGGGTTTAAAAATACCAGAAGTTCCCTTTGAGGCGGATCAGAACCATGAGACAGAAGCTTTGTTTTCTGTCGGCCTCCATCCCTGCAAGGCTTCAAACGCAGACATCCGTCTCATCCCTCGCTCGCTCTCTCTCTCTCTCTCTCTCTCTCTCTCCGGCTGCTTTGAGTCTGATTCAGCAGAGATGTTGTCGTGTTGGGAAAACAGAAAAGTGAACTTGATGACGTTCAAACTGTGACCTACTGCAGACTGTCTCTCTCTCTCTCTCTCTCTGTCTCTCTCTCTCCCTCCTCCCTGTAGTCTCTCTGTTTCTTCCCTGGGGGGGCGATGGCAGGTTTCTTCAAGGCAAGAGCAACAACCTTTCACATCATCAGATAACATTTTAGAAACCGTAGACGTAGATCCGTTCTGGCTATTTTTCCGGTTGGCGCCGGGAAAATAGTTCGTTGACGCTTGGTAGCGATGCGCTCCGCTCAGAGGTGGAGCTGCATCGAGCTGGAGAAGAAGTGTTGGATGTAGGTTGGTGCTCTTCCTTCTCATCCACATCTGCTCGACTCTGTAGTTCAGCTCTCTCTCTCTCTCTCTCCTGATGGACTTGCTGCCTCCTGAATGCCTCTCTGACTGTGGTTTGGTTTTGGTTTGGACCCAGCCTGTCTCCTCAGATCCTTCATGGCTCTTTTTGTGGTTTCAGAGGTCTCAAATCAGCTCTGCAGCTCTGCATGTTTGGCTTTCTGCTTCAGAGTCTGTGTGTTAATGAGGGTGTAGAGCTCGGCAGCAGGTGCAGCATGCTCTCTTTGGGATTTGATGACCTTGGAAGACAAAGCACTTCTAGATTTTAATCATAAGAAAACCATAAATCCTTCCTAGTGACTAATTCCTAGCTTGTAGGGTTGCTAATTGTAGATGATTTGAGTCGTAAATTTAGCGGATAGATCCTGTAGAGTCGCTCCTTTAATGTCGTCTGTTGTCTAACCTGAACTCTCTTTGTGTTCCTGCTGCCGCCCCTCAGCCCGGACGAGGACTCCTGTCAGAAGTTCATCCCTTTCATCGGGGTAAGTTTCCGAACATCGAACTGATGTTGTAGTTTGACACGCCCTCTAGTGGACGAAGAAGTAATTACAGGTTTAAAAATTGGGCAGAGTGTAATACTGCGGAAGTCGGATGTCAGAGCTGGAAATGACGTTACAACCAAGTTGACGGCGTTCAATTAAACAAATCGGAAAACCAGGATGGATGCCTGAAGTTAGCCGTTGTTAGCTGTTGTTTACAAAGTCAGTTGCCTTTAGCGGTTGTCAGCTGTTGTCAGTTGTTGTTAGCCTGTCCGTTGTTAGCGGTTGTCAGTTGTTGTAAGCCTGTCTGTTGTTAGTGGTTGTCGGCTGTTGTTAGCTATTGTCAATTGTTGTTAGCGGTTGTCAGTTGTTAGCCGTTGTCAGTTGTCAGTTGTTGTTAGCGGTTGTTAGCTGTTAGCTATTGTCAGTTGTTAACTGTTGTTAGCTATACCACTTATTTGTTTTTACAAAAACAAACAGAAGTGCTAATAAATAAAACATGACAGCTTTAACTGTTACTCTTTACTGTTGACGCGCTGTTCTGCCATCTTGGATTATGACGTAAGTTGTCAGACTTTCCGAGCTGGTTGGTTGAGTTGTTGTTGGTTCGTTTTCTCAGTCAGAGGTCGCGGGTTAAACAGATTAATCAGATAATTGAATAGAGAAAAACTCAAAGCTTGTTATCTGTTATTCCTAGAGCTATAATAATAGATTTCTCTCTCCTTTGTTTTCTCAGATGGTCAAAGTCGGCATCGTGGAGCAAACATCTGCAACGTCAGGCAAGTAGAAACGTTTTCAACGTTTGTCCTTTAAAGGTTTGAGCGCAATTATCAAACTCATCTGCACCAAAGCGACTCCTGAAGACATTCAGCACTTTCTCACGTTTGTACATACAGGATATTATATTTTATTTTGTAACATAAACGATCGTTTCCTCCCTCAGGAGACTCTGATGACGCGGCTCCTCTGAGCTCCTCACTGCTCTCCTCCACCCCTCCACAAGTCTCACCCGCTCTGAAAGAGGCGTCGCCCACACCGCCATCCTCTCCCTCCGTCAACACCAGCTTCAGCGCTTACAGGTATAACATGACGGTGCAAAAATCCACGTTTACTCGTACCTGCAGAGAAATCTTCTATGAAACCCACCTCCGTCTTTCTGTTCCTCGTCTGTAGTTCTCCGGGTCAGGCGGAGCTGATGGGGCTGCAGGTGGATTACTGGGTGGCCCCCACAGAGAGGAAAAAGGACCTGGAGAAGCGGGACTCCTCCTCCAAAAACACGCTCAAGTGCAATTTCCGCTCGCTGCAGGTCAGCCGGCTGCCACTAGGGGGCGCGGAGCCGAGCCCCCAGCCCACCATGTCCATGACTGTGGTGACCAAGGAGAAGAATAAGAAGGGTAGGATGAACACCGGACTCACGTTACATACTCAGTGCGTTAACATGCACAGTTTAATCGGACTAACCTCATAATTCGTTTTTTTTCGCCGAAGCGGACTTCTCTCCTTGTCCTGAGAAAATCGAATTATTGACGTGAACGTGTCCTCCTCCCCAAAACTAGGGGGCGATATGAGTCTTTTCATCTGCGCTGTTTCTGGACCTATTTTAAAGATGTCTCCGTTCCTCGTTTTGCTACCGTCCATATTCTTAAAATATACATTTCTGTCAGGATGGAAAACATAACAGCGCTCTCCTCGTCATTCCAAAAGTCGAAGTTCTTTAAATGATAGCGCCACTTCTTCTCTGGTGTTTTTGTTCAGGGTTTATGGAGTGTGATCGGACACATGCATTGTCCGATCACACTCCGACTCCGCTGGTGACATGGTAGAGAAGGTTGAATTCCAATCAGATTATCTGGATGTCTTAATCGGCGTTCTCCGACTAGTCGAAATAAGGTGTTTACATGCACTCCAGTTGTCCGGTCTTAATCAGAGTAAGGCGATAATTCGGTTTTCTCGAGTGTTATGTAAACGTACTGAGTGACAGATTCAGAGTTTTTGTGTTTAACCCCGTAGGGAGCAGAAAGACCCCGAACCCTCGTTAACTCACAGCGTGCGACTCTGTTTTTCCTTCTGCCAGTCATGTTCCTGCCAAAAAAGAGCAAAGACAAGGAGGTGGAGTCCAAGAGCCAAGTGATCGAGGGCATCAGCCGGCTCATCTGCACTGCCAAACACCAGCAGACCATGCTGAGAGGTACGGCGGTCTGCGCTCACACTTCACCGTGGGGGGTCTGGGGGTTTGTCCGTCCTCTCTGAACCTGTGTTTAGAGTTTAAGTAAAAGTGTCGCTTCTGTTCATGTCTGTGTCCTTCCTCTGCAGTTCTGATCGACGGCGTCGAGTGGAACGACGTCAAGTTTTTCCAGCTGGCGGCTCAGTGGTCGTCTCACGTCAAACACTTCCCCATCGGGATCTTCGGACACTCGAAAGGCCCGTACTAGCAGCACCTGAGAGACTGAATGACTGAGGACAGCGCCCCCTTTACCCTCCCTGTGTGCCAACAGCTTTTTAACCCCTTCCTCTCCATCTTCCCCCGCTCTACACCTCCTCCTCCTCCTCCACTTCTCCGCCATCTTAATTTAAACTCCTGCTTCGTTGCATTCGTTTGATTATTTAATCTTTTGCGTGTTTTTTTAATTTTCTATTTATGTAAAAAAAACGTCTGGAGGCAAGAATATTTCTTTACTCAGCTTTTTATCCTGCTGATGTTTTATAGACTCCTCTGAAATAATAATAATAATAATCAGAAAAGACTTTTAACCTTTAACATCCTCCATCAGCTCCCAGGTTTCCCCGTCTGAGTCCATCCTTTTTTATTTGATAAGGCACAGCACATCTGATCGAGAACAAACGAAAAAATACGAGCAGCTGCCTCGATACGAGGAGGAAAACGACGTCATCAAAGAAGATGTTTCAGATTCGCAGAGACTGTCGTCGATTTATCGTCTGAAGAGGAAAAAAAAAGACTCTGTGCTCTCCGAAGAAGAAGTCTCATGTGCAATAGACTGAAAACTGTGTGAATGATGATTCTGATATTAACCCGGCACTGATTTTACCCCCGACACCTCCGATACTCGTCTTTGGTTTCCGGTAAAGTGGCTGGAAGGTCGAAGAGTTTGACTTCACGTTAAATCAAATAATAACCTTGAAAAACTGCACAGCACAAACTTTAAAAATGTTTTATCATAGTTAAGAATTTCATCAGTGCGTTTTTATTGAAATACAGTTTTTGGTTTTCTTGTCGAGTTTGATGAGAAGATGAAAATCGGAACCAGCAGTAGGCTAGCTTAGCTCGGGCTGTCATTACTTTTTACGAATTTAAGAATAAAATAGAATATTTGTGAAAACTGACGGTGATTTCCTGGTCATTAGTGATCAAACAGGTTGCTAAGGTTAGCCACGTTAGCCTCACTAGCCTGACAATAACTTAGCTGTTATTGTTAAATCAAGACTGTTTTTGCTAAGTAAGCTAGCAAGTGTACGCTAACAAAATCAAACAGAAGTGCCACGCTGAATTTAGCAGATATATTTTCTCCACACTGGTCGTTAGTTTAATCTCTGTTTAAGACCCTTGATACTTGTGACATGAGTTGCTATTAGCTAGTAGATCGTGGATTAAGCTAACCTAACTATTAGCTTAAAAGTGAGTATTTTGAGGAAGTGTGTCCACGTATTTAAAATTACGTTTCAATTTTTAGGCTCAAAAACCATTAAAAAAGATGTTATTCTTCACCTTCAGACCGCGCCATGCTAACGGTTTTAGCTTGTTTCCAGTTTTCACAATAAGCTAAACTTAGCTAACAGCCGACCAGCTAGCCTGGCTCCGACCAAAAGTAACAACAGCAGCCAACCAGCAACTCTTACAGTGATCTATGAACACGTGATGTGTTTTATTTTAACCCACAGAAACGCCGAGCTAGGCTAACTGTGTTAGCTGTTCTTAGCTAACGTGCTGAGCCAAGCTAAGCTAATCCACCGCTGTCTTTAGCCAAATTAAAGTATCTTCTTATCGAAGTTAGGACAAGAAAGCAAAAATATTTATTTACAGAACTCTTGAAGAATAAATAATTATTTTGGTTTATGAAATTACTTTAGTTTGACAGAGTCTCAGTGAAGTCAGGGCTGCATCGAAGATAAAAATCAAGAGATTTCAAGATTTAGGCCTTCATTTTATTAGCATTAAAGTCTTAATTACAGTTGTAAATGCGAGGAAAAGTCTCAGTGAGCGTAAAAGAGTCACCCCCCCCCAAAAAAAAAGTCTTAATTGCTATAAAATAAAGTTAGAATTTTACAGGAAAAAAGTTGTGAAATTTGGATAAAAGTTTTCAAGAAAAAGTCATTTGGTTCGAAAAATAAGTTGCAGATCTGGAAAACCGACTCAGTGATTGTTATAAAGTCTGAATTTTTGCAGAAATAGAAACGGAATCGTCAAATAAAGTCAGAGTCTTTTAACAAAAAGTCATAATGGACATGAAACAATTTTTTAAAGAAAAAGTCCCGACAAAGACGAAATTTAGTCAAGGATAATATCACACTGGTCGTTTGAAGACGTCCACATTTTTCTAGAAAAAATCAAAATGATAGCGGATTAAAACTGTTATGTGACGAACATTGTCAGAGTTTTAGGGAAAATTACGATTTTTGGGGGGGGAAAGTCAAATCCTACATGAGGAAAGTCCAACTTTTTCAATGAAAGTCATAACAAAGGAACAACATTTTGATAGCAGAATACAGTCGTGAAAAGTTATGTGACTCGATTAAGGACATAAAGTTATTTAGAAAACTCAAAATAGTAGAATAAATATTGAATTTCTCCAGACAAAGTCAGGACAGAGAGATCTGTGAAACCTCAGATTTTTATTTTTAACGTGGCTCTGATTCTGCGTCGTTTTCCTGTTTTCAAAGAGTAACTTTTGACGTCGTCCGTCTAAACTCTTCCCTTCGAGCCTCACACTCCTCCGTCACACTCCGCCTCTGTTGCTCACACACAGCAGACGTTACTTTTGCCAAAGGAAACTCATCACCTGCAGTTCACACTCATTACCTGTGTGGTGTTATAGAAGACTTCATAATGTAGAGGTGAATGTATTGAAGGTACCTTAATGTAAAGCACTTTTAAATGTTTGTGCGTTATAGATTAGTGTGTTAGAAACCTTCCCGGGAACCTGCAGGAGGAGATGACTGACTGTGGTTCACGGAGGCACACGGACAGAAACCTGAGTCTGTTTTTCTATCTGAGCTCAAACTAAAGCAGCACAAACAGCAGACGACGGGACTGTATCCTCTCTGTGTGCTGTGTGGAATCACTAAACGCTCAGTGTGACGACGCCTCTCTGGACGTTCAGATTATCATTTATAATATTCTGTGAGCTTAGTCTTGAATGTCGTTAACATTTCTGTAGATTCGCTCAATCCTTTCGTTGACTGTTAAGCATAAAAACTAAAAGTATTTTGCTTATAAAACTTCTTTTAGTCGTGTTATAACTTTTGCCAATTTCTTGAAAAGTGCCTAAATTGCTTAACTTTGACAAATCAACAGAAATAATACCGTCCCGGCTAACATGGTGCTCATTCTGGTTCCACGAACAACGAAACACATCGATAGCGTGCTTGGATTTTGCATTTCAGACACATGCAGTCGAGCTTGTTTATGGCAGGGAGGGAGAAGAAAAACACTCTGTCCCTCCAAAATGGGTTAAAATGAGTTAAAAGAAGACTTAAGCCTGTTCATGTCGAGCTTTTATTTGTGTTTCTGTACAGACAGTGTTTTTGTTTTCATGTTTTCTCAGAGAAAGGCTTGTTGAACTCAAAGTTTCCCGATGACTACCACTGTAATCCCAAAACTTGGAGTAATAAAACTACTATACACACTAAAAATGAACTTTTATTTACACCTGTGAGCTGCTGTGTTTATTTTTCAACGCTGTTATGTCAAAGGGAACATCCGCTAAAATGAAGCATGAAAAACAAAACTTACTGTTACTGCTGTTTTAAAAACACCTCAACTTCAGTCCTAAAGTTTTTTCTTTACCTACCAGGGGTGCATCTAAAAGAGCAAGGGACCAGGGCTGGTGTGGGCCCCCTTAAGATCTGACTGGCCACCCCTGGTGCCTCCCCCAAAATCCTCTCCTATGATTGGCTGTTTGCCTTCCTGGAGCTATTTGGGCAGCTTTTATTGTGATGCATTTCCCTTTAAAGGCATATTTCACCATTTTTGGAGTGAGGCTGTAAGAGTTATGAGGAAAAGCAGTAAATTAAAGTTTGACTAATTGTTGAAAAAGTCCTGTTTCATGATGCTGGATGTCTGACAGGGAAACAGAGAGAGATCCTCCCCCAAGGAAGGACGCTGCTGGTGGGACGGCTGAGGAGATAAGAGGAGGTACGATGCTGCTGCATTCATGGGCTGTTTGAAGTGTTGGTGAATTTGGTTTCAAGTAAAATTGATGTACTTTTGTACAGAGCCCATAAATTTGACATATAGTATGTTAAAAAATAAATCACTTGTGCGTCAGTGAAATATCTAGTGGGAACAAGATAATTGTGTGGTGTTGGTTGGTTTCTTATTTTGCATTGGTAACTTCCGTTGTGACTTGTTTTTTTGCATTCTTTTTTATTTGCAGCAGTGGCCATGCTCGGCCACTGTAGTAAGTAATTACTTTATGACAACTTTATTCTCTTAAGTTAATGACTTTAATTTCGAAATCTAAAGTTTTTTGCTTTCTTAATGTGGCCCTAATACTCAAACAACGAAACAATGACACCGTTTTAAAGTGACGTTTGTGTTGTTTTTTTTTTTACAGTGGCCGAGGACCACCACTGCTGCAAATAAAAAAGAATGAAAAAAGAAGAAACTGAAGCCTGCTGCAAATAAAAAAAGAAACAGTGTAGATAATAAAAACCCCACAACTGAAGTAAAAAAAAAGAAACTCTGTAGTGTTAGCCAAAGCTTAGGCGCTACCAAACAACACATTAAAAAGTTTACAAAGCGAAATTAAACAATAACCTTTCCACTTACTTCTTTGCTCATCTTCTCACCATCGTCTTCTGTGCTTACATTGTAAAACACCGGTGCAACATCATTATTGGTCCCCGGCAGCTCACTTCCGTTGTGGAAGTGCCACTTTTGCCACTTTTTTAAAATTTGTGTTGTTAAGGCTTTTTTTAATCTGCACCGTTTCTTTTTTTATTTGCAGTGGGCTTCAGTTTCTTTCTTTCGTTTCTTTTTTTTTTTTTTTTTTTTTTGCAGTGGCAGTTCTCGGCCACCGTACCGCCGTCGTGCACCACTCACGCACAAGGAAATAAATCGTACATATTAGTTATTTGTTTTTGCGCACAAGATGAGAGATGTTGCATTCGGGGACTTCTGGAGCTCCTGTGGTTCCTAAACTTCTGGCCGAGTTTTTGTTTCTTTTATTAGTTCGTAACTTTTATTTGTTAAACAAAGAGACTGAGTGACCTGAGAGACGAAATAATGACGCTGTTTTAAAGTGACGTTTTTGTTGTTTATAATTAACGGTGTTTGATTATATGAAGACAACGAACTCACAGGACCGACTCCCTTCACTGTAAATTCCGAGCCTCGCAGGGGGACGTGAACGCCGGGCCAAACAACGTCGACATCAGCAGCAGCAGCAGCAGCGGGGCTTCCACCATAATGTAGACCAAACAGACGCACGACCGTCCACAGACGAGCACCGACACATGTCCAGGGTGCGGCGGTGAAAACGCAACTAAACCCGGGGAGGAGTTAACTTTACAGGGGTGAAAATGAGGGAGCTGAAGGGCTGCGGGATGCGCTCCTCGGTGGGCTTTCTGTCCCGCAGAGAGCTGACCGGACAGCCGCTCATGAAGGAGGAATTCCAGAGACGCAGGCTGGCAGGCTGCACCAGCCTCTACAAGAAGGACATGCTCGGTCACTTCGGCTGTGTCAACGCCATCGAGTTCTCCAACAACGGCGGGGAGTGGCTGGTGTCCGGTAAGGTGACAGTTTTCGGGTTTCCCTGCTGCTTCCTTGACACTGTTTGCATGTTGTTAGCATGCTAACGCTAACTAGCTGGAAATCAGCTGAAACCCTCCTGGGCTAGCTAAGTTACGGTGCCTTCAGGGACGGCGGAATAATCGGGAAAACGAGTGTCTATGTAGGAAACGTCAAAACAAATGTTTAAACTTGAGGGAACACTGGTGTACAAGTGGTTGAGATCACAATTTTGATGTTGTTCTACCGATAAACACAGCAGGTTATAATATCATATATATTCAAACCCTTGTGGGAGAAGCGGTGGGACTAGATAAGTCCTGACTTCTTTCCACTCCTTTTGAACTTGAATAACTTTTTGTCATTTGTTGTTGTATTCTTTACTTTGTATTATTATTATTATTATTATATGTTCAAAATAAACTTTAATCAATTAATAGGTGAAAAGTTTAATCGCTCGTTGGCTAATTTAGTTGTCTTATCGATGATAATAACAATAATAATAATAATAGTAATAATAATAATAATAACCTTATTTTATAGTATTTTTAAAAACAGAAGTTTACAAAGTGCTTTCACAAACATCAGCACATGGAAATAAAAACAAATAAAAAACAAAAGCTCAGTTAAAAATAAAACCTCTGAATTGAAGCCAGTTTCATTTATCATAAGAAACCCAGACAAAACAAGAACCCTACAACATAAAATGAGACCATGAGGACCAAAATAGAAACATAAAATAGGTAAGAAGAAGAAGAAATGTTATAAAAAGGGGGGTAGAAAGCAGGAAACAGGATAGTAAAAATAAAAAGACAATATGAATAATGATAATAAAATTATAATAATACAGGCTAAAAACAACAATAACCACCCAAAATAAAATGGTAAAAAGAAAGAGTAAAACAAGAAAATAATCTTAAATAAACGGATAAGTAAGAGCTCTTTACCAGGTAAAGAAAAAGGGTAAAAGAGGTAAAAACCTCTGAGACGGGAATTAAGAAAAAGACTAAGAACAGAGATAATAATAAAATGACATAAAACAAACATTTGCAATAAGAGAAATATAAAAAGGCAGTTTGTGAAAAGCCTGGTTAAAAGGTCTGGTCTGAAGTCGTGATTTCCGAGCTTTCATCGAGTCCTCAAACGCACCGTTAGCCTGTGCTTTCTTGGCAGCTAACTAGCCTAGCTAACGTCAAAGCAAACAGCGGGCAGCTCCGAGGGCAGGAACCCCGGACCAGAGCCGTCTGTCAGCCGTGAAACTTGACTCTGCAGCCGCTGGAGAACATGTTAGATCTTTGTGAGAGGTTTTATAACCTTAAACATAGAGCTGTTAGTGTCCTGGGAGGATTAAAAACCATTTTCTGGCCTTGTTTAGCAGCACCAGACTTTAGATTTCTGGTGTGTCGGGGATCAGGACAGCTCCGTGTAACTTTATAAACACACCTGCGAATGAACACCTGAGCAGAAACTGTAAATAAAAACACACTTTAGCTCAATAACTGCAGATAAACTGATCCTGGTCCACTGAGGTCGATAAGAAGACTTTGTGTAATTCCTATAGAGACTATTTTAGACAAGAGCAGCAAACGGACCTACCTGTTTACAGGTGCATCTCAACAAATAAAAACATCATGGCATAAAATCTAGTTATTGTAGGTAATATGAAGTATTTTAATCCATATTGATTCAATTTTGGCGACTTAAGATCAATTTAAAGAGATCTCCCCTGTATTATGGTCTAGAAATCGTTTGGTAGGAGTTTTGGCGCTGTGGGCAGGTGCTGATAGATCTTATATATATATTTTTACATACTTTTTTTTCTACTATTGGTCGTAATTTTAGCCAACCTTAATTTATCTGATATAAAAACACTTATAGAGATCGGAAATTACTCTTTTAAAGGGATATTCTGGCATATAATTAATTTAGGGTCATATGCACCCGACCGCTTGCTTCTCTAGTTATACCAACTTTAGTAACAACCGCAGGATAGTAATACACAGCGGTCTGAGGAGCCAAAAACAAACCTCAACCAAAAAGCCACTCTATAGCCACAAATAATGCTCAGAACAGCACCTAACTTCCTCTTCTTTTTGTAGCTGTTCAGGATGCGGTGGAAATTGGGGGTAACTCTTGATCTGAGGTTATGATCTTCGTTTTTCTGAGTGTCTGTCTGTCGCTCTCGTCATGAATCCTCAGGAGGAGATGACCGCCGGGTTCTGCTGTGGCACATGGAGAAAGCCATCCACGCTCGGTCCAAGCCGGTGAAGCTGAAGGGGGAGCACCTGTCCAACATCTTCTGCCTGGCCTTCGACAGCACCAACAAGAAGGTTTTCTCCGGCGGTAAGACAGCGAGAAAATCCTCCTCTGAGCTTTTATTTGTTACAATAACCACGTCCTCTGTTATTAACCTGAGAAACACCTTTTCTTTTTACCACAGAAGACACAGAAATATTTCTCATTAACTGCAGAGTTTGTGTGCAACATGACGCTCTTTGTGTAAAACAAAAGGAACATTTGCAGAAAAGACTGACACAGGCTGAACACTTAGAGGAAGGTAGATAAGAAGAGGAAGTTGATATCAGCGCAAGACTTAAAAAACTTTATCTGTGGAGGAAATGTGGGCGTTACAGTCGCTGTTACACACAGTGAAGCATCAAGACATGAAGGAAATACAGATAAGAGTAAAATAACAAAGACTGAAGAATCGTACGAATTTATTTAGCAAGATAGAAAATAACATAAAAGTTTTAAAACTGTCACCATTTATTGATAACGGTAAAAACTGTCTATAAAGATATATTTATGTTTTTATTTATATATGCAAACTTTAGATTTTGTCTGATTTTGACTTTTTTAAACTCTGTGTCTGTTTGAGTACATGAAGAGGTTAACATGCAGATGACGCTGTAAAAAAGATAAATCTGTTTATGTAAATATAATAAACGGCTGGTTTTATAAGCAGAAGCTGAGATAGTGACAGTTTGTTTTTGTTTCAGGAAACGATGAGCAGGTGATTCTTCATGATGTGGAGAGGTGAGTGAAATCAGAAAAAACAGAGTTTTTTTATCCTGGGATTAAAACGTCTGACTGAATGAAGGTTCTGGATTAGTTTGGAGTTTGGTGCTTTGGCAGGATTCTTCTGGAAACTTTCATGTATAAAAAAACCACATTGTCAGTTATTTTTTGTTTCTGCACCTTTGCCTTGTTTTGCTTGCCCCCAAATATTAATTATCAAAATTCAAAACAAACAGACAAACCACTCAATGTATCCTGTTAAGATCAGTTTCTCTTAGACAAAATGAAACAACAGAAAAAAGTTTCCTCAGAGATGCAAACCTGGAATCATCATCTAAACAATCAGTGCAGTCAGAATTAAAACAATAACGATCCAACAGGATAAAATAATTCAATATTTGGTTTATTGGTTTTTTTTTTTGATCAGGAGAGAAACTCTGAACGTGTTCCTCCACATCGACGCCGTCTACAGCCTGTCCGTCAGCCCGGTCAACGACAACGTGTTCGCCAGTTCATCTGACGATGGGAGAGTTCTCATCTGGGACACCCGCGAGCCGCCAAACGCAGGTAAGCCGAGGGGGAGGGGCTTCAATACGTCCTGTTGCAGAGTAGAGCTGAGATGTCAGATAACTCTGTAACACTTCAGTCAGAGTCATCCCACTGCAGCTTTTGAATGTTTTCCACGTCTCCTGTGGTTTAATGTCGTTAATAATCTGTTCACAGGCGGCCGCTCGGTGTATTTTAAGCATCTGTGTGACTGAAGAGCTTTGTGACGGCGGCGCTCAGAGAGTTGTTGATAACTTTAAAAAAGCAGGATCGCCTTACATGACGTCTATTTTGGAAGCTCTCCTTGTTGACCTAATAATAATAAATGAAACGGCACTCGTGTCTGTGAGCAGGTCTGAAGCTCCAGTCTGAAGGTTTGTGAAGGTGGAGTTTAGTTTGTGATTGTACTGAAGCAAAGTGGAAGAAAACGGATCATTTGGCGAGTTTGAGGCAACGCAAAAGGAAGCTGAGGATCTTTAAAGGAAAAGGAGAAATTCACTGAAAGAAAATAGAATGCACGATATCAGATTGATGCTGATAAATTGTTCAGTTTCGTTTTTCATCTCCACCATCACCTCCAGTGAGTTTTGAAAAGTCTGAGTCTAACTGGTCTCTTCTGTCCCCTCAGAGCCGTTCTGCCTGGCCAGCTACCCGTCAGCCTTCCACAGCGTGATGTTCAACCCCGTGGAGCCCAGACTGATCGCCACGGCCAACTCCAAGGAGGGCGTGGGACTGTGGGACATCCGCAAGCCGCGCAGGTGAGAAACCTCTGCGAATATTATCAGACTCTTTAAATAAACCCGAACCCGTCAGAGGGTGAGAAGAGGACGCCACGGCGAAGGAATCTGACGGAGAAATCCTGAAAAATGCAGAAGTGAAGCTCAGGTCTGTTTGGGGTCACTCAGATCTTAACCTGATCATCTGTAGAGAGGACTCTTCTTCCTGTCCACCAGGTGGCACCGTTGTCCAACTCTTCAGCCTGATCACTTCTGTCTCTCTGCCAGCTCCAGAAAAACCTCCTCTCGACCTGAAACCTGGAATGTTTCGCAGCTCTGAGATCACACTGAGCGCGTTTACTCGTTTGGTTTCAGTTATTAAACCAACAGATGACGGCGCCTCCGATCAAAGCAAACACTGAGTCACCTCTCCTCCTCCTCTTCGTCCTCCTCCTCCTCGTCCTCCTCCGCTGTTGGCTCTGCCGCTCTGCTGTGTGTTTACACCTCCAGACTGAATCCTTCGCTTCAGTCTGGAGGTTAAAAATAGCGAACAGATGAAGAGGAGCGTGAACATCTTTTTCATCTTCAAACTGTAAAATCATCAAGATAAAAATATCCACAGACTCTTTTCCAACAGGTGACGTCGCCCCCTGCTGGCTCAAACTCAAACTGATCTCTGCATCAACAACTTTAACTCACCTCCTTTATCGTCTTCTTCTTTCTCCTCAGCTCTCTGCTGCGTTACGGCGGCAGCATGTCCCTGCAGAGCGCCATGAGCGTTCGCTTCAACAGCACGGGCACGCAGCTGCTGGCGCTGCGCCGCCGCCTGCCGCCGGTCCTCTACGAGCTGCACTCCCGCCTGCCCAGCTTCCAGTTCGACAACCAGGGTTACTTCAACTCCTGCACCATGAAGAGCTGCTGCTTCGCCGGAGACAAAGACCAGGTCGGAGAAATTCATCCTGAGGTTAAAAAACAGCTGCTCGCACCTTCGCACCGCGTCGTAAAGGTGGTTTATTGGACTCTGCGGTTACTCGCCGTTAATTATTGGAGGAGATTAATGATCCTAAGAGAAAATCAGAGACAGCAGGAGCCCGTGTGGTCCTCCTCAGACGTGACATCAGCCTGCAGCCGTGTTTATTGTGTTAACATTATCCTCGGGTGTCAGTGGAGCTTATGGAGGCTTAAAAAATTATCCCTCTCTGCATGAATGAAGGAGGAGGAGGAGGACTCGAGGTTACAGGGAAAGAAGGTTTGAGTTTGTTCACCTGGTATAAAGTCAAGAAACTAAAACAAAAACACAAATTCAAGTTTCAAGGTCTGATAAAATAACTTCACTCCGTCTTATTTGACTCCCACTCCTCTAAAATCTCGCAGACTTTAAACCACAGGTGACAGAGGATTTCCTCAGATAGGTGTGATTCAGAGGTGCAGAGGTAGAAGTAACCCCGCAGACATGAGGGGGAGGTCTGAGTGTGACATTCCTGCCTGACGTGTCCTCTGGGAACCCGAGGAGGAGCACACAGGTGTTCATGAGCCACAGGGATATCAGGAACAGTCTGTTTTTAAAGGGATGAGGATTTTTTAGCACCATAGAGCATTTTAGCTTTATTCCTCAAAAGTGTAATCCTTCATGCTCTGGAAACAGTTTTAGAAGTTGTAAGTGAGTTTAATTTTAGTGCACACCTGCAGAATATCTGCTAAAGAAAATGAGGACAATCGTCCAACAACTGGTTGATCAAATAAATCACAACTTGACTGAATTTCAGAAACCCCGCAGCACCAAAAACACGTGTAAACAGTCAGACAAAAATGTTTCTCCAGATGGTGAAGTAGAGCGTCACAGATGTTCTCAAACAGAGAGAAGACGAGAGCGGGAACTAAAAAGTGTGGTTCTTTAAATTATCCTCGCTGTTGTTCAAAGTTCAGCCAAATAAGACAAAGTCAGTAAAGAGAGCAAAAAGTACAACCACTCAGGACATGTGAGTTTTTGAGCTTATTTTACACTTTTAGATTCAAAAACTTTCAAACTCTTTAATTTTATTCCCTTAGTTAAGGAAGATTATGTCTAAAAAATAACAGAGTTAAAGAAACAAACTCATCAGTATAACCATGAACCAGAAAATGTTTAGTTTACATTCAAAACACTAAAAACCAACTTCAGGGTACTTTGTTTACATTTAACACATAAAAAGAGCAATAAGAGGGCACTAAGTGTGAAAATTTGTCATCAATAAAGGAAACAGAGGGGACTGAGTTTACAGTTTATAATCTAAAAGAGCAGCCAGGGTGCACTTTGTTAAAATTTTATCCATTAAAAAGCAAACAGAGGGTACTTTGTTTACTTATCATCCACTTGAAGAGCGTCCAGGGGAAACTTTCTGGGTTATTTATCCATCAAAAGAGCATCCGATGGGTACTTTATTTACATATATACACTGAAAAACAAATCAGAGGGCACTTTGTTTATATTTATACGCTTCAAGAGTTACCAGAGGGTACTTTGTTTACGTTTTATTCAAAAATCTTGTTAACATTGTATACTCCTTGAAAGGGCATACACTGGAGTGATGCTTTGTTTACAATTAAATACTTAAAGAGCTAACAGAGGGCACTTTGTTCACACTTTTTCACTAGAGCAGCCACTAAGGACTTTGTTTACATTTTATTCTCCAAAAAACAACCCAAAAGAAGTCTGTTTTTATTTGATACTCTGATCAGGCGTGATCTTTGTTTACACTTTATGCACGAAAATATCGACCACAGAGGACTTGATATAAAAGTTTTCCATTAAAGAGCAACCAGAGGGTACTTTATTTACATTTGATCTACTGAGAAGTCACCAGAGGGTCTTTTGATGATATTTTATCCACTGAAAATGTATCCAGAGGGCACTTTGTTCACATTTATTCACTGATAGGGGGCGCTCATTGTACTGCTATCCGTTAAAAAGAGCAAACATGGGGCGCTTGATTTACACATTATTCAGTGGAAGGACATCTGTTCAGGAAATTTAAGATGTTTTATCCACTGACACTAAAAATGACCTTTTTATAATCCTGTATTCACTATAAAGATGTTTTAGAGGCACCAGGGGGCCGACTCCCTCCTTTACCCCCCCTCTGAGCACACCCCTGTGCTGATCCTTTATCACTCATGTATGTATAAGGAGAACCAGGTGTTTTCCAGCTCTATCTTCATGTACCTTCAGCGACAGGTTAAAGTGGAACCATCTGTTTATGGGGTCTAATAAGAGTTCAGACAGGGGAGCAGGAGCTGTCTGAGGGTCAGACTGTCGTGTCCCGTCAGGAGTGGGTTTGATCCACATTATGGGACTGTGATAAAATCTGCTGGTTCAGAGCTGTAGATGGACCCCTCAGGGTTTCTGCGTCTGGATGTGTACATGAACATTTCCTCTCCTCTGAGGTCTGATGGAAAGTTTCTGTCAAACCAAACGGAGCCGACGTAAAAATGTAAACATCCCTGTGTTTCCCTCCTCAGTACATCTTGTCTGGATCGGACGACTTCAACCTTTACATGTGGAAAATACCGAAGGATCCAGAAGCCGGTGAGTTATTCGATCTGTCTGTGGATGTTTGACGACCTTTACGGCGAGAAGAAACCGTGAACCTGCCTCTGCCTTCTTACAGGATGTACATTTTCTGAACAGCTTGTTTGAAGGACGAGGATTTTAACCTTCGTTCTCACAAGGTTAAAGATTTCAGCGGCGTCAGATAGACGAAAACAAACCTCATTCCTGCGCTCTGAGTCTGATAGATGTCTCTTTAGTCCAGACTGTGGTTTTTCCTCTGTTCATTTGGTCACACTCCACCATCCAGGCTCTAGATATCCTTTATCTACGTCTGTTTCCTTATGTAATCTTTCATTTGTGGTTCAAGGTCAGGAAAAGTTCTGTCCTGTATCGAAGTTTTCCAGCTTTTTCTTTAATTTTAATGGTTTTACCTGCTAAAGATAATCAGATTGGAAGCATAATTTAAAATCTGATTACTTTCTGTGCCGTGTCAGCTTGTTTTACAGACGTCGGCTCTACTGCAGCAGTTTCATTCAATTTTGACCCGGTGAACCCTGAAGAACTTTCTGGGCCGGCCCAGGTTTAAAAATACCAGAAATTCCTTCACCGCTAAGACGTTTAAAGTCACTCTCTCCCTCTCTGTGAACACGCCTTCGCCTCATTTCTCAGGGAGGAAGTGTAACGCTCCAAGAATGTGGCCGTTTGTAGCTCTGTGGCAACACCTGACACATTTATGGATTTTATTTCTCCTGGAGTTACTCAGAGTGAAAAAATGTGAACTTTCTCCGGGCCCGTCTGCGTCTGAGCGGACCGCCGTGTTTCACCGTCTTCTAATAGATCCATGACGTGTGTTTGTTTCTTTTCAGGAGGTCCGGGTCGTGTGGTAAACGGGGCCTTCATGGTCCTGAAGGGTCACCGCTCCATCGTGAACCAGGTCCGCTTTAATCCGCACACCTACATGATCTGCTCCTCCGGCGTGGAGAAAGTCATCAAGGTCAGTGTTCGGACCCCGTCGCCGAGTCTGATGAGAAAAGTCAAAAGTGATTTTTTTGAGTCGAGCGTCAGAGAGTCTGATCTGGTTTCCTCCGGGATGATTTAGTGAGCGAACAGATTGTTCTGAAAGCAGACGGACTAAATCGGAGTCTCTGTCCTCGATGTTCAGACAGCAGACGAGCCCTGAAGCCAGACATTGATCTCCAATGACAGCCGCTCACTAACTGACGGCTGCGACTTCCTCTCTGAGTGGAGAAACGAAAAAAAAAAAAGATGGATCCCCCTCGTCACTGACTGTCATCTGTGAAAAATGACGCTGGGCGGATCAGAAAAAGTGGGTCGTGGGAAGTTGTGAACGGGTTCAGTATTTATGTATTCAGACCCAGAGTGTGATAAGAGGCGCAGAGATCCGACTTTTTCACTCCAGAGGATTGTTTGGTTTGAGATTCGTCTTTATTTTTCCAGATTTAATCAAAATAATTAAATAACCGTCAGTTTAGTTCAGTTAAGTTTCTAAAAAAGGCAAAAAAACTCGTCTGCACCATCCCTCCCTCAGCCAATCAGCACAGCCCTTACTGACCCATATAGATCATCAGGTGGGAAACTGAGAGGCTGCAGGTCGAGGTCGTTCATTTTTAATGTTGAACCTGATCCGGGTCTCCTTCCTCTTTTTTTTTCCTCTCCTCTTTGCCTTCTTCACGTACACTTCTCCTTCTCCTCCTTCTTCTCCTCCTCCTTTCAGGTCTGGAGTCCGTACCAGCAGCCCAACAGTCTGGGCGACCTGGAGGGCCGGGTGGAGGACAAGTCCCGCAGCCTCTACACCCACGAAGAGTACATCAGCCTGGTGCTGAACAGCGGCAGCGGTCTGTCCCACGACTACGTCAGCCAGTCCATCCAGGAGGATCCTCGCATGATGGCGTTCTTCGACTCGTTGGTGCGCCGAGAGATCGAAGGCTGGAGCTCCGACTCCGACAGCGACCTGAGCGAGGAGGCCATCATGCAGCTGCACGCCAGGGGGCGCAGCTCCACCCGAGCCACGCCCGCTCCGCCCACTGCTCCCTCGGTCGCAGGACACCACAGCGACTCCGACAACTCCTCCTCTTCCTCTCTGGCGGGACCCGACCCCTCGGGAGGGGAGGACGCGGCGGGGGCGGAGGGGCGTCAGCAGAGGAGGCGGGGCAGGCATCAGCGGCATCAGTCTGGATTCCTCGTGAACGAGGACTCGGACTCCAGTGAGTTTTGGCTCGACCCCATGCCGAGGCCTCGCTCCCCGAGTCCCAGAGACAACTCCACCCTGAGCAGCCCCACCTCCTCCCCCTCGCTCCCCAGGGGGTCCCTCAGCCCCTCGACGTCCACCTCCAGCTCCAGCAGTGACGACGAGGAGCGGCGGAGCGCTGTGAGGCGGCGCAACGTCATGAGGCGGCGCCGCATGCACGTGGTCTCCAGAGCCGGAGACCGCCCTGAGTCTGTGCAGGCGCTGTTCTCCGCCGTGGACTCCTGCAGCTACCCTTCCATCTCCGTGGACGATCTGTCCTCCTCCTCGTCGGGCGGCGGGCAGAACTCTCCTCAGGTCAAGTCTCGCAGCGAGGAGGAGAAATGTCTGAGCCCGTCTGACTTTGTGTGTCTGAGCCCGGTGATGTCATCCGGGAGCCACGACAACGAGGACGGGAGCGAGAGGACTGAACTGGGGAGGCTCTCGGCGGCGGCGTCTCCGCAGCGACTCAGGACTGAACAGAGAGCGGCTGCAGACAGCTCAGACGGCGGCGAGGCCTGCAGCAGCTCCGGGGTTTTGGACGGTAACGCTCAGAGCAGACGCAGCCCCGGAGTGAACGGGCGCCACCGGACTGCGGCTCCGTGCGGGAGCGAAAACCTCCACGTGTCCTCGGAGTCAGAGGAAGACGACTCGAGGCCGCAGAGGGAAAAGGTCCCGCCACAGAGCGCTCTGAAACGGACTCACGTGGCGTCGGAGGAGGGCGACCCCGGCGCCTCACCTTCAGAGAAGAAGCTAAAAACATAACGTGATTCTCTGAACGGATTTAACGGACTCGATTCAGAAAATGGGTTTTTTATGGGTTTGTACAACTCAGCTTTTCTTTAGCCTCGTAGTCATGTGACGCACATCAGAGGACTCTGAGAACAGGACGGTGGTGAATCTTTATTTCTGTAACCAGATAAAAAAAAAAAAAACGGCGTCATTGCTCTTTTGGTCAAACCACAGATGACGGTAAAAGACGGAGAAATCAAACTAAGCTAACGTCGGTGATAAGATGCTATTTTTAAGCCAAGCTGATTTATTTTCCCGCAGCGTCACTCTTTTCTTTCTTTCTCACGCCCCTGTTGTTGCAGAAAGCTCCACCCAGGATCTGGAGCTCCTCCAACCGCCACAAAGAAAAGGTCTTATGGAGGACAAAAGCTGCGCATCATTTCAGGAGGATCTGATCGAGCTCTTCTTTTGTTTCAGAGCGGTTTCTCGGCAGCTTCAGGGAGTCTGAAGACGTGACTTTGTCTTCGCAGAAATGTTAAAGAAGTTGAAATGATGCTTTTGTCTCGTTCTTCAGGCCTGCTGTTAATCAGAACAAACCAGTGCTCGCTTTTGTTTTCCTGCAATTAAAGAAGAAATTTGTTCTCCTCCGTTCACACCCTGAAATCTTTTCTTGTCTCTCGACAAACATCCTGCAGAAATCACCGAAAAAACGAGCCGGCTCAGCGCGGCTTCGGGAGCTCTCCTACCGACTCGCTGCCGGCTGAGTTGCCATGGAGACGCAGCATCACCTCTCCTGTGAAAGGAGCGCGTTCGGCTGGCCGTGACCTCGAGCAAACCAGCGTCGCCCTGAAGTGAAATAATTTATCGACAGAAGAGAGAAGCTCGTTTCTGTTTTTATTCGAGAGGAGTTTGATTGATTAGAAGAAAAGAAAACAGCAGTGATTCAAATAAGACCAAATATTCATGTTTATCCACAAACTTAGCCCTGAATGTTGTGGAGGAGGATGATAAAAATCATTGATGAATGAGAAACAGTCTAAAGACAACAAAACAGAAAATAATTTGAGTGTTTTTTGAAAATAAACGTCCAGAAAAGATGAAACAAGGGGGACAAAACACTGAAAAAGATCATTTAGACCGAGACATGTCAGAGAATGAGTGGATTCATAGTTATTGTCTGCACCGCATGGGCTTCAAATCACTCCAAAAATTGATCTTGAGAACAGCTTTTATTACTGTATCCACAAATTTGGGTTAAACTAAACTATGCAAAGAGAAACTGTTATTTAAGGTGGACTTAAGGAGGTTTAAGGCGACAAAAGAGAGGCTGCAAAGTTATAGAGAAACTAGATAATTAGTGGGAAAAAACTCCTTTTTAAAATCCACTTTTAGGATTTTTTTAAATTGAAATATTTTCCCTGCAAAGGTTCAGATGCACCAACCTGTAGCCTATCTCTTTTGAGAAGAGATAAAGAAAAATAAACCTCAAAAAATGATAATAAAATGTGATGAAGTGATAAAACTAAATAAGTTCATGAAAAATTACTCAAACAGACAATTTATAAAGGAAGTTTATTGCTAGAAAGAGTGAAATGCTTCTTCATGGTTAAAAAAAAATACCCGTCGTGTCCCGTCTGCAGCCTGAACGCCATCACTCACCTGTCAGACAAAGCAGAGGGCAGTAAAGAAACACATAAGTTATTTGAGTCGTAATAATTTCCTCTGCTTCTCTAACTCCTCAGTGTGCTCGTCACTTATCGGTAGGATGTAGACACCCTTCGTTTGACCCGCTGCTTCCCCTGAGATCAGGACTCAGACCGGGAGACTCTACGCTGCTTCAGGCCTGTTTACGTTTAGACCGGAGCGTGCCTGCTGGGCTGCATGAGGCTTAATGATTGATCACAGGCTTGAGAGGACCAGAGAGCGTCGGCTGTTTGATGGTAAAGTTTCAGACACGTGAAATAATCCAAAATTCGATGGGAATTTTACAACAAACCCCCTTAAAGATGTAAATTGTGCGATTTTTACCGTCTTGGCTGCCAGCGTTAAAAAAGAAACGACCCAATGCAGACTAACAATAGTCGGTTTTATCTCTATTTATTCAGGGAAGGTTTGCTGGTTGTGTGTTTGCAGCTACACCCTCCTCAAAAAGGTCACATTCAGCCACAGCTTCAGAGGACTTCCACCAGAGTAAGCATGAGTCAAGTCAAATGTAGCGTATTAAGAGGGTTATTTAATATATTTGAGGCGTTTTGTTTACACTGAGTTTCCTGAGTGAAACGTAGAGATACTCGTAAGTTGTAGATAGGGAGCCAGATTAAAAACAGCAGTAAGACAAAGGAGGGCTGAATGCCAAAGTTGTTAACTTTAAAATTAAAGAGGAACGCATCCAGAGGGTACTTCATTTATATTTAACCTGTTATTAAAGCAACAAGAGGGCGCTTATTTACCTTTTATCCACGTAATAAAACATTTTTTTCACATTTACTACACCACGAAAGAAACCAGAGAGCACTTTGTTTTCATTTATTAGTCTTTTAAAGATTTGAGAAACAAAAGGGCATTCAGAGAGCTCTTGGTTTATATGTTACTCACTTAAAAAAAACTCTAAAACAGCAACCAGAGGGCACTTGGTTTGTATTTTACACTCTTGACGGACACTAGAAGGCTCTTTGTTTGCATGTTACATACTGGAAAGGCAACAATATAGCACTTTGTTTACATTTAATATACCAAAAAGGACTTTGTTTACATTTTAAGCACTTCAAAAGCTTTAGGAGGGCACATTGTTTGCATGTTATCCACTAAAACGCTAAAAAAAAGCACTTTGTTTACATTTAAGAATCCAGGTGCATGGAAGAAGGAACTTTGTTTACATTCAATACACTTAAGGCTCACCCAGAGGATACTTAATTTACATTTTATCCACTTGAGCAACCAGATGGAACTTTGCTTACATTTTATTCCCTTAAAAGCATCCAGAGTTCATGGTCCACATTCTTACTCTCTGGTTCAGCATCCAGAGGGTATTTGTTAACATATAAATTCAAAAACAGGCGCTTTGTTTATATTTTAAATACGAAAGATCAGAAGTCACAAGAAAAACTCTAAGAGGGAACTTTGTTTCCATTGTGTGTACTGAAATGATTTCCAGATGACACTCAGTTTGCATTTTTTTACACTAAAAATCAAACAGGCGGCTCTTTGTTTACATAAATTATACTGGAATGGCACCCAGAAGGCATAGTGTTGACATTTAATGTACTGTTAAGTCGTCTAAAGGCTTTTTTGATTATATTTAACACCCTTAAAAGTAACCTTTTACATTTTATCTACAAAAAGGCCAATAAAGAGCACTTTATTTACAGTTTATACTCTTGAGGGGCATCTACTGGAAGTTTTCCTCTTGATTTTACTGCAATGGCACTGGAGATGTTTATTTTTTTATACTTTTATCCACTAAAAGGCACTTAAGAGGCACTTATGTGGTGTATTTTCAGACATAAGGGCACCGGAGGGCCGATCACCGCGTTTGCCCCCCCCTCTGAGTACAGCACTGCATGTGGTTAATGAAACTGTCTCAAACTCTTCTGGACTCGTCTGGCGGTGACCTGAATTTTTAATGCAGGCTTTCATTCATATGAGTCTCACCCGTCTTTGGCTTTAAGTCAGATCCTGTATTTGACTCCAGCCCTCAGTCAAAGCCTGCCCCTCATCCTCAGCTGCATTTTTTCCAAAAGGGAAAATCTTTCCCGTTAGACGAAGTCCTGACATTCTTTAACCCGTGCATACAGCGTGCTCTCTTTGGTCCCAGATCGAGTTTTGGCTCAGTTGTTGGACCACAAACCCAAACACATGTACAACTCAACAGGATTATAACGGTTGTTCAGCAGTATCCCATACATGGTTCAGCTTGAACAGGAAGGACTGCTGTTTCAGAATTCCCCTCCCAACATGACTGGAATACCTTGGGAAAATGCCAGAGACCAGACAGAGCCGACCGCACCGGCTCTTCACATGACCCGCATGCTTTAGAAAACAGGCCTGAGCTCCTCTACAACACGGACTCTTCACGGGATATTCAGGGACTCTGCTGAATAGTATGTTGTTGACGTCAAATGGCTGCGGCGGGTGAAATTTCTCCTGTCTGCCCAGATTAAACGGAGCAGTCTGGAGTGTGCCACCAGAGTGATTAGACACATTTCAACGGGTAATTAGAAAGGGTTAATTGATGCGTTTAATAAGCTATCATTTACAGCGTGGAGGGGAAGAGCCTCTTTTGTCAAACGGCCAATTAAAGTTCTTTAAGCTGCTCAGCTCTTTGGCTCAGACCTATTTTCGTCTTTGCTGTTGCAAACCGGCTACAAGTTAAAGATGAGAATTAAAGGAGACAAATGCAAGAAAAAAAAGGAGTAAATTAAGTTATTTTTACAGCTTCGGTATCTTTGATTTTAACTAAAATACCTTTATTAATGTTTAAACTAAAAGCAGTGCAAGAATCATGTCTGCGAAGAATAAAGCTAGCTAACTTCGCAAGTTTTTTTGCTTTAAATTATCCCCTGTACAAAGAGTTCACAGCTGCACAATGGCTAATTGTAACAAGTGATTAAGATCAGGAAACGAGGTGGTCTAAAGGCAGTTTTATCCATCCAAAGGACACTTTGTTTTACACTGACTGCTCTAAAAAAGCAAGCTGGGCACTTTATTTACATTTAAATCCCTGCAAGTGCATCTAGAGGGCACTTTGTTTACATGTGGAAGTCTTGAATGGCATCCAAAGGCTCTTTGTTTACATTTTGCATATTGAGAGAGAATCTAGATGGCAGCTTATACATTTTCTACACCAAAAAGACCAACTTAAAGAGCACTTTGTTTACATTTGATACTCTTAAAGGGCGTCCAAAGGCACTTTGTTTACATTTTGCATATTGAGAGAGAATCAGATGGCAGATTTGACATTTTCTACACCAAAAAAAACAACAACTTAAAGAGCACTTTGTTTACATTTTACACTCTTGAAGGGTGTCCATAGGCTCTTTGTTTACATTTTGCAAACTGAAAGAGAATCCAAATCGCAGCTTTTACCTTTTCTACACCAAAAAGACCACCTTAAAGAGCACTTTGTTGACATTTTCACACTTGTAGGGCATTCAGTGGTCACTCTATTTACATTAAATTACTTAAAGAACAACCAGAAGGCACTTTGCTCACATTTTACTCCCTACACGTGTATCTGGAGGGCTCTGTGTTTATATTGTAAACACGGAAAAGCAGAAGTCACATGAACAACACTTGATACTCTCTCTGGGCCTCCTGTGGGTGGAGGGCTCTGTTTACATGTTACTCACCGGATGGATTTCCAGATTACACTTGATTTGCGTTACTTTACACCCCCAAAAACAGTCTGACTGCACTTTGTTTACTTTTTTCCAACAGGTTAAATAAAAGGGACTTTGTTTTTATAAAATACAGTGGAATAAGACCCAGATGTCATGTTGTCGGTATTGTTTACACTGAAAAAGTATCCAAAGGTGATTTTAATGATGTTTTGTACTGTAAAAAGAGACCACATGGTATCTGTTAAATTTCTATCTACTTAACTAAAAGGAACTTGGTTTACATTTAATATACTTCAGAAGTCACATGCTGTTTTGTCCCTCGTGATGCCCCGTAGTTTACCCGGCGTCTTCCTGCTTCCTGCTGCTACTCTGATGGAAACAACAATATTGGCGTTTCAGGAAGCATCACCGCTTTTGCACAGCTGTGTTAGCACGCCTTTAGGGTCTGTTGAGTCTTATTCCAATTAATTTTTTTAATCCAATTCTGCTAATTAAACAAATTATCTAACCACACAAAGACACAGTAATAAAACGGAGTTATTAATTGGCAGAGATAAGGATGCCGTTCACACTCCGAGCCAGTGCTTTTCTGAATGGTGTAATTTAAATGCAGATATAATGAGTCATTTTGTTTTTCAAACGGCTGTGCCTTCATTAGCTAATGGAAAAGTGTAAAATTATCCCCCTGGCACCCTCCAGACTGCATTACCAACAAGCTGCAGTCAGCGACTTTCTCCTCAGTTCAATCATTGACTTTTATCACCACCGGGCTCCTGCTGCTGCTGCTGCTGCTGCTGCTCTGAACAGGAGTCTGCTTCCTCCAGCCCCGAGCGAACAGCTCTGCTCCCGCTCCGTGACATCACTTTCCCAAACATTTCACCCTTGGAAGTTTGTCCATATATGGAAGAGCGCTCCACTTTCTCCTGACTGTCGGGGCTACCCCTTGTCGGCATCGTTCCTGCTCTGTGTGTGTGTGTAAATGTGACACACACACAGAGTGAGTGAGAGAGAATGAGTGAGTTTACCTTACATGGCAGACAGACCTGGCCCTGAGTTCACGTGTTTACAGGGGCAGCGTCATGACTCACCTTTCTTTTCTGAATGACTGCGAGGCTCAAGTGCAGCTCAAACACTGTTCACTGAAGTGTTCAGTAGAGGGATTAAAGAGCAGAAGAATGACCTGGAATTCACCGTCAGAGAAATATCTGACTACTGATATATATATAGAAGAGGAAAAATGCTTACTGGGTGAAATAAATGACTTTATATGACTATGAACAGCATGATATAAACAAATAAGATACTATAAGGTAAGGTGTGATAGAGCACAATAGGATATAGGACAATAAGAATCAACTTTATATGATATGATGTGACATGAATCGTTAGGATACAATAAACTACTGCACAACATGTATACATCTATATCTTTGTATATATAAATTTACAGATTACAGGACAGATTACAGCATGATAAAATATGATATTTGTAGTGACTGCTCTCCTTCAACAAAAAGGCTACTGAGGTTTAGGTTCAATTGAATCTGTGACTCGTTCAGTTATCAGTCCAGTTTGAGTGTTAAAAAGTAATTTATTGTTCAAAAAAAGGGGGGAAAAAAACACGCTGATCCGGGTCCGAAACTTTTGCCTTCAAATGAAAAAGTGATAGGATGAAATGAGGTTAAAACAGGATGAGTGAAACGGTGAACAGAAAGTTATCAGAGTAGTAAGATTTAGTGAGATTTAAATAACTCGCCAAACATCCCAAAACCACACCCCTCAGTGATGATCCCTGTAAGTGACGTACCAATTAGAAATCAAACTCAACAAATATATTTTGGCTCCTTAATAATACTAAATAATCCAGTGTGATGTGGAACCAGATATTACATTTAACCTGGGATTTGTCTTTGGTTTTCAACAATTATGGAGACATTATGAGACTTTATATCTCATTATCTAATTAAATAGAGAAAAAACATCTTTCCAGAATTAAAGTGTAAATTTAATGATATTTTCACCACTGCAAAGGGTCGGTTAGAGACTTTACTTAAAGCTCCTATCAGTCTACAAACAAGTATCATTAACTTGAAGTATTTATTGTGGACATTGTAAAAACCGAGCTGTCTCTGCAGCTGTCTCGCTGTGATGAAGCTCGGCTCAAACCAGTACAAACCAGTCTTACTGTAACTACATGTCAACATCACAAGCAGGGGGGAGAAACATTTATATTCTGTTTAATACATTTATAAAGTTTGTCCACAGCTCCATAAGCTTTGCTGGAGGAGGCGGGATTTATGACCTATACTGCAGCCTGTCACCAGAGGGTGCTGTTCTCAGGGTGTCTTCACCCAGCAAGGAGGCAGACGGCGTCTATTCTATATACAGTCTATGGCTGACACCTACCCCCTGGCACCAGTTTCAGGTATAATAAAGAATACATGAATAATGTCTGCGATGGTCTTGTTTGTTTTCGATTTCAGTCTATGTCATGAAGGTAAAAAAATACTTACTGAAGCTTTAATTATTAGATTAAGATGTTTGGCTCCAGGATGATACACTTTAATCTTAATAATTTTTCCAGGCCTTTATAATGAAATACTTTAACTTATTTGAGTATTTCTATTCTTGTACACTTATTTTTCCCCAAAAGTAGATAAACTAAGTAAAGTAAAGTCACCATCAGCTGAAATATTGCTTTAAGATAATAAGCTTGAAGGTTATTTCTCAACAGTTGTATTAATGTATCGGTCTGTAAGTACTTTTAGTGGTATTAAGTTAATTTAAAGGACTGAAATACACATTAAAGGTGTTTTTTTAAAAGCATTTTTTGTTTTCTCAGTGCTTTTTTAGACAGAAAAAACTACTTCAGTGCTCTTTTTTGATAAATATGCTTCTTAAACATCGCTAAAACTCAGGTTTTAGAGGTATAAAGTTAATTTAAGGAACTTAAATACAAATTTAAGATGTGTTTTTAAGTATTTCTGTCTTCTTGATGCTCTTTTAGACAGTAAAAAAGTCCTTCTTTGATAAATATGCTCGTCAAACATCGCTTAAACCCAGGTTTCCTCTGACAAAACGACATATTTGTGTTTAGAAGAGTGTTAAAGGTGTAACTAAAGTAACGCGTTCCTCTGTTTTTACTCTAATTCCTCTCTAAAGTCTCTCAGCAGTCAAACACTCAGAGGTTTGGATCAACCTAAGCCTCTACACTGACAGCCAACCCAGCCAATCCGCTTCGAGGGGGGCGGGACCTGTAATCCCAGCGCGTCCAATCAGATTCCTCAGTCGGGTATCGATTCAATTTGTCTGAAGCAAAGTTTTTGCGTCTGTCGCTCCTCGACACTGACTGGACCTGCCTACTACCGACGCTGCTGCCGAGAGAGAGAGCTCCTGCCGGGCTAAAAGAGAAGTCGAGCAGATAGAGAGAGAGAAGAGGCAGAGTTGGAGGGGAAAAGAGAGAGAGAGAGAGAAAGAGTGAGAGAGAGAAGAGAGAGAGGGAAGCCGGGGGTGGACCGTTAATTTCATCCACACACACCGTCTTGAATGCGTGGCGGAGAGCAGACATCAGCTCGCCGAGGACCCGGGGGACATACGAGAGCGTTTCAGTAGGATATCTTCACACAGAGCTGTAGACAAACACGTCTAATATGGATCAGTACGACGGAGAGATTGACTACATGCAGCAGGAAGATGACTGGGACCGGGATCTGCTCCTGGATCCCGCCTGGGAGAAGCAGCAGAGAAAGGTGAGTCTGACTTCCTTCTACCTTCCGCTGCTGGAAAGGTGCGGAAGTGAAGCGGCGGCGGCGTAACTAACCGACTAATATGATTAAAGCCACACTCGGTGGGGATGGTTAAGTACTTTGAGAGCAGATTGATCAGCGACACCAACCAAACACCGAGTCGGACCCGTGTCAGCAGCAGCAGCTTTAATCCCATTATCGTTCAGTTGGAATCACCTGCGCGACTTTATCATCCAACTCGTCTCCATGTCGCGCAATAACACACTGACACACATCCTGTTATGAAATATCCTGCAGCAGGAGGCCTAACGATTATCTTTGCAGCAGGAGGAGGAGGAGGAGGGGGGGGAGGATAGAGAGGAATGGGTGAGGAGGAGGTGGGGAGGAGGTGGAGAGGGGGTTATAGGAAACAATTAAAAAACTGCACAGGGCGCCCACCTTTGCGGCGCAACAGATGTCAGCCATGCGCTTGGCTGCGTCTGCTGAGAGCTGGCCCCTCCTGTCATAGGGGTTATGATGCGACGTGGATTATGAGATGGAGTGTGTGTGTGTGTGTGTGTGTGTGTGTGTGTGTGTGTGTGTGTGTGTTTTGGAGCTTTTAACTTATTTAACTTATTTTACGCACCATATTTACGCATTCCAGCTCTGTTTCCCTGCTCCGTGGGCGTCTCCGCGCTCATTTAATCAGTTTTAAAGTGAGTTAAAAGTCTCTAATGTGGGTCACCTCTCTGGATAGAAGCCGTGAGACATCCATTTATTGTCCTTAACACGCGCAAATCATCCCCACGCGTCCTGCAGCAGCTCCTCCTCCTCTCAGTTTGCTGCTCCCCACTCTTTGAAAAACGGGGAAGAAGAAAAGCGCTGTGGAATCTGAGTAAGCGCTGCGGTTTGGGCTGGGCTTGCAATGGGAGCAAGCGTGCCCAAAAATGGTAATAATCGGCCCCTCTCGCTGCCGCTGGAAAAACTTTTTCCCCGAGTTACTTTCTTGCACTGCGAAGGCTTCTGGTTTCCTGGATTATGTCATCGGCAGCAGGCTGCTACCGGCCGAAATGAAGGGAAATGAAGGAGGAGTGGTGTGCAGGGCTGAGATATCAGGTGTGAACAGCAGGCTGACCTTCTTTAGGCATCACAGGACTTTGTCTCAGTGTGAAAAGTGAACTAATGTGCAGCTGGCTGAGGCCCAAAGGAAGCAGAAACACTATCAGGGCTGCAGCTAATAACTGTTTTCACTGTCTATAACTTTGAGAGTCAGGAACAAGCAGGTCAGAGGCCCGGCTCATGTCCTCAGATGACTTTTTCTGAACATATCTACAGACTATCATGTTTTTATTCTGAAGGGATGAGTAGGGTTGGGTATCATTCGATTCTGAACGATTCCGGTTTCGATTCCGGTTCCTCGTTCCGATTCTGGAGTTCTTCTTTTTGGATGAAATTTCTGAACTTCTCGATGAATTTTTAAATTATAGTAACTTTTTTAGGGCCGAAACGATTCCTCAAATACCTCGAGAACCTCGATTGCAAACAATGATCAGGTCTGGTCGTTTGTCTGTGAAAAAGTACGAGGGCTAACGTTAGTTGGATATTTAAATTGACCCACCGTACAGAGCACAATTTGTTAGCCGCTTCAATGTTAGTCGAAGACAGAAATAATTTGTTGTTTCACTTCATCTGATTCTGGCTGGTTAGCGGAAGAGCGGCGAAGCGTGTCAAAGACGAGCACTCGGGTATTTCTGAGTGCTAATGTTCCCCTGAGACAAGAGTTCTTTCTTCCTGCTGAAGTTAGACAAACTTTAGACCATCGCCGCTGTGGGTTGCAATGCACTCTCTCTCTTGTCGTATACGCGTCGTCCTCGTTGGTGCTCGGCAGCTTCTTCTTCATCCTCGTTTGTGTTCGGCGGCGTCTTCCTCGTTGGTGTTCCATCAGTCGGCGGACTCCGACATCGAAACTCATTTTAAAATGTGAATGGTTCCAGGAGAATCGGAATGTTAGTCCCCATCGATACTCAAGATTCGATGCCCAACCCTTGGTTTGTGGTCTGATTCGGCTTATCAGAGAAGTCAAGGAACAAAATCTGTCTTTTCCTCAAAAATTGGCAAAATTCTGAAAATTTTTGTGATTCATGTAAAGATAAAAATAAAAGAGTGAGTGTTGGATCACGGCAGCGATAAACACCAGGGTGTTGAACCCCTCCCCTCCCCTCTCTTGGATCAAACAGAGTCCATCGTCTGAAAACCGTTTCTTCTGATGATCTGTAAATTTCTGAGACTGAAGCCGTCGTCTTGCAGAGAGAGTCATGTTTTATTCATCGTCAGGCTCATGAGAGGGTCGTGTTGAGATGTGATCAGACGCTCACAATCACAGGCAGAAGAGGGAGACTTTAGAGAAGGGTCACACAGGGCGAGTGTAATTTACCGTCACGCATGTTCATACATATGCATGTGTGCAGCGGTCAGGTCGGCTGCTGGTGAAGAGATGATCTACTGGAGGAAAACTCTCATGTTTGTCTCCCTGTGAGGAGGAAACAGACGGTGAAACAGCAGAAAACTTCTCATGTTTTTAAACCAACCTGCAGCCAACAGAGGTCAAAGGTCACAATCAGTTTGATACCTGACCATATGACATGATACGGCACATTGTTGTTTAGTGGGGTACAAAACAAGATGGTAGGATAGGAGATGAGAGGATAGGATGAGATACGACACAGTAGAGTCGGAAAAGAGATACAATATGATACAGTATGATGAGCTTTGATATAGTATGGTAAGATATGATGTGATGTGAGTCAGTGGAATATGATATGATAGAATATGATACCACATGATACAGTATGATATGATATGATAAGATTTGATACGAGTCAGTGGGATATGACATAATATGATATGATGTGATACAGTAGGATACAACAGAAACAGTAGCTTATCATATTGTATCCTACTGTATCATATTATTTCATATAACATATCATATCATATAATGTCATCCCACTGTCCCGTATCATATCCTGGCTTATCATATCATATCATAACTGTATACTCATATCATATCGTATCATACTGAGTATGATACGATATGATATGAGTATACAGTTGGATTCAATACGATACTGTATGATAAGCTATAATACAGTTACTGTCTCAGCTTATCATACTGTATCATATACCATATCATATTTTGTCATATCATGTCATATCTCACTGTCTCGTAGCATGTCCTAGCTTATCATATCATATTGTATCATACTAAGTATAATACAATATGATATGATATGAGGATACAGTTGGATACAATATGGTACAGTATGATAAGCTATGTGCCAGTTACTGTATTAGCTTATCATATTGTATCCTATCATATCATATCAAGTCATATCATGTCATATTCCACTGTCTTGTATCATATCCTAGCTTATCATGTTATATGATATTATACTGAGTATGATACGGTATGATATGATATGATACAATATAATACCATATGATACGCTACGGTAGGATAGAATATGATACAGTACAGTATGATACAATATATGATACAATATGATACAATACCGTATAATACTATATGATAAGATAGGGTATAATAATACAATACAGTAAAATACACTATAGTACTATAAGATACAATATGATAGAGATACTTTAAGGTGAAATGTGATAGAGTATGATACAGTAGGATATGTGATGGTACAATACAACACAATACTGTATGATACTGTACATTATGATGCAGTAAGATACACTGTGACACAATTAACCATTTTGGTTTATGAATACATGAGTGGTGCTTTACTCTCATTGTAGGAAAACTGAAAAAATTCTATAGCTAAATAAGTATTTAATCTGAGCCGGACCTCCTGGTGAAATTAAAATCAAGATAAATGTCCATATAGTCTTACTTCACCTAAATGAAGGTTTGTGATTTTTCTTGTTAGATATAAAAACCCTGACATGTTTGACGCCTCTCCTGTGTTTGTCTGTGGAGCTCTGTGGTTGTTGACCAGATAAACCAGTCAGAGGGAGAAAAGTCCAACAAACGAATCCTGAGTCAGTCAGGTCAGAGCCGCAGACTCCGCTGTCTTCTGGAGCTGTGAGGAGAATTTTAACCTCCAGATTTGAAGTCCAGGGAGCGTTTCTCTCAGCTGGAGTTCAACTCTCTGTTTTCTTCCTCCTCTTCAAACTGTTCTGAAGTAAAGACAGTCAGACAAAAACCTCCTCCAAATTGGCAGGTGGGTTTCAGATCCCATCCCCGGTTCAGCCTCAGAGTGGTTTTGATTGGCTGTGAGACGGCGGGATCGTTTACCTGGAATTATAATGGCTCTGTGTGGTGGCGTGTCGTCGTGCTGCTTCACTTCTGTGTAGCCTGAGGTCGCTCAGCGTTCGTGATAATTACACTGCAGACGTTTACCTCTGCAGTCTTCCTGTTAGAAAGAAATCTGCTCAGGTAGAGCGTCGCTCAGGTACGAGGATTTTGTAATCCACGTCGAGCATGTCTGAAAGTGCTTTGAATATTTGCGCCCGGTGCAAGTCCTAACCCGACCCCGGCTTGGTATTCCCTTATCTCTGAGTCCTAATGTGTTTGCAGACCAGGTGTGTCAGGCACCTGGAGCCAGATGTTAGTGGAACAACAGCCAGGTGGGCTTTCTGTGTGTGTTTGTCTGAAACTCAAACAAACAAACAAACAAACAGACAGAGCGCAGGTCTGTTTCACCGCTGGAGGAGCGAGGAGCGAGGAGCGAGGGGAGGGAGGGTGGGGTTCAGGTGTGATCTGCTGCAGGTAATCTGCACAGGCATGTCCTTATAAGGGAATGAGCTGCAGTACCTCCAAACAGCACCCCCCCCTCCACACCTCGAACCCTCCCAGCCCACACCCACATTCCCGCTCAGACTGAGCCTGCCAGGTCACAGATAAGATCCACTCACTCCCACAGTAACCTGATCCTATCTCAGCTGTGAGGTCAGAGTGAGCGGGTCTGTTGGGGTCCAGACCTGCAGGTGTGCAGAATCTAGGTACGAAATATCTGTACGATCTTTATTTTAGGAGGAGGTTCGATTCAAGCTGAAGAGAAAACATATTTGACGTTTTCATCGTGTTTGTTTATTTAGTCTGTCTGAGCCGAACGATCACACCAAAAACCATCTTCACCCTCCTCCTCCTCCTCCTCCTCCTCCTCCTCCTCCTCCTTCTCCTCCTCGTGTCCGTCAGCGGCGTGTTACTCTGACTCAGGACTCGGCGGTCTGTCTCTGCAGCGACTCGTCTTTTTTATGTCACAGGTGCTGATGAAGCGACCTTTTAACGTGTCAATCATCAGACGTGTCATCCTCTCCTCCCCTCAGCGAGGGCGTGTGAGCGACCGCGCCTAGGTCGACAGGAAGTGATGATTACATTTCCAGAATAAAAGAGCGGCCTGTTGTTGTGTGTCACAGTGATTTTGAAACAGCAGCGTGACTCTGTGTGTGTGTGTGTGTGTGTGTGAGTGTGTGTGAGTGTGTGTGTGTGTGTGTGTGTGTGTGTATAGATTCAGGAAGCTGACTCAATATGATGGACATGTTTGAGTAAGAGAAAAATGATGTGTGTGTATTAGTGTGTGTGTGTGTGTGTGTGTGTGTGTATGTGTGTGTTTGTGTGTGTGTGTGTGTGTGTGTGTGTGTATAGATTCAGGAAGCTGACTCAATATGATGGACATGTTTGAGTAAGAGAAAAATGATGTGTGTGTTTTAGTGTGTGTGTGTGTGTTTTAGTGTGTGTGTGTGTGTGTGTGTAGTATTGTTTCAGAGATGTGTAACGTCAGCTCTGAACGCCGCCTGTCATCAGATTCCTCAGCTCCCATCATGCACCTGGTTCAGGCTGCAGAACAATGTCCACAAACAAAAGAAGAAGAAGAAGAGTCAGAGAGCGAGGGATGACTTTCTTTCTCTCCTTTTCACTTCCTCTCCTTTAATTCTTCTTTTTCTCTCCTTTTCTCCCTCCTCCTTTAATTTCTTTCTCACCTGTTCTTTCATTTCTGTCCTCATCCCTCTTCTTCGATTTCTCTCCTCTTTTGTTCCTTCATCCCTTTTTCTCTTTTCCACTCTCATTAATTTCTTCGCCTCTACACCTCACTTCTCTATCTCTTCCTACTTTGTCTCCCTCTTTCTCTCCATCTTTTCCCCTCTTTCCCTTTTTTGTTTCTTCTCATCTCTGTCTCTCCCTTTCTTTCTCTTCCTCTCATTGTCCGCCTCTCTTCTTTTCTTCCTCTCTTTATCTGTCACATCCTCACCTTTCCCCCTCATCCTCCTGTTTCTTTCCTTCTGTTTCCTCTCCTCCCTCCTCTTTCCTTCCTCTTTACCTATCCTTGTCTTTTTCTCCTCCTATTTCCTCTTCATCGCTCACTTTTTCCTCTTAAATCTTTATCTTCTCTCCCTCTTCCCTTTCTCCCTCCCTTTCTTCGATGTCCTTCTTTCTAAAGATTTTTGACTAAATTTAATCTCAGTGAGGGAAAATATTTCCTGCATGTTTATGACGACATGTGAGTTCAATCAGAGACTGAGCGTCAGGACCTGCAGGACTGAAAACATCACATGATGCAGAGTTTGTCCCTGAAGAGACAGAGACCAGGTCCTGGTCCGATCAGGTTTTTGTGAAACACAGACGCAGCAGATCAAAAAATATTTCAGAGAGAGAGAGAGAGAGGGAAAGAGAGAGAGAGAGAGAGAGAGAGAGGGAGGGAGAGAGAGAGAGAGAGAGAGAGAGAGAGAGAGAAAAAGGACAAAAACTTTATAACTTTAAGAATTTATTTAAAGCTCCTGTGAGGAACTTTCTGTTTGTGTCAGTTTTGGCGCCCCCTCTGGACAAAGAAGTCTCTGATTAGCTCATCAACTCTCATCCTGCTGACTTTTGACAATTGAATGTAGGGCTGGGCGATATAGCCTCAAATCAATATCAGATACATTGAGCATCACCTCGATGATAAATGGACGATAACGACTCCACAAGCTGCACGATATTGAAAAAAACTAACATTGCAATTTTTTTCAACCCGCAAATATCTGTCTCAGAGATATTTTTAGCTTTTATTGTTCTGGGACGTTATTGTGGAAACAGATGAACACAGAACACGTTTTAGTCGACATCATCCTTGTAACCGAAATAATTCCAGATAACTGACGTTCTTTTCATTTTTGGCAACAAGTCTTCATTTTCGGTGGTTTTCCCTTGTCCGTTGTTCATTTTGATATCGTTGTCGTTGTTACCGGTGTTGTGCCGAGGATTGCATGTGCCTCGCAAAAAGCGCACCGCTTATAGTCGAGTGGTCCACGGAAATGTACGATTTAAAACCCAAACAGTTCTTATTTTTGGGGCTAAACAGGGATGAGGAATGTTCGGAAAGTAATTCTTGGCGGGTATGCGTCTGTCGGCTCAACACCAGCAGCGCCAGTGACTCACTCCATGTGCAGGGGCGTGGTTTCCTCCCCTCTGATTTTGATTGACAGCTGGCAGGGTAGTCTGATATCTCAGTCAGCTCCCCTTAAAATTAGTTGAGTTCATTCACCTCCGACATCGCAGGCTCTGCAATGTGACCACAAAGCATACGTACATCACGGTGACGATACTCAAACGATATATCGTGGAGCCCTAGACCTTCACACATCCAAAACCAATTTTCATTAATTAATTTTTTTTACACCTAATATACCGATAAGGGCAAAATAACGTCGCTTATTGTCATAAATGTAGGTATTGGTAAATTTTTTGGTTTTGGTTGCTTTTGGATATGATGAAAAAGCTCCACCATGAATATTTCATAAACTAAAATACTTCTAGTTTTAGTAATCTTGATGTGATATGAAGAAATCAGCCTGTTGTACGTCAGTCATGATTTCCTTCAGGAGGGAAAATCACCGCTCTGTACGAGAGAGGAATCAAACCGACTGTCTGACTCCCAGGAGAACGGTTCCTGTAAAGAAAGGTGGAGAAGTGAAGCTGCTCTTTATCTGCGTCTGACTCAAACTGACTTCAGGGAAACTCACTCCTGTACCTTCTGTCTGTTCCTGGGCGTGAGACGTCCCAGCAGCCGTTTAACAGCGACTTAGTCATCCGTCAGAGCGGCGGAGGATTTCTGAGAAACACGAAAAGCCTCAAAGAAAAAAAAAATCACAACAGAAGCTTTAAGTTCTCCTCTCATGGTTAACACAGCCGGGCGATAAATCCCAACAAGAGCTTCCCAGACGAACCTATCATCTAACCCCGGTCACGCTGTCGGAGCGCGGTCCGGTTTACTCTGATTGATGAGGTCACAGGCCGACATGGAGGCTCAGAGGGCGAGGAGCATCCAGGCGTGCGCTCGGCCCCTCGCAGGAAGTTTTATGAGGGCGCTCCCAGATCAGACGGAGAAATCAAACTCTGAATCAAACTTAATAATTCAACATTATAACCCCGTCAAAAACAAACCCATGTGGACACTCGAGGAACTGCAGTTATCTTTGATTTTCTGCTTTAACTTTAATATTTATCTCCAGTTCTATATCAAACTTCTGCTCCTCTCGTGTTTCTCCTCCGCCTGTCTGTAAGCCGACCCTCTGCGAACACGGTCACGGTTTGATCCGGCACGCTCCATAATTAACCGAAACATCTCGTTATCTGCAGCTAACGAGAAGCTTTCAGTCAGGAGGACACTGTCTGCTCCGTGAAACCTGGAGCTCCGGGTTTGATGTGTGGCGTGTCAGGAGACACTGACCTGTGTCCAATGGCTGTTACATAACCCGACTCCTCTGCTCAGAGAGGGGGGATTGTTCGCCGCTGCCGTGAACTCTGGATCTACCCCACAGAGCTGCTGCTCGTATGGATTCAAAGTCCTGTTTACGACCGCGACGCCATGACGGTTCAGAGGTAGAGCGAACGAATGAAAACGTGTCAGAATGGGCCTCAGGCAGCACGGCATTAAAAACAGACTGGGCCTAAAACCACCAATAATATGTAGTTAAATCAGTCTGTTAAAGGTGGGGTAGTCAGGATCTGAGGAAGTTCCAGATTTTGAGAGAAATCTTGAATGTAAACTCTACCTCTGCTCCATCAAGCTCCGCCCACAAACAGACGCTCCTGCTCGCTCGTATCGTTCCAGTTAAATTCAGATATAATGCAGATAAATACTTCAGATCATTACAAATGGGGCCCAGTCAAGGTGAAAGTCAAAAGCATTGGTGCTACTGTAGATGCCAACAGACTACCAGCAAACACAATGTTTGCAGGACTTCTACAACGAGGATAAAGTGACATAGTCCAGGACCCGAGGGAGGACAGTTTAGCGATGGCGCTACAACACGCTACAGCAGGTCCGTTTGACAAGAAACACTTCTGTTACAGACACTTGTCTTACTTTGTTAAAGCGGTTTACCTGTCCAGCAGAAAGGTTACAGGGTCACCAAGATCCCCAAGCGTCCCCCATGGTTTATGTTGACCCGGCTTTTTAGCTCTTGTCCGGTCTACCTCCGTTTTAAGCGCCCGTTATTCCTCCAGAGTCTCCGGTATTTACTTTGTTTTCTTGCTTGTGTCGGCAGTCGTGGCCAAAGGAGGATTCAGACAATTTTCCGAACTTTCTGGTTGGTTTCTGCTGTCCGATATTGTAGCACGCTAACTTTGTTTGGGCTTGTGAACGTTATTCGAGGACGTGGAGCATGCCTCACAACATGAGGGAGCAGCGTCCACCTCATAACCAATCAGGTTGGGTGAGGTGGAGAATGTCTTTGTTTACAGTCAGAGAGAGCGGGCCTAGAGCTGCAGCTATCAAGCATTTTAGTAATCGAGTGTTTTACCGAATCATTTATCGATTACTCAAGTAATTGGACCCAAACAGCAGACTCACATAAAGTTAGATTTCCTCAGAGAAATAGAGGACAATCGTAGAACAAGCATGTGCGTTAGCGGATTGCAATGTTTGTAAGAAAGCTAATTATAATATTAACTTTCATCATGTCCCTAAAGACATTAGTGTCCGAGAGCTGAATAACTCCTATGTGACCTGCTTCTGCTACGACACCAGCAATGTTCGGCTACAAGCTAGCGTGAAGAGGAGTGTCCAGAGCAGCGCTGACTCCGCCCACGACTCAGAGGCGAATTGCTAATGATCTACTGGAGCTCTGCAGGAGAAAACAGTGTTGCCGACTCCTCAGTCAGGAAAGTCGCTAGTGGCTGCCGTAAAAGTCGCTAAAGTTGCTAGGTTGGCAACACGGCAAATATATTCCTTGCAGGTATTCAAGGAATCGTTTCAGCCCTAAGCGGACCGCTCAAAAAGTGTTAAAATGTCGACTACACAGATGTAACAAAACACATCGATATCATTATATTCCCAAATGTCATCAATAACTAATAACTATTGACTGATATTAAAAGATTTTTTTGTATATACATCACAAAAAAAGATGCTTCTCTAACGGGAGCCTGCTTATCCACCTTTAAGTCAACTGAACTTTGAGGTTTGAGGATCTTCTTGATCTGAAAACCTGATTTTATCTCTGAGTTTGTTACAGGATGTTCTCCATCTCAGTGATGGAGCTCAATAAATGTGATTTGTTGCGTCTTATTCTGTCTCTCTCTGAAAATCGTCGAGCTCCGTCTCTTCTGTGTTTTGTAACGCAGTCGTCTTTTGTCGAAATACCTGTTTTGGTGCCAGTGATTGAGAAAGCAGATCCCGGCCCTGCCTGTCTGAGGAGCGAGGAGGAGGCTGAAAAACCTCCTCATCCTTTCATGGTCTGGAAAACATTTTCATGCTTAGATTGCGCTCCTCGGCCCCGAACAGTTCTCCTTTATTTGTTTGAGGAAGGCGTAAGCTGATTCTTCTTCATCAAGCGCTACACTGCGTCTGGTTTTTCAGAATTGGCTGTTTGGAAAGTCAAATGTGAGCAATTACCTCGCTCTTATCTGCACGGCTCCCAAATGCCGAGGCCCTGATGCAAATTCTTTCATTGCTTACTCTCAGGCTCGTGCTCCAAATTTAGAAACGCTCGGTCCGAGGTCGTTAAAGCCGATTCAAGCTGATTGTGAACAAGTTTTCAAGGAGGTTTGAAAAGCTCCGAGTGCTCCACGCTCCACGGTGAAATTGCAGCTCTGATTCTGCAGGGAGCTTTTTGGATTCCACATCCACCATGGGATTTGGGGTCAAGGTGCATTTCCTGTGGAGCAAAGAGCGCCGAGCGAAAACCTGCTCAACGCTCAAGCACGCCTGGAACCACTACACGCTCGGTCACATGTCTTCGATAGTGCAGGACCCGGAGGGGGTTCACAGGCGACCCGGCTGCATGTTTCCGAGGAATTTTCCTGCACCACATGGGGAGGAGGAAGCCGGGTCTTTCCTCCGCTAATACTATTAATCAAACCACATGAACTGCGGCGTGCGTGACGCCTCTCTTTGAAGCCGCGGGGGGGGAGGTCGCTCCGTGCTGGACTGTACTGGACTCACGGCGTCTCTGAACATGTGAGTGTATTAGCCGTAAGCTGCCTCACAGGAGCAGCTGCGCCGCGTCTCCCGTAAGTGAAAGCAGCTTTGAGTAAACAGATAGCGGGGTAAAAGCAGACGCACCTTTCTGTTCACTGACGGAGTGGGCGGAGCTACAAGGGGGGCGGGGGGAGCGAGGCACAGACAGAGGAGCTTTCAGGTCAGAGTACAAAGAGAGGCCGTCTTTTGTCACTGAGTCCACCTGAGGTCAATAATTGATCATCAGTGGGCTCAGATCAGATGACTCCAGGGTCTCCCCTCCACTCAGGACGGTTTCTTTATTCATCAGACTGAAGGTTCCTGTCATCTTCAGAAAACGCCACCATGACCACGAGGATGTGAACCAAACACTGTAAACAAAGGCGGTCTAGAGTACCTGGGTCTCCAGGGAGTCACCGGTCCGAGACGAGATGAAATAGTCTCCCAAAAACCACATCCTCTGTTGTTGTTTTGATGTTAATGATCGATCAAGTATTGATAAGTTAACGGTCAACTCAATAGTTATGCTAGTTACCTTAAACTTTTTAGCTCTTGTAAATAATTTGCTGTGAAACCTAAACCCACAACTTTGGAGGAAGTAAAAATACCCTGTACCTCTATTCTGTTCTATTCTATCCTATTCTAGTCTACTTTATTATATCATATCATTCCATTCTATTCTATGCTATTTCACTCTGTTTTTTTCTATTCTATCCTATCATTCTATTCTATTCTTTTCTATCGTTCCGTTCTATTCAAATCCATTTCACGTGATTCTATTCCATTCTATTGTATTCTATTTTATCGTTCCATTCTTTTATCTATTTCACTCTATTCTATTCTGTTGTCTTCTATTCTTTTTTATTCTATTGCTCCATTCTATTCTATTCTACTCTAATGTTCCAATCTTTTCTATTCTATTCTAATCTATTCTATTATTTTCTATTCTATTTTATTATATCATTCCATTCTATTCTATGCTATTTTACTCTTTCCTTTTCTATTCTATTCTATCATTTTCTATCGTTTCATTCTATTCAAATCTATTGCATTTGATTCTACTTCATTCTATTCCGTTTTACTCTATTCTATCATTTCATTCTTTTCTTATCTGTTTCACTCTATTCTCTTCTGTTTTTTTCATTCTATCGCTCCATTCTTTTCTTATCTATTTCACTCTACTCTTTTCATATTTATTCTATCTTAACTGATTGATTGTGCGCCGCCTAACTAGCAACATGCAGTCATCTGTTCCGTCCCTCAGTTTGAACCTCTGACTTCAGTTTTCTGTGTTTTTGCTCGTTCGTCTCTCGTCTTTATTTAGACTTTACTTCAGAGGAGAACTCTGGACCCTCAGTTTGAACCTCTCACTTTAGTTTGTGAGTTTTTACTCTGGACCTTCAGCTTCTCCATAAAAAGACAGAAAGTTCACATCTGATCAAGTCCTCCACACAAAGTTTCCCTCGACCCCGCCGGGTTTTGTTCCCGGTCGGAAACAATCGATGGATGTGTGTTTGTGAGTTCCTGGAGAGAGGGAGTCGGATGAACTCTGAGGCCCGAGGCTGGTCGTTCAGCTGCGCTCTTCCTAAAGTGGGACAACTATTGAACATCTGATCGTCAATCAGCTGATCAGCTCTGTCATCGATCGTCTCCTCCGGTCAGACTCCCTGCAGTCATGTTGGTTTACACGCTGATGACACCGCTCTGTTCGTGGTCACGTCTGCACAAATCAAACTCTGCAGCTGACCGCCGGTTCTCCCCCCTCTGCGCCGCTCCTCCTCCTCCTCCTCCTCGCTCTTGGTTTCCTGCTGCAGGATTAGTCTGCACGCCCCCGACGTCACTCCGTTTGTTAGAGTAAACAACAGCAGCCACTGTGGAGTGCTCACGGCTGATCTCATTACAAGTTGTAACGGACACCCCCCCCTCCGCAGACCCACCCCCGTCACCCGGCACAGGAGGGGAGAGAGTCGGCGGTGAGCGTGGAGAGCTCTCGGCGGAGCGTGGGGACGGCGGTCTGAGTGGTCTGAGCTGTTTGAAGTGCTGGCAGGTGCTGCAGCCACTCAGACAGACAGACGGACGGACAGTGAGGGAGGGAGAGAGGAGGATGAAACAGCAGCAGTGTCAGTCCCAGCTGCTCACGGTGCAGCAGAAACTCAACTCCATCCATGTGAAGAAGACAGAGAGGAAAATACTGAACAGATTCAGGTTTCTGTGTAAATATAAATATAAAACTACGAATGTCAGGCTGACCGCAGAGGCCGACAGAGAGGTCGTGGTCACTTCATTTCAGATTCACCAGCAGTAAGAAAAAGGAAAAGTTTTTAAAGTCTGATTTTACCCTCCGTCCTCTCATTTCTCTTCTTTAATACTCCTAAAAATCGAACCTTCTTGGTTCTCAGAAAGGCAGCGAAGAAACAGACTCCCACAAAATGTTCAGTTCCTGCTCAAAAATGTGGGATTGATTATGTCGGGCCAAACTCAAAAAAAGGGTTTACAGTCACTTTTTCTGCAGACAAAGAACCGAGGGAAGAAAAAACAGATTTCTATGAGGGGAAGAGAGAGAGAGCGAGCCGTGCTGCAGAAGATTTTCATTAACTGATATAAAAATAACACCGTGGTGCCATTTCAGTTTTTTTACTCTCATAAAGCAGAAAAATATTTAATGAATAATGTGGAAAAAAAACAAACAATGATGAACATTTTGCTGGAAATTGCCGGTCAGTCGTAGTCGTGTTTCTGTTTGTTCCTCATAAATGCTAACTGAGGTAACAGGTGGTGCTAGAAGGGGCTACACATCTGCATTAAAACTGCACATTGCTGATTGCAGCACAAGTTTGCCTGTAAGGACAGAGTTTGGACAGTTTTGTCCTCTGGAAGTCCCCCATAAAAACTGTGACATGAACGACAGTGTAACTTCTGCTGAAACTCTCCATCAGCATCTTGACCTCTGCTGTTCCTCATTCTCCAGATCAGTTTTCTCAGCATCTCAAACGTCCTGCTGACTCTGGACATTATTTCTTCATCCAAAGGAGCGGCTGGACTTAAAGAACCTCAAATCCAGAAAAGTCGAGGTTTCTCTAAGAAACCTGGATGAACATTTTTCACTATTTTCTGACATTTTATTGACAGAAGCGTCGTCTCAAAGTTCCCGTTGCCCCTCTCCCTCCTGGTCTGATGTTTTCTCCCCGCATGTTGACTTCCTCTCCACGGTTTGTTTCCTGAGGAGGTCAGAGCGGGGCGGCTCTCTGCACCTTGTGATCAAAGTTTCGGTTCACCTGAGCTGTTTGTTTCTCTCTCCTGTCGGTTTATTTACTGAAGTGAAAACGTCGCTGCTTCTCTCTTTAACTCTCATGTGGAACCGATGATCAGGAAGCTTCATGAGTGAGTTTGTTTCTCACGGATAAACGAGGAGAAACAGCTCACTAAAGCGCAGACAGACAGACAGACAGCATGCTCTCATTTTCAGATGTAGTTTTACTTTCCCAGACAGTGAAGCTCAGAAACAGGCGGGAACGTTTTTTTGTCCTCATGCTCCGTATTCAAAGAAATGATGAAGACAACGAAAAACACCTGTTTGTGTTTTTTAAGGTTCAATCTTCACAGCGGTTCTGGTTTTGGTTTTATCATCACATGATCATCTTTACTGTCTCCAAGAATGAAAAATAACAGATAACTCACAGGCTGGTGGAGGGATGAGAATCGACAAACACTTCCAGGTCAGAACCGGTTCTGACTAGTTTGAAACCTGGCGGGGAAAAGACAGGAATGATACCGAACACTGTCGAATAAAACGAAAGCAGTTTTGTTTCCAATATCAACTCATAGCACATATTGATTCACTATAAAATCCACTCGCTCCGTGAGACCGACAACTTTCAAGTAGAAACTCTGTGTTTCGGAGACTTACAGGGGCTTTACTGTCTCTGATCTACGCTCTAATTTCAAACAAAAGTACCATTTCTGATGCTGCATTGGCGTTACCTCTGAAGTCAGATGTCGGAGCTGAAAATGACGTCACACCCGAGTTCCCAGCGTTTCAGTTAAATTGGAGGCCTGAAAAAAGCTGGCGAAATATACAAAAGTTATTTTAGCGCTTGCCTTATAGCCGGACAAGGCAAGCGCTAAAATAACTTTCGTAAATGTAGCCATCTTGTTTCCGCCTCCGATTTTGCTTTTTTCCGACTGAAACTGAAACTGAAAAGCTGGGAACTCGGGTGTGACGTTATTTTCAGCTCCAACTTCTGACTTCAGAGGTAACTTGAACGCACCATGAGTATGCTGATTAAAGGCTGCCATTTTTGTGGTTCGCATGTCAACCAATCAGAGGCTGCGTCTATGATCAGCTGTCCTTAAAAGGTCCAATCAGCAGTAAACAGTGAAAGACATAAAACCTGTAATAAAATCTCAATTGTTCACTGACTTTTTCCAGACAGAAAATTCACAGAAATCAACGATTAATCAGATCAATAACAGCGTCAGTATCAATAATCCTGCTCTTCGTGCTCTGAGATATCTGTTTCAGTTTTAGTTCAGTCGGGAGTTTTTCTCATTCAGCAAAAGCTTGAGGAAAAAAAACAGAAGCAATAACACACTGGTTCAAATCTTCATAAAGAGAAGTAAAACACGCTGAGACATGATGATTCACACATCTCTATATGAGGAGTAAATAATCTAGAAGCTCTAATCCTCCCTCAGATTATCTAATACAGTAAAGTCATGAACACGGTTGCTGTTGCCGCCTGCTCTCTGATAAATCATGTGTTTTTGACAGTCCGTCTCCTCTCTCAGGGATTTGATGGGAACAATATGAAGCCCTGATACAGATGCTTATTTGTTTCCAAACTCGACACACAATCACAAACGTCTGCTCTCCTCACGCCATCTCTCATTGGACAGAAACACTCATACAATAGGTACAATGGCTCTGACAGGACATGTACAGTACAGTTGATGAGCAGATGTGTTGAAAGCCTCCTTTGTCTGAGTGCAGCGTGGCTCCTCCCTGCTCAGCATTTCTCTCTGTCAGGTGACTGTCAGCAAGAAAGGAAAGCGCTGCTCCGGCACAAAACCGCCCCGCGGCCGGCCCGCACGCTTCCCATCACAGGACGGCCGCAGCCCGGCGCTGCAGCTGACTCATGACTCCTGTGTGAGGACTCGGAGCTGAGTGCTTCCCATCACTGTTTAGATTGGCATCTGAGTGTTTTTAGAGAGCATGACTCAGGGATTAAAGATGTGCTGAGTCGCTGTGATCACAACTTTGTTCCTGTTGATGCTTTTGCACATCATAATGTTCAAGTGTCATGAGGTTATATGAGACCAAACCAAATTTAACATCACATGATCGCAAAAACAGGCTGGAGCTGGATTTTGGAGGGTAAATTCTCCTGAAAGTCTGCTCTCTTCATGGGTCTGTTTTTCCATGAGAACTCGGCTTGTTTTTTCAGATGTCTGACAACATCTCAAAAAAGGAACAACACAGGACCAGAAACCCACTATTAAAAAAAAAGATATATTTTTAAAAATTTTATTTACAGCATTCTTAGATTTAAAAAAAAAATTTGATTTTTAGACTCTCCACTTTGATCGAGTACTTTTATAAAAACTGATTATAATTCTGAGATCAGTGTCAGAGTTCTAAAAGAACTTAAAAATCATGATTTCAAAGAATTTGAAATTTGTTTTCAGAATTCTATAAAGAATTATGCTGCGTTTGAGTCAGAAGTCTGAGATGAAAATGACGTCACACCTGAGTTACCAGCGTTTCAGTTACCAAGTCGGAAAACAGCAAAATCGGAGGTCTGAAACAAGATGACTACGTCCACGAAAGGTATTTTAGCGCTTGCCTTATATTCGGACAAGGCAAGCGCTAAAATAACTTTTGTAGATGTATCCGTCTTTGTTCAGCTAATTTTCAGCTCCGACATCTGACTTCCGAGGTAACTTGAATGCAGCATCAGAAATCGTACTTTTGTATAAAATTAGAGCGTAGATCAGAGACAGTAAAGCCCCTGTAAGTCTCAGAAACACAGAGTTTCTACTTGAAAGCCGCCGGTCTCACAGAGCGAGTGGATTTTATAGTAAATCCATATGTGGTACAAACTAATATTGGAAACACAACTACTTAAGTAGTGTGTTCGGTAGTCGGAATTTTGACATTAAAGGCAAAATTCTTCTTTAATATCAAAATCCGACTTTTTTTCTTGGAATAGAAAAGATAAGAGCTGGAATTCTGACATTGATCCCAGAGTTCTCTAAGAAGATTAATTCAGTAGTTTGATTAAAATATAGATACAATTTTTGATAAAAATAAGAAAAGTATCAAATTTAATCTCAGAATTCTGTCTGTAGTTTTTTTCTCCTCACAATTCTGAGATCTGAGCCAAAATTTGACTTTTCGGACTTTTGACTGACTCTTAAAACTGACTTTTTCCAAAGCTCTCAGAAAAAATGTCGAACTCTAAAAAATAATTCTGTAGACGAACTGAAACTATAACAGCCTCTTTTGTTGCTGCTGGACCCTTTTCCTCATTTTTCGTGCAGATCTGAAAAACATGGCTCAGGTTTAAATCCACAGACGGTCTTTTAAGTCAGACTGCAGAGAGCTTCTGCAGGTAGTGTGCTGTTTGTAACCCTGCAGCTGTGTGCACAGTCTCCATGTTTGTTTAAGTGCCATAAAGCTGAGCTGTAGCTCCAGTTCAGACTCATCCAGTACAGAGAAAAGACTTCTCCACAGACAGGCCTTTGTGCAGGAGGACACTCCTGCTCTGAGCCACTGAAGCACAGAGATACATGTTCACGCTGGGCTTTTTCTGGGACTTCTCGCCCGACATGTCCTCTTTGATGCCTGCTGCTGTATTTGAATAGATTCTGCATGAGGATTTGCATCCAATTTGTGTGCTTCTGTGAGTTTAGTAGAAGTGCTGTGTCGCCTTTAATCTTTTATTGTGTCATGCTCAGCTAGATATTTGTCTGGATGTTCCCATATTTGGTTTTGGATCTCATGAAAGATGGCGGGGCATGACTTCACTCAGGAAAACTTTCTTATCAGGCTCAGAAACATTGAAGTGGTGAAAGTTTTACTGATTATGAAATTAGGGTGTTTACACTTTTTATTTTAAAGACAGCTCATCATCGGCTCTGAGGTTACTTCATTATTATCACTGAATTAAGCACTTTAATAAAAAAATGATATATTTAAAAAAATATTTTTGTGGTTCTAGATGACTGACAGCAGCTACAAAAGTTTGATTGACTCTTATAGCCTGATTGAGGTTCCAGCAGCAAAACAGGCTTTAATGGCTGACATGCAATCCAATCTAAAATGGGAAACGTGCTTTACAAGCATCACGGTTAACTTCTGGAAGGAATTTAAGGATTGTGGTGATTTTGATGAGCCCTGTGGACAAGGCGTTTTTTTGTTTATTTTGTTCCATAAAAAGTGATCTTAAAGTTCTGACTTAGTCATGAAAATCTAAATCAGATCTTAGATTTCTAACTATGATCTCAGAACTTTGATCTTAAAATTCCATATTGGAGTTTGGTATTCCTACTTTGACCTCAGAGTTCTGATCCTAAAATTCTAACTATGATCTCAGAATTCCGGATTTGATCTCAAAATTCCAGGTTTAATCTTAGAATTCCTACTCTGATTGATGTGAGTATTCCTACTTTGATCTCAGAATTCTGACTTTGATCTTAGAATTCTGGATTTGATTTCAGAATTCCGTCCTTGATCTCCAACTTTGATCTGAGAATTCCGGGTCTAATCTTAGAATTCCTACTTTGATTGATGTTAGTATTCCTACTTTGATTGATGTTAGTATTCCTACTTTGATCTCAGAATTCTAATTTGATCTCAGAGTTCCGGATTTGTTTTGAGAATTCCTACTCTGATGTTGTATTCCTACTTTGATCCCAAAATTCCATTTCTATTTTAGAATTCTGACTAACTTTGATCTCAGAATTCTGGATTTAATCCTAGATTTCTTACTCTGATTGATGTGAGTATTCCTACTTTGATCTCAGAACTCTGACTTTGATCCCAAAATTCCAATTTGGTCTCAGAGCTCTGGCTTTGATCTGAGAATTCCGTCTCTGATGTTGGTATTCCTACTTCGATCTCAGAATTCCACGTCTGTCTTAGAATTCTGATTAACTTTAAACTTAGAATTCTGGATTTAATCCTAGATTTCCTACTCTGATTGATGTTAGTATTCCTACTTTGATCTCAGAACTCTGACTTTGATCCCATAATTCCAATTTGGTCTCAGAGTTCTGGCTTTGATCTGAGAATTCCGTCTCTGATGTTGGTATTCCTACTTCGATCTCAGAATTCCTGCTTTGATCTTAGGTTTCTGACTTCATCTTAGAAATCCTGACTGATGCTGGTTGGTGAGAATGTCAATATTTAGTTGAGTAAATGTACAAACCTCTTACACTGTAATTATCGTATTAACAGCTGATTATGTCATGTAAGTATCGTTAGCTACTTCTGGTTTAGCTTTTGAGGATGCTGGTCGACAGGAGCAGCTCCTTGTGGGTCGGCTCTGTCAAAGGATGCTCTCCCGGTGTAGTGACACAGCTGACGAACGAGTTAAACAGGTAAATTGAAGTTTAAATCCTCGTTAACCCTGAAAATTTCTGTTGTAGGTGACCCACAGAGAAATTGACATGCACTTGTGTGGTTACAGCATGTGTTGCTTGTGTCTGTGCGTGCTGACATGTTGGATCCCAGTGTTGTGCTGAGCGCCCGGGGAGACGTGGACGTGGTTTTTTTTAAGAGCCTGGGTGCTGCCAAGCTGTTTGTTTGTTGGTCTCCAGGCTTTTGTGGTTGTCACAGCAACCGCCCAGTGTTCGGCACTCTGCAGCATTTTGCACAGACGAGCCTCTCTTTGTGAAATGAACTCGACTGAGGAAAGAGCTACTACCACACTCTGACTCCTCACACACACACACACACACACACACACACACACACACACACACACACACACACACACACACACACACACACACACACACACACACACACACACACACACAGATGAATATGCATGAGGCTGCTTTGAGCCACAGCAGAGTAAATATCAGAGGAGTTGTAACAATGGTTGCTATTCTTTGTCAATCTGCACTTTTTGGCCGACTTGCTGCACCATCAGCACGTGTGTGTCTCTGTGTGTGTCTGTGTGTGTCTGTGAGCATGTGTGTGTTTGCTTGCACTTACAGCTTGTCTGTGTGCATAATTTTCTGCACAAACTCTTCTGCGGACAGGCTGTATGTGTGTTTCTGTGTTAGCATAACTTTGTGTCCTCTCCTTCACACGTGTGCTGAAGCAGCAGCCGCGGCCGTAGATAAGTGTAATGGGACGGCGGCGCTGAGTCGGCACTTTGCAGTAGCAGCCTGTTTAAGCACGGGGGTTGGACGGATGCTGCCGCACCTGAGAGACTGTCGCACTCCATCATGGCTGCTCCCTCCGCTCTGGAGGACACCGTGTGTGACAGTGTGAAGTGTAAAGTGTGTGTGGTCTGAGAGGAAGAGGAGTGTAACAACTCCCAGAGCCCAGACTTTTTTTTTTTTTTTCAACAGGCTGAATCACACGGATAATTTAGCATCTTTATCTCCAATTTTACGCACATTTACCTCTAATGCAGCATGACATATTTGATATCTTTGGAAGCTCTCAGCTCTTGACCAGAGTCCAAAATAAAGCTCTGCAGGATTTTTAGGTCTGCGAGGTTCTAAATCACAGGGCGGCCAAGACGTTCTGGGAGGTTTGGGGGGTAAAGGAAGCGTCTGAAATCACAGTAAGGAGGATAACAGCGTTTATCAAAAAAAGACCTCAAATAAAACCCCCACAAAAATTAATGAAAATTCGCCTCACAAACAGATTTATTAGGATTTGGCGGATGGTGAATATCGCAGCCATTGCGGATCGAAGCCGTTCCGGATGCGGTGAAAATTGGAGGTTATTTCATGGATTTGAGGACTGAAGACCGGCTGGATTTGAAGATCCAGATCTGTTGCTCCTCCACAGTCAGAAGGAGGCGGATCCTTCGGGACGCCGCTCTTTAGAGGTTTCTTTTTTGACATGTGTGCGTCCAATCAGGCCGTATCCTTCAGGGAGCTTTAGAGGAAGGAGACAGAGGGAGGTCAACAATGACCTTTGACCCTCTTTGGTTCACTCCCCTTGGTAGTTGGCAGGTCCCCAGACTCCTGTCCTTCCTGTGTTCGAGAGAAAAGGAGCGTGAGGTCGTATTGTTCCCGTCTGTGACTCACTGAGATCCGCATGGATGGAGCGGAGGGGCTTTAGGAGCCGGTTTGGCGTGAATATCGACACGTCAGGGTGACTCAGTATCAGAGGATTTTATTTCTATTTGTGGGTTATTTTTCTTTTATTCTTATTCTTTTATTTTTGGAGCTCATGCAGTGACTCCCACTTCAGAGACATGCCAAAGATCACAGCCATCCAGTCCTGGTTTTCATTCTTGTCTTATATGTGCAGAGACTTAACGACCACTTAGACCACTAGACTAGAAGTTTCCCTATTTAGGTCAAAGGTCATCCCTGCGTAGACTCCTCCCAGTCGGTCAGGAGCTCAAATTCAGGTCAGAGGTCTCACAGATCCAGTAGATCACCAAATCCAAGGATGGATTCTCTTCTCTGATTGGTTCAGAAATGTTCTCACCAGGGTTCGATAAGATTCGGATCAAACCAGGAAAAAAAGAAAACCGCCTCAGGATCAGGATTCACTTTTATCCCTCCGTCTTCCTGTCTCTGACATTTCCTCTCCCTCCACCCGTCCGTGTCTCTGTCTGTCCTCCTCGTCTTCATCGTCTCTCTGGTCGTCTACAGTAGATGTTCGCCTCTCTGACGTTGCTCCCCTCAGACTACGAATCACGTCTCTCTCCGCCGCCCACTCGATCGCTGCGATGGAATTTATGTTCGAGTCTCTCTGTTCGCCAGATGCACAAAGTCACGGCGCGGCGCTCTGCAGACAGTTGGACATCAGCTGGGTGTCTCTGCAGGTCCTCAGCTGTAGTTTTCCTCTCGTTTCTGCATTTTTATTCCAGGACGTAATCCACGTCTGATATCTGTTCCAGCTGTTCAGAGTCGTGCACACAGGAGCTCCACAGGAGAGCTGCTGTATATCTGAACACCTTCTCTCCTGTCTTACAGTCTTTGTTTACGCTCTCACTCTGAGCTGCATCATAAACTAAAATAAAAAAGTACATCTGCTCGTGTTTTATTCATGCGTGTAGTTAAAGAGTCCTGGTGGTGCAGAACTTCTCGAGAGCCCAGACTGTCTTCATTTGTCTGAAATAGACATTGAACTCGTACAACTTGTTTGGAGATGCCGAAGAATAAAAAATGTCTGTTTTTGTGAAGAATAAGAAGTCTGGTTGTTTGTTTAAGAGCTGCAGGTGTGACCGAGTCAGAGCGGAGAGACATTTATTCAAAGAAGAACCAGAACCGTCCTGAAACTCTGTGCAGATGTGAGTCTGTTAGTTTGTCTTTGAGAGCGTAACTGAAGTCGAACCACCAGAAAATATCAACCAGAGAAACTTTGATTGATTGTTCTCTTTTTTTAAAATATATGTTTGTTAAAATTTTCCAGAAAGAAACAAGAACACATGTCAAAAAACAAACGTACAAACAGGAATCCGTTAAAGAAGCATCTTTTTTGTGGCGTATTTACAAAAAATCTTTAAATATCAGTCAATAGTTATTAGTAATTGATGACATTTGGTAATATATCGATACCGCTCTTTCTGACTGTAAACAAAGCCGTTCTCCACTTCCTCTAACCTGATTGGTTGTGAGGCAGACGCTGCTCCCCCGTGTCGTTCAGGAGCCCAAACAAAGTTAGCGTGCTACAATATCGGACAGTAGAAACCAACCAGAAAGTTCGGAAAATTGTCTGAATCCTCCTTTGGCCACGACTGCCGACACAAGCGAGAAAACAAAGTAAATACCGGAGACTCTGTAGGAATAACGGGCGCTTAAAACGGAGGTAGACCGGACAAGAGCTAAAAAGCCGGGTCAACATAAACCATGGGGGACGCTTGGGGATCTTGGTGACCCTGTAACCTTTCTGCTGGACAGGTAAACTGCTTTAACAAAGTAAGACAAGTGTCTGTAACAGAAGTGTTTCTTGTCAAACGGACCTGCTGTAGCGTGTTGTAGCGCCATCGCTAAACTGTCCTCCCTCGGGTCCTGGACTATGTCACTTTATCCTCGTTGTAGAAGTCCTGCAAACATTGTGTTTGCTGGTAGTCTGTTGGCATCTACAGTAGCACCAATGCTTTTGACTTTCACCTTGACTGGGCCCCATTTGTAATGATCTGAAGGATTTATCTGCATTATATCTGAATTTGAGAGACTGATTGTTTTCTGTCTTTGCTGATGCTCTCCCTGCCTCGTCTCCTTGACACACTCATCGACGTATCGTCTTCTTTCTTTGTGGTAAAGTGAATGAGAGTGTAAGTGTGACATGGGTTGTAAAATATGAGCGTTGGGACTAATAAAAGGAGCTGTTTTGAAGTCGACCTTGTTCCAGGTCTTTAGTTGTGGCCGTTAAACCTCGAGAACCGTCTCCGTACAAATGAAAAACATCTTCTTCTCTTTTCATGTTATCACTGATACAGCCGTGAGTGAGTGAGTCAGACCTCGTTCATCACTCTGTTCCTCCATGATGTGGTTTTTAATTCAGACGGGCTCTCGGTGAACCCGTCTGGTTAAACGCCGCGCTTTCATCCCTCTCACATCAGGAAATCATCTGGCGGTCTGAGAGGGAGGAAGGTGCCGGAGCTGTTAGCAGCTCTGCTTTCCTGGCACCAGAGAAGCTCTTTCCAACGGCACTTTGTGGCCCCCATGAGCCCCCGAGAGTGAGACGGAGACACTCGCTCCTCTTTGAGACCCTCAGAGGCCCGTTTCCCCTCAAACTCATCCAGACTGGATTCAGACCGAGCCGTGGGTGGTGTTACAGTTTTTAACTCGATGATCTGACTCCAAAGAGGAACAGTTTCTCCTCTTTTGTTGAGCTCTCGAGGAGACACCGGAGAGGTTTTATTCTGACAGTTTTTCTGGGGTTTCATCAGGACACGAGGGGCCCCTGGAACTGCAGGTTTCAGAAACCCACCATCGTGTTGAAAACCGCCTTCCTGTGCCAGAAGTCTTTCCTCTGCGTCCTGGACTCGTGTTCAGATATGGCAGGGCTCGCTGTCATGAGCTGGCTGCTGGTTTCAGGGAAAGGATTGTACTAATATGGAGCTGGCAGAGAGGCAGGAAATATTTTCCTAACTGAGGCTGATTAATGTGGGGGAGGGAGGGGAGAGGAGCGGGAGAGGAGGGGAAGAAAACTTAACGTGATGGATGTAAGGTCGCCAGAACAGGGAGGTGGAGCAAGGTGAAGATTTGACAGTATTTCTGCTGTTTGAAAACAGCTGATTACACATTAATTATTAAAGAGATAATAAGTTAAAGGGATGGATGACGAAAAACTTAGCTGTTGAAGCAGATTTGAAAAAAAGTGACACACCCCCTCTGACAGAGCAAGAAGATCCTACGCTAGCTTCAAATAGGATCCACCATGTCGGATTGTTAGCGACTAGCGGCGGTAAACTCCAGCTCTGCCTGGACAGCTACCGTGTTGACATGTCAGAGACTAATAAGAGTTATTTATGAAACATGAGCCACGATAAAAGGAGATAAAAATTACCTGTTCAACTAAAACTCTGCTGTCTCAGCGTCTGTTTTCTCCAACGCTCCACGGATGACCCGATGTTTATTCACGTTAGATTCCTCGCTTGGTCGCCTCTTCAACTCCGCCTTTTCTTTTATCGGCTTGCGTTTTCTTAGCATTTTCGGCGGTGGGGCAAACAGAAGTGTTTTTTTTTTGCGTCCTTCTCCATCACAGCTCCTGTAGCTAAGCTGCTACGCTACTTTTATCGGAGAGTGGGAGGGGACAAGTCGGAACTACATGAGAGGGGTGTGTCGAATACAGAGAGGTTGACCAATAGGAGCGGTCCGGGACCGATGGCTCCCATTGGTCAAAGTTTTTGCAGCCCTGCACCTGATAGGATGAACAGATTTTTCCGATCTTCACTTTGTGGAGATCGCACTATAGGACCATGATCGCCATAGAAACGAGGTTCATAATAATCACCAATTTCTCCAATTGTCAACCATGACTTTAAGATCGGCGGTTTTAGTCTTTTCTGCCGATCTCCTGACCTCTGCTTGGACAGGCAGGGAGCTTTTCTTGAAATACTTTGACTACTGTAGACCTGAAATACCTGAAATTGTCGGGATGACGTCCTGGCTCTGACTTCTTAATAAGTTTGCACACGTAATGATAAAAATGAAGTCTGAGTTCTTATCTATTAGCAGGAAAACCTCCTGAGTGAGTATTTTTAGGAGGAGTGAAGCGAAACTGCGGAGCTGGCGTGGGTTTAATCTTGTCCAGTGTGGAAATGTTTGGCTCTCGTCTCCGTTTTATTGCTGTAAATTTGGCGTCTTTGGCTCCGGAGCAAAACAAACATCTTGAAGATATCAGAGCGAGCTGCTGAAAAACTGTGAACAGGCAGATAAACGCAGCTAAACGCAGCAGTCGGGTCTTTTTCTCCTCTTTTACAGTCTCACTCCACCATCAAGGTTGGCTGCCTTTATGCCGTTTGCTCGCTGAGCTCTGCATCCGGCGGTTGCCATGGGAAAAATATCGCCTTAATGACGCTGACTGGCAACTTTCCCTGAAACTGATGCAGAGCAGATTCCTCTCACTCTTGACCCCTGTTGTTTTTACAGCCTGCCTCAGTGTTGGGAGGCTGAGACCAGAGAGAGAGGAGGTGAGGGGAGTTTATGAGCCTCCACTTCCTCCGCAGATGGAGCCGCTCTTCGCTTTCACTTTGCTGTTTCACGGCATGTTGTAGCGAAGCTGTGTTTAAGCCGCGGTAATGATGATGATTTTCAGAAGAGGAGGAGGAGAGCAGACATGTTAGCAGAGATTCACAGCACATACTGTCTGAACAGAAAGTGTATGAGGACAGAAAGATCACACGCAGAGAGTACAGGAGTCACACGGAGGGCAAGAAACGCAGCGAAGTCCTGCATGAACCTGCGGTCTTCAAGAATCTGAGAGCTCCAATGATTCAGAACTCTTATATTTACAAATACAGACGTCTTCATGAAGAGAGGATCCATGCTGAACGAGAAAAACAAACACCAGCTTAACTCTCAGAGACGTCAACCATTAGTTTCTGAAGAAGCTCAGCGATGGTGCTCGCCATGCTGGACTGAATCTGACTGAAGATACAACAAGACGAAAGAGTCGAGTCAAAACAGACCGTTAAACTCTGAGCTAAGAGTTACAGTCAGAATGTTTACATGTGGTTAACTTAAGCTAGACTAAAACCCCAATTTTCACCGCATCCAGCGACAATTTTCTCCGTCCACCAATTCCTACCAGATCCGTTTGTGAGACAAATTTTGTGACGGACCACAGAACCCACGGATTCACGTTCAATCGCTCGATAACAAGTTGTTTCTATAAAGACAGCCACATAGACATATAAGCAGTAGATTGTGTCCGATCCGCAGAGGAACGAAAAGAAGTCGGTGTAAATTGACACGTTAACTTGAATGGTTACGATCAGCTACGATCGGAGGATACGACCTTTTCGGAAAGTGGGGGTTAAACCTCAATCAGGTGAATCAGCTGAGCTGTCCTTGTCTCAATCTGGAAGTTCACCTCCGCTACAGGAGGGGGCGATATCCCCCATTTTCAGATTGTTAATAATAAGGTTAGCTTATTATATCGTGAACCAAAACAGTCAAAAAACATGTAAGCAAAAGGTCAACAGGTTTAATGTCAAACGATGAAAACACTGAAAACATAGATAGAACACGTAGATAAGATGCGACAGTTTAATCTGTAACTTCATGTCTGACGATCATTGACCAGACGTTTGCTTTAGCTCTGTCCTCATATGTTCAGGTGGTCAAAGTTGAACAAAATCCTCGTGATTAAGTCAGAAATGAGCTCTGAAGACCAAAACTGATGGTACCAGACTGTAAACATGTTTGTTTCTGCTGAAAAAGTGAGCGTTCAAACCTTAGAGCTCATGATGTTTCAGATAAATTCAAGTCTCAAAGTGAGATGTTATCTCTGAGACATTATAATGACATTATTTCAGAGAACTCCACCGGATCAGGTCTGAGTGTTTGCAGCTCTTCTCTTCGGTGAATCTTGCTCCATGTGGGGAAACTTTGCCGCCACTTTCCAACCCAAAACTAAATAACCGTGAAAACTTTCTCAGGGATGAAACATTTTATTTCTTTATGTTAAACAGACCTTATATAAAAAGTCAGAGCTGAGTTTTCCTCGTGACGGTCCCTCTGACTGTTAGTAATCTGCTGCTGAAGCCAGTGGAGCAGGACCTCCGTGTCACGCCCGGCTTAGAGCTCCAGAGCACCTGAAGAGGCCTGGGAGTGTTGACCATAACACAGCCAGCGGGTCATGTGACAGCGCAGGTGGCAGCCAGCCATGACTTTGTGCTGTAGCCAAACTCCACAGTGACCCAGAGAGTTAGCGGAGCTGCAGGAGGCCCGGCTAATTCTTGTCAGGAGGAGGCCTGTCGCCCAGCCGCCCAGCCGGCCCGGAGCGGCCAAACTTCTCCTCCTTCCAGCACATTTAACAAGCGAACATTCCTTCACTCTGAACTTTTCGAGGTTTTCACAACTTTGTTCTCAAAGACGGTGGACGTTTTCAGCTGTCTGCTCTGCTTACAGTTAAACAAAACCAGAGTTTGGGGTAAAAATCCACTTATCTTTCTACCTTAAACATGTTTTCATCCGTTTTGAACCTTCTGCAGCACGCAGACCGGTGACATTATATCCTTCAGACTCCTCTTTTTTGCCGCCCTCTGTCTAAATCCCTGAAAATCATTTTGTCCCTGAAAGATTTTTATTTTCTGATTAAAAAGAAACAAAACTCTTCTACTTCTTATGTTTTTGCAACACAACGCAGAGATTTTGTCTTCCAACTTGAGTTTTATTTGTTCGTTTGTCTCATAAAAACAGGAGCAGAAACCTGCTGATATCATGCTCTCAGCAGGGAGCTCGTACAATCTGACAGCAGGAGGTTGTTGTTTGCATAATCCTATTTTAACTGATCCAACATTAAATCCATTAGAGCTACAGATGTCCTAATACTCATGTTTTAAATAGCAATTTAGCTAACAGACGATTTGGATTCCAGTGTTTGTTTTACTTTACTATTATTTCTATTTTTGTTGGTGTTTTTAAAATGAGTTATTATTGGATGAAGTGAAACAGTGATGAGCCGTCCCTCATAAACATGCGTTTGTGTTGAATGTCAGAGGAATGACCTGAAATCATGTCCTTACTGTCCAGGATTAATCTGAGGTAAAGTCACTTTACTGCAGCTCCAAACAGAGGAGCTGACCTCTGTGTCGGAAAAGTCTGTCTCTGTGTCTCAAACATCGACTGTATATAGAATGGACAGAGTCTGCCTCCTTACTGAGTGAAACCACTCCGAGAACAGCACCCTCTGGTGACGGACTGCAGTATAGTTCATAAATCCCGCCTCCTCCAGCAATCCCTATGAAGCTGTGAACAAACTTTGAAAATTAATGACACAAAATATAAATGTTTCTCCCCCCTGGTTGTGATGTTGACATGTAGTTACTGTCAGACTGGTTTGTGCTCAAGTCCTCTTTTTTCTGTACAGCTCTATTTTTAAAAGTTATTCGGGGGTTCATGTTTTCTATGATTGACACTTGATACAGCCTATGCGAGTACGAAGATTGCGTCGCTCACCGGGGGATACGCTGTTTCAGCCGAGCGTCATCACAGCGACTCTCCTGCCGAATGCGTACAACTCTACTGCGCAATGTTGGTTTCAGGAAATGGAGAAAAAAACAGAATTACTGAGAGCTTTTTGGCTTCAAATCCGTATACTGGCGGAAAGCAGAACCAAGTTGTCTGTTGTATATACAGTCTATGGCCTCACCTGACCGTAGAATGTAAACATGCACTTTAGTTGTGACACAGCTGCCTTTACAGATAACCAGAAATCCCTCTTAAAAACTCCTGCTGCTTTTTAGATTTGCAGATGAGCATTATTCCCTGACAAAGACATCCTGTTTAAACTTCCCAAGCTCTTCCTTTAAAGTTTTTTATGATCATTTGGAGGGTGGGAAAGGGAACTGAAAAAGAGAAGGGTGAGTAAAGAGTCCGATAATTACATCCTGGGAATAAAAAAGTGGACAGAAGTGAACCTGCACATCCAGCAGACACGCTCATCTTTAACACGCTGATTTAATTCTACAGTTTTCATGTTAACTGCTGACACCACAGCGTGAGATCTTTGGCAGGCCTCTAAAGAGAGGATCGATGAGGAATAAGTGGAATATTTGGAGCCTGTTGGAGCTCGACTTCAGTCTGACTTTCAAAGGAATACAGTATCTTTCAGAGCGAGGGCGTGTTCATGCCACATAAATCAGCGCTGCTCTACCCCTAAAGATAAAACACCGTATAATCTGCCTGTTTCCCTCCACGCCATCCTCACTCTCCTCCAACTGCTGTCCAGCCTTTTCATTGGCTGACTCTCCCACAACTTTCCAGCAGACCCGCCCACATCTGAAGGCAGCTCTGGGTTTACTGATAGACGCTCAAACCTCATGTCGCTCTATTTTTGAGACTGACCTCATGGAGGAAGTTCCACGACAGCTCTGAAACCAGCTCGCCAGTGACTTTTAAGTGGCTTTTGTCTCCGGGCCAGCATGAGACAGAGCCGGCTTTCATGAGCGCCTGGCTGGGCTGATGCAGGTCCTCCCTCGGCTCTCTGGGGGAAACATGGTGCCGGGTGTTCGAGTCTGGGCGTAATTAACCCGGGAACTCATAAAGAGGCGTTCACTCCTCGTGCCAGCTCCTGTCGGGCAGCTGCTCCAGATGTTTTCCGTTAACATGCAAGCAATACCAGACAATTCAAGGCGTGCTACACCTACAGTATACACAATGCTGCAGTGTGCCGAGGCTCTGTGAAAGAGCAGCAGGACAAAGAGCGTTAGCGTCGCAGAAAGGTTGTCTCACAAATGTGCTGGACTTGTTAAAAGACCGACAGGAAACACATTTATTAGTTTGGAGGTCTGGTTCAGCTGCAAACCAACAAACCAGGTTTCATGAGTTTAAACCCTCCGGCTGTTTGTGATCAAATGTTTTCACAGACAGAAACATGAGGCGGAGGGTTTCAGATAACTGGAGAGTGTTGAACTACTGTGGTTGAAAAGTAGAGACCACTTTAGCTGTATGAAAGACTGCTATGAAGGTTCGTGGAGACTGTCCGAAGAAACAGACAAACGTTAAACTACTGGACCTCATTTTCAGGATTTAATGTAACTACAGTCAGTCCAGCAGAATTCCAAGATCAGAATTCTAAGATTGAAGTTAAAATTCCAAGATCAAAGGCAGAATCAAAGGCTGAGATCAAAGGCGGAATTCTGAGATTTAAAGGAGAATTCCAAGATCAAAGACAGAATTCTACGGAATTCTAAGATCAAGGCGGAATTCTGAAAAATGCATTCTAGAACTTAAACGGTTCAACTTGGACGGCCCCAAATGGAGTAGGGGGTGTCCGCAGATCCACAAACATGACAGATGAACAACCCTCTTTTTAACTGCTGTTCCACATCTGCTTTTGTGCCCAGAAATTTAATTTAATAAACAGGTTAATAAATAAATAAGTGACCACAGTCACATATTATTATCGATTAGAAATAAAAAGTCTTTGAAATTTTTGAATTTGTGAAAAGTGTTCAATTCTTGGGACTCAGCTCACTTTCTTTCAAGGATTTGACTTTTTTTTTTTAAATAAATAAGTGCCTAGAGTCAAAGATTTAGTTATGAATCTAGATTTTATTATTTTTACATATTTTTACTTATCACCTTTTTGTGTATTGTCTGTCAACCTACAATATTTCTGGTTTATTCTACCAAAATATCTCCTTATCTTATCCCAATATCAGAGGGATTGGCCTCGTTTATATACTCTTCATTCCTGTGCGATGATTTTAACTCCCTGAATACAATAGTTTGTCTCTGCAGAGCCGATGAATCTGATATTTTGTGTGTTTTTCTCGTATATTTTCAGGTGTAATCTCATGCACACTATAAGTCATCGCTCTTCTGTTTCATTCACGACAATGCTAGTAGCCTACGGGTCAAATAGTACATTGCTGACTTCCCACAAGCTAATGTTAGCATTAGCTTGACTGAGATTTGATGTTCATTTCAGACTATCATGGAAAATGGATTGGGAAAAATGTCATAGAAGGAGCCTGTCACATTGACATTTATTTCTCTGTCAAATTCAAGACAACAGTTTTATTAATGACTAAAAATTGTGTGATTCACGTTTGATACTTGATCATGATGTCACTCTATTCGATAATTTCCGAGATAGAAGCAGCAAGAACGGGCGGTCACGTGTTTCAGGTTGTGGATTTGTCATGCAATGACCTACTCCGTCCAGCAGGGGCGCAGAGAGGGTTGTGGATCTGTCACGGTTGTGAATCTGCTTGGCTCTCCGGCTCTGCAGACATGTACTTTTGCCCAAATATCCTCTGTAGTGATAGCAACCCATGTGCATAATAACTGTGTATGTTCTTCATCACAACGGTGTACTATCAAAAAATAACAGACTGTTGTGATGGAGCATTGACCAATCAGAATCTAGAATTTAACACAGCCGTGTAATCGGGTTAACTCGTGTGCTGATGTTACGCCAAAGTAGAACTGAACAAGACAGTCTAATTTTGTCAGCCCTCACAGTCGTAGTAAGCCATCAGCTCTGTGGAGGAGAAAGTGTTCACAGCCCTGAAAAGTGAAGTGAGAAAGTTGGCACCACTGCTGACTGTCACCTGTGTGTCTATTTAAAGAGCAGGAAGAGAGGGAGGGAGGCGGCTGTAGTCACTGAACGCCAGAGAAGTCATTTTTATTTGACGAGTAAAGTGGAATCTGACAGGTGACACGGGGAGGAAGTCAAGATAAGTAACTAAATATATAGAAACACAGCAAATATTCCAACAGCTGAAAAAACAAAGTTTTAAACCCTGACCTTGACATACTTGAACTTTCATCTTTCAGCTGCAGATAAAAAACTAATATTTACTGACCCAGTTATAAGTCTGTCTGTGATGGATCTGTCCTCTGGTGTTATCGTCAGCAGATTGATAATCGTATGAACTCAGTGACTAAGCATAACAAAGTAACATGAAGAGACTTTGGCACAAACTCAGTCAAATCTTCTTACTCAGCAGGTAGCTGAGCAGAAGCTGGAGCGATGACCTGCAGGCCGCTGCATTTCCACTCGAACAGACGATATACGGTACATTTGCACGCAGTGACTGATGGTTTTGTCCTCTTCGCTTTCTCTCTGCAGACATTCACAGCTTGGTGCAACTCTCACCTGAGGAAAGCAGGCACACAGATCGAGAACATCGAGGAGGACTTCAGAGACGGACTGAAACTCATGCTGCTGCTGGAGGTCATCTCAGGTAAGCAGCACCTGACTTAACGGGATTATTAGGATGGCGAAGTTTGCGTGGGCCGAGTGTGCTTCACGCTGAGTTTGGATACCAGGATCGGCTTCTGAGAGAGGGTTTGACATTTTAGGAAATACGCCAGTCTGCTTTTGCAGAAGTTTCACTGAGGAGATTTAGAGAAAGTCCTTCAGATGAGTCAGAGAATCAGATATGACTGAGGTAGAAACACGCTGAAGGTGTGAAGGTGAAGGAAAGATGGAAAAGGACACATTAAGTTGTATTTACAGACACTTTTATATTACTTATAATGTCACAGATGTAATTAGTCTAATGTTTAAAACTCTTTGACGCGTTTGTACTGTTTCATGTTTGTATCCAGAGTGAATGTCAAATAATTCGTGAACATGTCCACCCCATCACCCTCTTTTCTCATCTCTTCTCCAGGTGAAAGATTGGCTAAACCAGAGAGAGGCAAGATGAGAGTTCACAAGATCTCCAACGTGAACAAAGCGCTCGACTTCATCGCCAGCAAAGGAGTCAAACTGGTGTCTATTGGAGCAGAGGGTGAGAGATGTCGCTGTATCTGTCCTTGAATAATCCTCATTTACAGATTTTATATTAAAATCTAAACTCAGGGGTTTGGATTTTAGTAAAGGAGGTGTTCAGGTTTACGTTATAGTCCGATGTTCAATGACCAATCAGCTGTAGAGTGTTCAGTACAAGTGAAGTGAGACATGGGTCCACTCTGGAGGGAATCTTCAGACCGTTTATTTCTCTCTGTAAACACAGATCTGTGTGTAATCTATTCTAGTTACAACATTTATACTGAGATGCTGTGTTTGACACCATGTTACAAAAGTCAGACAGTGTTTAGATTTCCAAGTGTCCTTGAATGCACCACAAATGATGGATCTGACCTCCACTGAACAAACAAGTGAAAAGTTTTATTCTGTTCTATTCTTATTCTTCATTTTAAAGACAGTTGGACTTAACAGCAAATTTAACTTAGTGTGACTGTTTCACTCACATTTACGACTAAAAATAGATGTGTGCGAATTGTAAAATGTATTTAGGGTCACGTGCGCATAAAAAAATCAGATGAGGCAACAAATGTTTTTTCATTCTAATATGGCGGTGAAGTTAGTTTCAGGTTGGATATATTTTCCTGTAAATACGGCGGTGAAGTTAGTTTTAGGTTGGATATATTTTCCTGTAAATACGGCGCTGAAGTTAGTTTCAGGTTGGATATATTTTCCTGTAAATACGGCGGTGAAGTTAGTTTCAGGTTGGATATATTTTCCTGTAAATACGACGGTGAAGTTAGTTTCAGGTTGGATATATTTTCCTGTAAATACGGCGGTGAAGTTAGTTTTAGGTTGGATATATTTTCCTGTAAATACGGCGGTGAAGTTAGTTTCAGGTTGGATATCTGACGGACATTCTCTGAGGATCTACCGGTGTCTTCTCACTCTCCATAACCGGGAATAACAACAGCAGCGCGGTTAAATCTACTCGACACCCTCACTGTCAACGTCCATGTTGAATAAGGGACCGTCAATAAATTACCGGTTGATGTTCTCAGAAAAGGCTGTTTTCCTTCAATAGCTTCACTGTCATGTGACCAAAAGACCTAAAATTAATTCCAAATATTAGCCTAATAAGGTCAGACGATAAGACACACCTCTGTATTTCTCTAATTTGTCCTCTAAAAATGTTTGTGTTAAATTTAAAGGCAAATTTTGAACATTTCCTTTAATAGCTTCCATGTCATGTGACCAAAAGACCTAAAATTGATGTCAAATAATAGTGCTTAAGTTGACCAATAAGACAAACATTATTTGATCGATTTTCATTTTGCCCCTAAAGTTCTTTGTCCTCCTTGTGGAAAAGTTTGCGTCAAACCCTGCTTTAGTTCAAAGTTAATGGACCGTCACTCTTTCAGGGTTAATACCACCGAAGACGACTGAAGCTTCATTGTAGGTTTCTACAGTGAAACTGAGACCTCACAGAAACAGATGGTGATGGTCTTCATAGATATTAGAAACTGTTAATTGCAGTAATTTAGATCTTTCCAACCATTTAAGACCTCCTCTAGGTTTGTTCAATGATCAGATCATCACCTCCGGATTTCAGTGAGACCATCAGCCAGATCAATATCCGGGATTCAGCTGTGAACATTTTAAAACCCTTGGCTTCCTCCCTCTCTTCCTCCCTCTCTCTCCCCCTCTCTCTCTCTCTCTTGCTGGGCTGTTTAATGAGATCCTTACTTCAGAGTCCTGCGGCGGAGGTTGTGCTTCGCGGTGCATTTTCTCCGAGTAGATTTCAGGATCAGCAGCTCCCTCCGGGCCCGAGCTGCTCATTGTTCAGCACAAATAACTCGGGGATGTCCGTCCTCCTCCCATCAGAGAGTAAACAGCTCTTTAGTCGAGTAAACTCCCTCCCTCCCCCTCCTCACCCCCTTCCTCTCACTCTCACTATCTGTCTACTTCCCTCTCTCAGAGCTGCTCACACTCCTCTGGTATTTTCTGGAACAGAAACAGAACCGAGTCTAATAAGTTATTCCAACATATTTGAGGCTCACTGAAGACTCGATCCGCTCCTCCAAATAAAGGCTCCTCTTACTCCACAAGAAGAAGAAGAAGAAGAAGGAGAAAATGGTGGAAGCTCTGCTGAATATTTTATGATGTTTATATGTGGGACAAAGACGGGTCCATGCACCTTTTATTTCTGTTTGCTCGTCCTGACAGGTAGATGAGACTAAAATCACAAAAACATGGAGAAATATTAATTAAATTCAGGTTGTAAAACTTAATTTTGCTGCTTTGTTAATGAAATTAATCAAAACAAACAGATTTTCTCAACTTTTCTGCTCAAAAAGAACAAAATCATCTTAAAAAGGAGATTTTCTGCAGAGGCTTGAATCAAAGATTTAAGCAGGAGCAGCATTCCAGACAGATTAGCCGCCTGGTGGAGCGACCTGCAGCCCTGCAGCCGAGCATGCTGGGAGGCTGGGATGAGACTCAGGTTCATGGGTCTCATTTGGGGGTTTGTTTAGGGTGCAGGGGAGGGGGGATGGATGGTGTTCACGAGGACTAATCTCGGCATAAATCAGCGTGTGTCGGCCTCACAGGGATTCCTCCGCCTCCCGATTGAGGCGTCTTTCACGGCGCGTTTCACGTCCAGACATCTGACAGTCACAGTTAGTCCGTCACAGCCCGGCGTCCCGGCAGCGTGCGTTATTGGATTAGAGAGAGAGAAACGGATGATTGTTGAAGGGCGAGCAAACAGGGCGAGCTTTTAAAGGGATTTTCATTACGGACAACACAAAAGAGGAACAAACAGGCCGTTCATTCACAGCATCAAAGCGGAGCTGACGTCCAGATTAAGAGTTTGAGGGCCTGAGTCACGGTTCATTCAGAGGAGAACTTTATTACTCGCTGATTCAGACCAGGGCGGAGTGTGACCGCATGTTTTCACCACGAATCAACAGATTATCTGACTGTGGAAGTTCCTGACTGGAGCTTTAACAGAGAGCAGAAATAACCTGCTGAGTTTGAACATCAGTGCTGCGGTGACTAACCTCCATATTACGTTGGTTTTGGCGCCCCCTGTGGTAGAGCTGCTCTGGTTACATTCACAGCTGTTAAAAATGATTATTACGCGTGTTTAGACGTCTGCATCTTTTCAACTTTTCAAATTAAAACCTCTTTAGAAACAAATATTTCTAATCTCTGATCGGTTTATTCAATTAAATCTTTAATATTGAGCTGATTAACAGAAACAGGATTTAAAACTTCAGGAATTAAAAGATTCAAACTCTGTTAAAAACATTAGGAGTGACTCCAGTCTGCCTCGTGTGGTGGAAACGAGTATGACAGTGACAAAAACAAACTTTATTTTTTACAACTTTAGCTGTTCTCACGATTTTCAGCCTGTTTACACGTATAAAAAATCAACTTAAAGACAGAATTCATGAGGAAACTAGTTTGTCTGTTTTTTATTTTTATCAAATCAAACCCAAAAAAGTTTTTAAAGATTGTACTGATGAATGTTTTCTTTCTTTTTTTTTTTTTCTTTTTTGCTCACAGGAGCTTTAATAATAACAAAACATACCTGCTTGTACATTACTACTTTTGCAGATGAGTCCTGACAGGAGTGTGAATACTTCACTGTGAATGTTAGAGCCTGAAGATTTCTCTGTTCGTCAGTTTTCAGCCTGATGTGACTTTTTATCACAAAGAAGTCGGTGTTTTTCCTCTGTCAGGGACACATTATTTTTTTTATTTTATTTTTTATTTTATTTTTTTATTTAACAACAAAACAGTGTGACAACAACAACAGAAACAACAACAAAAAATAAAAAATAAAAAAATGTACAAAAATACTTTTGTGAGGGAGGGGAGGGGGAAAGAATTTATATAATATGTAAAAGAGAATTTGACAAGTAAAAGATGAATGAATGATGAATGTTTTCTTGTCTGATTTGGTAAATTTAACGTTTAAGATCCTAAAATTCGATGTTTGTTGTTTTTCCTTCTTTCAGAGATCGTAGACGGAAACGCTAAGATGACCCTGGGAATGATCTGGACCATAATCCTTCGCTTCGCCATCCAGGACATTTCAGTGGAAGGTATACAGACAGACTTTTCACGTCTGTTTCTCTTGTACAGTCGAAGTTAAAACTCGTTCATTTTATTCTGAGACCGCTCTTTTATCAGACGGAGGAGATCTCTTATAACCTGTTTTATCATCTTTGGAGTTTGTCGCACAAACATCAGATCAGTCACACAGACGGCTCATTCACACCACCTCCTCTTAATCCAGCTCTAATCCAGCAGCGAGCCCTTTCAAAATAAAAGCCTGATCGTTTCTTCTCTCCCTCACGCCCGCAGAGACGTCCGCCAAAGAAGGCCTCCTGTTGTGGTGCCAGAGGAAGACGGCGCCGTACAAGAATGTCAACATCCAGAACTTCCACATCAGGTGAGACTTCAGGAGGAATAAATCTCTGCGTTTTCATTTATTTTGGCGGTTTTGTTGCACGCTTCATTCGACCACACAGAGCTGGTAGGTCTCCCCCCCTTTGTCTTCCTGTCTTTGAATCCTCTGAGTTCAGTCAGACCTCATCACAGGGGGCCTCCTCCACACCTGCTGAATTATTGAGAGGAACCACACAGAGCCCCTCAGATGTGGATGAAAGTGGAGGAGGTGGAGGTGAGGTCACTTCAGGAGAGAGAGGAGGATCATCAGAGCAGACCTTTGATGATCTCCCTCTGTCAGAGACGAGAGCGGCACGCTAAAGTCAGGAGACCAGGAGACCAGGAGGAGCTCAGGGACTGTTTAAGTCCGGCTCTCAGAGTCACCTTGTAAAGCTCCTCTCGCACATTAAAGGAGCTTTTAGTCGCTCATTTATTTTAACGACCGTCGGACTAACGTGCCACCTGAGGAGGAGCAGAGAGCTGCAGTAAATCCTGCCGCGGTGCACTCAGAGCGCCGAGGCCGCCGATCAATAAAACCCGGGCTAAAAATACACCGAACATCTGAGCAAACATCATCGATCTGAAGGAAGAGTTTCATTTAACCTTCATGAACTCTGAGCCGAGCCTCAAATACAGACGATTTTCACTTTGAAGATCTGTAAATATGTGCACACAGATCTGTGAACGGAGACGAACTAAAAAACAGAAGATTACAAACTTCACTGTGGGACAAACATCATCTGAGCTGTAAGAACGTCTGTAAATGAGACGTTTTGAAGATGCGTTTGATCGACAAACATTGGTACGAGCAGCTGAAGTGAAACGTTTCTCAACCTCAGATGAATTTAAGTTATTGTTCTAATTCTGGCGCACAAATGTTGATCTACAGTCATCGTCCCAAATAAGAAAAACAAAAAACTCTCTACTGTCTGAACTGAAGCGCTCTGACCATCACATACTGACCGCTGCAGCTCCTCACAGTCAGACCTCTGCAGATGATCCAGAGCAAAACCTGACTTCTTACTGACAAAACAGCGACAATAACAGCTCCTCCTCCTCCTCTCCACCTGGAGTCCCTCACCTGGGTCTTCTGATGATGGCGTCGACCGTGATGATGGAAACGTCGCTCTCTCAGTGAAAAGTCCGATTCCTCATCTTCTCTGTTTCTGTGTTTCAGCTGGAAGGACGGTTTGGGTTTCTGCGCTCTCATCCATCGACATCGTCCAGAGCTCATCGACTACGGAAAACTGAGGAAGGTCAGTCGGTGTTTCCTGATACTCGTACAAGTGTACCCGTGTGAACTCAAGATACCTCCCTGAAATCTTTCCTTCTTTCGCTCTGAAGCCTTGATAGTCTGACATGAAACAAAAAAAGACAAATTTCATTCACTAATTTAGCGAAAACAGGATGTTTCAAACCAAAACAAAAAACAATCTGTGACTATTAAAGATGATCCTCTAAATATGTCGTTTATAAAAGGCTTCAGTACAATATAAAGTGGAAACAAATGCTGTAAAAGATTAAGATGTTGGTTTAAAGAGCACATTTTAAGAATCTTTATTCATTCATGAAGTTATAAAAGGTTCAAATTTCAGAGTTTGTCCTGATAAATCGTTAAAAACAGCCGAGAGGAAGAAAACGACTGATATTCCTTCAGCCGCAGTAAAAATGAGACTCATCCTGAAGACGGATGACTCACCTGTCCTCGCCCTGAATATAATCATCAAATCTGCTGCTAAAAATAGAAGAAATAAGAAGCTGAATTAGACTGAATCTGGATGCTGCTGTTTCATAGTTTTCAGAGTAAAGGTGTTGATGTTCTGCTGTCCACAGGACGACCCCATGACCAACCTGAACACGGCCTTCGACGTGGCCGAGAAATACCTGGACATCCCCAAGATGTTGGACGCAGAAGGTGAGCAGGACGAGGTTTTTCTTCACCCGTGTTTTAAAAGTGTCAGAAAGGTCCTTCCAGGTCACAGACCGGGTCTGAAACGACCTGCAGTCTGACGGCCCCGCCCGTCCTCCTGCAGCCATTATCCAGGTGTGCACAGGTGTGAAAGAGGGCGGGGGACATTCCTCAGATTCCTCCTGATGCTGCGCCGCATGTTCGGACAGGAAGGCTCTGAAAGACGGGGTGAGGAGGACCCTGACACAGAGACGAGTGACCTGCTTACTATAAACACGATAAAACCCAGGATGCCGTCCCTGTAAACCACCTCTGCAGTCCTCTGAGACTCACTGACTCACTCTTTAATTCACACACTGTAAACACACATTTCTCACTCTCACATGAGGAGGTTCAAGCCTCTGACATTCTCCCTCATTTGTCAGGTATGTTTCCTCTCATGGAGGTGCGCTCAGACTGCAGGAGGGTTCAGATCCAGACAGAAACCAGGACCAGGTCCCAGACATGAGCACAGATCTGAAAATACACATTTATCACAAACTACAGGAGACTGTAAAGGTTTTTGTCTTTGTTAGGGAGGAAACAGCAGAGGGGGTTTTACTCAGAATCAGGTTTAAACGAAGTCCAGAACTCTGCAGTCTGAGCCAGCTTCATCGTCCCCTTTTTTATGGGTTTAAAGGGATAAAATTAATTTACATCTTTTTAACTTTGACTAATTTCTTTAGCAAAGAGACCAAACACAACTCACCTACTCTCTTCCAGCAGCCACTTGTTTGTCGCAAGACCTCGGGCCAGTCCATTAGAGACTACAGCGGGGTGCCGCAGCTCAAGGAAGAACATTTATGATCATTTCTTCATGGAAATACAATCAGACTGAGACGCTAAGACAGAAGAACTACAGCGTCTGTAAAATGATTAATATGGTGATTATTACTTCAAGGAAATGATAAAGAAATGATCGTAAATGTTCTTCCTTGAGCTGCGAAACTCCGCTGTAGTCTTTAATGCACTGGCCCGAGGTCTCGCTACAAACAAGCGGCTGCTGGAAGAGAGTAGGTGAGTTGTGTTTGACCCTAAATTAATTTAACGCCGGAATATCCCTTTGGAGGTTTTTCTAAAATATGTTTTTTTTTTCTGTGTTCGAGACTCTAAATCCTTCTTCTCAGCACATCTGGACGGTGACTCTGTGAGCTCCTCGTCTAGTTTGGATATTTTTATGTCTCTTAATTCATCTGATATTTGTTTAACACCTCCACCTCCTCCATCCCTCCATCCCTCCATCCTCCACCCTTCCCTCTGACCTCCTCTCTCCCCCGCAGACATTGTGGGCACTGCCCGTCCGGACGAGAAGGCCATCATGACCTACGTCTCTAGCTTCTACCACGCCTTCTCCGGCGCCCAGAAGGTATCCTGGATGCAGCGTCTCCCTCCTCCCTCCTCCTCCCTTGTTTCCTCCTCCCTTGTTTCCTCCTCCCTCGTTTCCTCCTAACAGTTCCCTTCTCTCTGCAGTGCTCCACGCCCCCCACTGGGGTCACTCTCCTTCACTTTCCGCATGGTTCACAACACCAAATGCATGATGGGATGACAGCTGTGTGTACTTAGAGGCAATGAGCTCAAGTCTATCTCCAGTCTACCTGGTCGCAGGTGGTCACATGACTCTTTGGAACCAATTAGCCTGACGTTTAATGAAATGAGGGGAAGTGCGGATAGACCATCTATCTATCTATGCTAAAGATATTGAGCATAGATGTAAATGTAGATGTTCTTTATTTTTACAGCCCTTTACAACAGCTCTGTCAGTGAACCGAAGGGCTTTACAATACATAGTAAATAAAAATGAATAAAAGCAGTAAAAATAAGCAAAAGAATAAGATACAATGCAATAAAATAAAGTAAAAGTGTCACCACGCGACACATAAATATGTTTTCAGTCGAGATTTGAAAAGGCCCGGGTCAGAAATAAGTCACATTTCGATGAGGAACTGCAACTGAAAAGGCAGATATCAAGAGTCCAGGACAGGCGAAACTGTTTTCTCAGCAGGTGCAGCACATTTCGTTTAAGATTTAAAGCGTTATCAAGCGAGATATCCGGGTTTTATAAGCGTGCCACTAAAAAAAGCTTCATCTTCTCTGAACTGAGAGTCGACTTCAGCTCTGACAGTTTATTCTGAACAAATGCAAATATCCAACAGCCTGTCCGAGACGGATGCACAACAGTAAACAAGAGTGTCGTCAGCGTAAAGATAGAATCAGCCTCTCCAGGTTATTTGAATATATGATAAAATATAAAAACGATAAACAAATGAGGACCGAGTATCGAGCCCTGTGGAACTCCTCTGTGAAGATGTGATATCAGAGTCCAGACCAGGGGTGGGCAAAAAAATATTGACGTCCGAAATAATCGCACGAAAAAAACACTCCCGGTGTGTGAGGACCTTTAGAGTCTAAACTTCATAGTCGTCTGTCTGAAGCTCTTCTCTCTGGACTCCGTATGATCACGGTCCAGATTAGAAAAGAAATGAAAGTGCTGGACTGGACGTCCTCTGTTCGATAATGACTCTTTCTGAGTGTAATAGACACATTTAAGCCCAGCAGGAACTCTTTAACCCAGACTGGAGGAGTCAGAGCGTCAGTTTGGATCACTTCAGAGGCCCCAGCAGCAGAGAAAACGCTTCGACACAGCTGTGTTTAAGCAACTCTGATCAAAAATGTCTGTGTTTATAACTGAGAGAGGAAGGGGGGGGTCTGCGGTACTTAGAGAAGAGAAACCACAGCTGGACATGAGATCGCATCAGAGATCTGAGAGGTGTGAGACGAGACGGGGAAGTCATCCTTCCTTCCAAAATACATGATATCACAGTCTCGACGCCGAAGACGCCCTTTTCTGGCAGTTAGGAGACGAAGTATCGAGGGAAAAAAACCCCAAAACAAAACAGAGAGGGGCCGATCATATTACCAAAATATCTGACAGCCCCACTTCCAAAACATCTGAGACATGGTGTGAGCGAAGAGGCAACGAGACGCAGAAAAAACATGACCGGACGTTCAGAGAGGCGGAGTCTCTGAGAAGGAAAAAGGGAAGAGGTTCAACAGTCTGTGAGAGACCGCGTGAGAGTTTCAGAATAAAGTTCCTGAGTGGATTTCATCTTTCAAAGACCCTCAGACGGCTCTGCGTTAGAAACAGACTCGACTCTGAAGTGGGAGTCTCTGCATCCTTAAAATCATGATATTCAAACAGAAATACTTGAGAGTTCTAACGGGCCGAAACTTGTTTAAAACGGACTGAGGCGAAGTAGAAACCGGTCCTGTGGTTTGAAGGATCAGAGTTTGACATCCTGCAATCCGAGCCATCAGAATCCAGGATAACTTTTACGACAGAATGACAAAAAGTGACTAAAATGTCGATGAAAAGCAACATATTGTAGATAAATAGAAAAAGACAGTTTCATCAAAATACAAACATCTAAATAAAAGACAAATTTTGGGGGAATATTTTTGTTTTTTAAAGAGGATCGTCCGTTTAAAGTCTGAAAAGTCCTCCGGTCTAAGTCACTTCCCCCTCAAACAAGACCTAACCCCCCTCAGACGCACCAACAGGCAGACTGGAGATGACTTGCGCCCCTCACTGTTGCCTCCTCTTGTGATTACGCCCCCTGCTGGCTCCTTTTGTCTCTGCACTCTTTTACTCTTGTGCATTTTCTCTCTCTCTTTTTCTCTGTCCTCTCCCTCTGTTTGTTCCCTGGGCAGACATCATTAGCACCTTGAGGCCAGATGAGAAGGCCGTCATGACTTATGTGTCGTGTTACTACCACGCGTTCTCAGGCAAGCAGAAGGTGAGCAACAAAAGCCGACGAAACAAAAGCAAAAAAAAAAGCCTCCAAACAGAAAGACGATACCTGCCAGAGAGCGGCTGGCGAGGGATGAGAAATCAGTCTGGGTCGTTTGTTGCCAGCAGTCTTTGTTTGGCTGCTCACAATAGAGAGCTGCAATTTGTCTCGACAACCCGGTTTGATACAGAAAACCACAAAGTCAGGCGACGCCACACAAGTTATTCTGCTTTTTTGCAACAACATCATTCATAAAAAAAGAAATTATGCGATATTGGGAAATTATGAGGCCGTCTAATTCATGCAACAGAGGCTGCGAACTGCTCTGGAGGGGAAACACCACGTCTTAAAATGCAGCATCAGACGGTTAAAAGTGAATGTGGAGCATCAGGGTGGAGAAACTAAAGAGTCACGGTTTTTAAGACCCCTGTTTCTCAAATGAAATCCACACCAGAGCTGTTAAGTGGATCCCAATAAAGATAAGAAGTACAGGAGACTGAGCTTGTTTCCTGTGTGTGCGATAAGTCCATTATTCTCATGAGTGGATTTGCTGTGACTCTGTATTCTCCTGAGAGTGGATGAAGTAGATCAGTGGTTCCCAATTTTCCCATGGACCTAAAGTCGCCACCCACTTTTATAAAATTCAAACCAAGAATATAAATTTCTTATAAAAAAAAAACCTTCAAAGACTTATTTTATTGAGTTAAGTGCATTGCAGAGCACATGAACTGAAGACGGCAACTACCGAAGTTTCGCGTACAGAAAATATCGAATCGCACAGAATGGAGACCAGCAAAGTGAAAAATTGGACTTATTTGGATCCCTGCATTCAGAGCAGATTCAGAAAAACCTGAGGAGGACAAAAGTCAATAATAAAGACCATAATGCGTGCCTTTCAAAATAAGGTATTTTTCAAAATAAAAGATATGTCAAACATCAGACGTCCATTGACTATTCACTTTTTAGACTAGCTGTTCGCGACCCATCCAGAATGAGTTCGTGACCCACTTTCTGGTCAAGGATGACATATTTTTAGACCCAAAATTTGCAAAAATTAATGACTGAGGTGCAAAAAACTCCAGAATGCTCCTTTATTATTCCTGAAAACAGAACTCAATGACGGTGGAAAGACCTTGAAAGTTTCTGTGAGTCTCATTAAAAGACATTTTGTTGCTCTGAAACCTCGTTAGTGAGCGCTGAGATGAGAATATAATGATAATAAATGAGAGGATTAAACTGCAGCGAGGCTCATGACGGCGTCGTAGATCAAGTGAGATGGTTTCTGACTGCGTCCGTCCCCCCGGCGTCTTCCTCTGTTAACCTCGGGTGTGAGGACAGACGGGGTTTCTATCCGTCAGGACGTTCGGTAAACAGACCCGGCGTGCGAACGTTCGCTCACAGAAGCACGACCTGCACATCCTGGCTCTCCTTTTAAGGCAGCTCGCCTGCCGCTGCTGCAGCTGTCGAACCTTCAGAGCATGTCTCAGAGCGAGCCAAGTCACCCCCCGGTGATCTCTGCTGATGAGGGCGGCTGGGAGTGCTCCTCTGAGGGGATGTGGGTCTTTGAGCTCTGAAGTGAACTCTCTAAAGAGGACGCTGATGTGAAGTTACAGCTTCTTTAAATTCACTTCCTAAGAAGGTTTTTAGAGGAGAAACCGTAACGCTGCTGCTCGAACCGTCACAGAGACTCATGGATTTATTCTCATCTGATCGACTTTACCTCCAAAACTCTTAAACTGCTAAATTAAACCGACTTTAACCCTTTAATGCCTGAAACCACAAATTATGGCTGGAAAATTCACATTTATTTTGGAGCTGAAATGTTTATTTTATTTACTACTGAAACCCCCAAAAATTAAAATGTCCCTAAAATTGAACAAATATGATTATTCATCTCATTTGATACATTAGATGTTCTTAAGAACTGATAAACTACAAAAGGACATTTTTATTATTTATCAGACTGTATTCAGGTGTTTTTTTAGTGATTTGTCGATAATATTGATTTGATAAAGGTTTATAAAAGTATGTAATACAAAAGGCATGAAAGGGTTAACTGCAGAGATATACAAGATTGGTATGTTTGAGTGTTTTCAGAAACTGTTTTGTAATTTTAAAGAAATTGACATTTTTAACGGGATTTAGAAATGCGATTAATCACGATGCAGATAATCAAATTCAAAGTTTGATTTTAAAATCATTCCCACTTATAACCTGAGATATTTTTGTTAAAATCTGACGGTATAAAACATGTTATAATCTCTGCAGGATAAACGTTTGAAAATATGATCCGGGTTGTTGGTTTACTCCGGTTTGATCCTTTTATTGGGAATTTTAAGGTTTTAAATAGTTTGCTATGATCCAACAAACACCAAACATATTTACACAAGAGTCTGACAGACTTCGTACATGCTGCTTGAGTTTCTTTATCTAAGAGCAACAACAAAAAAACAAGAAACAAAAACACTCATATGTATTAACAAAATAATACATATGCACACTAAACAACTTTACATGTCGAAGATAAATTTACACAAACAGTTTGAGAAGGAACAGATTGAAGCAAAGAGCTCATCTCGTCCTGCCTCTTCCTTGCAAATTACAGATAAAAAAAATAAAATCTAACTGTATTTATTGTTTCTCTCTGCTCATCTTTACTCTTGTTTTCATTCAGCCTTCCTGTTTCCTCTTCTTGTCACGGAAACTCTTCTTTTTCTAACTCGTCTCCGGCTCACTGCTGAAAACTGACTCGGCGTGTCCAGGTGTAATAAATGAGCGTTGTTATTTCTTCCCCTCTGGACCATTTTTTCCCCCTCACAGCGGCCGAACTCTGCCGCTGTATGTGGGTTTAGAGGCCAGAATAACTCTCTGTTCTCTGCTGCTCTATAAAAAGACGGCAGAACAAACAGAAAGGTGCACCTGATGACGGGTACAATACGACACGTCCTTTAGAGGCTGTCGCTGTCTCCCTCCAGAGTCCCTCCTGCTGGAATAGATTAATAATCCAGACACAACATGACAACCTAAAACAGTGTTACATACACATACATGCAGAAATTAAAGCCTCAAGCAGTAATTAGCACCAGGAGGAGATGAGCGGCGGTGATGCAGCAGCTGCAACACTGCGCTCTTATGAATAAGAGTGTCATTAATCTTTGTGTCATTAGACTTTCAGCGCGCATCCTCACTATAGAACCTGTATAATGTGAGGTAATACCGCCTGTGTCCAATAGGGGGCAGTTCTGCTATTAATAAATGTATATATGGATCAGTTTTGTCAGGGAGCGTCATCAAACCTGAGGAATTTGGATTAGATTAAACACTGTTCCAATCAATGGATGTCCATAGGGTGGCGCTATGATTGGTAGACAAGCATAAATGTTCAAAAACTGGTTTGATAGTTTGATGGAGACGCCAAACATCTACTTTTAAAGATCAAATTTAGCGCCGTTTTGGTGTTATTTCTCTCTGAGTCTCACTCTGTTTCTCCCCTCGCCTTCGTCTTGCAGGCTGAGACGGCGGCCAACAGGATCTGCAAGGTGCTGGCCGTCAACCAAGAGAACGAGCAGCTGATGGAGGACTATGAGAAGCTGGCCAGCGATGTGAGCACACCCCGACTCTCCTGCACTGATCCTGCTCCTCCTCTGCTCCCTCTGTCTCCCTGACCTCCTTTATTACCTGCTCCCTTCACCTCCTGCCCCCTCGGGGTGTCAGTGCTCTGCAGGGCAGGTGCAGGGCTAAGACCACGGACAGAATGGAGTCAGGGTTTAATCAGTTTTTGCCTGTTTTAGATCATTAAAAATTACTATAATTATAAATTTAATCACTTTTAAAACACTCTCAGATTCATTTAAGATATTTGTACCATTTAGGAGGCTTTTACTTTCAGGTTTATGCTGATAGAATTAAAATAAACACCCACAAAGAGACAGGAAACGTTGGGGAGAGAGGGGATGACATGAGGCAAATGGTCGCGGCCTTAAAAACGTAAAACGCTGCAGGGTCTAAAGTTCCCGTACCGAGGGCGTGCTCATCAGTTAGGCTACCTGCACCCATAAAGATATTTTTAAAGACAACTGAAACTTTTTGCAGAAAACTTTTAAAGCTCCTGTGAGGAGTTTTTAGTGTGTGAAAAAGACTTAAGTTTAAAGTGACGCCTTTTAATGAAGTTTGGGATTTCAGTTGTTGATTTGAGTTCATGATTTCTTTTCCTTAAATATTTTTGAAAGTTTTGTAAAAGTTATAACATTTTTCCAGAACTAATTTATTTGTAAAGGTGCTCTAAACATGGAGAGGCCCATTGTTAAAATATAGAAATACTCTTTTGTGATGCGTTTATGGGCCTTTTAAAAGTTCTGACATTCTGATTTTAACCAGCTCTTGAACGCACCAGTGAGTTTTTTATGCATTTAAACTTTTTAAAAGAAAAATATTATTTTTTTACTCATGGTAAAGTTTGAGATTCAGCCCTGAAGCTTTATCGTAGTCTGCTGTTTTTGTCCCATAAGTTAGAAATAATAAACATGACTTACTGTTGAGTAAACTTGGAAAAGGAGACAGAGTTAAATAGTTTATTTTAAAAGGATTCATGAAAATGTGTATGAGATGACTTTTTAAAATGAGGGACATAAAGATAGTCACATAAACACGAGAAAAACTAAATATAAATATTTTTATCTTCCCCAAAATGTAAAGGTCGCTGTTACTGATCAGCTCTAAATGAGATAAAACAGGCAAAAACAAAAGTGAATTCTTCTAAATCAGAGATAAAAACGTTCTCAGAGAAACTTTTTAGTTTTGTTTAAACGGCGAATTAACCGAAGATCTTTATCTGTTTTTGTCCTCAAACACATTCATCACATCAACTCCTCCTTTATCCCTCCATCATCTTCTCCTCTGCATGACTCTCCTTCACCTCTCCTGTCAATCTCTCCTCCGTTGTCCTCCTCCTCCTCCTCATCCTCACCCCTCCACACACACACACACACACTCGCCCACACACCACCAACACCTCAGCTGTTGGAGTGGATCCGTCGCACCATCCCCTGGCTGGAGAACCGCCTCCCCGAGAACACCATGCAGGCCATGCAGCAGAAGCTGGAGGACTTCAGAGACTACCGCCGCCTCCACAAGCCGCCCAAAGTCCAGGAGAAGTGCCAGCTGGAGATCAACTTCAACACGCTGCAGACCAAACTCCGGCTCAGCAACCGGCCCGCCTTCATGCCCTCCGAGGGGAAGATGGTCTCGGTAGGTCGAGCACCAACTCACTGAAAGTTCTCCAAAAGTTCTCGCTAAAATTTCTCTTCTTCATGCCAGAGGGTTTCTGATAACTTAGTCGTTTCTGTCAAACTTTTTAAAAATATTAAACCTCCTTCAGGCAGCAGAGGGTCATCTGTAAAAACACTTTAAAAAAGTACGTCTCATTTGAATTCGCAGTTTCCTCAGCTGGTCTGTTTCTCGGCTCTTGCAGGACATTAATAACGCGTGGGGGAGCCTAGAGGGAGCAGAGAAAGGCTACGAAGAGTGGCTCCTCAACGAGATCCGCAGGCTGGAAAGACTCGATCACCTGGCAGAGAAGTTCCGCCAGAAAGCAGCGATCCATGAAGCGTGGACTGAAGGTACTTCATCCTCACCGACCAGATTCAAAGATCTCTTGGTACAAAATAAATAAAGCTGTAAACTTTGTGAGCGAGTCAATAATTCAGTTGGTGAATCTAAATTTTTATATTTAAACCCTCTTCTTAAGACGTTTTCTGTCTCCCTCTGCAGGTAAGGAGGACATGCTGCAGAAGCGCGACTACGAGACGGCCTCTCTGTCGGAGATTAAGGCTCTGCTGAAGAAACACGAGGCCTTCGAGAGTGACCTGGCTGCACATCAGGACCGCGTGGAGCAGATCGCCGCCATCGCACAGGAGTTAAAGTAAGAGAGCAGAAACACGAGGAGCCGGGGCTGATGGGAGAAGGATAAAGGAAGGTTATCTCTAAGTGCTGTTGGAAAGAAATGAAATAGATATAAAACATATAAGAGATAAAAGCAATGTGATAAAAGTGAAAGGAAGCAAGTGAAGCAGCAGAATAAAAGTAAGCGATACAAAAGTAAAGAGAGAATAAAAGAGACGAAAGAACTAAGATGACATACAAGTGACTATAAGAGACAAAAATGAAAGTAAAAGAACAAGAAAAAAGAAAAAAAGCTGAGCTATTCAAGCATCAGAAAGAGGTCAAAGTAATCGAGATAAAAATGAAAGGGAATCAAATGATTAAAATGGAATTATAAGAGGAGGAAAATGGAAAATACTGCGATAAAAGTGATTGATAAAGAAAAGAAAAACTGCACTAAAATGGGATAAATGATAAAGAAAATCAAAAAGAAAGAAAGAAGAGATTATGGCATGGAAATAATAAAAAAGTCAAAAGGAGATTAAAGAGATTTAAACATTGGAATGAGTGAAAAGAAACAAGATCAAAGAAAAGAATGTGATAAAAGTGTTAAAGAATGGAAACGTCAAAACAAGATGAAAGTTTTAAAAAAGGAAACATTAGAATGAGATAAAAGTGTTACAAAAAGATCAGAAAATAGAATGAGAAAAAGGTGATAAAGAATGAAAATGTCAGAATGAGATAAAAATGTAACAAAAAGATTAAAAAGATAGAATAATATAAAAGTGACAAAGAGTGAAAACATTGGAATGAGATGAAATTGTTAAAGAATGAAAATGTTAGAATGAAATAAAAGTGTTACAAAAAGATCAATGAATAGAATGAGATAAAAGAATGAAAATGTTAAAATGTGTTAAAAGTGTTACAAAAAGATCAATGAATAGATTGAGAAAAAGGTGATAAAGAGTGAAAACGTCAGAATGAGATGAAAGTGTTACAGAGAGATCAAAGCTTAGAGTGACTCCTTTGTTCTTGTTCCGTTCGTGCTTCAGTGAGCTGGACTACTACGACTCCCCGAGTGTGAACGCTCGCTGCCAGCGGATCTGTGACCAGTGGGACTCTCTGGGAGCTCTGACCCAGAAACGCAGCGAAGCTCTGCAGGTGAGACGGCCTGAAAAACAGGAACTCTGAGACAGAGTTAACATGAATTTATCAAGTGTTCAATTTATAAGTCAGTTTCTTTCCTCTGTGGTTGCTGCTATCAGTCAAAAACAACTTCTGCTGTACAGTTTTAAGGTTTTTTGTACTTACTAATTACTTTGATAATTCATGATGTAAAACCTCCATGAAGTCTTTCACTTGAAAATGTATATATATATATATAAGTACTCTTGAAATATTTCATTAAGTAGAAATAAGCCCCTGAGGTTTTTAAAAGAACTGTGATTAAAATGGCGAAATGCCACCCTCTAGTGGAAAATAGTTGAACTACACATTTGACGTTTTGCTTGCAGATTGAACGAATATGAGGCTGTTTTTTGGCCGACTCGAATGATCATTTTATCAGTCAGTCTGGTCCAGATACTGACTTCTAGATATGAACAAACTCACATTCCTGGAGCTCTAGATAACAAAGTTCATATTTATCCACAGGGGGCGCCAAATCCACTCAAACCAATAGTTCCACAGAGGATTATAAATTGTTTAATTAAAGTTTGATGTCGTGTTTCTGCTCCACAGAGAACTGAGAAGCTTCTGGAAACCATCGACCAGCTGTACCTTGAGTTTGCCAAAAGAGCGGCTCCGTTCAACAACTGGATGGAGGGCGCCATGGAGGACCTGCAGGACACCTTCATCGTCCACACTATCGAGGAAATCCAGGTGAGGGGGGACTTTGTTGTCTTCAGTCTTCTGGTCCAAAAGAAGAATTTCTAACGATGAATTTGTTTCCGTTCACGATGTTTGTCTTCAGGGATTAAGCACAGCACACGAGCAGTTCAAAGCCACGCTTCCTGAGGCCGACAAAGAGCGCCAGGCCATCCTCGGCATCCACAACGAGATCGCCAAGATCGTGCAGACTTATCATGTTAACATGGCGGGCACCAACCCGTACACCACCATCAACCCGCAGGAGATCAACAACAAATGGGACAAGGTGAGGCAGGATCGGCGTCTTCATACCTGCACACCTCAGAGGTTATTTTTCTGGAGGTTTCCCGTCGTTAACACATCTGTTTGTCCCCGCCCCCTCTCCGTCCGGCTGCAGGTCAGGCAGCTGGTGCCGCAGCGTGACCAGGCCCTGATCGAGGAGCACGCCCGGCAGCAGAACAACGAGCGTCTGCGCAGACAGTTTGCCAACCAGGCCAACGTCATCGGACCCTGGATCCAGACCAAGATGGAGGTCAGTGTGCGCGGAGAGCCGGCGGCCAAACGACCACGTTACAAGTTCAGAATGAGGCCGGCGTGTAATTCAGTTTGTGTGTTTGTGGTTTTGAGTTCATTCCTGTCGAGTTAGGTCATGTGCTTTATAAAAAGAGGCTGTTAAACTCTCTGACCCCGGAGTTTGGAGACCTTAAAGGGAAATTCCGCCAAATTTGGACTTGTACTCTCTCCCTTCTTCTCCTATTACAAACAGAATAACAGGTTTTTGCAGACATGGTCATTAAAGGCGTGTTTTGATCTGTGTGTGTGTGTGTGTGAAGGAGATCGGCCGTATCTCCATCGAGATGCACGGCACGTTGGAGGATCAGCTGACGCACCTTCGCCAGTACGAGAAAAGCATCGTCAACTACAAGCCAAAGATCGACCAGCTGGAGGGAGACCACCAGCTCATTCAGGAAGCTCTCATCTTTGACAACAAGCACACCAACTACACCATGGAGGTAAAACCGACAACAACAAAAAAAACACGACAAAAAAACAACAAAACCGACTCCTGGTTTCATCGCCTCTCTGCTTCCTCTCTTTCAGCACATCCGTGTGGGCTGGGAGCAGCTACTCACCACCATCGCCCGCACCATCAACGAGATCGAGAACCAGATCTTGACGCGAGACGCCAAAGGCATCAGCCAGGAGCAGCTCAATGAGTTCAGAGCTTCCTTCAACCACTTCGACAGGGTCAGTACTCGAAATGAGTCTCAGTGCAGGCGGTCAGCAGCAGGCGAGGAGAGAAACGCTGGAAACACCAACAGATCGAGTTTTAGAAAGATACATACTTCATACTTCAGCTCGTGGAGTCGCCCCCTGCTGGCGGATAGGACAAAGTGCATGTTTAGGAAACTTCTTTAATAGCTGCAGAGATAAACGCGATCGTCTCTCTCAGGTGGAATCGCAGGTTTTCTGTCTGAATATTTAGACTGAAGCAGCGAAAGTTCATCAGTTCAGGTGAGAAGGAATCATGTCGGGGTTTGAGGTGTGTGTCCTGCTGCCCTGAGGTGTGTCTAACAGGTCAGCAGAGTGTGTCGCTCCGTTTGTGTGTGGACGCATTAGACCGTGTGCTGACCTTTCTGCTCCATTTCAGAGGATTTTATATTTCAGTGACGCTCGAACTCAGCAGGAGGAAATTCTGTCAGACTTAAACAGAATCAGAGACGAGTTTTAGATCAGGATGGAGAAGGTTCACTCGTGTGGGGATGTAGAAACAGAAATCAGGAATAACAGGTTATTAGAAACTTTGATAAGGTGACAGAAATGATAGAAATAGTAAGAATAGTAAGCTGACAGTTCTTATAGTACCATACAGAACAATAGATCATAGTACAGGTTGACATATATTACATTATGGTTCAATATGTAACAGTAGGGCTCGGCGATAAACCGAAAATTTACCGATACCGAAATTTACGACAATAATCGACGTCATTTCCCTCATATCGGTATATTCGGTGTTAAAAAACTAAATAAATCAAAGTTATTTTTGGATGTGTGTAGGTAGGCTATGGTCTCATGTCCCTTTAAGACGCTGTCCTACATCAGAGACGTGACTCCACCCCATCCAGTCCGTAACAAAGAGGGAAAGACAGGTGAGGAGATGGAGGACGGAGAGAAAGTTAATGTGGGAGGGGGGTGGAGTAGTTATCGTCCATTTATCGTTATCAAGGTGAACTGATCAATATATCGTGATATTGATTTGAGGACATGTCGTCCAGCCCTATCATAGTTATATGAAGCAGGTCAGTGATGTTTCAGGATGAATGAAAGATGAGATTTTAGCAGATAAACCTGAATAAAGAGGTGAAGTCGTTGTTCAGAGAAGGTCAAGTATAAATAGAAATGTGTTCACACCATAGGTACCGACTCCATCTGTGTCCATTGAAGGCTGTTTCTATAAAACCTGCTCCGTCCCCCCCCCCCCCCCTCTGTTTACACTGAGCCTCGACGTGTCAGGAACAGCACCAATTATGGAGGAGTTTTTATTTAGCTCCTTCTCCTCACCCCCTCCCTCCCTCCTCTCCCTCACCCCAGCTCTCCCGCTGACTCCTCCATTAGCTCATGCGTTTTTTCCAGCGCTGCTCTATCGTTAATCAATACCTCAGGTAAATGATCAGAGCTCACAGGGAGCCCGCCCTGGACCCGGACTTTGGCTTTTCTGTCATGTTTCATTAGGACCCCGGCTCTCAGAGAGGTGTATCGATCCGTCTGCAGAAAAAAAGAGTAATTTCTTAATCTGATGAAAGTTTGGATGGATAAAAGTTTGACTTTAGAGCTTTAGTTTACAGTCAGAGTTTAACCCTCAGAACTCCCAGATATATTTTACTACTTTTGTTCCGCCTAGGTGCAAAAATTTTAAAAAATAAATGTGACAGTAGATTCAGAACCATCAGAGTCAACCAAGAAACAAAAACGGATATTAATCCAAACAGAACTTTGCTCCAAAAACACATAAATCTACAGTGACCTACAGCCTTTTCTCACCTGAACATCATTCTCTCAAGTCTTGACTATCAGGAGAAGAAATATTAGGATTGGAACAAACACACAACAGAAACTATTGACATATTTACACTTATTTTTCAGGTGTTTTTTTACTCTTTACAGTTGTTTCTGCCACTCCTGGGATGAGACAGAGGACCACATCAGACTGCTCAGAATCTCTTCTTTACTTGTTTCCAAACATCAAGGAACTTTATTTCTTATTTTGCAGATAAGCAGGGAACTTTCTCGTCTCTTATTGGACACTACCGTCAAAGAAACGATAGAAAAAGAATATGAGACCGTGTAATTGGTCAAAAGTTTGATGATAGAAGACATCATCAAAACAACTTGTCAAACTCGGAAGACATTATCGGCATTTAGTGATAGTGATCTGATAAATAATCCTGTTTTCACTGATATATCGCCATCAAACGTCTCTGATCAAACACCTGTTTTTGTGGCTGGATTGTAAACCTTGTGGCAGGTGTAGAACCGACTGAAAACCCTCGATAGATCACCAACTTTTGAACACTTTTAATCCCGTAGAGATACGCGGTATAGTTCCTGAGAAACTGTAAAGAATATTATCGGTCTCACGTGGGAGTTCTGAGTGTTAAACAGTGAAATCCACAGGGACAGACGTTCATGTGACTCTCTTCTCGTTTCTCTCGTGACGTGCCGAGGTGTTTGTGATGAAGTGTGTTTTTTTGAACTGATGCTGCACACAGAGAGGTAAAGGTGTGTTGACCTGAGAGGATCATGTTTTGTGAATAACCTGAGCACTCGGCCCTGCAGTCTGGCTGCACACCGCACATTAACGCCTGAGAATGCCCTCACCCAGCCAGCAGAGTGTTCACCTCCACATCCTAATGCTCTGTGTTCTCTCCTCTCTGTCTCCTGCATGACCCTCCCTCACTTCCTCCCTCCTTCCCTCCCTCCCTTCACCCCTCCACACCTCCCCCTGTGCATGGTGCACTCCTCCACCCTCCACCTCCTCTCCCCTCCACCTCCACCTCCTCCTTCACCGTCACTGACACGGCTGTATGTGTTGCTGCATGGCCTGTGGCCCCCCCGATGCCTCGCCTGGCACTGGCCTCCCACCCCCCCAGGACCACTCGGGCACTCTGGGCGCCGAGGAGTTCAAGGCCTGCCTGATCAGCCTGGGCTTCGATATCGCCAACGACGCACAGGTACTTTATCGTAGCCCCGCCCCCTCTGTGAGAGGTTTAACCTTTCTTTTTGTTTTCTTTTGTACTTTTCCCCCCTTTCTTGTTTTTCCACCCTTCCCCTCTCCCTCCCTCTTTTAATTCTTACCTCGAACCTTGAACCTTCCCTATAATTTCCCAACACTTTGCAACGTCCACCTCGTGGATTTTTGCGGCTGTCTTCCTAAACTCTCCTCTTTGTTCATCCTAAACTCTTCCGACGATTCCTCCCTCCTCTTATCCCCTGCTGCTCCACCTCCTTCCTCTCCTCCTGGTTTCGTTTGTCCGTCGCTGACCTTGTAGAAGAGATCAGGAATCATGGATGCTGAAGACTTCAAAACCTGCCTTATCTCCATTGGTTACAACCTGGTAAAACCACGAGCACGCCTCTTTTATGAACGTTTGTTTGTGTGTGATTAAAAAAGACGAGCTGGAACTGGTAATGGACAAAAGTCACTTTTATTTTTACTCCACTTTGTTTGCATGTCGAAGATCTTTGATTTAGAAAGGTAGATGAAATTTATGATGAAGAAAATGTAACTCTGAAGAAGTTTGAGGAAACAGAATTGGATGGTTTGATGGTTTATGATTTCCAATTCCTCGTTGAAAGGACAACTGGACTTACTTGAGACGTTTCACCTTAGGCAAACCATCAAATTCTGTTTCATCAACATTTTAAACAGCATCCCATCATCTTTGAAAGTGGAGTTGTTTTCTTAACTTACTTTAAAATTCACTTTTTTGAGTTAAAGTGTCTGTAAATCCAGAAAGTCTGAGCGCAGAGCTTCACGGCTCCTCTCTGTTCCTCTCAGGGTGAGAACGAGTTCTCGCGCATCATGAGCATCGTGGATCCGAACCGGATGGGCATCGTCACTTTCCAGGCTTTCATCGACTTCATGTCCCGCGAGACGGCCGACACGGACACCGCCGACCAAGTCATGGCCTCCTTCAAAGTGCTGGCAGGAGATAAGGTACGGAGACGCGTGCTTTAGTTTCTCAGCGTCAGAAAGAAGATGGTGGCAGAGCGACACATTTGGGGTTATCTAAGGTTAATGAAGGTTGTCTAAGGTTACTAAGCTTGTTAAAAAAACACATTTCCTTTTGTTCTTTTGGGCTGAAATAAAGAATCATGAAGGATAATTGATTTTATGATCGATCATCACGCCTCCTCTGAAAGATGACTCAAACAAACTCAGGGTGAGGACTGCATCTGCACCTTTCAGCTCCTGAGAGGCTGATTATTAAGCTCCATTGTGGCTGGACTTTGGTTATCTTGCGCCCCCTTGTGGACATTGATGGTATACAGATGATTTCATAAAGATTATTCTCCAACTTCGGACCACGGTTCATTAGATTGTGCTCTAGTTCTCACCACCTTCTGCTAACTCTTGATAGAACCGTTACCTGCTCGTCTGACCTGATTTCATGTCCTTCTGTTTTTTGGTAGAACTACATTTTGGCCGAGGAGCTTCGTCGGGAGCTTCCTCCAGACCAGGCCGAGTACTGCATAGCCCGAATGGCCCCCTACACCGGCCCGGACGGCGTAGCCGGAGCCCTCGACTACATGTCATTCTCCACTGCTCTGTACGGGGAGAGCGACCTCTGAACTCTCTGTCAGTCGTCCTGACCCGGGACCACCAGCCTACCTGCTCTGATCACCGCCACGTCCTTCGACCGCCCCGCCACCACACTCCTGTCCGACTGCGCGCATTTTTTGTATGTCTCTGGCCTTATCTTTTTGTCAATATCCTCCCCTTCCTCCTCCTCCTCCTCCTCCTCGCCCTTCCTCCTCCCCCTCCTCTCCAGCCTCCTCCTGCTCCCTCACACTCTGTCTTCGTTGTATTTGCTTCCCACGCAATGCAGCAGCTCTCCAGGTTTACAAAGAGGGAGAGAGAAAATGTTTGTTTCTGTTTTTATTTTCTTGTTGTCATTGTTTTTCTTCATAAAATGAATAAAGTTAACATATTTTATTATACTGAACAAAAAAAGGTATTTTTCTTCACCTGATTGAAAATAAGAGACGAAAATTGTAATAAAGAAAAATTGCTATACTTTCCTTTTCTATTCCTCCTCTGTCTCTGTTTGCTGCAGGACTCGCTTTAATGAACTCAGTGTGACAGTTTAGGGACTTAACTGACTCTCAGACTCAAATGGACAGTTTCTGGACCACAGGAATCCTAGTGTCAGCGGAAAAAGCGTGTAAAAACAGAGCCTACACTCAAAGACATGTAGTTCTATAACATATCGTTTTCAAAAAGTCAAAGACGTGAAGAAAATAGACCAGAGCGGATGTATACGGTGTTTTAAAACCTCTTCTTTCTGGGTGTAACTTGAGAGAATATTCAGGATTTTTTTTCCCCACTAAGTAAAAGTTGTTGGGAGGGAAGGGATGTTTTAACAGTCTTTGTTTTAAAGCAGATTTTTCCAACAATATCAATGTTTTTGTTTTAATGTCTGAGTGTTGATGCTTTTCTTTGTACAGGCCTGAATCCAGTTCCTCATTTGTAACAAAAATGAATTTAAAACTTCCAAGATTGCTTTTAAGGTCTTAAAAAATCCCTTTTACATCAGTGAAATCTGCATTTTATGACTAAATTATTCAAACTTTTCCTCTATTAAGACATTTAGACAGCAATGGATGGAGATTGGTGCTTTGTGAAAAATACTGACATTAAAAGTATTTACATAGATTGGAAAAAGCTAGTCTGTTAATTTTCAAGAAAGATCAACCTCTCTGCCTCTTTAGTTTAACTAATTCACAAACACTGAAAATCTGAGAATAAGAAATTAGGCTATCATTGTCGCTGCAAGAGAACTTATAGACACACTGGTAATTTCTTGTTAAACTAACTTTTCTCAGTAATGGCATAGATTAAGTTTACAGTTTAATCCAGAAGGAGGATGTATTGTGATTTTTTTAAATGCTAAACGCTTCTTTCAGACTAGCTAATAAAATGGCCAAAGTTAATCTAGGCGTGACAAGTTAAGCTCCGCCCTCAAAGTTAATTGGACAACTTTAGCACCTGGATTAGTTTTGTCAGAGCACTCACAAAAAATGGCGCCGAAGTTTCGTTTCAATGAATCAGTGAAAAAACTGGATGAATGGACAGACACCAAAGTGTGGAGTGACTCTAAACGGACAAAATGAAGGTAAGAACGTAAATTTGAATCATAAACGCGATGTAAAATGTTTCATGACGATGTTAGTGTGCGGTATCATTAGAAAACAAGCAGAAGCATCAACAGTGTAGCTGGAATTGTGGTTATGTGAGATTTTATGACCATAAAGCTGAACTGCAACATAAATAGAAAATGTGTGTCATTTTAAAATTTTATCTGATAATTTTTCACTCAAAATAAAATAAAAACAAACAAAAAGATCTCTTTGGCGCTCACACACCGGAACGTTTCATCTTTCTCCGCGTTCTGACGGACGGTTAAGTGTGACGGACCCTCTCCGGAAGCCCGCTCCTGTGTGACCTGACGGTGTTTCAGTGAAATGGATCCTCTGTAATCTGAAATTAGGAGTCATGTTCGGATTAAAGGCTCTGCAGAAAAACAAAACAGTCAGATATGGAGTCCCCATGCTGGTAGGTCGATCTTATATCATATCTTTATTTTCATTATCACACATTAACGCGGTTTTGAGACCATTTAGCGAGTGAGTGAACAGTTTAGTGGAGGATAGATCCGCTTCAGGGTCAGTTTAGAGTTAATGTTGATGTTTTAGATGTTTCTGTCGTAAATTATTCACTCAGGATATCTCATATTAGTAGATTAGATTTAGTCAGAGCCTGGTTTATTTCGTATTCATTAATACTCAGCTAAAATTTGTGTGAATTGTGTTTCATGAAACAGAGCTGTAAGTTTAAAGGGATGTTCCGACGTAAAATTAATTTATTTGTAGTTTGTTGCCGACCGCTTGCTTCTCTAGTTATACCAATTTTAGTAACGACCGCAGGATAGCAATACACATCGGTCTGAGGAGCCATAAACAAACCTTAACAAAAACGCCGCTCTATAGCCACAAATAATGCTCAGAACAGCACCTAACTTCATCAACAGGACATATAGGACTACAGCGGGGTGACGCAGCTCAAGGAAGAACATTTATGATCATTTCTTTATCATTTCCCTGAGTATAGTCTGAGTAGAGAGAAAGAAGCAGATGTTTCTTTTCACTCATTTTCCTCTGATATTAAACCTGTAATGCTCTAAAATCACACAAACTGACCACATGTCCTCTGGATGTTTTCAGCTGCTGGTAGTCGGAGGATCCTTCGGTCTGCGAGAGTTCACACAAATCCGCTATGACGCTCAGAGGATCAGGAAAAAGGTTCGTAGAGGATAAAAACATATTTTATAAGGGCTTCAACTGAACAGCCATCTGTGCTATAGCTCCACCCAGTGTTCAGACACATCACTGCATGTCAGATTCCTGGTTTCTTGCATGTATAGGGTATAAAAATAGCACCAATGCAGAGATGTTCCTTCCTGTTTGAGTTCTGCCGGCGCCCTGCTGTGATATGTGCCCGATTGAAGCGTATTTATAATTTTTTAAAGGACTATAGATGATTTAATTTGTCCATCCGTCACTGCAGACACGCAGCACTGTCAGCCTTGTCTAACCCATTTAGAGCGCCTCAGTACAAGTGAGAACAGGCCGGAATAATTCATTAAATGACAGATCCGATTCATTAAAGTGACGGAGGAGCGGCCCTTTATTAGACGCTGTTATGTTGTGATGAGCTGGCTGAGGGAGGAAGTCGCTGGTTTGTGCTTTTTTACTGTCGTGTGTGACGCTGGGTGGGAGCCAGATGGCAGGGGCGTCTTTCCTTATTATTGTCCGTCCGTGTGAGGCGGCGCTAGACTGTGGAGGATGAAGTCGGAGAGGAGGCGAAGAGCCCCTGGCAGCCGGCCCACGCAGCTGCCCCCTGCACTGCTGGCTCTCCTCGGGGGGCTGCTCCCCTCTCAGACCCCGTGGAGTAAAGACTCGGCTCTGCTCTGCATGTGTGCGCTCACTCGAACACTTCAGTATTTTAACATCAGGCTGATGTTTCCTCCGTCATCACATTTTCACAGAATCAAACTCAGAGTTAAACCGTAAAGAGAAACAAACTAAAGACAGGTGTTGTTTTTGGCTTCCTGTTTTAATTTTAGTCTTTTAGTCAAACTGTCATTTTAGTTTTATCAGTTTTGGTCACGTTCAAACTCATTTTTGTTTAGTCGAGTTGTAGTCGGCGAAAACTCTGAGCATTTTAGTCGAGTCTTAGTCAGAATAACCCACGACTATTTTAGTCTAGTTTTAGTCAATGACTTTAATCTCTTTTTAGTCATGTAATTCTGTTTAACCCAGTTACGATTAGGGTTGGGTATCGCTTGATTTTAAACAATTCTGATTTCGATTCCTACCGATTCTCTATTCGCGATTCTTTTAAAAGGCAGGATATTAAAAAAAAAAGTACATGGTTAAAATGAGTGTGCTAACCAGAGTTCTTCTTTTTGGATGAAATTTCTGAACTTCTCCATGAATTTTTAAATCATATTAACTTTTTAAGAACTTTACTATGAATTTCTCACATTTTCTACCAGTATATCAATATGAAGTCCAAGAGCTAATGTTAGTTGGATATTTAAGTTGACCCACCGTGCACAGTACAATTTGTTTACCGCTCCAAAGTTAGCAGAGGACAGAAGTAATTTACTGTTTCACTTTTCTGATCCTGACTGGTTAGAGGAAGACCGGTGTTGTGCCGTAGAATGCACATTAGCTTCTTAAAGCGGAAGAAAATGATCTCATATAAAGAAAAAAACACGAGTTTTGGATCATGACAACATGTCAAATGGAGCAGCAAACTTTCACTTTGTTTTTATGTGTCTCTAAAATGCTCATATAGAGATGTACTTGGGTGTATAAACACTACAGTAAGCTGTGAAGGTAAAGAACATTATATCGGATTGAGGATGTGACGTCGCACAGCCGAGGAAACAGAAAACAACAACAACAACGCGATTGAACAATTTCATCTCATTTTAGTCAACGAAAATGAACATTTTAGCAGAGTTTTTATTTCGTGAACCAAATTAAGTCTCGTTTTTATTTGTCTACAATAATGTTTTATATATTTAGTCATAGTTATTGTCACAAGACCACCATTTACGTTTGGTCTCGTCTTGTTTTTGTCACGCGATAAAGGTTCATTGATGAAAGCAACACTACTCATGACCGGTGCAGAATGAGACCAGAGACGCTTTGAGTGAAGATCGAGTCACACCTGAAGGTTCTTACCTTTCCGTTATGTTGTCAGGGACTTAACCACGACCACCTCAGCCTCCTCGCTGCCAATATTCCAGCGTCTCCAAAATCATTTAAATGTGTAAAAATAAGTCCCATATTTAAAAAAATAAAACACACCTTATAATCCAATTAGCATATTTTCTTCAAATATTAACTCGTTGAACCCGAGGGCCTCCTGTCTGTACTCCTCCTCCTCCTCCTCCTCCTCCTCCTTAGGTTTATTTTAGAGCTGAAGGAAAGTTAATAACACCTCCACAGCAGCTCTCAAACTAATTACTCCGGCTATTTATTCCCGAGTCTGAGGGCTGGAGAATATTCTATATATTATTTATTTGCTGTAGTAATGTAGGCCTAATTAAAAATCAATCATGGAATTATGAAACTCATCAGTCATCCCAGTAACTGCAGGATTATTTCCATGAAATATTAGAACTCATTAAAAGTAATGATTCAGAATGGGATTCATTTCAGTCCTATTCTCGGGCAAAATCCATTTGAATTGCAGAAGCGGGAGAGAGCGGCATCGGACTGAAGAGAACCTCTGACCCATAACTCTCTTTATCGCCGCACCTGCTGATACCGGCGCCGAGTGAAGCGGAATAATTTGAAGGGTATAAACAGGAGGGTTCAGGTCCTTCCTGATAATTCGTCTGCTCTTGTTGAATTTTTGTGTATTATCCATCTTTAGAGTCAGAAACCTCCTCACACTAACTCTTCTCCTCTCCCGTCTCTCAGCTGGATCCTTCTCTGGAGGCCAAAGTGAACTTGGAGCGGCAGTCGGTCATCCTGGAGGAGGAGTACGAGGTGAGAAGAGACCAGCAGGGCGGCCTGAGGAGAGGGAGGGAGAGGAGGGTGGAGAAGGAAGGGTAGAGAAGGAAGCTGACGAAACATACGTGTGCTCTTCTGTGATGGAAGTTTTCACGTCATCATGGGACAAAAATGGGCAAAAACACAGGGTCGTGTTTTAATTTAAGGATTTAACATTAAACTTAAAAACTCTGGAAAATAAAAAATCTGATTTTTTTGACCCGAGGATGTGAGTTTTAAAGAGAAAAGAAGATAATTTAGTGTTTGTCTTTTCATATTCCAACCACTAAATGTTGCATAAACATCCACCAGAAAGAAGATAATTTAGTTTGAGCTGCTTTATTATCTTTTAATTAACCTGGAGGCAGATCTTCATCCGTCACACATCCTAATAAAACGGGTCAAAGTTGGAATATGTGCGAACCTTTTCTCCTGAAAGTGGAGGAGAAGGTTCGATGTCAGACAAAGTCAAACAGCTCCTCCGATAAAAGGCTGGAAACTGGAGGATGAGGGAGGGTATGAAGGTATTTGACCATCCGTGAAGAGGAATCCTGACAGCTCAAGTCTGGCCTCCACTCACCTGTGAGACACACCAGATGTCTGAGTTTTCCTCATCTGGTCATTTCAAACGAAATCAGACAGAAATCCTGCAGGAACTTTTACTCTCTGAATGTTTTTCTTTGTTTCCCCGCAGAAGCTGAAGGAGGTGAATTTGGAGGACTGGAAGAACATCCGCGGCCCTCGTCCCTGGGAGGAGTCGAGGGAGTATCAGGAGCAGCAGAGAGCGAAACTGAACAAGAACGAGTGAAACTCAGAGAGGACTGAACGAACCGAGGACAAACACAGAGAGACGGACTGGACAAGAGGAGTCTCTCCTTTTAGACTCGGTGAATACATGAGAACTTTATAGACGTCCGCTTGAGTTGGACCTGACAGGGAAATCCAAATAAAGTCAAACCTGGACTTTGATTCTTGGGGGTCTTAAAGAAGTTTATGGTTTTGGAGTGAAGGTGTCTTCACTAAACCAGGATGTGATGGATGTAAAAGAAGGTAAAGATCATTAAATTATGTTTCTATCAAAAAAAAAAACGGACTTGGATCGTTTTAAATGTCTGAAAAATGACAAAATTTTACTTCAGAGAAAGGAGGGAGAGAAGGAGGAAGGAAAGAAGGAGGTAGGAAGGAAAAGAGAAGGAACAAAGAGGGAGGAACGGAATAAGGGAAGAAAGTGCAAGGAAGGAGAGAATAAAAGCAGGAGAGGAGAAGGGAAAGAAGAAAGGAAGGAACAAAGGGAGGGAGGAAAAAGGTAAAGGAAATAGGTTGGGGAGAATGGAGAGGAGGGTGAAGGGAAAGGAGACAAGGGAGAGAGGAGGCAGGAAAGAAAAGGAGGAAGGAAGGAAAGCAGGGAGAAGGTAAGGGAGGTAGAAGGGAAGGGAGGCAGGAAGGAAAAGGGAGGGAAGAAGGGAAGAGTGGGAGGAAGGAGAGAGTAAAAGCAGGAAAGGAGAAGGGAAAGAAGAGAGGAAGGAAAGGAGGGAGGTAGTAAAGAAGACTAGGTGGGGAGGGAAAGGAGACAAGGAAGGGAGGCAAGGAGGAAGGAAAGTAGGGGGAAGGAAGGAAAGTAGGAAGGGAAAGTAGACGAGGGAGGAAGGAAAAGGAGGGAGAATGCAAACGAGACAAGGGAGGCAAGAAGGAAAGGGCAAAATGGAGGAGGGGAGGAAGGGAGAGGAGAGACGGGAGGGAGGAAAGAAAGGAGGGAGGAAGGAAAGGAATGAAAGGAGGAAAGGGAAGGCTTTGTTTAAGACCAGAAACAGCTGTTTTGTTTCTGTTCTACCAAACCCCATATAAAAAAACGTTAATTTTCAAAGTAAGTGAGGAGTGAGTTTAAAAGAGAGGAGCCTGCAATAACCCAAACATCCAGCAGATGTCACTCCTGAGTGCTGCTGCTCCTCTCCTTCTTCAGAGGTGGAAGTGTCTCTCAGAGTGAGCTCTCCATCCCTGAATAAATGACGCTCCGTTGGTCTAAATTTTGCTTTAATGTTGTTTTTCGTAAAAGCTCGTCGCTGATGTGTCGAGTCTTTGTTTACAGCGGAGCCGCATCGATTCTGCCGTTAAAGTATCAAAGTATAAATAAGAGTGAGCGCAGCCTTTCCTCAGGCGTCACGCTCTCCACACTCATCTGTTTCTCTGACAGTTATTACTTTGGATATATTACATTTGTAATGGAAATGCTATTACCTTTTCCTCTCTTCCGAAGCCAAAGAACATGATTTCTGTGGTGTAAGCTGATGTTTGTGTGACTGACACATTATGTACGCTCAGGTGCAGAGGTGTGCGTGAAAACATCCAGGGAAACATTTCCTATAATCACTTTTTTATGTTCATCATTTCTGAGTCGGATCCTGGATTTATGAGACCCAAACAAGTGTGGATTATTCTTCCTGCACAGGTTGTACCGATCTAAATCTGAATCTTTGAGCATCAGGCCACAAAGAGAAGCTATCAAGTGATTTTCCGCAGGATTGGAGGATCAGTTCGAGGTTTTTATTGCGGCCTGTGAGTTGATAAAAGTGTGTGTGTGTGTGTGTGTGTGTGTGTGTGTTCCTGCAGTTGTTGCATCTGTAATCTTGGAGGTCAATCACACACTTACTTCTCAAACTGCCTGAGGCTGTTTTTGATTAGACGTGCACTCTCTGAAAATCAAAACGAAGGCGGCGGCGGCGAGGAGGACGCTGCGGTGTCTAACGGTTAGAGAGCAGAAATATTGAAGCTGATGGTGAAAAATCAGTCGCTCTGATTTAAAACTCTTAGAGCTGGAGGAGGAAGTTTGAAGTGAACTTGTTTCTCTTGTTTCTCTGGATTTTGGTGAGCGGGTAAATTTTGAGGATTCATGGAGGTAAAAATGGCGGCGTGGACTCTGAGAGGTCAGCTGATCGTTTCTGATGATCCTGAAGGTCAAAGATGAAGGTCACCAAACTGACAATAACGAGTTTAATTTATAATCTACCTGTGATCAGGAAACACTTCTCTTCCTCTTTCCTCTATTCTCTCCCCTCCTTCCTTCCTTATCCCCCCTTTCTTTTTCTTCCTTACTTTCTCCCTTCTTCCCTTGCTTCCTCTCTCTCTACCTCTTCCCTCTCTTCCTTCTTTCCACATTTTCTCTTTTCTCCCTTTCTTCCTTTCATCCTTTCTCCTTTCCTCATTTTCTCCTTCTCTTCCTCTTCCCTCTCTCCCTTCCTTCTATTCTCTCTCCCTCCTTCCTTCCTTCCTTCCTTCTCCTCCCTTTTTCTTCCTTCCTTCTTCCCCCTTTCTTTTCTTGCCTCCTTCTTCTCTCTTTTTCTCTCTTCCTTTCCCTCTTTTCTTTCCTTGCTTTCTCCCCCCTTTCCATCCCTTCCTATACCCATTCTTCCTTATTTTCTTCCTCTTACCCTTCTCCTTCTTTTCCTTCCTTTCTCCCTTACCTCCTCCCTCCCTTTCTTTCCTTGCTTCCTCTCTCTCTACCTCTTCCTCTCTTCTTTCCTCCCCTCTCCCCCTTTCCCTCTCTTTTCCTTCCTCTTACCTTTCCCTTCATTTTCCTTCCTCCCTCTCCTCATTCTTCCCATCCTTTCTTTTATTCATTCTCCTTCCTTCCTTTCCCCATACTCTCTACCTCTCCTTTTCTTTCTTCCTTTCTTTCTTTTTCCACTCTTTCTCCCTACCCCCTTTTCCTTTTTTATCCCCCCCTCCTTCCTTCCTTCCTTCCTTCCTTCCTTCCTTCCTTCCTTCCTTCCTTCCTCCTTCCTTCCTCCTCAGACCTTTCTCACCTCCTTTTCCAGAACTTTGAGGTAAACTTTATGTTTCACTCTCTCCTTCGTAAACCAGCTGATTTTTTATTTTAAATTCTCGTTAAACGTCTTTTTTTCCTGTTCGATAATTTTTTCAGACTCTCTCGTTGAACATCTAAATTTCTCCGTCCTCCATCGTCGTCGTCTTGTTGACAGTATTTCTTCGTGACGCTCGTCTCTGCGGTTTAAAAATAGCGTTTGTGTTTTGACTCACGTCCCCTCCTTAAAGTCCTCCTTTAATGGACCTCACAGTGAACGGCGTTTATTCGGCGTGTATGTTCGCTGAACCGGCGGTAACCTCGGTAATTGTGCAGCGCCACACAACCTCACAGCTTCCTCTTATCGCCGCTTCAAATGAACCGAGTTATGGAGGCTGGAGACGCGCTGAAGCAAGAGATCCCTTATTATGGAGCTGCAGCGCGGGTGTAGTCGACGGAGGCCGATGTGGGTCAGCGCGGCTGGACGAGGTATCGTGGGCGAGCTGTCAGGACGCGTGACGGCGCCGAGGCCTAATTTGAAGAAGACCTGCCCACTTCTTCACGCGCTCTTTAATGTTTTATTTTAAATGCAGGAAAACGTCGTAAAATATTCATCGGACACGGCCGAGAAAGAGAAAAATCAAATTCAATATTTACCGCAGCAGCAGCAGCTTTCTACACGGCGAGGAACTGATGAGGTCGGAGGAGCGGGGCGCGTGGAGCTGCTTCAGATCCAGAGACACGGGACAAAAACAAGACCAGGTTCAGTTCCAGGGGCCTCATGCAGCTCCGGGGCCCCAAAACAGGAAGGTTCTGTTTCTATGAACGGACTGGGGATCTCAGAGGTCAAAGGTCAGAGAAACCGGCTCCAGAGAGACGGTCTGTCAATCAAAACTCTAAAAGTTTTACAGACACTAAAGAAGAACTTCATCCTTCTGTTATCTATAACTACATCTATCCTTCCTTCTTCCTTACATCCTTCCTTTCTGCCTTTTTACTTTTCTCCCTCCTTTCTCACCATCTTCCTTCTCCTCATTTATACCTCCTTGTTTCTTTCCTTTCATCCTTCCACCCTTCCTTGCCCCTTTTCCTCCTTTCTTTCAATAATCCTTCATTTCCCATCCTCCCTTGCCCCCTTCCTTCCTTTATTTTCTATCCTCTCTTGCCTCTTTCCTTCCTTCTATTCCTCTATCCTTCCTTGCCCCCTTCCTCCCAAATATTCCTCCCTTCTTTCTATTCTTCCTACCTTCCCTCCTTAATACCTTAAACCTCTTTTTCCCACCCTTCTTCCACATCCCCATCCTTCACTTGTGCCAACAATCCTTTTATGTTCCATCCTTTCCTTTCCTTTCCTTTCCTTTCCTTTCCTTTCCTTTCCTTTCACAATGCTTCCTCTCTCTCAGTTCTTTTATTCCACCTTCCTTCCCCCCTTCCTCCCTTCCTTCCTCCCTTCCTTCCTTCCTAAAGGTAGAGCTGTAGATGTTGACTTTAGTCTGAAGTCGATTCTTTGATTCTGATTTCTTTAAAATAAAATGTTCGAGGAGAAATCCTCAACCTTCACCGTCCACTCTGACTCACAGAAACGACCCTTTATTCTCTCTCCCTCTCTCTCTCTCTCCCTCTCCCTCTCCCTCTCCCTCTCTCTCTCTCTCTCTCTCTCTCTCCCTCTCTCTCTCTCTCTCTCTCTCCCTCTCTCTCTCTCTCCTCTCTCTCTCTCTCTCTCTCTCCCTCTCCCTCTCTTTCTCTCTCCTGTTTCGTCGTTTCTATAAATAGACGGACGTTTGGCAGCTGAGGGGGAGTCCACGCAGAACAAATGCCCCCTCTGGCTGTTTCACTTCATTCTCCTCATAATGAACGAACACAGATCACCGCCGTCATTTCCTCTCTCCCCCAGCCGGACACGATGGGGGGTGGGGGGGGCTGCTCGCTCGTCGACGTCGAGGCCTCTAGGAGGAGGCAGAGCGCTCTCAGAGGAGCTAACTGTCCATCCTCCTTTCAGCCCCATGAGGAGACGAGTCCAGAGTCCCTCACTGTTCTCCTTCTTCTTCTGTGTCTCTGATGTCACGGCATCGTTGTGGGTATCCCTCCCTCACCCATCCTCCCCCTCTCTCACCCATCCTCCCCCCTTCTATATTCCAGCTCAGTGAACCTCTTACTGCTCGGCTGCAGGAGGGAAACTCTGCAGAGTCCCAGATTGTGGATTTCCTTCGAGCTGAGAGTCCGTTAAGAGTGAGAGCTTTCTGATACGAGGGGAAACTTTAAAGGGATATTCCGGCGTAAAATTAATTTAGGGTCAAACCCACCGTACACCAAGTTTTAGCAGCCGCTTGTTTGTAGTGAGACCTCGGGGTGACGCAGCTCAAGGAAGAACATTTATGATTATTTCCTTGAAGTAATAATTAGGGCCCGACTGATTTATTGTCGAGCTGATTAAACCGGCCAATTTTAGCCTGTTTGAGACTAATTGGTGATCAGCCAAAAATCTCAGATTGTCACCGATATTTTCAGAAATAAAATGCAGAGAATAAGATTCGGTTTCACTTCGAAAATGTTTCGCCATTTGAAAAGATCCCCGACTTATCCTGTAGATGGCGCAGTGACCATCTACAGGTTGAAAACTCTTTTCTGGTCCGAGTTTAATTCATGATAAATAGGTGGAATATTACTGAGATGATCAGTCAGTCTTTAAGAGCAGTAGCCTGCAATATATTGAGTGTTCCTCATTTTGAGTTGGAAGTTCACTGTTCGCACTTGTATACCTAGTTCTTTTTCAGTTGTTGTAGCAATAGAGAAGATTTGAAATGAGTTTTCTGCCTTTAATTCTTTGAGGAAGTGTTTGAAAGGCTCAGGCATTTGTTAAAAAAATAAGTAAATATGTAGATATATTTATTAAATTTACAAATTTTAAAACTTAAAAAAATTTAAAAATCGGCTGATTAATCGGTAATTGGACCCCCCATGATTGCATTTCCATGAAGAAATGATCATAAATGTTCTTCCTTGAGCTGCGTCACCCCGCTGTAGTCTGTAATGGACTGGCCTGAGGTCTCACTACAAACAAGCGGCTGCTGGAAGAGAGTAGGTGAGTTGTGTTTAGTCTCTTTGCTAAAGAAATGAGTCAAAGTTAAAAAGATGTTTGGTGTCTAGTACTATGGCTGGGACCCTATATGTCCTGTTGATGAAGTTAGGTGCTGTTCTGAGCATTATTTGTGGCTGTGGAGTGGCGTTTTGGTTGAGGGTGTGGCTCTCTGTATTGCTATCCTGCGGTCGTTACTAAAGTTGGTAAAACTAGAGAAGCAAGCGGTCGACAACATTCATCTCTGGAGGGGGGTCTAACTCGGTGTTACGGTGGGTTTGACCCTAAATTAATTTTATGCCGGAATATCCCTTTAAGTGAAGAAAAATAATCCGCTCCTCTTCTTTAGACGATTGTGTTCATAACAGATCTGCTTCTTATTGCAAAATAAAACGTGGTCTTAGACTGTCCGAGAAACTCCTAGAAAAGAAGCCAAAACTCTTAGAGCTCCCCCTGCTGGTTGGCTTTGGTATACGTCATAGAGCTCTCTCTCTCTCTTCCGTGACTCTCCCTCCGTCTCCTGCTGGAGTAAACTCTGCATGCACTTTTCCCCCCACCTCCTCTAAACACACGCATCCACCAGTGACAGGAAGTGGCCGAGCGGCCTCCAGGCGCCGAGATCCTGATGCGAGGTGACTCTGTACCTTTCTCATTTCACAGCTTCACTTTTCATTACTGAGCATCATAAGTGGATGTCGCCCGGGGGTGGTGGTGGAAGACTTAACACCCCCCCTGACCCCGCTCTCTCCCGCTCTCTCCCCCCTCTTCTCACACCGGCCTGACCCTCTGTGTCGCCGCCTCGCTCTTTTATTTCCACTCATGTTGTTGCAACTCGAGCCTGGAAATAATCGGCGTGTGCAGAGTGCCGAGCGCAGCTGCAGCCCCGTCGTTCAGTGTTTGTGCATCTGCTGTTTCCTGCTCCAGATTCTCCTCTGCAGCCGACCCGGGTCTGCAGACTTCCGGAAAAGTAATAAAAAATCTGGAGAAGGAGGAGAGAGGTGAGGGACTGTACTCTCCCTGAATCAATGCAGGCAGTCAGTTTCAGGGCTGCAGCCGTCACGCTCCTCTCAGCGGGACGCTGGAGCAGGCCTGGTGTGTTGATTACAAGTCTAATCCATTAATCATCACTGAGCGCATGGAGGACTTTGATGAGCGAGGAGGCAGGAGCAGACATTGAATTCCAATCATTTGATGCATGCTGGCTGCAGGTGTACGCTGAATCCACCAACACCTTTTTTTCTCTCTGCAGATGAAAAGAATCTCGTTTGTATTCAAACTCCGAGACATTAGTGGGTCGACGTCGAGATCATTTATTCACATGATATCAAAGACGCACGCTGCACGCTCAAGTTTTGATACGAGAGGTTTCTGTTTCATCAAAAAACTCTGAGCTGTGATCAAAATGCAACAAGAGAGGCTGACGTCCACAATTACTCACTGCACTTCCTCCTCCTCACCACTAGGGGAGCTGTGATCACTGCAGAATTGAGTTTGTTAGCAGCTATTGTGGCAATTCAGTCACCACTGTTACCTCTTATCTTTAAGCTTCTTGTCAGCGAGTAAATTAGTTAACGCTCAAGTTTTTAACAGTTTGAGGTTTTATTTGTGGCGCCACCTGGAGGATGTGAGGTGCCGAACAAGTGAAATTATGCTGCGTTTGAGTTTCCTGAGAAGTCAGATGTCCGAGCTGAAAATGACGTCACACCCGAGTCCTCAGCATTTCAGTTGCCAAGTCGGAAAAAGGAAAATCGGAGGTGGAAACAAGATGGCTACATCTACAAAAGTTATTTTTTGCCTTCTATTCGGACGAGGTTAGTGCTAAAATAACTTTTGTAGATGTAGCCATCTTGTTTTCAGCTCGGATATCTGAAGTAACTGGAATGTAGCATTAGTGCGAGGAAAATATTTCAGTGTTGTAAAAATGTATTAATGATGAACAAGATCTCCAGGTGAGGGTACGAGGAGAACCGTCCTGAGGTCTTTTGGATCAAAATCTTGTGTTTCAAGTTTGATTCACTTTTTTTGTGAACTTTTCGGAAGTTGTGACTTGGAGGAAGACTTTGGTTGCGTTAGCACAGATATATATTTAAAGAAGATAAAATACGCCAGCCCGCTGTAGCAGCCTGTTTAGCGACGTGCCTACATGGCAGCCATCTTGGCAAGGGCAATTGCTCCAAAGTCTCGCTTTGGAGCAATGCGTGATCACAGACCCCCGTAAAAACTGTTGTTCGGGACTGCTTACTTGCGCTTCCTGCCCATTCGGCTACTGTAATAACCGTTGTTCTAGCCGACACACAACATTTTTGTCCCCACTAAATTGGGGACATTTTCAGGGACAGCTTTTGCTGGGGACAGGTCATCCAATTCGGGGACTGTCCCCAAAAATCGGGGACGTCTGGTCACTTTACGCTAGGTTGGCAACACTGTGAGAAAAGCCCCACTCATCATTAAAACCTAAACAGCTCTAACTCCTCCTTCTATAAGGAGAACTCGAACTCGAGGCAGAGAAAATTCCTCGATCATTATTTTTATTCGAGGTAATCGAGGAATCGTTTCAGCCCTACATATCGGTTTCTTGACATTTTTGGTCCTGTTCCTTTAAATGTGACAACCTTACCTCTGGATTTACTCCATCTTTGCATTTCTAAATCAACCTCTTCACCCCTCTCTCTCTCTCTCTCTCTCTCTCTCTCTCTCGCTCTCTCTCTGATATCTGTGGCACGTGGCCAGTGTAAATGTCACGGGCTCGGTGGTCATTTTCTTATTTTAAGGTCTTGAATTAGCTGCATGTGGCCAACAGAGCAGACATCTTTACTTGTTTTACGGGGTTTGAAAAAGTGCGTGACACCTTAATTACACTCCCTCCCTCCCTCCTCCCTCCCTCTCTCTCTCTCTCTCCTTCTCTCCCCCCTCCCTCCCCGCTGTTGTGAGCAGTTGTCATGGTGGGCTGTGGGCCTGGTGGTTGGATGATATTCCGGCTCTGTGGTGCAGGTTTCTCCTCTCAGCCGATGGTGACGTTGTTGCGCGCCTTACCGAGCCGGTCTGTGTGACTTTTAGAAAAAATGGGGGGCGGAGGGCTGTGAGGGCGCAACCATTTCACACCTCTCTCACTACCGCGCGAGAGCAGGCCTGGTGTGGGTAATAATTCAGCGAGGATGACAAAGTGAAAGATAAATCTCATCTTCAGCGGTCAACCGGGAGCTCCAGGAGCGGGACTCGCATCAGCGCAGAGGAAGGAAGGAAGGAGGGAAGGAAGGAAGGAGGGAAGTCTTCATTCCGATGGTGCGCAAAGTCCAGCGGGCAGCCTGACAGCTCCCACACCGGTACGCACAGCTGAGCGCGTCTCTAATGGAAGACGGTGCGTGAGAGAAACTGCAGAGTGACATTTCCACGGTGGAAGAGGAGCAGCGCGGTGTCGGCGGCGGGATTCTTCCTTCCTCCGACGGCGACATCATAGGTTTGCTGCGCAGAGAGGGGGAGGAGGAGAGCGCTGATTCACGGCTTGCAGGAGGAGGGAGAGCCGCGCGGACGGGCTCGCAGGATCCATCTCCTATATCTTAAAATACCGAGCCCCCCTCCAACGCCCCCTTCCTCCTCCTCCTCCTCCTCCTCCTCCTCCCTCCTCATTGACAGCTTTGCGACCCGGTCAATCCGTCAGACAGGGAGGATCTGGGGAGGAGGGCGCCGAGGCAGGAGAGGACGAAAGGCGATCACCTCTGGCCGGTTTGATCCAATCGCCAATAACCGAGCGGAGAGGGGACCTGCCTCTCTACATGAGGACGACACAGGGGCTTCTTCTTCATCATCATCACCACCATCATCATCATCATCATCGGGGGGTTTGAGCACGTTTGACTCAACAGATCCAAACAGCGAGATTACATTCGGATAGAGGGAGCGGACAGGAGAGAGATTCGGCGGTCTGCTCAGAAACTCCCCGGAATACAAATCCAGGTAGGATTCATGACACACGCATGATGACAAACTCTGGCATATGGAGTCGTGTGTGCGCTCGTGAGTGATGCAAACCGTCAGATGGGCTCAGCGTCACCGTGAGAGGCTCTACAGTGGGGTTAGAGGCGTTTAAAGCTCCACGTCGCTGCAGAAACAGTGAATAAGTGCAGAGAGAGAAAGAGAGAGAGAGCTGCTCTCCTCACGGCGCAGATTTGATCCATTGCAGCGCGCTCAGATGGATTCGTGATACCGTCTAATGGGTGTGCCATTAAAATAATTGGCGGCTGTCAACGCAAGTATCTGATACCGGCTGTTACAGCCAGGCGAGCCGATCCGGCCTCTGATTGGCTGAACACCTGGACTCGGTTGTTACATGGAGACAGAAAGAAGCTCGTGTTTTTCTTTCGGCGCATTTTGGACACGAGTGTTTCCCGGGGTCAGTCACGCGCATTATTCTCAGTATGTAGGCCCGATCGCCCCCCGTGAGTCCCCGTGCATGGCCCGTGGGTGCTCCGGGATTCCCCCCTCAGGTACACGGCTCTGACATCCGTCTATGAGCGCAGCGGCCTCCGGATGATTAATCAGCAACAGCTGAGGCTCCTTGTGTCTGCTGAGTCCATGTTTACGCGCATCTCAAATAGCCTCCTTAAACCAGAGCCTCTTCCCAAAATAGGGAAGGAGAAAGAGATCTGCGAGTGTCTGTGTGCCAGCCTGTCTGCCGAGGGAGGGAGGGAGGGAGTGGGCAAGGAGAGCTGTGAAGGATGCAAACATCCAGGAGGGATCTGGGCTTTAAAACGCGCTCCTGTCAAAGGTGTCAGACCGAGAGGAGCTGCAGCGATCCGTCCGATTTTAATCGATTAAAGTGTCGATTAATCGTCAGGAAAGAGTCATAAGAGTGTCAGGTTTACTTGGAGAACAGGTTAACCGAGGAAAGCTCAGGTGTGTTCAGTCAAAAAAAACGTGCTAAATAATCAAACTGACAACTTAGTGAATCAAGGATTTGATGGTTTAACGTCGTTTTTATATTCTCGCTTTAAGCTCCTCCCCCTTTCTAATGATGTAAACAGTTGTCGGTTTCCCAAAGTCAGGATAGAGGTGCTAAAGTACATAAATATCCGTGAAACATCACATAAAAAAAGAAAAGAAAAACGTGAAAGTTAGGACATCTGAGAACAGGAAGTTACGACGGAGTATTAGGGCCACATTAAAGAAAAATAATTTAAGACTTCGTAATAACTTTCGAGAATAAAGTTGTAATACAATCATTACTTCGGAGAATAAAGTCGTAGCAAATATTCTAACCTGTTGTTAGTTGTTTAAATGAACGCTGTGGAGCATTTAGATGAATTG